GTTAATTGTGATTAGTTTCGGGGAAAGTAATCTCCTGAAAAACTGTTTTGGCTTTAGGGGTACCTAAATACGTATGTGGCTAGCTTGTTATCCATAGTTGTCATTCCAGTTGGTATTAGAGATCATTGACCCCGATATGGGTATAGTAAAATTCCAGCCTGGACATCGCTTTAATTCCTTCCTTATTCGCGTTGTCTGAAATCTGAAATCCTATTATAACGATACCAATAAATTCGCTTAGTTCCGGGGTTACTGCATGCTGGGTCAGGTTGACGAGTCTGAAAAAAATAACGAACTACGCGCTATGGACTCCTGAGAACAGATTAGAACTTGCTATAGTATAGCTTTATTGCCATCGATGATGGCGCAGTGCATGGGACTGGCATGTCCATGACGATGGCCTCCAAATCCGCCAAACATGCTCCTCACTCATTATGATTTTTGATCTATTGAGCAGATGTGTCGCAATACAAAAAAAGCAACGATAAAAATAACAAATTAACAATAGACGTATGTGTGTGTGCATGTGTATGGCGGCTTATCTTCATCTTCCGATGCGTTTTGTGCTTCTGGCGCATACACCATAAATCATTGAACTAATTGAGCTAGCATAAAATTGCAACGTCATCGCAAGAAACATGAATGCATGCATGGAAGACCGGTTTCGACTTTGTTATCGATGAAATCTTTTCAGAATGACAATTGATACGCGTATATCATGACAACTTCACCCTCACGTTTGCCATGGCAGACTTTTTCAACAGCAGGTTAAAATAAAATCATTCCCCTTATCGTGATATCAACGTTTTACCATGCAGCAAATGACCGACAAGTCGCGCGAACGGACTTTGTAATGAAAACTGTTCATTTATCCATTCAACTGTGTTTAACGCAGCCCTAATTCATCGAACTATACCACTGAAGCAGACAGAATACCAGTATTCTTTGATGGAACACCTCGGCTTTGCGCGTCCCTTTCAGCCTCATCAGGGGTCCCGCAACCCATGAATTTGTCTGCAAATCGTTTAATTTTAACACTTTTACCGGAACAGTTTGTCAACAAGCGCAAAGGCTCGCACACGGAGGGGCTAAGTTTCGGCGCAGGTGTAGGCTGTTTCTGACAGAATATCGTGCAATTTTTGTAAACAAACCGATTTCCGCATAGGGTGGGGAGAAAAAATAGGAAAAACAGATTTCGTGCCATATAGATAAGAGTCGTTTTGGCGGGCTCATTTAGAGATTATTTACACTAGTATATATGATAATTTTAACTTGGGCTACTCAAACAATGTCATTTTGGCCAGCGCCATGCCTGTTCGGTGGTTTTATTATGTTTTCTTGTTCAACTGCGGTTCAATTCAAGGATAGATTACGTCATGAATGACACTGAAAGGATACAACCACCAATCATTGCTATGATGCATGGGCCGGAGTTCATGAATTAATTCGTTAGTGATATTGTTCGATCCTTAAGTTGGATCCATGCACGTTGAATAATTTCGTTAATTCATAGGATATTGCTATAGTATATATAGGAGAGATTTCCGTTGACGCAATAGCGATTCTGTGCGTAACAATTACGATTCATTCTCAATCATCTAGGGGCTTGAACCATTTCAAAGTGGTATAAAAGTGTCTCTATATTCCTATATAGCATTGATGACGACGTTTCTCGTTTCGCATTTTACACTAAATCTATTGCAATCGCGCACAAACTAAGGGCTTGCTTTCCAAGGCTTTCCAAATTAACTTTGACTGCACCTCTGGAGATTTAGTGTGAAATTTTAGCTACAAGACACCAACATCTTCTCGATATGATAAATAACTCTTACATACATGAAAATGATACCGGAATGAGCGACTGACATTCGCACGATCGATATTGTATACGAGAAGTATTCAAATATTGGGTGATCCATGCAATGTACAGATAATTTATCATCCACCGTAAGCTGTCGTGGTTTGGACTACCTTAAAAGACACCTCAAACGTGGTGGTCCAGTATATACATAAAAAGCTCTACAAAAAAGCTTCAGTTTGTGATTAAATGTCATATAGATTTCGATTTTCCCTACCAAGAAGTTTGGCTACAGCACAGCCAAGTGTGACCACAGACTATAGGTTGCCAATAATTGAACGCCGTAATAACAGCATATGTATATATGAAATTTTTCTTATAGTATACAACAATTCTTTCAAAATGTTAGGGAACAAACCACAGCAATTGGAATTGTTTAAACTTTATTTGAACCATCATCCTACCTTTCGAAACCTTGGCCAGAAAACTTGTTGTGATCTGAAGTCTGAAGTCCAAACTGACATATACAGAATGCGGACGAGATTCGATGTTCGCGAATTCAGAAGGATATATAGCGCTCGCTTGATCGACGTTCTGCGATTACGAAGCCTTGGATTCAGGTCTCCGTTCGATGCACGCGCGCCACGTCGTGTGTCCTTGCAATGTGGTAGCACTTAGCTGCCTAATCCAACTACAAGATATATGAAATATGTGAAAACGTAATGAGTGGAAACTATTAAAGATAATCTTGTTTGGCACGAGATGGAAAGTACTATGCACACATATCTTATTTGACTTCCTGTCGATTGGCAGTATTAATAGCATCACTTCCTGTTTTCAAACAGGACAATTATCGCAAATTACAGGGCAACGCAGCACGCGAGGTTCTTCTCTAAAAGGCTCGGAATTTTTCCAGCGATGCAATTAGGCGTAACGTGGACGTAAGCTTTCACGCATTCAACATTTGTTGTTTTGATAGCGCGAAGCTGCGCAATAAATCGATAATCGATCTGCAGCATGGAATGAATTCTACAAGGTGCTGCAACTGGGATGTCCCAAGGTTTGGTTGTTGACAGTTTGCACGAATAACAAACGCCTCTGTAGTATAGGGGTTAATCCTCACACTTTTTATGGTCCTTACGTGGAGTTAGGACACGCACAAACAGCCAAGATAACGCAAAAAAAGCTTTGAACAAAAACGGAATAGCGTCACGCGAAATTCCGTTAATTTCATGAATTTTTTTGCCAAAGGGAATTTCGGGAAGGGAAATATTTTGGGGGTATGTTGCTTTGGGTGGACAGAACATGTGTAAGCAATCAATTATAACCGCTATTTTAGTCCAACGTCCTACAGGACTTCGGAAGTAGATAATTTGGAAGAAATTCTAGTTTCTTTGATATCAGTTATCAGACTTGGATGTTAACGCACCATTTTTTTTCAATGCGATATTACGTTAAACCATGCAACATAGCCTTAGATGCAGTTCAACAGACGATGTCTTGCAAACATTTCTTTGTTAATGCGCCGCTAAAGTACGAGACTACCCTTTCACCATAGTCTGCCCCTCCCCTTTAGATGCCCTCCCATCGTTCCGGCGTCCCTGCGAACCAGTTTTGGGGTGCTCTGACGCGGGGAACAGCAGGGATAAATGGCAGGTCATGCAATTACTCGCTTATCCACTGTAACTTGCAATCCTGACTCTGAACATCGTCTCCGAACTCGCACAAACATCTATTTACGGTTCAACTACATAACAAACATATTACATAAGTGAGTACAATTACAGTGTATGCATGACTAACAAATTACAAGCATTTACTTACAGACTTTAGTGTCCAGAGAAGGATAGATAAATAGATATTTCAATTACAAAGAGGTAGATGTTTCGATCGGTTGATAACTGATGTTAGCCAGTAGCTGTTCGAAGTCTAAAGTCTACTGAAACCTTTCGCAATAACAAGTCTATTTCAACAACTAATTTGAATAAATAACCTAGTACTAATTCATGCATATCTAATAACCTATAAAAATTTCTAAAGCTAAATTAATCATTTGAAATCTACATCCGCGTATTTTTCTAACGTTAAGAAAATGTTTACACGTGTTTGACTTGTTTGCGTGTTCTAATTTTGTTTTATCTCGGAAAGGTTAAGAGCCGATATCCCTCGGTGTGTTTACCGGATGATAAGGCATCCCAAATATCCCCAATGCGATTGTTATTCGGCGGCAAATGTTTTTCTCGTCAAGAATCTAAACATAGCTCCAAAGTTCGTATTTTACAAGGTGATTACAGCGCAAACAACTTGAGTAAAAATAGATTTGGGTCGAAAATAAATGCAGACTGGTTCAAAACAATTTGAAAGGAGTTTTTTGTCGATAGACTCGCTCATCTGTACGTTAGAGAACAAGTTGGGAAGAGGCTACGACCTTGTCCTGAGAATCTTTGATTCCCTTTGTCTGAGGTGACTATAGCGTGCAAAATGCTTTGTCTAACGTCGTGATACAGTACAAGAATCACCGATTTTTAGCAGCGTATGTGAACCGGAAAGGTTCTAAGCTGTATGAAGAATTTCCCCCAAATTGTGTGAACTAATGTCCTTGAGAACTCAGTGATATCAAATTTACTGGTATCTGGCTTGGGCTGCTATGATTTGATGAGGTTGGTATAGCCTGGATTTACATGACTTGATTGCTAGCATCTCTCTATTCTCACCGTTAAATGGAGTCTATTATTTTTAATACAACCTTCTTCGAAATTTGCTTCAAGTGAGACTCGGAACTTTTTGCGACTCTGTACGAGTGAAAGGTTGTATGTATATCCACAATGCTTGGAGAGGATTGATTATTTTAATGCTTTTAATCATTATAATAGAATTGCTATATGTATACAAAATCAGTATATCTACAGAAAAAATTAGTCAGTTGACTATATCTCACTTACATTAATTTACAAGCATTAAACAACAGTATATTTCAAACTTAGTTCTACTAATCGTTTGAACTAAAAAAATATCATGTTTCTCCCTTTACAGAGTGAATACCTTTATTATACACTGTTTATCAGTTCATGAAATAAACTCAAAATAGCATTTTTATTTACATTTTTAAAATTATACACAGAAACATTTGTACTGTACACGAAGTTTGAATATCTTACATTGATAAACATTGAATAATTCTCAACTATACATAGTTCAAATTTCATTTCGCTAGCAAGCTTTTTTCGCATGTTATGTATTGAAGCATCAAAGGTAAAAACACAATTTTATCTTCGTCCAAAGCTTTAAACAATTTCTCAGATATATGATCTATGCCAGAGACCAGATCCTTTTCCACGTCGAAACGTAAATACTTGTGCAACGCATTGAATACTTCCCAACCCAAACTCTCCTCAAGATGCAATCTCATAGCTTGAACGTACTCCTGCAAACTGCTCTCAGAAGAAATATTTTCTAACGTGATGTGGCTACCTTGAAGTAGTACTTTTAGCAAAGTCGTCTGCGCTCCGGGGCTTGTGGCATTACTAGAGTTTGCATGGGGTACCTCTGTTTCAAAGGAACGTTTCTTCACCTTTGGACATTCATTTGATCGCTCCGTTTCGAGTATATCTTCTCTACGCTTTTTCAAGCTTGCTTTTCTTTCACGATATTGGGATGCAGTTTCTTCAACTTCGCTGCCATTATAAGCCTTGGAGTTAGAACTCTTTGTGTAGGTTCCTTGAAACAATGGCTTATTGCGTTCGGCTGGGATGTCGTATGTCCCGCGAAGATTCACCTCGTGTCTGTTCAGAGGAACCAACGAACTCCGTTCGGCGCATTCTCGTAAGATACTCGTGCTGTACGAGCGGGATTTTGAAGGATCCGATTGAGGCTTATGCTACAAACAAAGAACAACAATTCCTCTTTATTATAACATACTCCAGTAAAGCCAGACAATTGCTGACACTCTGCATGGAATTGAGTTAGCTTACATTCTCCTTTGTCTTTTCCTCAACAAAACCTCGTCCTCGCCAGATCTTCCTTTTCTTCGCTTCCGTTCCACCGCGATTATCATGCGCGAAAAAAACTTCAGACGATTTTTCCCGACTTTGGGCCGCGTCCAAACACGCCACATCACTTATCACAGCCTCCTTAACATGGAGCACTGGCTCCACAGTACACGTCTCTAAAAGATTGTCTTTATATAAAAGCTAATGCATGTTCACATTTAGAAACTGGTAACAATAGACCTTATACATAATGACGTAACAAGGGACATTTTGAAGTTTGAATTTTTCGCCGTGACTACTAAAACCAGAATTCTGTAGCTTTTTCAGGCAAAATTGTATCCAGAGAACTGCAAAACCCGGAACCTTTGGTACATATTTGTGATGCGCGCATCTTTTAAGTTTTAACCAGTAATTCATACACCCCAGACGAAACCTAGCTCACAATTAACCGACTTACTGGAATAATCTTCAACGTGATTCGGATCCTCGTTATGACACAGATTCCTAGAATGATCCTCGATCTTGTTTCCCAAAGCCGGAATGACGACGGGTTTTCTCCACACGTTGGCTTTCCTAGAACTCTGTTCATCACCACAGCTCACGCTCTCTGAGCGCTGAGATCTCCCTCGAGCCAACACTTTGTTTACGTACGACTGCATCGCTGGGATGTGGAGAATCTGTTTGGCAGAGGGTCTTTCTGATGGTTCAACACGCAGGAGAACTGAAACCAAATCTTGCAAGAGTGGGCCACGATTCCTACAAAAAGATTACCAAAGAAAATGCAATCTTTATGCAGACTTCCAAAGGCTCCAAAATTTTCCATTTGGGTCCCCCAACCCCCCCCTGGGCTTCCTCCCCCAAACCCTGGGCTTCCTCCCCCAAACCCCCCCTGGGTTTCCTCCCCCAAACCCCCCCCAAAGAAGCCCCGGCTTTCACCCCTTCAACAGAAAATCGCTCCGCGTTCCCTGTTCACTTGGTATGAAGCAATTTCTAGAGGACATGAACTGGAGCAGAATAGATAAATGCTTCAACAAACTTACTCTGATATTGAGTTGTATTCGCTGTGAAGTATTTTGAAAACCAACTGTGGGAAGTCTGCAGATTCAAAGGGATGGCGCAATGTGATCATCTCATACAAAACACAACCTAATGCCCACATGTCACTCTTGTGGTTGTAACTGAATTTCTCAGAGTCAAGGTGAAAGAGAAACAGTTTGCACTAAGAATTTTTTAGTTACTTTTGGCAGCAAAATGTAATGCAATATTCGTTTTGGCAAATTACAAATGCTGCAGCAGCTTTCAACCTACTCTTGGGAGCTCCACCTCTGAACAAAGATGGAGAAAGTGAAATTAAGAAATTACAACATACACTAGATGCAGATTATGAAAAATATAGCATGGCACTTGACTAATTGATTGCCAGTATTAAGTGCAATTTGTTATGCTTCTGGCAATGAAGAACTTAGTTCAATTGTGTTCACACACCTCAAGACCAGTGCTGATTATCATGACAATATAAGACAATAGGGTCAGGTTACAAATTTATGTATATGTACATCAAATACAGGGCAAATTTTAAGTTTGGAGGCCACTTTTGTTGTTTAGTTTTCCAAAGGGTTAAAATCCCCCAGGTATTAATCTTAAACATACACATTCCTGTCAAGGATACGGTTGTCGTTGGCATATTTCTGGCGAGAGATAGTATGGTGTACCGATGATTGTACAAGCATGGTCCATCGTGTTTTGAAGAACGCAGGCTATACCAAAATCGCCGATTTTTATCACACTCTCCTTCGTTATGAAAATGTTTTGGCATTTGATATCTAGGGTTAAAATTTTTTCAACATCTTACACAATGCGAGCAATTACAATGAAGAAGAACTATGACAATGAGCTTCACTCTCCTATGGAATAATACCTCTGTGGAGGATGTTAAGACCATGAATATACTTCAAAGCCAGGCACAACTGGATAAACCAGTCAATGATTTGCTCATTTGGAAGCAATTGTCCTCTTTGCTTTTGAATTCTATCAGACAAATCACCTGCAAGAAGAAACGGTTAACGATTAACACAGAACGACTGAACGAGCCACATATTGTTGGTTGAACGATATTTCATACCAGCATTTCTTACACATTCATGGCACAAACCTCCGTTTGCATATTCCATAGATATGCACAAAAAACCATTGCTTAAAAACGCTTCTTTGTATCGAATAATGTTCATGTGTCTTAGCTGAGAAAGAACTTTGACTTCGTTCAAAATGAAGCCACGTTTTCGTTCTTCAAAGAGCGAGAGTGAAATCTCTTTTAAAACGTAGTCCCTGCGCTTTTCTTTCGTGCGAATAAGCCAGACGGTGCCGAAAGAACCAGTGCCAATAATACAAAGCTTTGTATAGCTTTCCATTGATATCTTAAGAGCAAAAAGTCAACTGCTGTCGGGCAACTTACGTCTTGTCATCTCCAGATGATAAGAAAAGAAGAAATGAAATAATTTGAATTCGAAATGAAATAATTTGAATAATTTGCTAGCGAAATATTTGCATATTTTCTTTTCAATTGAGAACAATCAAGTCGAACTAATTTACTAATGCTGTTAAAATTCAAAAGAAAATATGCAAATGTTTCGCTAGCGAACGATTTCGCTGTAAGTGGAAATCCACCCTTAAGCTTCGAGCCAATAAAAAGAAGTCGCTATAAACAAATTACATGAAGTAAACGCATGCAACGTTGTGGGTGCGCAAGGGGAGATGGGTTTAAAAGGCAGTGAACTGTAATAAAATCTGGAACGCTAACTTGGCCGAATTTGAAGGTAGTTTTTGAACGCGTAAGACAGACGGTCGTATAAAGAGTAGTTATCTAGGAATAACTAACAATGTAAAATATAATCATTTGCTAATTTTAATAGAACTTGAACGAGAAACAGAGTGTCAGCGAGGGTTTTTTTGCTTCAATCAACTATTTACAACTATTCAATCAACTATTTATAACTATATAACAACTTGCAAAATCCCCGTCGTCCATACATCCCATCTCCCCTTGCGCGGATTGGATGACATTGACATACTTGACAGCCATTGCACTTAAGATATCATATGCAGAAGATGTAGGCATACAAGACAAGTACTTGTTTTAGTTTGAGCAAGCACTGAAACGATTTAAAAGATGACCCTGAGTGACTCTAGCTTAGAGCTGACAGCCTGACAAGACTTTCAAATCGAAAAAAATATCTCATGTGTCTGCTCGGCTTTCGAGCCTCGCCTTCGGGGTACAAAGTACAAAGTTGAAATAACAGCAATTAGAGCTTATTTCTCGGATCAAATGTGTCGCATTGCATAATCACGTTGCATGTAAATAATGTTTTTGTGACGAACGTGATTTAGATCCCATGGCCAAGATATTGAATATAGAACAAATGAACAATACATAGAAACTACACCTTTCCTGCTCTCAGCGCGAATGACGTAGGAATGCTATTACTTCGAAGCCGAAAAATAAACAAAACAAACCCATTAAAGGGAATATTTTTTTGCCTACATGCTGTGTCCACACAAGACAGTAGGGTAGAATTACATCCTTATTCTGTTTCCAATCAATTGTCAATACAATTCCAAGTCGTTTCATTACATCAAAAGCACATTTAAGATTGGTAGATTGGTTTGCGAACTTGTGTGGCTATTACCATTTTGTTGTCAGACAGATTGCCTGGAAAATATCAGTTTGTCTATTTATAAACCGCATCACACTCCAAGACCACTTTGAAGAACTGCTAGGCTCACTGTTCGTAGACAATGCAAAATATCAAGCGCATGTTATTGCGTAATTAATGCTAATTAAACAGTATTGTGCACGCACGCACGCAACGTTAAACGAGGTAACAGGAAAACAACTGAAATCCAAGAAAATTCCGGAAAGATTCGAGGTAGATTTTCTTGATCTGGGTAACATATTGACAAAGTTTGACAAAGTGAAGCATTTTGACAAAGTGCAGTATTTGACATATTGACATAGTGTGCAGTACTCAAGACGAACCCAGAACAATTCAAAAATTTTCAATTGAAAGCCTTTTGAAACTTTTCATCACTTCAATGATGTAATCTCGGAGAACAGCGAGTTCTTTTAATCTAAACACACCCCGCTCCGCCACCTCGACATCGTGCGAATGATAAAGCAACAATGAATGATTTTATGAATCGAGAATCTATAAAGCGATCATCCAAAATGAACGTTTGAATTTAATTCTTAAACACATCAACAATACAAACATACAAATATATAACTTAGGTTTCAACAATGAAATAATTTAACTGCGATTATATTTCGCCGAGTGTAGACACTCATCATCATCTATGCGTTCCAGTAGTTTGTTTTACCGTTTGGTAGCAGAATTGTTTTATGCCCTATGCGCTTGATTGTTCTTCGAATTCTCGAGCAGACAGATGGATTCTGTCCATTAAACATACCGCAAATCAAAATTAGTTTCCCATCTGTTCTGCATCTTTCTAGATTCTAGAGTTTCGTGCTAAGATTTGCACGTTTCGTAACACAACCACTAACTGATGTCAGTTTCGCCGTTTTGAGTTCGCAAGCCGTATTGCAAACAGACCCAGCAAGCTACCTGATAGATTTAAACGACCACGATACGTTATCAAACATCAGTTAAACGCAGTGCCGAGAAGAAAAGATTTGGTGTGCTTTGGAAGCGGTAGCCCGTTAATCGTCTCCTGAGGCATTGACATCCGTATGACCCGTTTACAATGTGCGCGCAAGCTCGAAATTCTGTTCACCGGCCGAGTTAATTTCAACGACAAAACCTTGGAAGATCGTTCCAGCTTGCAGACAAATCCTCCTTCAGATGACTGCCGCACCAGCTTGGCTATAAGTCCGTGTAGCGTTGGTGCCCGATATTGCAACGGATCGTTGAAATTTATAGACAACTTTCCTTCATTTTCATAGACGCGAACACTCGCAACAATTCCATCCAGCTTATATGTAATCGAATACAGAGATGTCTGATCCGTGCTATTTCGCACAACAAACGTGCCATCCTGAGTGTTTTTAAGCAAGTATTCCGCCTGCCCGTTTGATAGATTTCCCCAAAACCAGCTCACTGTGTCCAAATATACTCTTTTCTCTTCCAGAATGAGCGAAGTATTGGCCGTATTCGTGGTTACATCGTTCGAGTTTTCCTCGAAACTGCTTCGCCTGCGAAAGCTTTGGAAAAGCGATCGAATATATTTCATAGGTCCCCTCATTTTCACGACAGCTTCTAACAGCAGGATGAAGCCAGAACGCTTAGCTAGCAATCCTCTTGCTCAAGTCGGGAGATTTATACCCAGAAGCCGCATACATCATTCTGCAACCGAGGATTCCCCGTGCTTGAAGTGAACGCTATTAGCCAATCAAAGCGCTTGGATTCTCGCCAACCAGATATGCCAAACCTGTTTGTCCGGTTCGAGCAAGTCTTGGGAACAATCGTTTCGATGAGTCATATGAAAGCATTGTTTCTCGAGACCGTCATGCGACCCGTAAAAAATGTTTGGCCTTTAAGTCTGGTGTTTTCCCCATGCACAATAATGCTGAGCTAAGATGTAATAAATAAACCTTACCACCGATACAGCTCATACAAGGACCGTTTGAAAATGCGGTGCCGCATCTACGCACGTTAAACACTTGGGTGGTTTACTCGAGTTTGCGTCAGATACGTAATGCTTCGAAATTATTCATTTCGGAAATGATTAAGGCCGAAAAGAGTTCCCAGTTTCTACACTCCCTGCAAAATCATTCGTCATCATTTTTGCTTATTCAGGCAAGCTAAGCAGTAAGCACCTAAGCACTGGCTGGTTTCCGGGAATTACTGAGCAAATGCACCAAATATAGGACGCGGATGGGACATGATCTGAAACTGAATAGCTCCTAGGTATTACTATTAGGAACCCAATTTCAACTTTCTTTCCATACGGCTCTCACTTTGTTTACCGAAAGAAGTCCAGAATTTGGAAAACTGTGGAAAAACAGGCAGTATTACTGCACATCCGCGTCGTAGATTTGGTGCACCGCAGTCCGCAGGCAACTTTAGTTTTATAGCCTAGAGGAGTAACAATATAAGTAGGCCAACCTCTGTAAACCCAAACGCGGCGTACTTTTGTATTCGCAAACGGTGAAATTCACAAATATTTTGGCAAAGTGTAATTGAATACATGTTTTCGCCGAATCTTAATCCTTATATTCAGTTACACTCGGCCAAAATATTTATGAACTTCATCGTTTGCGAATACAAAAGTACGCCGCATTTCTGAAAAAGTTTGTCGTTTGGATTTACAGAGGTTGGCCTACTTATATTGTTACTCCTCTAGGCTATAAAACTAAAGTTGCCTGCGGAGGAGGCTAGGATAACTATAGCCACTGACTATAGCCTATAGGCACGCCCGATTTTTAGTCTCTGATCTCTATAGAGCTGCTGAATGAAACGTTGTGTTTTCCCATAAAGTGCAATGCATGAAACTGCTGAATGACTTGGGGGAACATTGCTGACAGCAATTCATATCAATTTATTCTTAATTTTTTTACCAACCTACTATGTAACATAAATATTTGTGGATTTTATCTGATTCTGAATATAATTGCCCTAATTGTTACATCAATTGTTGGTACAGCATTAATTCCATTTTATAAATTGATTGGTAAATACATTTATAAAATACGAAAGCATGATTGTGATATTTTTCAAGTTTCCTAGATGCGAATTGTCAAAAGGTAAAAAACATCCTAAACTAGGTACTATCAGTGCAATCAAGAGGGGGGGGGTGTTGAAACTTTGTAAGGGGGGGGGGCAGGCCCCAAACCTAAGAATCTCCAAATGATAGAAAAGACTAACATAATAATGTTGAGAAGTGATGTTAGTACTCTATCAATTGTATCATTAAATATTATTTCTGTCAGGGATGTAGCTAGACCGCTTAATCAGGGCCCCTCTGCACTGAAGATATACTGATGCATTGAGTGAACAACACATATTTTAAAAAAGTCTAAAAAGAATGGACGTATAGACGGAAAAGAGTCATTCTGCATACAGTTGAAATTACGAATGTCATTATTGTTTTAAAATACTTTCCTTCAAATTGCACGTTTTCAGAAAGTCAAATCCCTTGTTCTGACTCTTGCGTGGGCAATGCTGAAGCCAGGTCAGCTTGAATTGTATTGAGACCACCTATGGATAAGAAACATTTCCTGGTGAAGATTAAAATTGATATAATTTGAATGAAACTAGTTCACATCACTACACTTAATCCCCTAACACACCAAGACCTGGGTGTATTATTGGTAAAGTAGACATGCTTGCAAGCAGCCAGTCTAAAAAGGGGAAGTTCTCACAAATGCGTTCATGAAGTCAATTCCTTTCCAAAATGTGTAATTTTAATTACTCTGTACCTGTCTCTTGATGACCTTGAGAGTTCTGCGTTCTTTCTCCACTTGCATCTATGTTTATGCCATCATCTTTGCAGATCTCTATGTTAAACAAAATTTAATTCTGAATTTTGGCTATATTTTTATCATGATCTGGAAATACATGATATCATCAGTACTTTTGTACCATGTATTCATGCTGAAATTGATAAAAGTAAGATTCAATTATTTCAACATACTTGCTAAAGTTTCTGCAACATCTTTTCTGCTAACAGCTATAAGTGCATCAGCTAGAATTTGACCTGTGGCTTTGTTGCCATTGTGTTTTTTCCATTTTGACATCATCTGAAATGCTTTTTCTTTAACTTTTTTGTTTTCCGCATCAATATTATCCAGAATGTTGGTGGATAAACCTAGCCTTCTCCCAAGGGGTTTCCAATCTCTACCCAGGTCTTCGGCAATGTCATTTAGTCGTGCATCTTTAAGTTTGTCATTCACAACTGGACCATCTGTCACTAGACAGGAAATAAGGTTGTAATACATCTTATGGGACACATTTCACATGCACTAATTTGCAGAATGAATTTATAACATGTTAATATATTTCTTAAGATTTTCATTTATCTGGATATAATTGCAAGATGTGCACTGATTGCTTATTTGTATCCTAAGTTGATCCTATTAGGAAACTTATTCCATCAATTAAGGGTCATTAAAGTGACAATTAGTATTCACTTTGTTCTAAGAACAATATATATACAAACATTACAAAATATAAACATGTAGCTCAAGTTACATAACAGTATAAGTAATTAATACCTTCATCCTGAGTTCCCGAACTTGATGAAACTACAAAAACATAAGCAAATTGGAAAGGCAAATAGATAGGTTGAAAAGTTACGTCAAAATTTGATGTTGTCTCAGAGGAAGTAAGAATGTTAAACACTTAAACTGTATTGATACCTTGGCGTTTTAACACTCTATCTGATAAGTCATATCTGTCAGCTTTCTCTAACAGTTGAACCAAAATCTGTGTATTGTCTGGCCCTAATAAATTACGTTTTATAAGCTCATCGAAAAGCTGGCGAGCCTCTGAGATTTCCTGGAGACGTTTTGACCCAATTTTCTTGTCGCCACAGTAATCTTCACAGCAATATTTCATGCTCTCCAGCTCGCTCTTTTCAATGTCATTGCTAATTTCGAGCAAGAATGATTTAAAACTCATTTTGAAGCCTTCAGCTTCTTTTCACCATCATTCGATTACAATAACAAATAGTTTTTTGTACAAACAACCATACATCGAAGTCGAGCCCGGCTACTGTCTCGGCGATTGCCGGAAAATATTCGATTTCCGGGAATTTCCGGATGTAATATGACGTAATTAGTTTCCCGGCCATATTTCCGGCATCTTCATCCCCGGGGCTTTTATGACAGTATGGCTTCGCCTAGAGAGTTGTGGGAACAATGAGGAATGTCCGCTTGAAATGCTTTATTAATTCTCAGTGGTTCCCGTTGCCTCCTGTGCAAGCATTTTTAATCTAGTGTCGCTGACTATATCCCACACTGGGCCACACGTAACAACTGAAGAAGGGCCACGGCAGGACAAGACTGACCCAAACCAAGTAAATTAGCTTGTAGGTACACCACGTAAGTATTTAACACTGCAAAGCTTTCGGTCCGTTAACCCGGGCCTTCATCAGTGCAATTCATGATAAACCACGTGAAGGTGTGGTGAAGTGTATACCATTCCACTCAATTCAATTCAATTCATGATGGGCCCTCCTCATCAGTGCAATTCATTTTTGATGAAAGCCCGGGTTAACGGACCGAAAGCTTTGCAGTATTAAATACTTACGTGGTGTACCTACAAGCTAATTTACTCATTATGACCCAAACCAGTTTCCTTACTTTCCAGTCCGCACGAATATCGTATTGTGATGATCACGTGAAATGATATACACTTCACCACATCTTCACGTGGTCCACCAATGAGGTTTTGATGCAGGCTCCGTTAAAATTGAATAGAATTGCAAACATATGTTCTGTGAATTACCGTTTTACTAATGTTAGTGATATATTTACCATAAAATATTTGAACATATGCATACATCTCGAAAGATGATAATACTTTATAAGATTATTTTTGTTTATTAATATTTTTCAACATCGCCGTTTTCTTGCATTTATATCTCAATTGTAAAACATTTCAATTGCATTTGTATAATAAACCATATCCCATGATCAGCAATAAATAACTAGACCAGTGCTTGTCCAGTCAAACAGAGACATATATCTTGCATCTGTCGAGGACCTGCAAGAAAACAAACGTAATACGACGTTAAACAGTTTCCTTGGCCCTCTCTCATGCCACTTCATATGCTGGTTACAAGTCTCCGGCAGTAGTGCATTCTGACGCAATGTTCCTCGTTATTTTTTATTGCACCAACTAGACCGTGTACCATTTCCAGCACTGAACTTTAGTCATATTTCCAGCAACTTTAATTCCATCCTGTGAGTTTAATTTCTAACTGGCCATGCATTTGACTCAATCTTGTATGTAAATTAAGCTATTTAAGTTAGCCGTTTTAGAGCATGTAATTCGGCTTAGCACAATGAAACCTCTTCCTAAAGTTCTGTGTCAATGATCTACCTGTCTCCCGGCAACTAACCTCAGTTAAATGATATAGAAAGATAAAAAAACATACTGTTTGGATCTCGCGTGTTACAAGCGGCGTTCGGTCCACCCGGTTGGCTAAATATACCCCAAACGGTCGTGAATCTATGAAAAGTTGGATTGATGGTTAAACACATTGGGCTAAGGGATCGATAGACTTCAGGTAATTAAAAAAAGGCAACTAAAATCATAGTGAATGGAGATGAAATGAAGATGAGCTCCGGCTACCTGAACTGAAATTCACTCTAATGCATACCCTCAAACAAGGGCGTAGGAAGCAGGGGACACTGGGTGCACGTATCTCCCCCCCAAAGTTATTTGAAAAAGTGCCCCTTTTGTATAGCTAAAATTGGTTTACCCTTTTGAAAGATGTACGAGTTTTATCTTAAAGGACTTAATGATTTTGCTGGATTCGTGCATTAAAATCAGCACCAAACGCTTCACTGTGGATATTACCTATGCAAGGATATCAAAGACTTTTTAGGCATTAGAAAGTAAATCTCGAAGGTGCTCTCTTCGTATGAAACAGTGCCTCTGAACGCCTGAACTCCCCCTCCCAATTACCCTTTTCCCAATCGAGCAGGGTACTGGGTCTAGTCGCGAACCGCAAAGCATCTATGGGCTGTTTGGAGGGACGAATATAAAACATATATGGACTGTTTGGAGGGACAAATGTAATCATTTGTCCCTCCATGCTTTGCGGTTAGCGACTAGACCCTGTACCCTGCTCGATTGGGAAATGGCTAATTAACTTGCTTCCTACGCTTTGCCCCCCCCCCTGGAATGAAATCAAAGCACACGTACATTGTAATGCCCTTTGAGAGTGCATCTTGTGCTCCATAACCAACTACAGGAAAGGTTGCAAGAAAAACAAGTTGTTTAGATCATTCTGCCTCAGCTTAAAATGAATTAAAATATACGCACTTGTGTTACCATCGTTTAGGAAGCCAAAAATAGCAAAACAACTGCAAGCCCTCTTCTGAGGGTCTGTGACTATAAATGAAAATATGTGACTAAGAAAAGCACGATTAGATGGGTCCTAATATAGTATGTTTTAAAACCATGGGCGGGTCATGATACAGCGGTTAATATAAGTACATACATTCATCATAGCTCGCGATTATACCAGAGTTTAACGGCTTGCCATGCATGCATGGTATAACTGACATGAAAATATGCTTCACATTCATGACAATCTTTGCCAGGGAATTGAACAAAATTAACGAGTTGCCATGCAATGTTTTATGTTTACTAAAAATAATCTTTTAGCTTGTACATTTTGTCCAACCTCACGACTTGTCCCAATAGCTTATTTATTAATAAAAGGTTTTCGACAGCTAATTTTGAGATTCAGACAGGATCATTTTGAGAGAAGGTCGTATGTGTTTGCATGTAAGCGATCTATCCGCCGGCTCCATAATTACATGTTCACAAACACAGAAATACAAAGAAGTATAAACTTCGCAGTTGAAATATCAGGTATTTCTGGTGTCTCTAGGATACTAAGTATCGTATATATTTGTTTATGCATGACGTGAACTACATGGTGTCTGGCAACGAAGCCAACAGTAAACATCAAAGTACTTTGTGGACCAATGATTTTAAAAAAAAGTCCTAAGGTATTTCACGTTTCAACTTAAGAAACATTAAGGATTGAATTGTATGGAAGCGTTCATTTCATGCACATATATTGGGACCAGAATATATTGCCTGGAAATTCAGCAGCAATAAGAAGAGTTATGCAAATCCTTTTTTGTTGCCATGCAATAACAAGCACGCGGGAATGCGAAACCGATGAAATTCGTATTCAATGACAATGTTTGATAATATGAAAGTTGCTTCCAAAGACTTACGGGTTGCATAGTTCCACCTGCAAATGGGCGCTGCCTGAGCGTTCATACTTTTCCCCAATTGAAGAAACACGTTTCTTTGTTGCATAATATACTCGGTCATCTCTTGTTCGCTGAAAAAAGGATATACAACATTAAATATATCATTCATCTATAGCAATGTTCCCTACTTGATAATATATGGTAATATATGATTTACCCTGATGGTTCAAAAATACAACATCGGAAACTTTTCTTCTCAAGAGAAAAACAAATAGATGGAACATGGATCATTCCCTTTATTACGAGTACAAAGCCGCAACACAAAGTTTATTTTGTACTGATAGTGGTTAGGACTTAGCGAAACTTGACTAGTATATTTCGGTGTACGCCCGTTTGAGTTTCGCTCGCTAAATATTAAATGCTTTAAGCTAGAACTTACTCATATTTCAATCTCTCCGGCTCAGGATCCATAGTGACTGTTTTGTAACGCGGATACATTGAAGAACCACGATGGCGTTGACTGCCGCGTCGATAAAAAAAGGATTGCGACATCGAGATCAGCAGGCAAACGATAAACACCTTCAAAAGCATTCTTATACAAAGACGAATTCTCGATCAAACCTTTGGATTTTCAAACGCTTGCTAGATGAATCCGTTAATTCTGAGTAAACAATCGACTCGGCAGGTCGATCTATGTGCTCCACCACGCAAAAAGGGCTTGGTATAGAAGGCTCAACAATATTAAATACTGGCTTCAAATATTGCACCCTAAGTGAATTACTATGACGCAAGATCTGCCTTTAAATATTATGCATTTACAAGGTCATTTACTTCGCGAAACATGTTTTTATATACGAATCACTTTCAGAACTGTCCCAACAACCAATCAAAACACGCATTCTGAACTTTGAAGTGTTTCTTATTTGGTATGTTAAAGCAGGTTAGGAATGACTTGGGAATATTGGGGTTGTCTACCGGCCAAACATTTACCAAGCAACGAAGATATGGGTTTTAAGTTAGTTGACCACGCATGTCCTTAAATGATAAAGAAATACCGAGGATTCTATTCAATATAACATGGATTTAACTCAGAAACTAACTTCATTTGTATATTTTCTAGATAACTCATACTGTTCCACGATTGGTTTTTCCCCCGAGAGATTGAATAGGAAAAGTTCGACCAAATGTTAAGTCTGTGCTTCAGCTCCCATTCCGGGTGTCCCGTCGTACGTGGGCAGCCCGCCCACCTGACGGTTCTCATCCTGAGAGATTTTTGTCGCTGGAATTCTTGCTCAAGTGAGAACTAGAAGGGTCTTCTAAGCTCTGAGCACCCTAACAAAATACAGGTCATTCGCCTATGTAATTAAGCAGGCGAATAGCACAGGCTCTGCTCAAAATTTTTACCACCTCCAAGACGATGCTCAAAATTCGCGCTGTTTATCCATTTGCTGAGATGTGCCAATCATTGACCTAACGTGATATACAGTCTCTGGTACATGAAAGAATAACTGTGTAAAACCGCAGGTTTGAGAACCGCAGGCTCGCCAGATACGATTGATGCTTAAATAACCCTAAGTATATAAACTACGGAAGCAGTCTCTGTAGCTTAGATTACGGTCTGGTAACTGCGTATTATCGATAGATGACGATATTGACGAGAGCTTATAATATTTTTAAATGCATTTTATTGAGTTCAATCACCCATACACTTTACTTCTATTTTCAATTCCACTAAATATTTGTGATATATCTTTTCATCTAAATGAAGGAGAACACATATTGATAGTTATACATATAATGATATATATATCTTTAAACATCTATTTGATTATAATTCTATTATTCGCGTTGAAAAAATTGTACCTCGATAACGTTGTCCATGAACCGTTGCCATGCTAGAACGAAATACATTTGCAGAGATCATCGTATTTAACCTTTTCGGATAAGACGAGATTTGCCACTATATAAAATATAGAAAAAAGTAAAAAACTTTGCGGTGTTAATTGTAGCAGTTATCTCGTGCGTTTCCGGCCTGAGATACAGATCATTGTGTTAAATGTAATGTCAGTGCTATATTCTGTGAAACGATAACCTGTAATTCATTTTGACAAATTTTTCAATCGACATGCACCTTCAGGCTTCATCGGAATTGTACGGCAGTATGCTTACGTAGACGTGATGATGTTTCATTGCAAACTTTATCGATCATATTCTGCACTTTTGCGATCAAATCTTTGAAGCTTATGAAGAATCGCTTTTCCTCGACACCACTATGGAAAGATCAAAAAACTTTCAACGGCCAAATCTACTACGAAATTAAATTAAGAGCTGTATGCGAATAGATATATGAATTTAAAAGAGAGAGTGAAGTTCTTCGGATTGAAAATCCGTATGTTTACAGTACCTCTCGTCATCAAAGAGAGAAACAATGCCAGTCGTAAAACTGAGACAAGCACAGGCTCTTGCAATCAATGGGTTGGGAGCTGAAATGAGAGAATTTATTTTGCAATTACAAAAAGTTGACACGAATTAGTAGAAATAGTGTGTATTGAATTCCGGAGAAACTGCCAAATCAGCTGTTTTCATAAGAAAAGAGGTCAGCAGAAACGCTGTTTTATAGCCATTCTTTGTTTGAAGATCCTCAAATCAAAACTGAGAACTTCTACGGCCTTCATCCTGCATTAAGGCTTACAAAATTACAAACAAATATAGCGGGGAAAAAGTCATACTCATGCATTATGCAACTGATTTCTTCATCAGTCCAACGAGGAACCAAGAGCTTACTTGATGTAGTATCTTTCTTTATTTTTTCGCATGCGCCTTTTGCATAGCCAACAATCTCGTAAAGAGTTTCCTTGTTGAAGAAAAGTCTTTTTTCCCTAAAACGAATTGAATATCAAACGTTCTCGTTTAAAACCCACTGCATTTTAACGACAAGAGTTAGATTTCATTTTGAAAACACTTCTAGATTCTGACCAGGATGAGTTTCTAAGAAAATATTACAACTGGCCCTTTGAAATGAATCGCTATGAGCTAGACCTTTTTTGGCATCGATAAAGACACAGAAACAATGTTTTAACGCCAATCTTCACTAGCGAGGTCAACTTACTTGGACTCCTCGACTGGTAATGCTTGCGACAAGGCAAACAGACCAAAGACCACGAAAATTGCAAAGTATTTCATCGTTGTAAAAACGTTGACCAACTGATTTCTTCAAGTGCTTTCAATACGATTCGTATGCTCCTAGGAACTTGTGCACATACAAGTAATTAAATGGTTGTATTTATACTCTACAGTCTACCCTCGCCCTTTCCAGCATTTCCAATTAGATGAATTGCAATTAATGATGCTTACTTGATGTGTGCACACAATGCGATTGTCCAATTCCAAAAAAAAAGTCTGTTAAAACAGAAATAATTAAAATCGTGCGTACATTTTTTTGGATGAATGCACCAGACGTGCAAATATTTTCACACCTTTTCATTTTTAATTTTCGCTGTTTGTTTAAAATAATTAATAAATGATTAATTCAAGCAAAGTTGAATAGAAAAACAAATTATAAAAAAATTCTAACTTTGTACAGTCACTTCCAAAAAAAGTCCTCCATATATATGCCGGCAAATTATTGATATTTTGTTAAGTAATTTGTTAAACCGTTTTCGGTTCAAAAGATATTAGTTTAAATGTGGATTGAGATCTCAAAAGCATAACAGAAACATTCAACCAAAAATGAGTAACTTTTATGTAGCTACAATCATTTTCAAAAGGGTTGGGACAGGTGCCGAAATTGAATTCAGAAAGGAGATTTGCATGTCCCTTTCTAGATCTGCCCATGCAGAATTTCGTCTGCCTCTGTGGTTAAAAGATTAATGCGAAAAATAGACTCTTATACTTATATATAGAATTCAGGATCCAGGATTATAGAGAAGATACAAGACTTAAACTCAAGTAAATTTAAAATCTTTTGTGTGAACATAATTATTTAAAATAGAATAAACATATAAGTTGAATTATTAATTAAAAACATTACAAATGCATGCAAGAATCGGCAATTGATATGTATATTACCGACACGTAGTCACAGCCGCATGCCTGTAGGTCATGTCTCATTGTTCAGGTTCTGGGTTTACTAATTTTCACAGTACTTCAGCTAACTTTTTGGCCAAACAAAAAATTCTCACGAAAAATAGATGTTTGGACTTATGCCTATAATCATAAATCGTCCATTCTCATGCGACAATTTGTATTATATACCTACTAGCATGGTTGTGAACTTTTATCTTCTGTTATACATGACTTTGAGGTACATCCGTATATTTATAATCTACATATTAATTCGTGTATCTATCAAAAACTGCAACCAATATAAAGGTTTATAACTAAAATTATTTACCGATTACAGGAGTTCTATTTAGCTTTGCCATTTGCCAATTTGGAAATGTCTAAGATTTCCGGTTCTTTTATGTTGGATTGCGACATTTAGAGGCTGTTTATACTCCTTTTGAAACAATTTCCAATATTTACCTTGGAGCATTGTATAGCAATTCTAAAAGTTATTAATGTTGATTTATGCCCACCCAGCTTTACAAATGGCTTAAATAGAAATTTGACGATGACGATTATCAAATTCCATCTAACATTTCGACATGTAAAAATTTGACATATATATAGCTACCGTACTGTAGTTTGGACTCTCGCGGAAATTTTTTACTGAAAATGACTTGCTCGATCGAAATCTGGTTAACACTATCATCCATGCACCGGACATCAGTGTGTTTTGCCAGCAAACACAATAAGTATACCGAGGCTTTTGCAACAAGCATGGAAGAACTCTGCTCAAAAAACCGCCTTGAAGATGGTCAGAGATCATTGACCTCTGATATATACTGTCTGTCGTACATGAGAGAGAAAACTGCATATTAGCCTATCGATGAGATTTACAAGAGTTTTATTTTTAAATGCTTTTTATTGAGTTTCAGAATTTCAGCAACACATGGAATTAAACTTTACATCTAGTTCTACTGTTTAATTCTTTTAGATATATAGTTGCTGCATGTTTCCATACCTATAAATGTAAAGAAGGATATATGCATCGTTTAGTTATGTTCAAACGATTATTTGGTTGATTCGACGAGTTTTATTACTGATTTAGTTTTAGTACTTTTAGATTTATCTTAATGCTCGCGTTTACAATGGCAATTGCCCGCGATTTCCCTTTTTTATAGAGATGCAAACGAGTAAATTGTTCCTGTTAACGCTCGGATGTTTAAGACTTAAGTGCCCTTATTTGAATATAGGTAACTTATCCACTTGTACTCACTCCCTCGAAAGTAGAATAAAGTTGCATAAAAAATGACAAATATTGCTATTGTAAACAACGGGCCTTTTGTGCATGTAGCTATAGTATATATTTTTCATACCTCACTCAGACTTTGAAACTGATACATTTGCACACATTTTCATAATCTGAAAAAAATAAATGGAAAATATCGATCGATAGTATATGCAGTGGAAAACAATACTTTATATACTAGCTGTATACCAGCAAACAATACCAGCAAAAGGTACTGTATATATTACGAAACATGCAAATTTGTTTTGTGCTAAAACGTTCACAACTAAAACGAATGTTTTTTGGACAACTCGACTGAACCAGCACTCACCTGATGATGCGCCTTTGCAAAGTTTGTCGATAGCGTCTGACAACTTTCCAAGCCAATACTTGTAGTCTACTTTAAACAGGAATCGCTTTTCATCCTCGCTGATGCTAAAAAATTCATAGACCTTCAAGCAACCCTGGTTATGTATTGTTAAGCAAATTCATCGTTCGAAGCAGGCACGGGCAGAAATTATCGACATATAAAGCTATCGGCTTTAGGATCAATGATCAGTAGTTAGGACATCTTACAAGGTAACTGGATAAGGTTGCTATTAAAACGATTTGATGGTTTCTGATGAAGGGGCTCTGCTACGAAACGTAATAAACTATATTTTTCTACACACTTTAGTCTGATATTTTCTTTTTGATGTCCGCATGATGTTTTATAAAAGGTGGAAAATATATTACATATTCCTTCTAAATTAAAAAATAGGCATTATTTTACTTTTCATCGCCGAGCATTCCAGCAATATCAGTGGCGGCGTCGAGACAATGACAAGCTCTTGTGACTATCTGATGCGAATCTGTACAATAGAACAAATACGGAATAAATTTCTATACGGTCACAAAATTTAATTAGAAATTAACAAAAATGTTTACTAAATGCTTACTCCAATGTGTGTGCATGTATGTGTGGCGTTTTAGGGGAAGGATGGCGGTATATAGAAAGACATATAGTGCGGAAGAAAATGACACAGGCATGCGCCCCTTTAAAAATACAAATTAAGCTACATAAGCCTATATATTTCGACGAGGAAATTAAAACTTACCTCCTAGCTTTACGCATGCGCCTTTGGCAAGACCAACAACCTTCATGAGAGTTTCCTTGTTAAAGAAGAGTCTTTTCTCCCTAAAATAAAAAGCGTGTCCATGCATTAACCGTTCTCGTGAAAAACGTGTCAGATGATAACAATAGGCTGATTTGAACAGAAGATTTCGTCCAATGTTCATGCACATCTGATTCATGGAGATATAAGTTGACTAAAACTGCATGCATGCATGATGCAACTGTATCTCATCGCGAACACAAAAATGAATCGCTATATATGCATGAGTCTTCCTCTATCGAAGACGATCCAGTGAAGGCTGAACTGTCAAAACTTGTAACTGGACAAGCTCCTTACTTGGATTCCTCGACTGGTAATGCTTGCGACAAGGCAAACAGTCCAAAGACCACAGCAACTGCAAAGTATTTCATCGTTGTAAAAACGTTGACCAACTGATTTCTTCAAGTATTTTCAATGCGAATGGTAAATGCTCCTAGGAACTTGTGCACATACAAGTAATTAACGGTTGTATTTATACTCTTCGCTAATCTTTTCGGCATTTCCAACGAGACGAAGTCCAATTAATGGTGTTTTCTCGCTGTACACAAATTTACAGGCTATCTTGCGAAACAGGGACTGTTAAAACAGAAATAATTGAAAATCGTGGGTACATTTTAATGAATTTACAAGACTTGCAAATATTTTCACATCTTTTGACTTTTAATTTTTCGTCGTTTTTTCAAGATAATTATGAAATGATTAATTTGAACGAGATGAGAGAGAAAATTAAACTATACCCTTTTTTCATGTACTTTACACAGATATACAATGTCTGCTTACTTTATATTTTCTCTTGATCTGAGTTGAATCATTACGTTTGACGAAGGAGAACGCTTCCTAATCGTGACGTCACGGCTGGATGCTAGGCCGTTTTGAGATTTTTGTGTGGCATTTGCCTCGCTTTCGTATTTTTGCGTTTGCTTCGCCTGCAGGATTTCGTGTCGCGTCCTAATTTCACGTGCTTTCCGTATTTTGCTGTTGTTTAGGAGTTAGGACCGGGCAATTGGGCTTTCGTATTCGCCTGTTTCATTACGAAGTTATCAGGAGTTATTTTGATTTTGAAGTGTTTGAAATAACAGTGAGGATTCTTATCAAAGCATCAGGAATCTATCTTGCAGTGTTTTAACGATGAGAAATCTGATTACCGAACGCACTTGCTATGATCTTTGATTATACTTCTAGTTTTAAGTCTTACTTACGCGTATATACTCGAATTACACAGCGTGTTTCGAAAAAAGTAGCCTCTACTGAAATCATTCTTTTGTCGTGAATGTTTATAATTCGACATTTTTTGCTTGGTCTTAATTTTTTGGGGACGCATGCAGCAGAAAATCTTTTGTTGTAGCCAAAAATTTCGTTTGCTTAACAATGTATACGTTTTATTGACCAAGCATATATGCTTGCAATGCTTACAAAGACTCGTTAAACCCCGAGTTACCAAACTGAATTCAAGAGTATTATTCTTGAGGTTATCGAATTTACATTTGGATTTGTGTCTTGCCTATAGTAGTTACAAATCAAAATTTAATCAAAATCTATAAAAAAGCTGATGATGAAATTTAATGTTTTAAAACAAATGATTGCTGGTTATTTTCAGCTATAGCTGGCTAATTTAAAAATCGTTGTGTATGAACATATATTTTATTCAAAATAAACATCGGGGTAATAAAAAAATTAAAGAATAGAATATAGAACTGTACAAAATGATTGTAACGCGCACTGATATAACGCAGCCTTTTTGTCAAACAGGAACTTGTTTTAATCTTCCAAATTAACCTAAAAGAATAGAACTACAAATATATGTACAAATGATAGGTACATGCATGCAGTATATTCATCATTATAGGACCTAGATTTGAGTCTTTTTGAAGTTTTAAAATAGTTGGACGTTATATATAAGCTTGCTTGCTATGGCACGAACGCATTAAAACACAACTTGCAAGATGAATTATGCAACACAGCTAAATAATCAGTAAAGATGCCTCATTTAAACGGGTTCATAGCAATGATTGCGTATAATTAAAAAGCGTTAATCGATAAAACAAAGTCAATATGAAGTATAATCATGCAGTCATAGCAGCACTGCATCTTTACATTCTTCTTGTATGGTTTTTTAAGTTTCATAGCCAAAACTACATATGAGATTAGGGTACATGCAGTAGTTATATTTAACCATTGTAAATTTCCAAGTTGTTAATGCTGAGCAGGCTACTTTCCGTACTCTTTAATATTTATCTTTCACGATTGCGCCATTTTACTATTAATTTGAGCGGTTCTAAAACAAGGATATCGCTAAAAGGTTGTTTAAACTTCTTTGCATGAAGTAATAGCCAATATAGGCAATGTTTACTGAATCCTGAAATCTTAGCTAGATAATTTTCTGCAAAGCATTAAAGGTGTATACAAAGCTGTGAATCTATGTTTTTTTCAAAATTCTTCATAATTATTATAAAATAAAAAGACACGCTAAATGATGTACGACAGTAGCATATGCATGAAAGCTGGATAGCCCTATAATCGTTCCGATCTAATAACACAGGATTTTACGATCAGCCAAACCTATATACGAGGGGAGCTTTTATCCCCAGCTCTATGGTGGGGGAGAGCTTAATAAATTCTACCTCAGAGCCGGTGGGGAATGAAGGGAATGTTGTGTATCTAACAGGCAAGGGACTGACCACGCACAACGAATCTTTCCAATGAGGTTTTCCCAACAGCGTAAATTTGGTAAAGCTCAAGTCCAGTCCCCGAAAGTTGGGTAGCGAAAATCTTCGAAGCTACTGATCGTAATATAAAAACTGGATTATTTGTCTACTATGCATTGCAATCACGAGGAGTAACAAGACTAATTTCAGAGATCCTTCACAAGTCGCAAGAATCGTACGTCAGCCACCGAGGACTGTACTGATCGTGTGCAGAAACGTTGGTTTTAAAACTATATAGCTGAATCGTTTTAAAGACATGAATACAGGGACGCCATGAACGATGCAAGGGCAAAGGGGGCAGATTTTGGTGAAAGGCCACTCCTGTAGTGGCGCATATATATATATATATATATATATATATATATATATATATATATATATATATAAAGAAAACGAGTTTAATGTTTTATATATATATATATATATATATTATATATATATATATATATATATATTATATATATATATATATATATTAATATATATATATATATATAAATGAAAACGAGTTTAATGTTTTTAAATGCTTTTTATTACGTTTAATCATGCATTCACATCGTCAACGTTTGCTCTATATATAATCTAAATAGTTTCTATACTCATTTTCTTGTTAAATCTTTTAATTTCGTCGCACGTGCACATTTTCACCTACAAATTTAAGAGAGTACAGTAGTGTTTTAGCTTCGCACTTAACGTATTCAAATTGTTTTAACTGATTTCGAAGTTTTAATTTTGCCTTTAATGGCTTTATACGAACTCACGCATCAAACGAACGTTCACCTGTCTGTCGATTGTCCTATTGCCTAAGGTAATATATCATGTGGGGAGCACTGACAAAAACCAGCAAGTTCAGCTGAAAGAGAAATTAATTTGTTTTGAATTTTAATTTAATTATATACAATTGTTCAATATAATTTCAACTTGAAAATTTAAAATGATTTTTGTTTAATTGTTGAAGTACATAAACTAAAATGAAATGTTTCGTTTAAAACAGGTGTAATGATGACGGATTCGCACTTAAGCTTGCATGTAGTTATGCTCGCTTAACAAATCATGTTCCATATACAGTTCCAAGCGATTGTTGCCTTTAAAGCAACGAAAAAGTGCTTGTGTCCTTGTGAAAAAGCCTCATTTTTATGCCTGCAGAAAGGAAATAGCGACACTTAATTGGACTGGAAGTTTATATACTTACGTGCAGGATTGCTGCAAAGGTCAGTAGCCACCTTTTTGATTATATCTATCATCTGCTTCGGGGTTGGCAAAAAGAATCGTTTCTGTTGCACTTCGCTAAAAATTTATTACGTTTGTTCAGTATACATTCACATTTATCGGTTACGATGTTAAAATGAGCGCTTAATGTGTCATTAATGTGTCACATCAAGTGAATGAGAATCACAGTGAAGTTTCCAGTTAAAAATTCCAGTTTCTTTCAGCAAAAGACTGAAAAGAGCATGTTGATATCGGCATGCAGGTCGCCATATATCTTTCTGCTTGTAATGAACTTATAGCTAATATAACTGAAAAAAAGATTTTGCTTAATTTGATGTCATTACATATTCTCATATACCATCATAACATCACGATGTATTATATTTCGTTGTCAAAATGGTTGTCCATGTCAATATATATTATTGCAGATTGCAATGCAAAATCAAAATACCACAGAAAAAATAACAGTAGCTATATTTTCACCTCTCGTCCCCGAAAGGAAGACCACCTCCTGTGAGAGCATTGAAACAACCACATGCTTTTTGGATCAATTTATCCGCTAAAAGAAGATCACCAAATCGCCATTATTATATACGATAACTAAAAAGTCTAACTAAAAGGTACAGGGGTCGTAAAAAAATGTAGCCCCCCCCCCATAAAAAGTACCAGCTTCAGTTGTTTGAATTATATGAGAAGAAGGCACCAACAATTAACAAATCATGTCCGTTTGTCTATATTCAATCAGTTTTTAATCCCGGCCTGCGAGTCAAACTTGTGATTTAGAGCAATAGAATGTCAGAGAAACACTACACGAATTGTTTTCTAGACCCCAAGATAGGCGCTAAAACCCAAGATAGGCACTTCTTAGCAGAAATTCAGTGAAAAAATAACTTCGGATCTTCGAATCTTACGGTTGTTCCCAAGGACTTGGCATGCAAACTTGGCCCCATTAATACCAAGATCGATTATTCCGGGAATGAATCTTTTCTCCCTAAAATGGAATATGTTCGAGAACAATTAGGGAGACAGAACTGGAATGTGAAGCTGCGGTGGGGTGAGGGAGTTATTGCTCCTTTGCAGTCACAACATTCTCCAATGTAAGCACGATTTTTGCGGCATGCTTAAAGGGGTATATTTACACTTATGTAAAATATATAAGGAGAGTTATATAAAAAACATTTATCGGAAAATCCCATGCTCGAAGCGCCCAACATGCACTACAAGTCTATAAGACAAAGTTATACTGCAGGTGATATAAAATTCCTTACTCAGATTCCTCCACTGGCATTGCTTGCGATAAGGCAAACAGTCCAAAGATCACAGCAACTGCAAAGTATTTCATCGTTGTAAAACGTCCTCGTTGACCAACTCTGACTTCTTTTAAATGAGTTTAATACGAATCGTTCAGGCTCCAAAGAACTTGTGCTCAAATGACAACGATGGAGATGTTTTTATATGCTACGAAGAGCTCCTTTGATTTATGAAACGAGCTACAATGCCATTGGTTCTTCCTCGTGGGTACTCAAAGCTATTTCTAGAATGTGCTTCTGTTAAAACATAACTAATTGAAAAATGATGAGGTAAGTTTTCGGATGTGTATACAGACTCACAAAATATTTAAACACCTTTACTTCATCCTTTAAACAGTTGCTTCAGAAATATACAAAAAGTTATTTCGAATAAATTAGGTGTTTATATGTAATACAACCTCGCAAGCCAAACTTTTCTATATACACACGCTCCACGGCCTATACGCTGTGGTTTATACTTTATAATATTGCCATGAGTGTAAACCTAACATTAGAGTGTTTATTCGGTAATTTTCTGTGAGAGTTGTCCCTAAAAAAATCTGGGAAAATATACGGCTTTGCAAGTAAAAAAACAAAAGGTTTTTATCATCATAAATGTTCTTTTTGTTATTGTATAATTGTTGGCATTCGGTTGTAAAGCTTGAAATAAAACATGCATAAATCACTGAAACCTGTAATGCACACAAAATGATATTATACATAAACAATAATTTTCCAGTTATAATTATTGTACTGTTATTGCTTATGTGTTAAATTGCGCTATAAACACGGCGTTGATGTTTAATAATTCCCCGTGACATTTTAATAAAAAATGCATGGCTGTTCATACATAACATATTTTTGAGGTAAATTGTGATTTTTTTAATGAAGTTTGAAAGCGCACTCAGTTAATATGCAATCTTGTTAAAGAATCGCACATTTTAGCTTATTAGGACTTCGAGCGTATTTTCTTTCAAACAAAGGGGGTTTGGGAGCGAGGCAGTGTTGAATTTGTACCCAGACTACCACGGGTTATGACGTCATTAAAATCTTAAACACGTGTAAGAAGGCCTGGGGACTAAGCTGGTGGGGTTAATTTTTGAACACCCGGACGATTAGCAAACAATGCACTTTTTCACAGCATTATATAAAATTATCTATGTTCTAAATACTAAATCATGCTAACTGGGAATTGTTAAAAAAATTCATAACTTTAATTATTGCTAAGTTAACATCAAAAGCCTTCTATAATTACCTCATATATACAGCTTACAAGTTATATTTGCTGTTCATAATTAGCTTGTAAATGTTTGTAAAATCTAATTGCCTTTTGTAAAGCTTGAAGACCGTATTAGTTTTCTAAATTCGTCAATCCTGAACGCAAAGGCCGCATATTGCGTGATAAAGGTGAATTATCAAACGGCGATGGTTTCTCGAAGGAGTTGAGAGTGCTTTTGCAGATCTACATTCATTATTTGATCCAACTCTGAAACACTGCAGGTTGAAGGCAATAAAATATACGCGAGCGATATTTGTCTTCGCTAATGGATCATAATCAGTGTTTACAACCTTTCAAATTGGGCCGTTTTATAAGCTGATAAAATAAAACTGCTTCAACACAAACAAATAAAGGTAATTTTCAATTAAAAATTGCAACAGGCAATATGTGACAGCATGTATCTAAGTTGTCAACTCGAAATCGAGGCTCGGTGTAGCAGTGTTATAGAATCAGGCCTTTCGAGTGATCAAGTATTTTTTTGCAGAAAAAAGCGATACCTGCGAACTAGTGTGATCAATCCTATACGGGGCATTGCAATGCTCACAAAAAGTAAACTATTGATGAAAAAAATATGCACTTCTGTGTACCCAAATATATACGAGCTTTGAACCTAGTGAAATTTTTTTATAAATAATCTTGATATATATAGATATAATACATTTAAAAACATAAATACAATTATTTTACTGTGTGACAGCATTGCTATAGCTAAAAGTATGAATACATTAGCTTTCTTGGAGTAATCAAATGATTTGATGTAAAACTAAGTATGCATAATACGTATAGACGTACGCAATTTTGATTGCACACATTTGTGATACGAACGCGCAATGTTCCGATACTGTAGAGACCTTTCAATTGGCTTTAACCAATACTGCCAACCGCTAACGATAAGTTTCAAAGCACAGTTTTTTGGCATAATTAATCTCACAATTAGCCACAATTTGCCTCGATTTCCTAGCTTCAGAAATCTGGCATTGGTTGCGAAAATTTAAAATGAGTTCTGTTGTTTGCAATTATAGAGGTCTATCGTAAATGCCGAGCTAAAGGTCACTACTTTCACTTGAGATCGATCTCTCCTCTGTTATGTTTCCGTGCGTATTCAGTACGAGAGAAGTATATCCTAAAATGTTGTCACCGGATTGATCATGTGGGACGATACTAGTCGAATGTTCTCGTTAAAACGTTTGATGTGAACTTGATCTCGATTTTTATAGCTGCGCGTGCATGCGCGATTTCACCCCTTATCCCCAGTATAGTCGGTATCGATGTATTTTACATGCATCCCTGTTTAGTGAAGTATACGAATATTTAGAACAGGCCAGTGTTATTACTTTGTCATATCGGCAGCTAGAGTAAAAGATTTTATTGTACGGATGTGTTTGCCTGTCTTGGTAGTATATGATTGGTATATGATGTGTACGTGTAAGTCTCTTGGGCTTCATGCTGATGCACATAACATGCAATCTTATTCTATTAACATCTGTACATTGTTTATATACATGGAGTAATAATTTCACTCAACTCACGGCGACCATCAGATAAGGACTCCTCAGGACTCAGAGCACTTAGTCTCTTTCAGGAGCATTACGCGTAGAATTACGGATCGACCTGCAGCAAAAAATACTCTAGACATTAATCTCTCATTGGCAACCCCCCTGTAATATAGTCTACTTACTTCCCTTGACAGAACTTCATCCGATTGCAACCCCCCCCTGTAGAATACCACCCTATTGCTAACCGCCCCTCACAACAAGAATAACCCCCCCTAAAACCTTACTGGTAACCCCCACGATGAAATACCACCCCATGAACTGCCAACCCCCGTGACCAGCCGAATGACTGGCAGCACCCCCTTATGCCATACGTCAAAATATAGTCAAACTGTCAACCATTCCCCCCGTAATATACCACATCACAACACTAACCTTCGCTTATATCGACCATCTTTGACGGACGACATTTCCGGAGTCTTGAAATTATGATCATCCTTTAAGTCTGACACATCTAAAAGACAGTAGTATCGCGTCAAAGATATCTCTCTCATGAAAATAATCAATTGGAAACTCCTCAAGAATATGGACAATGATTTGAATTCACCCACCATCGCCGGAGGACGACGTGATATTATCTAATGATCCGAAAGCCTCTCTCGACTTTGAGTTACCTCTACACGAAGAAAAAAATAAAACAGAAATGCATGAATCTTTGATTTACTTCCGATGGCTATGCAGTCGTGAACAGTTGCTATTTATACTTCAATCTATGCCCAGACCTCGTCCTTAGAAGCGCGTAGTTAAGGACGAATATAATTATGCATTGTTTACTGAATTTACGACGACAAAATCCAACATAATGATGAAGACGATGATGCTATATCAATAGTCTTTTTAGGCGATCAAAGTTTAGAATTATAGTTTCTATTACCTCGATAAAAATGGAGTCTTCTCATTCTGCATTCTTTTTCCTGTTAGATGTGGTGTTGAAATCTGGTTTAGACTCTATAATGAGAAAAAAACCTACAAAATCCGAAGGTATTTCATCGGTGAATTACGTGTATTTCTCTGCAGATGAAACTCTGTCGAAGGTGAAAAGCTACGAAGAGGTTTTGTGATGGTTTTTTGAAACACAGAAGTGTTCAGCTTAACTGTGTTTATGATTCTTTCTTTGCAATGAGACAATGTCGTCTTTTATTGTTAGAACCAAGAAATCACAAAACGTATTTATAGAAAACGAAATATGAAATATACTTGTTGCGAAGACACTCGCAATGGTAACGGTTCACGATGGTAACGGCTATGTTCTTATGGGACGAAAATATAAATGGATGTACTATTATACCTCTAAGAGTCTGGCCGATAGATTACTGGCGTCTTTAGTGTCTTTCTATACAAAATATACAAGCAACGAAGCATCGGGTGAAACAAAATAAGGAGTATTTGATAAACAATTACTGAACGAACTTACTTTCCGTTCTTCGGCTGTTGTTTTAGCATCGTTCAACTCCCGCGTTAACAGCTTTACTTGTTCTTGAAATCTGCAATTTGATAGAACGGTAAGAATTGAAGTATCAGTCAAACTGATGTTCGCTGATGTTTTTATTTGTAGTTTGCTATTGTGTTTGTTTGTTTGCTAATTCATCTGTCTGTGTAGCTTCTTAATTTATTTATGTTTGTTTTTCTTTTTGCTTGTTTGTCGATTTGGATATTTCTTCTCCAGCTTGGTGATTTGTTTTTTGTTGATTTATTTTGTTTTCTCGAAAGGAAGCTTGTTTGTTTATCTGTTTTCTTGTTTATCTTTATTGCCCCCTTGTTTACCTGGCGTATTTATAATGTATACGATCTCGCTCTTCCTGATCACCCTGCATGAGAACAGAGATGAAGAGAAAATATTCAAAACCTGAATCTCATTTATTCAGCGCTCAAACCGCTCAAAACAATAATCCTGCCGCTTTTACCCTGAAATTATACAATTCATCAAGTAGTTTTTGATTATCAATCAGGGCCACCATACTGTTTTGTAATGCTTCAGTTGCCTAAAGAGGGAGAAAGAAACGTAAGGCTCTACACAGTTGTTCTCAACTGAGAACAACTCTTCAATTCTGTTTTCACTTTAGTAAAGCTTATGGCACAAAAACTACAATAACCACCAACTCATACGACACGTTTTATTAATCTTTTACACGTTCTTGTGATGGGTAAACTCTCCGCAGGATTGAAACTCCTCGGGCCAAAAATATACACATAAAATTTATCCAGTTGAATGATAAATAAGCGTTTTTACCTCGTCTAGACTTTTGGTGAGCTTTGAAATCCTCCTTTGAAGAGCGGCTATTCTGTCCTGGTTTTCCCGCGCTTTGTCTTCAAGATCTGGAACGATAAATATTGAAAAGAGAACATCGTTTCAACAGTCGTTTCACCACGTGAAGACTTAACGCTTGACGATCCTCTCAGATAGACTTCGAGTACCTTTATTTTGACGTGAAATGTCCTTCAAAGTTGCATTTTGCTTTTCAAGTTCGACGATATAATGTGCTTTGTCTTCATCGGCTCTCTTGAAGGCATTCTTAAAAATCATGGAAAAGGGGAAAGGATGAAATGAAGAATGGCTGGTCATGTATGCATTCTTTCCACGGTCAGTTGGTCGGGCTATTCGCTGTTGAGCTCTGGGTATCTCAGAGTTAATGGTTCACTGGTAAGAGGTCTGAATTAGCCGTTAATCTCTACCATACGGTGGTGATTAAACAGCATCTAAAGTGTTTAGCCTTTGTTGTTTAACCAAAACTGGAAGAAGGTCTAACCTTTTGTTCGTCTGTGGCGCGATTCAAAGAGTGGTGACATCTTCGGACCTCAGTTTCCAGCTCGTTGATCCTGCATGGAGAGTGAAAATGGTTATGTACAGAAAGAGTTTGGGTCATATATTGTGGATTTCCTTACGTACACAAGCTATTCCTAGCTAGCTTACCTAGAAATTATATTTGCACAGAAAGTTCTTAAACATATTTTATTCCTTACCTCGTTTGATCTTGTTCTCTCAACTCGTCCTAGAAAAAAAGACGAAGCCACTCGTTATATGTTCAATTTTGTTGCTTCAGACAAAACTAGAAGATGTCACCAAAGATTAGGTTTTATAAATGGGACTACCTTTGTCTTAATCTCGTGCTGAAATTCGTCGTATTTCTGCTTCAAGCGAGTTTTCTCTTCTGTAAGTCTAGAAAGAAAGTACATGGTAATCATCATAGAAGTTTAGGACGAACAAAACCCTCGTTCTTTCCCGGGGGATATACACTAACCTGTTAATCTGGGTTCTCATATTTTCAATTTCAGTGGTGTCTTTTTCCTGTTGTTTACGTAACGCCTTAACAGTGGACTTCTCGTCCACGAGCTGCAACTAAAGAGAATTGATTCAAAATGAACTCCAGTGAAATGGGAACGTTTTTGAATTTTGAACTGTACCTTTATATCTGCTAATTTCTCTTCGAACTTTTCTTTTTCTTTTTGCAGATTTTTTTGACTTTCTTGAAGTTCATCAACCCCTTCAGCCTTAAAAAGATTACCATCCAAACTCTACGTCAGTCTTATGCCTCGTATTTAAACAAACCACGCACGCGGTTATCACGTGAACATATCCTCAAAAAGCAGAAACTGTAAATGTCAACGCACTCGACTTTTGACCATTTTTTCCTCCGCATCTTTCACTGCAAGATTGCATTCCTCCCTCTCCTGACGAGAAAACGATTTAAGTTTTAGAAAAAAAGTATTCTGGAAAGAAACTACAGTCGCGGCAATATGGAGTTACTCATTTCCTCAAAATTATCAGTTCATCAAATATTTTAAGGAAACTCCTTGATAAACTCCTAACTTCCGGTTTCGAATTGACCAATCCTATTGGATAATAAAATAAACAGACGCGTATGATTGGTCAATTGGAAGTTAGGAGTTTGTCAAATATTTGATGAACTCCATAAGCCACTGATAAATTTGAGCAAATGAGTTGCGCTCGGAACGCGACTATAATTCACGTCGTATGAGAAACCTACGCGCTGTAATTGACGATACAATGATGCAACTTCATCTTTGCATTTCGCTTGATCTTCTTTGGCTTCGTCAAGAGCATTCTCCAGTTTCTATTGAAGCGACAGAAAACAAATTCATGAAACAAAAGTGCACCACTGATTCATCGAAGGCCCTGACGCATATTGTTCTTCAATCTGAACGCTCGTAATGTGTCCACTCGTTCGCATCTACCAAAAGGCGAATATCGCACATAAAATAGTGGCAATTATTTCAAGTGTATGTGGGCCTTGCCTCTCTTAAGGTTTGCTCTTCTTTCAGTTTTATTTCCAGGCGAGATTTCTTGCCAGCGATGTCACGAATTCCTTCCTAAGGAGCGAAAAAAAAAACGATCAAACAACGTGAACTTTCGAGAATCGCAGATTGACATCGTTGGGCGAATATAAATACATGCAGTCTCTGTACTCTGTCTAACGTCGGTCAATTTTTCTCCTTAATACAAGTAGAGCACCGCCCGTTCATGGCAGTGAATCAACCTAATATATAATACTTCTTTGCACCTTCAATTCCTCATTGGAATGAGAAGTGGCGTCCTCCAATCTCTCTAGCTTCTGAAATGAAAAGAAACCGTTTAAGAATGATCCTTAAACGACCCTCAGTTCTTAAGGAACCAAAGAAAAGTTATAAAAAAAGCCAGGTCTATACCTGCTGTCGCTCCCTCAATAGTTTACATTCCTCTTGACAGGAAGAGAGTGTCTGTAAACAACAACACAAACATTGATCGCGAGGTGATACAGGTCTCGTCGGTGCAAAAGTAGACTGGCTATAAAAGCAACTCGTTCAAAGCTTTTTGATTTCCAAAATTGAATTAGAAAGAACGAAAAAACTTTGTCTAAATATATTGGTGAAAATAGGGGAATCTGAGAGAAATATTTTAATTGTTTGTGCTAATAATAATAATAATACCTCTTGTAATTTCAAATTCTCATCTAAGATGGTGTTCAAACGTTTTTTCAAGGTCAAAGTTTCAGTCTCGGTCTAAACAAGAAAGATGGACGATCAGATTTGCTTAGACAGTCCAATATAATAGAGTATGATTCACAACGGAGAGGATGAAACAAGAGAAAAGCCTGTCAAAACAACCTCTTTTGATCTTCTTTCCAACTCCGTCTGAAGTCTTTCCCGGTCGTCCTGGGAAATGATCGATCGAGTGTGTTCAAAAATTCAACTCAAAAACAGATACAAACAGACGTTAATGAGTATAAGACACAAACTTGCTAACTTACTTGAGTATTCTTCAGGTCTCTCTCCAAAGCATGCGATTTAGTCGTTCCTAATAGATAAAATGTAGTGAATTCTTAATGAAGATAAACAAGGCTTGTTTAACTTAATGTTTATGAACTTGTTTAAGTTCATTTGCATTCGATTCGGCACATGAGAAGTTCGACGTCTGAAACGTGCCCAACTGATGCTGCTGTCTGCATGTCCAAATTTTTTTACAAAGAAACTGTGAATACCTTCATCTTGATATTTCTTAAGTTTTCTAAGCTCTTCCTGTGTGAAAATGATAAGAAAAAGTAATTTTCATGCAGAAACATCGAATCGTAGAGCAATAAAACAGGAATATAGGAATTCATTCACTGCACAAATACGAATGTTTTTTACCTTAGTGGACTCGGATTCCTTCTTGTGTCTTTCTAATTCTTTCTCACTTTTCTTCCACTTTATTTTATACCTAAAGCGTAAAGAATAACAGCATGTTTATGAAAAACAAGCGTTAAAAACACGAGAACCCACACCAGTCCACAAATAGAGGAAACTCATATTTAACCAATGGCAATAGTTAGCCCAGTTACCAACAATTTTTCATTGGGAACTTACTCTTTGATCATTTCCAAAGCTCTGGTTTTCAAATCTTCTTTCTTGTCTTCGTTTTCTTTGGCAATTTTCTCCTGTTCTTTTGCACTTTCCGTCTTCTCAGCGAGCTCGCGATTTCTCTCCCGCAACTTTGAAAAAGAAATAAACAAAACAAGAAGATATAGTCCGAGCATTATCAATAAATTTTTGACAAAAACCCCACGCATGTCAAACCTTGTCATTCAATCGATCAATTTGTTCCAGTAGCGAGTCCCTTTCTTGCTCCTCGCTTTCAATTTTCTTAAATAAAGTATCCATGCGGTTCGTCAACCGTTCACGGAGTAATTCGCTCTCTTCCAATTTCGCCTTGCAATCTCGCAGGCTCGCTATGATCGTGGATTTCTCCTGGCCGCTAATCTTAATCTCTTCATTTAAATCTTCAATCTACAAATAGATTCGGTTTAAGCAAGCTATTCAAAGGAATAACCTCCTTCATTTTTTTCCTTCTTCATTGAGATCGTACCTGCTTTAACATGGTACCTCGTCCACCCTCGGTCCATTCCAGTCTCTTCGCGGCACTGGATAAGTCTTCTTCGAGCTAAAATGAAAACATGCAGAAACGATATTGAACAATCATCACCAGGAGCCAAGTCTTTACGGAACGAAACTTTAGGTTAAAAAGCCAACCTTTTTCTTCTCGCGTTCACAATCGTCCAGTTTATCATTGAGGTCTTCCACCTTCTTCGTCAGACGTCTTTCCCTTTCTTCGTCTTCGCTTTAAAAGGAAAACAAGAAAATGAAATGATTTCGTATTTCAAGATTTCTGAAGCGATTATTACCATCAATATATACAAACTTTCGCCGCGAAGAAGGTACTGATCAATGTATGCTAGCTAGCAGTGGCGTAGCCACCCTGACGATTTTGTCCCGCTATTGTATGCTACTGTATGCTAGCTACTGCATAGTAGGAATATATACCGAGGGAAGGTTGTTTGAAAGGCTAGAAAAACCAAATCTGCAAACCTTTTTATCTTTTTCATTTGTCTTTTTATTTTCTTCTCATTTGCACTTTCATTCATCAAGTTCTGTCGGTATAATTGCAATTAACAATGGCGCCATTTTTCATATCACTTTTATATTAAACTTTATTCAATTTACAGCCAACTTCTGGGGAAAATTTCCTGGTAAATATTTCAAGTTACCTTGACACTTTTCAATTCATCGAGAAGCTTTCCAGCCTCTTTTTTCTCCTTATTTGATAAACGCTCCTGGAAAATGAATAAAAACCAAACGCGTTGCCGTTTCTAAAGCTTACGTATTAGGGTTCATGTGAGGAAATGTTCTAAAAAGCTCATCTTCTATACACTCCAAGTGCTCACCTGGTCGTAAACTTGTCTCACTTTTGATTCAAGTTCTTCATCTTTCGCCTTCTTTTGACTGTCGCGTAGCTAAAAAATAGAAATGATGTGTGAAAGCTAGATCATGCTTTTGAATTTGATAGTGACGAGGGCCGCGGGGGCATACAAGACAACAAGTTGAAACAATATCCAATGAAAGGGAATATCAACTACAGGCATATTAGTGCTCAGAGCAGCATCGAGACAAGACCGAACTATAGGTGCTGAATTCTGTTGGGAGATCTTTCCATCGTCCCAGGTAACTGATGGCAAACCTTATCCCGAAGATCTTGGATTTCTCGCTCTTTTTCCAAAGTTAGTCTCACGCTTTCAGATAACAACTCTCTTTCAGCTTCTGCATCCTAATTAAGGAGGATTAATTGAGGTTGAATATTCCAATAAAATGGATTGTCACAGTATTTGGTGTTAAGAACTGCACTACAGTAACAAGCCCTAGAATAACTAGGTACACAAGTGCTTATCTTCCCAGAGAAACCGTAAAACGTTTGCGCAAAACTTGAGAGTATGAGTATGGGAGCAAGCTAACCTGCCTAGCGAGTTCCTCCACTCTTTGTCTCCTTTCCGCTTCATCACGAGCTTTCCGAGCTCGCTCTCTAAACAAACAATGCGAGAAAATATCAGTGGGGGTTCTTGGGGATGCACGGGGGTGTGGTCTTGCACTTTGGCCAATGCAGGTGCAAGATCGAGAGTTGGAGAAGTATTAAATCGATCCTGTTGCTAAGTTTTATAACAGCACTAAATTATAACAGTGGTATTACTACAGGGTCTTAGAAGGCAAGGATATGCACTAAGCAGTGCACACCACACAATTTCCAGGACAATCTCATGAAAACTTTCAAGAACCTACCGTTCAGACCATGAACCTCGTAAATCTATAGAAAGGCGTATCATTGATTGTTTAGTATTTTCTATTAAAAATGGTTTCAAGCATCAAAGATTTCAAGCCATATTATTTCCACTCACCATCTTCCACCCTTTGAAAAGAGTCTTCTAGTCTTCTCACCGCTCGGCGACTCTCGCTGCCTGACCTAAACATCCGAATACAGAACCATAAATTGGACCCGCAGCCACAGGAATCTCTAATGGTATTGGGAGAAGTTCCTATCTAGGTCTAATGGATTAGCTGTGTTTGTGATGATATGTTACCTTTCACGTTCCTCCCTGTCTCTCTCAAGTTCTTTGGCCAATCTTCGTTGTTCACCTTCTAACTTTTTCAAAGAATCATGAACATCCGCGTTTGTCTACAAAAAAAAAGAATGAAGAATGTTGTGTATTTTCCATTTCTACCTTGTAATGTACACAATGGTTGCATGATTTATCAGACACCCTTCAGCAAAATGCTGTCATGTAAATGTTCATCATCTTGTAAAAGGAGTCTGACTTTAGAACTTACCTCAGGGTTGCTCTGGTCAGCAAATCTTACCTAATTGAAATTGTAATGAGATTCATCAATACGATTCAAGCTTTTGAAAAGCTCTAGAAGTGTGGCTCGTATACAATTAATACCTGAGGCTTTGTTTTATCCTGTTGTTGCCTTCGTCGCCTCTGCACCAGCTCGGATGTGTTGTCAAGCTCAGATCGTAACTGAAATTTAGCAGTGATCAATTGCATGGTGAATGATCCAAAATAATTAATGCAAAAGAATCTGTCTTAACATGTATCAATCCAAGTCATATTATGAGAAATATTCAAATCATACTTTTCTAATCTCTTCATCTTGATCTGTGTTAATGTTCCGATAATGTTCGAGCATCCGATCCGCAGTTGTCAGCACTTCAGCCGTTGCTCTTAACGATGTCGTTAAATCCTGGACCTTGTCCACAGTGTCATTATCAAGCATGGATCTTCTCAGAGCAGAACTTCTGTAAGGCGATCGAAGATGATTGGTTCGTACAGATCTGCGCCTTGATGATTGAGGAATGTCTGTGTCTGCGTGCCATGAATCAGAGTCTGCCATGAGCATGCACAAGGCCAATCTCAAAACGACCTGGAAATTAGTAAAACCTAATGAAAAAAATAAAAGGTTTGGATGGTATGCTATTAATCAAAGCTGAATCTGTATTAATATACATTCATAGCAACCAGGAACATTTCTAAATATTCATAATATCTCATTTGTATCACTAAGGGTAGTGTTAGCTAACAAGCTTTGGTTCTTGTGTCAAAGTCATCACCTATGTGAAATAGTCCAGATGGAAATTTGTCTTTATTTTGTGTATTTCAATTGTCATTGATGATTGTCAAATTCTAATACAAAGCTTAAAAAAACCTGAATAATTTTATCACAAACATAATAATATCAATATCAATTTAAAAATCTGCAATTTCACTGTGTACTATCACTACTATGCATTGGTATTAAGCCAATATTCCTTTATTTACGTTGCACAATGTCAAATCATTTTGAAACATTCACAGTTGTAACAATGGCATTGAATTAATTCATATATTTTATAAACACTTGAGAAGATCGCGTGTAGTACAATATCGGTTTAAAAATAACGCTCGTCGGTTTATGAAAATACCACTTCAATAGCCGATATTCATAAGTTGTAATCATAGTTGGCAAACATACACACAACAGCACGCGAATGAACGTACAACCTGTCAAATTCCACCACGATAAAAAAGCTTCCCAAACACTTGAACTGTTTAAAAATTAATGCGTGCATTTCGAAAGGTAGATATTTAAACGAATTCAAACTCTCCGCGATACCTTATTCCACTTCGGATTTAAGGCTTTTCAAATCCAACCGTTGTTTCTTTTGAAATTAACGAGAAAACGAGCATAATATTGTTCGGCATCGTTGATTGATGACATGCGTTTTCAATTTAGCAAACACTCGCAGGGGATCGATAGATTTTTGCCTGATTTTCGGCAATCTTTAGCTCAAGACAATCCACGGCTTCGCCAGTAGTTGTATTCCACAATTTTTGCATGCTAAAAAGCCAAAATAACCGTTGGTAATCCCGGTTTATTTGCACGTGGCTTTGCTATAAAATTTCAAAATGCTACAAAAAATTGAAATCGCCGCTCCATGTTTTCGACTATTACGCATGCGTCGTACTATTAATAGAACCGAGCTTTTCCAAGCGACATGTGACTGCCATGTGATATTGAATTTTTTTATTATTTTAAACCTGGTAAATAAACAATCAAACCGTATGCCGCAAACAACTGTCAAATACAGCTTTCTACAGTGACACGGCAAAAAGGACTTCATGGTTTGAACATTATTACGTGATAATTTTTAGTATATTATTAACTCCGGAGACAACCGGTTTTGTTCGGCCAATATCACACTCGTTGCCATCACTCTAAAGCGGCTTGATGCTTGTCGAGCTTCGCCGAAGTAACTTGTGTTCAATGTTGGCTCATGTCAAATTCAATTACCAAAATCACGAAAAAAAAAGTGAAATGAAATCGTGCGTGCAAAAAAATATACACACATAGCTAGAAGCATCCATTTTTACACAATGGCTATAATCACAATGATGTACGAATAAAATTTAGTACAGAAATTCCTAATTTTACATTCATAAACTGAGCTCTACGTCTTTCGAGTGATGGAGTTTTATAGTGCGATCGATGATTTGATAGTGCGCTGGACAAGAAGGATGTAAACAAAACAAAACAGGTTTCTATCATTTCCTTGAAACGCTTCCAGCTCGGCATCTCTGTGACTTTGTGCTCGTTGAATATCGTTGAATATCGTTGATTTTTAGGACATACAGGACGTTGGTTGGAGAACTAAAAGCTTCGCATTTTGCGAAATAAAACATTATTGATGGCAAAGAGGTTGCGCATTCCAGAATTAGATGGTTTTCATGAGAAAAAAGGACGATTTGTGGCCATCTCCTCTGACCATCTTACGGCTCGTAGAGCTGGAGACACGTATGACAATGGGGTTTGTTTCAGCCAAAAACCTCTCAAACTTGGCGATGTTTTTCAACTACGGATTAACGAAATGGACTTAAAATGGGCAGGATCTTTGGTAAGACATTAAATGGGGGTACTAAAAAAAAGCGCAATAGGAGAACGTTTGAAATTTTTCGGGTTTTATCTATTACGAATGACGCGTGTGTTTTCATTGCATGCCTTCTCGAGTTCTGTATTAGGGACAAAGATCAACAATGGTATACTCAAGCGTTTTTCCGAAGCATATTAGGTCTGATTTTGATTTTAATTTGAAGAAAAGAAACGTAATTTACAATCCTAGTTACACGGTAATTGAACATGAAGGTTGAATTACTATTTAATAAGACAACGAACAAGTGTTATTAAGTAATGACACACCGTGAAATGAAGTCAGGTTCATGTACATTGTCAAAGAAAAAGATCTCTGATGCATAAAATAAGTGTCTGTAGAACTTTCCGAAAAGCTTTCCACATTTATAAAACATTCAGCGTAATATGCTGCGCAATTATATCTTATCAAGTTTTTGAATGGCACAATGTCCACTCAACGATCTTTATTCCGCTATCATTAACTTAAAAGTTTATTTTAAAATTTGTATAGGATGGGAATTCATGATGACTTTCACTGGGAAGCAATTTTGGGATTGCCAATAGCATATGAAGGGCTTTTCACTTGCCTTAAACCCAGGGTTTGTCGGCAAGTCGGTTTCATGGTCACAGACTTGTTGCTGCATTGCATAGAGCACACATCCCCCCTTCAGTTCTGCACTTCTCTATGATGACACAAAGTTTTGAAAGCTTTTGAGTGTTAATTCTTGCATTCACAAACCAGTCTGAAATTGCAGCATGAAAGCGACTTGTTGACAACCCCTACCTCCCCAAAATAAGGCAAAGATTGGCAAAGATTGAAACGGACATAATACAAAAAACCACGGTGTGTGAGGCCCAATCCAAGTACCGTGATCTGTTGCAGAGTATCTGGCTAAATAGGTAATTCCAGAAGGTAAACTTAGCAATGTAGATGAAAAGAAGAAACTATGAATGCTGCCTCAGTTGCCAAAACTACCTCAAATCACATGAGGTTACCTAAAGCAATTTCAGGTAGTTTCACAAATGGGGCAGCGAGATGCGTATTGATTTTATTAAGAGCAATTATTTTGTTTCAGAGACTGGGAATAACAACGTGCAACCCTGACCAGTCGTCCGTCAACATTGTCAGGGCAGCAACAGATCTTTTTAGCGACGATTTTAAAGATTTCTGGATCCTATCTGGAAGCAGGCTGCATCATGGTGTAAAAGAAGAGGATTATAGTCTTAATCTGCATACACTCGAAGTGGACAGTAGGGTCGGTGTACAGGTTACCCAAAATGGTGATCTGGTTTATTACATCAATGGTACAAGCATGGGTGCAGCCGCATGCGACATTCCCACCAAGAAACCAATATATTGCATATTTGATATTTATGGCAGGACTAAGGTTATTTCAAAAGAATTATTCCAAGGTAAATAGAAATTTCGGACAATTTAGGACTTTGATGAAAAACTTTTTGGAAAGTGACTCCTTACCTGATGTACGCTTTACTTCTTATCAACAAGGTTCAGTCATTCTGACATTCTTTATTATGCTTTTAGCTGAAAAACTAGAAAATATTTGCAAGAAGAGAGTAAGAGAACTTGTTACAGATGACAACCTGAGCAAATTACTTTTACCAAAATGTATTTTGGAGGACATAAGGAAAATAGATAGAAAGAAATAGCTCAACCTACCTTGGCCTTGTAAAAAAATAGTCATGATTTGTTCTAGTTATTGTGGTTGATTGTGTAAATTTAGCTTTTAGTTTATGACAGATTATTTTAATTTAATAGCAGATCTGCTAAAGAGTGTTGTATAGTCAAAGATCAGAAATAGTATTTAAACTGTAAAGAAAAAATGAAGTGTCATCATTGTACATAAAATTTCAGATATTTTATATTTTCATTTTGTTGATTAAATTTCAAAGCTTTTTCATAAATTCGTGAATGGAGTATTTTGACTATTTGTTGTGTGAATTTGGGTTACATTAATAATTTAGGAGCACCTGGATGGAATTATTGGAATTTTTGTATGGTGAAAACAACCCTAACGTTTTACGCTGATTTCAGCTTTCAGTCCAAATATCACCGTAGACTTGTCTAATTTTAAAAGCTCAAAATATAAAAGATGTTCTTCAGGGTAGTTTCCATCCAAATGCACAAGAAACCCCTTAACAGTAAACAGATAAGTAAACTATGGCATGGTAACAACTTCACACACAGCAAAACAGCTTCTGCAATATATTGTTTGTGGGGAAAATTCATTCAATTTTTATTGCACGTATATATTATTCGTTGTCATTTTGTTGCAAATAAGTATGACATAATTATTTCATTTCATGGGCTGTTCATTATTGTTATAAATTAATAACACAAGCGATAATAATAGTCGTCTACATGGTTATTATATGCCACCTGAGACAGGTAACTACGAGTAATTTTCTCAGAGACGCTTCGAATTTCATTCGATTGTATAAACACCAAAAAATTTCACATTTTATGTGCTTAAACTAGTTTTCACAGTGAAGTAACCTGAACCCTTTGTAACAACGTTGGCAGTGCACAAGGTTACCACAACATTGTAACAAAGTTACAACTTACAGCAAGCTGGTAACAAGTAGTCAGTGTTAAAACGCAACTGGTCCAAGTCTAGCAATAGCCTAAGGCTAAACGCTAAATTTGGGTATAAACATTCATTGAACTCGGCTAAGCAGGTTTACACACAGAACAGTTGCCAGGCCGGCCAAACGTCAGCACTCAGCATCATCCATGATAACAAAAAAATCTTAGGTTGGCCCGATAAATGGTATGAGTGTAAACATGCCTTCACTGGATATTTTTCCAAATCATCCATCGCTTATATTTCAAAATTTTTATATCATTCATATATGTCTGTTGCATTTCACTCGTTAAATTGATTATTCATTTTAAAGCGGATTTCAGAACGTGATTCGGAATTGTTGGGTGTCATCACAGATGTCATGGGACGCGGGCCCAGGTATGGTATCAACTATCACCATTCTCCCTTTTTGGAGGAAATTCTATTTTGCTACCAGGCTCTTTCTTGCAATAAAACTTTCGCGGCCTGTTGTTCCTCTGGGGCAACGGTACGAAACCATTCGTCGTCTCGCCCTTGAACTCTCCGTTTGGTAAATCTGTACCTTTCCCTTTCTCATTGTGGTCACCATTCCCCTTGGTTGTACCCGAACCGTTTGAAGTCTCCGACGTCCCGTTTCGGAAGAAAGGACCGTCGTTATTAATAGGCGTTTTACGAATATAACGTCGTTTTGGCTTCTTATGTCCCTGATTAGTAAACACGCGACTATTTAGGTCGTGCGTAGTTGTGTGGGAAGCTTCGTTCTCCGCTGGTTTATGTTCTTCAGCCTGCGCGTTATTACCCTCACGAATCTGAGCGTTGTTCTCCTCTAGGCTACCCTCACGAGCTAAAGTACCCCCATCCGCGGGTTCGATATCCGGAGTCCGCGTAGCGTTGTCCGCCGGACTACCATCACCATGAGAATTAGCGCGGTCTGTCTGGGTCCGAGTTTCCTCTTTAGAATTCTCACCCGCAGGGGGGGTCTTGTTCTCGTGACGATTATTGCTAAATGACCTTGTGGTGTGTTGCGCTGAATTCACTTGTCTCTGACGCTGCGTGTTTTGTTCCCGTTGCGAGTTCCCCTGTTGTCCTCTACCGCTATTACTCCTGAATGGCTTTGGACCAAACTCTTTTGTCCTTGGTTTTTCATTGACTGCAAAAACGCCGAAAAACCCGTCATTCATTACTTTTACAACAGACGCAACAAACAAACAACGCTTTTTTCACATACCTTTAACCTCGCGCTTCTTGCTAGCCTCTTTGGTAGCAGGTGGAACCTTAAAAAATGGACAAACAAATGAAAATGTTTGCGGGCAAACTGGGGGTCTTCTATTAGCAGGTCCAATTGGAAATGGGCAGTTCTATTAGTAACTTCTAAAACTGGAAATGGTAGTTCTAAAAACTACGTTTTCGTAAGGGATTGTTAAATTTTTAATCGCAAGAGTAAATTTTCTCAAAATGCCATATCAGATACCTTTAACTTTAAACATTTTTCAGCAGCAAGAAATGGGTAGTTCTAATATTTTTAAAGGACGAATCCTGCGGACAAGTCTGGCAGGAAAGAGATCCTAGTCTTGTTTACCTGCTGTTCCTTCATCGCTTGCTGTAACCTCGCATGCATTGCAGCTTGATCTTTTAGCCGCGTTGGTGACAACGGTGGTTTCTCGTTTCCCGAATTGCCGGCTTTCGTTTCGCTCGAAGGTTTGGATTTTGTAGAGCCGGCCGTGGTGGTGGTTGGCGGGGGTCCATTGGTAGGTGGGGTGCTTGGCTTGGTCGTGGGGGTGGGTTTGTGGGATTTGACAGGCGGGGGTTTGTGAAGTTTCGCGGGTTCGGGCTGTTTTCGTTTGAAAGGGGTATAGTGGTTTCTTATTGACGGTACTGATAGGGAAAAAAAATGAAAATACAGAAATCAGTTTGAAATGAATGAAAAAAAAACGAACTTGAAAAAAAACAAACTTGACCTAATAAATAAATTCTAAACTTCTTTCAAGAAGGTCAATAGTGAGGATCATCTCTTATTGATCCAGCGTTACCACACGAGTAAACTATATTTACACTGGATAGTTTCAACATTTTGAAACTTTCCTTTCGACCTAGAGGTCCATGAAGGATCATCTCTTTTTGACCCAGTGATACTACAGGTGCACTGAAACCTAGCTAAACAAAACTAAACTAAACGAACTTTATTTATACTGGTTAGTTCTCGTAGTTTTAAACTGTACTTTCAATGTAGGATCCAGTAAGGATCATTTCTTATTGATTCAGGTTTGATACACGACCACTAAATTAAATTAATCCCAAATACAATTCAATACAATACCTTCACCAAACGTCTTTACGGCCTACAGTGTAATAAAGTTATATGAGTTCTTAGTTCTTCGTTTCGAAGAATTCAAAAGCAACGAAGAATGTAAAAGTCAACTGAGGAAGTAGTACCTCTAACATTTTTTCCTGTTCACTTTTAAACCTTGTGGTCTTCCCCAGATCCTCATCTATCCTCCGCTCTCCTACAAAATGCTGAAAAAGATTTTGCCTCTAAAAGCATTGTCCTTTTTTGAGATTAATCATTAATGGTGAATATACAAATTGAATGTTTTTTAAACAAGCACCTTGTGGAAAATATACCTTTATTTCATTCCTTAGTTCTGCTGATTCTTCTTCATTCATGCATCCAACTCGATTGCATTTAAACTTTAAACACGCTGCATCCTCTTGACGGTTCTCCAAGAGTTTTTCTAGAAAATGAAAACGGTTTGCTCGAAAGACTCACAACAAGAATGCACCTTCATTAAGCCACATTCACAAATGAACTAATAAACAACATACTTGACTCTTCTATAACTGACTGAAGTTGTTCTCCTAAAATCCGTTCCCTTTCATCTAAACTAAAAACAAAAATTGAAAAATGAAGTGACCTTACAAATGAAGTGTCTTTTTCTATAATACATTGATAGTCTCCTGCTGAAAGAGGTATTCTATGATAAGGCATATTTACATGGAAAAAATAGCTGAAAAACGATTGATTCTAATAATAATACAAATTGTCAAGAAGAGGATTTAAAAATTCACTTACGCTTGTCTAATTTCTTGAAAACTTTTCGATAATGCTTTGGTAGAGGAATCTGCATGCTAAATTCAAATGGAAAACAAGAATTAGTTAACATCAATCAGAATTCAACCATGGCAGGTCGTACTACTGAATTTATTGAGAGTGGTAAAAAAGCAATGGCTAGAACCTAGTACTTGCCTCATCCAACATAGCTTGAAATCTTGCTATGGAGACAGCTGATCTTTCAAGATCTTTTAAAGACTTTTTAATTACTTCTGGTTTGGAAGTTGAGGAGGTTCGCACCCTTGGATGTTTCTCATTGGAGGAACTTCCTGCCCTAGCTTTGTTAAATGACTGGGAGCCTTGAGATGAGCTCACAGAGTCGGTGGGTGACAGGAGCGGGGGTGAATGAGGGGGAGGACTTGCGGGTTGTGGGTCACTATTTGCTGTCAGTTTCTGGTCATTGACTACAATAGGTTTTAGACTATTATTTGTTGTGGGGTTGGGATCATCAATTGAGGTAGGTTTTGCATTTTCAATGGGTTTTGGAGTGTTACTGGTTATTGGCTTGTCCCCACTAGCTGTGTGTCCTTTAGGAACAGTTCCATTTGGGATGTTTTTCTGCTGTCCTTCATCAGCTTGCTTTTCAGTCTTTGATCCTAGAAAAATTCAATCTTTGAATGATAATAATACTGGTGAAATTGAGAATGATTAAAGAAAAGGAAACTATACCAGACTCAGCATTTTCTGTTTCATTCTGGGATTCCTCTTTCAAAGCTTTCTTTGCATTTTTTTTCTTTTTCTTGTTCTAAACATAAAACCACATAAATTCAATTTACCTGGCAAATACCTGCCATTATTGACAGAATAAAACACTGAAAAAAAAACTAAAAAAAAAACTGCATAGCACATATTTGCATGATAACCGAGTCTGAAACCATAGGCGGTAGAACTTTGCAACCTTTAAGGTCAAGTTAACACTTGTGTAATATTGAAAACTAAAGATTCCTGCCAATAGGGCCTTTTTATATCTGCAGTCTGTAAAAACTAAACAAAATGGCTTATCTAGAATTCATATACAGCATTGCTACATATAGATGAAGCAATGCAACATGTTTATTCAATATCAAATAGGAACATGTATAGCACATGCAATTATGCTGTTGTAATGCCATGGAAAACAATGAACAGTTCAATGAAAGAAGTATTGTAATAATAGTTATAGGCAGGTGCAAGCTTTACTTATTATAAAAATGATTACTAAAACTGAGAGCCAGTTATATAAAAAGGTAGTTATGTTAAAAAACAGTTAGTTGCTGAATTGGTCATGCAATACAACTGACTGTATGTACGTTATGATCTTTGGGAGTTATGGCATTTTTTGCAATAACAATTACTCATATTTAAACATACTTCTGATATTAGATGGCTTATATTGCCTTGCACAACTTCTTTCTCGGATACTAAGTCACAAACTGATTGCTTGGATCACAAATGAAAATACGTCTAAGCCTAACAACTTTCCTTAGAAACTGAATTAAGCACCTTCAGGTAACAATTAATGTTCAACTAAGTCTGACTGAAATTAATTCATCAATTAACATGCAAATATGTGCTGCCCCCTCAACTCAAACAAAAATTTAACAGCTCGGCACATAGACACATAATACTCCCACATAAGTGATGTAGAATAAATTTCAGACTGTTTACGGACAGTGTTGAAAACTGTTCAAAACTTTTACACATTGGAAGGTAGGTTAACTTGCAAATGTCACTTGGAACATGTCTAAAGTTTATTAAACAGCATCTCAAACTAGAAAATGCAATTAATTGAACATATTGCATGTAAATGATATTCAATTACCATAGCAATTTAAAAAGTGTGTATGCATACAATAATCGAAGAGGAATATTCATGCAGCTTTAAACCTAAGTTGCAATATGAACACTCCCTTTTACAATTCCTCAAATTGCCAAATTTCATGGAATGCAAAGTTATCTTTCATCAAATTGATGTATATTATATTATATTTCTTGGCTATGAGCCCTGTAAAAAGTTTACCCAATTTAATAACAGATGTTAAATGTTTATGTAAAAATTTACGATTTTTAAGACTCAAACAGTGTGAATAAATTACCATGCAAAGCATTTTGTAAGACCTTCGGTTCCCAAGCAAAATGGTTTTGTACATGTACAATATTGTCGACATTTTAGGTCTTAAGTATATTTGTTTCTTTTAAAGCGAAAGTATAAAATTCCGGAAGTCTGAAACAAAATCCATGTTAACATACGAAGTGTGTTTACCTAATTCCCATATAGACCATCTTACAAGTTCAATTCGAAGTCGATAAAACACCGAATTCTTCATAGAAAAACTTACAAAAGAAGGCTGTTTCGAAACTAAGGTCCGTTAAAATATTGACATAAATCGTTGCAATTTACAGGATTTATATTCGGGAATATTTCACGTCAATTTATCTCCTGTTGCAGGTCGCTCAATGGCAAGAGTAAAACAAATTTTAAACAACGTAGTTAACCTTTCGTTTTCCCTGAACCATCCATTCATTCTGCGCTTCCATTTCCCCGTCTGTAGCAAAGAAAACGAGGTTTTAAAATGCGCAGCGAAATTGCCCCGTTAAACAAGCCGCATTGGTGAAAACATTGCAAACAAATATCAAATAGAAAATATATTTATACTAGAACACGTTTGAATACAATATCGTTGTGCAACTTTAAAAAACAAACGTCAATGACAACAAAAGGAATTATTCTACCTGCAATGAAACAGTTTAACGCCGAGTCGACGTCGTAGTCACAGGCTTGTAAAACCTCGGCGATCTCGCTTTTGCTTTTCGTAGGAATTGCTTCGAGTATCACAGAGATCTAGACGAAATAATTTTGATCGTGTTACGTTCAAGTTCGATTGAGTGAAACACGTCCGCGGGAAATATAATGGTCAATTGTGCGCGCAGAAATTTGAGCTATGATATCTGTCAATATTTTATAGAGCCTCATAGTACCTTCTTTTTCATGTTGTCCGGCAGAGGCTGAATCTTCTCGGCGTAGACATGTCCGCGACCAGCGTCATATAGGTCATTGGTACCTAGACAACGTAAAAATCCCAGCAATATTGAAGCGATTTGTGTTGTAAAGCGAAACGGTTAGAAACTTTGGACGAGAAATGACATTCCTACCGACCTTTCGGCGGCTTTATATGCCGGCCTGCCATAAACCAGTGTGTCAAACAGCTCCCGGAAGTGTACAATAGACAGTAAACACTGCGATTGTGAAATGACAAATATATTTTTTAAATCGAAGAACTGCGCGGGCTTCCCCGCGAAAACACGCAATGCGCGTGTGATTGGCCGATATTTTCCCGGCGCTACGTGTTGTTATTGCGTAATGTATTGCGTAATATATACCGCCCTTAGAAATCTGTTTAGAATTATGGTGTTTCTGGTTGATTCTTTACTCTGCGGTATAACTGGTGGCAAAAATCAGGCAAAAATACAGGAAACCAAAGCCTGTTCGCAGGCAAAAAGGAACAACTAGTCGATCATGGCTGTTTGTTGAAATATTTCGCTTTGTTTTCTATTGACATTCTATTCAATCGAAGTCTCCTTGAGAGAAAAAACCTCGCGATCCTTCAAGCTAATTTACTGATGTAGATGAGCAAGTATATATTACATGCCAGTCATGTCAGATGATACGAAATTTATCAACATTAATGAGATTAGACCAGGGGCAAAAAACGTGAATGCTGTATTTATCGTGCTAAGTATAGGTAAATAGTTTACTTGTGAACAATGCGCTGCTTTATGTGGTCTCCTTACGTTGTGTGATCATAATTTCAATCAATTTTGCCTTTTAACCGTTACATTAAGTCATGTTTGTACACACACCATCAGTGACCATGCATCTTCAACCTATGTTGTTGTGAAAATGTGACCCATTTATGAGCAATAGAAAGCCGGATTCTAACGGGAAGTCTATTGTTTAAATTCCTTTGCTTATTTACAGAGAGAGCCTTGAATGTGAACTATCACAACAGTGACTGTGTTTATGCAATGACAATTTCAATTCTGTTCCAATGTTATCTCTTTCTCTAAGGGAAACCTACCAAAACAAAGGATGGGCACGAGGTACGGTCCTGCCGGGTTGCTGACAAAAGTGGTTGTATAAATTTGTCGGTGTGGGATGACTATGGAACGTTGATGCAAAGTGGAGATATTATCCGTTTACACAAAGGGTAAGGTACACATAGAAGATATGGTCGGTTTTTGAAAGAGTTGCCTAGAGACGAGGGTTGTGGAGAATTTATTTAAATATCTTAGTTTAGATTCCCTTTAAGCAGCAAAGTGCAGAAATATACCTTAGCTGTATTACGTACTATCCCTATTAAATGTTCACGTTTAGGTATGCATCAATATTTAAAGGTTCACTAACAATGTATATGAGCAAATATGGATCTATAGAGAAGATTGGAGAGTAAGTGGAGATCACTCTGCTGTATCAGTTTATGATTCAGGCAGAATCTGATAGCTGAGAGTGATCAATTATATTTTTCTCTTCCATAGTTTTTGCATGGTGTTTTCAGAGCAGCCGAATATGAGTGATCCGAATGCTGAATTCCTACAACTATACAAAAAGGTACCACATGACCATTGGTTGTTTCTTCAATCTGTTCTGTATTAATTATTCAAGGATAATTTAGCATTAGTTTTTTCAACTTTACCAAATGAGAAATTAAACCTAACATTTTACTGAACATTTTCATCATTTATTGTAGCTAAACTGGACGTTTTCTCTCTGTTTAGACCAATGACAAACCAATCCGTGACACATCAAACACCCACACACTTCAAACTCCCACACAGTCTCTTCCACCACCCCCACCACCACATGGCCCATCTACACATGGCCAACCACCAACCACTTCTTCATCTAATCATTCCCAACCTCCCTCTGATCCACGTTCGGGTAGGTTCCATCCCTACTCAAGAGACACGAGCCAAGGAAATATTGTGAACGCTGCCAAAGATCCACGCCTACGAAATAGAGGAAATGCTAATGCAAATAGCATGGGAAGAGGTGCAAGTGCCCCTGCGACCCGTGTCGGTATGGGGGGTGGTAGTGCTGAGGCAGCACCAAAGAACATTATAAACACTTCCAGAGACCCAAGAAATCGGAACAGATAATACAATATTGCAATGCCATCTGGCAATACCATTCCATTACTATGCATACCATAGCACTGTACCATAGTGAAACCATTATCTCGGGCATTTGTGACATTTTTGGTAATACACAGGTTTAATTTGCATCTTGTATAAATTATACAGGTTTTCTGAGACTAGGGTAAGGCATTCATTGACCAACACATGTGTAGACGTTACTTTTTTGATTACATGGAATAAGTAGTTGTTGGTGGTTGGTACACGGTAATAATGATGGTTTTGGTATAAGGTTGCCTTTTCACTAAAGTAACCAAGGAGGAGGTATTAGGATGTTTAAGGTGGTCTAAGGTGATATAAGGATGTGTAAAAAGGTAATATGATATCCAGGAGGTTATTAAGAGACTATTAAGAATAAAGAGGTTCAGTGAGGAGTATAGAGGTATAAAGGGGTCCAACGAGGGTTAAAAAGGGGCAAAGGCATAAAACGTGATATGTGAAGAAGACATAAAGTATCTCGTCATTGTATTAGGCAATCCGCAGGTGATTTCTGAGCCCGGAAAAATCAACGTGTAAAGTGTAAACAAGTAATAAAAAGCCACGTTGTTGTTTTTTATTTACAAATCACAAATTAAAACCCTGCTTAGAACCATGAAAAATCAAATTATACGCTGATTGTTTGACGACAAGTCGTGTTCAAGATGAGATTAGACATATTTACAATTTTATCGATATTTGCTTGTGTGTTGGGAGACGATTTCTACGATATTTTGGGCATCGCCAGGGATGCGGATAACAAGGAAATTAGGAGAGCTTTCAAAAAGCTTGCATTAAAACTGCATCCAGACAAAAACAAGGTCGGTATTTGAGTCGGTAATGTCGTCTAAGAGTGGGAAAAATCAAGCAGCGGTCAAATTAATAATTACTAACCAGAGAACGTCTGAAAACTTATACCTTACCTTTTGACATCTTGAACTGTCTGGTCTGATTCTGACAAATCAGTCGATCAGCTAGTTCAAATTGTTCCAACTTGTGGAATTGGATTTTTATCTTTACTTTTAAAACCTCCGCAGGATGATGCAAATGCACATGAGAAATTTATGAAAATCAATCGAGCCTATGAGGTGTTGAAAGGTGAGTGTACATAGTTATGTACAATTAATTCAACGTGAAATATATTATTACTCTTGTTGGAAAAATGCCATCTCTTTATTGCAAGAACAATTGATGTATCATGTTTCTGAGGTGTTGGTATCAAGTCCTTTAATTTTTTTACTTGATGATATATTTGAAGGAATGCAACTAGTTAATGGCATATTTCTTCAAATCTATCATTCAACATGAATAAATCTTAATTGTTCTCTGCATCTTTACATGCGATTTGATAAAAAGAAGGAAGTGATCTTATATTTTTGTGGGAGACCTATAACATCAGCAGATATTTCAGATTTCGCTTGATGTCATGCAAAAAATTCACCTTGCAGATAACATCTGGAACTGATAACTCACAAGGAGGACTATATGATGTGTTAATTGCATTTGTTCCAAATTCTAGATGAAGAATTGAGAAAGAAGTACGACTTATATGGCGAAGATGGTCTGAAAGATGATCATTTTGGTGGTGGACAAAACTATCAAAGTTGGCATTATTTTAATGAAGAATTTGGTAAGTAGGAATTCGTATGAACTATTTTGTTATCAAAATAATGATGCATTGAACAAGCCTAAATTGCAGTTTGCTTTCTTTTCAGGAATTTATGATGAAGACCCTGAGATTATCACCTTAGGATATTCTGACTTTGGTAAATCCTAACAAGTCTAGCTAGAACTAAGTGATTGATCAACCTAGTCAACTGACTTACTCATAACGAAATGACAGCTACTTGAACTGTTTATTTTTATGTTATCAATTTGCAGAATCGTCTGTTACAAATTCTGACGATATTTGGTTTATCAATTTCTACTCTCCATACTGCTCGCATTGCCATGATTTGGCACCAACGGTAACCACCTTTTGTATGAGACTATGAATAGACAATATACCAGGCTATATATTTGTGCACATGCATGGCAATCATTTTCTTCCATAAGTGACATTTACAACTCTCGAGATCTGGCCAGATTCTTAAACAATTGAAGGAAAGTGAACAAGTAATTTTCACAGATGAGAAATTGTCCGGATGGCAATTTGTCTTTGTTTCTGTATTCAAATCAGTCATTTTTGACTGCAAATAAAAATATTCTGCTATCACATCAACCGAATGTACGGAAATACTTTTTTTAGTGGCGTGAAGTGGCCAAAGAACTTGAAGGTGTTGTAAGGATTGGTGCCGTCAACTGTCAGGAAGACTGGAGCCTATGTAATCAACAAGGAATCCAAAGCTACCCATCCCTAGTTTTTTACCCAGGGGTAAATATATTTTAGGATTTGTTAGTTTATGTGTTTCTAGTGTTAAGTAATGAACAAATGTTTATCATTCAAAGCAAAAATTTAACTGATTTCCCTTTGATAAACCTACATTGTGTGTTCTGGTTTGTCCTTCAATTTTGAGAAAACCAGGAACTTTATTTTGACTAAACTTTTTAATGATAGTTTAATAACTTTTCCTTATAGGGTGAATTTTTCCGTGGAAAAAAGACGACAGAGAGGATAGTGGAATATATCCTAGACAACCTAGATGTTGTTCTTGTGGATTTGCATTTTGGTGAGAGCATTTCACTAGTATAGAGTGTTTGCAATTTTTTTTTGATTTTCTTGCTATATCTTGTGAATAGGAGTCATAAGACCTCCAGAAGATCTTAATAGCTTTTGCTTTATAGGATGCAAATTATTTCTGTTGGTGTTGCCAGTGTTGGCTGTTGCATATACATAACTTATATACTTCACACTGAATGGCTAATTCGTTATTTTCGTAATCTTCTCCGTTAGTACAATTCGATGCTGAGACTAATGCAAGTGAGCTCCCGTGGTTGATAACGTTCTGTACTCCGGATAGTGAGACAGGTATCCTCGCCCTCGAGTTTTTCTGGAAAACATGCATCACGATATATACTGTAGACTGCAATCTTCTTTATCAATTATGGCCATAATTTATGTCCAATAGGCATATTGTTTTATTGAATGGGCACTGTACGTCTTTTTATGAACATTTCAGCGTTCAAAACATGCAGTACGGTTATGTAATATGATATATAGATGACAGTACAGGATATACAATACATTGTTACAGCTTTATCTTTTTGTGTTACAAACTATAAACACGTTTTTAGATTGCCTATCTCGGGACACGCTAATAAAGATTTCAGCAGTTTTGGTAAGTGAAGCTCTCATGATGAATGTCATGATATAAAGGGAGGTGTTGTATTTAAGAACGCCTCGCGATCTTGAAATAAACTTCCTTCACTGCCATTTTTTCACGTCGTTTTGTCGAGCAAGGATCATAACTGATTACTTTCTTGGCTTTGTCTTCTTCAGAACAACATGGTGATTGTTGGCACCGTTGACTGCGTGGAAGAGGAGGGTCTCTGTGAGCATTTAAATCGACGTAGTGGAGTGGTCTTCTATCCTCCTAAGGACGTTACACCTGACAATGCTGAGGTATATAGGTTTACTTTTGGTTATATATTCCCTTTGGCTTATTTCTCTCATATTACTTCATGATAAAAAAGCAAATGTCATCGCTTTTCTTTCGTACCAATTTGATGTGCTAACTCGGTGTCCCTTATACTACTTACGAAAATTAAAACACTCCGAAAACGGTAACAAATTCACTTTTTTACTTTTCGGTGTTCAAAACACTATGTGATATGTTACATCATTTACAGGAATCCCAGTTTCTTTATTCTGCATTAAATGCGGGATTTTTATTTGAGCCAATTTGCAAACCAATTGCATCGTGTTTCAATACCTCCCCTGCGAAATAAGTATGCGGTAATGTTTGATAATAAGAGCTATGATCTGATCATTTGCAGGATATTAACGAATATCATAGTCAAGATATCATTGAAACTGTGCTTGGCTTGCTACCGAATCTCATCTCAATGGACGATAAAGCTTTTAAGGTGAGCCCTTCAAAATGTTTACTAGTCTACTACAACCAGTCAACGGTTAAAGTGGTAATAATTAGTCATAGAAATGGTAATATTTCGCATAGAAATGGTAATATTTCGCATCAGCTACATCGTTTTTCTCCCATGTCAGACTATAGGCGAAAGTCACAAACCCTGGTTGATACACTTTGGCAAAGGGGATCCCAAAGCTTTGGAAATGAGAAAGCTACCGTCGTTGCTTTACGAATTCCAGGTATGTAAGCAGTTGCTTTTCCAAAACTTTTACAAGGGTTAAAGGAATAACTATCCGGTGGATAGTGCCAGCCTTCGGAAAGCTCATCCTTATTAAATTCACTTATCGAGATTAGGAATTTGTATTTTGTCACAGTGCATATGTTTTTTTATGTCAATATTTATCAATTATTGGACGAGGTCGAGCAAAATATCGTGATTTGTCGGTGGCGAGCAGATCAATTATTTGCCGAGGCCGAAGGCAGAGGCAAATAATTGATCTGCGAGCCACCGACAAATCACGATATTTTGCGAGAACCGAGTTCAATAATTGTTTTATCATTCACCACTCAATTTTCAATTCATTCACAACTTAATTTTCAATTTTGAGTTCGTTTTATCGGACAGTTCGGCAAAGCGAGTTGCCATTGTTTATAAAATTGACATTAATGCGCATGCTCAGAGTATTATTTGCAGCTGAGTATTATTTGCACGCAGTTAACTGCAGGTAAATTAACCAATCAAAATTGAGAATACTATAAAGTGAATGATAATTAATATTATAACGTTATTCGTGACCAGGTCCGTGACGTTCCTTTGTTTCAGGTTGGTCACGTGGATTGTGCCCAGTTTCCAACGCTGTGCGAGACCCACCATGTTCACAAATATCCCTCAGTTGCACTCTTTAAACAGAACGGGGGGTACGAATGGCATCATGGTAGGTATCGACCGACTCAGCTATATCGCAACGGCGACCGACCCTTATCGTGTGTGAAATAGTCTATTTACATTGTACGGACGTTCATTCAGGACGATACACTGCCCAAGACATCGCCGTTTTTGCCAGAGAAACAATATCGTCTAAAGTCTTTACCCTGGGTCCAGAAAGCTTTCCTAGTCCTGTCACCACAGGTGAAGAAACTTGGTTTGTTGATTTCTTTGCACCGGTAAGCGAGGTTTTGCGTCTTTAAGCAAAGTGCATTTCTACTGACGTTAAAATAAGTCTCAGCCACAGAGGTTCTAAAAATTTTCCCGATTCAATGATCAGTAAAACTTCTTTTCTTATAATATAACCAAGGAGCAGCATGGCAGCGTCTTCAAACAACTTAGCATCAAATGTGGCATAACAACTGCCTAAATAGACAAAACACTTCTATTTAGGCAGTTGTTATACCACATTTGATGCTAAGTTCTTTTCTTAATATGTACACTCAATTTTGTCAATTCAGTGGTGTCCTCCGTGTATGAGATTGTTGCCAGAATGGCGTAAAGCTTCCAAAGCATACGACGACAAGAAGGATGTGGTTAAATTCGGGACTGTCGATTGTACAGTTCACAAAAACCTGTGTCAAAAGGTAGGGAATTAAAGTAGAGCAATGTACAGATGAATTTTGTTCTGGTAAGGATCATCTCTTATTGATCCAGTGTTACTACATGAGGAAACCTAAACTGAACTAACTTCGTTTATTATGGATAGCTCTATCAGTTCTAAACTGTTCTTTCTAAAGGTCCAGTAAGGATAATCTCGTATTGATCCAGTGTTATACTACAGGAGAAAAAACCTAAACTAAACTTTATCCATACTGTATATTTGTTTCAGTCATTTACTGTTGTTTCTTCTATAGTACAACATCCGTTCGTATCCTTCGACGGTATTTTTCAACAACACAATGCCCCACTCCTTCCGCGGACGACACTCGGTCGACAGTCTTTTAGAGTTTATCGAGGTAAACGATAATTTTCTGGCTAACCTGAAAACATCAACTACATCCATTGCAATATAATTCTTGTTTAATGTATTTAATGTATTTCATGTTTAATCCAGGACACACTTCGTCCGTCGTCGCAAATCTTGACTCCCGAGTCGTTCGATGCTTTGATAGCTGGTAAAGCCAAAGGCGATACGTGGCTTGTTGATTTCCATGCTCCCTGGTGTTCGCATTGCCAGGAACTAGCTCCTGTTTGGAATAAGCTCGCAAAGGTTTGCTTGTTTATCGCTCTTTGATTGCATCGTTTAGACAGAAAGAAGGAAGCAAGCTTTAAGATGCAAGCTTGAAATTACGTTTGTTTTTTTAGCAATTAAAAGGCGAAGCAAGTGTGGGTACAATTGATTGCCAGGAATTTAACAGTTTTTGTACACGACACGGAATTCAGTCTTTTCCAACAATCCGTTTGTATCCTCATTCGTCAGCGGGAATAACAAGATCCGTGTAAGTTGGACTGAACTCAACTCAACTGAATTAAATTGACCTATACTGCATTAAACTGGACCCAACCAAACTGAACTGAACTGAACGGAATTGAACTGACTTGAATTGAGCTGTACTGCACTGGACTGGACCCAACCAAACTAAACTGAACTGAACTGAACTGAACGGAATTGAACTTAATTGAATTGAATTGAGCTGTACTGCACTGCACTGCACTGGACTGGACCCAACCAAACTGAGGTCCATTCTCAATCATTTCAGACATTATCAAGGATGGCATGATCTCAGCTCATTGCATTCCTGGGCGTTCCGTTATCTGCCTTCCATCGTCACGGAACTCGACTCGAATGATTTTGACGAGATCATGCTGGTTTCTGAATCCCCGTGGATCGTAGACTTCTTTGCCCCTTGGTGCGGCCATTGCGTTCATTTTGCACCTTACTTTGAAAAACTCGCAAAAGTAAGTCTAAGCAGGAAAATATATAACGACTATAAACTAACATAAAACATTAAAGAATTGGTTATTGTTTTGAAATGCTTTTGTTACTACAACAGAAGATATTGATACTGGATAGCTTTACCGAAAAATACATTGACAACTTTTTATAAACAGATTAGTTTTTAATCGTTACAAAGATCACGTATTTTTAATCTAATGTTACTACAGAGGGAAACCTAAACTACACTAAATTTGTTTATACTAGATAGCGCTATATCAGTTTTAAACAGTTCTTTCTAGAGGTCCTCTAAGGGTCATTTCCCATTGATCCTTGTTATTACAAGAGGAGTCTAAATTAAACTTTATCTTTGTTTACACTAGATAACTCTATCAGTTGTAAACAGTTATTCTTAAAGGTCCAGTAAGGGTCATCTCCTATAGATCCAGTGTTATTTTAAGAGGAAAAATAAATTAAACTTTATTTCTACTGGATATGACCCCATCAGTCCTGAACAGTTCTTCCTAAAAATCCAGTTAAGATAATCTCCTATTGATCCAGTTTTCTGCAAGAGGAAATCTACACTAAACTAGCTTTGATTGTAGATAATGTATCAGAAAAGGATAGGGTAAAATTATAGGTGAAACTGTAATCATAAAAAGGCATTATAGAACTACTCCTGTGCACAAGTGTTAATCATTGTAGTATATTTTAAGAGATTGGAGGGCAAAGTTCAATTTGGAAAGGTGAATTGCGACGAACACCACCATATCTGTGTCGAGGCAGGAGTAAGGGCTTATCCCACAATCATGTTTTACCGTGGAGCAATAAATGGACGTAGCCAGGTAAGCTTGCTCAATTCAAACTGGTTTTCCTTTCACATACAGTACTGTGGAAAACAGCAAGAGTTTTCGGTCATCCCTTAAAGCTCACAACTTTGTTGAAATGTTTCTGTTTTACAACTTGCAAGAACTTCCGCGTGTGGGTTATATGCAAAGCCGAAGTATATATATTAGAAACTGAAGCTTCGCATGTTCTCATTTTTGTACTGACTTTTGAATTATTTTTGTCCTCAACCAAGCCAAGAGAGTCCTAATGAATACGGAGTGTAAACTAAAACTTTTGAACAGCTCTGTACATGAGGCAATTTTTGTAATGAAACGAATACTCTGTTTTGCTTTGTTGATGTAATTTTTTCTAAAGATGCTAGAATGAATAGGGTAGACAGTTCAATTAGGACTTGGTTCGTTGGTCGAGCATTGATGATATTATGGTTTTTAAACTTCCCTGCACTTCACCCGCGATTTCTTTCCTTTTCCAGCCAAGCAGAGGTCAGCACACGTTCAGATCTCAAGACATCGACGACATGTACGACACCACGATAGGGCTGTTGGAAGATTTGAAAGAAATGAAACAAGATAAACAAAAGAAGAATAAAAGAAAGAGCAAAAAGGTAGACAGCTCTTGAAATGTTTTTCTCAAAACTCCCAACTAGAATTCGCGTAATTCTTTGAGGATATTTTCGTTTTAAGTGCAGCAGTTTCGTTTCAAGCTTGTCTTATGTGGCAATAAACAGTTCTTATTTATCACCTTTTAGAAAACTCCTGTTCACGACGAGTTCTGATAGAATGTTGTTGGAGGAATTGCTCGGTTTCAAAGTTCAGTTATGCTCAGGAACGGCGTTGTTGCTCCCCTAGTCCCAAATTTCTATGCTCACCGAGTTAGAAAAGGAAGATGATGAAAAGACTAACTTATTGTGCGCTATTTTTCATTTGTTCAAAATGTTTTAACTATATGGCTTTTGCTAAACTACGGGGTCAATAAAGTTGAGTGTTTGCTTTCCGTATTTACGCATAGATTTGAACAAAGTTAGATAGTAACAGGAAGTGAAAGCTTGTATTTCATTTCTTGGACAGCTTTGACCTAGTTAAGAATGTATAGGAAAACTTATGGACAAGTAAACGAATAAATACACACTTTTTGTCACAAAAGATTACGACTGTTCATCAATCGATGCAAACGTCGGCACGCATTACGCGCGGGTGGAGATTTTAGGGTGACTTGCGGGGCGGGCAAAGAAGTGCGGGAAATTTTTTCAAGATGGCGACCATACGAGGAGTGATGGTCGATCTGAGCGGAACACTTCATGTTGAAAACACAGTTATACCTGGATCTGTTGAAGCATTGAAGAGGTATTCAATAAATTAGGTATCTTCAGACTTTTAGGAAGCTTTTAAGTACGATTTATACGGTGGAAATGTACAACATATAAGTCGTCCTTGTGGAAACAGTCGAAAACAGTTGAAATCTATTTGATTTGAAATAGTCTGTACCTTTTGAAGGTTACGAGATATTGGTTTGGCAGTGAGGTTTGTAACAAACACCACAAAGGAATCAAAAGGCACATTGCTCAACCGCCTTAGGTTGTTAGGCTTCCACATCAATGAGGACGAGGTGTTTACATCATTGACAGCAGCTAGACGTCTGGTTGAGGCCAATGACTACCGGCCTTTTTATCTTCTTGAGGAAGATGCCTTAAGGGATTTTGAAGGAATTTCATGGGACAATCCAAATGCAGTTGTGATCGGACTTTCTCCCACTAATTTTTGTTATCGGAAATTAAATGACGCTTTTAGGTAAGTTGAGTTGGTAACCCAGTTTTACCAAGGGGTACCAAGTGCTGATATCAGGTAATTTGGTTAACCCACTGCACCTAGCGATGCCCAGATTCTAAAAACCTTTTGGTAAAATAGAGATTCCTGCTAGTAAATGGTTGCTAATTCTTCAGGTTGCTTCTAAATGGTTGTCCCTTAATTGCCATCCATAAAGCAAGGTACTTCAAGCGTGAAGATGGCCTGGCTTTAGGTCCAGGGCCATTTGCCGCCGCCTTGGAATATGCTGCGGGCGTGACAGCGAAAGCTGTTGGGAAACCTGAACCCAGTTTCTTCCAGACAGCTTTGGCCGACATGGGATTACCACCTGAGAACACTGTCATTATTGGAGATGTATGTAATGGTTCATGAGTTATAACATGACTTTCTACCACAGATTTACATGTGAGTTTGAGAGCAATGCCAGTTAATTCATGGATTAATGAAACTCTGACAAGTTGCAATGCACGCAGATGTGCCCTATTTTGGTATTTTGCTCTGTCTAATGCCAGATAATTTTACTCATCACTGAAAGAATCCTGCCATGTCACTAACGAGTTAACAACGATGATTTTACTTTTGCTGGAAGAAGTAAAGCCAATTCAACGTACAATATGGACTGGTCATTTTCTCTTCCACCCTAGGACGCGAAGGATGACATCGCTGGGGCACAGAAAATTGGAATAAAAGGATTGCTTGTCCGTACTGGTAGGTAACCGAATATTAATAGACCATTTCCCTATTAAACTAGACTTAAAACTAAGAAAATTCATCAGTACAGCTGAAAAGATCATCCTAAATTTAGTAAAAGTGGAAAGTTTGGTCGCGCAGTAAGAATGAAAAATTTATTTTTATACAAAATTTGCTGACTTTACACGGCTATATTTTTGCAACATATCGCAAGCAAACTTCCCGATTTGGCTTGCTCTTTTCAGCTGATCATTTCAAAACCGAACAGACGGATCAGTTGATGTTCATCATTTAGTTGTTCATCATCATCCTTGTCCGGTTTTTGAAATGTACTCGCCTCGTGGCAAAACTCTGCTCGCATGCAACAAGAGCCGTTGTTTTTGTTTCAGGAAAATATCGAACTGGTGACAAAGATCGCTTCGGTCCACCTGCGTTGCATACGGCAAAAAATTTTCCCGAAGCGGTCGACTTCATACAGAGGATGTGTAATATTAATTTAAACTGATATAATTTATACATAACCTGATAACGGACTGACGTCATTGGGTCGCGAGGCAGATTGCGTCTTTGGCAAATTACCCTGCAGACGGACTAAAATATTCCCATATGACTTGAAAAATATACGCTATTTTATATATAATGCTTTTAGAAAGGACTCTTCATAATTTTGCCATATTTTTCTTTATTCTAAGATATGCTAAAGTGTATTTGTTATGTAAACAAGCCTTGTCATGTTGAGTAATGAGTCTTTCAATAACAAAGTATTTTTTCGACACATGAATTTTGTTTGCTTGAATTAAAGAAGAAATCAAAAAAGCCCCCAGCTCTTGACAGGCCGTGTTCGTGGAAAGAAAACAAGGCGAGTTCTTTGATTTTAAAGATTACACGTTGAATGAAGAAAATTATGGCTTAGTTTGCATATCAACCAAACTCCATATCTTCAGCATGCGAAAAGATATGAAAAAAAACACTGTTGTAATGTTCAACGTTTTCCGAAGGCGCCGTCGATTGCATAATTTTCGCGTTTTGATGAACACTCGCTGATTAAGCATGGTTTAAAGTTCTTCATTTTTCGATGCCTTTAAACGTGGTGGTAAAAAATTATCAACCTCGTCGTTCATTTGAGATCATATTTCGTGGAATGTACAAATCAACCACGGACCATTTCCAACCACGCAGGGCTTTTAGCAGCTGTCCTGTAGCAAAGTTCCGCGTAATCATTTTGCACTTTTGACGAAAATGGATATTATTTACCGTCTGCTGTCTTAATTTATTGAAAACTGACTTTATATCAACAAAGGGTTTTGTTTATATTAAAAAGCTCTTCTATACTATAAATCTATAACTCTTCCTGTTTGCATAATCAAGAAGCCAAAGGTTTTCGCTAACATCCAAAACTCATTTTAACTTTGTATTGCAATTTCCACACTGTTCATTCCAAATATCCAGACTTGACATTGAAACGAAGCCCTTTTCTGTCAAATCTTTTTTGCCCTTTGATTTTTTACGGATTTCGTAAACAGATTCTAGAGATGACAGGTAATTTTGGATATTAATTAAAATTTAAGACCTTGTTTGATCTTAATTTCGATAAGCTCTACGAGTGTAGTTTCTAATTGAACGTTGTCTCGCCCGTAAATATTTCTCCTGTCAGAGGCACGTATAAAGTTGGCTATAATGAACTCTAAGCAAACAGATGTGTGTTGAAGATATGACTTGCGGATCATAAGATGTCGACCCGCATTGGAAGACGGAAGTATTTCACTAAGTTGATGAATCTTTTCGTGGTCTAGGCTGCTGGACAGAAATCTTCAATTTTTTTTCGCTTCGAACTGATTTCATCTCATCTTAAGGGTAAGCCTCAGTTATTATCTTGTTTTATACCCTTTCTATATACTCAAAATATGTCACGTTTCGTCAAGTTCTATGACTCTAAGCAGTGTTCTATGCCGTGTTAATTACTGTAACTGCTGGGGTTTTTTTACCGAGTGGTTTTGGCGTTTCTCAAGAGCAAAGCGTGCCCCGTGATTATCAAGGTTAAACAGTGACTTAGAGCATTAACAGCCGTATTTGGCTGCGGTGGCGAATACGAGATTTTTTATGTTTCACATGTTGACCTATATAATATCTCCCGTCTTTTATAACTAATATCAGTTCAAAAAAGGAAAGTCGTGCCTGTAAGGCTGTAAAGATCCGTATAGCAATGTTGAACTTAATATGTGAATTAAATTATTGGGGAAAATGAATGTACACATGTGCAAATTTGTTTCACCGTGGGGACAAATAACAAACGTTTCCTTGTTTTCACTTTTTTAAATTCTTAGAAACTAAACCTTGCCTCACACTACACTCAATTTATTGGTACAGCACGGCTAAAATTGATACCCGTACCAATTTTATACGTGCTCGGCTTTTGTATTGAAACCCTGAGCATGGATAAAATTGATTACGGTTGCCAATCTTGGCCATGCCGTGCAGTGGCAATCAATTGAATGTAGTGTATGTGTAAACGGGGCCTAATCCTTTCTTCAGTAGAAGGTTTTCAACATCGTCAGTTAAAAGGCTCTGCCTATATATATACTTCAATACTTCATAAATACATATTGTGGATGAAATATTAAAGCACACTGTCTATGTATATCGACTGAGAGTTAAGTTTTACGTGCAAGCTTCCTATACTGAATTTATGAAATTAGTAGATCACAGTTGACGCTGCGCGCGTGTTTATGAAATTAGCACGTGAAAAGTATGACAAATATGTCGGCATATAATCGCAAGGCGTAATTTTAGTGCGCTTCTGAAGCGCTCGTCAATCGGCGGATGTATAAATTACACTCGGAACAAATATCTTTACACTCACGACTGACATACATGTGCAATAAATACACCGTGTTTTTCTAGAAAACGGTCAAAGTTTGTTTTACATTTTCATTAACGACCGCCATTCGCCGGGTGGCCGATTTCTTAGCCAGCGAGCACCGCTGAACTCTTTCTAAAACTGGAGTATTCAGCTACAGACTCCAGACTTTCAGTTGTGTTGCGAATTTCACGTTCGTCTAGACTACCTCTTGGAAAAGCCTTGGTTCAAAAGATAGCTAAGGAGACTTAGTTAAGACTGGATTGTCTGGATAGCACGTGCGTTCAAGGATTAAAAGATTTGTAAATCCTCCTAATCCGAGATTAACGTGTTTGCTGATGATACCAGGAAGGACATGAACTCAAAACACAGCTTTCAAAAATTGATGTAAGATTCGTCAAAAGGCTTGTGAGGCATCTAGCAGCCTTGTGCAGCATTGAAAAGCCTTATTAGTTCATTACCACTGACAAGTTTAAGATGAAAACCAGGCTTTTGATAATAAATTACTTTGTTGGAATTGTTTTACCATTACCAAGGGTATAGCAGCTTATCTGAACTGCCAAACGTAGACGTATAGGTCGTCCCATAAAGTATATTTATATTAACGCAAATCTGCTGTCCAGTGTTAGTGTTAGTGTGTACATATGGAGATCAGCAATATCAATCGTCTTGCGCACTTCCTCGATACAGAACACAACCGCGCAGAGGACTGACACAAAAATTCTATGCATGCCACATCCCGATAGCCGATATCACTCCAGTACCCATATTGAGCTCAACGGCTTACAGATTGTGGCCAAAATTCACCTGGTGAAAAATGAAAATTTCCTCTGCGGGGGTCGAAAGTTTGCTCGAGACGAAATTAAAACGACAATTACGAAAGTTATGAATATTTTAAGCCGTTAATTTCTAAAAAGTTATTCCACGTGTTTGCCACCGAAAGATGCTGTATCTGTGTGTGAAGAAGCCACAATCAGTCGTTTGATTTGTGGTCTTCCCGCTATATCTGTTTGTCTGAAAGCTGTCAGCCGTTAATGAGCAAAATATCAAATGAGTATAGTCGGGAAAAGTTTTTTTTTATTTCGGCATTTTTATCATGTTATTGTGTCACGTTGTTCCGTCGCATGCACAGCGTGTTGACTTGAAAACTGATAAAAAAAAAGTCGAAAACGTGCGCTGAAAATTATACTACTCTAAATGCATGCAGGTATATTATAAGACAGTCAAAGCGTATTGATATAATACTGCTTCTTTTTTCTTTCTAACACTCTAGTTTTTCATCACTAAGCCTAAGGTTATATATATCTAGGATTTAGCTACTTCATGCAATACAATCGTTCTTACAAATTGAAAGGGCGTGCGTCGCTTAATACAAAAGGCAAAATTGTTCACGTCTTTTAAAACACTCGTAAACACGACCGCAATAATTGCCAAACCCCCACCAACCCCGCTGTATTTTCATCCTATAAATTGGATTCCCGCATAGATGTAATGTATTCCTGCAATCTCTATTGCCCTTAGCTATTACCACGCTCACGAAAACAAACCCCAAACCATCCCGTTTTCGAAGTGCTCTCGAGCTTCACTTCGCTCTCTCTTCAATCATTACGAATCACTGCGCAAGTACGATTGATATTTCTGCCTCATCTCCGTGAATTTCGAAGCAACTGGAAAACATCTTGCCCGAGTCGAACTGTGTTGATTTTGCAATTACATATTAATAAAAGATAATTTTCCCGCGCAGATGTCTCATACAAAGTGTAGATTAATTGCTTTTTGAAACCTTATTTACGTAATTGTGATAATGAAGATTGTGTTTGTAAGATACGGATTATTATTTTGTCTTGCATTATATAGGAGTATACGTGCACAAGCCGATATATAATGTGTTAATTGTTTGGTTTGAGAACAGCGTTACACTTCACTTCGAAATCTCTGAAGAACAGTTCAGTTCGATGAAAACACTATACCGTAAAAAGGAAGGTCAGTTCCTAATTTTCTTTTTGTTCGGGGGTTTTGTGTTATTGTATTGCACCGTTTATCCTTGAGCTTCACTTTATTAAACTGATATTTTTCAACCGTCAAAAAGACAGTCCTGCCAAAAGAAGTGCGTCAAATGATGATTCCAGACGCTATACCTCTTGAATCCGGCATTCGTTTGCCTTAGGGAATACGTCATGTTTTCGCAAACGAGTTGCAGTGCCAATGTGTGTGAGACGTTGTATAGTTTACTGATTATTCTATTCTTTTGTGCACAAACAGGCACATATCGCATATATATATAGCAATATATCTTATCGTCAATGCTTCAGTCATGCATTTCCTTTTTCCAACGCAAACCAGGCACAAGTGCAAAGACCGAAAGATAACGAAGCAAATCATTTCCTGATGCGATTATATACATAGAGGAAATTCTCTTGTTTAAACTATGCAATTCAACGTATCAGGCTATATATATCGTAAAGAACAGCCAAGAATGTTATCGAAAAGAAACCTCTCAAATTAATCGCACCGCTTAAAAATTGCAATTAGCTTATGTTAAAGTAATCGTGCATGTGTGGACAATGCGCTGTTTATAGACAATATTCGTAAGGCAAATGTCTCTGAAATTGCATGACAAGTTTGCGTTGCGTACAAGCTATGGGGTAGCGTATATTTGTCTTTCTCAAAGCGATATATTCCTTGTTCCAAAGTGATTAACTTTTTGACAAGTCAAATGATCGACACAGATATGTTTCGTTGTGTGGTTCGTTTCGTTGATTTTCGGAGCAAACATGTAATGTATTATTCACGCCCAGTTCATCATGAAACCACAACAATAACACTACAATAATCGCAAGTGAAATGTCGTTGACACATTTCTCTAAGCATGTAGTGTCCTGCATACTCTGCACCCACGTTATCGATAACCGCAATCTTTGTGTTCTCCCATTTCGCTGTCTGCACGCAATTATACGTCCGCCCTGCTTTTCCCTTCCCACGTAGAGCTAAACCCCGCACTCTTCATATATATGAATCTAGACTTGAACATCTGCTCAAATCGCCTATCAAGGCCCTAGTGTGTAACAACCTAAACTATACATAATTTCCAGCACGTTCTTATTTCATTTGCATCACTCTTAGAGTTCCAACTATATGCCATTTATAAAAAATGGAAAATATATACTTAAGTATTCAAAATATCTCAGAAATGCTGAATACTAGTACTGTAGTAGGTCCTCTGCAAAAAATGATCACTTTTTCTTTGGAAAACAAGAGCCATGCAATATATGCAAAGGCCTGTTTACCCTAATTTCTTTAAAAAGCACAATTTATATATTAGAACCGGTTTTTACTGTTTCGACTATCGGTCTTTCCAAATGCGACCAACCGCTGTTTCGCAAAACAGCAAGAGAAGCTAGCAATAATGAAATTTCAATAGGCTTGTAAAATTCTTTAGGAGAATTAACCAGTGTGTTGTGCTTGCTACAAAAGACTCCCATGGCGTGTTGACCAAAAAAATATTCCGGAATTGTAAACGGTTTGGTCTTCATCTCTCGGGTAAAATTTTTGATGTGATAACCTTTCAACCGACAGCGGCTTGTTTTGGCAAATTATCGTGAGAGGCTACACTTGTGTGTCAGTATTTTACGCGTATATTAGGGGCGGTCCAACGATAAGAGTGATCTCAACTCATCGTATTTTTTTACACACGCGTAGCTACCTACACGCACGTTATAAAGTGTGATCTGTACGAATGGTGCGTTCAAATTAGTCGAATGAAGGGATCTTGGAATGATTTAGTGTGCCTTTGCCAAGGCTTTTTATCATGTAAGCTTTAAAGATTTCCCCCTCTGTCGTGTGGGCTATACCTTCGTGTAGAAACGCGAAAGTTAAGATCCTCCTTATATTGTCAGTTAAAGCAATATATAAATAGGCTTTATCTGGGGAAATGTTAATGGGATTAACAAGAGACACTTTACTGGCAAATACTTTTCTTACTCATCAACCATGCATGCAGATCACCTCCATTATCCATCACATCACATCTAACCTCACAATGGAACTTTGCATGTTTATATACGGTATTCTTGGATGTGTAACTGATCCATTAAGCTCTGCGCCAACGTGGTCGAAGAATATACTCTGGAATAAACTAGAAAGCCTTCCGGCAACTCTTCAACTCTTCGAAATAGAAAGTCGCAAGTTTCCGTAAGTCAGTTCTGACGCATCTTCATGCGTGCATGCAAAGTACATCTTCTGTATAAGGATCACTCTAACCTTTTCTCGTGCAAAAACACTACGCAAATTCCTTGCAACTTGCAATGCAATTATAATTTTTGAGAGATGCATGATAATTTGTGAAGAGTGTTCGAAATGCTAAGAAAACGTTAGCAGATCGTAAGAAATGTTCGTATTTGGCAACTTTAGATACCTCAGAAGTAGAGTTGCATTGGAAGGAAAGTTACAACGAAAGTTGCATTGTGTGTTACTCTAAACAGTGCCTTAAATGTTATAGAATTCATGCATGCATTTCTCCGGGCCAGTAATTGAATATACTGCATCACCCAATATCATGAACAATGTGTTTTTTTAGTTTGGGATTCCACGATGTATGGAATTTCACTGCGTATATATATAGACATGCAAGCTGTTAAGGTGTGCCGTGTCTGTAATTTTGTTAGTGAACTCAAGAATTTTTTTGAGTGAAGCAGATCGTTCACTCCATCATTTCCAGCAAACTCGGCTTCAAAACGTGCCGACCCTTTCCGCGTTCGAAGCAAAGAACTTAATGGTGTTTTGATTGATTCAGTTACTAAAATTATTGATATATTTTCGGCTGCATCCTTGCAGTTATCGATTTCTCCCTAAGTGTGACTACCTTAAAAGTACTTTGAGATGGAGGAATACGTGATAAAGCAAACCAAACACTTGAGTTAACTTGTTACTTGAGTGAATAGACAAAGGTTGTCGGCTATAAGCACATCTATCCAAAACACGACCGCACACAGTTTGAGATTGTCCAAAACGCCGTTCATTCTATATAGTATTTGTGAAGATTTCATTTGTTAAGTCGATATATTAAACAACGTGGGAAGTTCAGATTCAAAGATAAAAGTTACGCGAAGTTATGACAGGGAACTTGCATGGACGGCGCGTTAAATTGCAAACTAATATTCGATCACGACAGTGCCTAATGGTTCTTTCAAATCAAATTAGTCGTCAACGTCCGAAAACGTTGAGACCTTTATAAATCATTTATCTAGCTGTCACCAAGCAGAGCGGTGATCTGAAGACGCGCAACAATAGCGGGCTGTGCCGACTTTTTAGGCAACGAACCTGTTTATCTGTCGCGGCAATCTGTTGTGCACCTCTTGCCTTCGAGGACGTTTCAATATTCTGTGGCGAACGGGCAAATCGAAGACTAAGTGTCCGTGATTCATATTGGCCAAATATATGGGGATAATTGTAACGGGTAATCACAGCTTATTATCGCTAGCAGGAATGCGCGAGGGGCCTTTGAAAATAGGGAATGCAATTAGCACACAGCGCTTCGCCTTAATTGTGTGGGAAAAGGCTTGGATTATGATGATACTGTGGACACGAGAGGTGGCCATGTCAGGCCTTCACGGGAGTTCTTTAGTGCTAATTAAAACTCAGTTGAGTGCTGTGCTAAGGAGGCATTGTGTCGTTCGTTAACGGTATTTAACTATTTATGATTACGTTTTGTTGCAGTTCTTCGCGTTAAAGATAATGGGAAAACGTGGAAATTAGATGTGCTTTTAACAAGGTGAGAATTAACAACACATTCGCTTTAAATTCTTGTATTGTTACCTTGAAAACAATACCTATAATATATTGGTAACACCTGCAAATATTCGTAAACATGAAGTCCACTTTAGTACATGTTATTGTCCTTAAACCTCGTTGGTTTAGAAGCAGTTGTTAAACTGCCACTTCGGCTGAGACCTTTCGAAAGAAACCCAAAACGTCACATCTCATGGAAGTACATACACAGGAACTCCTGTCTCCCGGGCCTGTAGCACTAACGAAGTGTCATCACCGTGTAATAGGTTTTTAAAGATAATGCGTTTTTAAAAGACGTTCCGGCCAGCGCGTCAACTCATAAACGCGTATAATCGAGAAAAAATCTGGTGAGACGATTACAATCGAGAAATCCGGTTAGTTTCGCGTATTTTTGTCACTCTAGTGTCAATACATGCTACGTGATTGTGCTCTATGTTGAAGCAAGCATAGCTTGTAGATCTCAATGTGATCACAATTAACGATTTGGAGACAAATTGGAAACAAATGTTATAGATAGATAGAAAGTCGTGACGTGCATGCATTAAACTTCTGCTGAATTTCTCGCGAGTCGATGCATGCCCTACTCGGACAAGTGTAGACAATTCACGATGCATGAAATCCAAGATTAATTCTGATAAACTGTGCGAAGACAATGTCCAAAAAGAACAGCTGTTCCTTTGTTTAGTTTGTCATTCATGCGTGTCTTTCTATTCGCTTCTCGCTGGTATCGATAACAACTATCGTCCGCTTGCCGCCATAAATGCTTAAGGGTTCTGTAAATTATTAGGCAGGTCCTCTTTATCGATCCATTTGATCTTGGGTGAAATCACACACATTCACACGATAACCTAAACTCAATTCTCTGCTTTTTCCACACAATGCTTTTGAAGGAGTCTAACCTCAGTTGATACCTCTGTTTGGGACGAATTTAACGGGTATTCTATAGCTCGTACATCGAAATTGGTTTCCCTCCTGTGGCATCACTTTTCTAGAACGGTCCTCGATAACTGGTCTGCTATTATAGAAAACTCGTCTAGTATCTTGGAATAGATAAAGTAGCTATCATAGCATGCGCTGAATGATAGGTTTATATTTAAGATGTCAGGGAAAACACGTTTCGGACGTTCAGTGTGGTTGATTAAATAGCCATGGATATAAAGGTATCATTATGCCCTGCAGCCTTATACGATAGGGGCGTTTGTGTACAACAAAAATATCAATAAACATATTACGAACCCGAGTGAACATATTTGAAATAGTTTCATAGTGTTGTACACAAACAGGAAGTTTTAAGCTCGTGTTGATAATTACCTGCAACACAACACTCTATCACGACATGACTCTAGAGCAATTAGAAAATGATATCCAGTTGAATAAAAAGGCATTTTTGGCGAGCTTTACTGTATGTCGATGGCTTGTCTAGACAGGACTCTCAAGGGCTTGAACAACAACGGCTATTGATAGGAATAACAATTATTTGCCAGCTTTATAAAAGGGGTCGTGGGTTCGCTCCTTCTTATGTGCAATATATTTCCTTGAGAGAGTTGTTTATCATTTCATCAACGCCATCGTCTCTCTCTGTAACAGCTTAGCATGGTTGTGGTTCTTGCTGGAGAAATGAACAGTTATACACGTCAATTTTGAGTAAGGTATATGTGTACTTCTGAAAGAGAATTGAAGTTTTTTAATTTTTTGTTAGTTAGCTGATTTTCGGAGCAGGGCGTAGAAGGGCGGCTTAATTGTATTTGACATCATGATGGATGCGATGTCACGACGGTGATCTGTTTCCTTGTGAAGTGTTTTCTAATGTTTCAATAACACTACAGGTTCTATATCATAACACAGACAGATCCAAACTCATCAGTTCAAAATTCTCGAATCTCATTCCTATATGTAACGGAATGGTCGATGTTTCTGACCAATATATTACGTCAAAGGTGAAACTAACCAAATTAACACTAAAAGATTTAGAAATTAGTTTTTAATTATTTTCTTCGGCGGTCCAATCAGACCAATTAACCTACCAGTTCTATGATGAAATTTTAGACTGCATGGTTTCTATCCCAGAGGGGAACCGTCTTTATGTACTAACTTTAGGCGTGTATATATAGGATTTGTTTTACCCTTCTTTCATAGTAGCTTGTGATGTCAAACTGAAAACGACCTTATAAAAGAATACAGCATTCATTCGCTACAAGCATTTTATCAAAAGACGAAAATTGCATCACATTTCGAAGGAAGAATTTCGAGTGAATAAACTGGCCTTCAGCCCTCCTTAACAAAAACAAGGGGTAGAGAGTTGTTTTCGCAATAACTTTAACCATAAATAAAGTCGTGTTTTTCGCACTTTGCATATATAGCTGGTCACGTCTGAAAGTTTACGACCAACCTTATCTTTCCCACCATCTTCTGCCTCTGTTTATCGACCTCACAAAGCTTCTGACACCCCGGATATTTTCGACAGAAGCAAACGCAATTTGAATACAAAGTAATACCTTTTATAGTAAAAGTGAACCAGCAACCACTAAGCTGATACTAAATGATTAATTTCGCTTTCCTACAAAACGTGGGGTTCGTCATATTCAAAACAATGACACAAGAATCTCGTTATAAGGTTCTAGATTCGTGATTTCTGTATAAAAATTTCTCGAATGAGTCCTATTGGATTAATGCGGTTTATCCGATACTAAACTGAAATGAACTTTTGTTCTGCATATCTCACCTGGGTCTCCATAAATCCACGACAGTGTGTTCGTTTTGTAGTGCATGATTTTCCAGTTATATGTAGATATGCGTAAATCCTTTATGTATCACACGATGTGATCTGACTTTAGCCTTTTTAATGAATCGATAAGAGTCATAAGACTGAGAAACGGCCGGGGCATGTTAAAATGTCATGCTTACGATTCTAAAGATAGTGGTTTGACGTGAATGCTCCCGTAGTGTTATTTATGACTCGATTAAGAGTAAATATTTACTAATTTATTTAATTTGTTATGGTTTTTAAGAGGTAAACTTTGCGAGAAGCACGACAGAACTGATTGATAGCTGGTGAATCGAGAACATCTCGGAACGTAAGGTAAGCATTTTGGTTCTATTCATAAGTTGTTGTCTGCGGTATTTTACAATTTAAGATTCGTCTGTAGAAACTATGGTTGAATACACTAACTGTTTGTGAGAACCGTCAGTCAAACTGCCTAGGTTTTTGCCAAAAACAGAACACGAAACATTCGAAGGGCATACGAAAGACTCTTAGACTTAGTAAATTGTTCCAATTCACTTTGCAATGTTTAGCTTCAGCCAACATTCATGTTCGCATCAGTTTCTCATGACGAAACCCGGCCTAATATCTTGTGAGTTCTTGGCTTTCCTCGACAGATCAGTTCACATGCAGTAATCTTTTCATCATCTGATAATGTACCCTTTCTCTGTTTCTAATGCTACCATTCTTTCATACCACCTTTTTGCGTCTTCTCATGTCGTGAAAATTTCAACAGAAGCGATTTGCGGAAGCGATGGAAAAAACTGAATTTTCTCATCAATCTTCGCTCTTAGTCCAGTTCCGCAAACTGGATAACGCCTTCAGCAAACATGCATATTTAGGAATTAAATCTTACAAGTGCCATTAGCAAACCCCTTTATAGTTATTCGCGAGCGCAACTTAGCGGCTTTTTTCGCTCAACTTTGCAGGGTTAAATGTGAACTAAATAGATTTAAAGCCAGATAGTATAAAATCAATTGCCTTCGGTACCGCGAAAGATTGATGTGGTTTCGGACCACTCTGTTTGAAACGGAATGCGTGGCGGGGATGCAGCAATATCTAAGTTGTTCAACGGGGATTATACCATTAACGAGTGTATAAGTGCTCGCGAGATTTTTTCATCAAAGCAAAGATATTTCCGCTGCTGTTTTTCAACCGCTAACGAGGAAGCACAGCTGTAGTTTGCAACCCCGCGCCTGGTGGGGAGATAAACTTTATCTAATATCGCAATCTCGTACCATTCATGAACCAATAGACTAGCGGTCTCAATGAAATCTCTCAGTTGGGTAATTTTAAAAAGAATGCTTAACGATGTTGTTTGTCAACAAGAAGAACTTCAAGGAAGAACGATTTCATCCTCTGACGATAAATCATCCGTTTTTATCCGTCGTATGCTTAGCATTGTACGAATTCTGCGTAAAGCAGTCAAATGAAGTCGCGTTAAGGCCTAGTATTTTGAAGCGTTTTATTTTGTTTACGATATCTCGTGCGTTTCTCTCAAATTCGCACGCTGTGAGCCCGCTGTTTCTTTCAACGTCCAACCAAGATGAAACTGGATAATCCTATTTCGAAAGGTAGATTTCACCAGAAGCCATTGTTGGCGGACGGACGTGCGTGCATTTATGGCTTAACTCTTAAGAGAATCTTAGAAGTGAAGGAACTATGATATACCAATAGGATTATGAAAGGTGCTTGAAAAGCCATTAAACGTTCTTGCCGTACACTGAGTCACAGTTCTTGGAACACACAGTTATTTTGGCAACGGCGGAACTTCAACGTTCTGCCCGCTGGGAGTTGAAGCACGAGCACTTCGAAGGAATTGGTCACGACATATCGTCTTCACAGCTATTGTAAGTGTTTGCCAAGTTTATACGAAACGTTTGTCAGTTCCATCCGGCTTTCTGCTTTTGTAATGTGCAGTACTCCGCGAATTCGTCGCCGAAAAACTATGCGGGCCTTGTGGGGTGGTTCGGAGCGCGTGGCGGCCTCTTTTTTAAAGCACAACTGTCATTAAAATGTGCTACTGGAACTGTCTGAGTTAAACAACAAACTCGGCTTCTTGTCGATTTTCTCTTGTGCCTATATATGCGGTTACTAACCCGCGTGTGATAACTGGTTGCGCGCAAGTATACAACTCATCAGCCTAATTCGTTTATACACTCAGAATCTTGTGAAAATATACCCTTAAATTGCGTCAGTACTGAATGATGCGATATAGAGATATAGATCCGTGCGTCTTGATGAAAATTGTTTTCAAAGAATAATTAGGTACATACTGTGAAAGCGCGTGCAGCGATTCAGTCTTGTACGTTCCTTGCCTTTTCTGCGTCTGCAAACGATGTATGCTTCAATTGAAGATGGACGTTTTCAACAATGAATTTCTGTATATATCTCGTTCCAAACCATTAATTACTATCATATGTTAACAGCGCGCGCGTGCGGCCTGATGATTTGTCCCGCTATGTATGCTAATCTCTAGTGTTCATTGTCTGTAAGAATAATAAATTTCTCAAAAAATGAATGAATGTGAGGACATAAAATTTGCATAGCGGGCGATATCACCATAGGCCGACAGTGCAAGTCATATACAGTCATATAGTTATACTTTATTTAACCGTGCTGACTTCATACATAACCAAAGGAAATCCCGGCCGTCCCAAAGGGAAGGATTCTTTTCATCTCACACCAGGAGCGAAAAAGTAAGAAGCATGCTATAATCTATTTACCAATAAGTGCGCCTCATAAGCCTGGCCTGAAGTTAGAATTGAAATGCATCAGCCTTCTTGCAGGCTAGCATGCCGATGATAGTTCATGTCATATAGGACCGCCCGAAGGCTCGGAGTAAAGGTTTTGTGAAGATCTAAAGGTTAATTAGCGACCAACACAGTCCTATCACTTCAATGAAATTTCATTTATTTAACCTGCACTTGACCCTCTTGAAGAGGATTTGAATAAAAATTTGAAAAAGCCAGTTCAAAGTGCCCTGCATATGAAAAAGTATTTGTAATTCAATAAACTTATTCTCAAAAATTACAGTGCGGTATTTCCGTAACCGTTAACAAAGCTCTTGTTCACATTCCATGAATTCGTGTGGAATTAATTCATGAAATTCATCTTCTTTGTTGTTTCAATTGGCAATGAAGATTTTCGACAAGCAAGAATGGACTTCTGGAAACTATAGTTTCTGTTCGATATACCAACAAACACTCATCAGTTCACTGATAACAAAGAATGCGCCGTACGCATGCTAAATATGTTTTTGGATGCTGAGATGTCAAAGAAGGTCTGGAACTGCACGAAGAACTATATTGAGTCAATCAGTAGTTAGGTCCATTTTATAAAAGCGGGAAAGCGATGAGATTGAGCATTTTATAGTAGTAATCTTTCATGTCCGGCATTTTCTGTTTGAATTCTTTGTTCTTTGTGACCTAAAGATACGACTTTATCTTCTCTATTCGTTTATATGTGACGTCATGAATGATATCATTTGGGCGCCATTTTGGTTCAATTTATTTCAGCTTTTCACGGAAAAAACCTTTTTCTGCAGTTTACTTCGTGGCTTCCCACCAATCCTATCGTAACACCGGGTGGACGCCATTAAGATGAAAACAAGTAAAAATGAAATATGCGACTTTGGGCACACGTTTGTGAACCGATATGCCATAAACAAAAATGAATCTATAGTCATTCTGTCATCAAAAAACGAGTGCTGACGCCACGTTTTTGTTTATTAGCGGCCGTTGGCATGAATCATCAATTCTTATCAGCCAATTTCCCCCCCCTCCTCCCCACTCTATCCCGCAAACTAACTAGAAACAGTCGTTACCATTTTGCCACAATAGAAACTCACACTTTGCCGAAATTGCATTCATGGTATCATAATCTGGTCGATTTGACAGTTGCGACAACTTCGCAAGAATTTACTAATTACTTTCATTAATGAGTTTTGCAGTTCCCTAAAGGCTTAATTCATACTCTGACCTTTGTGCCATTTGCCCTTTAATAGTGAGAAATTAGACTTTAATAAAATACACCATCTTATATGTGCTCGTTAAACATCTTCCTTGCATACTTTCACGTTCCTCGTGGCTAAAATCTTCCCCCCAGAAACAGGCAGAATTTCTCTGTATTAAAACGAACCAATTCGTCCGCAACACTTACGTATTACGGGTTATATGCGTGCTGCACCGCAGCAGAATTCATTTGTAACAAACGTTTTCTCAATCAGTGACTTCTATTGAGTTATTTGTATGAGTTGCCCGTGGCGAGTGAGAAGGAAACGAGCTTGTTTATCTAAATAAATTATCCGACGCAAACGGCTGGGACCGCGTGCAGGACTTTGGGTATAAAAAATCGATGAAGCCGCGGGTAGATGATGCGCAAGAATTCAAGGCCTGTGACTCAGCAATATCTATTTTTTTTTCTACAGGGATATTGTTCATCTGTGGTCCACATACTGTGCACGCTCATTGGCAGATATAGAGCGCTTTCTTTGGAGGAAATCGTGTTTTGCTGAGGATCATATCCGGAAAACAGGTCTGTCACAGTTTTGCTATATGCTAAGTTACGAATTCTGCACACATAAGGGACAGTATATTTCTGGTTGCCCCCTAGTAATCAGAACATACAGTTCTGCTTGATAGCTTAGTTATCATGGAAATCAATTGTGCCACGTCCATGTCATGTAACGATCATACCTTATGCCATGGAATCGGTGTCCAAGCGCGAAGTGAACATAGATTAATCCGTATTTCCACTCGAGGAAAGCCAGCGCAGTTATAGCTGAACTCAAACGTTTAAGAATATTCTCGCAAGCGACCTAATTGTATTCAGACTGCTATGGTATATGCGCAGGCGTGACCGAATGACCTCACAGAGGTGTAAAAAATACTGTCGCGTCCTCTCAACTGGTTTGAAAGCAAGCCGGATAGGTGGAACAAAGCATATTGAAGGCGGAATTTTGAATTCATCAAATTCTTGACGAGTCGATTGTTCAAATCATATATACTATAATATGCTATGAAGTACACGTACACGTATCTGTTTGTATGTGAATTCAGGCTTTCAAATTCAGGAATTCAAAAATTACTCTTGAGTCTTCACTGGGATAATCAGTTGGCATGTAAGACGTGAGTGGAACTCCATTATTTCATACAGATAAGCATTTTGTTTTCATTTTCTCGCGTGTACGCCAAAGTACTGAGCTGTATGTAAAGAAACCGAATTTTTTGAGGAAAATTCTCTCAATTGTCAATTCAAACAAGCAACGTCAGTCGCAATGCTCTCAAACTCGAGTATTCATAGAACTCAGAGTAGTATTCACTATTCAGAGTAAGCAAACGGCAGATGTGCTTGTTCGCCCAGCTGCTTTTGAACCGTTTTCCTTGGATATAAACATACGTGAGTCAACTTCAACGGCCTTTTGATTATTTTTGCAGTTGCTGGTCACCAGTTTTGGCGTTTAGCCTGACATGACAGACCACAAGAGAGAGATGACACCCTTGCACATTTGGCTACACGTCCAGTCGGCCTTCCTCGGCGTCATATTCATCTTAACTCTACTTCTGAACAGCCTTCTTATTTTCGTCCTGCACAAAATGAAATCGAGGCGCTCGAATCGAGACTGTGCTAGTTACAACATTGAACGTTCCTATATGTACCTGGTCTACCACCTTGCAATCTCAGACATGCTCGGCGTTATCCTAAACATCCCCTTCGACATATTTCAAAATGCTGGCGTAGCGTATTTCTTCACGACAGCCGGTTGTAAAATCCTGCCCCCGTTTCAGCTCGCCTCGACGACTGCCCAGGCGGGAACCTACGTTGCCTTGAGCTACCATCGTTTCAGGGCGATTGTACACCCTATACGCGCAACGTTAACGGTGTACAAGTCGTTTATTATGATCGCAATCATCTGGGCCACAAGCATCTGCCTTTCCATGCCGTACGTGATCGTTCATCATTTCAACGAGACCGACGGTTGCATTGAAAAATGGAAACCAGCTGCTGGAACTATTTACACGTTCACAATATTTGTCGTACAGTACGCTGGACCGGTGATGTTGATGGCCGCGTTCTACGTCACCATCGCGAGAACATTGCACGAGTGAGTATTTTTATATTATCCTGATTAAATTTACCACAATTTTCTAAACCAAAACATCTCCTAAATTCCTTGCAAATTTCTGGACCGTATTTCTCAGCTGTTTGGATGATGAAAACCAGGAAGTAATCTTTGGAATATGTTAGCCCTTCAAAGGGGATGTTTACCTCATCCCGCTTAGTCGATATAAAGCGAAACGTGAGATGACTTTGAAGTATTGAAATGAGTATATAAGATGAGCCTGGCAGTGGTGTAGTCATCCTAACAATAGCATGTACTTGTTTTGTTTCATAAAGACTTATTTCAATACCTCAAAATCATCTTACGATTCGTGGAATCTCTAGTAACCGAGCTCATGTAAAAAGCTCCAATGAAAGTTATATGAATTTCCTATGTCATGTATTTTCCTACGATGTTGTTTCCAGTCGTGCATTTTGAGGAAATGCACATTCATCTGGTACAATCATGCATTTATGTTTTTTTGTCCATTCCCGTTTAGCCATCGCGTCGCGAAAGAACTGGTTCACGTCCCGACCCAGGAAGACGTTCGCGCGCACAGGCATATCGTCAAGATGCTCGTCACCATAGTAACCGTCTATAGCGTGTGCATGCTGCCGCATCATCTATACTGGATTGTGATAGGATTCCAGCAAAATGTCGACGAGACCGTCAATAAGGCTGTCTCGAGCATTTCATATCTTTTCACGTACTCAAACAGCATCGCGAATCCCATCGTTTTCTTTTTCTACAACAAAGAAAGTCGCTATCATCTGAGACGGGTTTTCAAGAAATTATTTTGCCCGCGAACTTTAGACGTGCCGTTCGAGATCAAGAAATGGTCTGCAACGTGGTCGGTCGGGTCGAAAAGCGAATCCGAGCGCACGCGCGAGAGAAGATCTTCAAAAGACCATTTGAAAGTTGACAAGCTGTTCCCCACAAAGCCCGGGGATTCGGACCTAGGGGTGTCGTTACCCTGGGAGGCCCAAGTCATGACATCTTATTGTAGCTCGGAAAGTTACAGGGATTACCCCTCGTCGCCCCCACTGGTCGGCTCTATACCTGAATACCCTACTTCCTATGGTGATCCAGTTGAGTACACAAATGATAATACGAATTCCTTTATGTTCGCTGGCGAACCCCAAGGTACTCAAATTTTCACGGGGGAAAGCTTGGTGGATAATGATGACACGGGGGGTAAGGACGATGATGTTCATGTAGAAATCGCCGAGTGCGGTAGATCTGGTTGTGATGAGGAGTGTGTTACCAAGGAAAATGTTGGAGTGACCTCAAAAAATAACCAGGGGGAGGTATCTGAAGAAAACGATGAGGGGAGATGCGATGAAGCTCCCGGTTTGGGAGAAGAGGACACGGAAACCATGCCGGAAGCCTACGAGGATGACACGGCACGTGTTCAGCACATGATCGAGCGCATGATCCAGGATATAACACAGGAACTAAGTGAAAACGAGAGCATGAACATTTCGTATCTTAGTGAAAGTTTATCGAATAGCGACTGGGAGGCAATTGTGAGCCGGGGCGAAGGTTTGAACGGCAGCAACCTTGCTGGGACATCTGCGCAGGACCTCCTTAAGATTATGACGGGGTATCAGGAGAGTGAGAAGGATGTCAATGGATTTAGGGAACGTTTGGAACATATGCCAGAAACAAGAATGTAACCATTGTTGGGAAGGTGGGGTATCCGCGAATGGAAAAACAAACAACACCCTTCTCTTCCATCCCGGAGTCTATCATGCCGTCCTTCGCGCGGAATGGTTCGACGTTCAAAACGAGACAGTCCACCCTGGTTCACCAAGTTTCGCCGTTTTGAGCTTTGCTCTCTCTCTCTCATTGGGCGTTCCAGAACATCTCCCTAAGTCCAAGAAACTCCCTATTCAGTGCAAGGGCTGTTCACATGAGACCGGTTACAAGAGATTCAACGAATCGTGGGATGATTTTAAGGTATTGAAAAAAGTCTTCATGAAGGCAAATATCATGTAAACAGCCCTCATTGCCAAGATAGCAGCGAGCCTCCTAATAGGCTGGTTTTAGAAAAACCTGCATATCGTGAGTGATATCGTACGTCCAACGAAGGTTTTCAATGTAAATAGAACGATGTTGTATGAAAAAACGGAAATAAGATAAATAAACTTTAATCAACCATGTATCGTGATGAAAATTTGCATCTTTCTTCAAACGGACCCGCGTGATCATGAAGTGATCATGTGAAATTTTCTGCGATTTTTATATTGAAGAATAGACTTACGCCTTGAGGCTTATGGAATAAATTATATTTCATTGCTATCAGGTACCTGTTCAAACATATTCAAGTGCTGAAGTGCGCTAACTTGATTAGGTTATTAGCAATAGGATATTAGGTTTATTTGGCGGCTGTAAAATTACAGAGTATTGTGTTTCGTAGTATAGAATTCTTTTGACAAAGGTTTTCCGGTGTTGCTTAGTTCCCTGAACAAGCGGTCTTTGAGTAATCCTTGAACAGAAGTAGTTACAATAGAAAGCGATTAGCCGAGCTGTTTTAATAATTAAAGATCGTTTGATATGTTTGATGTCAGTTTAATCGATAAATGCCCATGGTTCTCTCTCCCAGTACAATACATCACAAAGAGCGGCATAAATTGAAAGCAAAAAAACACTCAAGCTGCCAGGACTTACCGCTGCGTTTAATTGTTTCGTATATCAAACAATACTGGCATGACTTCTGTCGTGCATAGCTGAGAAAGTCGGAATACAAAAACATCCCTCTGGCAGTGAGAATAGAGCTTTTACAATGCTGGCAAAATACCGGCAGGACATATTTTGATGAGCGATATTGGAAAGCAGCTTCGGAGTCAAGTTTTAACGCAAAACACATGTGGAATTGCTGGTAATTTCATGCTAAATTTAGATTAAACGTCACTCAGGCGTCATTTTTAACGACCTTATAATCTCATTAGCATAATTTGCCTCCTACGCATTCGCAAGGCTTAGTGGGAAAATTTAAAGATGGCTACCGAAGAAACGGTAAGTTTTTGTTAAACAGTTTATATTTTACTTTTTTTCTCCGTTTGCCCTCACCGTTTTTGTGTAAATATGTGGTAGAAGTGTTAATCAGTTATGCCGTTGTGGAAATACCGGTTTAATTACAAGATTATCGTTGTTAATTCCGCTTAAAGGGGGCTACATATGAATGATCCGAATACAACAGAATGTTGTTTTAATAATGTAAACAAACTTTGGCGATTGCGGTTCGGCGTTGATTGAGTCCTGTTCAAGCGGTGTCTCGTTTGTGGTCTTTTGCCAGTCTTTATTAAGCTTCTCAGCATGCATTGGTTTTACTATATTATGAGGTCTGAAGGGATTTTTCTTCACGAGAAGCATGTGGAAATATCAAATCTCGTAATCGGCGCATATTTCGTTTCAAGTAGTATAAATGACCGTTGGCTATAAAAGATAAATTAATACAGTTGATGCTCTTCCTGTATTTGTGCTACAAGCAAAAATCGTAATTTTTACGATGTCATTATCATTTTAAAATCTAGGCTTTCTAAATTCATAGGAGTTTATAGAACTGACTGTTCATCGCATGAGAATTGAGAAATAACATTTCCTTCATGAGTCTTGACAAAACTCACGAGTAATATTTGGAATGTATCAGTAGGAAAATCAATATTTATTTGTCTCCTGATAAACACTACTAAATTGATTTCATAGAAACACATGTGATTAAGATATACAGGGAAAATTTCCAAAATCATGATAGTAACCTTAATAGTAAACAAAACATTAAAAACAAGTCTTTGAAATCAAAGATAAGTTAAAGATGCACTTGAGTTGAATATCATATATGCTTTTGTTGCAATTCCTTGCTCTGGCAGTAGACAGAGTGAAAGTTGTGGTGCACGGATATATCACCATCAAATGAGTTGATAAAGTGATGTGGAGACGTACTTTCTGACTGTCGTTCAATTTCAGGACTTGTTTATGTCCGTGAAGCTTGAGGATAGCCGGAGGTTATGTAAAGTGTCCGTCTCCTCACAAACGACAGGGCAGAATATCATTGAATTGCTGAAACCTGATGACGACAATGTTTATTACTTGGTTGAACTTTGGAAAGGATGTGGTAAGGAAAATATGATTGTTGAAAATGTTTCTTGTTGATTTTTCTCCTCCTAGATGATATTAATTTTTCTCTCTGCATGTTAATTTGCTCTTCAGAACGGCCAATCGCAAATGAAGAAAAACTGAAGAATGTGTTGTTTCAATGGGGAAGCGACATCGATGATGTTGTATTTATGTTGAAAAGAAAACATTCTACCCCAAGACAGGTATGGTTTATCAAGGAAATTTTCATTCTGTACACCCTAATACAGAAGTAAGCCTGCTTTATAAAGAAAAAGATAAAAACATTCAATGAAAAATCAATGGATTTTTAGAAGCAGACAAGGTCACCACGCAATTCTCCTGTACAAGATCAGCTCCAAGGGAAACAGCAGAAAGTCAAAAACCTTGAGGAAGAACTTCAACAGAAAGGGAAACATCTCAAATCCTTGCGAAACAAGGAGACATCGAAGAACAGCTTAAGGACAAAATACGTCAAACTGTTGGAGTCGAGAGTTATCGAACAGGAAGACAAATTGAGCAGTTTACAAACTGTGCAAGATGAGCTTTTCAGAACCAGAGTTGATAATGAAAAACTAGGTATGAAAACTATGATTTTACTGTACTTGTTCAGTTACAGTAAACCACATTAGATAATTCTAGTAATTTTTAAATTCGTTTCCCTAAAATCCAAAACAAAATCTCTCTAATCTCTTTATGTACATATACAACTGTATCAGTTTTATATTGTTCTTATTAATCTCCGTGTTGTTATTACAGGAGGAAACCTAAACTAACTATATGCATGTATGCAGAATAGCCCTATCAGTTTTAAACTAATCTCTCTAAAGGTCCAGTCGAGATAGACTAACAGATATAAGATGTACCAAACCTCTCCATGATTTTTTTTTTTCAACAGTTCGTGAATTGGAACGGCTTCGTTCAATGTTCGCCTTGAAACATCAGCAGTTGGCTGAAGCGACAGCTCGTGTCGAACTGTTGACTAGAGAGCTAGCAAGAACCACGCAACCACAAGATTTTGTTGATGGTAACGTTTCAACTCTTGAACGAAACAAACGGTACACAACGACAACCCAAGCAGACCTTCACAAAAAGCACTTCGTGAACCAACATGGGCAGCGTTTGACCGAAGCCCAGTTATTACAGTTGCAAGCGAATATGGGATACCCAGCGAGTGGCATTTACCAGAATGGACAACCCGGCAAGGATATCCTCTTCTTGAAGCATGGTATTTTGCAAGAGCACGACGACCTGAACAGCCTGTTGTCATGGCAAAATGACGAAGAGAACGACACGGAAACGAGCGCGGATTCCGGGCACGTCTCGAATGATTCGCCATCCTATCAGAACAGACTGGGTCCGAATTTTCAATTTTACCCCAACCCCCCGGAGATGTATTGTGCGAAAGTTGAGCGGTTCGATTTTGACCAAGATCTTGGTGAGGCTTTGAAGAGCAACCAGGGGGGTGTCGGACCCGATGCTCGGGAGCTATCCGAAGTCAACGGATTATCTGGTTTGCAACAGAGGTACAAGTCGCATTCCAAGCCAGCATTCCAACCCCCCGTAAAGTCGAATCCGGCCCCGCAACTTTTTGTCAACACTGACTTCAAGCAGGGGGGTGTCGGACCGTTCCTGAGACAACAGCAGCAAATGAACCGCGGGTCTCCTCTGTCGACGTCATCATTATCGTCGATTTCTTCCGAATCATCAAGGAACAGCATCTCGTACCCAGGAAAAGACCCGACAAAACCGATGACCGACTCTCTGGCGAAGCCTTCATCTGGTCAGGTGAATATAAACAATGACAGGTTTAAGTCCAACCAGAATCCAGTTGAAAACCTGCCCGATGCAGGCTTCAAGAAGTCGAACACGGGCTCGCGGGCAAACACTCCTACGATCGAACAAAAGCCTTTCCTCCCTAGCGAGACTGCTTCTGACGCTTCGGCTCGCTCGGCCGGCTCGATATCCCTTTATCACAGGAATCGGGAAGGCTCGCTCGAAAACTCAAGTCCTTTACAGCTTGGATCGTTCGCAAAGGAACGAACTCCGTCGCAAACCAGCAGCAGCAGTTCGGAGAACTCAAGCATCCGTGCAAGAACGCCGTCGATCGAGAAACCTCCTGTGCCAAACACGTTGAACATTGCCAAAGCAAATGATGCTAAAAGCAGTCGTTTGTCGCCAACGGTTAGTGAAGCGGGGAATAGAGACAAAATCAAGAAACAAAATGCACAAATAAAACCGATGGATTCCCCAACGGCAAATAACCGATCCATAGAACAAAATGGACGCTCGTCTCCAATGGTGCTTAACTTGGCAACACAGAGCGCAAAAAGTCCGACAAAACAAAATTTAAATCGTAAATCTCCGACGATTACAGATCACCCAATATCTCGCGTGAATGACCCCAAGGGTTATACTTCCCCTGGGAATTATGACTCCAAAATAGGTTCCTCCGGTAGGGTGTTCGACGCCGGTAGATCCGTTGACCCCAAGGGTCAACTTGGAATTTTCGACCCCAAGGCGGATTCGTCCGACCGGGTGATCGACAGCAAGGGTCGAACCTCCCCTCGGGTTCCAGACTCGGGCGTGGAAGCGACAGTGCCTGATTCTCTACGTAAATCCGAAAAGGGAAGTTTGAATCCGACGCCCATGTCTTCCCCGGGGGTGCAGGAGATTTTGAACGACATGAATGCGATGAAAGTCACCGCGCGTGAAGTAAAACCGATTCAAATACAGACCAGAGCAGAAAAAGACTCCGATAATAACATTCCTGTCTTAAAATCATCCGAGAAATCAGCCAGTACGGTTGCAAAAAAGCACGTTTACAAACCTCCCAAACCGCTGCCGAGAAAGCGAACGAAAACACCACCGGCTCGAAGTTCCGGTAGTGAGGCCAATCCCGCAGTGACGTCTTCGCAAGGAACCACGGTAACGAACTCGAGCAGTCAAGGCAAAAAGCCCGCCACTCAAGCACAGAATACGGAGCAGAAGACTGGAACGAGTGTACCGAGCGAAGGACTTGGGACGAAAGCCTATGATTCGATATTAAGAAGTGCAAGAAACAAGGGAGGTATGTTGTTGAGTGAGATTGCTTCGGGTATACATGTAGGGGGATTTCCCTAATGCCCCTTTACGGCTGTACATATGTAAAAGTCTATACGACCTATCTGTCGCTCGATCGTGAACGAATTGTAACGAGTCAGCTACAGTTTTTATGACTGACTGAATACACTCGTTATACGTAGACGTTTAATCGTTTGAAACAAATTGTTGAAACGGTTTTGTTCCAAGTTGGGAATATTTCTTTGTTGTTTCTTCAAAGGTAAAAAGAGCGGCAAGCGAGTTAGCTTGGATCCACACGCAGTCTTGCTTCACGCTTCGCTTGAAGGCGAATTGGAACTCGTCAAAAATATCATTCACCAGGTAACATCAAACTTTGTATAAATGGTTAAATACCCAGGTTGAGGTCAAAGTTAGATGAAAGAGCTCATGAAAGTTTGCACGTTGTCTCTCTTCTGAATTGCTTTATAATAAAAAGGTTTACTTCCAAGCTAATATGTATTATTTTAAAAAGGTCGAAGATCCAAGTTATCCTAACAACGAAGGCCTAACAGCCTTACATCATGCAGTGTGTAACAGTCACGATGATATTGTGAAGTTTCTAGTGGAGTATGGCTGTGATATCAATGCCTCGGACATGCAAGGATGGTAAGATCAGACACAATCTTATATTAACCTGAAAGTTATCACAACTAGTTTCCATCTTTATGTTTTAATATTGATACACGTGCTTGTTTATTTCTGTATTTGTCTACGTGTTTGTTTAAAATCTTCATTTGCTATTGAATTATATTTGAAACAGTTGAGTTTGACAGATAATCTTTGGTTTGGATGGTAGTCATAGTATTGTGTTCACGAAGTTAACAACTTACTTCGATGTACTTGGTACCTTCACTGAGTATTCTCTGTTGTTTTTTTATATAGGACGTCGTTACATTGTGCAGCGGCAAACAACAGTATCGACATGTGCAAGTTCCTCATCAACAACGGCGCATGCGTGTTTGCAGTGACAGCAATCGAGGGCAAAACTCCGTCGCGATGTTGCGAGAGAGAGAGTGAGAACTTCGAAAAATGCGTGGCGTATTTATCAGGTAACAAAATTTTAGATTCGAGACCGACAGCTTGGGGTACCGGGCCAAGTACATTATTCACACTCCAGGGCAAAGATCAGTGGTTACTATATTATTACGTCATTCTTTTCGTAGATATGGAGAGCAATTTTGGCATATCAAACGAGGGCGTGGTGTACGCTGTTTATGCTTATCAGGCCACTCGTAAAGACGAGTTGAGTTTCGAGTGTGGGGAACGGCTCACGGTCATCCGTCGTGGTGACGTCAACGAAAAAGAATGGTGGTGGGCACGTGACACGCGGAACCAGTTCGGATACATTCCGAGAAATTTACTGGGGGTAAGCGTTGCAACTCTGCTGATCATTTATAGGACCCTTCATATGGGCCCCTGGGTTTTATTAGTCGAAGTTTATTCTCGTACTTTGATCGGCTTTCAAATTTGAGGAATAATTTGTGAGCCTGGTAGTTATATATTTTAAATTGCTCGTCGGCTTGACTTCTTTTAAAAAACATTGGAGTGAAAGCCAGTTCTTTCATACAGGATGAATGTCCGCTAATTCTTTTTATTCTTTTATTCATCTAGTTGCATCCACCTGTCGCCCCTGATGTTTGAGGAATGGAACAGAATCGTACTGACAAAATCTGAAATCTTACACTGAATTAATATCCTTGAGATTATAAATAAAGTTTATAATATCTTGAAGACTCGCAATTCAATAGTACCTCATCCACTCATGATGAATATAATTTAGTTGACGCGTATATATTTAATCGAACATATCTATTGTATAAAGTGTAAATTAATATATTAACATATCCAAGAGTAATGAATCATTTTAGCATCGTATTTTATTCAGAATAGTATTTAAGTCATTAAAATATATCGTGAATAATCGCTTGTGTTTTTGTCGTCATTATTTGTATATTTTGATGATAAGTATTTGTTTTGTGGGTTGTTCTTTTCCTTTTAAATTTACGCTGTAACGTCCCCAAGACATTGACTGATTGGTACAGGTTCTGTTCCATCTATGGTGATGACAGCATGAAGTACGTTGGAGGGAGCGGACGTCTTCTGGCCATACTGCTGACCACCTAGGTAGACGTTTATTGGACCGGGCTCGATGACCATTTGATCTGTATAAACAGCAAACTGTGCTGCTTCGATTGTAAATGACAACTGAGCAACCAAGAAATATATGGTTAGAAACTAGGCATTGAAACAACCAACCACCCATTGATACTCACGATGTAGAAGCAAAGATATTCTGCATCTTTATAAAAGAAAAACTAATGCACAGCTTTACTCACTTCGATCGATTGAGATGCTTCTAGGAACGTCCTTTTAACACCAACTAGTTGCATTTGTGGTACTGGTACCGTGGCTTTAGGCCAGTTGATGTACAATTGGGTGACCTGCCGAGAGGAAAGGTTTAACATGTTCACAGCTGTTTCATATTAAATTAAGCAGCCATTGTAAAATATTTCTAATCGTAAATCACCTCGTCTCCATTCCTGTTTCCAATGTTACGCAGTTCTGCTGTGACCACCGCCTGATCGCAAGGTTTTATCTCCTTGGGTACCACGATATTTGAATAGCTGAAGTTCGTGTAGGAACTAGAAAATGGACTATGTGGTAAAACTCCTGCTTTCTGTTTAAACTTTGCCAACTTTCTATGTTGTTGGCGAGGTTGACTGATGGACAACAAGCATTATGGATTGGTGGGGGAACTGCAGCTTATCAAGGTGAGAAAAAAGTTCAAAAATTTCTATTTACAAAACAAACAGTGATACAAATTGATGTTGATTAAAAAATTTGTTCAGTTAGTCTACTTACAGGCCGTATCCAAATGGGTAGAGTGGGTCACCTTTGAAGTATCTGTATGTGCGTCCGTCCATCGAATAGTTGGTCATATCAGGAACCTGTGGGAGGTGAATGGGTTTTGGTAAGTCATTTAAACTCCTCTGATAGATCGGGTTAGGACAGACTCTACTGTTTCATTGTTTCAACAGAAGAACATCAAAGTACAATGAAGATTTTTGGTATACGGAACGGGTAAAATTAGGACCCGTACAAACTTGAACAGTGAAAAAAGTATTCTTTGTCATGCATCAACCTGACTCATGCTAGCGGGCCAGGTATACGGTAGACGTCCTGCAGGATTCTCATATCCAAGAAGCACCGCGACCAATGCTTTGCCCGCGTTTTGACCCGGCAGGAAATTCAACATGATCACAGGAACTTTTGCCTTTGCCCAGGAAATGTCTACCGGCCCAGCGTTGTACAGCACGAGTATGGTTGGTCTCCCCACCGACACGGCGTCTTGTAGTAATTGTAGTTGATGACCAGGTAACGAGAGGTCTGATCTATCTCTCCCTTCTGCCTCAATTGTTATACCTAAATATTAGATTGTATCAAGGATGTTAGCAATCTTGGTCGACTGTTTAGGTGATGCTGAGTACTGTAGCTTTATCTGTTCTAACTCTTCTCAGTCCCTAGAGGTCCAGTACGTAGCCCTAACTAAACAAATTTTGTGCCGCACAGGATACCGTAAGCTCTATCAGTTCAGGTGCTTAATTCTGAAGGCATCGCAAGGCGTAACAACTAAGTTAACAAAAGATATAACCTGTCCCAAGACAAACGATGACCAAATCCGACATTTTCGCTGCATCAATCACAGGTCCAGGAAAATATGTACTAAAATGATAGGAAATTAAAAGGGCCAACGAATGGAAAATATTAAGACCAGCTTGCTTGTGATTATTCTAGAACCCTCGTACCTGCATTTGGGGTCCGAACAGCCAGGTAAATACGTCAACTTTTCGCCCATGATCAAAGAAAGTTCTGAATACGGTGTAGACACGTAAGATTTCTAAAGAAGTTATGTTTAAAATATAAGCTCTAGCTTACACTTTCAACAAAATCCTGGCGGTTTAAATTGGAACGTTTTTTTTATCCAAGTTCAAACAAGAATTGATACTTAATTTACACTTCCAACAAAATTGGTTGCTTTCATTGACTTGCCGTATTGTTTGGTGAATAATCTCCAAACAGTCCTGAGATGTTATTTGCAAATGGCCCAAGAAGCTAAAGAAACGAATAATAGAATGACAACACGATGAAGTGGGACAACATGAAAAAAGTTGTCTTGCTAAGAACTGTTTCAAAACAACACACTGTTCAACAACTTACTGTTATATTCATCGACAAATCTTTCAATGGTAATAAATTTTTGTCATTTTTCAGCATGACATACGATTTGACCGTTGCTTCCAACGATAACCTCCGGTGTTCAATGCTCTGTACCACGGACAAATTAAGGCTGTTGGGAGCAATGTTCGGTTAGTATAAACTATCGAGGTTTGGGCCTAGTCTAGTATAAATATACGATGTCTCTGAATTTGTGATAACTTTAGGTAAAACTTCCTTGACAATTTCTTTACCTTGTGTATGGATTCATTCCTGCTGGATCAAATTCTCCCAGTCTCATTCTCGTATAAAACGATGGCTTAACAAGATCTCGTAACGTTGATTCGTTTACCAATTTCTTTTGAAGAGAGAACAATTCATGGTTACACTTATTCCAAGGATTTTTTTGCTTGCGTTCATCTTTCCTGCCTCTCCCTACTCGTCCCTTATCAAGTTCTCGTCTTAAACACAGCCAACTCCCTCTCCCTCTCCAATTCCCTCCACTTCCTTTCCCTCTCCCCTCCTCTCCCCTTCTCTTCTCTCCCCTCCTCAACGTCATGTTATTCGCTCCTACCTTAGTCACAGCCTCTCCTAAATAACTGTAAATATTCTTCTTCAAAGAAGGCAGACCAAGCTCCAGATTGCACCCAGCATTCACAGCCGCAGCTGCCGTTTCAACCTCATTCTTCGTGTACTTATGGAAACTCAAAATAAACTCTACAAAGCAAATAAACAAGTGCTTAAAGGTAGCTTGACAATCTGAATCTATGGTCCTTGAAATTGCCATCCCTTGATGGAAAGAGGGAAAAATCCTGTCGGTATCTTCACCGAAGTAACACTCTAAGTCTTACGCGGTAGTAAGCTACCTTTGTGAGTTTACCTTACCTAATGCACCTTCGTCGCTGATAACATAACCTATATAAAGAAATGTTAAGGTCATTCGACATCAAGTATCACTGCAGGATATTCCAACCTTTGTCATAACTAACTCATGCACTCTAAGCTCGCCTGTTGAAAAATTGCTCACCTTTGAATTTCCATTTTGTTCTTAGTATATCGATGAGCAATTCTTTACTTGCACAAGCTGGAACACCATTCACACTGTAGAATTATTGAGACAATAACATTCGTATCTAAAATTATATCATCTCTAGCGAAACTGAAGCAAGTGCCACACGGAAACAAACCTGTTGTAACTACACATGATGCTGTAGGTTCCCGCTTCGACACATGCCTTGAACTGTGGTAAGAATGTCATGTACCAGTCTCGATCGCTGACCTTGAATTGAGGAATGTACATTGCACACACGTCAAAATCTCGTAGTTTTGTCGACGAGACGTTTTCAAACATTAAATAATTTACTCAACCAGTTGCAAAGCTTAGGTCGGCACTTGCACATCTTCAGAAAGTTGTCAAGACCTTGGGAGAACAACTCGTCAACAAACTGCATGTGGTACCTGTGCATTGAAGCTGAATCTACTTTGAGGAATATTTTCCGGTCCGCCATATGCGTCAAAATGTTTACAGCCTGCGTTGGCCAATACGTATCTTGGGTGATCTGGTGAATAAAACAATGAAGTAGAACTTTGATATGGTTCACAAATAAGCAAACGAAAACAAACAAACAGGAAAACGATTGACAAGCAAAAGCAAGTAAACAAAGTAAAGTACAAACGTCGATGTTTTATACCTGCCTGAAGCCCATAAACGAAGTGTTGTCCTAGGATTGATGTGAGGTAGGGATCCTCTCCGTACGTCTCTTGATTTCTTCCCCACAATGGATGACGCATAATGTTGATTACTGGACTCCTGGTTGAAAAACAATCTTCAGTACAGATATGCTATTAAAGAGAACACAACAGTTCGACCTACCAACAGCTGAGTCCAGTATGCATTCCATACTCCTTTTCTTTAACGTAACTGTTATGCTAGGGAAAAATCGAAATCGTTAGCCGTGATCTCAAGATCACTTTCCAACAGCCTCTTGTTTGAAATCGACTATGTTTTTAAGGTTTTCCTGCAGATATATTTCTCAGTGAGTTATCTTCGATTAATCGATTGTTTTCCCAACGGCTATGCCGAAAAAAGGCCCGCATTGTTCATGGCAGCTGGTTAAAAAAGGTTTTAAACTATAACCGTGGCTATTCTGATACCGCAACCACTCTGTTCGGAACATATTTCTTATGCTCACCTTTGCTCTAACTTCGACACCTGTCGCTCGGGCAACTTGGAATATTAAGCCAGGATCGAAAGTTGCTGCCTGTAAAAGATATTTTAAATTGTAATGGACTGTACCTAAATATTATTTGAAAAAGCGGTAAGACTCCTCAAAGAAACACGTCTTCATTACCATGCCAATGGACATTGGAAACGACGTTGCATTCCCGGCTTGCACATCGCCACTTAAACATTCTGTTCCAAACTGATAAGGGCCGATATTCAACCTAGGAATAGCTGGAGCAGGGCCTATATAGTCAAAGAACACACGAGCCTAGAATTTGCTTTTCCTGAGAACTACTACGATCTTAGCATAGAAGTAATCAAGAATTTACTATAGAAGATTTTTATAATCTTTTCACCTCCTTCCCTCCAACTTCCATGCGACATCTGATCAATAATTTCCTCCAGTGTCAATCGTCCTACCAAATCCTAAAAACGATTGATATGCGGCTGTCATGCGGGGCATTACTGCCTGGGTATTGTTGCATCTAGCAAGCAGTCAGCGACTCAGCGTTGCGCAAAAACTTGCCAATCATGTAGACCCATGGTTTCTGTACTCACATCTACTCTGACATCCCATGGAAGAGAGACGTTCATAAATGGATAATCTTCGTCACGATAATGCTCTTGTTCACGATGATTTTTGAGCGACGAACCATACGATTGTTCTCCATCACATAAAAGCAATACTGTAGCGATGAGTATGGTGATGTATCGTTGCATGACCTTGTTAATGTAATGTTTCGCTTGCAAGTACAGGATGTATTTTACAGGTTGAATAGTTGGTTTAATTGTGAATTTTCAGGCAATATAAAGACCTACTTCCGGGCCCAGCTATGAACTTGATAAATCATTAGTGCAATGAGAGGATGAAACTTGATATTATTAACATGAACGCAAGCAGTCCAGACTTATATGTATCAATGGGAGATCAAGTGGCATGCCCTACCCGAATTACTTCGAATTGTCAGATTACTCAGATATATGCACTGAGCTGTACTATCATTTCTGGAGGGAGTGCATATCAGTGGTATTGAATAAACAAGTCGAACAATACAATTCTTTGTTTGGACTTTGGGAGCTTTTGTTTCCTTGTTTCCTTAATAGGAATGATAAAAGTGTTCGGCTAATTTATTCAGATATCTGGTAGGTTTAAGTCACAATGGATTATGGATTATGGATTATGAGAAACAATAGATCCATACAGGATTGTCCAATCACAATCAGCCTTGTGCGAGGTAAATTCAAACGGACAAGTATACATTAACAGGCCGTAGTCGAGGGGAAGCTCAGATATGCTCAAGTCTTCAAGAAACAAGGATCACAAGTCTAATCAGAAGAAATAGAAGAGACCTTATGTTCCTAGAGGTTTGTTCCTTATGTTCCTGAACTTGATTTTATTTCTTTCAGACTAACACGTTGAAGATCTTGTCCAGCAAACGCGAACGAGCTTTGTTTAGCACTCCGGCAATTGCCGTCCATTGTGTTAGTTTAAATGGTGGTTGAATTTGAATAGCGAGTTTAGCGGCGTCTGATGGCCGAATTCTATCAAAATTCTCACTGCATCTTTTGGTTTAAGGCTTGCTTTAAATACGTAGTTGTCGATCAGGTAAAAGCTAACTCGAGTTTGTCTTTTCTTTTCCCGTTTTAAACGAATCACGTCGCGGAGTGAAGTGGCAAAGTATTAAAGAAATTTCGGACCGAATTCAAGTGAGTATAGTGTTCGCTGTTAAATCCTTGCTCGCTGTTTATGAACAGCGCCCTTGTGTTCCTGGAGGTTCCTGAACGTGCTTTTATTTCTTTTAGATCAACACACCGTTCTATCAAGAGTTGTGAGACTGGGACACCCGTCGAATGCCGCAAACAAATACAAAATCCTAACCTATCGAGTTTAAAGCGATCGATTTCCGTTTGGCTTTAAAAAATGTCGTATTCGATGCTTAGGCATGAATGCTCTCTTCTGTTTACCTCCTTGATTTTTAATTTTCGAACTACAGTTTTTGCATGTTCTCCCAACCCCTGGGTTAAACTGGTCGTTTCAAGTAAGGAGTAAATAAAAGTGATTTGGGCCCGATCACTTTTATTTTCTGGATGCTTGAACGGCGTTGCAAAAATTCGGTGTGCATGTGCAAAAATATGTCGCTCTCAGAGCGCCTAAACGGCTAAACCTAGCAATGAAAAATTCACGGCTACAAGGAGATAAATAGTTGAGTGCTTTTTGTCTACGTCTTTTTCGAAAAAAAAGTATGCAAGTATTCATGAAGTTAAATCTTGCTTCTAAAATGCGATGAACAATTTTGTGTGCATGAATAATTGCATGCTCTCTTCCAGAGAGAAACGGGTATTTTGTATTTGTGTGTGTCCATTAATTGTTATGGCGAAGAAGAAGGAACCAACAATGAGAGGTTTGGCGTAACGTTTCCAAAATAATAAGTAGTGGTTGTTAATTTTCCTGGTGCTCCAGCCACCATATTTCCCTTTGTTCATTCGTATAACCCCAATTATACATCGGGCTCCTCGGCCCTTGTATAATTAGAATCATCTCGCATTAGATGATGAAAGATCCGAAGACAGATGATGATGCACCCAAAGACAGATATCGAAGGACCCCAAGACCGATGATGATAGGTATACTAATTAGAGTAATGCATGATTAATGTAGTGCATGATTGATTTATTTTCGGATTAACTCCTGCTGGTGGTCTAACCTAGTATATTCACACATCAAGTGACATTTCACCCTTTTCGACAATGCATGATAACAGAAAATTTCTCACAGCTCTTATGAGAGCGTTTTCGAGCTTTCTCGATGAAACATTCCTAACTTTGTCACTTGTGTGTGAATTTTAACGACTTTTGGTGGTCTTATACAACTAATCTTTTTCTTTTATTTCTATTTTGAACCTATTTTGAATGTATAACAATTCGGTGAAGACCACCTTAACGGCTGCGAAATATGCATGATGGCTTTTAAAGCGTTGAAATGAAAGCAGCAAAAGGCAATTAGCATGCGCGACGCGCTCGCAACGAGAAAATATTATCGAATTCGTATTGGCCTAATTTTAGATTAATACGAATGTAATCGCGAGTGCTTATATGATCATATAAGTTCTCTGTTCAGCCTGTTATAATGCGAGCATTTCGAAGAAACGTCCGTCAATGGCAACAAAAATTTTACTTTTGGCATTCATTGAAGTTTGAAATGAAAAAAATTACTTCTCGATGTGAAGACACTAGCTCTCTACTGTTTCCCTTATTGGTATTAATTTTTCAGATTGCATGCAGTTTCAGCTTTGAAAATTCGGTTGATCTCAAGCATGAAGGAAATAAACGAAACCTAAACATTTTGACTAACTTGATAAAATGAATGCATGTATAACTTATAAGAATGAAAGTATAACTCACCACATTCCTTGCCATACCATATTTTATTTTGAACGATAACTAGACTTGTGGGGATATCTGGGGGATATCTGGGGGAAGACTGTTTAACTGTAGGTTATTAGTATATGTTGCCCCCTTGCCTGAAAAGCTAAATGGAAATGATGAGGGGGAAGGGGATATCTGGGGAAAGACTGTTTAACTGTAGGTTATTATTATATATTCCCCTCCTGCCTGAAAGGCTAACTTCCTTTAAAGAAGACTCGTTTGCATTTTGACACACTTACTATGTTGTTTAATTCCTTTCACGTCCTCCTGTCGAGACGTTGTTGAAGAAGACTGACCGTTGAAATTGGAGCAAAGAAACACGTGAAACACTGTTCACCAAAGGTAATTATACAGTACGAAAGGTAAGGGGTCATTACTGATTCTTATTGTAGTATACACCTGCATGATACTGAGTATTTGAGTTGCATGTTGGGCCCAATTACGTTTATTTCCTGCTTCGGTCAACCATAATCCAGAACGTGTGAAAAAAAATACTGAAAACGATTGCGTTAGGTGCATGTCTTAATAGAAGAGCGTTGTTGTCTACATCTGTTTGAGATAAAAAAAGCATGCAAGTCGGTGAATGTGAATGCCAGATCCTTGAATAATTGTTGCCATTGTCGGACAAAGCGCAGTTTAATTTCTAACAGCCTGCTGCTTGCAACGAACGATATGCGCGCTGCGCACGTTATACCACCAGCAGAATCAAATTTACGAAGCTCGAGAATTGCATTCCTAGGACTTTGTTCGCAAGAGCGGAACAAAGACGGTAAAATATAGATAAAAACTGAAATGTCATGTACGTGTCTCCATTCCGGACGATTTCTAATGAAAATACCAAATTCGGACCGCCGGTCAGGCAACCTGAAACTCAGGTTACCTTTGGAGGGTTTTTCTCCGGGCACTCCGGTTTCCCTCCTTTTCGTTTGGCTTTTAAAACAGTGTCCATGTCTGGGGCCAAACCGTATTTTACATGAAGTTTTCAAAAAAAAAAAAAAGAGTAAATGGTTGGCTTCTGGGTTCAAATCCCAGAACACTGTCCTTTTAAATCTTGTAAATTTGTGTCCGAAAAGAATCGGGCATGCCTGCTACGAAGTTCCACTGCAAAAACAAAAATATACGTAAAACCAGGGGGGCTTTGTACGTTGTAGCGAGCTGAGAATTGAGCCTGGTCAGTGGTAAATACTGCTGAGTTACGTCTGTTACGAAGAGCACCCTGCACTCTGGGAGTATGGCAAACAGGTACGTCAAGATATTAATGAACTATAGTTACATGAAGTATCCTCAGAAGCAGTATTGTTTCCATGACGACGGAAAGTGTGAGGGACGTCGACAGGTCACAGATTTACAAATCACAACACTTCGCTGGAAAATTTTCATGTTTTTGTAATTAAAAGTAAGTTTAATAAGTCCAAACTGTCTGAAAAGTAAGCGGCTGTTTAAAGGAATAGACTTAGTGAGTTTATAGTTTGTAATATTAGTTCAAACTCGAAGCTTGATCTTTGATCGTTCAATTCAATTAAAATATTGAAGTTTTGACCTAATTTCAGGCTCTGTAAGCTAATCTCCCAGGAGATGTTTTATTAAATGTGAACCGTTGATTAGATTGTTTATTTTTGTAGCAGTTGTTGCCGTTTGCTTTGCAGTTTTTCTAGTATTAAATGTTGTGGAAATATATAAAACATATTTAGATCGGTACGATCTGAATAAATTTTATCGATTGCTACATCATTGGTTGTCTATGGTAATCCATATACAAATCTATATAGCAAAACCTCTACTTCAAACAGGTAAAACTATCAGCCATTAAACAGAGAGAAATAAGCACATTTCTTACTGTCATTTGTAGTAAAATGGGAGCAGCTTTATCCAGCAGAACACAGTGGACATCTGCAAGCGACATCAACAAGGGAAAGCTGGAGTTTACACCACAAAATGAACTGTTGCTAAACGATGTTGTAAAATATGTTGAAACGCTGGTGAGCAAATATCCGTCAGAGTCTGAGGCCACATTCAAGCAACCATTTCAGTGGTATACAAACGTCAAACCCGCAGATTTTGGCTCGCTGAATTTCGGTTCTCTTGGGTATGATATACGGTAGGTATTTGTAAAGAGGTTTAGGATGTTTGATAACTATGACCTCAGGATCTAGATTGCACTAGAGTTCAATACTTTTTACCTGCAAGATCTTGGTGCAAGAGAATTGTTGATATTTTCATGAGAGTGCAATACATAGGCTCCAATTAGGACTTTGACAACCATAGATCAGCCTTGTTAGCTACAGCTAGTATATAACAATTTATGATTAAACTATTTTATTTTCCATTTTAGTGAAGATGGGGTGACCTCAGAAGGAAAAACACAAAATGGAGATCCACTTTTAAGTATTGAAAAGGTACATTTAATGGCCATGGGGAATTTATTTATTTTATTATTATATCCCAATTCCCAAAGTTGCCATTGTATGACCCAAATTTCCATTTGGTTATGATTAACCAATTTTTTGACGATTATATTTCAGCAAAGTTATGTAAGATTTAAATTCCCAGTTTTAAACCAGAATGATCGAATGACTTGATTACAAAGCAAAATCTCATCCATTCTGTCCAATACACATGCCCTTGAAAATCAGCCAAATTATTCAAACAGTGGTGTTCTATGTTCTTATGAAAGAGTCTACCACTCATTATAAATCAATAGTGTCTAAGTGAGATGACTAATATCTTATCATCTCCTGCTTTTGACAGGATGCCAATGATAGATTCTCCATCAATGTTTGGTCGTTTGAACAAATGAACAATGTATTGAAAGCCGCTGGTGCGAAAAAGATTAAGGAAGTTCAGTTGTGTCTCGAAGGTGTGTATAATATGATGAAATTCCACTCCAATATTAACATTAACGTCTATCAACATTTCATTTGGAGCTCTGTACATGAGGACGCATTAAAAAGGCCCCAGTATATTGTACGCCACATAGCCACCACCGGTTCCCACCATCACTTTCTTGTTTCCTTTTCAGCTAACCGCGATCCATTGGATAACATAATGGGCCCAGCATTTGCTACTGTCAGTAAAAACGACAATGCCCTGCTCAAAGCACACGAAGCCTTATCAAAAACAGAAAACTCGGGCAACGAGGAACTTGAAAGCAGATTTCGTTTAATGTTGTTGATCAACCAGCTGGATCTGCAGCTATTGTCTTCTTCTGTTGATCATATGGCGAAGTAAGTACAAATTATACGATGTACGTTATGCGAGCGCTGATTGGTCTGACCAATTTGGTCACTTAGTTTGACACGCGAACGCTCATTGGTCAATTAGTTTTCCACACAAGCGCTGATTGGTTGGTGTGCGTAACCAAGCCATTGATTTTTCCCGCCTAAATTTATTTCAGAGTATTTGTAGGGCATGTTTTGTTTAGAAACATTAAAAAAGTTCAGCGTCTCCATTTGAAACATCACCATCTTATATCGACAAGCAGACTTTTTAAATAAAACGCTTATAAGACAGCTCCACTCATAAACATTTTTTTGGCTGTTGCTCTTCAGGGAGACGCGATTGACCCCACAAATGGTTGAACGGGAATTTGACTTGCTAAAGTCGTTCTCAGGTTATGAAGCATCCTGTTGTCTTGATAGCATTGAATGGGTCTTAGGTAAGATCATAAAAATACTCTGTGCAGAAGTTTTGAAATTAGATTAGAAGAAATTGCAAGTAGCTAAATCTTCCACGGTACGGGCGAAGGAAGGCCAGAGGATTGGCAACGATTAGCGAGACACAAATGTTTGATAGACAATTCTGAACCTTTTTTTCTCTGTCACCAGATTATGAATTTACAAATGGTTGTCGAGCTCCACCCTGGCGTCAGGTTCACGGCGACATCAGCTATATCCTCGTGAAACCGTCCGACGGCGACAGACTATCGATTACTGCCGGGACGTCAGGGTTTTTTGAAAACAAAGGAAAAACCGAGGGAAACGAGGTGGATTATGAAAGAGCTGGAGACGTATATCCTAGCTTAGTCGCTTTACTGAAGGAGAAAAGCCAGCATTTTGCAAAAACTATTTTGACAAAGGTAAATTTTACAGTGGCTATATCAAAACTACGCGCAGTTTACACCAGAGATTACCTCCTTTTCCAAATTGATTGAACTAACAACAACTTGAACTAACTGAACTTTTATCTGCCTGCCTTCCACTGCTTTTACCGTCGTGAAATTCAGAAGTTTGTTTCTTATTCTTTAAAGGAATTTGTGAATCGTGAACCAGCAACAACAAACGGCGTGCAGACGTCTTCAAATATTGCGGCTGAAGATGGAAACGGCATGAATAATGATGATAAGAATGCTGTTCAGGATAAGAATGAAGAAGCTCCTCGCGAGGAATCAAAGGACAAAACTGATGGACAAAAGTAAGCTGTTGTAGAATGTAGTACATCGTATTGTAGGCCGGGTGTTTTGTATTGTAATGTGGTTTGATATTAATGGTATGGTACAAGTATATCGTGGGTGATGTAGCCTGTATTCTTGGGTGTGGTGTATTCCGGTATTCTGTGGCAGTGATGGTATAGGATGTGGTGTGATACAGTTATAATTTTCTTTTCTTTAGAAGTATAAACAGAATAAAAACTCCCGAAAAAAGCAAGCAGAAATCGAGAAAGAGTAAAAATATTGAGCCGTCGCCAAAATGGAAATCTATCGGATTTGGAAATGATATTTTGGAGAAGGAAAAGTATGTAAATTATTCACACAGATACACAGCTTTTAGCTCAGTCAAAAACATTAAAAACTGTTTAATTTTAGTGAGAAAAATCGACCCAAGAAAACACCAGATAGAGCTCCTGGTTCAAGAGCTGGGAACGCCAGGTATAATTGGTGTAATTGAAGTGAAACCTGATTCATTTCTCTGCTGAGTCTTCGTAAGACCGACTCAGGTCGCCACAACCGATTCTAAAATGGTTGTTTTTGTGCTCAAACAGTAAACAGTCTTCGAGCAAGGCGCCGGCCAAAGGAGATCTCGCGGAGGACTTTAGCGAGAGTTCGTCGGATAGCGAGGAAGAAGAGGAAAGTCAAGATAGAAGACAGGTTTGTATAGTCTGTTGAAATATTTTAGATACGTTTTTCCTGAAAATCTGCCTCTAATATTCTCTAACTAGTAAAAAAGGATACACGGGTCATTGGTAAGGTAAGTGTCCTTCCCTTCCTTTTCCTTTCACCCCCTTTCTATTTCTTTTTCCCCCTTCCCCTCTTTTTTTCTTGTGCCTTTACCCTAACCTTTCCGCCACGGAAAACGCCAAACTCGAAACTGATCGTGTTCGATATCCTGCACTGAACAAATCGCATGCTTTCGGCTGTCAGACTTATAGCCAGAGCCCATGCACCAGCGGTCTGAAAGCCGGCGACCTTAATTTCGCTTCTCTTTCAAAGGAATCGAATGCGGATCTCCCTTCGGAATATTGGCAAATACAGAAGTTGGTAAAGTACCTGAAGGTGAGTCATGCATGCAGAATCAGATTTATTTCACTATTGTTGTACAGTAAAAGATCGTTCATACGGTATTAAGTTCAGCAAACGTTACCCAACTAAACAGTCCTTTTATTCACCCTTAAACAACCATCTGTTACACAAATATTCGATGTAGGATGCCATGATTAGCCTGCAGGAATAGATGTTTTGAAAAATAGCATCGATATAATGGCTGTAGATGTTTTGTAATCCGTGTTCTTTTTGTTGTTTAGGGAGGCAATCAGACGGCGACCATTATAGCATTGTGTTCAATGAGAGATTTCAATTTATCGCAAGAAACGTGCCAGTTGGCCATCAGAGATGTCGGCGGTCTGGACGTGTTGATAAACCTCTTGGAAACTGATGAAATAAAGTGCAAGGTATAGGGATATAAATCTTTCATATGGTGTACATAGTGTGCGTGACTTATCGCAATATACGTACTGTACTTGGCTTATTTTAACTGTCGATTTTTAGATCGGCTCGTTGAAGATTCTCAAAGAGATATCAGTCAATACAGTCATAAGAAGGGCTATTGCCGATCTAGGAGGTAATTTTTTTCTCCAGCTATTCCATGCATATATTTCTATGCGTGCCGTCTCGTTCGTTTCCATGAAACATCCAGACCCTTTTCGCATTGAACAAATACAAATAAGCGTCCACCTTCTTCTTATAGGCTTGGAAACAATGGTTAAGATTCTTCAATCAACGGACAAACAGCTGAAATGCCTCGCTGCAGAAACCATTGCACATGTCGCGAAGTTCAGGCGCGCAAGAAGAACTGTTCGTAAATATGGTGGAATAACCAAGTTGGTATGAAAAATACACTGCTTTTGTGCTCTCAACCTTCTCTTTCTCTGTTGAATTTTGAAGGAATATGCAGTCATATAACTGATATTTTTGACGTTTGTCTTCACTTCTTTTGAGTGTTAAAATATCTTTGTCTATACTTGGTTTCTTGTTTCTGTTAAACAAAGAATCCTTCTAAATCACCAGTAGTTCACCTGTTTTGCCAACGAATTCTTGACAGATGTTTACACTTCGTTTATTGTTTGAAGTCGATAAAATGTTCAGACTGAGTAGTTTCTTGTCCATTACCATTAGACAAGGCGTCTTTCAAATTTATAGTCACCGGTAAATCACCTGTTTTGCCAACGAATTCTTGACAGATGTTAATACTTCGATCATTGTTTAAAATCGATAAAATGTTCAGAAATGATCTTTCAATTATTTCCTCGTCACCATTAGACAAAGCATCTTGAAAAAATCACCAGTAAATCACCTGTTTTGCCAACGAATTCTTGACAGTTATTTACACTTCGTTCATTGTTTAAAATGTTTACAAATTATCTTTTAATTATTTTATCGCTACCATCAGACATGGTATCTTTCAGAATTCAAAATCACCTGTCAATCACCTGTTTTCCTAACAATTTTTTGACAGATGTTTATACTTCGTTTATTGTTTGAAGTCGATGAAATGTTCAATAGTTCCCTCTTAATTGGTTTCCCGTCAACGCTTGACAAAGCCACTTCATAGTCACCCGCACGTCATCACTCCTTTTGTCAACAAAATTCAAAAACGTGTTTGCCTTTCTTCAAAGATTTAGTTGTTATTTTGGTACAAATTACCCGTTTCGCGGCAACGAAATTCTGAAAATTGTGTGTCTTGCTTTATTTAAGATGTTTGCTTTATTCCAGTACTTGTTTTTGGTGATATTGTTGTGAATGGACAAACTTGCAAAGGCTCTTTAACGTGTCACCAGTAAATCACCGGTTTATCAAACAATATTTTGACAGCTCTTTGTGATACGTAGCTACGTCTTTGTTGCCTCCAGCGTGGAATATTCAACTAATCTTTAGTTTACAATTTTACTGCTTTTCTTGCAGACAAAGCATCACACATTGATTTTATCCTTACAAAGAAAAAAACTAATGGAAATAACTTGTTGCGATGCAGGATTCTTTAATTAAACCGTAACCTCCTCGAATTCTCAAAGATTAATTAAAAAAAAATCAGATTAATCCAAAATAGTTACGAGATATCAGATGTTGTATATTTCCTCAAAATATTTGTCTTTCATTTCGCTTTTACAAACATTTTTCCCACTACATGCGTGTATTCGACAAACCAAGTTTTTTTTGTAAAATGCTGACCTCTTTATAGGTGAATTTACTGGACTGCGGTCTATTGTCAAATGCCGCCGAACTGGACATGAATGTCGCCAGAGCTGGCGCTCTCGCGCTCTGGAGTTGCAGCAAGAGCACTAAGAACAAGCTCGCGATTCGCAAAGCCGGCGGAATCCCTTTACTAGCTAGATTACTTAAGTCTACCAACGAAGCAATGTTGATTCCCGTCGTTGGTACATTACAAGAATGTGCATCTGAGGTAATCACGTATTCCACCCTACGTGCGGGCTTTCCTCTGCGGGCGAGGGAGGGTGATTTTAAAGAAGTGTTGTAATACTTTAATACTTTAGCAGTAAACGATAGCCCGTTAGGTATGAATGTACTCTTTCGCGTATATAAACATATGTAGCTACGCTTTATATTATCGACCAATCACCAGTAGGTTAACACTGTCAGATTCTCGTAAATATATGATCGAGGGTAACTTAATAAAAATAAACTAAATATATTTCATCGAGAGTAACTTGCATGGCTCGATGAGTCGACCTTTGCAAACCAAAACACTTCCATCTTCCTCTATTTTCCTCTAAAAACAGACACATGAAGGTTACTCGCGTGTTGGTTTATCATCCGCTTATTCTTTGCAGCAAAGTTACAGACTCGCCATTCGGACCGAGGGGATGGTTGAAGATCTCGTGCGAAACTTGAAAAGCGAAAACCAAGAGTTGCAAATGCATTGCGCCAGCGCCATCTTTAAGGTAGGAAAGAATTTAGCCTTTCTTGCGTTCAAAAATTACCATATCCAGCTCATTTGCCGGTCGAAAACGCATTTCTTTGCTATGACATGATGAGTTGTGTTTGAAGCTGCGATATTTATTCCTATGTAGTGCGCAGAGGATAACAAGACACGCGATCTTGTGCGTCAGTTCGGTGGCCTCGATCCTCTCGTGTCGCTGCTTCAAGCTGTGGAAAATAAAGATCTGCTAGCCGCCGCCACGGGTGCGATATGGAAGTGCTCCATCACTCCTGAAAACGTTGCAAGGTACATTTTTTCGTGTCCGGAAAATTTTAGCTTTTGCTGGATTTTAATTTGGGAAATGGTGCTATTTGGTGCATGATGTTGTTCGTCATGCTGACGTGTGTCACGAACATTGCAAATATCCTCAAGATACTCTATTCCCATTCCTACCTCGGAACTATTGAAATGACGCTGGGAAGGTTAGAAAATTAAGGTTGAAACGTGTGAACTATTACGGACGGTTATTGATCGCGTTACTATCTATTGTTTTGTTGTAAAGGTTTCAAGAGTTAAAAGCAATCGAGCAGCTTGTTGCTTTGCTGAACGACCAACCCGAAGAGGTACAGTAAAAATGAACACAATTTTTGTTATTGAGGATTGAGATTAAGAGTAAAGTTTGATCATGATTAAGATTAAGATTAAGATTAGGATTAAGAAAGAGTTTTAGGATTCAACAAGGCCTGATTAATTAGAAAGGCGATAAAACATTCGTTGAATCTAAACTATCCAATATCTGCAGGTTCTCATCAACGTGGTAGGCGCTCTTGGCGAATGTGCTCAGATCCCGCTAAACAGGTCCTCCATTCGCAAGGCAGGCGGTATTTCACCATTGGTTAACCTGCTAACCAGCACCAACCAGGCTCTTCTCGTGAATGTCACCAAGGCAGTCGGTGCTTGTGCAACCGAGGCCGATAATATGACGTGAGTAAAGTGAATGGTTTCCTCTACAGTTTCATCTTTTTACAGTTGTCAAACTAGATGAAAAATTAAATGTTCTTTTAGATTTAAGATGTTTATTTTTCTCTTGTGCTAAAGCGGCTGTATTTCTATTTTCCAGTATCATTGATCGTTTGGATGGTGTCCGACTTTTGTGGTCGTTGTTGAAATCTCCAAATCCAGAGGTAATGAGTTACCTCATGAGTCCGAACTGCTAGAATTGTTTGCTGATTCAAGCGTATATCTTAGCCTATATCAGATATGCACAGGATCTAATTCACGTATATCTCCAAGAGCTCCTCTAATTTTTCTCATGTCTCCATCACAGGTCCAGTCGAGTGCAGCCTGGGCGATTTGTCCATGTATTGAAAACGCCAAGGTACGAACAGTTTAACCAGAAACATTTGCAAGAACATAGAACATTTTGAAATTTCCAATGAAGAATCCTACCGTTGTGCATGTGATCAGCAAGACAACGACGAGCAGTGTCCATAACTATTTCCCTGGAAATTATATCTTAATATCCTATAATACTATGTATTGCAAAGAACATTCCGAAAGATCTTTCCTCGTAAATCTACTTCTCACTGACGTTTTTAGGATGCTGGTGAAATGGTGCGCTCGTTTGTTGGTGGTCTGGAGTTAATCGTGAGTTTGCTGAAGTCAGATGACAGAGAAGTAAGTTAGCTACTGCACGGTTTAATATGATTCTCATTCGGCCTTGTTATTCAAAGAACGACTTATCACCAATCTTTCCACTCGAAGCAGTTCTCGTGTAGTGCTATAGGCTCTGCTTTGATTGATTATGAATAATAGTGAGTGTCTTCTTTTGTGTGAAGTATTAAACTGGTCTAAAATTTTCTTTAGGTTCTTGCAAGCGTGTGTGCAGCCATCGCAAACATCGCTAAAGACGAGGAGAACCTTGCTGTCATCACGGATCATGGAGTCGTGCCAATGTTGGCAAAACTTGCTACGACGGTACGGCGACCATATTGCATGTGGATGATTAGAAATTCACCCGACGACTGGTAGAAGTCTTGGTCAAGCTTGTGAAATAGCCTGGTGTTAGCTAAATGAACAGCACAAATGATAGAAACTTTCTGAATTTGCTTCTTGACATTGAAAAATACCGAGCCAACCATCGCTGACATTGCCTGCCTCGTCTTCAGACTATTATTGTTTTGCGCCGCCTGTGCAAATTCGGGGAGTGTCTACTGTCATTTAACCAGTTAAGCATTTCAAAATACAGTCATTTAAAAGAAGGATTTTACCATTTCAGAGTGACGATCGTTTGAGGCAGTACTTGGCTGATTCAATCGCCAGGTATAAGTTTGATATAATTATTTTACAATGATCGCCTTGAAAGTCTAAACGCAACATTTTAATAGAACGCGAATTTCCTGAAATATTCAGACCCTTCGTCTTCTTCCAGATGTTGCACGTGGGGAAATAATCGAGTTGCGTTTGGTCGAGCTGAGGCTGTCGCACCGTTAGTGCGCTACCTTAAGTCCCCGAAACTCGACGTACATCGTGCCACAGCTCGTGCGCTCTATCAACTGTCACGTGATCCTAACAACTGCATTGCAATGCACAATAGCGGTGTGGTTAAGGTAAGTGAAGTTATAGCAGTGAATTTTAAATGCGGAGGGGGGGTGTCGGACTGCCACACCCTTCATGTTCTGTACAGCGCGGAATGTATAAGGTTTCCTTGACATTAGCTCCTAAAAATCGGAGATCCACTGTATTACTTTCCGATTGACAAAGCATTTTGCGCACCAGCGACCTCAGACATAGGGAAATCCCAGATTCTTAGGACCAAGTACGAACCAGGCTTAAACTATTAATCATTGTGTGTGGTGTGTTAAACCGGTTTTGATTAATTTTTTCCCAGCCCCTCATCGCAATGGTTGGATCTTCAGATGATATCTTACAGGAGGCGGCAGCCGGGTGCTTAGGGAACATTCGAAGACTGGCATTAGCCAACGAAAAAGCTAAGTACCAATGATGATAGTTATCGCATTGTTTCGTTGTATTTTCGATGATGTTAATTTAAACGCAGTTCGTGGATTTGAAATTTCTCTTCTTGATAATGTAAAATACTCGTAGGATTAACGCAACGACGTCTTGTATATTTTTGATGGTGGAATATCTGTATAAACTGTAATTGAAGTAATTAAAAAATCGCTTTATTTTTACCAGAATCTGCCTGCGCGGATTACAGACCTTTGATTGATTACAGACCTATGCCGACCAATCGATATGTCATGTCAGATGACAAATATCGCCCACTTGCAAAAATTCTCTCCAATGTGGAATTACCATACTAAGCAGATCGAAGCAGATATAGAGAAATTTTGCTAATTAGTGAAATTTGGCAAACTCATAGCGACCTATTTTCAAAATTAGGACTGAGCCGGTTGTATAAAAAGGTAGTTTACTTTTAACTATAGTTACTGGCAGAATTGGCCAATCAGAATAATGTATTTTCTAGTTAACCACGATTTAACTGCTTAAAAGGTAGTTATAAGAGTTTTATACAACCGGCCCCAGCTCTTTAAACCCTAGAAATACAAACATCAAAGACACGTAAGCTTTAGGAATTTGAACATACATGGTTGTAACCATGTAGTATATGATGTCGTATTACAAAATTCTGGCGGCACAATTTATACAAGTGTTTGTGCTTGTTACTAGTGAAAACAATTAGTTATCTATCACTGACCGTTTGGCTTAAACGGACCGATGTTTATACAACGCGCTCAGAGTTGTGCATTAATAGCAAACCTCTTCGCAACGCTCTTTCTGATGGTGACATAAATACTGACATAGATCTTTGATCGTCCCTATTTTGTAGTCGCATCTTGGCACTGCGCATGTCTCGTAGTCCATGAGTGGTGAACACACAGTGCGGCAGCCGACCTTCTTGTCAGCGGAAGCTTCATTCTTTTCTTTGCGCTCGTCGTCCTCTTTCTTTCCGCTAGCTTCGTCATTCGAGAAGTAGAAATCGTCCCCAGATGGGTTTTCGTATTTCTCGTAACTCGAGCCTTCCTCAGGTTTCCGGAAATCTTTCTCGGAATCACGGTCGCCGAGTTCGAAATTTTCGGCAATTTTCTTTCCATCAGTGTCTTCAAAATCTGAATCATCTGAAGAAACAAATTGTCTAGTCACATCTTTGTTAAGAAAGAGTTGGTTCCTAATGGGAAGGCGTTGGAATTGGAAGGTGAAATCCTTACATAACATTGTGATAAACACTACCAACTCAACTGTAAAATACGCTGGTTTGCACCATCCTTAAGAATATAGTTTACGCCACAGCGCATAGCCAATCAACCTACCTATATGAACAGGAATCTTGGATTTCTTGTCCCAGTCATGGGGATCTTGGTTTTTGACATTACTCTCGGACTTCTTGACTCCGATAGGATTTTTATCTTCATTTTTGTCGGCTGTTTTGGTATCGTCCTTAGCAACTTTCTCGTCGTCCTCAGAACTTTTGTCATCTTTCTCAGAACTGGTTTCATCGTTCTTCGAAGTTTTCTCGTCATCTTCAGAGGCTTTCTCCTCTTTCTCGGAACTATTTTTATCGTTCTTCGAAGCTTTCTCGTCGTCCTCAGAAGTTTTATCATCTTTCTCAGAACTATTTTCATCGCTCTTCGACGTTTTCTCGTCGACGTCTTTCTCGGAACTATTTTCATCGTTCTCAGAAGCTTTCTCGTCTTTCTCAGACGTTTCTTCATCCTTATTGGAACTCTTTTCGTCTTCATTGCCATCCTCATCTTCGTTCTTAGAATCTTTTTCTGCATCCTTAGAATCCTCGCTTTCTTCCTTAGAACTATCTTCTTTGCTATCAGAACTCCCTTTATCGTTCTCAGAACTCTTGCTATCATTCTCGGAACTCTTGTCGTCGTCTTTGGTATGTTCCTCGTCATCCCCGGAATTTGTATTCGCGTTTCCGGAGTCCTTTTCATCACTTCCAGCAGAACTCTCGTCGTCTTTTTTCGCCTCAGATTTCTCATCGTCTTTGCTTTTCACTTCATTCTTATCGGATTCAAGATCCCCTTCGATCGCGCCTGTTCCGCCCATCAAATCTCCATCAAGAGGACTGTTCTCGGTATCTTTCGGCTTTACCGGAATTTCCGATTTCTTCGAATTTGGACTCACGAGATCAGTATTATCGCTGAAACCAGTGCTACCCTTGTCATTCTCCAATTCCTCTTCAAGCGATGAGTCCTCGTCCTCGTCCGAAGCTTTCTTCGACTCCTCGTCCGAGCTTCGTAGAGTTTTTGCCTTTTCTTTTGAATTTAATCCGTCTTGATCTTGTGAGGCTTTATTCTTATCTGCACTTCGTTTCACAATTTTAGCGTAGGAATCATCGTTTTTCATCAAATCGTTGTCCAATTTCTGAGTATCGTCGTCCACCCAAGAGCGTACGGAAGTTTCGACCTGTTAAATGAAGAAATAAATTGGATTGATGCAAACTTCGATCCTTTGGCTTTTAGATCCTTAGATCCTAACTTTATCAAGCCTGTACTGTAAAGTTTCCTAAGCCCAAAAATTGCAGAAACGGTAGCAAGCTTGTCTATGAATTAGGCTATATATACTTGTAAATCAATAATATTCAACAATGTGATTAATCAACAACCTTGCAGTCATTTGTGAGCAAGCCTTTATAAACAGCCATCCGGGAGCAGGCAGATCACGATACAAGCGTGGTCTGCTAAAATAATAAGTATCGTGCGTTTACCTTCGAGCTTTTTTTCGCCTTGGCTGAGCCGGAGGAACCGACAAAAATGTCTTCAAGAGCATCGATTCGTTTCATCTGCTTCTTCATTTCCGCGGATAACGTGTCTGCCTCGTTTACTCCTGCCTGTTTAGCTTTGGACTTAGCTTCGATACTCCGCATAAGACGAGCTCCCAGAGCCGCTTTATCGCTGAACGATGCGCCGAGATGGATGTGACAGGCGAGGATGAGAAGGGAAACAGCCAATAATGGCCTCATGGCTGAAATTAAAGATACCTCGTGAGCGATTTAGCGAAATGAATCGTACGAAGTCACGAGTGTGGATTACCTTTCGAAGAATAATATTTAAATGAACGAAAATGTAGAAGCACCTTTAGAGGAACCAAGAAAACTTAGGGCGTTTGATTTTGTGGATTAAATATGAGACATTTGGTCTGAGCTGGCGAACTTTTCACTGTTCACTTATGGAACAGAATGCTATAATATTTTGATTTTATGTCATAATTTCGTTTAACTTCCGAAATACGACTGAACGAGATGTATATGTACGTAAAAGTCACATTAATATGGAGTTTATAATTTGACTTGTTAGCGACATTTTTTTTATTTCAAAAGTTATATGCATATAAGGAACGAAAACTTCCACAATTGAAATATCCATTGAAGCGTTCTGACGACCGACCATTAAATTGTTAACATAACATACAATTATTAAGTATGGTTAAAATATCTCACAGATTCAATAAAGTTATATAATGTTTGGTTCACTTACTTTTTGACGATTTTCACCCCGACCAGAAAGGAAGAGGAATTCAGTTTTAGTGGTTACTTATGATCGAAGTTATAACAAATAAGTCCTCGATAAAATCCTTTCAAAGTATTGCAAAGATCATGGCAAATCTATGACCGATTACCTCATTGTTGTGGGCCTCGTGTCTGTGTTTTCGTTTTGACGGGTTGAAGATCCGGCGCGCCAATGAAAGCATAGCGATTACCTGTTTATAGATCGTAGCCAATTGTTTGTTGTTCTTTTTAGACGGAAATGTATTTCGTCGGTGTATAATAAGCGTAAATGAAGAAGTTATAACTAAATTTTTATCAAATTATATTCTTGTTGAAATATCTGTCCTTGGAGATCAATTTAAACAACGGAACAATTAGATTTCCGGCGTTTGAGTGACCGAAGATTGACACCTAACACCAAATTCTCTTTGTCATTCGAGCCAGCAGTGAAGGGCATTCTACTCCTCGTGATCTTCGACGCACGAGTTATATTTCACAACAGGAGACAGGCGGCGTTGCGTGAATATTTTGAAAGTATCGCACGAGCCACGATGTGAGTTTTGGATTTCAGTGAGTTTGTAGTCTCCAAAAAGACATATTTAACGTCGAATATAGGGGCATTTGGGGTCATGTCATGCCAAGATTTCACGTCTGGCGTTCCGGTCTCTTTCTCGTCTTTGTGTTTACTGTGATCATTGTTCAAATATCACTCAATCTATTCCTGTCCTCTTGCGACCAACGTTCGGAAGATGTTCTCGCAAATAAACGAAATATCATCAAGCGAGAAACGGACGTCGTACGTCGTTTATACACGGAACGGCTCACGGCAACGCATCGCACGATAGCGGCCTTAAAAGTGCGATTGAACCAAGCAAGTGCCGAGGACGACCGCCGGGAAAACTCCACAGAAATCGAGATACTCAGAAAAGTGAACGCGGAATTGTCTTCGAAGTTAGCGAAATATAAAAAACTACGAAAAATCGTCAGCGCGCAAGAGCTGAGTCGGCTTAAATCCGACGCAACGAAACTTGATTTCCTCAAATCCGAAACACCTTACAACGAATTTTCCATCACGCCGTTCGACAGTTTTACGCACGTCGGAATTTATTCTGTCAACAAAGACGGTCTCGTTACCCGGCCGGCTAAAAGACCCATCGGTGCGCGCGTCAAGGAACACGAGGAGATCTTGAATTTTGCCTTGCGCGTTCTGAGAGACGAACTCCCAGGTGCGCGGAATATCGAGAAACGCGATTTAGCAAACGGGATAAGCCGATTAAGTCGCGTCACGGGCACGCAATACGATCTCATTTTCAAAGCTGGAAAACCAAATCAGTATCATCGGGTCAAAATTCGTCGCCCTTTTTCGCACCTGGAACTTGTGGACGAGGTTGAGACTTTGGACACTTCGAAAGAACTTATAAACCTCATCATTCCCTTATCTGGACGAACGGACAGTTTCAAAGTGTTTCTAAGACACTTTGGGGATATCTGCATTCGATGGGACGGAAAAGTTTATCTTACGGTGGTCTATTTTGGCCAAAAGGGCTACCAAGAAACGAAGAATTTACTCGCGGAGTTCGAAAAGAGGGAAAAGTTTAAAAACTATAAATTTATTTACAATGATGGGCCATTTTCGCGTGGCGTGGGACTACAACAAGGTGCCCTTGCTTGGGAGAAAGGGAACAACATTATGTTCTTTTGCGATGTTGATATGCATTTTACCGCCGATTTCTTAGAGAGGTGTCGTTTTTACACAGAACCCGGGCGGATGGTGTATTATCCTATCGTGTTTAGCTTGTACAATCCTGAGATCGTTTTCAACGGTAAACCGCCCGCAATCGACCGGCAGCTTTACGTGGGTAAATACAACGGTTTTTGGAGGGACTTCGGTTTCGGAATGACCTGCGTCTATAAAAACGACTTCGTTGCAACCCGGGGTTTCGATACAACCATCCACGGCTGGGGAATGGAAGATATTAAGTTATATAGGAAGTTCTTGCGGACAAAATTAGCGGTCATCCGCGCGACAGACAGGGGCATTTTCCACATGTATCACCCGAAGAGATGCGATTCATCTCTGCCAAGCGAACAGTATCTCTCGTGCCTGCATAGTAAGGCCTCTAACGAGGCCTCGCATCGTCAAATGGGAATGCTCGCTTTTGGTAATAGACTGTTTAGTAACCTGTCCCCTGACTGGAAGACAAAGCTGGAGTACCAGCCGGATTTCACAATGAGGGACTCGAAGACTAAGAGTAAGAAAGCGATTGATCTCTGGAAGAGAGCCGACGATCTGGACATTGAAATCTTGGAAATAAAACAATTGCAGAAAAGACTTGAATATGCCATGAATTTCACGACATTCGGAAGGAATATTTTCAACCAGAACACAGTGGATGTTCGTGTTTTAAGAGATCTGCGATTGGGTCTTGAGAATACTACGCAAGTTATCAAAAAAATTGCCCTTTCTTTGGGGAAGAATAACTCCAGAATAAACGATAAATTTCAGTAATATATAACAGTTTTCAAATACATCGTTTTTGATCGAGATAGTGTGTCTGATTTTAGTTCATTTGAAAAAGTCATCTTACCTCAATAAACAAAGTTATACACCGTAATTTGTTTAGAATATTTTACTTTTACGAAAATAGATTTACAATTCATTCAAAAATTAAGTACGTTTATACTATATATACTAGTAAATTATATTTTATAATTACACGGTTTTATCTGTATTCATGAACGAATCCAGGCATTGGCGAACAGTCGAATACCTTGATATGTTTATTAGAATTATTTCATCACAAAAATATTTATTGAATCTAGTGATTGCTTACCCATGCAAATGCGATATTTGACAATTTCATTTTCGACGAAGGCGGCTATTAAATAGGTTACCATTTACTACGAAAGGGCGCTCTTTCTGTGAAAACCTTTGAAATTTCCCTCCACTGAACTGTTTTGTAATCAAATCCAATTTCATTCATCAGGAGCAAAAAATGTCATTTTAAGAAAATAAATTTCTCTTGCATTCGCCCCTCTTAATTTTGATTGTTGTAGTTTTGAGAACGAGGGACCGGTTGTATAAAACTCTTAACTGCTTTGCGTAGTTAAGTCATGGTTAACTCCTCTAGTCGTAGAGTTCATTTTTGGTTTATACAACCGCTCCTCCGAGGTTCATAATAGCCAAATGTCCAGGTGCATCAAACAGTATTTTCTTGCATTACATCGGCTTGCTCAACTCCGGAACATGTTGAATTATATTGGCACGTACTGCCGCGACGGTCCCGTTAAACTGCAGTAGGCCATTTAGAAGTCCAGATATACCTTCTCTGTGGAAGACAAAACGAGAAAAATGTTGGTCCAGACGAGGCTATGAGATGAACTTTTACGACAGTTTACGTGAGAGTTCATGACCACTCACCCCGCCCCCCCCCTCTCCGGCCGAACGTGGACAAAACGCACCCTCACCCTCAACCCCTTTAAGTTCAACCCAGCTCAAAAGACTTATTTAATTTACCACTTACTTCGATATCGCTTTAATTGTGGCATCTGGCTGATACTCTAACAGATAAAAGATTGCTCGGATACTGTTGGCCCTGATCTCACGGTTATCGCACTGTAGACGAAGAATCGATTTAAAAATAGTTGGAAAAACAACGAATTACAGACGTGTTGTTTATCATAGCTACTTTCACATACACCTACATTTAAATGAACTCGTATGATCTGCGCTAAATGTGAGACCTGTGAATTAAAGAAGAAATCGTGGTGAGAAGAAGTGAGATTGAAATTTCTTTAAGGCTCGCTTGCATTTTGGCTAAGTTTTAGCTGAGATTTTCTTCTTTTGGTGTATGTTAACGATGGATTGAGTTATGGATTTTCAATCGAGGAAACATCTAAATCAGCGCATCCGTAACTATTCCACTCTTTCACATCTATGGAAAGAGGAAAATCTCAGGCAAAATTCCAAGAGTAAACAGGCTCCCGGGAGTGTTTATAAAGACAGCTTGTGAGGTGAGAGGTTACTACATTGCTACTTAGGAAAGATAATTCAGGGTGTTGACTTACTAAAAAGCGACCATTTTCCTTGTGTTTGGAAAAGTTTGCAATAGCTCTTGAAACGTGTACCTGTGCAACAAATATGGCACGGAATCAAATGAAACAAAGACCTCAGCAATGGAGTGTACTCTTAAAGGAATCTTCGCAGGTTGGGTTAAGATATAAGGTTTTAACCTTTAAGGTCAATGCAAATTCATCTTGCCAAACAGTTCAAGCCTTCAAGGGCTGTTATATGTCAACAAACAACTCCGTTTTGTCAGAGTGAAAACATTTGAAATAACTAGTCGCTCACGAGACAGCAGCATTGGCACTGTTAGGATACGAAATCGCACAACACACAAACCATACCTGGATGTTGGGATTCTCAGAGTGGGAACTTATTAAATTGCAAACCAAATCGACGCAATCCATCAAAGATGACTGTTGAAAGATTGGAAAATATCACTTGACAATGATATCGATTGTGATAAAAGAGTGAAATAAATTACATACCTGAATATCGGCACAAACCGCCAAGTTTGCAATCAAGCACGCTCCATTCGTGTACACCTTTGAATTTGGAAACATTGTCATTTCTTACAATCTACTTAAACCTCACTGAACGTAGAGTTTTAAGCTGAAATTTGCATGGCAATCTTGCATCATTGATAGGTCTGATCCTTTGACCAAAGAAAGAACACGAAAGAACATATTTACCTCAAGGTTCTTAGGTCTTCTTTTCAACGTATTCTGAATGCATTTTCCACCATAGTTGTCTTCCTATAAAAAGGAGAATATCTTTTCAACAATTTCGTCCACTTGTAAACCCGTACAGTGAAATAACCACTTCAAAAATCTCATACCTCAACAAGTCGTCTGCGTTGATCGCTTGTACCACAAGCAAGCAAAGCCAGGACACGAAATGCCACTTCTTGTATCTGTTTAAAAACACAAATTCATTTCTTTCCACATTTTCTGCTGTCACAGACAATTTCAATACACGAGTTTCTCGTGTACATTATGTGTAAACATCAGAGTAGCCTTGCACGTGCATGTCAGCCTACGGTAAACCATCTATGGGTAAACTGAACTACACAATTACTGCACTGCATCAAAAACGAGATGCATTTCTTATCTAAAAAATGAGATGGCATGAAATGGCCTAGTAAAATCGAATTTAGCGTACCTTCTCATCATTTTGTTTCGTCAATCTTAGAAGCGTTTGCAGACCGTTTTTGAAGTTCTGTATAAAAGAAAATTTTCAAATTAAGTTAATATTCTTCATACTGTAGTATACATTCCTTTACTACAGTCAATACGGCCTCAGCTCAGGACCAGGCCGTTTTAAATAGCAAAGACAGAGCCGTTTTAAACGGACACCACAACTTTTTTCGAGCAAGTTTTATATTCATGAATCATGATAACCACTTGTTTGATATAGTAGCAGTAGAACATAGATCAGTAACTGACCTCTGTGAATGAAGCGACATTTACTGGACTTTCAAGTACGATTCCCAAGGTTGTAAGAGAGAGAATTGTGATTGTACTATCAGACGACATACACAGGGCCATCAACGGTGTTAAAGCACCTTCAGCGACCACTACAGAGAGGTTAAAATCGTCAAATTTAACTTCAAGCAAGCCTGCATACAATGAATGAAGGTCCACATCAGAATACCCTACCGAGTATCCTCAATTTCTCGGATTTTGAGAGAAGTTTAAGCGTGCTAAGTGCTTTTATTACCGCCAGCGACTGACTGTCTGAATTTGAGGATAAAATACTAAGAAGGAAAATAGAAGGTGGTCGTGGAAAACGCATTTTGGGGCACGTATAATGGCATTGGCAGTTTGAAGGTGTTTGTTATTTGAGCATTGAAACAGCCTGTTGGCAACTTGACATGCTTGCAACAGAAACATTGCAACTTGCAAACACAGTTTATGTGAGAATTTTTCGTATCTTTTTGTACCTGCAAATAGCTTTAATTCCCCCACACTGAACAATCATCGGGTGTAGAGGGGGATGTAAGGCTAAGTTGTTTAGTCCTTCAGCGACAGCTTCCTTAACGTCTGTGATGTTAGTCTGTGCCAAATGTATGATGGCTTGGACACCGCCTGACTCAACAACCTACAAAGGGAATAACCCCAGAATTGTTCCCAAAGACCTACCAGCAACCACCTGTAGGCTATATATACCAGGATTGACAAAATTAGCAAGACTACCTCTTCTTCATTCTGAAATATTACTAGTTTGAGTCAATGTTTTACCTGCTTAAGTTGATCTTGCTGACCAGTTGCTTCAGCCAAACTCTTGGCAGATTCCAACCTTGGAGTCTGAAGATTTCAGTGGGACCACCATAGATTATATTGGAAATTACATTTGTCTTATTTTCAAACAATACAACAGGGTGTGATATAGTATAACGTTAATGGCACCATGAACAGTGCAATGGTCATGTCAAACATGGTTGGTTGATGGTATATGTATGGTAAAAAGTATGGAACATACCATCTGTATTGATCTGGCCTTAGCAATCATATTGCTTATCGGGAAACAAGCATTGCAAACTCTGGTTGGCTCCTCTTCACCATACTGGGGCAATATGATCTACAAGTGTGAAGTACATAGTAAGTCAATCATACAAGATATTTACAATCACAATGCTTAAATCAGAAATATGTTGCCATACCTTTTCAAAACAGCACTTTGCACACAACACCTTGCCACAGACACGACAGTGATGCCGTCTTCGAACTTGTGTGAATTTTTCATGACAAATACCGCAGAAAGTGGCTTCGGAATCAGGCACCCATCTGTTGTGAGTACAGACATATTATATTGACATATTTATGGTTGAGATTATACTACAAGTTGGATGGTTGTAAGGTTATGGTTAAGGTCAAGAATACTACTACACTATATGTTTATTCCGTTCGTTTTTGTATGCGGAAAGATCGCACAAGCATGCAGCAATCAAAGTTAGGTTTGTATCTAAAAATGAGCAGCTTAGAAAACTGTTTTTCTTAACATAGAGGAACCTAAACTAAAGACAATAGAAGACAATTATTGGCAGTGCGCCTATATTGCCCTTCCTTCTATAAACCTTGTAAACAAACAATTATAATACATGAACCAGGTCATTTTTTTTTCAAACTTACCTTGTTCGGGTCAGTATGAATGGCGTGGGTGAGAAGACGTTCGACGCACCCTCTGTCAAGGGCGGGGTGATTTTTATGTCCCCGATTCTAACTACAACGTCGGTCCCTTCGCTTCCGTGTGCGGCCATTGTCGGGAGAAATTCTGAGCATTCAGGTTTTCTGTAGAGATCAGCGTGAAAGAATCTAACATTCCTTGGCACACGTTATAAAAATTCCTTAATTTTGACAACAAATAGTGTAAATTGATTGGAAAATGGCTTGGATATTGTGCATATCATCTTTGTGAAGAGTGAAAGTAGCCCTTAGGTATTTTATTACCGGCAAAGAAAGGTACCAAAAGACAAAAAAAAAAAAATTAAAATTTATCATCTTTCAACTCAGCATGATTTCCTCGTTTCAACTTCCTTCAGCGGATTTCATAGATCGCAGGCACAGAAGTATTGGCCATTTAATTTCATCAATAACAAATACATATTTGTGGGTAAAGAATGTCCTAAAATGTCCTTAATTTCCAACAGTTTCATTTGTATTGTCTACAATTTGTTTGTTTCGTACATTCTAGTGTGAGATAGTGTAGTTTATTTGGTCGAAAGAGTCCGAAATATCTGAATAATGTCTATTTGAAAGACAGATGGGTGATGTGCCCATGCGTACGAAGTCACTGATGTCGAAATCGATGCTAAATGAAATAAATCAAGACGTTTAACTGCTGATTCCAACGATTTGAGGTATGTTTTATGATATATTAGAGTTTCAGTGGATTATGCTAGGGACGTTAGTGTGATATAGTATTATGTATGTACATTTCACCATAATAATCTGTAGAGTTCTGGTGATTGGTATTTTTTGGATAGCTAGTGGATCACCACACAACAGCCAGTGCTAATATCAGGTTTATACTGATTACTGAACTATAGCCCCCTGGTAGCCAGGAGTTTGAGGGAGACCCAGATTAAAACCATGCCCAGATACACGCAGGTGTAAACCATATCATTATTTACCACAATTTAATTTGAAATGGACACTCCTTTGTAGACTTGCAGTTATCATTTGCTGAAAATGTCCATCAAGAAATCCGAGCGCCTGATGGACAGATGGTATGAGCTTATATACAGAAAGTTGAAGGAGAGCGGAAATCTTCTACGAATCTCGGAGGAATTCTCGGAACTTCGTTCAAACCACGAACGCGTTTCGTTCACGTGGAAACTCGACTGTGTCCAGGAAACCCTCGATGTACGAGAAATCTTCCTAGAAAAATCGGCGGCGAAGTCCATTCTAGCGCGAACGGAAGGTAACAAGGAATTCCAGTGCAAGAAATTCACCGAAGCTCTGAACCTTTACAACGAAAGCGTCAAGTACGCCATAATGTCCACCGTTGAGCCGGAATTCTCAATGGCTGTTGCAAACCGTTCTGCCGTCCTCATTCACATGAAGAAATACAACGAATGCTTGATGGATATCGAGTTATCATTTAGCTATGGATATCCTGAAGTTTTGAGGTACAAACTTTACGAACGACAAGGAAAATGCCACTTTTTCTTATCCACGCAAACTCACGCTTTGGAGAGCTTCAAAAAAGCCAAAGAACTACTCGCGCTGTCCAACCTCACGCCTGAGAAAGCAAATACTCTTAGACGAAACTTGGACTCGTGGATAAAGCGAACGAAAGAGGTGTTAAAACAAAACGATAACAATTCAAAGCTTATCGCAGCCACGGCGAAGTATCGCACACCCGGTTTGACAAACGGTGGAAATGCTGTGTTTCCTTGCCTTTCGGCTAAAGTTGATGTGACCTATGATAACGAGAAAGGCCGCCACATTAAAGCCGTTGAAGATGTACAAGTAGGAGATGTTGTAGCCGTCGAGAAGCCATATGCGTCGGTGTTACTTCCCGAGAACTACCCAACTCATTGTCTACACTGCTTGAAACGTATCCTCGCACCGTACTCCTGTCGACAATGCGCAAGAGTAGGCTTCTGTGACGAATCATGCGAGAGCCTCGCGTGGGCTTACCACAAGTTCGAGTGCAAGTATCAAGACTTCCTCGCCGCTTGCGACGTCGGAAAATTCGGATTACTTGCGTTACGGGTTATGACCAAAACAACATGGCCGACGCTGAAGGGATTCGACTCGGAGAAGTGTCCCGAGGAACCGACTTTAGAAGACGGCTCCCCTTCCAACAGTACCTATCGTAATACATACTTCGAGATTTACCATCTTGTTGCACACACCAAAGACAGGTCGACTAGCGACTTGTTTCGCCGGGCCATCATGTCGGTTCTGTTAGTGAAGTGCCTTGACGCCACCGGCTATTTCGGTCAGCGCACTTCGCGAGAGGAATCGACGGACGTCATATGCGTCGGCAGCCACATACTGCGCATGCTTCAGGTGCTGCCCTGCAACGCGCACGAGATATCGGAATTCTTGCAGATCGACAAGGACCTCGTGAACTCGCACACGATCGAAATCGCAGCCGCAATTTATGCAACGTTCAGTCTCTTCAACCACTGCTGTGATCCGTGCGTCACGCGCAATTTCTACGGAGACACGTGCGTGATGCGATCGATTCAGACCATCCCCAAGGGAGATGAGGTATTAGACAACTACGGTTACGTGTCGGCCGTCACGCCGTTGTCGGAGCGTCAGGCGGAGCTGAAGAAGCAGTACTACTTCTCATGCTCGTGTCCGGCGTGTCGCGAAGGCTGGCCGCTGTACGCCGATCTGGAGTCGAGAGTACCGATTCTGAAATGCCGGCGCTGTCATCAACGCGTTCCTTCAAATGCTCAGACCTTGTATCAGTGTCAGTTTTGTAAAGAAGAGATGAACGTTCAAGCGAGGTTCAGTGAGGTCTACGATGCCGGGGCATGTCTGAAAGTCGGCATCGATAAAATGGTCGAAGGAGACGATAAAACAGCTCTGCCACAGCTGATTGCTTGCATCGACCGACTGGATCATTGCGTCAGCCGACCCTGGCAGGATATAAACTCGTGCCAGCAAGGAATCATACAATGCTACAATGTCCTTCAAAGCAATAGGCACGTTGTTCGAAGATAGTTACTGACTGATATTCATAGGAGATTACTGAGCAGACTTCTAATTAACTGTAGGTCGCAAATGAGATGTATTTTAGTGGTTTTATAATTGGGGAAATAACGAAGCTGTTTTCATGTGAGGGTCTCGTTGTGGTGCAACAAATGCTGAATTATGCCGACGACTTGTTGCGATTTTCTTCTTTTGATTGATGTGATCGAGTGTATAAGTTACAGATTTTAAAATAAGGGTTCTCATTCACAGGACATTTATAACTATTCACTCGATTGCATCACTCAAATGAAGAAAATCCCAGCGATAATTGCGAGTGTGAACTGCCTTTATCTAGAAAATTATGACAAATCATGTTTTACTTAATCTTCAAGGGATCCATTGAGGTGAAGATCACCGAGAGCATTGTATCCAATATATTTTCGTACAAATACTATCAATTGTGCTCTCGCACGTACAAAAACAGTCCACTGTATAAATAGGTTACCAAAAATGTACCTTGTGCTCAATCAATTTGACGAAAAAACAGTGGCGTGATCAGGCTGACAATTTAGTCATACTATGCTAATATTTTGGTGCTCGTTGACTTAAAAACAATGAATTAAATCCTTATAAAATAACTCAAAATTTGTATAGCGGGGCTAAATCGTAAGCCTGGCTACGCCATTGGAAAAAGACAAAACACTTTCATTTGGGAAAGTGTCACAAAAGGCTTGCAACGGAATGCAATACCATGTACAGATTCAGCGTTTCTTCTGCAGAGGCTCATGTGAGCAAATGAAGACCAAAAGCTTGCGGGTCTTTAGGCTCCTTCGATAAAAAAGAAAGCTGTTAAAACAGTTGAAGTTGTCAGATCTTTAGATAGTCATCTTTAATATGAGCGAACAAAGTGCTTTCCTGTACACCCTTAGTCTCCAGGCGTACACGATTGGATTTGCAGCGTAATTGAGATAGGAGAAAGCCTGGGTGTAACGAAACCCCGTTTCGTATATCCTAATGCGCATGCTCGTCCCATCTCGTGCTAACAAGATATTCGAGTACACAATATAAGGCGTGTACGTTATAACCAACACCATCATTAGCGTTAGCACTACCGAGGTGATTTGCGCATGACACGCTTGCAGCGAGAGGTCCATGATGGTCGAGAGCTCAGCGGAACTTCCCGACTGTGAAAAATTCCTTCGCTGTCGACGTAGGACTAGAAATATCACGACGTGAATAAGGATGAACATCACAGCCGCGATCTCTAGAATGAGAAACAAAACAAAACGTCGATCTGTGATTTCGTACTTGTTCATAACGCTTTCAAAGATTCCCAGCGTCCACGCGAGCACAATGCCGATGATCGTGTTTCGTGTCGTGAGAAAACGCGACCAGGTCATCGGCATAACGGCGACGATGAGACGATCCAGGGACATCAAGATCAGAGTGAAGAATGACACTTGGATGCTCGCGCAAAGAAACAAAAACTCGTAACCTCGTAATGCCCGTGGCTTTTGAGCCAGGTTGCATACCATTACAGCGACTAGCATCAGGCCCGTGAAGCAATCGGCGACGGCCAGATTTGCCACGAGATACGAGACTCTTGTACGAAAGAACTTTTTTCGTTCGTTGTATAAAACTAACAACAGCAGTCCGTTCATCAAAGCTGCTGCGGATCCGATCGTAATTAACAAGACGTTCGGAGCGTCAAATGCGCACGAAAACGTGCTGTTTGAAGCAACGATAGAATGGTTCACATTTCTGGCCGTTGCCATTGCTGACGTTGTGCTCTTTTGCCAGGAATCAGAGCTGCAAAAAATTTAAAAAATAGGCTATGTTTTTGCAAATGATTCGTTCACATGTTACTCCGCCGGGCGAAGCACCCCTCTTCTTCCCCTTTATTTCTATGCCCATACACCAAGTTGCTCTCTGAGCAAACGAGCATGCGAATTTAATAACAAAATTAAAAATACATTGAATTTATATCATTCGGCGAGAGATAAATATCTTTAAAAAACACTTCGACTTTGTCGATAAAATTTAATCAATTCAAGCTTTTTTACGGTATAATCTCTTCCTACAATTCGGGTGCGATTTATTTGCATACATTTTTATGTAGAATATAGAATAGTATCGGTAAATTGTGTGTAGTAGCGACGGGCTTGGTTGAAGAACCATTCTGCAAAAATAGCTTTTACTAGTAAACGGTAGCGAGATTTACTCGTGTGTATAGATGGAACAAGGAAGCTTCAAGGACTCGAAGGACTGGTAATTCTTAAACTGGTAACAGGTAACGTTTATAGGTTTGTGATGAGAATTTCCATAAAAAAGCTGTTCGCCCTAGCTTCAGACGAGCAAGTATATTAGCCAAAAAATCTTCGAGAAAAACCTATGATTCATTTGTTTGTTTTCACTGAAGGTGGACTTTTCCAACAGAAACTTCATAGCCTCCCTATATGCATCTATGCGTCTTGATACAACCTATAGTCACGTACCCAAGCGTCAATTTGCACGTAGAAATCGGTAGAATCCAAATTTGTGGGCGTGAAACATCTGCTACTTCGGCCTACTTGCTCTACTGGTAAATTCACATGCTCACAGACAGCTTGGGCAGTTCTAAACTATGCTTTTTCAGCTACAGGGGTCGGTTGTATCAAGCCCGTTTTTCAGCTTAAACGGTGGTTAAGTTCAAAACTGAAAGCAAGTCTATCGTTTTATCCAACAAGCAAACAAAATGTCATTAACCCTAATACAAAGATACTGTTTACAACTACATATTTAGTGCATAATATTCAAGTTGACTCATTCAAGAGAGACGTAAGAGTGTTATTTAATTTTCACTTATCCACCGTTTAGGCTAAACGGGCTTGATACAAGCGGTGCCAAGTAAATTATTACATGAGAGATATGCTCTCACAAGCAACTCCCTCCTTATCTTAGTAGGAAAAGTACTTCTGAAGGTCAAAGTGACGTTGATTCAATTTCTGTGGGATGGACTTTACTTCCTCTAGATAGTTCTGTCTGGTCTTAACTTCTATCTGATTTTTCTATATTATTTTTTCAGCAGTCCCCGCCACCCCCGTTGGAAGCTGAAGAATCTCGAACTATACCTATGAAATAGATTACCACACATGTGGTCTTCTTCAGGTACACGTTGTGCTATTCAGGGATAGATTCGTTCTCGTGGGGCATTCCTCGTGGTTCGAGAAAGCGGTACTACTATCCCATGCATTGCCGGAAAATAATGACGTTATCAGGGGGGGGGGTTAAGCACTCCAATCGAGTCCCATTTCAAGAGGAATGGTGAGCAGTCAACTATTACAGGATCCGATACATTCATACAACAGGAAAGATACTCGTGGCAGGGTCTGACAGAGCAATATAAATTGCACATCTGATGTTTTTATCAAGCAAGCAAGATTATCAGCTATTTTTAACTGATTTCTTGCTTCTATAACGACTACATCTGTACCGTGAGAAGTTGTCAATCTGTCTTATCGCTGGAACGTTTGCGATATATTTGTTTCTCGTGAATCTAAATATTGTTCAAATCCTTTTCCTATTATTTAATTAAAGTTCAAAAACTTCCCTTTGGGGAAAACAATTAGTGGAACAGACGGGTAGTGAGTCGTCTCCCGATTGAGCTGTTCTCACACGATGCGATCTGTTTTGCTGTGGATTACTAAACAAGCAAACAAGCAAAGTAGAAAGCAATAAATCTTTTGCCAAATGGCTCGTCGTCAATTCTTTTTGTTCGACTTTCGTTTAGTCCCAACAAACCTAACTGACCTAAACAAACCATGATAAGCTGTAATGCGTTATTATCGTCTTTGAATATGCCATTATTAACACAACGTCACATTCTTGATAATATTTGCTGGCAGCTTCAAGGCTGGCAGCTTCAATGAATTTCACATTTTTTGAGGCAGTTGTACAAAATAGTTCCCATATTTTTGTTCCCATATTATAAAGAAGAATCAAAGTGCTGCTTAATTAAGATAAGTGATTTGGGGAATATATGTTTACTTTAGAACCGTCTTATGCTCCGTGAACCAAAGGCAAAGTTGAAAGTGCCCAATTGCTGGAATCAACACTGACTTTGGCACGCCATAAATCGTTGCATTCGAAATTCATTAAGTAACACCAAATTTGTTGTAAGTCTCTTGTCACAGAGCGGAATAAAAACACATGACAAACCAATTAGAATGCATTAGATATTTATGAAAAGAGTGTATCATATGACAACGATATAGGCGCAGGTGTGTTTTCGACTTTAGTTTCTAGACTTTTAGGAAAGAATTCGCATATCTGCATATTCAAATTTCATCCAAACTAAACCACTTAATTAAAGGCCGCCTGGCAATTTTTCCACGCAAAATTTGTTCATCTCGTTTTGTCAATGCGAAATTTGTTCCAGTCTTCCAGATGGTTACAATTCAAGGCAAGGAACAAGAGCAAAATGCTGCTTCGTGTGACAGCAAAAAACCGACTTGCACTTGGCGCATGTCATAATTCGACGTAATCTGACGTATGAAAATCGCAGTCACGAAGAATGACGACGAAATGCGATGGATCAAGAGGAGTTATGTGCTATGACAGTATGACCTGCCTATGAAAACCTGCGCGCGCACGCCATTTTGTAGGATGCTGAGCGCGCAGAGGATCACTGGAGTATAGTGGTACGAAGCTCTTATTTGGCTGGTCGCATAGCACAAGAGGCAATTCGACTTTATGGTTTTATTCGAGTGCTATATGCTTCCGTATACCGGCGACAAAGATAAAACTGAGCCGAGGCACCCGACCTATCAGATCAACAAACATATAGAGATTATTAGATAACGCTGCTAATGTTTGATCCTACGAACTGTAGAGTGCAGACCACGAACCCACAAAGTGTTAAAAAAATTGAGCTTTGTAAAAATCTGTAAAACTTGTATCGAATCAGCGCCAGGTCACAAACCTACAATGGCCAGTGAACGCCAAGTTGGTTCAGGGCCAGGAACTTTGCTGACAACTGGCGTCCAAATAATCGTTTTCCTAATACCGCATGTATGTTTTTGTATAAGCTTGAAAGAGATTACACGCAATTCCTGGTCTTGCATTCTTCAAGAAAAACTTGTGCACCTTTGTCCTTCTCGTACGAGCTAGTATGCTTTTTTAGTGAGACGAACGAGACGAAGACAGTTTATGCGGATGATAAGCTCAGCATATTTATTTATGGTTTTAGATTTTATCTATGACTGCGGTGTAACCCGTCAGTTCCATTCAGGCAAACCTCTCATATCTGTCCGGCTTTGTATCATCTGTCCGGCTTTGTATAAAAAGACATAATTGCGACTCATTCGATCCGTAGGCCGTACAATATACACTAAATTTCTTGAACAAGCCAACTTTATGATCATCACTTTGGTATGGAGTTTTCATATAGGGAGGAAGCTGGATTATATAATAACCATGCATGTTTATACTGTGTTTTAAAGTTCCAACATATGCATGAAGCGTCCAATTTTGCACAGACTATTTTTACACATACATAACTCGTAAAGTTTACCTTGAATTTTGCCCCAAACTGCTCGGCTGTTCCACCGCCCCCATAGTCGGGCGTGTATATTAATTAACAGTACTCTCTCATTTTTCTTGATTATATGTTTGTCGTATTCCGTTCTATTCAACCGATCAATTCATTTTCTACTTATATTTGTATATCAATCATTAAGCTGTTTACATAAACAAGCTGTGTAGTTTCCCCAGTGCACTGACAATGAAGACATAGCCATAAGCGTGTTATCTTGATGTGCTGCATTATAGGACAAAATTTCCACATAGACCGTCATTTGAATAACTATCTTATGCAAATTACCTGCCTATAATTCGTGGGGGGTTGGTTTTTTCGTGCCTGTTACATATAGCCTGAAGATATATGGGATATAACGATGCAATTATTTTTTATCTCCTAACCCAGCGGACAAAACGATTTTCAATTTAAAATCGGAGGCGCGGCGTTCCGAGGAATACAAATTCGAAATCATGTGAGAATCTTGATGGCTTCAGTTCAGTTAAAGCTGTAACCATTGTCTTTATTTGCTTGGGTTTTGTCGAGTCAAAGTGTGCGTAAATAAATATTTAATCACTTTCGCTTGAAGGCCATTTACGCAACGCATTGTGATTGGTTCTGCCCCACACTCTCGCCTACGGTTACCCTATTTTATAACTTTGCATGCATGTATTGGACCCAGACATGCAGCGGTTTTTTTTTCATTCCTTATAATTTATATATATGTTCATGACGTTTTAGGTCTGAAAGCGTTAACAATTATCGACACTTGCGTTCTCGCGCGCGCTTAAACACATCATTGTGATGGCGTTTTCGTCAGTGGATTTTTTATTCTAGTTTGCGCCTTTTTAAAAAACTGGCGAAAACGTATGCAGCTCACATTGCACTCAATTATAGAAACAAGTGTATGTTTATAAAAAGAAAAGAAATATCGAGGTAATTAAACGCGGAGTCTTGCGCAGTATGCACGTCGCACGCGCGTGATGGATTTCAACTTTTTTTGACACTCGAATTGGCAGATAAAACGCGTTCAATGCATGCACGTAGTTCTACTTGAATTTAAAAGCCCGGTGTTAATATGCTGCATATAAACACATTAAAGATTCATCCGACCACGCCGACGTATAATCCATCTGCGATGTAAGAAGCATGTTTATATGAAGATCGTGTAGTATACATGCCAACCGATTAGCCAAAAATCGTCCATTTCAGCAAGGAGTAAGAAGTAGAGCGAAACCAAATTCTGGTCTCTTAGTTTTTACACGATGCTTCGTTTTTTTGCAATGGAAGTCTCAAACCCATCCAGTTCTGTATGTGGTGCTCGTGTGCATGAAAGGAGACGAAATTAAACGGACTGACAAGCTTCGTGCCGCGCGCGGTTATAAAGGTAATTCGTCCGGTATGCTAGCTTGTAAACTGGTTTACCATAATAAATTCTCGTTTTCATATTGAGTACAGTTAAGTTCTTAGACTTAAAGTTGTTTAGCCGTTTGATTCAGAAAGAGTTCCGGCTAGAATTAAATAAACCCAGTTAAAGTAGTTACTCTTTACTTTAGTTATGTTAAAGTTATATACACATGCAGGAAGAGTTAGATGAATAAGTTATGCACGAAAATACAGTAATGAATGTTTACCAGTTTGTTAACTTTTGAAACAGGGTATTCAACTAAGAGTTTTCCTAATTCATTCAGTAATTTGTTAGTTTATTAATTACAATAAGTTAGTTTCTCAATTAGAAGTTATATAATGAATATTTCACGCTGGTTTTTTAATTCAACTAGAACAGCACTCAGATGTTTTACTATTCATACATATAGTTGCCCGAGCATTTCACATCTGACGGTGATGAAGTTCACTTTTGAAATTGTTGATAATTCAGTAAAATTACACTCGCATTTACTTTTATATAATATATTTCTACCTTTGTCTTCCTATATATTCCTGGCTGCCACTCGGCCAATTCGTTGCATAAGTTCGGCGACTGTTTCCCAAGTGCAAGTTGCACTTAACTTGCCATGCAATATAGCAAATCACCCATAAACCATGCGAGCGCATGTACACACTTAAATATCTCTGTACTTTGTTATTCCAATATCAACAGATGATAAAAGATAGCTGATCGGTGCCAAAGAAATTATCGCAGACTCAAGCAGCAGTTATATAGCTATCTGTATAACTTGGCGACGAAACGTGCATGAGCCTTGAAGGAGAAAGTCATCCAAAACAGCTGAATGCCCTCAAATTTCCACTATTAACATATCTTGCTCGATAGAGGAACATTCAGGAACTCCCGCGAAATATAGTGCCTCAAGATTTCTTTCGACTTTTGCAAGACAATGTCCACATGCCTTGTAAACATTAACTATTTATGCATCAGTATATATCAGTTCAGCAGTTTTTTGCTCATGTTATCTTCCTTTCTATCGGGTTGCAAGATGTATAGTGCGTCTGAACTGGACGTTTGACGGGCCTCCTCCATACAGTCATAAATCTAAAATTCATATTTAACTCTATTTTTAAACTCGAAGATATTATAGACACAGGTGGCTGAATTTTCCATGCACATCATGTTTATCTGCAGAGCTAAAATTGTACATGCATGCACGAGACAGCTAGAAATGACTCGCGCTAACTGAAAACTAAACTATGCCCCTGCATGGTTTGACCGTTTCTTTTAGAAGTTTAGACCCTCGAAAGGTTTCCGTGAAATTGCGGAACATACATGCACGGCAGGATAATTAAAAAAATACGCATGCAATTACTGGTGTTTTCCACATGAAGTCATTAAATCAGATCAAAATAACTGCTATAAATCCAAGATGAAACGATACTATAATATTGACGTGATAAAAGCGAGTTTAATAATACAAATCTGGCCTGAATCTTCTAGTAAAGGTTGTTTCGTAAAGCTATTTATTAATAGCTCTATTGACTACTGATAATATATTTTTTTTAATAATTTTTCTTCCAGTCAGTTTTAAACTTACTCATGGCGCTGCTGGGCTGAAAATCATTAATACTTTTACTGTAAAGGTCATTTTTCATTAAAAACTTGTCATGCAAACACGTAGATAACAATTTAGGTGTTTTTGTGATAACTGAGACGATGGACTTACGTTCGTAGGTTATATAGGGGAAAGGAGGGGAGAGGAGGGGAGAGGAGGAGGGGGAGAGGAGGGGGAGAGGAGGGGAGAGCCGAGAGAAGGGGAGAGGAGAGGGACAAAACCCCAATATTTATCAAATCAGTAAGCTCGACTTTTTCGAATACTTGCCCTCCGGTGCTGTACTGCTTGAGACATATTTACGTTTTGCATATATTTTGGAGGCTAAATTCAACCTCATTAGCGTGAACTGAGTGACACCCGTCACTTTTCTCAAACGGTTATCAAAGTTGAACAGGATGTGAAATGACACGTTTGTAGAAGGAAATAACTTGAGAGTGCTTACGAGTTACGACATGTATTTCCTTTAGTGATGATATACAGTTCTGGTATTGAGATTAGGAGATTTTGTTATTATCAATATGAAGATGGAAACTTGGAAGATAGCACTTTCATATAAGGCTTTAATGTTGAACTGCATATACGCCGATACACTGGGATGACAAATTTGAAAAAAAATTGAAAATGTGCAGACAAGAGACGTACTCTTTCGCTTTACTGACCGTTGGATATGTGCACGTTCATTTTCGCATTCATACTTCGATTTGAAGACGAAATTATATGAAAAATAGGAGAAGTATGCGTCGACTTATCTACAGTTAACACGGTTTGCAATGGTTTTACAACTTTTACTCTTCAAAAACCCCGCGGTTTGCCATCTCAATAACATTGGTGAAACTTGAAAGTACATATGGTTTGTCTGATTTTCGTATATCCGTTCTTGAGTGGCAAGACGTTTCAGTGATTTGTCGGTATCCAAGATTTTATCTAACCGCAAATAACAAGCCGGGTAATATCGTAACATACCCTGAGACAAGCAGTCGGTCTTAAAACAGAATTTCGACAATATCGCTTTTGTTCACCTAATCATTCTAGGCGTTACACTTAAAAGCTTTTGTCAGGGCTTCTCATTCACAGGCCAAAAACGATAAACCCACTTCACAAAAGCGTGTTTTCCGGCGTTTTGTCTCAATACGCAAATAAGACCAGCTCAATAGCAAGGTTCCTAACATGCTTTCTATGCAAATTTATTGAAATGCTAATTATTACTTATACAAAACGTGCATGTTGACAATGCTCTTTTAAATTCGTATACAAATCATAACAACTTTGTTGTGTTGTAAAGAAACACACTTCACGCGAAAAATTTGAGAATTTTGCCCACGTTTATACGGCAAGAATAGAAGTTGTCCTGCGAAACGATTAGTTTTAAATTGCTGCAACTTTGGAGAAATATTAGACACTCGGAGAAACGTGAAATTATACAACAAATTACGGTAATGTGTAGCCAATGGGAACGAATCATCTTTGTCTAAAACTGTTTTTGTTCATGCAAGCTTGGACTGTACTCAAGCAAGCGATGGTTGAAAACGTTTAAATTCTTGTTGCTGTTTTGTATATTGCCAAGACAAAGGTTTCCGAGATATTGCTTTTATTGAAATAACGTAATACCGAGCAAATATGGGCATGCTTTTTGTACGCTCGCTTGGCTGGTGTCTTGTTATTTTGTTGATGTTATTCGAGGAAAATAGAATAGGTATCGAAGGTGAGTGTCGTAATAATAATTGTTTTTTTAATCTGCTGTTATCTTTGTTTTATATATTTATTCGCACAGTCGTTTTAGGGATATTTTAATGCCGTTTTAAATGGGCAGTTTTTTGGTGAAATTTACTATCAAGGGGACATGCTTTGCATGTACAGTTATTGTGTGTTGACACGTGGTGACTATAATATGTTTAGATGTATTACTAAAGAAAAAACCTCGCTTCTCTAAAGTATCTACCCTGTTTTCGCGTTCCCAAATCGTCCTTTTAAACTTCTTGTAGAAATAGAAAATAGAAAATGTATAAATGAAAACAAAACGGTGATATTGCCTCAAGAATATGCGCCGACACTGGCAACTATTAATTGAGTTAATATTCATCAATGGTGTTGAAAACGAGTGAAATTTGAATCTAGTTCGTAAATCAAAACGTGCAATTTTCTAAACAGGGTCAGGATGGACAAATTGCGACGGGGACGTCGATGACTGGTTTTTCTGTACGAAGGAAATATGTATAGTCAGAGATTGGCTTTGCGATGGCCAAAACGATTGTGCTAATGGAAGGGATGAAGATGAAACAATTTGTGGTATGTCCGAGGTTTTTGCAATTTGCATATTATCTCTGCTCCTATACGTTTCACCGTTTTGTATATTATTGTATAGTACATCGCCTGTATATCAGGTATTTACTGCTTGTATTTGTGTTCATACAAAGTTGTAATTCATTATTACACGCTTAACTAATGTATTATCGTGATATTGACCATCCGTATTTACACATGTACGCAATAAAATGCCGATATTGTCCATGTATTTGGTATATATATGATTACTATGGTATATATATGATTATTCTCCCTTTTTACACTATCACAATTTCCACATAGACCACTTTATGTTTTTTAAACACAACTTCAAATGCTCCGACAATTTTAAGAATGCATTTTCACTTCTTTTATAAGTGCAGTCAATTGTGACTAGTTATTTTCAGCATCTTACTGTCTCAATAAGGGATTAGTGATGTTGTTAACATGGTTTATTTTGTTACAAATTTATATATACATAGTATTATTTCTTACAGCATTTATTCAAAGTCAGGCAGTGCAAAACACAATCTTAGATTGAGTTTCATTGCATTGTAGTTATTTAAATTTATAATAACCGGAAATATACAATGTACCACATTGTAAACAGATTGAGTTTTGCCTGATGCTAGACTGTGAATTTCTCTTTAGAAGTGCATAGTGCATCTATTATCACAAATGTCACAAATCTACAAATATATTTAAATTATCATTAAATGTTTGTTAAAAATTCCCAGCAGGTTATATCAATTGCCCGGATATATATAATGCTTCAAAAATATTTCTCAGCATGATGTTCCCAATATGATATCTATGGACTATGATTAACGGTTATCAAACAAATACTGAACACCAATATCCATTAATATCCAAATAATATCCATTGATATTGCTAGATTGTTTAGTAATGCGTTTGTGCACTGATGTGTGTTGTTACAACAATACATACTTATATAGTCTCTGGTTTATGGAAATAATGGTACTGTGGGTGATAAATTATGGAATAGTAGGGTGCTTTGGTTCTCTATAGGTTTATATGTGGGTGGAAGGGGTTCTTCGTAGCTTGGCGCCTCCTACACTGAGCCGCAGTGATAGTTGCTAGGAAGATAGTTTCTTTTAGTTTGTTGATTGCCAGACCTTTTCAGTCTTTTGGATGCTTTCACAAATGAAAAGACAGCAGTGAAAAAAGTCGTAAGAGAACTTTCCAGAAACTAGGTTACAGCTGTGTGTAGGTGTGAGAGATACTCTGAACATTTCGCTTGGCCCTAAAACCTTACCTTATGTAAAGTAAGATGAAAAATAAGGTGGAAACTTATCCAAATAACTCAGTGATATGAGATGACAGCAATCATATGCCTGATCATATATGTTCATTCATTAACTGTCATTACTGTTTCATTTGGGACTGGGAGGTATAAAACTTGGCTAGCTTGTAGGACGCGTCAAAACTTGTGAATTTTCATACATCCAAGCAGTTGAACTTCTAGCAGAGAAAATGATATTTTCTCCTTTTAGATGGAGATTTACAGTGCAGAAATAATACTGAATTCTCCTGTGGAAATCGCTGCATCCCGATTGCCTGGCGCTGTGACGGACAAGGAGACTGCAACGACAATCGAGATGAAGCAAATTGCCATCGTAAGGCATCTTCACAACTGGTCTTTTGAAGTTGCAAAGATTTGTTGATTTCCCATTTATTGCTTGAATATGACGCCCCGATCAGTTCTTATCGGCGTCTTGTTTGACTCCAGAACGTTCACTTCTTCAAAACCATAGCTCGACTAGAGAGAGCCTCTTAAAATGAAAAAAATAATTCAAAATGTAGTTGCAAACGGTTGTAAATTTTGGGAAAATTTTGGGAGAATTTGTATCACGCGTTGAAAAAAAAATTAAAGCACATTTTGGCCAACTTTTGGTCAACTGATTAATAATTTAACTCGAATATGTTCAGTTGCAGGTTATTGCGGAGTAAACGAGTTTGGATGTTCCGGAAACAACACGGCGCCCTGTATTCGCAGTGATTATGTCTGCGATGGGGATATTGATTGTTCCAGCGGCAACGATGAACGCAATTGCAGTGAGTGACCAACTACAATCTTGTTAACTCTGCTCACTCTGAAGGCACTACAGCATTTGAACATAAACTCAATCTCTCATATTCATTTAGAAATATAGCGAATGGTAATAAATATCCCAACAGGACAGGATATTTTAGGAGAAATAGCGATTCAATATTTTAAACAAAGCAAGTTTAAAAGTGACCAAGAGTTGTGTTTATTTTCCCAACCAAACCCCCCTTTTTGATTTTAAATTGCTACTAGACTCTAAATCTATTTACAAGTCGTTGTGACAAGTTAGAAAACTGGTAGGCTTCAGGAATACTCGTGCTAAATAAGAAGGTATACAATATAGTTTAAAATGATCCGCCGTCTTTGTTAAGGTGTCAAGTGTGCAATGGACAAGTTTCTGTGCGACACTGGTGCGACTTGCATATCGAAATATTTGCTTTGCGACGGAAAAAGAGATTGTCGCGATGGTACAGATGAAACTGATTGCTCGAGAAGTAAGGGAAATGTAAAATGTTACGTCATCATCGACCGAAAATGACGTCATCGAACCGGAAGTTGATCCCATATGGCTTAAAATCGCGCGCTGAGTAATTTGCGCTTGCTTCCGGTTCGATGGGACGAATGGTATTGTGTTGAGCTTGGACTATTCTCTTCTCGTAGATGTAACTGCTTCGTGTGGACCTAATCAAATTCGCTGTACGCAGACAAACGAGTGTATTCCATTATCGTATTTGTGCGATGACGATCCAGATTGCGCGGATGGCTCTGACGAATCACCGCTCGTATGTGGTAAGTTCGTTGCATTTCAACTTGAAGTTCTGGAGCCAGTTGTATATAAAAGACTAGTTAACTTTTAACTGTAGTTAAGGACAGCCTTGAGCAATCAGAGTTGTGTATTTCTGAGTTACTAGGATTTAACTGTGCAAAATGTTACAGGTTCAAAGGGTCTTAATTTCGAGTGGAATTATACACACTTCAAATTCAAGCCAGGAACAGTTGATGGCACTCGAAATTAAGACCCTTTCAACCTCTAGAATTTACCTGCATCGAGTGAAGTGCCAAAAATCATAATTGATTTACTCTCATGCAAAATGTTGTTAAAGAGTTTTATACAACCGGCCCCTGGTCCAATTTTGCCGCGACTTTGAAATTGTTTATCAATGCAGTTGGGATAAATCTTGATAGGACAGAAGAAGGATGTTGTTTATTTTTTGAATACTATTCATTTTGAAGAAGAAAGAATAAAATACTATACATATAGAGGAAGGAAGAATAAAATTCAAGCCTTCAATTTAGCTATTCTCAAAGGTCCAAATTGCAAATGAACGCATTCCAGGAGAATATTCAAAGATTAAATATTTCCAGGGTTGTGGGTATCCCTCAACTGGGAATTTAGGGCACCCCTCTTCCCAAAACAAATTCTTATCGCCTTTGAATGTTACCACATCATTTTAGCTGAACGATCGTGTGCGAGCGACGAGTGGCGATGTCTTGGAAGTCAGCAATGTGTTAATATAACTGACGTTTGTAATGGCGTGGTTGATTGTCACGATCAATCGGACGAAAGACAACATCTCAATGTTCATGGTTCATCGTGCTGTGAGTCCCATTTACCGAAATTTATTTAGCTTATAATTTTTACACGTTTACAGATACTTATTGAGGAGACTATGTCGTCTAACATCAGCCCCCTTTCGCTTGGCAAAGTCTACTATTATCTGTATATAACTTAGCATCAAATGTGGTGTAACAACTGTCTAAAATAGACAAAACACTTCTCGACGTTTCGACCTGAGGGCCTTCGTCAGGAGAGTTAGTATGACTCCTGACGAAGGCCCTCAGGTCGAAACGTCGAGAAGTGTTTTGTCTATTTTAGGCAGTTGTTATACCACATTTGATGCTAAGTTGTTTGAAGACGCTGCTCCCTGGTTATATTGGAACTTATCTGTATGTGTGTTTTTTAACAAATCTAGTGCACAATGAATGCTTAAATCGATCTCATTGTGGAGAAATGAAATGTCAACAAACTCCACTTGGCCCACATTGTTACTGCGATCCAGGGTACCAACAGGATGGTAGCAGAAAACGTTGTGTTGGTACGTATTAACCACTTCCATATGACATATACCTGGATATGCAAATATCATTTGTTAGGATCAAACTTTTTATGTACCGAACCTAATATTAATGAGCTAAAGTCTTTGTTTCGCACATGAAAAGTTCGACGTCTGAAACGGGCCTTATACGAAGAGCATTAAATAAGACATTAAACTTCGGTTGTGACTAACTTTATGTGATTTTCATGGTAGATATCGATGAATGCAAAAACGATGTTTGTGCCCAGTTTTGCGAGAATCTTAATGGAACGTTCAAGTGTGCCTGCTACCATGGTTACCATTTGTTTCATAAATTTTACTGCAAACCAGATGGTAGGTTTAGTTGTCATTGTTTTCAGTTCCACTAGATATGTGATTAATTTCGTTGTTTCTTGTCAAATCCTTTTGACTGTAAACTGGAACGAAAAGAGTTACTAAGTGAAATGGAGACTTTTTCAAGTGCATCACTGTGCAAATGATGAGATACAATCAATGTTCTTGACCACTTCCTGATACAATCAATGTTTTTGATCACTTCCAGATGGAATCAAGCCAATGATTCTGGTCTCACAGATTGATAGGATTTTCGAATCCTCCGTGGACGGACGTCAGCAAAATATTCTGCACAGAAATCTAAAACGCGCGGTAGCTCTGGATTACCATTATCAAAAGAGGCTGGTGTTCTTCACTGATGTTCTGGAGAAAAGAATTTACAGAACACGTTTGGGACACAGGGAAGTCGAGGTTGATTAAATTCCTTCATATAAATATAATTTTATATGCCCTCAGATCTTTCTAGACCTCTGTTCTAAAGAGCCAGTAATCCGATTTATATAACTGCGGGTGTAATTACGTCAGGAGCAAACGTTTTAAAAAATTCCTCAAGAATGCATTCTCTGTTTTCGGGACTTTAGCAAACTAACGAGTTGTTTTTCTTCCAGCCCATCTTCTCCGCTGGTCTCTATATGCCGGACGGAATTGCAGTTGACTGGATCGCTGAGAATATTTACTTCACCGAGTCACGAGGCAGTAGAATCGACGTTGTGAACTTAGAGGGGAAATATCGACACGTATTGATCCACGACAACCTTGGTTCACCCCGAGGTCTTGCCGTAGATCCTCAGCACCGGTAATACACTCTTTTATACACAGCTATATAGCTATGCAATGGGGTCAATAGTTTATCGTTCTTTTGGGGCCGGTTGTTCAAAAGGTGTTCAGCTCAAACGGCGGATAATTTCAAATAGGAATCCAATTATCTGTTTATTGCACCACTGGGAAAGTACATATTCAATGCATATGATGAGGTTTACCAGTAGGATGCCACCAGTTTAAGATTTTCAAAGGCATTTAAAAAGATCTTCAAACAGTGCATTTAAAATCCCGAGCCCCACCCAACCTTATCTGGTTCTCTTTGTTTCCAAGTCCGTTCATGGGATTGATATCATCTATCGTCATTTTCAGGTATCTATTTTACACAGACTGGGGTTCTAGGCAGCCCAAAATCGGTCGCTGCAGCATGGATGGCCAAGCTTGTGTTATCCTTATCGATAAAAACATCACGTGGCCAAATGCCATCACGCTCGATTACATCAATCAGAAGGTGTATTGGGCCGATGCTAGGCTGGACGTTATTTTTGTCATAGATTACAACGGCGCGGGGCGACGCGTTGTAGCCGGGGGGCCAGGGCGAAACCCGCTCCCTCACCCTTTTGCGATCACCCTCTATCGCTCCTCCATCTATGTCACGGACTGGCAAGATCAAGAGGTGTACAAAGTTGATTTGTTAAATCAAGGCGCAATTACGAAGATAATTAAGCGCATGCGTCAGCCGATGGACATTCAAATTTTCCATCCATCCAGGCAAAACCATTCACGCAACTTGTGCAAGGGATACGGCTGCAATCATCTGGGCTTACTGTCCGCGGTTTCCCCGAGCGGCTGTCGGTGTGCATGCGAGGTTGGCACCGAACTTTTGGAGGATGGAAAAACGTGCGTGCGCTTGGAGGAGTTCGTAATCGTTGCAAGGAAGACCCAAATCCGCGGTTACATTTTCGGGAACGGCACACGGCGAGATGCCGTGGTCCCTGTGCTGGGCCTACGGAATGCGGTCGCCGTCGACTACGATGTTAAAGAGGAGATGTTGTATTTCAGCGATTCCAGTCGCTTGTATCGGGTGCGATTTGACGGCGCCGGCATGCAGTCGTTGGTAAACGAAAGCCTGGGGTATATTGACGGGGTCGCCGTTGATTGGGAAGCGAGAAATCTGTACTGGACTGATGGTAGATTAAAAACTATATCTGTAGCGAAACTCGACGGGAAATACAGACGGACTTTGATCAAGGATGATTTGGGAAGACCAAGGGCTGTTGTGGTCCATCCTAAGGAAGGGTAAATATTGATTGTTTAATTGATTGATTGATTGATTGCTTTATTGTTTAATTGATTAATTAATCAAATTCCGATGAATTCGAAAAGTCATCAGTAAGAAGCTTCCTTGATATTCACTGTTATAAACAGATGTGGCTTGCGGGGAAATTTTTTTTGTTATAATGTCTTTTTCCACCCCATAAACTGGCAAAGGTTCCGCGTGAAACCGCGCGCACTATTTACTTCTTAAAAACCCGAAAATTCCTCTACACTTTTCTGCTGTTACTTTGTGGTAACCAGAAAAACGTCCTGCCCTATTCAGGTACTTGTTTTGGACTGATTGGGGCCACGAACCGAAAATTGAGAGAGCGGAAATGGACGGCACCAATCGTAGGACTATCGTTGATGGAGGTGACCTGCACTGGCCGAATGGCCTGACCATTGATTTCACCGCCTCTAAACTGTACTGGATTGACGCCCGACATGATCACATGAAGAAGGCGAACTTCGACGGTAGCGAAACCGTCACAGTTTTGGAGAATCTGGTTCATCCGTTTGGGCTGGATGTCTACGCCGGTTATGCATATTGGAGTGATTGGTACGATAGGACGATCTATCGCATTAAGATGAGCAACATGTCTAGTGAAAATAAGGAGCCGTTATTGTCTAATGTTGGGGGCCTTATGGAGATTCGCACGTACCGAAGAAACCTTATCTCAAGTAAGGAAGTCTCATATTCTTACTCAAAGTATTGAAGTGCTTCTCGGCCGCGCACAGGCTGAAGGAACACGCAAATTGATTCAATATTTTGGCCGGACTTCGGCTATTACTTAAAGACCGTTATCTTTTTACCATTCAAACCGTGAAAATAGTCGATTATCAAAGTCAATTTGAGTTGTGATGGCACCGTGTTAGGGGGCAGTTTAAGGTTTCCTTACAAAAAAATCTTTCCCGAACAGAGCGATGTCACAACTCAAATTGACTTAACTACCGGGACACGTGAAAAGGGAGAGATGTACTTAATATTTCGTGTTTTTCTAGATGGAAGCAATGCTTGTACCAACGCGTCCTGTGCACAGTTGTGTTTGCTGAAGAAAGGTGGTCACAGCTGTGCTTGCAAAGATGGCTTCGTAGCGACTGATGATGGCAAAAGTTGCACGTGTAAGATTATCCTGTGACAGAAAAATTAAGAGGAGAAGGGAAGGGAGTGATACATTTTGTGCAGCCAGTTAGCCCGTGTCGTCAGACGCATAGAACTGACAGTCTGCACACAAGGTAGTTCTATTTTTAACACTAAATGGGTGTGGGTTTTTTTTTCAGCTGCGCCTTTAACAACACCGCCAAGTAGACCGACTTGTCCTCCTGATCGCTTTCAATGCAATAACTCGAGATGCATTCTCCACGACTGGGTTTGCGATACTGATGATGATTGCTTGGATAATTCGGATGAGACACACCAAAAGTGCCGTGAGTTGTGTTGTTTTGATCCTAGTGTAACATGGCGGAACCTTTTCCCGTTTGCCACGGTTGAGGAGGGAGGAGGAGGGAGGAGGAGGGAGTAGGGGGAGGAGGAGGGAGGAAAGAAGGGAGTAGGGGGAGGAGGAGGGAGGAAAGAAGGGAGTAGGGGAAGGAGGAGGGAGGGAAGAAGAAGGAGGGGGGAGGGAAGAAGAAGGAGGGGGAGGGAAGAAGGGAGTAGGAGAAGGAGGAGGGAGGGAAGAAGGGAGTAGGGGAAGGAGGAGGGAGGGAAGAAGGGAGTAGGGGAAGGAAGAGGGAGGGAAGAAGAGAGTAGGGGGAGGAGGAGGGAGGAAAGAAGGGAGTAGGGGAAGGAGGAGGGAGGAAAGAAGGGAGTAGGGAGAGGAGGAGGGGGAAATAAGGGAGTAGGGAGAGGAGGAGGGAGGGAAGAAGGGAGTAGGGGAAGGAGGAGGGAGGGAAGAAGGGAGTAGGGGGAGGAGGGGGAGGAAAGAAGGGAGTAGGGAGAGGAGGAGGGGGAAATAAGGGAGTAGGGAGAGGAGGGAGGGAAGAAGGGAGTAGGGGATGGAGGAGGGAGGGAAGAAGGGAGTAGGGGAAGAAGGAGGGAGGAAAGAAGGGAGTAGGGGGAGGAGGGGGAGGAAAGAAGGGAGTAGGGAGAGGAGGAGGGGGAAATAAGGGAGTAGGGAGAGGGAGAGGGAGGGAAGAAGAGAGTAAGCGAGATAAGAGGGAATAGGGGGAAGAAGGGAGTAGGGAGAGGAGGAGGAAGGAAAGAAGGGAGTAGGGAGAGGAGGGAGGGAAGAAGGGAGTAAGACGAGAGAAGAGGGAATAGGGGGAAGAAGGGAGTAGGGAGAGGAGCAGTTAAGAAAGAGGAGAGAAGAGAGGTGGATGATAGTAGGATGGGAGAGGAAAGTGGGGAGGGTTAAAGGTTAGGAAAAGGAGAGAGTCGAGGGAAAGAAGAGTCTGAGAAAGCAGTTGGTGAGACAGGTGTGTCATGGGGAAGAAGAAGGCTGAAGGGGAAGGGTATCATACATTGAAGTACTTTCCAGAAGTGTATGGTGTCCGAGGGTTGTAAAGATAATGCTATTTTAGCATCTTAGTCTCCAAGTATGATCTCGCGAGGGACTAAACGTAACTTTGTCTGAAGGGATTTATATTTTCTATCCTCTAGACGAATTGACTTGCCGACCTTCACATAGGAAATGCAGTAACAATCGTTGCATACCCGAGAGTAGGTTTTGTGATGGCGACGATGATTGCGGTGACAATTACGACGAGCGGAATTGCAACTGTTCATCGGATCAATTTAAATGCAAAAATGGCAACTGCATTCCCAATAGCTGGAAATGTGACGATGTTGATGACTGTTCTGATGGCTCTGATGAAGTTGGTTGCAGTAAGTCCCTTTCCCACTTTCCCTGTATGACCCCCACCCTCCTTTCACTGTATGACCCCCCTGCTTTCACTGTAGACCCCCCCTCCTTTCACTGTATGACCCCCCTCCTTTCACTGTATTATCCCCCCTACTTTCACTGCGTGACAGGTCCGTAACCTAGATCTTCAGGATTTCTGCTCTTTAATGGTTTTGACATATATCTTCCAACTTATGCAGATGCAACTGTAACTTGCGCTGGCTTTACTTGTGCTTCTGATGGTGCGTGTATACCTCGGATATGGCAATGCAACGGTCGTAAAGATTGTCGTGATAATTCAGACGAGAAAGACTGCGCGATGGTCAACTGTTCATCAAAAGAGTTTCAATGTAGAGATGGCGAGTGCATAGAATTAGCGTGGAGATGCGACGATGATGATGATTGTGACGATAGGTCTGATGAAGCAAATTGTAGTAAGTATTGTTCCGAAGAAACATTAAAGTTGTCATTGTTAAGCATTATGGATTAATCCCCGCGATCCATCCATCACTATGGTTAAATGGATAATCTTGTACCAATCGACGTTGACTATCATCATAGATCAATCCATAATAATAGTCTATGTCGGTATTCGTCGAATTGCATTAAAAATCTGCTTCCCTGATTCAATACAGCTTCGCCGACGTTGCCATCGTCATGTCCATCCAGTATGTTCCAATGTCACGAGACCCTGCAGTGCATTGATCCTGACATGAGGTGTGATGGCGAATGGGATTGCACTGATGGTTCGGACGAATCCCCTTCAGTCTGCAATACAAGTAAGTCTACACGTAAACCAACTGCGAACTGCGTAAACCTGCATCACACGCTTGAACTGTATATGAAGACTGCACGGCATCTCAGTATGTCTCTGAACATATGTCTCTCTCATATTCATTTAGAAGTATAGCGAAGTAAAAGCGTGTAATAGCGAAGTAAAAGCAAATATCCTGAAAGTTCTTGATATTTTAGGAAATATGCGGATTCAAAATGAAAACAAAGCGTTTCTTTACATTACGGACTGTTGTATCCCACCTTTAAAATTAGCCATAATCATATGAAGTTTCGAATTTTTGAACTCCTGATGTAACGCTTCTCTTGTTTTCTCGGCAGCTTGCAAAGATTTGGGGCTTTTCAATTGCTCAGATACGCATTGTATCAACGAGAGCCTAGTGTGCGATGGTCGTTACGATTGCGAGGATCGTTCAGACGAAGAGTGTTGCGTTGGCAAGTTCAGATGCGCCAATCGTAATTGCATACTCGGCGCGTGGAAGTGCGATAGAGAAGACGACTGCGGGGACAATAGCGATGAAACGGTCCAGTTATGTGGTACGTCCATCGTTATCAACCAGTGTTTTTCTATCGGAGTAAATCGATCAAGACGCATGCGGCTTCTTATCGTAACAGCTCGTTTACACTTGCAATTTTTACTGCAATTTTCTTCTCTTGGTAGATGTGAACGAGTTACGTAGTTACGCATATTCAAATAGGAACTCTTATACCCCAGAGCATTCGTAACTTATTACTCGTTCACATCTATCAAAAGAAGGAGATCACACATTAAATCGGAGCAAGCTTTAATATACTTGCCACAAAACGTCTTTCTTGGTAGTCTATTATGGCTGGCCAGTATCCTTTAAGAGTCATTTTTTCATTTGTGTCACAATCCTGGAAAAAAATTCGTAGACTTTTCTATCTTTCATATTCCCCCCCCCCCATTACAATGTTGAACTAGTGTTGTATCTCTTCCAAATTGTCATTAAACTGAACAACATTGTAATGGGGGGAGGGGGGGGGGGGATTTATGGCAACTTGCCTTTTGGTTGAGAGAATTGGTACATTTGCTGTACATAACTGAAAATCTGGTTAGACTTCGAAAAAAGTCTCCCAATATTTTTTCCAAGATTGCAGAACTGTGGGCAGAGAATACCCGAGAATACGTAACATAGCCTCAAAATGCTCTTTTATACCATTTTCTTTAGGGACCTGTGAATCTGACCAATTTCTCTGTGTGAATTCCTCCATCTGTATAAGTCGCAGTAAGCTCTGTGATAGCGTACTTGATTGCCCAGGGGGGGAGGACGAGGCACCGCGATGTATTTACCAACAATGCGAAACAGATAACGGAGGATGTTCGCACAACTGTTCAAACTCACCTCAAGGTATGGAATGTAAAGAATTGCCGAATTGCGTCGATTTCACGACCCTTCATGTGAAAGGCTGTAAAAATGGTGTGAATAGTTTCCTTCCTTTCCTTACAAAACAGTAATCCGTTAATTTTATGCCCTATACCGAAGAACAGAAATGTTTAGCATCTGAGATTGGTTGTATGAAAGTTTTGCAAACCTTTAAGTATAGTTTTTACAGGATTGCTTGATCAGGATAGCGTATGTTTGCGAGTCAACTTCTGTTTAATCACATCAAAATTTAGTAAAATATGACGCATTCAAAGTATGGCAAATCTGTGTGAGGGAATCGTCAGCCGACAGGCCTGCAAGATGTATTGGTCGTATGATAGAAATCTAATCGTTTTTCTTCGAATGATACACTTAGGCCAGGTGTGCAGTTGTCCGGATTGGTTGCAGTTAGACGTCGACAACCGCACATGCGTGGATAAGAACGAGTGCAAGCTGCCGTGGACTTGCAGTCAATTATGTCAGAACTTGGGGAAACATTATCTTTGTTCTTGCACTCCTGGTTATCAAGAGAACACGGAAAAAACATGTAAAGCCATTTCAGGTGCGTGTTTGTGTTCGTCGACGACGTGAAGAGGGAAGTGCAGGGGGTTAGGTTGAGGGGGTGTCGGGGGAGGGCAGGGGCTATCGAGGTTGAAGGTGGGGTTGGGGCGGGGGGTTAGGTTGAGGGGGTTAGGTTGGGGGAGGGCAGGAGCTAGCGAGGTTAAAGGTGGGGTTGGGACAGGGGGTTAGATTGAGGGGGTTAGGTTGGGGGGAGGCAGGGGGGAGGCAGGGGCTAGCGAGGTTGAATGTGGGGTTGAGGCGGGGGAGAGCAGCATGAGGTATTCAGGTCGTCAAGGTTTAGGTGACACTTTTTAGCAGCACGCATTAGTAATGAGGGGGTGTTTAGTTTCGATGTAATGGTCCTATTTGTGACAAGACGTCTTCTTTTGCAGCTGAGGAGGACACGCCATACATTCTATACTCAAATCGGGTCTCGATCCGTAAAATCCCACTGGTCGGCAAAGGAGGACGTGTGAGGTATTCTGAGGTTGTTTCGGGACTTCGCAATACAATCGGGGTAGACTTTGACTGGCAAGAGCGCCGTATATACTGGACTGATGTTTTGACCGACAAGATTCAACGAGCAAAGTTTGATGGCAGTCAAGTTGAGACCATCGTCTCTGGAGGACTAATTTCTGCTGAAGGTATGTAAACGACACGAAACTAACCGGACTAAATTAAGTTAGAACGAAGTGAATTTCGATGAAATTATGCTGGACTGAACTGAGTTAAAAAAAAACTTAACTGGACCACAGTGAAGCAGGATGAATAAAGATTATCCTATATCTTTACGAATACAGGTATCGCTGTCGACTGGATTGGCCGTAATCTTTATTGGTTGGACATGCGAGCTGATAAAATCGAAGTGGCGAAGTTGAATGGCACCAAACGTAGTGTGTTGATTAACACTGATATTGACTCGCCAAGGGCGATACAAGTCGATCCGATAGCAGGGTATCTAGCATGTGTTATTATATTCTTCATAAAGAACCCCTACGGATCTTTAATGTTTCCTACAGGCAGTATTGCATGATTGCTGACTGTTTTTTCCCTGTCAGGTTAATATTTTGGACAGACTGGGGTAGCAGGTCTCGTATTGAGAAAGCCTTTATGGATGGTACCAATAGAACAGTGATCATCGACACTAAACTCTACTGGCCAAATGGAATGACCCTTGACTACCCTACAAAGTAAGTATCGCCTTCAAGATTCGACTCCCCATCCCCAACCCAGGAGTGAGTAGGGGGCCCACCCACTCCTCGAGTGTAACATAGAAATTGTGCTTACTGCTGATCAATAAAGGAATCTTTCCTCAATCGATGAAAATCTCAAAAGTTTTCTCAGCTTGGCTTCCTCAGGAAACCAGGTGCTTCATTCATGTCACTGTAATATTCTCTCTTCCAGGCGAGTATATTGGGTCGACGCACGCTTACATCACCTCGAATTCTGCGATTACAACGGAACGAACCGACACCTGGTTCAGACAGGAACCCTGAACATCCAGCGACCATTTTCCAGCAGCTTGTTTGAGGACACGATCTATTGGACGGACTGGATCGGAAATGCGATCAGATACACTCACAAATATCCCGGTGGTGTTATTCGACAACTACACAACACTTCCACTCGTCTTATGGATCTGCACGTTGTCCACCCAGCGAAGCAACAACCTGGTACGTGGTTTAACTATGAATTTAACCTGTAGGCCGGCTAGACAGTCAGATGACTCTTGCATTACTAGCAAACACATCATTCATTCTACGCATGACCATCAATCATATTTAGGTCAAGATATTGAACCATATTGTTACACTAATTCCGTTTCCAATGAACAAGATATATTCTTCAATATTTTTGAATGATTTAAGATGCTACTTGTGATTTAAGATGCATATTATTCGACCAATATTGATGTGGAATGTTAGCTTAATCAATTTCTTACATCTGGTTAACAGCCAGCAAAACTATCTGTCATTGCCAGGGCCGCCGAGAGAAATTGTGGGGCCTGGGGGGGAAATTTTTTCCGGGGCCCTATGACGTCGGAAAATGGCAAATACGACCATCGTCATATTCGCCGGAAAATGGCAAATACGACCATGGTCATCTTCGTCGGAAAATGGCAAATACGACCATGGTCATCTTCGTCGGAAAATGGCAAATACGACCATGGTCATATTCGCCGAAAAATATCATGGTCGTATTGGCCGTAAAATGACGAATACGACCATGGTCGTATTGGCCGTAAAATGACGAATACGACCATGGTCGTATTGGCCTTAAAATGACGAATACGACCATGGTCGTATCATGGTCGTATTGGCCGGAAAATGAAAAATACGACCATGGTCGTATAGGCCGTAAAATGACGAATACGACCATGGTCGTATCATGGTCGTGTTGGCCGTAAAATGACGAATACCACCATGGTCGTATCATGGTGGTATTGGCCGTAAAATGACGAATAATTGGACGTAAAATGACGAATACGACCTATATTTGCCGGAAAATGGCAAATATACGACCATGGTCATATATTCGCCGGAAAATGGCAAATACACGACCATGGTCATATTCGCCAGAAAATGGCAAATACGACCATGGTCATATTTGCCGGAAAATGGCAAATACGACCATGGTCATATATTCGCCGTAAAATGGCAAATATACGACCATGGTCATATATTCGCCGGAAAATGGCAAATATACGACCATGGTCATATATTCGCCGGAAAATGGCAAATACGACCATGGTCATATATTCGCCGGAAAATGGCAAATACGACCATGGTCGAGTTGGCTGGAAAATGACGTAATAATTCACCGAGCCCAACATTTTTTAAGTTGCTTTAATTTTAGGTTCTTTCTTAAGTCGGGGGCCCTTCAAGTTTGGGACCCGGGGAGAATGCCCCCCGTTTCCCCCTCCCGGCGGCCCTGGTCATTGCCTGCTGTCTAGTCATTGGCTTATACTTGTGTTAATTCTTTGTTTTTTGTAATCGACTGTAGGAGTGAATCATTGTGCCAATCGTCAATGCTCTCATATCTGTGTCTTGAAGCCAGGCGGGAGCTCCTGCTTGTGTCCGATTGGTAGGAAGATTGATCCAGAACATCCCAACAAATGCATAGGTATCATGTTCCGTGAACATTATTTAGTCGTGTTTTTTCGTTTGTTTCGTGATGAATTGTGCTAAATATAAGATACTGGACTTGGTATGACTGACCTTAAGTGAGCGAGATTGAACCGGACTGAACTGAGCACTGGACTCGACTGGAGTGGATTGGATTGAATTGGGTTGGGCTGGATTGGATTGGATTGAGTTGAATTGAATTGAATTAAACTCAACTCAACTCAACTCAACTTAACTCAACTCGACTCAAAACTCAACTCAACTCAACTCAACTCAACTCAACTTAACTCAACTCAACTCAACTTAACTTAACTTAACTTAACTTAACTCAATTCGACTTAACTTAACTCATCTCAACTTAACTTAACTCAATTCGACTTAACTTAACTCAACTTAACTCAACTCAACTTAACTTAACTTAACTTAACTCAATTCGACTTAACTTAACTCATCTCAACTTAACTTAACTCAACTCAACTCGACTTAACTTACTCAACTCAACTCATATCAACTTAACTCAACTCATCTCAACTGAACTCAACTGGACTGAACTGAACTGGACTGGACTGAACTGGACTGGACTGGACTGGACTGAATTTAACTGAACTTGACTGAACTTAACTGTTTGAAAATGTTTCAGGCGTTGATAGCTTCCTGATATACAGCCGTCGATCGGAGATACGGGCAATGTCGCTAAATGACGATCGTACGGACAGAATGATACCGATCGTGGGTCTTAGAAATGCTATTGGTGTTGACTTTGACTTCAGAGAGAATCGCGTGTACTGGAGTGATGTCACTGATAATTCCATCTCAAAAATATCCATAGATGGCACACGATATGAAAAGATCATTAAGCCACGTAAGGCAATCGTGTATACTGCCAATATTTTTCATGGGGGTTCCTCTGCCCCGGTGGGAAAAGGATGCCCCCTGCCCCATTTCATACCCTCACCCTCCCCCACTCCACACCCACCAATACCTACCATATCAAACCGAATTCATTCAAAACTCCTGATAACCATTACTTCATGTTATCTCTCACCATAGATTCGGGGCTCTCCTCTCCGGATGGCATTGCCGTTGACTGGGTGGCAAAGAATATCTACTGGACTGATAGTGTCGCCAACGTCATTGCTGTAGCACGTAGCGATGGTCGATTTCACAAGACACTGTTGTACAAAGCAGAACACACGCATCAGCCTCGTGGTATTGCTTTGTATCCAAGGAAAGGGTGAGTGGCTGACCTGCGACCGGTTGTTCGAAAGGCGTTTAGCTTAAACGGTGGATAAGCCAAAATTTTAGAAATACTCTCATAGATCTTGTGAATGATTGAACCTGAATTTTGCGCATGAGATATGTACTTCCATTGAAAATAAACCTATTTACATCGAAATATTTCAGCTCTTTGTCAGATAATAGATAATTTTCTTTTCCATTTTGAACTTATCCGCCGTTTAGTCTAAACGCCTTTCGAACAACTGGCCCCTGAACGTTATAACTAAACTGTTCTAACCCTTACCTCGTCTGAACTTGTGTAACTACAGCGCTATATCGAAAAGTGTTCTCGCATGTGCTAGAAATTCTCACAGCTTTGAAACTTTCATGATATATGTTTATCATTTATATTTTTCCTGACTGTTTTTTCTTATTTCAGGCTTTTATTTTGGACTGACTGGGGACATAAAACAATCCAACGAGCCACTTTAGATGGAAAGAATATCAAAACTCTGATCAACGAGAGCCTCAATTATGTCAATGGTTTGACGATTGATTATAAGAACGATAAAATATATTGGGTTGACGCTGCTTACGATAAAATCGAGTCTTCAAACTTAGACGGAGGTGATAGGAATACCGTGAAAGATGATGGTAGGTAGACTAGATTGAATAAAGAAAATGCTTTGAATGGTGTATTCAGCGATTTAGTAAGTGCCATCATTTCAAAATAGTGTTACTGCAAAAGTAAACCTAAATTAAACTGTATTTTCGCAAGATTCAGTGTAAAGGCTAATCTCCACTCCGGAAAACGAGCAGCGGATCGGATCGGATAAGACTTTTTTTCCGAGCCTGGTCCGATCCATGAAGTGATTTCGGATCGGATAAAAAAAGTAAAAACTATTTGAACTTTTTTTTATCCGGTCTCGGACGCTTTCGGATCAATATAGGCCAAAAATTTCAACAGATGGCGCACGCGCGGATTATCTTTCGTTCCGATCCGATCCGATCCGCTCTTCGTTTTCCGGAGTGGAAATTAGTCTTAAGAATGAATGAATGATCGCTTATTATACAGGAGGAAACATGAACCAAACATTTGTTGAATGGGGTAACTCCATCAATCTTAAATTTTTCTTTAGAAGTTAAGAGAAAGTTCTATCTTACTGACTGTCCCAGTTTTACTCGTCTTGCCCCAATCATGCATAAAGCTGTATATTTTGTTTTCCTAGACATTGATCATCCGTTTGGAATAACAATATTTAAAGGAGTCGTCTATTGGACAGACTGGATGAAACGTGCTATAAGTAAGGTCGATATTAACAGGAAGAATTCTTCTGTTGTGAAATCGGGATTACCGGGAATTATGGACGTGTGTGTCTTTGATAAGGGAAGACAAACAGGTAATATTTTGGATCATATGTATTATAAGTTTGTTCATACAATCTAATTTTGTCCTGTTCGAGTCCACTTCTGATGGATGTTTTATAGTCTGTTGACTTGCAATGTATACGGGTAGAAATCAAGTAAAACCAATGCAGTATTGCTTTATCAATAACTGACTACATCCCATACGTCAGAAATATATTAGATCCGACAGGTCGTGATATAGGCAAGACTCGTTTATGAGGGAACTGAAACATGCTTTTATAGTAACATAATGTTCCACCACAATTTCAGGTACAAATCCTTGTGGTAAAAACAACGGTAACTGCCCTGAATTGTGTTTCTGGGTTGGAAATCGTGTGAATTGTGGCTGTCGCAGTGGCTTCAGATTCAACAATCGAACCCGAAAGTGTGAACAAAACCAAGAATTTTTGTTGTATGCTTTATCTAACCGTACGTATTCTCAACTTGGGCCTTAACTCTTAAATACCTTCTTTGGTTTAATTCGGTTGTTTAGCACTGGATCAGTGATGGATGATCCTTAGTGGAACCACTAGGGAGACAATTTAGAGCTGGTTGAACTTTCGCCCTGCAAAAATAAAGCTGGCTTAGTTTAGATTTCCTCCTGTAGTGGCACTGCATCAATAAGAGATTTTCTGTACTGGACATTTAGAACGAACAGTTTAGAGCTGATAGAACTATCTAGTGTAAATTTGTAAATAGTGTAAACACTGGATGAACAGGAGATGATCCTAACTAGATCTGAGTGAGGGCAGTTTAGAGGTGATAATGATATCCAGTATAAACTTCCTGTATACTCCTCCTGTAGTAAAACCTAATCAGTAAGAAATGATTCTCACTTCATCTCCAAATATAAAACACAAGTTAATTCTGTTTAGGTTTCCCATAGTAGCACTAGATTAATTAAGAAGAGATGATTCTTATTGGACCTCTAGGAAGAACAGTTCAGAAATAATAGAACTTTTCAGTTTTGCTTGTTCGGATTATTCGGGCATTCAAATCTGTAGGGACATTCGGCTTTTGTTGCAGAATTCATCGGGGTCTCCTTCAATCCTGACGATAACGCGACGCAATTACCTTATATATCCGTGACGGCCACTTGTTATGCCGTTGACTTTCATTATCTTGGAAGTGCCATCTACTTTACCGATGATACGAGGAATGTGATTGGTCGTATAAATACAGACGGATCGGGTTTGAAGTATGTGATCACCCATGGATTGATGAGACCTCATGGGATCGCAGTGGATTGGGTGGGGGAACAGTTGTATTGGACTGATATGGGCACGAAACTCATCGAGGTTAGATAAGGTCAACCTTATTCTTATTATTACTCCGCGCCTCACTGTGCAGTGAACTAAACAATCCATCCATCTTCTTTACAAAGGTCAGTCGGCTAAATGGTTCTTACCGCAAGCCTCTGATCTCGGATAATCTGGAGAAACCTCGAGCGATTGTCTTATACCCTTCCAAAGGTCTGATGTTTTGGAGCGACTGGGGCAGAATACCGAAGATCGAGAGAGCGTACATGGATGGTGGTAAAAGACATACTCTGTTGTCCAACAGAACTGGTTTGATTTACTGGCCCAATGGACTAACGATAGACTATGATACAGATATTTTATATTGGATTGATGGCAGGCTGAATCTTGTCGGGCGTATGGGCCTGAATGGTGGTATGTGAATTAAATATGTTCATCTGAATGATGGAATACTTTTGCATGTGGGTGGGAATATAGGTTTAGGCTTAGATTAGGATTACATTGGGATCAGGTTAAGATTAGCCTTAAATTAGGTTTTAGTGTGGATTATTGGGTATTTGGTTTTTTTTTTCACCAGAAAATCCTAGAATTTTGCTGAAAGGCTCTGATAATCGTCGAATTGGCTACAGTTTAACAGCGTTGGGAGATTATATTTACGCCGCTTTCACTCAATCGAAGAATATCATTAGAATAGACAAGAGAAATAACGCATCAAGATTGTTTCATTCACCGTTAAATAACATTCGTGGGGCAACTTCCGTGGTTGCTTACGAGAAGAGCAGGCAGGCTGTTGGTGGGCCTTGCCATCAGCACAGCTGTGAACAACTGTGCTTACCTCATAACGACACGTTCAGGTAAGCAACGCTGTACTATTATCGAATTATGTCTACAATGTGTGCTGTGGATGGTTGAAACCTTGCCATATGCTTCCTCGGATAAAACAGAACTCAAGGGGTAGTTACTATGAACCCAGTTCAGACCGGCAGACTGATAAAAGAAAATACAAATTGCATCCAAAGCATTTGGGTCGATGTGTTTGAGGCAAATTTCAGAAACATTTAAGTCTAATGCTTCATTCAAAATGACGATAAACATTTGATTTGATCGGGCGGTCTATAGATGCATGGTAAATTAGACGCGTACTTGGACGGCTGCGCAACCAAGTCCCCCGAAACACTGACTCACTCGTGTTTTGTGCATAGGTGCGACTGTGGAGTTGGAGAGCTTTCGGCTGATGGAACACACTGTCACGAACCATCAGCATTCCTTGCCTACGCCGTCGCCAAAGATATTCGATTTCTGCACTTCGACGGTGGGCGCCATAGGGCCCCCTACAGCACCATAACAAACAACAGTCCTACAGTTGGTCTCGACTTCGATTACCAAGAACAGCTCATATTCTTCTCCGTGTTAACCAAGTCTATCATGAGAGTACACTTCAATGGCACCGGAATGACAGAATTGAAGATAAACAGTAGGTGTAGGAGGAATGTTGCCGGTTGTACGAATCCGTTTAGCTTAAACGGTGGATAAGCAAAAAATAAAAAACACTTTCATACATGTTGTGAATTCATATCGAAAAACTTTAGTTTTCTTCCGTGATAAATGTGCTGTCTGGATCATTTTTCAGCTTATTCACTGGTTAAGCTAAAACAGCTCTCGTGCAACCGGCATCAGTAGATAACCAAGCTGTAGAGTAAATTTTCAATCGAGGCAAATGGTCAAACGTTTTATGGCTGTGTCCAGAGACAGCATTAAGAGGTTACAACAACGACAACATATTAAGATGTTCTCAACGTTATTTCTTACTAGTTCAAGCGGACGGGGTCTCAGTGGATTGGAGGGCGAAGAAAGTCTATCTCGCAGACGCGGTGAACGATAAAATCCGTAAAATGAACTACGATGGATCTGAGCTGAGCGATGTCATTTCATTTGGAATGCGCGAGCCCCGGGCTATAGTGGTAATGCCGTGTGACGAGTAAGTGAAGATTTTTAGGTTTGAATTTGAAGGATTTCGCCCGTGTTTGCTGCAACTGCCAATGCAGTTCCCTTTTGAGAGATGTAAATTTGGGAACTAGAAAACACCACAAAAACAAGGAGAAATTTTCACGTGTATTTGCTGTGTGTATAACTTGTTCTTTTCTGTATATTTCGCCGACAGCATGCTTTACTGGACGGATTGGGGTGTACACAGCATCGAGGCTGCTAACATGAACGGAATTAATCGTCGCAAGTTGATCACAAGCCATGTGATTTGGCCAAACGGACTCACCATCGATGCAGACGATAATAGAATGTTCTGGGTAGATGCAAAACTTGACAGGTAGGTATATGCGTTGCGCGTCAACATTGAGTGCTTTGGATGGCGATATTAAACGTTTCCAGCTGTAGACGAAGTTTTATTCCTGGCTGCAAGAAGGAACAATCGTGCACCACGGCAAAGTTTGGCCATTGAGAAATGTTCAGTTTCTCTGACTTCGAAATCTCGTCGACAGCTCTGGAGTCATCTATACGAAAAGTCATCCACTTTGTTGCAAAATCTTCCTCTTTGTCTTCCACCGAAACTTTAACCCGTTTCTTTTTTCTGTTTCCGCAGAATCGAATCGGCAGACCTCGATGGTTCAAATCGCCGTGTCATTCTTGATAACCTTCCTCATCCATTCGCGATTAGCATGTTTGGCAGCACAATCTTCTGGACAGATTGGATGTTGAGAAAGGTCACCCGAGCAAACAAACTTAGCGGTGGAAGTCAAAAGCCCCTCACAAGGGATGGCCTTACTTTCAAACCAATGGACATTCACGTCATCTCACAGTCCAGACAAAACTGTGAGTTGATAGGAAAAAAATATTAAAAATTTATTGAATTTGTATGGAAATGATTTTCATAGCAAGGCTAACAACAGACGTATTGGATGGGATAATATTATTGTTTGATAATATTATTTTGCAAATATCGACTGCTTCTTGTATTCAAAACACAAACGATCATCAATGTATACCGACAGGTCCCCTCACTGTCCTGCTCGGTATTCCCTTGTGTGGTATACGTCCCTAATGATCCCCACGAGGTAACTGGGTTTATTTTTTGTCCTCAGGTTCCAGAAAACCATGCTATAACAACGGCGGCTGCAGCCATCGTTGCTCAGTTAAACAAAGAACAAAGCAATGCGAGTGCTGGCCTGGTTATAAACTTCTGGATGGATACTGGTGTGTGAGAGCGAATAGCAACTGTTCTGCAGACAAATTTACGTGTGCGAATGGCAAATGCATACCTCGACTGTTCGTTTGCGATACTGACAACGATTGCGATGATAATTCGGACGAAATGGATATCGTTTGCGGTTAGTATATTTGAACGACCCTGCTAGCTAAGGCCTCAATGATCAATATGTACATGCTATGCTACCCGGGGAAGATGTGCCTCGCTCCGTCATCTTAAACCTTTACAAAACAAAAAAGTAAACCTGAATGTAAACAAAGTTTTTTGATTTTCCCATCCTAACAAAAAGAGACTTATACAATAATAATCAATCCATCTAACAAACTCATTCATTTTGTATACCACATTTCATATTCAACTTCATGCATATTCTCGTGTGAGGATTAAAATAATTATCATTCATGCATGGGAGTTATTCCGTGAACAGCCAACTCATTGCGATATTTTGTGCCTTTCAGCGAGGCACGTTTGTCGAAGTGACCAGTTCCAGTGCAGCAATGGTAAATGTATCACTAAAAGATGGCGTTGCGACTATGAGGACGATTGCAGTGACAACAGCGACGAAGAAGGTTGCGAACGACAAACCTGCAACGCGGACCAGTTTACATGCGACAACGGACGATGCATCGATAAGAAGTACCAGTGCGATTCACACGACGACTGTCGGGATTTCTCGGACGAGGCCGGATGTCCGCCCGTGACTTGCCGTGCAGGTAGAATCCTCGAGTATGACAATAGACTGGACGACGGCTTTGGTCCATTCATTAATCGCTCTATCATTTGTACACTGTTTGTCTTCCTAGAGGTCCAGTAAGGATCGTCTCTTATTGATCCAGCGTTACTACAGAAGGAAACCTAAACTAAACTAACTTTATTTACACTGGATAGCTCTATCAGTTATAAACTGTCTTATGACAGCCTCCTGATCAATAACCGATGATTAACCTAACCAAACTGGTTTTATACTGGATGGAATAGGGTGCAGTGAATTCTATCAGTTCTAAGCTGCTATACCTCAATCTCGTTCTATCTTTCTATTGTTTTTCCATGGGCTATTTCTCTCCTACCCAGGTCGTATCTCCTGCAGTAACAACGACAGATGCATAAGCCCAAGTTGGATTTGCGATGGTCAAGATGACTGTGGTGATAATTCGGATGAAACGAGGTGTTCCAACATCACATGTAGCGAACAGGAGATAAAGTGTGCCAATACAGGGCGCTGCATCCCAATAGCGTGGCGTTGCGATGGGGATAATGACTGTGGAGATGGTAGCGATGAATCCACTGGGAACTGTTCGAAAACAAGTGAACCTTGCAAAGAAGAGGACTTCACGTGCGAGAATGGTATGAACAACTTGAGTTATGTTATGTTTACAGATCCAAATGCCATGTTTTTCCTAACTAGTCGATTAAACTTTGGTTAGGCCAGAGATTACTAAATTCCGAATTAGATCTGCAAAATCAGAACTGCAAACTGGCTCACGACACGCTCAACCCAGTTCTACAACCAATCTGTTTTTCTATATCATTCCAGGAAATTGCGTTTCCCGAACGTTCCTTTGTGATGGCGACAACGATTGCGGTGACAACAGTGATGAAACTCAAGCCAACTGCGGTTCTCGGACATGCGGTGTCCTAGAATTCAAGTGTTACAATACGTCACGATGTATTCCGAGAACGTACGTTTGCGACGGCGATAACGATTGTGGCGATGCTTCCGACGAACACCCGCGCGAGGGATGCACCCATCCAGCCTGTGATAGTTCAGAGTTCAGGTATGATTGATGTAGTATTGGGTTGGTTATAAATCCGTATCCAGAATCTCGCGAATATAATCTCTAATGTAATCCTTGAGTGTTAATAGTTGGGTGGGGATTAGGATCAGGTTTAGGATTGAAGTTACGATTATATCTCGTGCAGGATTCCATTCCTCTTAACCTCATACGATTTATAATCGAGAATTGATCAATAATAGCGGATAATCAAGGCTTGTTTTTCAGATGTGATAATGGGATATGTATTCGCAATTCGTGGCACTGTGATTATGCCAATGATTGCGGCGATAAGTCCGATGAAAATGGTTGCGAATACGCCACCTGCCAACCCCATCAGTTCACGTGTGGAAACGGACATTGCATCTCGGCGGAATACAAGTGCGACCATGACAGAGATTGCGATGACGGATCCGATGAAGTAGGGTGTGGACCAGTGACCACGCCCAAGCCATGCAGGTACCTCGTAGCAACTCTTTATTATGTCTGTTCACACCATCTAATTTTTTCGGATCCAATTAATTTCTGATGTAAGGAATGGACTACATCTGCTTTGGTGATTTGTTAACTTATCGAAATTTGATTTTAGTGAAGATGAATTCGAGTGCATGAACACTACATATCGCAACTGCATCGACCGCAGTCTGGTGTGCAACAAGATCAGCGATTGTGAAGATCATTCGGACGAGAAGAATTGCCATTTGAATTATTGCGCAAAGGAAAAACACAACTGTGATGTCTGCACGAACAAAAAAACCGGCTTCGAATGTACTTGTCATTCTGGCAAAAAACTGGTTAACAAAACGAACTGTATAGACATCGATGAATGTCTTGACCATGCGATCAACCGCTGCGAACAGATATGTGTTAATACCATCGGTAAGTAAGCAAAGATTTTCCCCATCAATCAACACTGAGCTTTGACTTACTACTACCTTCCCAGGATTATTTCCCAGTCTATTTTATTATTGATGCAGGATATACCTTTCGTTTGCAAAATGGTCTTGTGAATATGTATTTGTTTCCGTATTTTTAGGTAGTTACAAGTGCCAGTGTGGCGAAAAGTACAAACTAGAAAACCAGTATTCCTGTAAGCCCATCGACCCCAGCAATTACCCACAAGGATATCTCTTGTTCTCTGATCGTTACGACATTCGTAAAATGTCGTTGGACGGGAATGATTATCACACTCTGGTCTCAGAATTGATCAACGTCGTCGCCATAGATTACGACTTGAGAGAACGTCGTATATTCTGGTCTACAAACTCTCCCAAAGGCATAAAATCTGCGGAGATGGATGGCTCAGACGTTAAGACGATCATCAGGCTAACGCACAGCAGCCCGGACGGCATGGCAGTGGACTGGGTCGGTCGGAATCTGTACTTCTGTGAAGCGCAGGATGGCGCCATCTTTGTCTCGAGATTAAATGGGTTCATGTTGAAGAAACTCATCACTGGGCTGAATGAACCTAGAGGGATGGCGGTGTATCCAAAGGGAGGTAGGGGAACAATTAGGGATCTTAAGGGATCAATTAGGGATTTTAAGGGATCAATTAGAGTGTAGTACGGATGGATAATATGGGGATATGGATGAATAATGTTGTACTCACGGTGGTAAGAAGAGTGTTTGTTTTAGGTAGTCGTATGATCGTACTATATAGAGGTAATTATCCTCATGTAACCCCCAACGTATCCATATTTTCCAGGGTACTTGTTTTTCACCGACTGGGGACAGCATGCTATTTTCCGAGTGGGTATGAATGGACACAATCTCACCAAGATTATTGGGGAGAAAGTCGTCTGGCCTAATGGTATAACGATTGACTACATTACCAAGGTACGGTATAGTATCAAATTTTTCCAGGGCAACCCCTTTAAATAACATGTCCATTCTGAGGTACATATCATCTGCCTGATATATACAAGAAAATTTCCTGACGTTTTAACCCAACAGCTCCCGTCAAAAGAGTTTGAACAAGTTATTTATAAAATCTTTTGCATTCTCTAGGAGCTGTTCTGGGTCGATGCACGACTGGACGTCATTGAGTACTCTGATATGGACGGGCAGAACCGAAGGAGAGTTTCACAGGGATTAGTTTCACATCCGTTCGCAATCACTGTGTTTGAAGATAATGTCTACTGGACAGACTGGCTCACGAAGGCTGTTCATAAGGCTCATAAATGGAGCGGTGAAAATCATCAAATAATGAAAAACACGACAAGTAAACCCATGGATATTCAGGTGTTTATAGTTCTTGTTTGCTTGTTTGTTTGTTTGTTTGTTTGTTTGTTTGTTTGTTCTTTCGAACACGCACACTACACGACAGCCTTGCTGATATAAACCTTGTTAAATTTTCGCATAGAAATTTACAAAGAAGAAATGGACATGATGTTTAATTATTTCTACAATAATTACCATTTCCATCAATAACTAGAAACCTACACGAGTAAATCAAAAGCCTCTAAACTCAATTCTCTCTTTCAGGTTGTTCATCCAATAAGACAGACCGCTATCGTCTCACCATGTCCAACGAAGAATCCTTGCCAAGGTCTTTGTCTTCTTACCCCAGGAGGGGGCTACGAATGCGCATGCCCAATGAATAGTATCTCACAAGCGGATGGGAGGTCCTGCCTATCAAAGTGCGACGGAGAGTTTGCCTGCACCAAAAGTCTCAAATGTATTCCCTCGAATTGGCTGTGTGACGGCGAGGATGACTGTGGTGATGGGAGTGACGAAGAAAGTTGCGCCGACAGCAAGTGTCCCCCCGGTGGGTTTATTTAAAATCAGGGGGGGTACATATTTGTGTCAGAGATATAGAAAGGGGGGAGGAGGACTTGTTTATTAGAGACAATCGTCGTATTTCAGAACAGGGGGGGTGTCTCTCTTAAGAGAGAGGTCTTCTTAGGAACAGCTAGAGAAAGGCAGTTAACTGGAGAGCGTATTACCAAGTGATCATTCGCCAAGAAAGTTTTTTAGACTAGATTGGCTTTTGATTGTGTTAATGGCGTATTAAAGAGTGGTCTTTGTTGCAGAGATAATTGGGGAATAATGGCTTATTAGAAAAAGGAGGCTTTTGAAGAAAGGGGCGTTTTGCTTTTGTGGGGAAGCTTTTTGCAAAAGGGCTTTCTAGAGATTGGCCCTTGATAGAAAGCTTCTGCTATAGATTGCATGAAAGAAGTGTATTAGAGATTGATTTATTCTAAATCACTATCTACAATGTGTTCACGATAGGTCAATTTAGTTGCGATAACGGTAACTGCACGTCGATATACTACAAATGTGACGGCGACGATGATTGTGGAGACTTCTCAGATGAACGGGACTGCCCAAGAGTGGTGTGCTCTTTCAACCATTTCAAATGCGACAACGAAAAGTGCGTGTCCATAGCCTGGCTTTGCGATGGCGTAAACGACTGCGGCGATGGGAGCGATGAAAAGAACTGCACCTTGAACAGAAACTGTACCGCTGATGAGATGAAATGTTCCACGAGCAAGTTGTGTCTTCCGTTGTGGGCGAAATGCAACGGACACCTGGACTGCCACGATGGCAGCGATGAAAGTGGTTGTGAAGATATTAAGTGTGCCGAAGGGAAATTCAAATGCCCTGAAAAGTGTATCGAAGCATCATGGGTTTGCGATGGTGATAGGGACTGTGATAATGGCTCGGATGAAAAGTGCAAAGGTATGTGAGTTTACTGTCAATCCTTTCCTTCGCAGAAATCTCCCTTTTGGAAACAGGCCCAAAACGTCGATGAAGACCAATCACGTATTTTACATGAAGCACCGAACATCACGTCAGCTGTAAACACTGGTGAACGCGCATATTTTTCCGTAGCAAAAACTCCTTTCGAGATTCCTTTAACAACATGCAGTGTCCATTTGAAATCTAGATCTCCCGTGCATATTTTTTTCAGGATGTCCTTCGGATAAATTTACATGTGCCAACAAGAGATGTATCCCGAAGACCTGGCGGTGTGACTATTCCGATGATTGTGGAGATAATAGTGATGAAAGGAACTGCACGTATTCTGTGTGTAGCTCACCCAATTTCAGGTTTGTTTTTATCGCCGTTTATAGACGAGTAAAATCCCCAGTATATTGCTCCGCCCAAATAACAGAGTTGAACAAACTTTGAAAATCTTAAAAGAAGTTCCAAAGAATGTTGAGAATTTAAATCTGTTTCACCAGATGCAAAACAAGCCGGCAGTGTATCAAGGAGGGCTGGGTCTGCGATGGTCATGACGATTGCGGTGATAAGTCTGATGAGGAGAACTGTAATCGATGTAAAAATGAGGATTTCAAGTGCAATGATACGTACTGTATCCACAAGGAATGGCGTTGCGATGGTACACCAGATTGCAGAGACTTTTCCGACGAGATAGGTAAGCCAGGTGAATCCTTATGAACAGTCAACTGTCAATCTTGTCGTCTATATTACTTTGTTTCCTTTCCAGGTTGCCGTGTCACGTCTGCCAACCGTTGTTCCCCCAGTCAGTATAAATGTAAGAACTCGCTGTGTATCAATATCTATTCCAAATGCGACGGTAGTAATGACTGTGGTGACAACTCCGACGAGGATCCTGTTATGTGCGGTGAGTGATGGGTTTCCCTATTTCTGCGCCGAATAATATAATTCCTTCTCAAGTTACGCTTAGTTTCCCTGATTGATTTTTATTCAGATCATATCGGGTTGTAGTGCGAATAAACACGGTCACTCACATGACCTAAATGTTCCCTAAATATCTTCAAATATCCTCAAACATCCTAAATTTCCTCAAATACACGTACAAGATGCATGTATAGCTATGAATTACCTTTAAATAGAGCATGTAATATTTTAAAAGAACCAACTGCATATCCAAAGAGCTGAATCTAGCTCTGTCCATTCTTTCCACCTAATGTTGGTTCCGTCTGACTGATCCATGCTTCTGATTTCTCTTATTTCCAGCAAATCACGCGTGCTCTCTCATCCAGACTCGGTGTAAGGAAGAACCGGTTTGTATACCATCTTTCAAAGTTTGTGATGGCGAAAACGACTGCCTTAATGGGAGTGATGAAGCTGGTTGCAAAAAGAAAAGGTCTTGCAACGACACAGAGTTTAAATGTGCTGATGGCTTGACTTGTGTTCCTCTCAGTGCGAAGTGTAATCAAAGACTTGATTGTCCCGATAAATCAGATGAAACTAAATGCAGTAAGGAACCAACGTAACTTGTTATAACTCTTTTTAAAGCTCCAGATTGGACCTCTTTAATTGATCTAGTGACAAACAAGAGTCGAATAGTTCAATCAGTTCAAAACTGTGCTTCGTAGAAGTCGAGTACGAATCATTTCTTGTTGATCCAGACCTGCTTCAGGAGGACCTGATTTATACTGGATAGCTCTGTCAGTTCTAAACTGTTCTTGCTAGAGGCCCAGTAAGGATCATCTCTTATTGATCCAGTGTTACTACAGGAGGAAACCTAAACTAAACTAACTTTATTTATGCTGGATAGCTCTATCAGTTCTAAACTGTTCTTCTTAGAGGTCCAGTAATGATCGTCTCTTATTAATCTAGTGTTACTACAGGAGAAAGCTTAAACTAAACCAGCTTTATTTATATCGATGGCCCACCAGGTGTTAACGTATTATCTCGACTTCTAGGTGGCTCGTGTTCCAGTCCACTACTTGGGGTCTGTCAACAGGATTGCAAAGATGTTCACCCGGGCCCAGGCTATCATTGCGTCTGTTACCCTGGGTATGAAATCTCTCAAGAAGACTCGCATTACTGCGACGATATCAACGAATGTGCCGTGTTTGGAACATGCAGTCAAAAATGTGATAATTTCAAAGGAAGTCATAAATGTTCCTGCTACGACGGTTACCAGTTGAGCCATAAAAAAAATAACAAAACCAGCTGCAGAATAAAAGGTATGCTTGTGGCCAGCGCGTATGTTAAACTCGTTTCTTATCCGGCCTCTTACCTAGTAAATCCAGCCTTAGGCTAACCTGCAATTTCGCCATTTTCTGCCATTAACTTCACCCATTCAGTTTAATACGAGTTCAGGGTTCTTGACAGTATCATAAGTACACTTTGGTCACTGTATTACGTAGATACCAACACAGTACTCCATCCAGTTATTCCAAAGCTCAGCGTGTCAGCCTCGCTTGAGCTTATATTTATTTAGTCGTATATTGTCATTTATTTTTTATAGGTCCCCCTCCTGAGGTCTACGTTCCCAGTCTCGAAGGCATCCGAAGATATTCCCCGAGCGGTTTTGGTGGGCGTCTCCTTGTCCCCACTGACAGCGTCATTAAAAGCATCGACTATTTTGTCAGGGATAATGCGACTTACGTACTTTGGTTAGACGGAAAGAAAAATACGATAAACTTGGTGACGATTAAAGGTGAGGAAATGCATTTGTATACTGATCGCAATATGCTGTAGTACTACCGTGGATGGACGAAAGACGGCTGTCTTAAACGTCTTGGGAGAACAATTTATAACTAAAGGGCGTGTGCTGTTTAATTTTTTGTCCGGCCCATCGCGCTCTCTAAAGAGCTTTTCCAAGTACATAGACCAGCTTTTGACTGTCACTTTTCATTGATGAAATCGACATTTCAACAACTGAGGACTTCAGGTTGTTCCTTCAAGCACCAGACGGTCTGCCAGGAGTGAAATTCTTCTGGTAAAAAATGAAGTCCGCTTGTTTTTTTAGATACGAAACAACGGAGACGCAGAGATACAAAAGACTACACAACCTTAATTGAAGCGTCGGGAAAGCCAAGATCATTTGCTGTGGATTACATGAGTGGAGATGTTTTCTGGCTTGAGTCGAGCACAAATGAACACAGCGTGCGAGTCAAGTCGATATTTGGCAAAGCTAGTAGTGCTCAGGACGACAAAATCAAAATCAAACTCTATAACCAACCAACTCATATTGTTCTGTATCCTGAAAAGCGGTCAGTATTCACGATTTTGTACATTTCTAGTTGATGGTCATCATTTAAATTTAATCCACGCAAAACAACAGAGTTTCCTTCAAATGTTCACAATGCCATTTCTATTCGCAGCAAAATGTTTTGGTGTGATGTTGGTCTAGTTCCTAAGATCGAGGTTGCTAACTTAGACGGAACGAATCGTAAGGTGTTTCAATCTAAGGTTTCCTGGCCTACTGGACTTGCCATAGATACCGTCGCTGACCGCTTGTATTGGTGCGACATGAAAGAAAATACAGTCGAGACCGTATCAACTGATGGAACTGACAGACGAGTCGTCCTCACGTCGAAACAACTCATCAGAGAATTTTCCGAGCCATATTCCATAGATGTTTTCGAAGATTATCTTTATATTGTGACAAAAAGAGGTTTTGCGTTTAAGTGGAGTAAGTTTGGTTATGGTAATCCAACAAAGTTGGCGCGCAATGGTGTACCAGAGGCCAGAATAAAGGTCTATCATAGAGCCAGGCAGACTCATGTTAATAATAAAGGTTAGTGTGTTTTATTATGTTTTGTTAGGGTGTGGTAGGGTATGATCTGTCAACGTGTGTGATGATTTCTTGGATTAACGGTGGAGTGCTCTGTTGACTGTCATTGTTGGGTTTTAATTCCTAAACTCCGTATTATTTCCCCAGGTACTAAATGTCCGAATGTTGATCAAAAAATGTGTGAAGGTATGCCTTGTATTTTTTGTACTAATAAATAGGGGTGTAGACAGTATATTATAATTGTTTGTGTGTTATCATGACATGACCAATATTATCAAGACATAATCGATATCATCACACATGAACAATATTGTCAAGACATGATCAATATTATCCGTTCAAAACATAAGCTACCTCATCATGACCTGATCGTTTAATATCATCCACACATGATCGATATTGTCAAGAAATTATCAACTTTTTTTTTGCAGTTGATAATTCGAGTTGTGTTGGTTATTGTGTTCGTGGAACGTGTCAAATTAATGATGGAAAACCATCCTGTCAGTAAGTAAACATATAGAGTTCAGTACATGTGTCTTAGCGGAATTCTTGCAATACGCGGAAAATTTGGTAGAAAATAAATCTGCCTTACTGTTCTTTTTCATAATATATTCTGGGTATGTTCGAGTTGATTCAAGACAACAACTTTTCCCCTCCCCCGAGCAATCATGGGTTTTAACACCATGATACCTTGGTATATCAAGCCCCGTTTCTTATTTATTTCCACGTTTTTTAAGGTGTCCTAAGGGCACAGTGGGCACGAAATGTCAATGGTCATGTGCAGATCTGAAATGTGAGAACGATGGTGTGTGTTATATAAACAAGGAACATTTGAATTGTCGGTAAGCGGACAACATTGCTCAAACAAAGTAGCTTCACGAACGTTTAACCTCAGTTATGGGATTTTCTTTGTACAATTCAGGATGTAGTCTCTTGTCGTTCATTCAATTTAATTCTTTCTCTGACGTCCATTGAACATAATATTGATGTCTTCGCAGTGACATTTATACCGGATAGCACTATCAGTGTTTTTTCTTGGAAAATCTCGTCCTGTTGATCCAGTGTTACTCCATGAGAAAAACAGGAACTAAACTAACGTTTCTGGAAGGGCAGTCTAGAACTGATAGAGCTCCCTATAGTTACGATACTGGATCAATAAGAGATGATCCTTACGGTTCACGTTTCCTCTCACCAGTCCACCACTAGACCAATAACCACCAACCAATTCTACTTTTTTCTCCAGTTGTCCTGAAGGTACAACAGGCAAGCGGTGCCAACTGACATGCGCGGATCATAAATGTGTCAATAATGGCACGTGTGTGGTTCATGAAGGCATACTCCAGTGCAGGTGAGAAGCGGCTGATCTCGTGAATATAACTGGACTCTCCTCGTCCTATCTCAGTATTAAATTCGTTTCTTCTTAAAACTTCGCTAGCACAGCGACTCTATATATGCTCCATTTGATTCGTGTACTCTGTCGTGAACGCCAGACGACTGAGGCCTTGTCAGTCAATAGTTATAAACTCATTTCTGTACTATTAACCACAGATGTCAGGACAACGAAATCCGTCCCGACTGTCCAGATATTCAAGCAAGATCAGGTGGTGGCACAGACTCAGGTAAGCGTATATTGATAACGTTTATGCATGTTGAAAACACATGAACGGACCCGTTTCGTTGATTCCGTCTTTCTCAACATGGTTGCGTTTGCTTCAAGTGATCTTCCTGGTGGTCTGACAACTCCAACCAACTCTGTTCACGCATAATAAGCTATTCTGCGATCTCAATTGTTCATCTGCCCACCGAATATCGGCTTATATCCTACTGTCGGTGTCAACAACAAAATAGCCGACAATTTTGCTATTCATGATGAGAACGATGTATGTTTTAATATCACTTTTGGAGATGTCTTTCCTCTAAGTGTTTGACATACACAACAAAAATCTATAGAATATGGAATTGAAAATGAAATAGTATAATAATATATGCTGATGAAAAAGCAGATATTTTCTTCACAAAAGCGGGCTTTGAAATTTACTTGCATGAAAACATTGAAAATTCAATCGATGGCTAAGTTAATTTTCTTGTCAAATTCTTATTGATTTTTTTTCTTTCATCTCTTGTCATGCTTGACTGTTGTTTGACGTTTGAAAACATAAGGCAATATAAGAGCTGTCTACAATTTTGCATATCAATTATAAAGTCGGCATCGCATTGGAACTCAATAACAATATTATATAGATATTTCGCAACTTGTCGTTTACCGTTTCAAATAGGAAATACGATGTTATCAATTTAAATTGTCGAAAATATTCGTTACAAAGCCCAAAGGCTTGCGTTGCGTAAGACAGTAAGCTTATTTGGAACAGTGTATAAGCAGTTATCAGCAATATGAATGGTGAGTGGTTTTTTTGGATGTTATTTACTACGTGATCGATGTGAGGACTTTATTTTGGAGGGATTATTCAGTGACAATGTTTGTCGATTAAAGTTTGTAAGGTAATCAAGAATAGGTTTAGGTCACAACACAAGCATGCATGTCACCGAGGTCTGACAGTATAGTTAGAACTTAGAAGAGGATTGATTGGATTAAAACATGCGAATATACAAGCAGAGTTGTAAAAGATTTCACTCATCGTCAATTTCTAGAACAAATGAGAACAAAGAGTTCCATTTATAAATTCATTAAGCGTCAGTTGAATTGGCCCTATGCCGTTATTCTTTATAAAACGGTCCGATTTTATAATACGGTTCAGATTCGACTATCGGTATTTTATTTCACGTGAGTAAACTTCACGTGACACGCGAATATAATTTTTGAGTTGGCCATCAAGGCTGTTCACAATGTCTAAGCTATTGTGTCTATTTGCTTCCACATGAGAGCTATCGTGCTTCTCTTTGCTCAACAGAAACTGACAGGCCCTAACTTTCAAAAACGTAATCCAAACCATAGCAAATGCCACTGCGTTGGGATTACAAATGAAATGACCGAATAGGAATAGATTTAAAGTTTCCCTCTTGTTGTTCAAGTGCATGTATCTTGTTCTCAAGAATATTCTCCGCTTTCAGCCAATTGAACTGCATCCAAGGCTATACATCCAAGGTTAACGAGTTCTCTCTCTTTCAACTTGCAGCTAAACTTCTGGAGATAGTTGTCCCGTGTGCTTTTGGTCTTTTGGTCATTATCGCTATCGTGTCCCTTCTCTGTTGCAGATGGCGTGGGAGGTAAGCAGCTAGATTACATCTCGGAGAGCAGAAACTTCGTTTGACAAAACCACGCCCCCTCGTATCATGGGGGGGGAGGGGGCGTGATAAATCGGTGGCGGTTTTCAATGGGAGCTCAAACCTGAATAAACATCTTGCGGTAATGGCAAAGGTCGAATTCTAAAGTAGAGTGCAATTTCCGGACGCTACGCGTGCTCCAAAATATACCTAGTGGTCCTAAATAACCCTAGCCTTCAAAAATAACCCGAAACACTAACTGAACTCTATAAGACTATAATCCCCAACATTGTGACAAACCCCGACTCATTTTTTAACTAAAATCATCATATAGCGTTGGAGTTCTGTGAATATAAATATCACAGTGTTTCAGCATGACACAGTTATTGACGGTGGGGTATCCTCACTTATGGTTCATGAGTGGGTGGGTGGGTGTTCGCGGGGGCTGTACCCTCTCCATAAAGCCGCACAGCGCAATTCCTTCATCGCTACTCGATGAAGTCCAAAAGCGGGAGTCAGGCGTTCCAGCGTTCTAAACTCAGCTTGTTTTACAGACCGTCAAGGAAATTCTCCTCGTTCTACGGTTCCCGCAAAGCGTCGTTTACTTACACTGGAATGACAGGCGAAGACGAAGATGACGATTTTGCTGAGGCCGGCAGCCGACAGTTTGTTATTAACGATAACGAAGTAAGCTTTCGAAAGTAATTGCCATCATATTCTTTCATTCCAAGACCACAAAGCGATGTGCGTATTTTATTTTCAGGTTAACTTTGCGAATCCAGTCTACAACTCGTTGTTCCTGGAGGGTCCGTCAATTGACGATTACGCCGAGGTGAACAGACAGCTCATCTTCGAAGATGGGGACAATAAAGTCGATTTCTCAAATCCGATGTACGATTCGTACTACGGCTCGAACGAAAACCCAGAGATGGACTTGTTCTTACCGCGAACACAGAGCCACGATGCTGTGTCCAGCGGCGATTCCTACGGCAGCCACGACTCTCTGACGACGCGACTTGTGAAGGATGAGAAATAAGGTGATATTTGTCACAATTTGTGCTGTCCAATTCGTTGTGTTTTTACCTTTTATGCTCTAAAGAGATCGTTGAAGACACAACGGTACATTTTATATTTTATTTCCAATTAATCGTAAATAACCCATGTCCGGGTTAATAATTAATAATAGTCTAATATTGTGGTAAACTAGCTCAAATTTCGTTGGATGAGCTTGGTCAGTGCACTAAAAGATAGCGAACGAGACCGTCTTGTTAGTAATATACCTTCGACGTCGTTTTACCAACGGAGTAATAATCTCATAAGCACCTTTGCATGAGAATTTTACGAAATCCTTATGCTTGTTTCATTGTTTGTAAATATCACTTGTAGGCACATTTGAACGGCAGACATGGTTTATAATCACCTCTCACGAATCTGCGTGTACTGCCTTGATTAAGTAATAATTGCACTCATGTTACATAACGTACATAACATGCTACATGACGTACACAACATGTTACATAACGTACACGCATGTGCATTACCCCTAAACATTTTTTCATCAAATATATAACACTAACCCACAACATAGTATAACTAATATATGTATGCACGGCATATAAAAATTATCTATCTGTAGTTGCGTTGTTATACAAACTTTTTAATCGTGCATAAGAATGTAGTTTGTAGGTTTTATTAAACCCGACAAGTAAACTGGGTCCGAGTTGTTTATGATGTAATGTTTTTACTACACCGCGGAGCGAAATAGTACACTGGATAGATGGTAATAATTTTTAATCCTAAACCTGACCCTAACCCTTACCCAATTACTTATACTAAAGAATTAAACTCAGGGATTATGTTCGTGGATTCTGGACATAGAATTATTACCATTCTGGAAATTATTGCTGGATATCCATTTGCTCCATTGGCATATTTGTACAAGGTTAAACAATACTGAATTTTCTTGAGCAATTAACTTTGAAACCTGCTTGATTGAATGTATTTCGTTTTAGTTCTATACACACAACTTTCCGTTATATACACTTTTTTAAAAAAATACAGCCTCTTTTCTACTGAAAAAATTGCACTTTATGCACAAACGCTTATATACAAACCACAGTCTTGATTTACAAAATTAAACTTTCGACTGTTACTTATTTTGTATGTACAAACATATTAAAAATAAAAGTATGAAGTTAAGTTATCCTAAATGAAATGCAAACATCGTGTTTTCGAATTCAACTCAAAGTAAAAAAGATGTTTACATCCTGTCATGTCAAAAAAATCTCAGTGTAAAGTTTACTGTTGTGCATCTAAAGTTTGAAGTTTCTTTGCTTGAGTAAGATATCTTATTGTTCCGAGATTTCAGGAATGGTGAATGGAACATCAGTGAATAAAGCGCTTTCTGTGTTTTCGTGGAAAATTTTATCAATGGTCGACAGATATTTCTTGGAATCTGAGAGACATCCAGTAGAATAACTGATCTCATCTTTTTTCAACGGTTTCGTCTTTTTTTTCTTGTTAATTCGAAAACTACGGAAACCTTTGAGTTTCTTGTTTTTAGCATCATCGGGGCACTGCTTTTCAAGATCTAAATCATCCGAGCTAATCCGTTCACGGAACGACAACTTCCGACGAATCGTCGCCGAAAACGACCGAATCCTACCAGAATTGTCCGCAGTTTGTCCACGAGATGGCAACTGCAGTGTTTCAAGACTTGGCACTTTCACAGGCTTATCAATGCTGTTCCCGATGTGTGATGGTAAAATCATACTTCTTGGCCTGTCTGTCTTCTCTATGATAACATTAGCACTGTTTAACAACAAACTGTCTTGAATTCTTAACGGTAAATGTTGTCGTTTTTTCAAACGTTTCAGACTTTTGAGTGTCTTTTAAGTCGCACACTGTAGGCTTGTCGTAGTGTTCCTTTTCAAGCTGTTTGCTATCTTCCTGACGTGATGTATCTTGTGCGCTAGCCAAGCAGTGCTTTTCAGGAAACTCAGTTGTCGTTCGTAAAGAGTCACTCGCCGTTTCTGATTCCGACTCGAACGTTATTGTTGGTATTTCGACGAGATAAGCACCAGAGCTTGAATTCTTACCCACCATCGTTGTAGAGTGCAGAGGTTCGTCCACGGACACACCGGAATGGCTTCCTTCCGCGTTTAAATTGGTTTCGCCAGTCGTAGCACACGGCAGAGTAATACCTAAAGCCGATGATACATCAAATTGTCTTTCAATTGGTTTACATTGCAACGCTTTAACGGTTTTAGGATAATCTCCAAAGCACGAGGAAGTAGACGCCGCACGTTTAATCTCGTCGTCCGGACAAACATTAGAATAAATCCCTGATTTAAAACTCTCCTCAAGTTTGATTCGAGGTTTGTCGTTTTTGACCGTCGAGGTGATTTCATCATCGGAATGTCGAACTCCTGGCGTGTTTGTTTCAAAACTATCAGAGCTCTTGTTCTTTTTGCCCGAATTGTCGACTCGTTTTCGTGCCAGAGTGCTCATGCCGTCTTTTGCAAGTTGTATTAACTCCTCAAAGGTGTTTGCCTCGTCTCCAGGCTCATTTTTAATCTCCTGTTGCTGGGTAGGGCCGCCATCCAGACTCGAACACAGTTCGTGGCCAAATTCTGCTTTCTTTTCGACCCCTTTGCTTTCGAAAAAGCTCGCAGGGTTTTTGCCCAAAAATTCACCCTCAGTCGCTTCTTCGGCTCTCTGCGCATGACAGTAAACCAACGATGAAACGCTCAATTGCGCGTGCGCAATCAGGGGTTCCGTGGTATACATCTCATGACACGAGGAGCCGCAGCCCGAGTCAACGTCGCTCTCTTTGGATGACGATTTCCCTTCATCTTTGTCTTGTATATGCTTTTCCTTGCTAGTTTTCCTCACTGGAACTTCAGTCTTTTTCCCCACTTCCACAACCGCAACCATTTCACAGTTTTCTGTGTCTCCGCTTTTGTTGTTTGACGATTCCGTCGCAGTTTCCACTTGACATGTTTCGTTTTCCTCTTCCTCTAGAACGTGCAAATCCTGATTTCTGTAGCCTTCGAAGACGTCATGCGTCACTCGATGCACTTCGCACAAGTGTGTCTGAAAACCATCTGTCTGCGTGATAGCATCTTGATGATAGTTTTGGTGTCTTGCATTCGCTAAAGAGTGATGAAAAAGATTACTTCAACTAAGGACTATATAACCTGACTTATGTGCCAGCAAAGTACCTAGATAGCCCGACCAAGACTTTCGTATTTAATATTTCTACTTCTTTAAAACCTAGAAATGAAGTAATTGTCTAACGACTTCACTATTCGTTGAAGAACTTGACCATACCGTTGAAAAAATAAGTCAAAGATTTCTCTATGCTAAGCCGTCTCAACATCAAATCTTAGCTGTATCATGGTTGCCTAGAGGTTTTCCGAATGCTCAGACAATAACTTCATTAAATATTGTTGCAATAACACACTAGCCGGCATTCTTACTTTAAAGACAAGTATTAGACCGCAGAAAATAACTCTCGGGGTCCAAACCTTCACAGAAAAAATGTTTAAAAAAATACACATCAGCCGGCGTTTCTTTGTTTGCATCACAATAATATTTTAGCTCATAAAATTTTTTTGTCGTCTAAAATATTTGGACAAAGATTCATTTGCTGGGCTGTTCAGATGAGCCCGATTACCGAGATTTAACGAAGGGCAAAGTGGACTTTGAGGCTTTGAAATGGGTAAATAACACGATTCTGGTAGTCGTGTTATCATCCTATAACAATAACATGTGATTGTTTTGTTTCAAAAAGACTTTTTTCATAATAATTTCAGTTTCAACGACAAGCCGAAAAGGTTCAGTACTTACTCTTTGGAAAAACGTCTTCCGTGGGGATCGTGAACACAACGGCCCTTGTCGTCTCTTCGTTTTCATTTTGAGCTCGTCTCTTTGAATTCCTTAAACCTTTCCACAGTTTCAAAAATCTTGAAAACGTTGGCCTTCGTTCTCCATCCTCGGTGTCCTTATTCACGTTCTGTTGAGAGGTAAAACCAACGTCAATTTTAGAACTTCTCTTTCCTGCGACACTTCTGCTCGCTAGACGTTCCGAGAATGTGTCTTCGATATGTTGTGATTGCCGCTGTTTTTCTTCGCTGCGTTTTCTATAAAAGATGTTTGGATAAGTTGTTTGCATCCATTAGCGCCGATCTAACCTTAAACGGTTGCAAAAAAGTCAACTTTAGGACCACTAAAAGGAAATCGGCCACGGTATAAGTATTGCTTAAGTATGCATTCATTTAGTCCTCGGTATGAAGGTTTTTATAGGGATTCGACAACTATATAGAAACAACTTTGTTGACAGTGACATGCAGTGTTACGAGTTAGATTTTGTTGGTTCCATTGAGTGAACTTTATCAAACTGATCTTTCACGCATGGAGACAACTCAAAAGTAGTAAATCCCCTTTGCTTTGGCGTCTGGCCGGCCCGTCTCTATCATCAAACCGCGATAACGCATTAGACAGCAGCATTAGACAGCAGCACTAGACAGCAGCACCAGACATGATTTACTCCAGGAAACATCGACAAAGTGGTGAGATAGAGATTATCACGTTAGTTCGCATGGATAGCTCATTATTGACACGCACAGATTGATCTTGTGGTAACTTTTCGTAAATTTTTCATAGATAGATGAGGTAGATAAGATAGATAGTTTATCGATTGCAAATAGATTGCAGTCGGTAAACATAAAAGCCCTGTCCATCCTACCCGATGTGGCGTACCTCACGAGAAACCAGACAAGGAACACGACTCCGATAAGGAGAAGAAGCGAAATTGCTGTGAGGCCAGTGAAGAGGAACCTGAAGGTAACGTTGGATCTGTCATATGATTTAAAACTTCTCATCTGTCACAATTTACTTTCCGTCCCGCGCCTCGCCTCCAACCACTCCATCTCGTCTTACGCCACTTGACGTCACAAATGTTGTGACGTCACCTAATCCAACGCGCACGAGGGAGGGAATCTATTTTAAGCCTCATCACGCGCTGACTTGTCAGGCAGATTACAGGTAAACCGTAATATTAGCGCCGTTTTCGGACGACAGAACCCATAAAATGCGCAGCAAAAGTCAGAATGGTGACACATGAATCTGCACTGCATTAACACACCCTTCCGATGATTACGTGACAACGTTTTCGACACGAGAGGATGGTGTACAGGAAATGGCTTGTGAAAGAGTTTGTTCGATAAGTACAGAGTATACAGTTATGTCTGTCCTCTCATTAATGCCATTATGACACCCCAAGATCACTGAGACACTGATCTCACAGTATACCACGATATGACGAGTGTAATCTACTAAGATTTAGAGTGCTTCACCTAGATTAACTTTTTTAAAACAAATGAAGCGCTTAGTATCTTCCTACACAAATATACTACGAAAATACCGTATTCCTGCCGTGAATACTTATAAACATTTATGTGCTGTTAAACCTTCACCTATCGGCATTTATTGTTACTTGTACATGTGACAGGAACTTCCATCGAATATCAGTTCGTAACCTTATCAGTATCTTTTTTATTTAAGAACGATAAATCCTACTCGGAGAGCAACGGAGCTATGTTAAAAAACATAAAGGAATCCCTTTCATACGTGTAATTTTTGTTTATTCCGTTTACCAACAGCCTATCGATTAGGCATACAGCCATATACATACCTTGCTCTGTTTGCCCAGAATTTTGACCATGCTTTGAACATTGTAGCTGATGTGTTCCGCACAGCCGTGATATTCTAACACCAAGAAAAACCGAGTCACAAGCTGTAATTGATCCACAAAAGATTAAGATTAAAGACAGACACTCGAAGTGCTCAAAATCCTGCCAATTGAATTTTACATGTGTTTGTTTTGATGTGAAAATACTTGTGGGTCAAGACTTGGACAACATAGGAAAGACTCGCTATTATCTTCGCTGGTACGAATAAGTTATCAGGCGCCTTTGGCTGAAACGAATCTTGTAGTCCGGTGCTTGTGTAACTTTGAAGAGCGACAAAAATAGCACCAGTGCCCGTAGTTTCGCTTTGTTCTTACATTTCGGTCATAGTTTATGTTGAGTGTTAAACAATCAAAACGCAGTGTGCAACGGTATTATTCATATTCAAATGAGTTTTCGGAAATGAATTTTGCATGAGTTTTCAAACATGCGAGCCTCATTACATTATTCAATCAAACTAATCCACGAGCTTGCACATAGCCTAAGCCAAACCGCTTTTATGAATGGGTTCGTACCAAATAATTTAAGTCGGGATTTTTTGACTGTGTACAGTACCTCACGCGCTGAAGGTCAGCAAAGCAATTAGAATATATCGCGAGTTACGCAATATTTTACGTGCCTAAGTCATCGACCGGTCCTCTCTTCTCTTTATTGGTGAAGTGGTTTTCAGGTGAAACTAACAGTTCAGTTCCCTTTTAGGCGATTATATTGTTAATGTCATCAGTTGTTATTGTTAGATCAAAACAGAATTTTCGTACCTCAAGAGCATCTTATAATCGACCCCGGTACGGCGGTAGCTTCATCGCAGTGCCTCTTAGCTCTTGTGGACAATTCATGTCAATCTGTCAACGGCTTGTTGGCGATAAATAAATAACTTGTTGACTCGAACAGACCTGTTACCGCGGCGTTGTTCTAAAATTTATCGTCCTGACGATGCTGACGTCTTACGAATTGAAATTGACAAATGAAAATATTGTTTTGTTGAAAGAAGTTCTTGACCTGTTACGTAGACGACGTTTTTCCGTGCATACGCCCAGAGTTAAGCTCGCAAACGTTGACTTTCTCTTTCTGACTGCACGATTTTGTCTCGACTCTTGTATCAGTGCGCGTGGTCTCAAAAACTGAACTCCACACTTTACAATCCGGTGAGGCTTTCTTTAACGTCACAACGATGATGGAAAATTGCACTGCCACTGGACTGAGCAACGGCCACAATAATATCTTCGACTTTTTTGCCATACAAGACTTTTTTCATTTTCAGTATCGCAAAGCGAGCGTTGTCTAGACTGTCTACTTCAGCTCGAAGATGATGGATAATATTTTGACTATAAATTACAGATTCGCGCCTACACAGATGTGGTACTTAATGATTCTCCTCATTTTAACCCAGCGTTGCGGTATCACGATAGAAACTTTGAAAACACTTGCAGCTAGAATCTTTTCTAAGACACTTATATTTCATATTTGCCCGAAATGAATTGCGATGACACTTGCCAATATTCGATAAAATTGCGTACAGTACCGCTTTTAACATCCGGCATTTCAGTTGAACACGAACGCGTCATCGATTTTTTCCCTTCCGAGTGTCAGAAGATAAGAGCAGAACTCTTTCAATAAGAGCAATGAAAATTATTGTACCCGTCTCGATTTCTTCGTAGAAAAATGTTCTTAAATTCGCATTAATTAACCGAACAAATATAGACTGAGCTGGAACCTGTTCAATGCAAGAACCACGCAATTCAATAATTTCAATTTAAGCTAAATTTAGTTAGCGCAACGCAGCGCAGATTTCAATTTAACGATAAGCGGCCAACGCAGTTTTGTCCGATAGCGATATGTGAGAGAGAAATCAAGGAAGCTTTTGTAGTAGAATTGAAAATTTGACAATGCGATGTGGGAATTTAATTGTAAAAGAGAAAAATGTCAATATAAACACCAGTAAACAACCAGTAAATATCAAATATATAGACAATATATACGAGTTTCATCTCGCTTCACCCACCCCGATCTGGGGGTTCTCACAATGTGAATTGGGCACCCTGTATGATCAGGCTGAGCAGGCGAGAGATAAGCTGTAGTCAGCCGCTTGGCTTTGTTGCATTTCTTGCACAATTTTTGGTCGAAACTTGCTTGTTTTTCTCTCGAGTTTCGCTTCGAAGTAACTGTGCTAGTCTTCGTATCTGTTGGTCTGTATCGAGTAACGTGCCTTCGACAGGATTTAGCGAAGTACAAGTCGGAGTTTCGTGTCATTAGCCGTGTTTAAACTGCCCTGTTGCCACGTGTGTTGGCGGTCTAGGAAGTGAAAAACAGCTGCACTTGGCTCATATTTTGCCAAGAGAACTTTCGAAATACTTCATTCTTCTACGACGACAATAACAGAGAGCCTTGGCGGCCTCGGTGAAGCGAGCTTACAGCCTAAAAGGGAAGGCGAATATATCTGTACAAAACACCAATCGAATTTGTGGAGATCAATTTGTCTGCGTTTTGTCTTGAACTTTTGTCGGTGTCTGCTGTCATCATATATCGTCTGTATTGAATAAATCTTCGCTGGGTTGCCTAAGCATCTCTTCTACAAGCATTACTGGTGGGATAAACGTTATAAAAGTATTGTACCGAGCCGCATGAGTTCGGCTACGACAAGTTCTAGTGAAGTGGATATCGCAAATTCAAAAAAGGTGGGGTTATAACAGACTGTTTCCTGTAGTTTATTTGCGAGATGTTTTAATGTCTTGCCATTAGCGGCAAGGAGAAGACGAACTAAAGCTACGTTCTTTTACGAAAGGTACATTTGTTAGATTAGATTGAAAATAACACTATGCGGGGGCCGAACTTGTCCGTGTCATAAAAGCGAATGGCGGCCATATTTGTTGACCCACCGAGACTGCGAGAAATTTCTCCTTTCGTTTACGCTGCGTTCTCCTGTCAGCGAGAATTTCGAAATACGAGCTCAAAGTTTATTTTTTATTCCGCTCTGCCATATTCCAGCTGCCATTGTCATCTTTTTGATGTGCGAAACGTCTGCGAGCATAGGCGATGTTTAATTTTGAAATTCTCGAGGCCACAAACTAATTGATCTCTGATCGCATACGACGAGCTTGCTTCCGCGAGGTCTCAAAGCCAACAATGAGTCAGCACATTGAGAATTTTGCGAGATTTTCACTCCTGTTACCGTAAAAACTGCTACCCAGCCGTGAAATATCATTAATTTTCGATGTTAATAAGCTAGGGTATGTTTGTTCTTTTGTCTCGTATCTGGACGCTTCAGCTTGCAATCAGATAGAAGACTAGTGTATATTACAGCAAGTAGCATTCACACTAAGCATTTGCGAAGATAAAGAGAAATTTCAAGAGTCGTAAAGCCACAAAAGTTCTGCTTATTCCTGTAAAAAGGTCTGTCTTTCGACCACAGCATTTAATTCCCATGCATGTCGAAGATTTTCAATCCTTGACCAAATATATTAACTAGAAATGCAAGACTCCTTTTCAGAAGATTTGCCTATTCTGTTGTAACTCACATTATATCGTTTAGACTTGATTTTCAAGTCGAAATCCCTTTGGGAAAACAAATCCCTCAAAGCAACACATAAATTTTAAGTGTTGGGCTATTGTATATCATATTTACATTAGACAACTTATGTGCTGAAGCATTATTAAAACCAGTCGATTATCATCCAAAGATCCATTATCTTTCATTTCAATCTCTTCTGCACATTAGAACTTTAAAATTTGAAATTAAGATAGGTATATTCTCATTCTTTCCTTCTGATGCAAAGTGTTATCTCTCAACTATTTGGCTTTCTGAAACAATTCACACATTCCAATCCCCTAACAACTATCACAGGCACCATTCCTCTTTCCTAATTATCTCCTGTATGTTTTGTATACAAACTGTTTTGGTTTTCAATGAAAAATGAATAGGCATTGCTTTCTTAGAAATTTAAAAGTGGTGCTACTTCCAGTAAACGGGTATTCATGTTACAAAACCTTGTCCTCTTGGCTAAAATCTATTCGCTGGAATCTGACTCAAACAAATCTTCATATCAATTCAAAATTATAGTTTAAAACATCCATTTTGCTAGCTTGCGAACCATTTTCTGTCAAAATTGGATTCCACCTTTTATAGCAAGCAATGGGCATTTTATAAGTACCTACTTTTGTATTTTTACTATGTTGAACTGATCTGAAAATTTTACTCAGTGGCAGAGGGGGCATTGCAATTTTCAATTACATGATTTATGCTGGTAGTCTTATGCAATCTCTAAATAGAAACTCTAAAGACTAATGATATTGGGCAAGGTAGTTTTTTACAAGTTTTTTATTTATTAACTTATTTAGTCACCATTGTCACCTGAGGACCAGCGTGCTCAACTGAATCCTGATGCAGCTGTCTTCGAGACTGGGTAGGTCATATTGTATGTGTGTACATACTTGTAGATATTCCTCGGAATCTGAAATAGTCAGAATTCAAGCTTGGAATTGGCAAGTTATGTAATTCCAAGTGATAATATATTCATATACTTGTCAACAAAGATCTTTGTGTTTAAACTGAAGAAATGTTTGCTTTCAATATATTTTCTAAATTTAAAACTTAATTTGGCTGCTTTCCCTATATTAGTAAACCCGACTAGTCTTTCAGTGAATATGCTATGTGATTACATCATGTCACTTAATTAATACTGGATATATAGGTCTTATCTAAACTGTACTATTAGGAATTCAAGTAAGGGCCATCTCTTGTCGGTCCCCCATGCCTCAGAAAGGGGAAACCATAGCAACCAGGATAAAATATTGTTTCTAAGTAACAGCAAATTGAAATATTTTACACATTTTTTATTGTATTAGGTTGCATACAGTCTGAATTCATACTCTTTTAGCAATGAAATTATAGCTCTAACATCTAAGTGGTCCCACCAAGGAGTTCAAGACACAGAGCCTCACTGAATATTTATACTTGCATGTAAAGCATAACATCTTTGACTGCAGAATTTTTGCACAATAATAGTATTCACAAAGAGACGAAATGTGTTCAATATATTACTCCGGATGAAACAATGTCTTTATGATAATTAGGCTATGTGCTCACGAGGGTCATTTTTAAGCAATTTCAAAATAATTTTTGTCTAGTTTTTCGCCTTGATGCCTTGTCCACACGATCCAAGGGAAAATATGCTTGATATGTTAAATTAAATTATTAAATTAAATTAGCTTCAACTTTTATTGTAAATTGAAGGCGTTTGAAACTGTTTTGGCATGAAAACGAAAATAAAAAAGCTCAAAAACGTTACTGTAAGCACATAGTGTTACTTTTCTCGCTTATTCCTTTAGATCAGTGAGCAAAGACTCACTTAAAGAGCCAGAAACTTGGCCTGACCAGGATCGGAAGGACGACATGCCCTCTCCTCAAGTATCGCCGAACATCGGTGTGGATGCAGATATCATGGTGAATGGTGGCGAGCCCAGCGTATTTGCAGAACCACACATCGGAGCGCGGCAGAACATCCCAGAACATATAAAGCCAGATGAGTTGCCTAAAGATGAGCTAAGAACGCTTGTCCGACAGCAGCTAGAGTACTATTTCTCAAGGTTTGAGACCATTTGTGCTGTATGTATGTGTATCTTTATTTCAAAAACCATGTTCTTATTTCTAATCTCACTTTCTAATGTAACACATTTTTGTAGAGAAAATTTGGCTGGTGACACTTACTTGGGTAAGAATAAATTGCCAAATTATTATGAGGTTTATTATCATTTCACATATATTGTGATTAACAAACCTGTGTTTTTGTTGCCATTAGTCACACAATATTAGTATTAGAATGTTCTTAAACATTTATATAGCGTATTTTAAATATTTATTTTAATTTCTATTTTTGCATATTAGTGTAGAAATGTTCTGAAGCATTTATATATCATATTTCTAAATGTCTTAAAATTGTAATCATCTAGTTTCCCAGATGGACAGCGACCAATATGTGCTGATTCAAATTGTCGCCAATTTTAATCAGGTCTGTAGCCAGATGTGTGTTATGTCAATACACATCCAGATGTGTATTTATAAACAGCCTAAAAAAACCTTGACAGTGGGAGGTTAATCATATTTTTTATTTCTTGCATAATATTTTCATTCCTAGTCAATGCCTCATGCTTTGTTTAAATTGCTGGCTAGTTTTATTTATTGTTTGTTGTTTGCATAAAACCAATCAACATCCAGTGATTTTTCTGCAGCTAATGCTGGATGATTTTACAGCTAAGTAAACGGAGTGTTCACTTGATATAGATGAAGAAACTCACAAATGATATCGAACTAGTCAAGGAAGCCATAAAAGAGTCTGCATATCTTCAAATGGACGACTCTTTGACAAAGATGCGACCTAACGTGAAGCGATGTATTGTTATTTTACGTGAGGTTCCTGAATCAACCTCCGTTGAGGTACGCCGAAGCTTGCATTTGCCATGCAAAGCATTACTATTGCATAATTGGCATGTGTTGTGTTTCAAAATGTTGGTTTTTTCTCTAGGAGGTAGAGGAACTGTTTAGCGGGGAAGGTTGTCCAAAATACATCAGTTGTGAACCGGCAAATAACAATTACTGGTACATTCACTTTGAGTCAGAAGACTGTGCACAAAAGGTTGGTAAATTATCGCCTGATGTCTTGTTGACAACTTTCTGTGAAATTGTTTAAATAACATCAGAGGATGTAACCTATCAGTTCAATTGTTATCAAACGTGTTTAGGCGTATCGATATCTGAGAGAGGACATCAAGACATTCAAGGGAAAACCAATTATGGTAATCACTATTGATTGTTATTTATTGACATCATTTCTTAATAATATTGACATGCTAATGTCATCAATTGAGCTCTAGCAAGCAATATCACCAAATTAAAATACAGTTAAAACATTGTAGACACAAACAATGCAACTATGATTTTCGTACTTGCTGTGACTGTCTTAAACCTGTGGTTTGGTGGACGACTTTAGCATTCCAAGGATTTTTTTGTATTGAAGTGAATAAGAAGCTAATATACCCCCAACACTTTTAATAGTTAAAATTTTAGAGTTGGATTTTTGAGAAGAGTGGAGTGCTTCCTTTGTTTATGTAGTCCTTTTGTACCACATTACATACACAGGGTAACGAATAAATGTTTCAGTAATATTTTTATATTCTGAAGAACGATTTTTGTTAACAATCCAGGCAAGAATAAAAGCCAAGCCTATACCAAGAGCTGCATCAAGCTTTGTACAAAAGAATGGAATGAGACAGGTTGGTTGTAGATGTTATTCACACACAACGCATGTACATATTAACAACATTGAGAAAAATAAGCATCATGAAAGCTTTAATATAACCAGGGAGAGATTCTTATGGAGTTCATTTCCTTCACAATAGTACATCAGGTAAAATTTACTGGGCACATTCCCTTTCTTAACACACTTTTCACTTTGTCATGTAGAACAATGAACCATCAACAATTCCATCAATGCCATCGCCTGCATTTAGATATCCTGTTTCCCCAATGTATGGAAGTCAGGTAAACTTTGTTTCCTAGTCTTGGTTTATGTGTATTATGTTCTTTGTATGACCTAAATTCTTAATGTTACTTGATTTGATATAAAAACATTATTTATTTCATCTATTTTCAGGGTTATTCATTTTTCCAACCAGCTGTTATGCCCCCAAACTGGGCTGCTGGGCAGCCTTACTTTGATGCATTGGTACGTGCAAACAACTGTATACTGTATATATATTTGCCCAGATTTATCCTAAAGGGGTTCCAAATGGATGCTGGTGGTCATAGAATAGAGACCCTCATTACTCCCTCATATCCTAATGTACACTATACTTTATCTTGTCTCAGATTCCAACGATGCCAAACAATGCTTATCACTCTCCACAAAACTTCAAGGGCAACAGTAAGTTCTTGCATTGCTAACATCTTGCTGTAAAGGCCATGTTACACGGTGCAATTCTTCTTGAACTTGCAATGCAGTTCTACTTTTAAGAGATGTAAATTAGTGAAGATGCTTCAAAATGTAAGTGTAAGAAGCGCCATGGAGTGTAATAAAGACAAAAGTTCGGTAGTTGCCAAATTTATATCTCTCAAAAGAAGAATTGCATTGCAAGTTGCAGGAAAAATTGCACTACGCTCTAATATAACGTAGGAGCGTCTACACTTAGCTATACTTAGCAGCGTCTTCTAACGACTTCTCATCAAATATGGTATAACAACTGCCTAAAATAGACAGAAATACTTCACTTTTTGTCTATTTTAAGCAGTTGTTAATGACAATGCAGTGACTAACTATGTTGTTAATCGTTTTTCATTCAGACCACCAAGGCAACAGACCATATTATCAACATCCTTTCAAATCAAGGTAGTATAATATATGAAAAATGATCATATCTGTGTACCTTTACCTCAACCCACGTATTTAAAGAACTCGTAGTAGTAAAGGGAAGGATTTTTCCTTTCCCTCTTACAATATTCTCGAGTCTTCACGATGTTTGTGCTAGGTTGAGGTGCCCCCTGTAGAGCTCTACTCCCCCTCCTTATGTTGGTGTGTCATCATGTCTGTAATCCCCGGGGTATTTGACAATTTGTCCCTGCTTCTAAATGCTCTCCTCTCCTCGCCTCTTTCATTCAGAAATCAAACGCGCAGTCACCGGGAACCGGACAGGGTTGACAAAGAGGTGGCGTCCTATGGTCGACCGCGTGCGCACAGCACAAACGGTACCACGAACACAAACACGAGCAATAGTAACACTAGCAGTAACAACACCACAACAAACAGCGGACCAAATAAATCACCATCGTCGACCATCTCCGCGAGCAGCTTAATAAACTGGAGAAGGGATGACGAACACAGGTACGTGTGCTTTTCCTGCGGCCTGCTCAACTGTTGCCCTTTCACTCGACTAACTTTCGGTCCGATTTTCATCTTTTGAGAGATGCAAACGAGCGAATAGTAAGTGTGTACTTCGATATAACGAGGTGCTAATATGAACATCAAGGACTTATCCACTCGTTTACATCAATCAAAAGAAGAAAATCGCACATGAATTTGCGATGAGATTGCCAAAAAATGGACCTTCAAGTATATTGATTGATTGATGAGAGTTTCCCCTCCGAGAAAAGCCTTACATATTGTTAAAGTCGCAGGGACGAGCCTTCATTATGCTCTGTGCACAACAAGATTTAACTCACCGATGTATTTTTGCTAGACTCGGTCCAAGAGCGCGAAGAAGACGTGGAAGCAGCGAGGATATACGGATCGGTGTATGTAGTCCTTTTTTGATACCCTCCCGCATCCCCTGACCCCTCCCTTCCCCCGTATTCAATAATTTCTGACGACCTCTTGAGAAGGCAACTGGCCAATTATACACTGCGTAGCAGAGCCGTGTCAGTTCTTTATAAACCTCGGAAATGTGGCCACGTTTATAAATTGATCGGTCAATTTTGTCATTTTTAGCGATCGCCAATACCTCAGGAACCCCAACGAAGCAAAGATGACAGCCACTTCAACTTATCAAACGCCCAATTCCCACCTCTACCTACGACGAATACTTTTGTAAGCCTATTTATTGATGATGAAATTTCTCACCTAATGAAATTTCTTTCTCATTCTTGTCAATTTCAATGCAACGCTTTTCATTATTAGCCTTTCGAGTATTGCAAGTATAATTAACTGACGCTTCATCATCTAAACCATTTAGAAAACTTCCGATCTTCCTTTGCAATCTCCGAGCACCAGACAGGACTACAACAAGGTAAGATACGACAGTATGCAGTGAACTCGTCTCACCTCCCTACTTGAGTTTGCTTCGGGTAAAGTACTTTCACTCGTAATGCCAATTCTATAAAATAGGTCGCATAGGAAGGTTTGGTAATCTCATATCGTGTTCTATACTTTCGTTCAGGTTGCCTCTTCTCCCCCTCTGTCACCTCCGATAACACCAACAAGGTAAAGTTCATCTCATGCTGTATTCGTACAGTGCATGATAACCAATTGTGGTCGGAGCCAATTTGAAGCCGAATCTCTGGAGGACCATTGCAAGTGCCTGTTATACTGTTTTTGTCCGCTCGATGTGGACACAAACAGTGAAAATGGCCAAGCACTGGGCCTCTAACACGGCTTCATATTGACTCGGGGAACTCACCTGGGATATTTCTGTTTCTCCTAGCACGCCCCGGGTGACCGAGTCTAAACCAAAGGAAGAAACGAAAGAGAAAACGACGAACGAAACAATCGAAACGCCCGCCAAAAAAGAGGAGACGAAAAAAACGGAGACGAAGAAAGTCAGCGAGCCTGAGGTGAATTCCAAGGATACGGCAAAGGACTCTGCGAATATCAGCCCGAAAGACACTGCAAAAGACAATCCAAAGACGACACAAAACGATAAAACCAAGGTGCGTTAAAGATCACCTCTTATATCTGCCTAGTTTTGTTGTTTTGAAAACAACTTTTCTAACACAATTTAGTCCTTCTTTTCCGGAGGTTCTGTAGCCACAGTCGCTAAGGTATAACGTGCGTATAATCTTTTTTATTCCCAAGGAAACCTCGTTGAATGAGTCGTCGAAACTGAGTTACGCTCAGATCGCGCAGAAAAAAGCGATGCAGAACAAACAGCAAACGAACATTACGACGGTTTCCACGGTAACGACAAATACAAACACACAATCGTAACCGACGAAGGTATGTCCTCGCGTGTAGCACGCACGCGTAGTTTACACTAGCCCCACCAAGAGTTTTCAATGTTTCATGTCAAGGATTCTGTCCTCAGTATTTCGGTCAAACAACTGCGTATTACAGAGGGCATGTGTCTAAACATGCATTGGTCGAATGCTCGTAGTAATCTTTGCTATCAGCACGCATTTTCTAACCCCGTGGTCCTTTCCACAGGAGTGATCCTTGTGAGAAATTCATCGTGATGGTCTTGCTGCTCTGTGCGTGCAAGTGATTGACGCCGTGGCAGCGGTGTGATATGGGGAAAAATCCCAAGTGAAATGAAATTTCAGCGTATAACAGCACCTGTATCGTGTACATATTTAAAGATCTACAGCAAAATGCGATGGGCAAGCGGATCGACTGGCAGCTTGAACCTGTAAAAAGTCTGTACATATACATATGAACATATATGTTGTTGATGTTGGTGAAAGTTTCTTTGTTTGACATATTGTAAACTACCACAGCAACGTGATGCTGTGCTCGGATGCAATATGTATAAAGCAGTTTAAACAATTGGTTTACACTTTGGAAAATTTCTTTCATCAAAGTATATGTTGTGTGAAGTGAAGTGTTCGAGGACGACGCGTCTGAGGCTAATTTCCGCGCTAGTCTCTGACGTCATTGCGACGCACTGACCTCAAAACAAAGACTGGTCTGCTACGCGACCATATTGGTGTGACAACCGTTTGCGTGAATACTCTCTAAAGGCAGTATACATTCCAATATATAACTCCAACGACGTTTCTCGCTCAAGAATATCATTGCTGTATTTTGATTGAAGTTTTTTTCCTGGTGTAAACCTTTCTTATTTAGAAGAGGACGATTATTAATGTTGCACACAAGTCATACGCGCTTTAGAAGTATAGCTGTGATAATTATAGGATTATAGAGATATGTAATTAACGTTTGTCCCATCATCTTTCTCCTTCACCCAAACCTTTCCGCGATTATCCGATTTCCACCTCACCGACTTCGAATCCAGTTTTCATGACTTCCTTGGGCTGGGTTGGGTTGGCATCATCGCCAAAACACCCAAGAATGTTCTAACGTTCTCGAGATTTTAGTTTAGTTTGAGAGGGAATAATTGGAAACATAAGACGCTAGTTTAAATATGAGGCAAACTGAGTCCACCGCGAAATGGATCTAGTCTCCAGGATCAAACATCACGGGCACTTTTGTCCTTGAAGGGTTGAAGCTGGGCCTCCACATAACGCCATTTCCAGTGACACGTGCGCTTCCTTTAATGACAAGGAAAGCACGGTTACTTTACCTCTGTACATAATCCTTAAAACCCTTCACTAATTTGCACTGGACCAATCGCCTTTAAAACTAAATTTTGCAGTGGGAAGATTCATTAGTACCTGCGTTAAACGTTATTACGTTTAGCGTGCTTCGGCCTCGTGACTTCCTGATTTTCCTAGGTTTAAAATTTACATGTAGTTTTTGTAGGGAAAATGGTCCATTGCGAAATGATTTCCAAATGTTTTCCTGTGCAATAGTAATCGTCGCTTGGTTATATAATTGTTGAAAATAGCGACTATTTTTGATTCGAAAACAATAATTTATAAAAATGCTATTGTATGCCATAATTAAAGACGATGTAATCTATCATTAATTGAAGATGATTTAACCTTATTTTACCATTCTACTTCTCATAGCGAATTCCACACGAGGAATGAGCTAAAACACGTTAGCTGTAATACCATAGATAAGATATTGTTCTCAGGGATGTAGTCAGGACTCAAACGAAGAACCTTTAAAATTATCGTAAAAAACCCAGATCAGAATTGATATTTATAACAGCTGTATAAACGCTGGATAGCGCTATCCAGCATTCATAACAACTGGCCCCATATTTTCTTATATTTTAACCTGCGAGCAGAGCCTGTTTGCAGGCTAACCTCCTATCGGCTCCATGATCGGCTCCATTGATCGGTTATCGGTGATTGCCTTTCAGCTATTACCCAACGGTTCCGATTTCATGCTGAAACCTGACTATATTTCTGTTTAGTTACATGCTATAGTATGTGTGCGTGTGAAAATCTTAGATAACAAACTGTTGTAAGCAAAATTGTGCAGGATAAATCCACTGACTTACCAATAATTGTGCTGTTGTAGTGTTCTTACCTAACCTAACCTATGCCTGTGTCATTTGTTTTGTTAATAGTATATCTATAATCCTAAGATGCTGTGTTTCTGTGTATAATAAATACCAAACAATCCCAGCTAGCATGGATTTTACCCAAAATCTTTAATACCAACCAAAATGGCTTTCAACTTTAATAACAAAATATGTAATTTAAGTACTACTTGTTTTGGGGGGAACAAGGTCATTTTCTAACGATTAAATCAAATTTAGTTCCTCGAAGCTTTACTACTTCTATAAGATAAGTTTCTTAGTCTGAAAAGCCATGAAAAGTCTTCCTTCGCACGCCAAGACACAACAGGTACTCATTATTGTTTATGCTTTATAAATTGTTTGGGCATTAACGTTTCAATGTGCAACCTGCAAAAATTTCCTGGGGTCATCAACTGCACTGATTTGCAACATGTGCATCTCTGATTGGCCAATAAATGTTGCAATCCATCTACTTCCTCAAACATGGCGGCTGCTACCTCTCGTTGAATTTCTTGTTGTAATCATCTCGTTTCTTTTGATTCTTGGAAGCCCTCCTCGATTTGATTGTCGACAAGATTTCATAGGCTTCTTGTATTTCCATGAAGCGCTGTTGAGCGGTCTCCTTATCCCCGCGATACCTATCAGGATGCCATTCCCGGGCCAATTGTTTATATCGCTTCTTGATGTCCTCTTGACTTGAACTTTGAGTCAAATTGAGAACTTTCAGCGCGTTCTGTTCGCCCGTCGGATCAACGGCTCTCACAAATTCATCGTACATATTCTCCCATCCTTGCTTCTGTCCTTCCTCATACAGTTGCCATAACACATGCTTGAATTCCCTCCACAGAGGAGAATTGAAGAAATGGTTGACAGCATCTCGAAGTTTTATCGTCTCGCCGTCTTCTGTGACGACAGCAGCGTTGTGGTACAGGAAAGATATCCATAAGCCGGTCACAAGGCATCCACCTAGACAGATCATGAAAAATCTCTTGCAAACGCCACGTTTCGGCCGCCTTTCCACGCGAAACTTCCTATAGTTTTGAAACGCCATCGCGCCGAACAATGCAATGTACATAATACCAGGTTCTTGTTGTATAATCCAAGCCATAACAACATTGGAAATATAGCACACGAACAGAGGGATCTTAAAATCTCCCGTTTCTCGACCAACGTTTCCCACAAGATAAACCCCAACAGCAACTCCGAAAGGAACAACCAAGCCTGTCGTCCATATAGGATAATGTTCGGGGATCGCAATCCTTATAAGAAAGCCATAGAAGTAACCCACAAGCATTTGTCCTACAAATCGGCTTATATTGAATTGCGGAGTTCCACGTTTGACTTTTTGCTTAAAGTTCTCAATGTAAGATTGTTCCTCGTTCGCGTCGTCGACATAGTCGGGAACTCTCCAAAGATCCCGAAGCCAACCTAAGCCAAACACTCCTCCGAAAGTCGACCACCAGATGAACGCATGTAAGTCTCGGCCAAGATAAAAATGATGCAGTCCCAGCCAGCCGACGAATAGCCAAAGTATATAGGTCAATAACAAGCTCTTTTTACCCATATTTCGATAGGAAATGTCGGACAGATTGATGCCTCTCTTTACGAGGTTTTCTTCTAGAGATGACAGGAGTATGTAGCAATTATAATTTTTATTGTAGCAAATTCGTACGCGCCACATACATGGCGCGACTTGATTGGTCAACGTGTCTTCAAGTGCCCACTAGTTTATAAACATTGCCACTTCCGTCAGAGGAAATTGCGCACTTCGGTGAGCAAAATGAAAGAGACAGTTTTTCTGTGTTTGAACAGGTCTGTTCACACAATCAAAATTTTGTTGAATCCCAAATTACAGCTGACGGATGGAATGCTGTGTGTATTATTGACAAAGCAACGCTGTATTGGCTTTAACGGATTTGCTTGCCCATATACATTGCAGGTCAAACAGACTATAAAACATCCATCAGAAGTGAATTGGATCCAACAAAATTGGATCGTATGAACAGTCCTTAATCCTCTAAAACGCATTATCCAAGAAACTAACTTGTTTACTTCGTTTATGTTAAAATCCAGTATAACCTCAGCTACATGAACTGCAACCTCCTAAGCGAGACTTTTCTACCTACGCTCCACTAAGGTAATAGTTGTACTGGAGTTAAAAAAGTGCCCTGAACTTTTTCACTCTCCTTTGTGCTTGTTTTCTGTTCATATTCTGTATCCATCTTTGTTGTATGGTATCTTTCTACAGATTTGTACCACTTACCGTAAAAGCACCATACCTCATTTCAGGGGGGGAGGTGCGGCACAACACGCCACTGATGGTATTTCTGCCAAATTCCTTCGCAGTTATGTCAAATAATGAAATGTAGATTGCTGTATATTTCCATCAAGTTTCTTCGCCATTTGCTCAGCCCACACAGAAGTGATTAATTCCTCTTCGAAATCTTGCCAAAAATAGTCGAAGGTGTTTTTTAGTGTCAAAATGACTAGTGTTAAATAAATGAGCAATGAACTCGGTCGACTGGATTCCGAAACGGGCCTCGTTTGTTTTCATTGGAAAGTGAGTGATGATTGTCAAAATCGGCTTGTGTGGTGCTACGTAAATCTCCTCAAGGATAAACTAGAGTGTATTTAGTGTGAAACAGTGTATTTTATATCGCATTTGTCGCGAATATGCGTTTGTTTATACCTACGGTAAATGTTTACATTGTTATTCTGATGTCGGACAGCTAATGATTGTAGCAATTATAAATAGTTCGATCGAATTTAAGTGATTTCTGGAATTGAATACGCGACTTACAAGGGACGGAATATGTCAAATCCACCGACATTTGAACGTGATAGAATCAATTATCTAAAAAATGAAAGAATTCTCTCGCAAAAGAAGACTTTTACCAAGTGGATCAATTCATTTCTGAACAAGGTCGGTGAACAAATTGTGTACTGGGTTTTACTGCAACTTACATTAGTTTGGTTTAGCTGTTCATTTTTGACTCAAACAGCTTTTAATTTAGCTTAAACAGCTTTTAATTAGCTGTAGTACATATAACATTACTGGTATATGTGGTAACAAAGCGATAAATTTAACTTCTGGTATTTACAGTATAAATATAGGTTCAACCATCTTGTCTTTTCCAGATCAATTTACATGTAAATGATTTGTTCACTGATTTGAGTGATGGCAAAGTCCTGATAAGACTTCTAGAATCAATATCTGGTGAAAAGATTGGTCCTCCAGGTGAATAATATAAAATTTTGTATCTTGAAATGGGTTGCATGCTGATAGTGGTATGGTATTTTACTCTGTTTGCTGCACAATTTTACTCATGGGGATTACAGGTAGGGTCAGCACACTACGGTATATCTAGGGGGGAGAAGGGTGACGCTGCAACACAAACCCCTCCTAAATGTGTTGATTTTGTTTTAATATAGCCCGAGGCAAACTTAGACTTCATAAGATTGAAAGTGTTAGCCGAGCATTGACCTTCCTTCAAAAACATGTAAGTTCATCAGTGTACTGGTCAGTCGTCTAAAACCAACTTTCAAATTAGGCAGTTTTTTGTGGCAGTCAACTGATAAATTGCCATTACCGCAAATTGCCGATTGCCCCCCCCCCCTGCCTCTAAAAAATGCGCAATACATGCAGGTAACCAACATGCTCATGACACCAAAACTGGCATGGCAAATGTGATCACCAATGATTAACTCTGCTAAGCTTGTTTTATACCATATGTCTACCCTATGTCCAGGTTCAGCTGGTTGGTGTAGGACCTGAGGACATTGTTGATGGTAATGGCATGCTGATTCTTGGCCTTGTGTGGATGATAATCTTGCGATTTCAAATCGCTGAAATTTCTGTTGAGGTACTGTACGTTCATTGAATGATTCTGTTGTGTTCTGTTTTGAAAAGGTCTGTAAAAAGCGGACCCAGGTAACGAGTTTTGCTCTCGGTAGGATGACGGTTCAAGTGAAAGAAAATCAGCCAAGGAAGCGTTGTTGCTTTGGTGTCAAAGAAAAACGAAAGGGTTTGTGTTTACTTACATCTTTGTGACGATCTTAACCAAACTAACACTACAATTGTATTAATACATTGGTTTTAGTTTGCCAAATGGCTGCACATTGATATACGTAACAAAGCCAGCTAGGCAGTCTTACTTTACCATGGCGAGAAACTTTAGACAATATAGCAAACTCCAATATACTGGATTCTTATTACGCGATTTAGATATCCTGGCGTCGACATTCAGAACTTTAGCACCAGCTGGAAGAATGGATTGGCATTTAACGCTTTGATACATAAACACAGGTGAATAAAGAACGATCAAATTAAACCTTGTTTCCATCGAGATTTACTTCATAAGCTTGCTAAATTTCCCTCTTTTCTCTTTCAAGACCTGATCTTATATCGTACGACTCGCTCAGACCGAGTAATCACGATTTCAATCTCAACAACGCCTTCAGTGTTGCTTGGGAAAGCCTCGGTATAACAAAACTCTTGGATGCCGAAGGTAGGTCGCACTGACTACAAATTATTGTTTCAACCGTAGAAATGTATGTTTCAGGCACAGACGATGATATGAATTATTAAACTGAAACATTCTCTCTCACTTTCTTCTTATCAGACGTGAACTGCCCACGACCAGATGATAAGTCCATAATGACATACGTCTCAGCATATTACCACTATTTTGCGAAAATGAAAGTTGAGGAGACTGGTGGGAGACGAATTGCTAAGGTATTTTCATCTTCTTTTGATCCCAGAGGTACTACAGAAGGAAATTAGAACTATTAAACTAAGCTGGCACAAAACTAACTGTACTAGATTAGTAACTATACCCTATCAGTTTTTAACAGTTCTTCCTAGAAGTCTACCGAATAATTGGCCTGTTCTTTTTCTCCGGCAAATTTTCAAGCCAAATTTTGCTTTAATTTAACAGATCGTCGGTGTTATGATGGAGATTGACGATATGAAGACACAGTACGAGAACATGGTGTCATCCTTGTTGGAGTGGATACAAAAAAAGATCTTGGAACTGCGAGAAGATTTCACGAGATCCTTGCCGGTCGTTCAGAAAGAGATGCTTCGTTTTAAACATTTCAGAACTGTTGAAAAACCTCCAAAGTACGTCGGTTCTCTTGTCAATGATCATGAACACTAAATAGAAAAAGTTTTGTGAGAATTTGGGTTAAACCATTACGTATAAATTGAATGATAAACTTACTTCAAATTTTCCCTCTTCATATCAGGAACGCGGAGAGAATGAACATTGAGCTTCATCTGTTTGCTGTGAATACAAAAATCCAAGCGAATAAACAAAATCGTTATGTCGTCCCGTCCGGCAAGATGATTGTTGACATCAGCAAGGCGTGGGAAGCCATGGAGGGGGCTGAACACGAGAGAGAGACTGCTCTAAGACAGGAATTGCTCAGGTAATTTGAGGTACATCCACGTGCACAATGCATGGCTTAGATTGTATAAATATACTGTATTAAGTTCAACATCTTTTTCTAGACAAGAAAATCTTAGACAGTTGGCAGAAAAGTTTAATAGAAAGGTAATAATAAACCTTTCTAATATACCTTTCTTATTGATGGTAATGGGAGAGGGGGATTTTTCGGATCCCTCAGGGAGCATGTCTTGAGGCATTGATACATTGATTTGTGGCATTATGTTTGCAGGCGATGCTGAGGGAGTCTTGGTTAGATGACATGATGCATGTGTTGGAACAAGAGGAGAGTGGTGATGATATCTCTACAGCTGATTCAACACTAAGACGACACGAAGCCATTTCACACGACATTCAAGCGAGGGTAAATGACGACTCCACCGTACAAATTAGCCCAATCGGGCATTTGTTCAAATTGTTTTTTCCATTAAGGATAGTACATACACTACACAGTGCTCTGATACCTTTGTTGAGAAGTATTTCGTTTAATATGTCGATGACTTCGGGTGTTCGTTTCCCTATGAAGCATGAAATATTTTTGGTTTTAGGAAGATAGATTTAACATCGTTCTGTCGATTGTGCAACAACTAGATGACGAACAGTATCATGGGATTGTAGCAGTCAGGAAAAGGTGGAAGAACTCTCTCATTTTGTATTTTTTCCCAAGTCAAAAAACAACGGATTCAGTATTCAGAGATATAGTGGCTGTTTAATATCTACTCTTGCTTGTTTTTTCAGGAAAAGTGTAATCATGACCAAGTGGACGAAGTTAAAGAAGCGGGTTGCTGTTCGACACGGGAAGTTGCTGGAGCTCGCTAAGCTTGTTGGGGTATTCAGGGATATTGAGGAAGTTCGGGGAGCCTTGCGGGATCTTGAGGTACGCTAATTGGGGTTGAATAATTCGAGTTCTGTCATGCAGTAGCATCCTTTTTTATTTAGTTTTGTATCTTGGTACTCACTTAGGACCTCTTACATATTATGTTAGGCCCTTTCCTCTAGGGACGAATTTCCAAAACTTCATATAGATAGACAGAAGTCATCCCTTGGTTCAAATTATGTAAGAACTTGCCAGAAATGACTATTTAACCATTTAAAATTTTTCATCAAAGGTTCCACTAAAATCGAGCGACTATGGCAAACATTTAGCCGATGTGGAAAGCTTGCTACAGAAACACTTTATCGCAGAGACCGAGATAACAATGCAGTCTAACAGACTGAGAGAAATTGAGAAGAAATATCGAAGCTTGATGAATGTAGACCATCCGCAGAAGAATGTCTTAGATAAACATTATGCGACTCTTCAGGAATTGTACAAGGTACTGCAACTTGTATCACGTATGGTAGGGAAAGAATTGGTTAATAAGGACGACTGTTGGACTTTGACGACTAAGCTATGTTTATTTGCTAGGGAATATCATCGTTGTCAAATGGGAGAAGAACAAAGCTCGACGAATCACGATGTCTTCACACGCTTTCTATCAAGAGTGGGAAGAGGAAGATATCTTCATCAAAGAGAAAGAAAGAGAGGCTCTTTCGAAAGACGTCGGCCGAGATTTAGTCAGCTTGACGCGGTTGTTGAAGAAACACGAGGTACACTGAACCAAATATGACTCGTTGCACTGGAATGGAATGAGTTAAACTGGACAGGTGTGGCGCACCTCAACTGAACTGGTTTGGACAGGACTGAACTGGACTTGACTAAAGCTACGTAAACTAAACTGGACAAGACTGAACTCATCAACATTGAACTTAACTGGACAAGACTGAGCTGCATGAGCAGAGTTGATCTCGATTGAATGAGACTGGACTGAACTCAATTGTATTGACTAGACTGAATTTGGCTCCAATGAACATACATAACTGAGCTGGTCCCAATCAATCTATTGCTCATTTTCATCTTAATGATTTATCAAAATAATGGGAGAATGTAATGTTATTGAACACTTGTTTTTGAGTTTCTTTTTCTCATATTTGCAGGACTTGAAGGCCACTGTCGCAAAACACCAGACATCTTGCGATGCAGTTTTATTAAAAGGACAAGGAATGGTCGGGCAAAGCCATTACGCATCAAACGACATTCAAATGAAAGTAAAACTTCTGCAAACTACTTTCAGCCATCTGAAGGAACTCTTTGAAATCCGAGGAGATAGATTAAAAGATGCTGTGCAGTCGCTTCAGGTGAAACCTTTTTTGCCAGCAAAATCTTGTGACTTGTATTATATTCTTGTGAATTTCTTGGGAGAAGAATGCTTGCAATTTGACCCCCGTGTGTCCTCAGTTAAAAGTTCTCTCCATAGGAAACTGTCTAGTTTACCAATGAAACAATGTGATGTTTTTTTTCATTCTAGTATTATTCAGATGCAAATGATGCGGAATCGTGGATCAAGGAGAAAATGGTTTTGGTAGGGAGTGAGGATTATGGCAGAGATGAGCAAACTGCACAGGTATATTCGATGCATGATCCTTTCTTTTTTCATTCAACCACCACACTCTGCTTAATCCCGCTCCATTTTCCTCCAGTCACTGTTACAAAGACATGCTCACATTCATGATGAAATTGAAGCTTTTCGAAGCGATATTAGAAAACTGGGTGAACAAAGTCAGTTAATGAACGAGACAATTCATACGAAAAAAAACGAAGACAAGAAAGTTTGTATTAGTATTTGCCTACTCAATTTTCACCCGCTATTGTTGTGTCCGGCATTCTGCGTGCTGTAGTTTTTGAACACTTTGGTCGACTGAGTTTTTACTGTTGGTGCTAATCCCTAGGATAATTTTGGTGCTGACGAAGGGGAGACAACTTTTGAAACGTATTTTGAAGAACAGGAAGTGGACACAGAGGAAGAAGTGGAGGAAATTATTGAAAAAGAGACGGTTAAAGATGTTGTAAAGGAGGTGAAAATACCACAAGCGAGAGCGTTGTATCCTTTTACTGGATCAGGAATAACCATTAATAAAGACGAGGTAAACTCAATTGGTTTACCTTTCAAGCAGAATAATGATTGAAAAAACTTGTTTACCGTTTACTTAAGCAAGAATTAGTGTAAACACTTGTCAGTGTCTCTAGAGTCATAAATTTTAACTGCAGTGCTGAGGCTGCACTTCTGATATTTTTCATTATTTCTGCCCACATTATAGATCCTGTACGTTTTAGCAAAGTCGAATAAAGACTGGTGGAGCGTGAGGTACATACGTATAAATGCGATAATATAAAATCCATTTATAAACAGAATACTTGTAAGACTGTTTCTGTTTTACCAATCTATCATCTGATTTGTATTTTATCAAATGAAGCATAAAAACCCCATCAAGTTTCTGCCGCTACAGCAGCGATAACAAGAGCTTTTTTTCAGGCGGCAAACGTCTCGGGAGAGCGGCTACGTGCCTGCAAATTACGTTCAAGAAATCGAACCAAGAATCATCAAAAAGATGGCGAAAGAGACGATGATTGTTCCGGAGACAGTAAGAGTGAAAAGGAAGATTAAAAAGAAGATACAAGTGGAAAGGAAACGAGAGGTCGCGGTGAAACGTGCCTCACCACCAACTTCATCTCGCTTGTCAAGAAACAGAAGTAAGTGACAGAGATAAAAACATTTTTCAAATGTTCTTCGGGTTGTTTTCTTAAATATCTTTTCCCGCCTAAAGATAAAAGCAAGCGTGCTGTAAAACGACATTTTACGGCTCATTTCGACCGGGATAACGCCGCTGTGAGACAACTCACTCTCGGAAATATGTACCAAAGATTACTGGAATTATCACAGGTAAGTATTCTTAACTTATTTAGGTTCATAGCTTTCAACCATCATTGAATCTCATTGCCTTTTCAACAGATAAGACGCGAAAACCTGAAATATTCGCAGAAATACTTTCGTTTCTGTTATGATAGCGATGAACTTGAAAGTTGGATTTCCCGCAAAGTAAGTAGCACATAACATGGGATTTGTACCCAGCAGTTCCAGTCATCTATTGTAGACATAAGGCTACCTTAGCTTCCCCGATTTTGTTTGGAATTATTACCTGAAGTCTAAGATGATGCGAGCTATATTCAAATTACTGAAAAGTGTGTCATATTTTGAGTTGTGATAGGTTTTACGTATATCCTCTTTATATTCTTAGGAGAAATGGTTACACACCGAAGCTCTTTGTGGTGTTGACGAATATACCAGAGTAAAGAAGCGACTGGAGGTAATCTTGAAACTTTGAGAGTATTGTGGAAAATATATGCAGTTTTTAGCTAAAAATTTAGTCAGTTGTAGTGTATAATTGCTTCATTTTAACGCGCAGGAACTTGGACGGGAGATGACAGCCAATGTCTGTCGTTTGGATGTGATAAGCGACCTTGTAAAGGAACTGCTCGAATCGGAGAGATCAGATCTTGAAGAAATAAAGACCAGAAAACAATTCATTGAGAAAAGGTAGAATTATTAGCTGGTGGTTGGGGGAGGGAGAGATTGGAAATAAAGTTCTTGATTCCTATCAAGTATTTTGAAAATTTTAGGTGGAGCAATTTGAGGAGTCTTGTCGAAAAAAAGATTAAAGATTTAGAAGAAAAACATGGGTTAGTGAATGAAGGCTTACTGTATGTAATGCCTTTTATATATTTCAATCACAGCTGTCGATAATGAAATGGTTATCATGGCGTGATCTCGGCAGTTTTATTCTTGTAATATTCTTGTATTGCACTGATGAAGGCTCGGGTTAACGGACCGAAAGCTTTTTATAATGCAATATTAAATACTTACGTGGTGTACCTACAAGCTAATTTACTTAGTTTTTAAGTAATTGCTGATTACATAAGTGTTGCTTGATGCTAACAGAGTTGATTAAAACACTTAAAAAATGTTTCATTTTTCTAGTGCTCAGTTGTTTCACAGCGCCTGCGATGAACTGGTTTCTTGGATGAGAGAAAAGGAGAAAAGTCTGTCAGGAAATGTACACGATCTTGACCTAGAAACTGTCCGAAAACTCCAAAGAAAACATCAGGTCTGAAAGTTTCAATTCCAACATTCATACCTATTCATTCAGACCTCTCTTTACAGCATAACTTTCTCTCAACTATTATCACGTTTGCTTTTTTCGAGATTAACATTGCAATTTTTTTCAGGATTTTGAAAGGCAGCTAGTACCTTTCGAAAAGAAACTACTTAACATTAAAGAACACGCTAAAAGGTTAGTTTTACTGTTGGTTTCTCTCCGAAAAAGCGTAATCACTTCTTTCTGATTCGACTATATTTCAATCATTCTGCTGTATAGTTTAGTTCAGAGGCACCCAGGACAGGCCAGTCAAATTCGCAAGAAAGAAATTGACACCCAAAACCTCTTCGACTCTTTAAAGGTGAGATCCGGTTTTAGAACTGATTCAAAACATTGTGAGAATTAAAGTAAAGATAGTTCCCTAAAGAAGCAAGCTGCAATCAATAAATAAACAACCGTAAATTGAAATTTGCTCTTTCCAGGAGAAAACAGCAAAACGAAGTGCTTCCTTGAACGAAGCCTATGGTCAACAAGGATTTTTAGACGATTCTAAAGAACTGGTAAGGTTCAAAAATTAGCTGAAAAGTTTCTTGATGGTTTTATCTGTAAATCGACCTTCACGGTTGAACCTGGGGGTTGAATATGACCTAAAGAAGGCTAAAATGTTTTCACATTTTACATGCAGCTTCACTGGTCGCAAGAGAAAAAGAGATTGCTGGGATACAAAGAAAAACCTCAAGACATTGAAACAGCGAAGAAAATGATTGACGAACACAAGGCATTGTTGGAGGATATAAGTTCATACAAAGATCGGTGAGAAAGAATCTAATTAAGAGACCTGGTCTTTGAGCTTTGAGGTTTTCTCAGCCAACAATGGTATACATGCATAGGCAAACCTAAAGTAGTACTTGTAAACACGATGAACTGAACTGCTATTGTGTATTGCTTCATCTTATATTCTCGTGTAGATTTGATCAACTGGTAGCCTACGGGAAAAGTCTTCTCAGCCAGAATCCAAAGGCAAGTCGAATTCGAGACAACATCGTTGACCTTCAAGGGGAATATCGAACACTGACAGACATCTGGAAAAGACGTGATGGGGAATTACAGCAAGACCTTGACTTGTTGGTAGGGAGCCGGCTTTTTTTAGTCATGTATTATCAAGTTAACCATCGGCATTCTTTACCCATTAGCCTAACCCAAATTCTCAGTCTGCTCAGATCTTTCTCGTACCTGATAGGATGACCAACCAATTTGCAGCGTCTCTTGTTAGCCCTCACTGCTGTCTCTCGTTAACCATCATTTCTTGTCATATCCTCTTAGATCTTTATCCGTGACGCTGAACGAATCAACGCCATTTCAGCTTCTCAACTCTCTTATTTATCAAATGCTGGCACAGGGGTATGTGAGAATACCTTCCGTGCTTTTGCGATTGTAAAATGCTTTCAATGTTCGTTTTTAAATCCAAATAGCACATGCATATGTTAGTGCTAAGAATACTACAAGACCCATTTCTGAATATATGTATAGTTATATATCCAATACGACTGCTTCCTTTTGAATTTTGTGGCCTCTGTTTAAGTGCATCTTCTATGAGTTCAAATTGAATCAGGTGACGTGAAAACACTTTTTAAGGAAGCAGTCACGCTGTGTGTTGTTGTTACACATGACCATGACCAAAATAATAACAAACTGTGTGTGCAGGATTCCCTCGACGAGGTCGAAAGCCTTTTGAGGAAACACAACGACTTTGGAAAATCATTTGAAGCTCAGGAAGAGAAAGTACATATGCTGCAAGAGAATGCTAATAGTTTGGCTTCAGCTGATCATTATGATACCGAAAGGTGGGTTCTCTTTATGTAATAGATGAAGCTATGTTGACGAGGTTTTGTATTCTTGGTAATAAGATTATTCTTGGTAGTAAGATTATTTTAGCTTTGAGTTTTATTGGCTCCAATTTAAGGAGTGTAGCTAGGATTCATCGGACAGAAATGAAGCCTTGAGGATATTTGGGGATGCCGGATGTATTCCCCTCTGCTATATACTATAAAGGAAATCTAAAATTCAAATGATCTTAATAGGATCTTGGCTAGGAAGAAGCTAGTGCTAAACAGACGCGAGTCAGTGAAACGCCTTGCACAGGAACGGAAGCAAAATCTTTTGTCCAGCAGAGTTTTGCATCAATTCATATGGGATGTGAATGAGGTAATGGTGGAGTGTATGAGTTTCTTGGTCTGAATTTTGGCATGGACAATCTTACTTGTCGTTCTTACCTTAGTTTGTATCCTGGATAAACGAGAAACTACTCATCGCATGCGACGAAAGTTACCGAGATCCAGCAAATATTGCCAAGAAGATCTTAAAACATCAAGCTTTTGAAGCAGAAATCACTGCAAACCAGCCAGAATATCAGCGTCTGTGTCAGGTAAACACCACTGATAATCCTTTGGAAATGATATAAACTACAATACACAATGTTTCTTCTGTAGGGAAACACAGATTTTTTCTTATACTGCATGTAATTCAAAGTGAATGTGTGTAGTGTTCAGAATCTGTTAATCTTACAACACCTTTCTTCTCCTTACTTCATTAATTTCTTGACCCTGCTACGGGCATTTCAGAGTGGGCAAAACCTTCTTGCAGAAGGTAACTCGGGCCATGAAAATGTTTCTGAAAGAATGAAGGTGCTTAACGACTTGTGGTCGAATTTATTGTCGTGCTCTTCGGAGAAAGCCGTGAGATTGAGTCAAGCTGCCGAGCAATTGAAATTGAACCAACTTCTAGAGGATGAAAAACTATGGCTCAATGATATGGAAACTTTGCTATCGTCCCCAGATATCGGTGAAACTCTGATGGACGTCAAGTTCTTACTCAAGAAACAACAGGTCGGTTCGCGAGGGGACAATTGCTTTTTCCTTTAAACGTGACATACTTTTAACAAAGTGCATGTTGGTTTTGTGGCTTCATTTAGTACAGTGGTGTTGGTTCATTAAATAGCAAGTACTATATAGCAAGCATTTCCAGCTAACAGTAAAGGTATATTCCACAATTTTTCTACGATAGAATCAAGAAAGTGAAATTAAAATACATGAAGAAAACTTGGAGAGTATAAAAGAAAATATTGAACGCATGCGACAGCAGAAGTTTTTCGATGCTGAAAGAATCAATGATGATGTAACATTGTATATAAACAGGTGGGTTTTAAAAAAGAATATCCTGAAATTTTTAAGCATCATGAAAACTCTAACTTTTTAAAAATTAAAACAATTGACGTATTACTAGTATATTGTACATGCATATTCCTACATGCTTGTATATTCCTACACGCATTTTATCTCTTAGTTTGCCAAGCACGACTGGTTAACGCCGTTGAAGTTTTGATCGTTTTTGACTTTGACAATTTTTTCTTCAACTTTCTTAACCAGATATAATCAGATCTGTGATATGGCCGTGCTAAGGCGTGCTCAACTGGATGATTCTCTGGCTTTCCATCAGTTCGGACGAGACGTTGAAGATGAACTCTCGACAATCCAAGAGCATTATTATCATGTCTCGTCCAAAGATCTGGGAGCGAGCTACATTGCCGTCCAGAATTTACAAAGACGTCATCAGGTTGGCAAAAAATGGACTTTCAATTTTGTGTTCATTATAAGGAATTGTCACGTACATCGGAAATTTTTTGCCAACGGAAATCGGCTTCGGAAATGTTCGCCTGGGGCTAATAATGACGAACAAGGCTCGGGTGTCACTCCAGTGTTCCACTGATCGAAATATCCACATTCTTCCTTCATATCCCTAGCCTGTTATCTTATACAAAACCTAACTCTTTCAGGCGTTTGAAACGGAGGTGGCCAATCGTCAGCAGAGAATAGACGAGGTTCTGGCCGTTGGTCAAGAGCTGATCGACAGCGGTCATTTTGCTGCAGATCAGATTGAAGAATGGTGCGATAAACTAACCGAATCCTGGGAACAATTGCTGGAAAAGTGTACCGAACGGAGAGATGTACTTGGTGATGCTGCTGAGTCGCAAAGGGTTGGGTGAAATTAACTTTGTTTAAACTAGAAGCACCATCAGTTCTAAACTGTTCTTTCTAAACTAAGAGTGAAATATTGTGCTCTAAATGGATATGTATTTTTTAGTATTTCGTTGAGGCAAATGAAGCTGACTCGTGGATGAACGAGAGAGCAGGTCTGGCTTCGAATCAGGATTATGGAAAGGAGGAAGAATCTTGTCAGAAGCTTCTGGCAAAACACAACGCTTTGATAACAGCTGTCGACAGTTATGGTGCCGTCATAGAGGAACTGGCTAAAGAGAGAACGCGGTTGATTGATAACAAACATTTTGATTCTGTTGCCATTGAAACGAGACAGGTATGGTACACACTGCACTACAGTAATACTAACCATTGGTGGTACAGATTAGGCATTGTTGGTGTCGAATTGTATGGTACCGCATAGTATGTCTTAGTGATGGTACTGCATGGTATATAGATCAGGAATTGTACACCATAATATATATATATAGGTCGGTGATGGTACCGCATATAGTATATGTCTTAGTGATGGTACTGCATGGTATGTCTTAGTGATTGTACTGCATTGTATAGATCAGGGATGGTACACGATAATATAGGTCGGTGATGGTACCGCATAGTATGGGCCAGTGATGGTACACCATAGTACAGTTCTGTGTCTTACTTCTTAGTTCTTAACTAATATTTCTTTTGACTCATTATAGTTGGACCTTGAAGAACAGTATCTAGGTTTAAAAACGTTGGTTACCGTACGATTAAATAAACTCAACGAAGCAAATAAACTCTATCAATATTTGAAAGAAGTGGACGAACTTGCGGACTGGATCAACGAGCAGATCCAAGTCGCTTCGTCTGAAGAATATGGACATGACATCGAACATTTGCAGGTGAGACAGTGGGACGTGTTAGGGTAAAAGAGGTGTTTTGATGTTCAAATGAGGATTAACGAGGGTAAACATGGGTAGTGATGTGTACAATTATATTTCTTTAGGAAATTCAAAGCAAGTTTCAGGACTTTACACAGACTGTTGCACTGAATACGGAGACGTACAATCAAGTGGACAGATTTGCAAAAGATTTAGTTGCCGAAGGCCACACCGAAACGGTAACGATTAAAGATGAGCAGGATATTTTGAGGTTAGTCCAAAGGTTATTGCGATGTTTTTCCGCTATTCTCTGGTAATTCAAAGGAAAATTGACTTGGTTGCTAATACAAAGATAGAAAATAGAGTGACAAAACTTACGCAACGTATGTAGCTGTTGTGCAGAGATTCCCGCTGATGCATTATGTAGGTCCATGTGGCGTCAACTTCAAGATCAAATCGCCTCCCGTCAAGATAGACTTCACAGTGCCTCGGAGATCCACAAATTCACCAACGACTTGGACGACTTAATGGATCGTATTCAAGAAAAAGACAATTCTTTGTTATCAGATGACGTCGGCAGGGACGCGGGAACAGTTCAAGTTTTGCAAAGACAGCATGAGGTGTTTGAACACGAACTTAAACCGACGGAGAATGAGGTTTTAACGATACTCGATGAATCGAAACGGCTGAAAGATGCTTATAAAGGTTCGTTTAATGATAAACTAACTTGCAAAAAGTCATCTTATACAATGAATATTCATTTCTAGTTTTGAATGGACGACTTTAATATCCACTCGTTTGAACTTCTGTCAACAAATGCTGAAATGATTTACACATTTGTTAAATCATTTGAATGATTCTTACAATTAGGTCAAACTGCTGATGCAATTGGGGAGCAGGAAGAGTTAATTGCAAACAGTTGGGAAGAGTTGAAGAAGAAATCTAATGCACGCCGTAGAAAGCTGGACGATGCTTTACAGTTTTACAATCTAACTAGTTCTGTAAGTGGTTGGTTTGGCAAGTGGTGTAGAGTACAGTAGCTCACTTGTAAATTTTGATTCATTTTGCTAACCTACACCTGCAAAAGGTTTTCTTTTTTGTTTTAAGTATCCTTCATTTCCTGAGACGTTTCTTATTTATTATGTTTAGATTCGTGATTTAACATCGTGGTGTTCAGACATGATTCGTTCGATGGAAATTGTTGATGTTATTGATGACATTCCGTCAGTGGAATCTCTTCTTATAGCGCACGATGAGAAGAAGAAAGAGATTGAGGCGAGAGAGGAGGTGTTTGGGAGTGTCATTGCACAAGGGGAGGAGATGATTGAATCAGGACACCATTCCAGTGAGGAGGTTAGATTTGTATTCTTTCGCTATACCATACCATACCATACCATACCGTACCATACCATGCCATACCATATCATACCATACCATACCATACCATACCATACCATACCATACCATACCATACCATACCATACCATACCATACCATACCATACCATACCATACCATACCATACCATACCATTAACATCAAACCCATTAACATCTAGATTAGCGAGAAAGTAGAGCTCCTTCTTAATGAAAGAGAAAGTTTACATGAAAGTTGGACGCAATGTCAAACCCAGTATGATCAAATGTATGAACTCGCTGTATTTATGAAAGAAGCCAAACAGCTGGAAACTACGATGAGCTCTCAGGAGGTAAGATATTATTCCTTGTCATTTTTATGTCGATAAAACAAACGGATACCACAAAGGACTTGGGCGATTATGGTTGTCACTTTGTGATATGAAAATCTCAGATATGATAATATGGAGAGTATTAAATCGAATAAGAAATAGAAAATGTGCTTTAACTGTGATCCTATAAATGTCAATATTTTGAAAGAGTTTGACAAGCATTTGCTTTCTTAAAACACGTTGTGAACCTTTTGCAACTTGTATTGTCTTGACTTATATTTTCGTCCGATTGCAGCTGGTAATGGCAGGAGCAGAACTGGGGAACAGCGTTGATGAAGTTGAATTACTTCTCAAGAGACACGAGAACTTGGAAAAGCTCGTCTTGGCGCAGAAAGAAAAGATCGCAGGATTGCAGGAACTGTCTGAAAACCTCGCGAGTCATGAACATTTTGCTAGTGAGGTTTTGAAAGAGCGAGTGGATGTATTGAATCAGCGTCACGAGCGACTGGAAGGACTCCTTGAACAAAGACGTGTTAATTTAGAAGACTCGAAGAGACTGGCGCAGTTTTATCAAAATATTGTCGAGGTATGGACAATGTTTCCATTCCATGCAACTTTCAAATATACAGAAAATCAACTCTGTATCTTAATTCTATCCAATTACCTTTGTATTGTATGATTAGTATGAACAATCTTTGTGTTTTCAAATAGTTGAATTCATGGATAACCGAAAAGCTTCAGACCGTCTCGGACGATTCCTACAAGGAACCCAGAAATCTAGAAAGCAAACTTAAAAAGCACTCCGCATTTTGCGCTGAGGTCACAGTTCATCAAACGACTGTTGCGGATGTCAAGAGTATCGGAGAAACCTTGATAGCAAACGAGCACTACGCCTGCGATGATATTGCTCAGCGCCTGGATTACTTGGAAGACCGCTGGCAGGAATTGTTGCAGTCGTCGAGTGTAAAAAGCCAACGGTTAGAGGAAGCCCGAGATCATGTGAAATTTAAACAAGAAGCCGATAGCTTGGAAATGCTGATCAAGGATAAGGTGCGTATGAAGGCAGAAACAACGATGGACTTTCAATAGGGCAATTTCACGATATGTTAGTGCAATCTTCATATGACAATTGTTTTGTCCAGTTTGAAGAAAACGTATGTAGTAGTTAAACTGATCTGTTAGCGTATGAGGTCGTGTCAATTCCTTTCAGGAAAGTATCGTATCGTTTGATGAGACCGGCAGCGACTATGATGAGTGTCAAATTTTGAACAGAAAGTCCGCGGAATTTGAGCAGGAAATTCAGGTAGAGAGTAAACAAGTCGAGAAGTTTATAACCTTGGCCAACAAACTGGTATCCGTTAGCGACTCTGGTGCGGAAATCGTTTTGGAAAGACAGCAAATGTTGAGTCGGAGATGGGAAAAGTTGAAAGAAAAGGCTGCTGAAAGGAGACAAAACTTAGCCGGTGTTTTGCAAGTGTTTTCATTCCTTAAATCTTGTGATGAATTGCTCGACAATATGAATGAAAAGGTTTGTTTTAGATTAGGATATTTGGTGTTGTTGCAAAGGAAACCCAAACCAAGCTCATCTTAAAAACCTACTGACTGAACTTCTACTGGTAGCTCCAACCGTTCTAAGCCTCTTTAATGATTGCGATGGTATTATTAAAGGGCTCCCTGGCTTCGATAGAAGATTACGGCAAAGATCTTGCTGGCGTCGAATCGCTGCTTCGTAAACATGACGAACTGGAAAGAAATGTGATTTTGCTGAATGAGTCTTTTGAAAAGATTAAAAACGATGGAGAAAACCTTAAGAAGAACGAGAGAAACAAAAGACACGATCTTGACACGAAGGTTACCACGATGATGGAGAATTTAGCACGAGTGAATCAACTTGTTGTGAACAGGTATGCTCGGATTACCGCTTTAATAATCCTAGGAAACGTCCCAGAAATTCACGAAGGCACTGTTCCGAATCCCCGATTTGTGTTAGGGAAGTGAAACCCATATTTAACCGTACATGTTTGTTAAATGAAATCGATTGAATTTTACAGACGAGACGTGTTAGAAGAACACAAGTTGCTTCATATGTTTCTCTCTGATTACGACGATCTCATCTCCTGGCTTCAAGATCTTTCTCAAAATCTAAAGTCCGATGACTTGCCCCAAAATTTGAAGGCAACCGAAGAGGACCTCAGAGTACATCAGGAGCGAAAGGTGAACATTATATTTATCTATATGTATCCCATTTTATCCTGCCTATAGTGCAGAGGATGCTGCATGAGCAGAGGATGCTGCATTATTGATTTTTCATTTGCTAGAGAATAATGGATGCACACCAAGGGCAATCGAACCGCTGTGTGGAGTTAGGAAACCAACTCATCCATCAGGAGCACTTTGCAGCCGCGGAGATTCTGGAGAACATAGCGAAGCTACAAGACCTTTGGTCTAGCGTTGAAGAAGATTGGGATCGAAGAAAAAAGCTGCTTGAACAAGAACATCACCTTCAGGTGTGTTGTGACCTCCTTGAAGCCAGTTTTATGTATACCACGACGCCTTGTTTTCACATCAATGGTTGTAAACAGATTTTGAGCGAAGTTCTTTGCTTATGAAATCTGTTTTCTAAAGAGTTTTTTCGTCTACCATGTCCAGGAAGGCAGGAGACTAATATTTATGTGTTCCTCATTTCTGCTTTAGCGGTTCCTCGCTGAAGTGAGACAGTTTGAGAACTGGATTGTATCAAAAGAGACTTTAGTCATGGACGATGATCTCGGCGACTCTTTGCCGGCCGTGGACGAACTTCTGAAGAACCACACGAACCTGTTGAACTCTCTTCTTGCCTACGAGGAGCAGGCAAAGAAATTGACAGCAACCGCAGAGAGTTTCCTCGAGTCTGGTGACTACGATAATAAAGTTATTCGCAAGACAGTTTTGATCATGAATGAAAAGTGGAGGGGATTGAAAACCTCGGCTGAAAATAAACAAACAAGGCTCGAAGAGTCTAAATTGTTGCAACAGTTTGTGCAAGATTGTAATGAGGTGAACAAATTTTTAGTATTTCTTCAATATATGGAAAGATTACAAGTTTGGGTTAGGCTTTTCTGAAAGCAATTCACACAGTACACAGCCACAGTGTTACTCTGTAAAAATAATGTACCATTTTCAACAGAATATGATTGAGATATGTTTTCCTAGAAGCAATAGACACAAACCACGACAGACTAAGATACTGCAGTCGGTTACTTTCCCTTAATTGTATACGATTTCTGTTTTTTCAGCTTGAATCTTGGATGAAAGAAAGACTTCAGGTCGCCAACGACAGTTCATATTTAGAAAGAAGTAACCTTGAACGGATTTTGCAAAAGCACAAGACGCTCGAATCAGAGCTGTCAGCGAATACAAGACGCGTGGAAGATGCCGTACTTCAAGGGACCTGCTTAGTACAGGACAAACACTTCGCTTCTATCAAGATAGGAAAGACTGTTGACAAAATTCAAGGACTTTGGAATGAACTAAACTCAAAAACTGTAGGCAGAGGAAAGAAACTTCAACAAGCGTCAGAAAAGAGGGTTTTTGATTGGTCAATCGAGGATTTCTTGGAATGGTTGTCGAGTGTAGAAAAAGCTTTGACATCGGAAGAACTAGGAAATGATTTAAATAGTGTTAATATTTTGATAAAGAAGCACTCGTTACTAGAGGCAGATATCGTTGCCCATCGAGAAAGGGTGAACGAGTTTTCAAGGAGAGTGGAAGAATTTGAAGCGGGTAGTCATTTCCAGTTGGATGAGATTCGAAAAAAGGCTGACGAGGTTACGCAAAGGTATGACTTAGGTACAGCTCAATAGTTGCATGTCCATGAAAAGCATTATTTCATTTTTATCATTAGTTGATTTTTATCTAAGCCAGGAACGTTTTACCTAAAGTAAGATGTTTTCTTTTCAGGTACAACAACCTCACCGAGCCTGCGGTACGCCGTTCGTCGCTCCTACAGCGGTCCCTAACCCTTCACCAGTTCCTTCGCGACGTTCAAGATCAACTGAAGTGGCTCCAGGAGAAACAAAGGGTTGCGGAGTCTGATGAAGTTGGTCAAGATTTACTAGGTAAGTGATAGCTGACTGAGGCGGTTACTGGTAGAGTTACTAGTATAGATCATTGCTGATAAACCTATTCAAAAGCCAAAGTATTGATTTCATTGTGAAAGGTATTTTCTCTGCTGTTGCAGGAGATAAGTGTAAGTGTCAAAGCATTCTGTGCAAGAAATTTATTTTTTGTTTAGGAGCCGAGGTATTGATGAAGAAACATGAAGTACTCGAGAGCGAGGTGAATGTTCGTGAGAAACTCGCGAAAAGCGTCCAGGGGGATGGAGAGCGTTTGATGAGCGAGGAGCATTACGCATCTGAAGATATTCTCAAGCATAGCAAAATTCTAGAGGATTCTTGGACGAAATTACTGGAGACGATTGAAAAGAGAAGAAAGAAGCTATGCGATTCTTTACAAGTGCAAAAGGTAGGGAAACTTCAATTGAATAACATGTCGTTAAGGGAAGCATAAAGTTCTCTTTTGGCCCTACAATGTAATACAAAATATTGCAAAACAATTCATAATAGAATGTGTTAATCTATGTTTAGTATTATCGAAGTGTTTTGGAGATGGAATCATGGATTGATGATAAACTTTACTTTGCAAATAGTGATGATTTTGGCCAGTCTGGAGACAGTGCAAAACTTTTACTTCGTTCTCACGAGACCTTGCAGCTTGACGTCCATGGATTTGAATCGAAGATTGAAGAAACGAAGAGTCTCAGTCAGGGCATGATACGAAACGGGCACTTTGAGCATGTCGCTATCACGGAGCGCCAGGTAATGTACTGTACTTCATGTTGTTCACAGAGAACTCCTTTGAGCGGATTTAGGCTACTTTCTCGAGGCTTGAAAATCCTTTTTTCATTTTCAATATTAAGACGAATTTGGAACGGAAATTTGAGGATCTGAAACAATGTGTCGAAGCGCGGCAACAGCGCTTGGAGGATGCTGTGTCTTGGTTTCAATTTTCCCACGAGACCGCTGAACTCCGTGATTGGATGCTCGACATAGAAAAGGCCGTAGATTCGCAGGACTGTGGCATAGACTTGGAGCATGCGCAAATGCTTCTGAATAAGTTTGAAGATTTCGCGCGTGATTTGGTATCGTCGGAAGATAGGATCGTCGCTATCAATGATTTGGGCCAGGAGATGATTGAAACTGAGCACACACGAGCAAAGGTTTGAATTTCTCAACTGAACTGAACTGCTATTGACTTTACAGTTGATAATTGTAATGTAGACCCTAAGTTTGTTTTCTTTTAAACACAATGTACGATATTATTTTAGGATATTGAGCAAACAATATTGAAACTATGTCGAGACTGGGATGACCTAAAGGAACGCGCCAGCGCGCGGTTGAAGAGACTGGAGGACTCAAGAGCCTTGCATAGCTTTAAGAACAACCTCGAGGACACGAAGACGTGGATCAAAGAGAAACAGAGAATCGTCGTGTACAATGAGGAACTGGGAAAAGATGTTTCAACCGCAAAGAAGTTATTACGGATTCATGGTGAATTAAAGGTATGATTTTGACTTAAACGGGTGGGATGCATGACTCTTTCATTTAGGCAAAAATAATGGCACTATCCATATATATCCGTGTAAATGTTGTCAATGTTATTCTTTATCGACTTTATTGACGTATTTGTGAGTTAATGTTTTCAGTTCTTATCTTTGTTTGTTTGTTTTTTTTTCGTATATACAGAGGGATGTTGATGCTGTTTCAGAAAAACTGGAAGGCTTCCAGAAAGATGAAGCCAAATTAAGCTCCCAAATCCCAGGGGAAAAAAAGGACTTAGAAATAATGCTTGCGGAATTAAGAGAAATGCTTCGACAACTACACTCAGATATGGCTGACCGACAACAAAAACTTGAACAATCTGTGGAACTGCAACTGTTTCTCAGCGAACACAAGAACATTAGGTAGATTTGTATTCTTTAATTCAGAGTTGTTTTGTTTCATCTGTACTTTATATGTTATGATATGAGCTACTTTATATATAAGATTGCTGCTTTATATATAAGATTTGACACCAATTTCAATCGTTTCAGTTCCTGGATAACAAATATGACGACACAGGTGACGTCAGATCACCATGGTAACAACGAAACAGATCTCGAAGGGATGTTATCCGGACATCACGAACTGAAAACGGAGATGAATGCGATGTGTAAGAATTTCGAAAACCTCGAGAGTTCTGGGGAATGTTTGCTCGGGAAAAACCATTACGCCGCGGAGGTCATCAAAAACAGACTTCAGGAATTGCACCAATGTTGGAGCGCGCTTGTGATATCGTGGGAGGAACGCAGCGCGGGACTGGAGAGAAGAAAGAAGGCTGAAAATATGAATCGTGAGGTAACGCAACTGGAAGCATGGCTCTTGAACCAGGAGGCAAACCTCTCGTTGAGTGATGTTGGAAATTCGCTGGAAAATGTTGAAGATCTACTAAAAAGACACGATGAGGTGGAACGAATATTACTTGCTCAAGAAGAGCGATTTCTTGGCTTGATTCAACCGATGGATGATGATGATGACACTCTCAATGCCACGGATGAAGTCATTCCAAATTTGAAGCATGAATCTTCCTTTGTAGAACCTGTTGATGACTTGACAGACAAGTCTTTGGCTTGTGATGACTCCTCACGGAGTACTAACAATAACACGACCGAACTCCCTGGATTGGAGAACCTGCAAAGCTTATCAAATAATCCCCAGCATGAAATCGATTTTGCGAACAGCACTTCGGCTTCTGAAAGCTTTTCAACATCTGAAGACTACGACGCGGTGAAAGCAAGTCAGGTGTTTGAATTGAGCAGCCTTCCGACTCCTGTTCCTGTTGAAGACGGCTTCGACCTGGTAGACGAGGCTCAATCAAGCAGAGATCATAATGGAGCAGATATTTGTGAGGTGCTTGAGATCAACAGCAAGAAATGTTTATCAAATTTGACTTCCCAAAGCGACAAACTGGTTGGTATAATAACACACGAAGAGCAACTTGATTCAAGAGATCTCCAAAGAATAATTGACTCAAGTGATGAAGATGGAAAACTGCCCAAAGAAGTTGTAGAAATAACAGACACTGTGCAGGATGGCATTGCAGATAGTTTTGTAGAAGCTGTGGATCGTGAAACGTCTTTAGATAAGGGCGAATCAGGAATACCAGGGCTTCAAAACATGGACGATGCTGAGAAATCTACAGCTTTCGGTGAAGTAGTTCATGAAGAAATTGAGAGAAATTCTTTCAGACCTCAAAGCAAATACGGCTTATACAAAGAACCATTAACGACTAGCGAGCGTATTTTAGGCGTGACACCCCTGTGTTCTGGCATCTTAAAAAGAAAACAAGAAACAGACGCTTCAGGTCAACGATCTGTTGCACAACCATGGAGGTCATATTACACTGTTCTGTCCGAAGATATACTACAATTCTTTAAAGATCTTGAAGGGTTCAAGTCGAAGTGGCATGTTTCGAAGCCAATGAGTTTGGTAGGCGCTTTGTGCGAGCACGTTAAGGAAACGTCAAGACAAGGCTATGTTTTTAGGGTGATTTTTCGCGATAGATCCGAATACCTGTTTGAAACTGAAAACGAAGAGGAATGCAAAGTGTGGGTAGGGAAGGTGAATTCAGTGATTAAAATGGCTGCAAGGTTTGGTGGTGGTAATGATGTTGAAGTTTACCACGATGATAACTACGGTGTTTATGATGGTGATAGCCGAGGTGCAAAAACTATCATTCCTGCCGATGAAGAAAGCCGTAATTCAATAAGGCCACGTGGAGATCATGCCGATGAAGTTGGAATTTATGACAGTGGTGATACCCATGACCATAAACAACAAAATTCAGACAACCAAAGCCTGGATGCACCAACCATTGTCATCACTGATCCAAACTCGAACGACGAGTTTCTGATGGAAGATGATATTCATATAGACACGCGTTCGTCCGTAGATTCTGATGAAGATCCTCAATTATCTGATGAAGATGCAATTTCACTACCCGATCACTCGGAATACAATCTTCCAAGTTGGTACCCGACAGACGCTACGGAACCTTCAACTGAAGTCCTCGAAAGGAAAGACAGGGAAAATGATCAACCACCCCCCGTTCCTAACACCCCACCTCCCTCGGACATTCACCCAAATCTCCTCCCCGATCTGCAAGAGACTCCGCCTCCATCATCAGGTGAAGATCTGTCGGATATTCTAGGATTCATTCCACCACCTGTATTGGATCCATCTTTTGATTTTCTCGTGGAAACAAAGAATGAGGTGAGTTTCATAAACTTCTACCAAAGTTAATCACTTAAAACCAAACTTAAAACAGGCTTACTATAGCACGTTTTCACTGCCTTCACAGGTCGAAACATCGGTTCCAAGTGATTCACAACCGTCAAACAAAACGCGATTTCATCAAGAAGCCAAAAACGATCCCTCCTCTACCTTTTCAAGGTTTACCACTGGGAGAATTGCCCCTCCTCCACCCCCGCGACCCTCCGTATCGTCGCTATCTGACTTAGACCTGCCAATATCCATACAAACTGCTCGCAAACAACAAGAACCGAAGGAGGAAAAGAAAGGAATGTTTTCTGGTATCTTTAAAAGAAAAAAATGAGCCAAAAACATTGGAGCAAGAATAGCAAAATTGTAAATATACATAAATCACAATTGCACAAGAGCTTTTTCTAACAGTCACTCGAAGACTCATAGCAAATATTGCCGATGCTTGAATCCCTTTGGACCCCCAAACGTACCATTATGTATGTATGTACAGTACAATACATATTGCATAGCTATCATTTGTATATTTTTACGCATTCATCACATAAATATCACAGCAAACTTGTAAGTTAGTAGGAAATAAAAATCTTTTATTCGAATGTAATTTTTGCTGTAATTTTTGTCAGCGTTTTGAGCGAATCCGAATGTGTGGTAGTTTAGAGCGCCGCAACAGTTCATCGTAGGTACAATCAACGGCCCGAGCAGAACTGGCCAATCACAATCACGGAAAATTTCGAGGCGGGAAAATTTCATTAAATTTTATTAAAGGTCCTCCTCGACCGTTGGCATTTAAATTTGTTACAATTTATTTAAATTTAAAGGGAATTTTGCTTGAATAAAGAAGTAAATTGATGAAGAAAGTTGCCGTGATGTAAGTGAAAGACATTGAGTTATTATTAGGCGAAATAACCGAGTAGAAATACTGAAATACCTTCATAGTTTGCATGTTCACTTTACTGAATTGTATTTAGATGTGTTCGTCGACGGTATGATGCGATTGTTTTCACCTTGTGTTTGCATGTTGTCTATTTCGTTGATATCATACTGTATTATTTCCTTTCGAGTGGAAAATTTGCCTTCACTTTGCCTCTAGGAGGACTTTTGTGTCTAAACACCAGATACAAGAATAAGCTGAATTTTCAACAGCGTGTGCGGTGTAACACACTGTGTAGATTCAGCAGGACTAGTTTATGTATCGCGAAACTGAAATGAGGTCAAACTGACGCAAACATTTCATTATTTATTGCTTGAATTGGGTTAAAATTTGAGGTATAAACCAGCCGTAACGGGGCCTTGCTGAGTTGCTGTTGCTTTGGTTCTTTTATCCAGCATTAATAACTTAAATTTTGTTTTTTCTTGTGCAAGTGCCCAAATTAAGCAAGGATGTATAGCATCAAAATATGATTTGCAATCCATTGATTGTATCTTCAATAGACCAACTACAATGGTACCAATTTGAAAACAAAGCCTAATGCCCTCACTCACACACACACACACATCAAATTTCTTTCTATCATTGCCACCAGCTAAAACAAAACAGTGATTGCTTAGCTGTGTTAATTTCAATGACAACCCATTTTTCTACAAGTGTATTCTTTTACATATCAAGGTGGAACTTTATCACCACACATACACCCGATATAGGTATCAATGATAAAGTAATCTATACTATATAATCTTAACGAAAGCATAGAAACGTATGTTTATATACAGATACTTTGTGATTTGTCCAGATAATTTTGGTTATTGCTAGAGGTAATGATGATCACTGTCAGCAAACAAAATTCACCATCTCTGAATCTGCCAAACAAATTCTTGGGTGTAAACAAGTATTAATATATTTCCAAGCACTAGACTTCTTACAATATGTTATGTTGTTTGTTTGTTTGTTTGTTTGTTATCCAAGAATGATATAATGTTTTATGTTTGGTGGGATGAAATAAATACATTTATATCATAAAACTGAGACATATTGAACCACCATCCCATTCCTGTATGGTACATTGCAACGGTGATTAGTTCTGCCAGAGTGTTTGAAGCATGATGTATGATCAATATTTTCAACAGATTCATACAGCGTTCTGTTGGGCCTATTATTTTCGTGTCTATTTGGTATTTCACTACTAGTCCTTTGATTATCAACTGTCAAAGTATCCCTACGACTCAATGGTGTCTCACCATTAAACCTAGCATTTGCATTGGTCAAAGTCTCCCTGCGACTCGATGTCCTGCGGAGCGATCTAGTCCTTTGAAATGTCGTTCCCAGGTCGTCCAAAATTTGTGGACTCTCGGCGTCCCAATTCAGGCGATCACCAAGAATGAGTCTAGCGCAAGGCTTGATCAGTATTCGAAAGTAGCTTCGGAAAGACTTTCTAAATTCTTCGTTGCAAGCATTGTATATGATTGGGTTTGTAAAACTGTTCCCATAGACCATCGTGATTGCAATTGATTGGATTTCTTCATAGTACTTTGAAGTACCTATGTGGAAGATACGCAAATTTCAGTAAGTTTGTCCAAGTTCAAAAGAATTGGGCACTTTAACCCACCCTCTGGTGGGGGTGCTGTGAGCCAATCTCTAATACTCACCGCCTTGGAAGAAATCGTACCAGATATACACAATGTGCAGTGGCAGGACTAAAAAAGCGAAAACGACGACGACGACTATCAACATTTTCAAAACTTTTCTTGTTTCTTTATAGTGGTTTATGGTACGTTCATCGTGGTTCGGGTTCCTTGTCAATTCTTGAGCAACTCTAAGAATCCAAGCGAGAAGGTAAAATTCAGCATTATTGTGATATCAAGTGCTACATACACTTAACACGTGCGTTAACGCAGACTCTGACGCGGCCGTTGTATGTGTGTCACCCCCGTTGTACATGTGTAACCCCCGTTGTATACGTGTCAACCCCGCTGTACATGCGTAACGGCCAGTAATCTAATCCGTGATCAAATGGTCGAAACGGTTTTCACAATGCATGTTGTTCTACGAACGCGTTTGCATGACGAGCTCACCTGACGTACGAGAAAGCAATGATGCTAAGTGGTACAATATACTGTGTGACGAAAATTCCTATAGTGTAGTATCTCGCACTCATTCCTGCCGATTCAAAATCCTCCATGCAACGACCGTCCTTCACTTCGAGTGAGGCCATGTATGGTGAGACGAGAACGAGGCTGATCACCCAGGCTGGCACGATCATCCATCTCGCGTGCGTTTTCCGCAACTGCGGTTTCAGCGGGTGCACAATTGCGACATATCTAAGTAAACGAAGACACCGTTAGTCTCTAATAAATATTTGCCGGACTCTTATTACTCAATTTAGGATTTTCGGATGTATTGTTGTAAGAGACATGCTTATTCTTTGCTAAAGAGAAGAGTATAGTTTATTTAGGTTGTATTTTGGTTAAGGGCTGGCTAAAGAAATTGACTCTAAAAGCAGAATTGCAGGAAAAGGATCGGACCTCGTAAAGAGGCCTGGGCACTATTTGTAGGTGAATGGAAAATGGGAAACACACGGCTAAATTCCACACATCTTTGTCGTGCTAAACACTTTTGCTTACTCTTAAATGTTAACGAATTATTTCAAAATTTCCCGTGAGAATTTGAACAAGTTCCAGAGCCGACTACCCTGGTATCTCGTCATGAATATGATATCATTCGTCACCTATCCTTGCCGAAAAATTTGTGATCACACAGATTTGAAATTTATAGTTCTTGATAACGCTCATATAAATAATTGCTTGTAGTACTATTCCTTTCTTATATCGGTTATTTTTCGTGCATCGGATCCTTGAAATATAGCATCACACAAAGTACAGGTATAAAGCATAGGCCTTAGTTAATATACCAGTCGCTACACTACAGGGGCCGGTTAATGGTTATATCAAGCCCGTTTAGCTTAAACGGTTGATAAGTTCAAAATAGAAAGCAAGTCTGCCGATTTATTCATCAAGCAAACTAAATGTTTCTAACCTTAATACAAAGATACTGTTTACAACTACATATTCAGTGCATAATATTCAAGTGAGATGTAAGAGTGTTATTTAATTTTGACTTATCCACCGTTTAAGCTAAACGGGCTTGATACAATCGGCCCCAGGTCACGATAGTTAACGAACAGAATAACATTATTCTCATATCTGTTGTTGTGATCGAGTGTTCTCTGTGTGTTGGCTAAAAAACGACTTAAAAACTCTGTTTTTGCAATTATGAAATTGTTTCTCTATTCTCAGAGGGTTAACCAGCTTCAGGGCTTCTGCTTTCACGATCGTAACATTTTATCAAACTCTGGCATTTTACTGCATGCAGAAACATCGGCATCGGTTTGACCATAATTTGTATTTCATTAACATACATATTTGTCGTTCCATGAACAATTTCTGGTAAACATCTTAAAAACATTCAACAATTAACACTTGCATAAACGGTACTTTATACCACTTATGAAGATTTGTGCCGCTTTTCATTAAGCCGAAACGTACGTGCCAAAGGCCAAAAAACGTGCGGTTGTTGACGCCAAGACCATGCAATGCGAAGGCGTAAATTTATCATTTGTAGTTTCCTCACATGGGTAAGATTATTCGATCAGAAAATAAACAGTAACTTTCATCATCGCGGAAACAAGGTGTCATTCCAGCATTTCTATAATTAAAAAGCTTTTGGATGCTTATGGGAAGTAGAGGATATCGTTGTTATGTTATAGGGAATTAGGGAATTAGAGAAGTTCATCGTATCTAAATTGGTTTCATTCTATATGGATTCCTCTGAAAATATGAGCTCTACGTTTGACTGCATGTTTATTCTAAAGAAGTTATTGATCTTGAATGAGGTCAGGAACATTATTATCAATTAGTGTATATGGGAAAAAAACTTGAAAACAAATCTTGGATTAGCCTTGAACTTTGGCCAGATATAAATATATTAATTCAAAACAGCATATGAAGCTTGAAGGTGTGAACAGCAATTTGTGTTAATTTATAGCGATAATAAACAACGGCTGCGGTGATGGCAGCCATGAGTTTACATTAATTTGGAAAGAAAAGTAAACGAGAACTCGGAAAGCCTATGTAAATCTACTAAATTTAGCTATGTCGAGAGAACCATTCTGTTAAACAGTATTTACTACGTGCATCTATGGACATTATTACATTTCATACAAGCTATAACCAACTACATATTAAACCATGTTTGATGATGTTCGAGTCATGAATCTCATTACATCATTCCGCTATTATCTCAATCATATATGCTTGCAAATTGCAATAAATACTTATAAGCAGAAAGCAAGGATGCATGCTATGATATCCCGTATTTATCCGAAAGCATATAACCACATGTTTATTTAGCTCTATATTCACAAACACATCACGATTATTCTAACCCAAATTTTCGCTTGTGTGCATTTTAAAAGCGCGTCAAGCGAGGCCGGAGACTGGGCGGTCCTTAGAGCCATACGAAAGATACACAACCTCAAAAATGAACGAGGTGTTCGCTCGAAAGCCCGAATGAGAACCACGCAGGTTTGGCACCTGTAAACAAACTATCTTTGGTCTCATTTTTAACGTTTAGTTGATATTGGCTCGGATTTTTCTCATTTTCGTTCTTGTTTGATATGCTGCTTCAAATGAACGTAAACGAATATAAACAATGCCAAATTTGGGCGGTGTTTACAACTGATTTGATCGCTTCTTTCAATACAGATGCTCGAAACAAGCTGGCCTGATCAAAAAAATTTCAGCTAGCTCCTCGAATTCCATCGTCAACATATCCAAAATTAATAGATCATGCATGCGAAATATAGTTTAATCGATTTTTCGTGCATCAATGCACGTCCGCCGAGGCGTAAATAAATATGAGTCTTTGTTTCACGACTCTCTATAACTTTCTTCCGTCATGCATGTTTTTGAAACTTCTCTATTCTGAAACGAAAAAAAAAGCTTTTTCCGTTCTCCTCGCACGTCATCTCCCGTTGATAACTTTAACAGATCTCTGAGTCGAAGACAAGCCATGAAAATATTAAACAAACGATTTTTATCAACAAATGCGACGATAGCATCTCGAGTTCTGTCACCAGGTCATATCATTGGAAAACTAAGATTGCATATATACTTGTGCATCTTCACTGAGCTTTTGGATCTGTTTTGATGCGATGTGTAATGTGTATGCGAATTTTCACGATGTTAGCAGACTTATAGGCCTAATGACGTCATAAAGCGTTATCCTAAACGCCATTGTTAGTATTAAAAGGCGTTGTGGTTTGTTAAAGATACATAGTAATTCATTCCCGCTCTGTGGGATGCAGGGAACTCATGCTGACCTTTTTCCTCCTGTTACAAGTTGCACTTTATTAATTCAGTAGCCATGCAATGTCTTTGTGTGTTAAACTTGCGGAAAGATTACAGTCAATAACCGCTCAGCTTGTGGCTGTGTTTGATGTAGTCAAATGAAAATATATTCAGGCGCTTGCTTTGAAACTGTGTGTTCAAAGGCCTTGCGGTATTGGATGCTATACTAACTACCTGACGCCTTCCACTAGACTAATTATAAGTGGATGAATCAATTTGCAAGTAGACAAATCAATTATAGAAGGAGCTGTGTTTATAGTTTATAGAAAGTTCGATGCATGGAGAATTGATTATAAAATGCTGCTTTTCAAGTACCTTAGAATATGAGGTCAAAAATGATATGTAGCTACATGCATGCACACTCCTGAGCCCGTACATTTCGTTATACATCCTTTAGACCGTTTCTATATAGCTTACGACGTGGGGGATTAATTAAACTCAAGTCTGGGAGTTAGTGATGAAACCCAGCTCAAAATGTCGGTATTCTGGTGGTGTATATTCTGATGTTGTTTCGCTATGTATAATGCATGTATATGTACAGACATGCATTACGGATATATAGTGTAATATACATAACTACATGCATATAATATCAATGAAGCATGCATCTTTGATCATTTTCCCTAGAGGTTTTCTGTGATATCTAGCCTTTTCTCAGATTTAATGAATGCATCAAACTGCACGTATTGAAAACTAATCATGCACGCTTCTCTCCTCTCATCGCTGGAATACTGTAGGAGCTTGTCTATGTATAAGAAATTTTGTATCGTTTCACACTTTCTTGAGGGTTACAATTAACAGCCGTTTTCATGCAATGCAAGCTAGGATACGATCGTTAAAGGCGTAAAATCTCATCAGCTAGGGCACGCTGTATATGTATTGCGGAAACTCTTTAAAAAATTTATTATATTTGCTCTGAAGCTTGCCGAGTCGTCTTTCGAAAATGGCTGTACAGTAATCTACGCATTTGCACTGTATAAAATTCAATATTCTACTACATAATATTCACTCCATATGCATTTGCATATACGATAGCACTCTTTGGAATTTTGCATTTTACCGACTTCGTCGAAAAATTTACAGATCTACCAAGATTTACTTGCCTCGGCTTAAAAGATAAGCTCAACTTACCTACTGATGCTAATGGCCACCAAAGACCAAACAGACGCAGTGGTTGCCATAGTTTGTAGCGGCTTTATAATATGACACATAAACCGTCCATAAAGCCATGCACCGCCGTTGATGTAGTCAGCGACATCCAGAGGGATGTTGATGAGCAGTACAGCCAGATCAGCAAAGGCTAAATTCACGATCAAATGATTGGTGACCGTCTTCATTTTACGCTTCCGATAAACGACTAGTACGACGAGCACGTTCCCGATCGTTCCCAGCACGCAGATCATTATCCAAGAAGCGATTTCAAATTTTCTAAACCCCGCGCTTAGCGGCATGGCTTAACGTCGAAATACACTGCGAAAAATCATCAACTTTTAGCTCAACAGCTTGATTTCTATTTAATTTTGACAGGCCAGTCTTGTAGTCGGAGCTGTGTACATAAACAGCACTCTATAAACCAGACCTTGGGTTTTGTCACGAGTTTTGACAAATATCCAAAACTTGCTAAAATATTTGCTATCTCAAGTTGTGACTTCCATATATAATGTGATCGAGGAGAACCAGTTGTACGCGTAAAATATACACCTATATATTTCCAAGGTGTTTTGGATTAGCGAAGTTGATATATATTGATTCTTCTTTGATTTAATAACGGAGATATTTTAGAAATCCATTATAGTCCACTGAATCATACAGTCCAGTTATATATATCTCGGGCTCTCGCGCTATTGACCGACTTCTTCACAAGAGATCATTAAAGAATTGCTGTTAGTTTATGCTTCAATACGTTGCTCAGGGAGCGTTCGGGGTCTCGACTCACAATGAACACTGTCTATATATAAAGACTGTTCCCCTCAGATCTTCTTCTTTGTCTTCACTGAACAAGAATCCTCCAATCCAATGTCATATTGACATCGAATTTCTCTTTTTAAACGAACTTTTGAATACTAAACACGCAATATCCCTTCGCCAGCTTCTTGTACAGGCAGTATTAATGCAGACTTATGTAAATTTCCCGATTAAATCGCGACGTTTTTTTTACAACGCTCTTGACATTCCCTGGTCTTCTTCAACTATGCCCCTTCAAGTGGAACCGGTATTGATTGCGTCCAGGTATAATCTTTCTTCCTGTTGAAAAATTCACCGACCTTTTTTTCTGTACGTTTCTTTTCAACAATGTGTAATTACTTCGATCGGTGCGATGCCTCAAACTTGATCTCTGGATCTTCCGTTTATTCCCCGCCAACAATTCAGCTTCTCTTTGTATATTTCAATTGTTGTTATGTTGAATATTACACGCGCACTTATCGGACTCTAAGCTGTCATGATGTCAAGGGGCTCGTTGTGCCAATGTTTTGATTATTCTCATATGATTTTCCTCAAACCAAAGCAATGTGTATTCTTTGTTCGCTTCTGTTGACGTTGTTCGTAGAAGGCGTTCAATTATGTCGCAGACAGCTTCAGCGATTGTCCCAGCGATAAGTGATGCGCAATAATTTCACGTTTAGAATCATCGCCGTGACGACGTTCGCTGCCAATGCTTCACCGACGTTCGCTCGCCCTGTCGAACAGCCTGAATGTTAGAACAGAAATCATTTTAATTGCAATTGATCGTAATGAAGCCTAATTTTTGAAACAACAATGACGCCATATGCGAATTCGTTTAATTAGCTCCTTAAAGAAGAACACGATTACCGCGCGCTAACAACCGTAATATATTTGCAATAATGTGAAGCATTTATCATTTCCGCTGTCGATACGAAATTGTGGTGAGTGTTTTTAAGTGATTTCGAAGAAGATGCTGCGATAAAATTACACTTACACCGCATATTATGAGAACTCTTCCACGATTTCTTATCTATCGTTCCGAACCCGTTTCCTCCGGCGTTGACTTTCGTCGGCAAACTATATATATAATACGTTGAATAATTTAAACGTCGTGTATGTGTTTATGTAAACAGATTTATTTTCTGAGGTCAACGCTGCCAATAACTGAGTCTATTAAATAAATTAGGTTCCATTTCTCTTATTCGTGTCAAAATTAGGTGCGTTATATATAATATATACTGCATGTCGAAGGCAAATCTGTCGCTATCGTTCTGGTCGAGATCGAACCAACTGAATTGGGAAGAATATGAAGATATTTGAGACATCTTCATTTATAGTTTCTCGGGGATCCAAATCATGAGGTGATCGATGATGCATTTTAAAGCAAAGGTTCGACCCTCTATACTTTTTGAAAGGGCCTTGGCTGACTTGTGTATATAACTATCGATCGTCTCCGAATGTTACTTTTTCCATTAAAGCACGTTTTCCACTATATAGGAGAACTTATTCACGAGACGCAAAGCAATATCATGATATGCAGTGATGTGATTGGTTTGCGAAAAATTTCGCCGCGAAAAGTATAGAACGCTTCCTACTTTTTATCAGTTCGCGCAAATAAATTCGCCCAGTGGAAAACGAGCTTAACACTCCGCAACTGACTTGTCTGTAAACATGCATGGACGTTTTTACTGCATGGCATTTCTTTCTTCGATACCTGAATATATGATTTTCTTTTCCGTATATAGGATGCATTATATAAACTTTGGCTTGGAAGGCAAACCTTTGAAAAAGACGAAAAACAATGCAACCAACCAGATGAAAGGTACTGTTTTTAATCCTTATACATGCAGCTATATCCGAGGTTTGACTTCTGGCATTCAATTAATGTTGATATAGATAGATAGATAGATAGTTTAATAATTCACACACATTGCAGTTACATAGGACTGAATTACGTGGTGATAAATATGATATATATAACCTAATTGCCGTATATATATGTTTTCCTTCTCATTTCCATGATAATTCTAACTTCGCCTGCGAAACCGTTGGTAGAAAAAAATCGTATCCCGAATTTGAATCGTCCCCGCAATGCAGAGACCAGACAACTCACACTTTGTTTTGCATGGTTAAATCCATCTGATTGATTGAATGTTCGCACAGGTGCTTCATATATTCACATCAAGAGTTTCGGCTTGAAACGTCTACCTTCAGAGTTTTATGGACAGGGGAACGTATATATACACACGAAACTAATACTAAAACATCAATCGTATAAAAATGTGAAAAATATTTCCTAGAAATGTAGTTTCCCAACTTGTGCACCCTATATGAAAATCAACGCCCCTACCTAGGAAAATCAATCGTATAAATGCTTTATGTTACCCAAAGCAAAGGGTCATCTTAGATGAGATAGGTTCCCTCTCATTATGCCAAACATCACTTTGTGTACTGACCACGACCTTTCCTATATATACTTACAACGACACAGAGCTTCACTTCTTAATCAGTTGAACATGAAGAGTTGTTTTTTCCTATATTTGTTATTGAAGCAAATCTTCTAGTAGGGCGTGCACAGCAAGCGTGTTATTACTGTTATACAAGAAATTCTTAAGGGCGGCCATGTATAGCTAAGTAATTTGGCTATAGCCACAAGGGCCATGGACGCATGTACTTGATAAGACCGACGACATAAAAAAACGTGCTGCTTCTTACAGCGAGTGAAGATAAGAGTTCTTATTGACGTTCAACTTCCTTATTTGTTATGGCAAAATATGTTTTGCTTTGCTTCGGTCGTCGTGTTTATAAACTTTATGTTATGCAGAATTATCCTGCGTGCATGTTATTATGATTATTTCTCAATATATAAAATCATGTTACATAGGGCCCTAGCTAGCTTTAAACTAAATTCATCTAACCGCGTGCATGTATTGGAAGTAAGATTCAGGCAAGATATTGCCAGTCTCAACAGTCAACAACAACATGCAGTTCTATAGATTCGATCCAATATATTTCGAATATTATAATATGATTGAAATCATTCTTGTGCTTTTATTGCATGCTGTAGGAAAAGATTGTCGTAAACGTTTAAACCGGGTTAGCGAGATAGTATATAATCCATTTTAATTTACGACCTACTTTTATAATATAATAAAATATGTAAATATTGCATATAGCCTTCATATTTAGCACAGACATGTGAAGAAAACCTCTTGAGTCTTGTTATTTTAAATAACGCCTAAATTAATCATTTGAAAAGCTAGGAACGGAATATTTGATAAACATCACGCTATATAGCGTACGTTCCACAGCAACCCCTTATATAGAACTATATATTTATTCATTATTATTTATTATAATATAAAAAAAAAGAAACGCGTAGTTTCATGCGTGCACTATATACAGTTCTGTTTAATTTATCGGTAGAGAAAGGCCTGATCATAGCTATATATATATATGCATGTATTTTAAGTCGAAAAGAACATTTTATTGTTTTCCTTGACAATTTCAAAACATCTGCATGATTTATTAATAGTGTTTCTTATAACGCGTATACGATTATATCAGCTATATGCATGATTGATCTTTAAAGTTATTTGATGCATTTAAAACCAACTTTGCAGTTGCAATCGTAATGTGGACTATATATTTTGCGAAAGATATTATGTATTTTGTAGATATAAAACATGCATGTACAGACACCGCGGAAATTGGTAGACTTAGCCGTAATTCTCAATACTTAGACTTTAAATTCGGCAAGCTAAAAGATTTATAAATACTCAACAAAATATCTCTTGCACAAAAGATTTGAAGCTTGCACACGCGGCAAAAACAAATCATCTGAAAATGTCTGAAAATGTCTCAAAATGGCCATTTTACGGTGGCAGATGCATACGAAGAGCCTTCAAAAGTTTCCAAAACCGATATTGGAAGAAAAATTGAACTTGTTTTCAACTTATTTGATAGTATTTTCTTTGACAGCAGTTTCTGAATACTAGGATTCAAATGTGAGCAACTGATGAGATATTTGACTTCCAACACCAATTTCTGCGGTGTCGCATGTACATGAATGCATGCAGTCGTACCGCTCACTGGCAACCAACCTTGTAAATGTTTCAATTATCGTAGATCAATTAAGTACACGAAATTTTCTCTCCTTCAATCACTTTGTATCGCTTATACGGATGACGGTGAGAACTTCAAATATATGGAATTGGTTTGAAAAAAGTTGAAAAATGTCGCTGCTCTTCATGAGATGCAGACAATTGTGGCTCAACAGCTGCTGTGAAGGTTTGTTCACACGATCCAATTTTATTGGATCAGGCCATGCAATTCACTTCTGACGTATGAAATGTAGTCGGTTATTGATGAAGCCGTAGTGTATTGGCTTCAGTGGATTTGCTGCTCGTATACATCACAAGACCGCAGACTATATAATACATCCATCAGAGGTGAATGGACCACTTGCGCTTTAGACTAACTTTTGATCGAAATAATAAGAAGAAAATAAATCACCACAGCTGAAAAGAGCGTACTTAAATTAGTGCAAATGCAAAGTTTGGCTGCGAAATCTTGTAAAATGCGGAAAATATAGCCATGCGAAATTGGCAAATTTTGTATACTTTTGTACTACGTGCGGAAATGTGTAACTAATTTAGTTACACACTTCCGGTCGTAATACAAAAGTATACAAAAATCTACAACTTCGCATGGCTATATCTTACGTGATTTACAACAATTTGCAGCCAAACTTGGCATTTTTACTAATTTTAGTATGCTCTTTCAGAAAATGTCCTTTTTAAAGCCGAGGTAAGAAATTCGTCTAAGGCGCAAATCGTCCATTGCATGGATCATGTGAACAGACCTTAACACGAGCTTGTTGTTTTATAGTAAAATGCAAGCAGAGATATTGCTTCTTGAGGATGTCACAACAACAACTCCTATAACAACAACTATATAATTAAACGTTAGTTCTGTTTTATTAAATTTTTCTTTCTCACGATGACGAATATCCGCGTTTTTTGGTGCACGAGTCCGCTATAAAACGGGTTTAAACAATTCTAACGAAAAAAAAGCATTTTTTCGAATCACACAGACCATCTAAATAATAAATTTAACCTAACATAAAAAACAGTCGCTGTTATACGAGTTCTACGATTTCGAAAAGAAGTACCCTAAAATTGAAACGTAAACGTTTTCGGCATCGACATCGCGAGAAAGGCTTCATGATTCAAACAATTACCCCTTGACTTGTCTACTGCATGTATGTGCGTTATTTGTAGAGCAAAGTATGAAATATTCATGCGGTGTCCTAACATTTAAAAATATGCATGCACTAGTATAATGGACATCTATAAGTACTTCTGGTCTATTCAGTAGGACATATGCATGTACGTAGCTACTACGCATGCAGAACATCGCAGAATTTGTGTTTATGAAGTTTCAACACGAGAATCTGATCACTGGTTCAGGATTGTGTATTTCTGTATCATTATCAAAGCAAAAACTATATTGAAAAAATTTTTAAAAAGTTTAATTTTTCTTTTGAATACGCGCGTATTCTGCAATCTTTTTCAAACAGCCAAGCAATTTTAGTTCACCATCTTGAAGAGATACAAAACACGCACCGTTAATGGCCCGCTATAGTCTGGATCCGATCATAAACGTTATCGAATTCGAAAACCTCCGCTTTCGCCCGTTCACACGTAAACTCAAAACCGGCGGTTTCGAAAAGCTCCACTCGGGAGAGCGTTTTTCAAAAGCTCCGGTTTCGAAACGCCGGTTACGTGTAGAGGCACGGCCAAAACGGATAAAAAACCTCCGTTTTTAAAAATATCCGGATACGTGTGGACGGGGTCTAAGTATTGAGAATTGCATTGAAGAGCATTGCTCATGCACTGACAATGGATCGTATAGAACATCGCCGAGGAATTACGAAATATGAGAACCATGCAGGCTTAAAACATGCAATTAATGCCAACATGCAGCTAAAATATTCATGCATACCTCAAATATGTACATTTCCAATACCAACGGTGTAAATATATGGAATATGTCTAATTTGTTGTGTTTATGTAATTCCATATGTTTACCTCGTTAATTGTCACACCGCGGCACTAGTGTTAGGCATATAGGAGAGCGCAGATGTTTCACCTTGGGTCTAATTGCTATAAGCATTCAGTTTTCTCATCTCCAGAGTACTCTACAGCTCTTACACAGGACTTAGAGGACTGTAAATGTTCTTAAAGACGTATGTTGTACCACAAAACTATGTATACTTACTGTAGTATTGTCCTACTCGCAGACTACCAGGCTGTACGGATTATGTCATAATTATTCATGAAAAAAAAACCCAACCCTGCCTTTCTTTCTGACTTATAGATGTATAACTGATTTAACAGACAAAACCTGTCCTTTTTCTCATGACGCAAATATTTTTGGAGTATTATAGATAGCTGATATAATTATATACTTCTATATAATTCCTGGAAAATCACACATAGCACATGAACATCACATTGGTTTGTTATTCTCATAGCGAGCCATCAAACGCTTTCAAACTACTTTTATCCTTCTAAAAGCACTGCTCTAATTTTATGATATATAAGAAAATGTAAAAAAATCGACCACTTTGTTTTATGCTATGGACTCACATTTTAATTTTGATATATATCTATATACTACTAGAGAGCTAGCGCTGGAGTGAGTTATCAGTGAACCTATGCTTCTTCACATATGACCATTTTTACATATAGATGACAATATTTAGACATAAAAGATCATATTATTTCTATATACGTACATGAATAAATATACCTGGTATATATGTATAGTTCTGTTATGCATCAACGGGTGTGTCGAGATGAAATGGACCCAATGGATAAACCTGTATTATGTATACGGCTGTATTGTGACAGTTGTCTTTCAAATAAAGTCTATCTTTCGTGATCAGTTTTACTGTATGCAAATCAATCCTACGCGTACGAAGCTATTCAACACAGCGCCCACACGATACGGTAAACGGATTGATTGCACACGTCAACAAACCACTTCAACTCGCGACTCAATAACATGCGTCTACTTCGCGAAACAATATTATGTATATGTATATGAGTCTCTTGCGAGTTGCGACTTTCAGTGCGTTCTTATCCCAACTACGAACGCACCCGCTGGGTTCCTACCGATGAAACCTGCTATATAGGTTTTAAGTCGCGCATGTATGCATATATAGTTCCGGGGTTTCGATTGTTTTGACACTTAATAGCACGCGCATGCGCAGTTGGTCTACGTAAGCCAGCTTATCGCTCTTACGTATGTATATATATAAATGTTATTTTCCGTTATCTTGTTTTTTTGCCGGCATCTTAGCATGCAAAGGAAGTAACTATGACATTGTGAATGGCATGTGGAAGCATACATTGGACTATTTGTAAAAGTTTTTCATTTCTCTTGTTTTTTGACAATCTTGATATCGCAAACGATCACGGAATTATTTATTGCCTCTACCACGCGACGCGTTTATTAGAATTGTTTTTTTTATTTTTGTTGTTATTTAAAAAACTAGCACGTGAAATTGTTTTTTGCACTCCCTTAAGGCATTTTACTTAATGATGTATACAATAATATTGTGTGAAATAAATTCTCTTAAATAACAACTATTAATTACAATTATACACAGTATTGATTATACATTTAGTTGAATTGTTTTGCTTTAAATGTAGTAAGTTTCGAATAAATTCATGATACGAACAACTTGAGAATTTTAGTGAAAATGTAAAACCGGGGAGATCAAAGGGAATCGATAATTTTTCGTCAATTTTCTATTTTTGATTTTTGATATTTTAATCAAGTTATTGTAAGCTAAGGCTGCCAAGCATACTTTCGTGTGCATTAATAAATCCTGCGACAATTTGCATGGGTGGTAGAAAGATGGGATCTTGGATCCACATTTCATTCCAGTGCGGTTGAACACTTCCCCGTCTTCCCGCTAAGTTCACAGACACTTAAGAGATGACTGTTTTATTCATGAAGCTTTTGAGAGTTTGTTGATCCGTGTAGGTTTAGCCAGACAAACGTTTGTGTAGTTTCATGTATATACTCACAGATCAATATTCCCGATTCTTTGATAGACTAGATAACCTTTATAAACCAGTTGAACGTGCGTGCACCTACATTGTTACCGAAAGCATCTTCTATAGAAGCACTTAACTTAACATAAATTATATATTCCTATGAATGCCTTCGATAAACCACTCTACCTGTCTTAGACGTGTGCATTCTACGTGCGATCAAGGACAAGCCGATGAGAAGCCAAGGCCACGCTTGCACTCACGGCTGACGCGCGTATTGACATGGCGACGCGTTAAACATGTGTGTTTAGGATTTATTCTTCCTTCTCATTCATTCATGCGAATTATACATACACATGCATGTGGAGACGCTGATGTCGATCTTAATTCATTATATTGCCTGAGATTTATTGGTCATACACTGATACACATCACTCATGAAATATTCAAGCATGAAATCAGCTGGGCAGACTAAAAATACTGCATTTTTGGAAACGTTGTTTGTGCCATTCCGCGAGCATGAGGGATTGCATGCACAATTTGTACGTCAGCCATTTTAAAATACCAGCGACATTAAAAAAACATAACCTAGACCGAAAGGTTTCATTCTACAACCAAAAAACAGTGTTACATGCCTGTTTCGCATTGGCAATTACCCATGAGAGATTGAACTGGAAGAGTCAGCCCTTTCAAATCGACAGAGCTAGCGGCTTATATGATTCCCGCTGCAAGCGCTTCATTTCTTCACTTTGCGTATAGTCGGCGCAAACCTTCCCTCCCATTATTATTATGATATATACACTTAGATGATTCACCGTAGTATACTACGGCATGAAATAGAATATAAATTAATGGCTATTTATACATTTACGTGATCTTATTTCTCTAATCTCTGAATGATGGCATTACGTTTCATTACCAACTCAGCAACACACAACAGCGAGCTATAGCAAAGAATTAAAGTCGTATACGTGTTTTCATACAGATATGCATACAACCGAAAACAGAATTGATAAAATACAATAAGGCGAACAAAGGCATGACGGACGATATCTAAACCGCACCGGAAATGATTGTTTTTCCCCTCATTTCCCGTTATCTTTTATGGATTTCATGTATATTCATGTTATTAATATATGAAGGGCATGTTTTCAAGATAGGACCCGTATAACGCGCGTGGTCTCTATATTTAGTTTGTTTAAACTTGGGCTTATTCGTATAATACAAGACCTATATACGACTGCTTTTATTTACAAACGAACCTTCAAATGCGCACTTGGTTTGAATTGGGAAAAGCCATAACATTGTATCTCCTTGACATAGTGTGTAAGCAGTTTTATAAAACCGGACATTAGAGAAGCCGTGCGCCATGCACATATGTCCGAGCAAGTTTTTTTTTTAACTAGCATCGACATCATGAATTCGCTAAAGATACACTTACACAACGACCTGACCAATTCTAACGTATCCAAATGATTTGAAACATATTCCTGGCAAACATCAGCAAATGCATGACGACATCTCCACAATTCGTCACGAACATCCAGGGAAAGTGTAAAAGTAGTATAACAACAATTCATATAATCCAAGTGTAAATGTGACCTTAGATGATGGAAACTATTCAAAATAAACCTCTTATATTTAGAACCGATTCATTCCTTTATCAGATTCTAGCATTAATCCCTAGCGTTTTTTAATTCGTTTTACAATTTCGATTGGTCTAAGTCGGAGTGCGTTTATCCCAACGCATTGGGATTAAGGTGAAATTCCATATAGTTGTTTAGATATTTTAGGGTAAGAAGGAAAATGCTGTTTTTGAGAATTTGTTTACATATATACTTGGAATGTATAATGAGGATTTTGACATTTTTCGTAATTATTGTTTGGACCGCCAAAGTGTAATTACAATCATTTATTATAATATTAGTTGCTGTAATATATTCCAAGACAGCTTGAACGTGACCCAGATGTTTTAGAAGAAGTGACATGCATTAAGTTCTTGAAAGCATAATTGTCGCGAGGTAATATACTCCATTTTGTGATTAATTGCAACTAATGAGCTGTTTTTCAAAACCTCCATCGATCTGACTTTATTATTTCCTCGGAGATTATTAATATTCTTGTACAAACTATATATATACATGAATCGTACAACATTCATCAATTTTTACACAAAGGGGGCGTTCTTTCGCACACATAACACACACCTCTTCGTTGTTTTTGTTAGTTTGTGATCGCAAGAAATGCCGAATGTTATTGAAGATCATATATGACGTCAACTATAGATTTGAGGTGAAAAATAACAGTTGTTGTTTAGAATTCGATCTCAATTAAGAGAATGAACCTCTGTATTATACACGGTCTTGTGACCCAGCCAACAAGGCATCATACAGCGTTACCTCGCCAATAGCCCCTATTGAATACAAAATACATAAGATTTCCTCTCTATTATACCTGACTTAGTGCACGATTGTCTTTCCTGTTCAGCACGTGAACTTTTTACAGTCACAGTTGGCCTAATAGCTCTCTCCAATGTGTGTTCTTTGTTTTAACGACATTTTAAACATATTTTCACGAACAGTAAACATCTTTTAAGAAGCTAATCTAATCATGAAAGATGATTTAAGGGGGTTGTAATGTGATATTTTTAACGAGTTGTTCGCCTCCCACCTTTAATGCAATCGTCGGATGTCAACGTATTCATAATCGGGGGATGCGGAAACGTTATTTTTATCTAAAAAATATTTATGTAACTGGAAAAACAGTCTTTAGTATTTAGAAAGTGGCTTTTAAAAGTAGGCGTTATCATTGTTATGTTGAGAATTCTTAGATGAAATCATTGTAGTATCCAAGATTAGATCACATTATGATCAACAGCAGGTTTCTACTTTTCATTTCAATATGAAGTATGAGACTAAATTCTCAGCGCTGGACTCTAATATAACTGGTGTGATAACTCACGGGGTTGAAGCCTTTTACGTTATCTGAGTTTGAAGCATGCAGCAATACACTAAACACTGAACGTGCGCTGTATATAAAACTGGAGCTATTACACAAAAAGCTTCAGGCAAGTATGGACATGTTCATCACAAGTTATCGTTCCAGTTATATTCTAGAATTCAGAATACGTAAGCGTTGCCCGTGGGTGTTGATGTTGTTCTTTTCACTGCGAAAATGAATCATAATGCAGAATGAACGACCATTGCTTGACCATTCGAAAGACTGGCATCAAAATGAACTCGATGCATATGCATCTATAAGTGTGGGTCACGAATGAACTGCATGAGTCCTTTTGTTTCTTCTTCTCCTCGCTGTTAAGCGAGTCAGGCATGCATTTGCTGTCCGGTGTTATCGAACTTCCCCCAACACTAACATGACTAGCCGTCGATAGTCTTCCCTTAGGACTGTACACGAGTGATATGCACTCAGATTCCTTAGTCTCATTTGAATATTCTTCGTCCTTTCCCGCGCAGAATGTTCTCGACACTGTCCTAAAGTGCTGTTTAAAACCCTCACGGAATTGATCGTTGCAAATGTTGTATAAGATCGGATTACTTGCACTGTTGCCGTACAACATAACCACAGATATGTCGCGAAGAATTGGAAATTTGGGCGACTGACCTGTACAAAGAGAGAAAACATGAGTCGTTCAGTATTCTAGGATGATCCTTATGAAGATACTCTGAGCTTGTCTTCAGCACGCCTGCTCACCCTCACTCTTGATTAAGATCAAAGGCACTCTTCCGTGTAATGCGTGTGTATTTTATCTCGCATTTGCCAGATTCAGTAATTCTAATTTCAAAGTTTCAAAACACTAGTCTGTCGAATTGCAGAGTGATTCAAGGTACTTTCTCTGTCGATCTGGTCATGGGCGAGGCTTCTCTCTATTGGCACAGTGATACTTAGAGAGAAATTTGCCCCGAGTCCCAAGGGCACTTTAGAGAAAGGGCCAAGAATATGATGCTGACTTCCTCTCTTCCCTCTTTGGTTTCAAAGTTAATAAGCTCGTGAAATAAGCTTGACTCTTATGATCTTAATCCGGCTACAACCCCCTACATTCTAGCTATACACTTACCGCCATCAAAGAAGTCGATCCAAATATACAACAAGTGTATTGGCAGAACGAGGACTGCAAACGCTGTGACTACAAGCCGCAAAATCTTGATGATTTTCTTCGTCTCTTTCTGTTGTTCTTTGATAAGAGTGCTGTTTTCATGGCCATTGTTGTTACAGGAAAGCTCTGCGCCAACCCTAAAACGTTTATTAAAAGACTTATTCGAATGCAAATATCAACTCAGCAAAGAAAAATCTGTTTGGTAGAAGTATAATGAAGTAAATGCTGCAGAATGGATTTCTATTTCGACAACCCTGAGCGCTGCTGATTGCCGGCTCAAGCGCGAGATCACGTTGTATTCAATGTAATCTACCTACTTTATGTAACAGACCATGATGATGGCTAAAGGCACGACATATTGCGCAACAAAAACACCAATGGTGTATGCCCACGTTACCATACCAGCGGCCGGAAAATCTTCTTCACATTTATCGCCTTTTAACTCTAATGCCAACATGAATGGTATCACAACCACCAAACCTATTGTCCACACCACTAATATTATCCATTTAGCATGGCTCGTTTGTAACTGTGGTCGAAGCGGGTATACGATTGCAATGTACCTACAAATAAAATATAAAACATATTGATAAACCAGATGGCCGCGTATGTCGATCTTAAAAAACAAGTTTTCGCGAATCCAGAAAAAAAATGAATGAATTTGAGGCCTTTTGACGTGTTTTGTTTTCCGCATCACGCTATCATTTTTTGTCAACAAAGGCATAATTTTCGGCCAACGGGAAGGTGGCGATCTGTCGATATCAACATGGCTAAGATGATTTACCATACATACAGCAAAATTTCTGTTCGAAAAGTTGCTAATCCTCGCCTATAATAATATTCTGGTAATTATATCGCAACCGATAAAATTCACAAGAGGATTGTATCCACACGCATGCCACCATCTTTCTCGATGGTGAATTTCGTTTCAAACGGTAAACAGGCTTGGAGGCTGGCCATTCAATAATCGAACTGTTAATTTGTCTCACATGCGACATTGCGATAATCTGTTTTTAAAAGCTGCGTTGAAGCGTAGGCACATTTTTCACATATGTTAAGCAAGTTCCAAACGCTACAGCACAGCCCGTTTTTAGGGAAAGTTTAGAGATATACTTTTTTGTGGTTGTTTTCGGCAGAGTTTTCCCACGAGCAGGTAGTATTGGAAGAAAGTTAACATGTTCAATTCAAAAACATTTGTCGCAATTAACCAATTTGCCGGACACGTGTTTTTGTAATTTAAACACATTGACTGATTGAATTAGGTTTTCTACCACGCCTCAACAAGCGATGTTTGAGAAGAAAGAGCCGATGAGTCTGACTTCTAACATGCCACAGATGGAGTTTGTTTTTTCACCTATTGCCCTATTACCATACGTAACAGTTTTTTTACTAATTCCCTTTTGATTGCATGGCCTTTCGATACTTCCATGCACTGGAAAGAATTTTAATTGTTATGGAAATTGTATATGGGATTTGCTGTTTACACCCTCTTAAAGATATACCTCACACACTGTGTGAAAAGAATCAATTATCAAGGATAACCATTTAGTTCAGTCCATTCTCAAGAAATTTTTATTTAGCATTCATAATGAACTATCATTTTCTGGTACTTTTAGTTTCTAGACCCTAGAATCGTTTGCTACATCGATAGGCAATATGAAACTAACTGAATTAGATGGTATAACGTGTTCTTCGCGTTTGGGAAAATTTGGTTTCATGGATTCCTTTAAACAAAGGTTTGAACTAATTCTTATGAATTCAGTTGAATATCATTTGAATATTTTACAAAAGCACTTAACGGGCTAGTCACGAAAAAAACTGCTTGCTTTACTAATAATTCAATTTAAAAATCTACTGCAAATATTCATCAGACAACGTAGGCTACGTCAACTGATTATGTCGTATCACGAAGTTGAGTTTTATTATTAAAGCCTTAATCGATATTTTCTGCTCGAAAGCTTCGAATACAAACAACTCCTAATTGGTGGTGAAAGTGGAAATGTTACTAATGGAACCGCGGTTGATAGAAATCTAACAAAACATATGCATGACTCTCTCATCTGAGCTTGGAGTGCATTGTCGCACGTCCAGACGCCTTGTACATGCACAGCGGAAGTCGAAGAATGTTGGTAACGATTTTTCGAGATGCTATCAAGCATTTCAGGAAAGATTTCCATCCTCACCAAGTATAGCTAGCTAGTGTATGACTGTTGAGTGAAAGACTAATAAATCCATAGAGTACTCAAACGAGTTCAATGGGGTTTTTTTTTAGACATTCCCAATTTCCAAACTTTTTAAGCCCATTCACGACGGACCATGACACCATGCACGCATTTTGTTTTACAATCGCGAGACGGAATGAATGTGAGAAATGAAAGTAAAGTCGACGGCTAATTATGCATTCGAGTGTTATGAGCTTTTTTTCTGGATTATATGTCTTATATTAGTCTGATATTCTGTAAGCTGTCTGTGTTTATAGTTTCATTCCATACTTCCATTCAGCGAAGATAACGAACAACCATATTTGGCCTCGTGACATGTTCATTCGTTTATGGATCTTGATTTCAGTCAACAATTACAGGAAATTGAATTAACAAATCTTATTTTTGGCGGTCCCTAAAAGTTTCTATATTCAATTCATCGACTCGTTTTTTTGATCAGTTTGAAGTTTCTCTCCACGCTCCAGTCTGTGAAGCCTATGTGGTTTATTCCCACAGAAGATCTCGTCTTCCTGTGCGATTAAGCTACATCTAAATGGTTCGCCTTCTGCGTTCAACAATCAGAAACGATTGTAGGAAGTTTCAAGATTCCTGTTGTTAAGCTAAAATAGCTACGTTAATTTAAGATACGTGCGTTTAAAGCAGCACTTATATAGTAAATGGGACTACAGACATCATACTGTGGATTGATGAATAATTTAACCTTGACCAGAGCCCGATTCCTTCATCATATGAATAGACAAAAATACTCAAAGTCACGAGATTGTCTCATCTCAATTCCCACTTTCCAAGATAATATTTTTCAAAAATATTGCTATACATAACCACTTCGATCTGCTATTGACAAAAATACTCCATCTTTAGAAGTATTCATATAATAATCTGTGCCAAGATGTAATAATAATACACAGATCAAATTTTTTAAGCTTTGTCTAAAAGAAGACATCTCTCTAATATTTTACGTCAGCGTATATTAGCCAAATAGAAAATCTCCCTTTTAAATTCGCCTCGCATCAGTCCAATTACGGCTTATTAACACGCGAATAGCGATGATGTGAATGAATGTTCGAATCTGTGTGAGTTTAGATCTGATATCATATTTTAGAAAACCTTTCTATATATAATTTTTGTTTTTTATGAATGACATATCTGCTATTAGGTTCCAATATATAGTCTGGAGCACTTAAAGATTCCATGAGATACATTTTGGTAACTGGCTTACTAGTAACTGGAACTATACTAGCTCTCTCTATGAATGAAGTGAAATGTTCGCCTGTTGCAGGGATGAACTTAAACTTAAACTTACCGTCCAATGCTGATCGCAACAAGCGACCAAACAGACACGGTTGTAGACATCGTCTGTAAGGGTGGTATAAGCTTGCACATGCTTGCCCCATACAACCATTTATCGTCCGAAAACTTGACGATTAAGTCCAACGGTATGTTAATAAACAATACAAACAGATCGCTTGCAGCTAAGTTGACGATCAAAAAGTTCGTGACAGTCCTCATTTTGCTCTGCCGGCATACAACAAGGACCACCAAGATGTTACCAATACCTCCAACGACACACAGGACTAGGGTTGATATGATTTCGAAGTTTTCCGTCGCGGTCGAAGTTGCATCATCTTCAGTAGTGTTGCCCGTCATGGTGTGCGGCAAGGCTGATCTAAATGAAAGAGAACATTAATTTGACATGTGATATGCACGCGTATAAGGCAGGTTTTATGCGCTGTACGTGCACATGTTTTGCACACTTTCAAAAAACGTTCAGAAGGCGGATGTGATGTTCGAGAGCGCAGAGATATATGTGTAAAATAGACGACTAATAAGGAAGGCACAAGGAGCGGGAACGAAGGTTTCTAATGGAGACCAGAAATGAAATGAAATATTGAAATGATTAATTTTATGAGAAGGTGGTGTCTGAAGTATAATTGACCGGCCGTAATATGTTTGATTATGCGGCTTTCTGTTTTCACTCGTGATGGAAGATGCTTGCATCCTTTAAATTAACGTTCTTTTAATTTCAGAGGTTGCATGCTTGTGCTAGTTAGAAATCCACAACGTGTTAAATATTGATTTTTCAGTTGAAGGCTTATAGCAGGCTAACACACAGAGAGCAAGTACCGCATACTATGTAAATACCGTAAGTCAAATAACAACATACCAATTCATCGGTGCTCTGCGCGACCGATTTTTCACGGGACTTAAACAGCCTGCGGGTTTGCATGACTGCTATAAAAAAGTGACATTCCAGTAATTCTTGAATTCGACTCGAAATATTCCCACAAGTACTCAGCCAGTCAGTTTGTATGCGCAGTAAGCATTTAATCGTTCGACTTAATTTGCACATCTGAGGTACTAACACAAACGACAGGAGTGCGCGGTTAATTAGTTCAAACTATTTATTAATCAGTTCATCATGAGTGTGCGCAAAAACAGCACACGATAAGACGATAGGTTTGGAAAACGAATTGCATCGTTCAGTAGCTACATTTTCTTCATCTTTCAATAGAACTCCGTATATCAGAATCCCATGCAGGAACTGAAATTAACGCAATCATAAGATGGCACAGTAACAATTAGAGCAAAGTATAGCTATATATATTAAACAAGTCTAACTGTATGGAAGAGTTATAAGACTTAAGGTTATATCTTACAACGATGTTAAGATTTTCAATGAAAAAAAACATAAAATTAACACCATAAAGTCTTCACATTTTTACACAATACATTCTACCTACCGTGTTAGCAACTACGATCATAAAAGTACTTCTTAAAGCTATAGAATATTTGCCTTATTCGGCTACTGTTTGGCCGTTTCCATTTTCCAAGTTGGTATAGGTTACATGACGTACGACCATTAACCTTTACCATATACCATTGGGTTGTTTGGGTTCCGCAGGACAGCCTATGTATTATCGTTTAGTCTGTAGAATCGTTTATCGCTGACCCTTATCTCCGTAGAAGGAGGTTGTTTTTGCCACAAATAAATATAAAATTTTCCTGGATCAAATTTAGCAAGATGAATGTCTGTCAAACGATTGAGCAAAGACTATCAAGACTCATTCGACTTTCGATTCTCCCGATTCCAAGATAGACCTTCACCCCAAAATTTCTTTTTATTTAAATACCTGCCCCGCAATATCACCGCGCGTTTGACGAAGAACACTTGGCGTCATCAATCGTTTAAAGGTAGCCGCGCCATCAATTCGGCAAAGCTGTCAACAACTGTGCCGTCATTTTCCGAAACAATCTTAATCCTCGCGCGCGCATCGGTTTATACTCGCGAACGTCATCGCGCGCGTCCATGTTATTTTTGGATGCTATCACATGCAAGTAAATAAACCATGCATTTGCATTACCAACTGACAATGTAATGAAATATAATTAATATACGTAAAAAATGCACTAACTATAGCTATATACTTCGAATTAGAGGGTAGAGGAAACTTTAAATATAATGCACAATCTTTCTCTCGTCCATCTGTAAAGATTCTATAAACTGTTTACTGTTTGTTGCGCACAGCCTATTATAAGATTTATAGACTATATAGCTATATGCACAAGTGCGGTATTCTTTTCAAGTCGTATATGATATCCACTTGATAAGTGAACCTAATAACCGGTGTACTTTTTCTGGTAAACCTCCCATTTATGGAGTTTTATCAACTCTCAATTTTGGAATTACACTTCTTGAACACTGAGGGCTTTTTTTACTTAACTTCTAGGAATTTGTGATAAATTCAAAAGCAAGAATACCGAAGCTCAAATTACAGCGATTAAAATGATACGATCCTCCCGATAAATTTTTTTCACTTGGATACGTACGTAGAGGTAAGAGAACTAAAGGCTGCAATAATATTTACCTCATCATTAACAATCATATTAATCTTTTTATTAATGTCGTTTATTTTCCGCATAACTAAGCCATTCGGTCCAGGTATATTCGGTGCTTGTTTTCAGTATATAATTATGAATATAATATGCCCTTGACCCTTAATAACCTTCACAGAAAATTCTTTATACACATATCCCCTGTAGTTACGGGAACCACTGAAATATCATTTTGTTGTTTATTGAATCTGCGTTTCAACCAGCTTGTAGTAATCATGAGGGTAGATTGATTCATCATAGATTTGATATGACTAGAAAATGTTATCTACAGTTAATATTCTATTGTATATCCCTAATCCCTCTGTTTTACCAATATATATATGTGCAATTTCCTGTCTTGGAAATAAGGTAACCACAACGACGTATTTTTTCGCCACACTGAGATAAGCAATGAGCTAATTAAGATCTCATCATTCCTCACCGTGCCACAGCCAACTGTACATGGCATTTGCAATAATAAACTGTGACAGGAATTTCAGTGATAATATCATCGGTGATATATGGTTGATCCTTGTATAGTTTTGTGATATAATTGATTTTTATATACAGCAATCCCTCTTTCGTTTCATATTTGAAATTTATCAGTGAATATAATGCATGCCTTTTATACATAATAATTCTCCCAATCACATTATTCTCTCACAAATCCTCGCCTCTAAAATTTGGCTATTGTTTCTTTTGCCAGAAAGCAACCTGTTTTACGTCACTATATATCGATCTTTGTATAATTACGTGATGTAATTGATTTTATATGCAGCATATATGTTTACAATCCCATGTTCCAAAACATGTTCCTTTTCATATTTGAAATCTATCAGTGAATATAATGCTTCCTGCGATGTCAAAAACGTGTTTCAAAAGTAGATATGTGGAGTTAGCATCTTTGAATGGGGCAACATATACTTATGCCGCCGCATATCTTGATTCAATGCGAGGATATTGTTTCATCATAGTACATGCTTGTTTTTAAATGCTGCACTTGCATGCATGGAGCTCATATGCTCAACAGGCATGCAAAGGTCGTAAATATTTCGAAACACCCATGATGGCTACTTGTATAACTTCACGTGCCTGTCATAAAAATCTCTGCATGTTTCTAATATTGAATTAGAGAGCCGGCTTCCCCACAATCCAGATGATCCGGCGAGATTGTTTGAATAAAAATGCACATCTCTTATCAATCAGAATATCCTCACCTCCTCCCATACACAATATTTTTCCCAATCACATTATTCTATTAAAACCCTTGCCTCAAGAATTTCACATTGTTTCGTTTGCCACGAAGCAAGCTGTTTTACGTCACTATATATCTTCCCACCCCTTATCATAATAATAAATCTTCCCTTAAGGAAAGATAAATTGATTATATGGTGGCCTCATGGGTTTACGGAATTTAGAGTAATTAATAAGTTTGCTATAACCTAATTGCTATAATCGGCTTTGGCCAAGTCACAGGATAGCCCACTGGTTTTTTCTCATGAGTCGTTCCACGTAGCCATGCACGCTAAAATACCAATTAACTTAACATCATGTTTGGATAGATAGGCTGCATGTTTCTCACTATTGCACTCATAAAAGCTATATTGTTTCATCATTAATCATACTACGCTTTGTCCTGAACCTATATGAGTGAAATCTGTTTTTTATATTGACTTAATCACTACTCGCAAGAGATTGGAAAGATTACAAGAACTATAAGATTGACGTTAAACACTTAAGAGAGAAAAAAACAATACCTTAGCGATCCCTGCTTTTAGGTTATGTTATACCTCGTGCGTATAAATATGTTATACTTATCTGTCAGTCGTATACAAATTACTCCCGCTATTCATTACGATTAAAACTGCTTGCATTTTGTGATCAATTCTAAAAAAACATTTTTCATACTTGCTCATGATATTCCACGAGATGTTAAACAGTGTAGACACAATGCTGACTGGTTCCAAACGTTTCAAATCGTACTAGCTTTTCGTTGCTGCACATATACGGATGCTACTCTGATATGAATCAACATACTGATCTCCACGAGAATTTGTTAAGTAAACAAATTAGCGCATCCCATTATGAGCTTTTTGTCAATTGTTTTGTCACAAATCGTTGGGAGGCACGAGTTTACGCTTGTTCAAACATAAAAGGCCTCGTCACTGCGCTGGACATAAACATGACGCAATTAGATGTATTATTACCTTTATTAGTTAACGTATAAGACATGCGGGCATGCCGGTAAGAGATCCTCAAACTACTGTACTCTGTAGGTGCAATGACGTCTACCTTTAGCCACTCGAGCATATGGCTGCTTAGAATAATAATAATCAACATATGAATCTAAGATATGATGTCTTGTTTCCATTTCGTTCTTAACACGACAAGTTGTGGAAAGAAACTAGGCTGAATTTGGTTTTTTTGAGCTGTTTTCTTTTGTTGATCACAAAGATATTGTCGTTTATATTATACGCCCACGATTTCAGTATATATCAGGCCGGCTCGCTGTTTACAACATCTTCGTTTCTCAGATGCTTATTAGTTTACATTCATTTCGGTCAACCGATTGTGCGCTTGACGTGGATCGCTATAAAATACTCCAGAGTTCAACTATGAAAACTATTAAATAGCGCAGTGAAATCTTATATGTATATATGTATTTTGTTGACACTCAACCAGGAGAAGAATTCATCGAAGAGAGACTTTGAGTTGCGATTTTGCAATTGCCACCCTGGTTAGGGCTAAAAATAGTATGCAAGGAGTTTTCACTTCAACTTTTTGATCTTCTTTAATTGCGACTTATCCTAGTAATTCTTTGAAACGCTTTTCCGCGATATATAAATATAATGCCATTTTTTATCATGACTTACGCGCGGAACAAGACTTGCATTGTCGGAATATCTTAATCATTATGGTTTGATACGTGCATGATGTACTTCTTCATTAAACACGGCATTAGTATATATCCCACCTTAGTTTTTAATAAGGTACCGACTGCCTTCCCACTCCTTAAGCGGACGAACACAACACAACACACCAATGCAGTGGCTAATGATTGTTTGAACTCTGAACGAACACTTCAATGACGTGGAACCATAATCCAGGCGGAAAATTTTGATCTTCTCTCAATTCACGAGCGCTGAAATTCAAACGCAAGCGATTCGATCAGTACGAGGAGGCTGGCGAAGAAAGTATTAAAGCACTACTCAATTTGAAATGCGTTTGCGAAATGCAAAGCTTTATATGAATTTAAAAAAAATATGATCAGACGTATTGTTTGGGTTTGAGATATCACTGTATCAGTTCCGCCTCACTTATTAAACACGCGCCCACGTGCGCAGACGTTAACATTTGGAGGGAGTGATGTAACTACTTGAAGTTACTTCAACTAAGTTTTGTATTCGATATGCTTATATGGTGACTTTTCGGCGAAAAGATTTGAAAAATTTCTCCAAACAGCACCCGGTATCCTTTAATTATATTGACTGATCATAACATAAGATATGCATCTTGTTGCCAAAGCGTTTCATTGTATTTTTATCGTGGCATCAAAAGAGGAAACTTCATGTAACGATCTCACATAGAATTTGATTGGCGGAAAGACGCATTATTGCCGAGCCAATCAAACCTCGTGTGACATCTCGTATTACTCGTGTCAAGGCTATTCTCCATTACCGTCCGGGCTTTAAAATTCTGCCGATGCGACCGTGACCGGCCTTAAAAACAAAGCGCGCTTCCCCCGCGCGGGCGTAATGGAGAATCGGACGTAATGGAGAATCGCCTTTATCCGTTACGAAAAAAACATCGCTCAACATCAAAGTATCCCCATTGACTCTAGGAGTTTCGATAAACGCAATCGCTAATAGAAATTCTGCTATGTTTGAGTAGATCCCATGACCAGCATTAACCCCCAGGTATTAGGGTAAGTCAGCGCTCTACCCATTCAGTACGCGTGGGTCTGAAATAGGTTTCAAGCATACTACAGAAGTCCCATTCTTATTATCGCATTATAGCCGTCCAACCAAGCCAAGCGCTTGAATATAATAGCGAGCTTAGCCGGGTTTTGTCAAATCAACGACGAAGACGTGCAGAAAAAACATCGCTAACCAAACAGCTCCTCTACCAGGGAAAAAAATTGGCTTAAACAAAGCAAACAAAATCACTAAGATACATATCTGAAAGAAACAATTGAATACCTAAGCTGCGTTTATCGCTAGCGATTTCCGTGTCGTAGGTTTGATGCATCTTAAGAGCTTGTTTTCTAAACCTTCGACGAAATCATAGATCGATATAGTCCTTCCTTAGGCTTCCTATGATTAGTTTCTGTTCACAACAGCAAGTAAAGATACTTCGCACAAACCTCCAAGCATAGGCGTACGGGGGGGTGGGGCTGGGGGGGCTGCAGCCCCCCCAATTTTTGGGGGAATTAATTTATTCGGGCAAAAAGAGTCTTGTCATTCGGGCAAAGACGTTACGATGGTCTGGTGATTAGACAGGGAATCTATTCACCATAAAGCTAAACTGAAGCTGTTGTGTATATTAGCATAGATTGCATAACTGGTTCAAGCATGTTGCGTCAAATTAACCTTTATTAAAAGTTAAGTGCTATAAATTAATCGGATTTGGTTATGATTTTTATGCACCTACCAAAAACGTAATCACGTAAATTCCCACAGAAACGGCCAGAACGAAGTGACAATATTACAATAGGTTTGGCTACAGTAGTTTACCCAGCGTAATTTAGGCACTATAGGCTATACAACCATTAAACTTATAAAAGTATGTATCTAGTATACACAGTGAGCTAGTGTAGCTGTATACGCATATTGCGAAGATGTGGTATGACTGGTATCATGTATAGGTGTGCCGTGTGCGTAGTAACAATCCGATCAGTAATTTTATAGCACACAGTTTAGACTAGTGTAACGGATATCGGATAATGGATTAAATGTAAGTAAATATATGCTAATACTAATAGAATAGGAAAAGTAAGCTGCCGCGGATGCACCATTGCAAGTGCGTCCGAGATTAATATATAAATATAGCAGTTGATAATAAATATACTGAGCATTCTAGATGATAAAAGAAGCGTACACGCCCTATGGAGCGAGAGTATAAATACCAAATGTGAAATATTGTATAATAGAGTTGGATCTAAACCACATGTGTGTGTGAAGTAAACTCAGCTCGTTAGACTAGTCTTTCCTCAGGCCTTTATATTTTTTCTCTCGCTTCGTCACTATATAAATAATCGCCTGGAATATTACAAAACGCAATAGCCAAGCTCTAATAAAGCGTATGGCGGAATTTCATATATCAAATAAAATGTTATTATGTTAGTCACTTTTTCTTTCGTTGTAAATCGTAATGAATATAGTTTAGTTTAGAATTTAAATGGCTAGGGATGATATTTCTTTTTATATTACATCTGTCAATCTTCAAAGGAAACCTTTTCATTTGTAGTCTTCTCAGATTATATAATTTTATGATGACGTCACAAAATCTATGACGTCATGTCATTCGGGCAAATTTAGCGCAGCCCCCCTAAAAAAAGTATGCCCGTACGCCTATGCCTCCAAGTGCCCTGAAGTCAGTGTAATGTCCATATAAAACGTCACAAAGCGTCGTACAGTATGTACATCGACCAGAACCAAAGCTTCGGTGAACTTGCTTCGCATCCAATTTTCAAGCCAAAAAACACAATGCAACTATTTTTAGATTTGATCGGATAAACTTTGCCAAACTTGGACGAAAGTAGCTTAACATATTTTTGAAAGACGGTTCTGTCCGTCCAGACAAGATGATTGATAAATAAATTTCGCAATGAAAATATTCTTCAAATGAAAAAAAAATTGTCCGATAAATTGGAGCAGAACGCCTACACAAACGTCATGGAAAATGCCTTTGCTTTGTTTAAATTGTTTAAATGGAATAGTTCTTACCACAGGAACGATTTAATTTAAATGCGGTCTGCCTTATAAAACCTCACTTGCAGTGTATATGCATGAGGTGTTAAAATTTCCTGTAAGCGTTTTCCTAAAGCTGTAGTCGGTGGCAGCGTTCAAGGATTTTATGGAATTCTTGATATTGAAATGTCGCCCGCAAATACCACAATAACATATACGCGAGGCGATCACTCAACGTAAATGACGTAAAAGTTGGCGAGGTTTTTGTATGTAAACTTTATATATAGTTAGCTTAAGATCACTCGGTCTTGAAGACGCTTTGATGTAGGCTCTTTTATCTGCTTGAAATGACATAAATCACGCTGGGAACCTCATGCTGGTTCTCTAATGAAAGCGCTATTTTTGAAAAACCATACGATGCAACTTGCGTTCATGATCTTAAAGACTTAAAAGCCAGCACACGAAGTACGTCATGTTCTCATGCAGTTACAGACCACAAGCTGTTGTTATAATGCTAGAATATGATCTCTGCACGATGGTCACCTTGGTTTGTAATACTAATATATCATGACGGAAAGGTATGAACTCATGTAAAGAGGTGGGTGCCACCTTAAACATGACGCCATCGTAGGTGAAAGAGAGAGAGAGGGGTTGCCGTTGCCTGTGCATGACAGTAATTCCCTAACAATTTATTGAGCATTTTTCGACAAATCTTTTCCTTGATCGTGGGGTTTGTGGTTTGCCGATGATCGAGATTGTAGATTTTGCACGGCGTTTTATGCCGGGATTTGTTCCCACATATGTTGAAATATAATATGCCTTTTTTGTGTACAAGGGAAGTACATTATGTCATTCCTAGACCAATGTAATTGGACTTATCGGCTATCTACAACCACGATTAATATAACGCGATGTCATGCCACATGCCTTTTTAGCAGTTGACAGTATGTCAGCCTGTAATTTTAATAATAAACCTATATTCGTTGCATTTACGTCTACAAAGCACTCGTTTATACTGGATATTATTAACATGCAGTTGCTCTTTCTAAAACTAAACTTTCCTATCTCTCGACATCATGATCACCATTTCTTCTTAATGAAAACGGCGGGGATAGGCAAAGCATATAGCTATATAATTACCCTTCAGTATAATCAAAGCATATTCCACCTTTTTGCAAATGAATCGAGGTTCCATTTGAGCATCAACCGCCGGAATATTGCGAATAATTCAACGAACCTTAATCGGTAATAATGGAGGGGAGGGCATTTTGCTCTATCGACCCTAAACGAACACCTAGTATTGTGCTAATTCTGCTCATAAACAGACGCTAATGTATAATAGTTACTTAAAGTCAACATCGCCTGTATAAATATCCACGAATATCTCTGCGACAATAGCATTCTATATGCGCATTCATTGTACGAACAATCCTATCGGGGTTTCTTGAAACTTAGAAACGCCAACGTACTAACAAAATACACATTTTCAGAACTTAGAAAATTCTGAAAACTGCCACAGACAATAAGGAGACCTTAATTACTAACATCCGGACAATTTCTTTGATCGGTTTCATACAAACTACGGGCGTTAGAAATCGCGTCGAATCGTCGGCGCAAGTAGCGATAACTAACCTTCCTCTATTCTACCAAACTTCGTCAACCTTTTCAAGACAGCTTCGTTGCATTCTAACCATTTGTCGTGGCAATGCACCAAACGTAATAAATCATTGGGTTTTGTATCCAATATTAATTCTGCACATGTCCATCACTTTTTTGACCACTTAGTCGCTCGTCAATCTTTTCTAATGCTGCGCATAATCCAATAAGCCTCGAATTGTTTTGTTATTACTTAGCATAAGACGTAAGAATGTTTGAACAAATATACTCCGTTGTTTGCTAACTGCATCCGTGGTACCAGTTTTATTCAATTCTCTTTTTTTATTGCGTTTTGAGATATTAACATGAGCGTCATATGTTAACACAATGGCTCGCGTTCAGTTTCGTATCCAGCCGTCCATAAGCGATTGCTTCAGTTACTATACATAGATCAGTAGCTCAGTAGCTCGAGCTTGCAAAACAGCAAAAGGTATCTATTTTCAAATTTCAAAAAAGCCACATATTTATCGCATGCCTAGAGGAGAATGATATGACTTCTTATATTCCTCTGGCGACATTGCGGTGTGATTTAACAATTGAAGCGCCCTGTGAGTTTAAAAAAGTAAATCGCGCTTAAGTTGCACATAGAGGTCATCAGTGAAGCTGAGGAAATCCCGCGCGCAGTGCTGCTTGGGAAGGAAGCGCCGCGGAGGTCAAATAGGTCGCGGCCTCTTAATTATCGTACAATTTGTAGTCAAAGCATTCATAAATGCACGTCGTCTGGCCTCGAGCCTTGTTCGCGCATTAAGGAGGCCTGGACGCTGGCTTGATCAAATGATCATTCTGGATCATCATATTTCTTGACGATTTCGCAATGAATTTTTCATCGAGTTCTCGTCAGTTTATCTTACAGCTACGTAAAACCATTATCGTTCGCATGCAAGATTGATTATGATTTTGCGAGACGTGCTCTTCGTCGCCAAGGCGACAGCCGTCGATTTCAGAAACGCGCAAATTCAGCGTTGCATATTCAAGAACGCGTGATAAAGTAATACAGAAACGTCAAAGCAATTTCTTTTGCATTTCTATCGTTTGCAAATACGATAATGCATTGCAAGTTCTCGACTCGCTTTTACTCACTGCTTGATAAAGCAGCATCGCGCCAGGGAGGTCGCCTGAGCCATGCAGTATCTGCCCATCTTGTTTTTAATCATGATTCTCCTGCGACTTTGGATATTGCATGTTCTTGTTATTGTCAATCAATGAACTTGTGGAAGTTTCCTAGTCAACAGCTGTCGTGAATTAAGTACACGTCAAGCATTATTATTAAATCTATCCTAATTTAAACTTTCCATTATTCAAAACAACAGCAAACACGCTGTAACAATTGTATCCGCAAATGCGGGCATTGTTTTCTTCAGTATATTTCGAAAGGCACGAACTCAAACGTTCCTTCGAAGTCTGTGTGACCTTGTCGCGTTCATGAAATTACGTTATCAGAAGATTAAACAACTAATGATTTCATTAGGAAAGAATAATAATATAGCATTTTCCGATATCTGTGCAAGTTATCATTATGAAAATGCTGTAATTATGCGCATGTGGGGTTTTGCTTGCGCGTGAAGAATTGACAGGTATACACGCGCGACCAACTGACAAGCGAAATGAGGTAGAATTGTCCCGAAAATTATCTATTTTTCTGGGCAGTTTATTGAAAATTTGACAATAGAATTTTGCAAATTTACATTCGAATTAGATTTAATGCGATTTGCGTATGTAATCTTATTTTAATCTTGCCTAAATGAGCGCTGCGTGTTCTTAATATTTATAATTAAAACCGTTACAAGCTCCACGCCGCATGCGCATTGACCGTGGAGTACACGAGTACACGACGAAAATTGCATGCAATTGCTGTAAACAAAGATTTAGTTATCAAGCAACGATTATGTTTCCCCTCGTAAATTTCTTTGTGGAAATCACGATTGTCCGGAGCAGTGAATGCGTGCATTATAGCATTATAGATCAATCTTTTATAAGATACCGAGTTATCGAAGCACACTAGATAATCCACATAATTCTCTCTAAAATAACATATATTCGTTGTTTCAAGATAGAATAAGAGGATTGTCCTGCGTAAAAATGTATAATCTATAGCATGGATTTTCCTGTGAAAGTATTTTAGAAATTTCACTTTATAAGCACTTTCGCAAGGGTTCATCATTGGCTTCAACACCGTTGAATGAACCATGATTTAAGTGTGATCTTACAGTGGGCAATACAAGTGTTGATTTTTTACTCACCAACTCTAAAGTAAGGCCATATATATCTCCAGGCAATTTTTACTAAATTACGACTACGAAAATTCACATTCCGCGTACCCAAGCCAAGGAACTCTTCAATTCAACTATAAAAATATACATATAGAAATGTCTTACAAGTTATAAGTCATCAATAAATTCACTGTATGTGCGATATATATCGTACTATATCGTACTACTATATACTTCACTTACAAGACACAAACATATCGCTGCATGCAGACGCTGCTTGTGTTTATACCCGTGATCTATGACGACAAAGGCTTGTTGTGGTTGTTGATCGCTGTTCGCCCGAGACCACTTCGCGGTAAAAACATGCAGGTAGGCTATATAATGTAAAAAAGCTGCTACTGTTGCCAGGTTTTAAAAATAAATACGCGCGGCTAAGCTGGTGGACTTATTGATTGATAGGAATGTCATTTTTTTAAGATTATATTGGTCGTGAAAAGGAAACGATTTTTCTTATTAATTGCTCAGCCACGTAGCACCAGAATCTCTAGAATTAACTTGGATTGAATTCAGTATCAAGTCCATTATATATTGTATACAGTAATTTATCGCGTATAAATACATTTAGATATATATTCCCACCATGAACAAACAACTCTCGGTCTCAATTTCACCCCGCTTATTTGAAGTAATGAATCATGCATGTACAGTTTTCTCTATCTTGTTTCTACCCGTCCAAACCGACATAATTTATTATAGTTATTATAAAAATGAGTAATTATACATTTATCTCAGAATATCTATTCCTGAAATTGGTCGAAAATGAGGGGAGGAGTTCCTATAATAAAGTAATGTCGGAAAACATTAAAGTATACATCCAGCGTTTACCTGAAAGCGAAATCAGATTTTATCATCCAAGACACATGTATATATCTCTATCCAATTGACCTGTTTTTCTATTGTATATCACTGTTAGTCTCAAGGTATGCGCTTCTCTTGCTCTACTATACCGACTCTAGTCAATACTATAGCAGCTTTTGCTAACAAATGAACACGCACGCACGCGTCTCGGCATGTCACATCAAAATCAACGCCTAACAACTTTTCAAGATGCATAAATCATTCGAAGTGTGTTCGACAAGAAGTAGACGTCAGAAAACAGATGTTCCATGTTTACTGTCATGTTACGTTTCATGATAGATGTGTATTAAGGTGTCGCTTGTTGTTTTGCTCTGCACTTTAATCCTATATGCGCGTATATTTCTACACGAGCTGGTGCAAAATCTCTTTCGCGTAGAAACTAAGCAGCTTTTGCGTGGATTACCTCGCGCTGGAGTATATTAGGAAATAAGGAATGGAAATAAACCGTGATTTTGGTCACACGGTGAAATCAAAAACAACGATCATCCTTACTGCATGTTTTTGTTTTCAAATTTTCAATACTATTCCACGATACTTCTTTTGTATCTCTATATCCCATCTTATTTTCTCTATATTTTCGTTTCTTAACCTTGCAACATCAATTATTCTATCCAGAGCTCAATAATTATATGAAGTGTATCCTAAACATTACTACCGGCCATGCAGCAGATTATATACTTTGTTTACTCTGTGTAACAACAACATTTTCGCGCGAATTTTCGCTATATGCTCCGAGTACGAGATTGATCCGAAGAACCTCACGTGATAAACCCCGCAAGAACGAGGTTTTGATGAACTTAGTTCAATGCTCAATCTCTGGACAGGGGTTGTAAATGCTGGTATAGACTATAGTCAATGAAGCGCTTTCTTTAATACCAAATAGTACTCAATGCAATAAGACGGGACCTGCATGTCTGAATCATTAGTGTTTATATAATCACGGGTTTAACTTTGTATAGAAGTGCCAAATAATTTTTCTTTCTCAATTGAGACTTGATACTATTGGAATGTGTTTTGATCGAGTACGGTTGTATAAAGACAATTGGATTGTCTATATTAGATATGATATACTATAAATGCACTGTATACAATATAACTATTTATCTCCAAGAAACCGATTGGTTCAGTAAGCGTTAACTTACACTGACAGTGACACTGCACTTGTTTGGCTGTTTTGCACGAGCTTTTATATATAGGAAATACGAGTCATCAAAGATTCTTTAAAGAACCTGCATGTTTATCTTTCTAAATGTGTGCATTGTGGACAAGTCTGATTATACATGCACGTATCATGCAGGCTTACCGCGCAACTGTTGTACAAGCGATTAAGACTGGGTGATATAATTGTTGGTTTCCTCAAGTTGAACATTTCAACCTTGAAGTGATGTATATACATACAGTAATTGAATTGTGCGGTCAGACATGTCACTAAAGGACATTCTAACGAGCTCAAAGATAAAAGTTCTACTGCATGCATATGCAGCATCGCAGGGAACCCCATCGACTCACCTTTCTCATGAATATATATTTTGTATTTGGTTTTCGCGCGCCAACAACGTTATGCAATTCCATAAATAATACTTATTAAAGAAACCCCAATTTGTTTTTCACTTCCCAGACAAAATATGAAACCTTTTTTGATTTATTATTCATATTGACTGTATTATAAAACTAAGCGGTGAAGAAGGTAGACGACAGGCTTGAATTCATGCGGTGTTAATCTTGTTAAAGTAATCACACATTATTAGATTTTAGATATACACAAACGCGTAGGTCAGGTTCTGCATATGTATGAATATATTTCCTTTCTGTATTCCGTAATCGTATTTAATTTTGCAATCTCTTATCTTTTTAATCGCTTAACAATGCAAAATGTGCTTTGGGTTAGTCTATTTATAAATATATATGAAAACTACTTCGATGTAATTTACAGAGCCTTTGTCGAGAGAATTTACTCTTCTGTGCATGACATGCCATCACATCGCACGTTTTAATTTGATGCAGTACAAACGGAATGCACGTAGCTCCTAAAGTAAATATATTTAGGACGAGTACCCTTGACTTTTGATAATATTCCTGTGCTAAAATTGAATACTTGCTATTTAATCGGCCAAGGTTCGAAAACCTATATAGCAGATACATGTCAATCATCGCTTCGCCGAGTGTTGAATATTTTTAAAGCCCATCGCCGGATTGTATAAACGTATCGCTTTTATAGTTTTGTCTCAAACATGCCAGGCTGCATGCACGTTCCGTCTGCGAGAATATTATCTGCGCTTCATATAGATTTCAATCACTGTTTTACACAAGAGAGGTTCCATCGTGTACTGATATACTACTTTTAGTTTTGGATCAAACGTGCGAATCTGTCAGTTTGCATGCATGCGAACCTGTTATCTTCGATGTCTAAAAACAGCATCCATCCATGCACTTATCGATTTCAATCGTCACAGGGCTGTCATAAACGTACGTATATAGCTACGTACCATCTGTATACATGAAATGTATATATATATGCATCCAATTTTTTATACAAAACTTTTTGCCATCAAAACTGGAAAAAATATGTATGTTTTATGCGCTGCATTGTCGCTTTCATATACAATATACCATTGCAAGTATATACCTTCTTCAGTTGCTATAGCAAACTGAAGTTTTTGTAACTCGATTATAAGCTATTCGTAAATACAATTACTGCATATTGTGTTTCACTTCAGACTGCATGTCCATGCATGTATGATGGCTGTTACATCAATGCATGATCATACTGTAAGTCCAGCGCTTATATATAACAAGTGTAAACTATATATGCATGCATGAGTACCTGTATTTGTTACACCCGCAATAGCTCGATCATGCATATTTATTCGGGTAAATATCACAAAAAATTCTGATGTGTTATGGAGGAAAATGCGCCTGTATATGGGACATAATTTAGCGGATTTCAAGTTTTTTGCAAATGGTCGGCGACGATTTTTTTGTAAAATGTAATCTATATAGTCACACACAATTTTTTTTCCTCCGAGATGTAAACTTTATATAAGGGCCTCCACAGACTAGGGATTTATATGTAGTTGTCGACAACGTTTGTGATCCGACAACTAACTGAAGTAATCGACAATTAAAAAACGTAGTCTGTTGCGCAAGTTGTCGACAACTGAGCAGTTTCTTTTTTCGAAAAGTTGTAAGAAAGTAATAGTTATCGACGGCCTCATTTTTTGGCGTTTTTCTGGTGTGTGAAAACTTTTGTTTTAGTTATCGAATACTCCGTTTAATCTCCGCGCAATTTCAGTTGCTAAATCAGTATTTGAGCGATCCCAGTGAGCGACGCACTAGGATCCCAGTGTGTGGAATCCTTTATCGGGCTTATTTAGTTGTCGATCACAAATAGTTGTCGCCGGACAACTAAATCCCTAGTCTGTGGAGGCCCTAAGTTCCTTTATAAGCTTTATACTTTAAGTTCCGTTACTATATAACTTTCCATGCAGACAAAGGCCCTCAGATCGAAACGTCGATTTGTGTTTCGTCTATTTTAGGATGCGCAGTTGTTATACCATATTTGATGCTTTATATAACCGTTTATATAAATATGAACTTTCTATGAACTTCTTATACTCCCGAACTAAATTCAACTCTTTTAGTGTTTTATCAGCTAAAATATACACATTTTTTAGATCTAGATTTGAAACTATATATATTTCCAGTTACCTCAATCACTCGAATCCAGCATATATACAGCTACTACCAAGAATACTTCCAGACTTCAGTGAATAGCGAGAACATTTATGGAACGGCAACTGCAAGTTATGACGTTTAGGTATAGCGACAAGATTCTGTATATCCAACTCGGAAGCTTACGGTGTTTTTGCCCAGCGATCACACACTGTGTTCTATATTGTTTTTATCAACTTTGATTAAATATATCGTCTTCTTCGCTGCAGCTTTCCAAGTCTCACGGCGGTCTAGCTTTAATTTGCATATACAGTGTGAACAAAATTACTTGCCAGTGCCAGTGGAATTTACCGGCTTGCGGTTAAATAATCTGGAAAGGACAGCAACTTAACAAGACAAATACACTTGAAATTCAGATTTCAGACCGCCGATATATACATATATAAGCTATATGCTGTTATCGTAAAAATTCGTCGCCGTTTTTGTCTGCGAAAATCGGTCCGAACCACGCACGAATATTATCAGTTCAAAGTTGATATTAATCTTTTTTCACCTCCCTGTGGTAATTTGTTCTTTTCTCTTTCCCGCCTCCCTTCTGCAGATGTTGTGTGGCTTATAGGATTGTTATAAAATGGTGTGCATTTATCTTCTCGTAATTTTTCGACTTCAATTATAGCGGTGTTTTTGACGCTCGCCCGCCGGGCGGGTACATGGCTTAGTTCTTCAACCCTCTAATTGGATAAGCTAAGGATTAAGTTGATAAATTTATTTTCAAATTCACAAATGTATTTTAAAACTATATATTCTGCCCACATTGTGGTTTGCAAATTGTTAGAATATAACAAATAACTGCTTTCATGCATCATGCTTGCATTCATTGTGCCAAAAATCACGTCTTTGATAAAGTTTCGCTGTGAAATTGAATATGGTATTAAAAAAATATATGGCTTAATTGTTAAACATGTATTTCCTCTGTGTCAAAACAATAGCATAAACCTCGTAATTTATAGATGTTTTTTCTACGCTTCTTATCTCTTTCTTTTCGAGAAATCCCTATTGGTTGAGGATCGATTGAACAGGAAAAAAAGTGGAAGATATATATAAGTCTAGATGCCGCTAACAGATTATGATTTTTTTGGAGGCTATTCCATGCATATATGGAAGTCACGCACGCGCGTATGAAATTCATGAATTTTGTTGTTTAAAATGCCTCGAATATTATCTTTGCGGCATGAAAACAGGATTAGGAATGAATTAATATCTTTTTAATTTAGTTTTACTATCTTTGCTCTAGGATCCCGACCAGCGCACAGCATCGTTGTTAAGCATGTATAAAACATGCAGAAATTGCTAGGATACATATATATGCATCAGGGTTTAACCACAGTTTAAAAATATTTAGACCACAGCCATATATTAAAGCATTAAAACTTATAAAAAATAGTCATGAAATATTTCCAGACTTTTTCTTACGACAAGCGTTATATTTATGGGATACGTGTAAAGGCCATTTTGCCGGAGAGAGCAACTTTTTCAAAAAAGGCTGTATATATTCTTTCATGCAATTCTACTTTGCTGGTAAAGAATTTCATTACCCTTTCACAGGTTTTGTACTCTTCTTATGCCAACAAATAAAATCGTCTGCCGTTCGACGGAGTGAAAATTACAACCACTCAGCGAAATACTTGTCCACAGGCTTGTCTATAGTTATATAATATATCACTGCATGTTTTAACTTTGAATGCAGAGTAGAAACTTTAGAGCATTTTGCGCCTGACATGTCGGCTTTGAAATTTAATATCTTTGTTAATTATAAGAGTATAATGGTTTCGTGTCGCGTACTTTTGTTCTGTTAAATAACACCTGCATATAATGCGCTATTTTCGAGATGAGAGAAAATTGCTTAAATTTATATTTCATCCAAGAACAAGAAACTCGATATTTTCTGGTGTCGAAGAGGAACTAACCGAGTACTGATTGCATGCTTGCGTTACGAACCTTAATTCATTGGCAGGTTATAACATTTCCGAATCAAAAATTTGGTTATATTTCGAACAAATTTCACTATCTATATTCTATACCGCATCAAATCCTTGCCCTTTCTCCAAGGTCGATTAACGCTATTAAAATATTTCTGGTTGCATCGCGGTTTAAGCATGCAGCTGTTTTTAAACACCCCATTTTTTAAACAGACAAATAAAATATGATTTTTAGAAACAGAAAATAAGCTTACATTGATTGAAAAAAAATGAAGTATTGAGCTATAGGGTTTTGAAAAGGCATTTTGCATAAATCCGTTCAGAATTTTCTAAAATATATGAAGAAATATGCCAAATATATTGAAGGAAATTAAATGTGCATGCATGGATGGATGTATAATTTTTAAATATATATAAAAACCGTCTGGATTTTTAATAAACTAAATCAAACACTTATATTTGATGTTTATATATCCACGTGTTAAATGTAAATAGACTTAGGTAAATTTTCAAAACAGAGAGGTGTTTTGTAAGGAACAACCCGACTGCTAGAGAGACAAGGTTTTGAGACACGCTTTCATGCATTGATGATTCGAAAAGAATATAAAAATATGTGCGTCTTTCATTTTGAAGTGTGTATATATATAGTTGTTGAATGTTGTGTATAAGTACACGAATAAACATCCCATTTAGTTGAATATAAACGTCTGAGAAGATTAATTAAAAAAGCAAAAATTTCCTAAGTTTATAAGATAAAAGTCTTAAAACTAATGAAATATAATGAAATATCTTGGCAAAAATAACTTGGTATGTAGCGTGGGAGTGTTTCCTCACGAATCTCTGACCTTCTGTCCTATGACCTATTATACTTCAGCGTTAAGAAATTTATATATTTTAAAAAATAGCATTTATGATTTAAAAGGGACTGCATGTGTTTTCATCAACAGGAGACTTTTGAAAATTGGATTATCATGAGGAAAGAAGTTCAACTCAACATGCATGTATAGGATCGATCAATATTTCTTGCTTGATTAAATAAATCACAATGCATGCACGAGACTTATTGAATATTTACTTATTCAATGCATGCTTTTAGCCAGTTTTGGAAACCTCGGTATATAGAGTTGCCACATGTAGAATTATATTTTAAGGTCTGTTCACACGATCCAATTTTGTTGGATCCAATTCACTTCTGACGTATGAAATATAGTCGGTTTGTGATAAAGCTGTACTGCATTGGCTTCAGTGGATTTGCTGCTCGTATACATTACAAGACAACAGACTATAAAACATCCATCAGAAGTGAATTGGATCCAACAAAATTGGATCGTGTGTGAACAGACCTTCAACTCGCGGATTTTACCCGAAGTTATAACAAAATGGTATGCGTGTATGAATATGCTGTGGCATTGCATGGCCATCTCTTGTTATTTTAGAAAAAGAATATAAGTTTATAAACAGGAAGTTCAGAGCATGTAAAATTAATTATATCCACGGCATATTTTGTGAAGTTATTGCTTCTCATTTTTTTTTAATCTACATGGGAGGAGCTTACCCCGCAAAAAACTGAGGAAATCATATATTAATTTATCCATCCACTTAGTCTTGATATATGCTTTTAAATTTTTAGATATCAAATTTCATAACATCTCAAATTTATGTCGAGTGTATAGGTCACGTTTCTGCCCAGTAGGTTTAAACCAAAGCAAAACAATTAAAAAAAGTTTTTGTGGATTCGTTTGAATGCATAAAATTTTTTTAAGCGGTTCCTTTTTTGCCAGACATCCTGTGTTGTGGATTTCTATAGTTTACTCCCACAATTGGTTATCTCTGTGCAAAAACGAAGAACATAGGTCAAGTTGAATGCCATTATTCAAAAAGGCATTTTATAAAATTTGAATTTTGCAAGACATTTTCTATTTTATACTGACTATAATAAATACATGCAGCAGTTGAAATAGTATGTTGAACGACGGGATGTATATCTTCAAGAAACAGAGCATAATTTATTTATGCATGCATTTCAAACACAACTATGATAAACACTATAAGGTAATCTTAAATTACAAGAATTGCAATGTTCCGTTATAAGAGACCCACTTCTGTCCTGAAACTACAGGCACAGCTCTACACACTGATCTGATACCTCGATGAATAAAGAAGCAATATACCTATGGAGAACAAGGCCAGAATTTATGATAGGAATTAATGCCATCACGCAAAAGAATCGTCTTTCAGAGTACATGCTATAGAGTGCTATACAGTGTATTATAATAGATCAGTGGGTTTAGGCCTATAGACAGGAGTTTTTACCCTGTCATAAAGCCCTGGTATGTCTTTGTTAGGCGACCTATTGTGCTTGTCCAGACTTCCTGGCTCGGGCAGGTCAGACCAAAGTGCGTTTAGACCAAGAAAACCTATCGACCTAGGCCAGGCTCGTAGTAAGGTATAGAACAGGGAACATAGACCAATTAATACAGGTAAAAAATATGTGCCAATATCACTTTCGTATGTTAAATATCAACCACTCTGCATGCATGACGTCTGCCAATTTGTAATACTTTCTATTTCCGCCTTTGCTGATATGAGATTTCATGCAATAAATGACGACTTTTTAATTGCCATGCACGTCAGTGTTTAAATTATCCGTGTATCGGATTTGGAAATAAAAACTTCGAGTTGTGCAGGTTTATACTTGAAACTGAACGTTTTTGAACGTCGGCATCACGAAAAGACATTCCATTCCTGATTTGAATAACTTTTTAGTTCAATAACATCTGTAACACAGTGACAATAAAGACAAATACTAGCGAACAACTGTTATTCTCACAAACCTCAAACTACGTAAAATGTTGCAGATCTTAGATGTCACAAGAAATTCGTCTTCAGAGCTGTTCCTTGTTGGATTCTCTTGTCTTGAATTTGATCCTATCTTTGTAAATACAAGAGACTTTATGACAAGCGAAAAACACACAAACCAATAGTGTCCTGGAGTCCTGTTATGCATGGCGGTTATGGCAACGTTTCTCATGTTAAGCATTATGACATGGGAAGCCACATTCCCGCTGTGTTTTGAAATGAATGTATCTTGTTTATAAACCGCGTGGTATACAAACCCTCAGCGGTCGTCGAGGTTTAGACCTTTCTTACCCTAAAGTGAACTCTCTTGCAATCTTCATAGAGTTTTCACTCATTTGTTTCCAAGCCCATCAGCTCGTGAACAGAACAGAACTGACTCGGCCTCACCTGGCCGAGATCTTACCTTTTCTCTCGTTAGGCATGAGCTTACCTATAGAGCTGGGTTTACAAGAAATAGAGGAAGTCTCCATAAGGAGAAGAATTATAACGGGAAAATATGGCATAGTTCCATACTAAAATCATTTTATTTTTCCAATATGTTAATAATAGAAATAAATATTTGAGCTAATTTAAATATCTTTAAATCTTTATATACCCACACAATTATAGAAATTTGGATGTTGAGGTTTTAATTTTTTATAAGCGTATTTTTTGCAATTGGCATGATGTATGCTCCATATATGATAAGTAAGACGCAAGAGATTTGGATCTTGAAAGAATACGTAATGCATTCAGGTGGGAGGCCACTTTTTAACTTAGTGATTGATGCCCTTTTTTGAAGATATCAGAGGTTCCACTTCGAAACGTCATCCATAGTGAGCACAACTTGCAACGATTCTTTTAGGCGAGGAACCTTGAATAATGTGATAAGTTGTAAACTGCATGAGAACATATAGCGGATAACAGGTTGTAGCATCAGCATTGAGTAGGTCGTTAAGGAAATGTTATAACGGTTTAGTTCACTCTGAAGTTGCTTTCTTCCGGTGTGCCACGGTGTTATTTTGTTGTGTCATCTAAGTCCAAAATCGTGGCTGATCAACACAGCCCAATATGGTCCGCTTCGCATTATCAGGTTCAAATCCGACTTTCAGGACCATGGGATTGCTTTAAGTCTATCAGACAAAAGCTATACCTGTGTTAGGTTAGGAAGAGATAGCGGCAATGGTAATGCGTGGAACCTGTAGTTCATGTATCCGTCGTAGTCAAATCTTACCTTCTCTGCCATTTCTCATACCGCTGAAACGTAAACGACGACTTCATCCTTATCAGGCTCAAACGAAGCTAATATTTCCTTCGGCCAATGCCTGGAGGTGCACCTTTGGGAACACACTGAATCAGATCGTTCAAACTTCGGTTTGTGTGTCTCCCTCTGGTCATTGTCAATCGTTAACATTTGTCTATCGCCAATACTATTTTCCTCTCGCACGGATAGGCAGTCATTTCGTGAAAACATCCTCTCTGGATCAGATTTAGCTAATCCGGGTATCTTCATGAGAAAGCTACAAGGCTGTAAGCACCAGCCGAATAGATCCTTAAATCCAGTTCGAAATTGTTCGTTGCATATGCTATAGATTAACGGATTAGTAAAGCTGTTCCCATAGAGCATGATAATCGCAAGGCCTTGGATGTAGGGATAATAGACGACTAGATCGATGAAAGATGAAAGAGAAATTATTTCTGATAGTTTGGTAAAGGTATAGTTGAACTGAGTAGGACTAACCTTTACTTCCATTAAAGAAATCAATCCAAATCCAAACAATATGAATGGGCAGGTCAAGTACGGCGAATACAGCCACCACAATTGACAGCATTTTAACAACCTTCTTTGTATCTCGTCTGTACTCAGGATCCATCGTAGTCCCACACTCTCGACATTGCTGATTACTTAACTCGGCTCCAATTCTGAACAAATATTAAAAGCACGCAAGAGAAACATGATATACTGGACCGATAGGAGATGCCTTTGAGTAAAAGGTTGTTTAGACTGGATCAGGCGCATTCGATGAATAAATGAGGAATGAGGATGCGTAATCCAGTTTTAGTATAATTATATATATATATATATATATATAATTATATATATATATATATATATATATATATATATATATATCAGTGGATTTTACCTGTTGTATGCATAGGTCATCCCAATCATTGGTATGACATATTGCAAGGCGAACATAGTCAACGTATAAGCTTCCGTCGACATTCCAATATCGGTAAAATCTTCAATACAATCCTGTTTGTTCGGGTCGTACTTGCAGGCTAGCGCATAGGGTGTGATACCCGCAAGCGATATAACCCAAATCAATACCAACACAATTCTTGCATGAAATAACTTCATTTGCTGATGAAATGGATACACTATGGCGTGATATCTAAATTCATAAAGAAGATGGTATATACAGGATGTCCCCAAAAAACCCCGGCCAAAACTATTGAAATCACCTATTGTTGATATTTGAATGGCTTGTTCGTGAATTTTTGCTCGTGAGGATTAAGGGGCTGTTTACATGATCCCGGTTACCCGAGATTCAACGAAGCGTGAGAGGCCTTTGAGGTATTGAAATAAGTCTTTATGACACCAAACAAGCACATGCTGTTGTTGTGGTGATTATACGACTGGCAGGATCATGTTATCTGCTCATTTCGATACCTCATCCCACGCTTCGTTGAATCTCGAGTGACCCTAACGCAACTTTTAAAATGCTAAATATTGTCATCATATCTGTAAATTGCAATTATTCGTAATCAAAAATCATTTGTGGGTAGCCAACAAATTTTACTGCATGTCATCATGCATAAAAATGCTCATGTCAAACATTTATTCACCTGTGGGTCCCAACAGAGTGCTCAGGCATTCAAACTCTAACGATTACATTGTTATGGGTGATTTCAATAGTTTTGGAGGGCACCCGTTATGATATGCTGCTTCATGGGGTTGTTTAAAAGTACCATAGTTTTAATTTAAATTTGTGTCAGACCAAAGTTGATCGCGATTATAAAGCACAATGACTTTCGTACCTGCTTAAACTGATTGCTACCAACGTTAGGATCGATGCGATAGTTCCCATTGTTTGCAGCGGTTTTAGTATTTTGCACGTGTCCTTACCGAAAACCCATCTCTTCACGAACCGAGTTGTCAGATCTACGGGAATGTTGCTAATTAGAACAGTTAGATCGCTAATTGCCAGGTTTAGAATAAAATAATTGGTTACAGTTCGCATCTTTTGTTTTCTCGCAACAACGAGTACCACTAACACATTACCAATTGTACCAAGAACTAGAATAATGATTTCAGCAACGCTTTGGAATATCAAGAAACCCTCAATCATTTCCACCCTTTCGTCATCAACTAATTTTGTCGTGAAACCTGGAAAGAAATGAATAAATACGTTGTGGCTCTGATAGTTTTATGGATCATTGCATGGAATTAATATTCTTCTCTATCATAATTTAAAACTGATTAACTTAACTCACCACCCTCCCGCCTTAGAGATCCAATACTATTTCTTATTGGATTCATACTCCCTTAACCTAAACTAACTAACTCTATTGGGACTATCATTTCTCTAACTATAACATTTCTGAACTAAACCGCTCTTTCCTGAGGTCCAACTAAGGATAATCTCTTATTGATTCAATATCACTACAGGAGGAAACATGCATACACGAAACAAAAAATCATTTATATAATACACTCTTTCAATTCTAATTCTGTTCCCCCGAGATTACCCAGACACTGTATTACAAGAGGACCATGCACAGGGTATAGCCCGTCGTGCTTCAGTAGGGAAGAGGTTTTAATCGTTAAAATCATGTTCCCAATGTCATGCAAAGATGGATTATGGCACATGTTTCAAAAACTTCTCGTATAATGTTCGCTTAATCAGCCATTCTTACTTCCAACTTTCCTAATAAAAGTTCATAAATTTTATACTATAGAAAGGGAACTCGACAAGCTCAAGACATTGCATGTGATTGATAAAATTCGAAGTACTATACCGAAGCGACCACGCAGCAAACAGAACGAAAGTTGCAATCCCTGGTATCAGTATCGATGTCCAAGGTAGGAAAGTTCACCAGCTCTTGCGTGTATATTTACTTTATAAAGCTGCCTAGCTAGATCCTTCTAATCTGGTTTGTTGACAAACGACTAGATCCTTCTAATCTAGTTTGCTTACGAACAACTGCACGCGTGCAACTGCGTGCGTGGTATTTTTTACTCTTAGATCTTGTCTCTTACTTCCTCATAACAGTAGGCTTTTCTTTAACCTCGCAGCTCATTTTATTGCACACGAATAAACAAAAGAGAAAATAATAAAAAAACGCCCTCCATAATTGATAAATCAGATAGATTTTCGGTATCTTAAAAGAGCATGCCGTGCAAGCACCTGTCTACGGTTACGCATTTTTGTCAGAAATGTTATCTAGTTCCTTTCCGATAAATTCATTATTTTAATCAAGGAATCGTTCAACCATCGCACGCAAATGTTATCGCATGCAGGAACTTTCTAAATGACATGTGTTATCATCACCATATAGTTGCACAACAATAGACTTTAGACTTATAGTCCAGCACTGATCAACTGTAGACGCATAATGCATACAAACTATGTAACCACAGGAATATTCATATATGGACAACGTATTTGATCATCCCGGTCGGTATGCCTTGATTATCATTGCAGGACGAAGCTTTCGATCGGGATTATAAATTAGGATTAGTCACAGTCACCTTTTAAACCTTCATTGCAAAGTTAATCTAGTATATACTGCAATGGATTATATCTAGTGTATACAGTGCATACATGGACATCTTATATATGAAAGACCCTCATATTAGCTGTTTCGTCATCTTCAAAATGCATGCGCAGAAGACTTTACAAAGCCGGCTGCTGTTATAGAATACGCGTGCATAAAGATTTAGGAAGAAAATCATTGATTCATATCTGCATAGAATTTAATCTACTTCCAAGTAGTTCAGAAAAAGTGAACTTGCCTAAAGGCATTAGGGAGCTTTAGCAGCGACAACAAGTGCCACCACGACCAACTACGAGTACGAGATTCGTCATTCCTGCTCGTTGTTTGCTTACGCCATCAGCCAAAACTCGTAGTCGTTGGGCTTTCGAGTACGAAATTTACCAACAAACTCGTGCTCAAAAGCTCGACGACTACGAGTTTTGGCTGATGGTGTAAGCAAACAACGCGTGAGAATGACGAATCTCGTACTCATAGTTGCTGCATGTTATAACTCCCTATTGTCAAGAAAGGCAACAATGCCAGGAACAGGGCGGGGGGAGGTAGAAAGAGTAGTACATCATCGCATTAGCAAAACTAATTTAACTCATTCCCTTGGACAACTTCAGCAATTGCACGACGTAACTATACCTATACTCAAGTCACCCCCCCCCTGCTCTTGCCTTAACATATCTGATCACGTCCATAACTTATAATTCGTGCATGGGACACACGATATTTGCTTTATAGACGAGGAGTGATAATAACGCACATATATAATGCATGACAGCACCGCAGAAATTGGTTTTTATGAAGTTTCAACCCGAAAATCTAATCAATGATTCACAATTGTGCATTTCTGTGTCGCTATCATAAAGTAAAAAAGTAAACGGAAAAGTTAAATTTTTCTTCAGAGTACCTATTCTGCAATCTTTTGACAGCTCATCATACACATGCATCTGACAGCTGTGAAATGGCCGTTTTAAGGCCTAAAGTATACACATGCATGTTATGCAAGGTTACTATTTCAAACGATTCGTTTTTAATTGCGAAAGCCCTACCAATTACCGCGGTGTCGTGCATAACCATGTTCAAACAATGCTTTGCCTATAAGAATACTTCATAGTCTCCATGCTGATATGTAAAACCTAGCGATTATAAATGTATATGCCTCTAGGCTATATATGCCTTGCCCTTTTGGAGAAGGCCATCTAGAACTGGTCTAGGACTGAATTGTCATGCTCTGTGTTGTCCATATATAATAATGTTAATAATACGTAGATGTTATATAATTATTGGGTCTTATATTACCTTGAGTAGTTTTTGAATATAAATATAATATTTATCCTGTGTCCACATAGACATACAAAAATATATCAACTTAACAAGCTTATGTCATTATTATAAAATTAAATTCACAATTGAACCTATCAGAATGCATAAGGCTGGTTAACTATAGTTTAATTATATATAATCCATGTAATGAATACGGCATTGGGCATTTGACATTCGATATAGCCTATTCTGTACAGAACTACTGAATTCAAAAATTTATAATCCGCATTTCAGTATAAAAAGTATATGATTTTTCGCATCTCACCTTAAGAACAGCTCCACTGCCTAATGCGTTTCGGCGATTCGCCTTCCAACTACCCTCGATTCGCTATTTTCTAGCGTTGTATACTAAATTTACGATGTGTTAACAATTTGTGTACGTTTAATATGTTTAATATGGTAATGTACCAACACACGTACTCAATTTTAGCACCTTATCAGACACGCTTGTCCTGGCATTCCCAAATCACTTGCAACATATTAATGGTACAGTTAGTACCATTCTTTGGCTGACCACTGCTATATAATTATCGGGCTGTCTAAACGTTCGTTACTCTTCGAGTCGTGTGTAAACTTGTATTATGTTGCTGAAGGAAGCCGAGCAAGTTTAAATGCAAATTGCCTCCCTCCTCAGCTGCGGATATGTACATAACAATCGCCAATATAATGTAAATAATGTATTATAAAAGCGTATTTTACGACGTTAAAAGGCTAAAAGCATTTACCTAAGGCGATCGGACATAGTGAGAGATGGGTTAGCCATTTTTTTACACGTTAAAAAAACTAGAAGTCATAAATATATATCATTATTTAAAACTATAATACGTAATAGTATAGATATCTGCTTATAGACAGAGTCTATATGAGTATTGTCTTATTCAATGCAACATTGCAGGTATTTTATCACACAGGGCAGCTCCATCAGTTCTATGTTATAAATGTCCCATAGCCTAAAGGTCCTTCGGCTTAGCGAAAGTTTTCCATATGTAACTGAATCACCGGCTGCACACACTCGGCTAATATTAATGCCGTCACTTGTCATCACGGCGAATTCTAAAAAGACATTCGTTGCCCGGCGATTTTTAGGTGAAAATCGTGTGTGACATAGCCGGTAGGTCTGATGTGAGTATGAACTATTCAATAATAAATGAGCCTGTCGTGTGATAAGGTTGTATAATATAGTGGAGGGTGGCAAAATACTAGAATCAATTATCGGCTGCAGGTTTCAAGAAATATTGTTGATTCACCATTGATTGCTAATACGTTGCTGATATCCGCTCTAACGAGGCAAAATAGCCCCCCCCCCGGACACATACATGTCATTGTTGAATGTGTATTGATGAAGGTCCTAATTGTGAATAAATCGTCAGAGTTAAGTCTCCAAGTAATACGGATTAGTAAAATGTCAATATTAAAGACATCTATATGGAAATAAGGCCTTTATTACTTTATGTTTCATGCAAAAACATGAAAAAACGTGAAAGTTCTCCAACTTAATGCGATCCACTTTGAATTTATAATAAACTGATATGTTTGTTCTTGCGTATTGCATATATTTAATCATTTTATACCGTTCTTACATGAAGTACAGCAGTCGCAAACGAGTTGGAAGATTAAGGTGCAGTCGTGATGTGCTGCACGCGAAACCTAGCTCTAAAAGCCTAGTTTTTGCCGCCAGATCGACTTTATCCAATTCGTGATCTGATTTGTATCTTTGTGCGACAATTATCAGATAACACTAAAATGAACCCACGAGTTCATAAATGCTTTTATAAGAAAAGCATTATAATTTTCCATGAATTTCGTTATCACCATAAAGGTTCCATTATACAGCCTAGCTGACTGGCTAACTAGGTATAACCTAATGTCCCAGGTAGTTGGTGACATAAAAACAAGTCAGTTATCCCAAGCATAACTTTTCGACGAATGAAACACAAATATATAACTGTATTCAATCAAGCCACACTCCATCACAATGATAAAATCATAAAACAATGGCTTTTCTATCGCAAATCACTCTGCTTGTGTTTAAAGAAGCAAGCCAAGGTTATGGTCCATTGATACCAATCTTGGCATAAGTAAACCTTTTAATTTGCCTTAACAATCAGTTTTCCCATGTCCATGACGCCTTTTTGACGCGTGGGTATATATGTTTGACGCATGTATAAAACGCGCACATAATGCTTTATAGCAAAAAATCCCAAACTGAACATTGCTAGTAAAATTCAATGCATTGCTAGTTATCACGGGAAGGAATACAACTACGACTTTCAGGCATTGCTTCTTACTTCCAAGGCTGTCATTAGCAATGCCTGATCGTTTTATCAACAGTCCCATGCTAAACCTGAACAGCATGACTGTTTTAATTACATGCATGCACTAACGAAGGAAATAAATTTCGACACTTCGTTCTATATAGCCGCATCATATCGGAATGTGTGATATTTGATTGTTATAGCTACTTGATTGTGTGACCCGCTATTTATAGGGCTTTTATTTTTCATATAAATGCTTGCAAAACGTAGAATTACTGATCGGAAATGAATTGCTTGCTATAAGGATGCAGAGAGAGGTCAGTTTGGAATTTGGCTTCCAAGCGATATTTCAGTTACACATGCGGTCTTTTAGACGACACTTTGGTCGTGACGGATTGCTCTCCCGTCACTTTTACTAAAAACATGCGCTTCAAATCAATTTTGATGGATTTGTGTTATCCACTCCCATAGTAAGCATTCTCGCATACACTAAACGGCGAAATCAACACCATACCTTATCCCCGTGTATTGTCCCAGCAAAGAACAGTTTCTTGCTGCATACTTGCTTCAGTCGTGTTGAGAGGTGACCTTTATCTCAAAGTCCTGCATGCCAAGAGATTCAGTCATACAGTCAGTTTTTCCCATGCACGCAGACTGGTGCGTTGTTACTATAAACACGACTGTGACGACGGCCGCAGATGGATTAATGATTAACAATGTTTTGATTCCTAGATTTAGAAGCAAATAGCTGTGCTTGGGAAACCTAGCAATGTTCGGCGCGCTGTACGATGATAAACGATATGCTTTTCATGAGCGCATGCGGTAGACAGCACTGGTAAGGTTATATATCAGCGAACCCTTACAGCTTGACAACATGCCCACTATAAGATCAGCACATCTCAGCGAACTCATCTATAATCTGTAGTAATTACCCTAATATTTTAGGGTCAAAATAAAAAACTACATAGTCTAAAATAAATGGTGCAGTAATAATCTGCAATACCAAATGCATATATAACAGATTTAACTAAATATACTCCATAAAGACGTTCTATCATCAGTTCCTCTTACCTGACAGTTCAGCTTCTACCCATTAGTGCTTCCAATGGAGTGTTGACCGTTCCAGTACTTGCGATTAAACTGTTCCAAAGCCTAGACTGTAAATAGATTAAATAAGCTCTTTAATCCTGTCGCGCAGTTTCATGCATGTCCGATCGGAGCATTCCCTTAAGTCGTTAAGATGAAGCGATGCGAATGTAAATGGTGGTTATCGCCTTTAAACTTATCGAGTGTCATCGAAGAATCTTTGTACATTCAAAATATTTACACCACTTTGGAATCGACATAAACAAGAATTGCACAGCATGAAGTTTCCGCGTCTTTCTCCGTAGGAACAGCAGGATATTCGCTTGTCGTGGTTGCGAAACAACAGAGCAGTGTCTCTGTATAGTTTGGTCAACACATAGAATGATGGAAATCACTGTTATCGCGATGTAATCTATTTCATGCATGTGAATAATATCTTCACGGGCCGACTACAATACGAAATGAAGATACGCTTCATTATTAGCAATACCGCGCGTGCAGTAAATAGTAGTTGCATTTATGTAAATGAAGAAGTATAATAAACCGTATTCCCTTTCGATAGACTTTAACCGTATTGCTCATTAGCTATATTCTTGGTTATTTTCATGGCGTTTACGAAGCGATTAGCTATGGAGGAGCCAGGCTTAGAGTCAGGTACATGCATTCATAGCAGTATATCTTATGGTAATGATGCGGAATGAATGATTACAGAGGAGAAAATAGCTTTTCAACATTTTGCCGCCAACACGCGTGGCTGGAAAAACACAGAAAGTGACGCGAGATTTCAACACAGCAAAGGAGATGAACCACCTTTTCACGTCTGACCTTTAAAGGCCGTCGATTCGTGTTGATCCATAACATTCGACTAAATGCACCCCCTGCATGGTAAACTGTGGAACAGCCATCTTTTACGTAACAATAATCAAGCATGGATGGATTGAACGATGCCGTTAATAGTTCACGGACATGCTCTTTTATATCAATGCCAACTGATTCATGGGGTGCTTTCCTTTACAGTTTACACGGAAAAAAAACGGCCAGACCGACCGACAGATTACTATAGCTTTTTAAAGAGTTTAAAAACTCTCCATTCAAGTAGCTATATCGTTATTTAAATCTGCCTAGCACGGAAAATGCAATTGCACCGCTTTATTTTTTGAAGAAATACTCTATTCCAATTTTCTACTGCATTGTTTAGCGATTGGCCGAAAAAACTTCGCCATTTATACCGTGACAAATTTATAAACAAGTTGCTTATCACAATCAAATGAATGCTGATATTTCAGGCATAGCTTTGTCTGGCTTATAGTTGGAGTTTTCTGTTATATCCTTTAATCGTTTTAATCCACTCCATGTTGGGAAAACTGTACAAAGTTGAACGGGCAATTATGCCAATTAAAACAGTTTTCTTAATGGCTCAGTAATAGCATGTTAATAGGGTTCACGACATTGTCATACAATGATTATATAAGAGATGTTTCTCGGCTGTGACATATAGACATAGTGCGATCTATTTTTAGTTTATTTCTTGAATAGTCAGTCCATTTGTGTTTTGTGCTGAATTTCTCAGATCACGGCCGTGCATGACGTGTCTATATTAATGCGCGCCCTGCAAAAAGCCCTCGGTACGATTCGAATAAAATCCGAACTCAATAACGTTGCGCATTTCAAGGCATATATTTCATGAAATTATAAATTTGCAAGATTCTAATATGGGACATAACTTATGCATATGCATTCGGCTATATTTGAACGTTTCATGAATGTCACTACATGGCGGGAACCTTTGAGCACGTCAACTGTTAATGCATGTATACATGCATATATTTCTAAATATTAACTCGTATGTATGCATAATGGATACCTATATGGGAGAATATTGCCCCCTGGAATAATCTAAATTAAGATCAAAAAAGGCCTAGAGGTGAATTGGAGTTTTTATCAGTAAGCTAGGCTGTTGATAACACTCTTATTTTGACTAATGTCAGCCGAGGTCTTCTTATACCACACAAGTTTCAACTCCTATTGCATGCATGCGCGCGAACCACTATATACGTGACTTAAATATATACATGGCTCATATTGAGAAGGGGTACTGATATATGCGTGATAGCGTCGCATCCTTTGAACTACAAGCACTTTAATAAAGAGAACACGATAACATAAGATTTCTAGCCACAAACCTTCACTATGGCACACTTTATCTGCATTTTTCGTTAATCTGGCCCATGCCTGGGCGATATCAAAAGGTATTTCGGCTAGATCTGGTTTAAACGTCGGTCCCATGCACAGCAGTTTTAATAGCTCATGTAGTTAGACCCCGTGTTTTTTAAAGCCTTCCGTGATTCCTTGTAGTTTTTAATTGACAGTACTTTGCGCTTATTATCGTCCACAGCGTTCATTGATGATATACCAGAAAAATTAACAAGGCCCTATTTACCTTATCAATATAGCTGTAGATATTATCCTTTTTCATTTTGAAGTGGAGACAAGATGACTACTGAAGCTCTTCATTATTGAAATACAAATTTCTTGGACAAATTCAGCCTTGTTTATGTATTTTGCTCTATCTATTGTTATACATTGTTATGTTATTCCTGTGTGGGCTTCTGTTAGCTTTTATCATTGCCGCGTGGAAATATTAAGTTTGCCAGTCATTCTCATGTATTTTTTATCATTTTCAATAAGTTCCAGCAACGACACAGCTGCCGGTAGATTGAACAATATACATTTGCCCCAGCGGGCGGAAATTTAGTGCAAAACACAGTCATATAGGCAATTTCAAAACGAAAAATAAACGATGTTAATGATTCTCATGCTATACAAGCTAACAAGTATTAAATCAGAAATCAGTTATAATCAGACGACGTAGTAAAAGTTTTCAGTGAATTCCACCCACGCATCAAGACAGTTGAACCTAACCGCTTTTTTTACTAACAATGATTTCCTGAATGCAAAACAAGTTAATATTAACTATATGACTTACATTGCACATACTTTTATAACAATTTTTCTACAATTTCATCTGCACATGATACAAAAACATGTACACTAAATTTCAGCTAACTAATATAGGCTATACTTTCATTGGCATACTATATATATATAAAAAACTTGCCGGTAACGCCCGCAAGTTACTATATGCTGCATGCCATAGTAGTTACTATTTTACTACTTGAGATTAATATTTACAACTAGATGTTACTTACCACATACTGCTTGAAGTCACTATTGTATACTATACTAGAAAATACTATTTGCTAGTAAAAATTAATATTTATTACTAGAAATTAATATTTACTACTAGATATATATATATATATATACCATCTATTATTTAAGTTATCATATTATACTACAATATACAGGGTTTCTATGCACTGCTATGTTGCCATATGTTTTACTACGTTGCTCTCGTACTACTTAATTTTGGCTTGGCATATCGTTTTTAAAAAAACATACGCCTGCTAAATGGATTTATTCACATTTACGCCGCCTCAATGCGTAACCCTGGCGGTAGATAACCGATGTAGCAAAATATATACGTCCACCTAAGGCTATATATGTATATATATATATATATATTAATATATATATATATATATATATATATATATATATATACTATATATTTAGCGGCATCGTCATTTGAAGTTCCTCGTTTATTGTTATTAAATGTGAACAGATTCAATTTCTTAGATTGGGTTAAATTCAAACACAAATACAAACACTACTGCAACGCCATTCTTTCCTACCGTTTATATCTCTCAAATCAGTATCTAACGCGTCATGCTCATTACTGCTATAAATCTGCGATTGCATGCATGTGACAAGCGCGTTTTAACACTGAAATTCTATCATGCCGGCAACATTTGTTTGCTGTAATTTCATTCATTTCAGTTCTACATATTTCCTGTTTTTATACATGTAACGGTTTATTTCATGGCAAATATTGGACTTAGTAGCTGTTCCCTGCCATAGTTGAGATAACCATAACGGCTTTATGCGTGCATGAATGACATATACAAATCTTAGGTTTTCTTTCTATCGCTAAATCTTTGCCGTTTCGCTGCATGTATGTGGGAAATTTACGCTTCATTCATTCGTGTGTAAAAATGACTTGCTCACAAACTAGTTTAGTGACTTTCGCCCCTCTTGACTTAGAGAAACAATGGGTTGATCCACTCTCCTATCAACTTTTTCGATTCTATATAGTTGACAATTAAACATAACACATATGATATGATTTTATAAGCGTACCTCTCTGGCTAAAGGCTTGATAAAAAACGTTTCTCATATAAATAATATATCCTCTTATGGTTCACTTTCTAGGAGACAAAACACAGCGACGTAAAGCTGTTTTCAAGTGCATTCAAAACACGACTTGACATACATCGACTGACGAAACACATCCCTTTATACACGGCGCGACATGAGTATAAAATGTATGCAAATTTTTCATGCAAATTTTTAACGCGTTTCCCACGTCTTGACAAAACTCATTGGAGTTACTAAATATGCATTGTGGCCACGCACATCTGCGAGAAAAATACTGATAAAACTTCGTGTATGAACGAGTTTTACTAACAAAGTCAATAAGTCCCTGACAGATTGTTTATTCAAGCGTCTTTGCTCTTCGTCGTATTTCTCATCGGCATATACATATATATAATATATATTGATTGTTTCCGATAACCAAATTTTTTACTACGATATCAAACTCTCACCTATAGGCTTTTGCAATAATTCGTTCTTTTTCTCCGAGCGCCCAGACTTTAATTCCTTAGTGGACTAACCCGGAAAAGAACTTTGCCGGTCAACGTCGGTAAGGCGGTAACGACGTCCCCATTCCATTTAAGAGTTACAAATTTGCTTGAATAATATATATATGAACCGTTCAGAGTTTTTGAAATATTTTAATAAGACAGAACTAGATTCACTTCCACTGTGAATACTCTCGGCAAGGACGTGACAAATGTTCCGTTTCCAAAGTTAGCACATTGAACCTACGTCATCCATAGATTTGAGAAGAGTTTCCTTATCATGAACTGATTGGCAACAAATTGAAAGAAACTTCGATGGATTTCGACATTTGTGAGTAATAATAACAAGAATACAACCGCAAAAATAATGCGTGTCCCAAAAAAAACGATATGTAAAATAAGGACAGTTTCTACCGAAGACCGAGGTGGTTTTTACTTGCATGCAGGCGGTCGAACTGAGCTCAACCCAGCCGGATAACATGTTAGTCTATGGGCCAGGTCAATGTGATATTGGCTGCCTTCATCTGTGGAAGGAGTGGCATCGTAATTACGAGAACCCTGAAGCCCCTATACTTGAATGTGGCAAACGTTTTAATACAAACTCTATTTAATCTAATCATCGCAAACTATTTGCTCCTTCACTTCTTGCACTACAGCGGCCATCTTGGAATATGACGATGCATATTATCGTACGAATTATCATTATAATCGTTTGATATTATCGAACAGTTACCATTAACGACCAGGACATTTTCCGATAATATCTGCCTATAGATTAATAAATCAGTTATCAATAAGTGATCATAACCGAACTGTTTTGAGCATGCGCAGGGCTGCGTACATGAAATTGAAATTCAAAATGGCGGATTAAAAGGAGTGACAATTTTCTTCATTGGCAAATATTTGGTAAAATCCTTTCCCTATGTTGACACAAAGGAGTTTTTCAGCGTTAAAAACCTTTTTAAACAAGTCAGTTTCCAACCTAAGTAGGAATCGTTTAAACTCGAGTTTTTCCAACGAAAATGTTTGGGAAATGACTTTTAAATATTCACCGTATTGCTTGAATAGTATCGGGGTAAATACAAAGCCTTTAACAGCATTCAATACATGGAGGAATACGTCAAACAGATTCTATTCTGGTGATCCAAGTATAACATTCCTTTCTGGTGGGAGAAGCAAGCACTTTGAAGCCAGTGCAGTGTATGATGAAGATAAATTGTTAAAAAATATTGTTAAACAGTTGAAAGAGGACAATGGTGTTGATATTTGTGTAATTGAAACATCAGAGGAGAGAAGGAAATATGCTGATTATGTTGTGGTTGTAAGTGGAAGATCAACAAGACACCTTAAAGCAATGACAAATCATATTCATCAGAAGGTATTTCTTGTAATGTTACAGTAACTTCATATGGTAATTTGGGTAAAAGAAGTCTAAATGTTACCTGAGGCTTCCACTTTCACAAATTGCTGTCTATGTAAGAAAATATGTCATATTACATCATATTTGGTAACATGCACTTTTTGCAAATCAACTCCAATTTTTCCAAAATATACTTTAAAATTTTGTAGTCCAAGAAAGATTTTGCTGAAAAGCATGTTTTTGTTACTGGGTTAGACTCAAATGATTGGATGATTGTTGATTTCAGTAAGTTTCCTACCATAGGTTATAATTTTTGTGATAACAAATTATATTCGATCAATGCCATTGAAAATGTGTATGTACACAGAGACTGATATACCCTGGATTTGAAGTTTTTTTAATTATTTTATTCACAGATTCAATTGTAATCCACCTTTTCCTGCCTGAGATCCGTGAGAAATATGATCTTGAAAAGCTTTGGTCCTTGGGACCAGAACAGGATAAACAGTACCAAGAAATGTTGGAAGATGACCGATATGCTGAGATGGTTAAAAATGCCAAACTGGAGGACTTCTTTGTAAATGAGGAATCAAATAAATAAAATACATTTTATTAGTTGTTGTTGGGAAGTAATTCTAAGATGAATACCTTGAAGGGTAAAATGGTTTGAATTTTAATGCAGAATCTCAATCCTAATACTAATCCCACTCCCAGTTCTATTTTGATCTTGAATTTGGAGCCCCTATGAAAAGTTTTTAAAATAGGCTAAAAACGTTTTAACGGTGCTCGATTTTTCCAATTCATTTGACAATGAAAATATTCTATTTAGAATTAGAAACAAAATTGATTTGGTCGCATGATATAAAGATCGCATTTTGACTATTAGATCATTATATTAGCGCATGGTAATGACCAAGTGGGCTTTTTTCAACGCTTTTCAACGCTCACCCACAAAACTTTTCCATCGACTTTCGAATGTCTTGCATAACAGTTTTGTTCGTGAGCGCGTAGATGATTGGGTTAGCAAGCGCGTTCGTATACACCAGGAACATTGCAATGTTGTAGAACGTCATAGTCCGACAAGCTCCGACGAAACACGAGTGCGCTATGACGTATGGCATCCAAAGGATGAGAAACGAAAGCACCAATATCGTGCCTGTGCGCGCAATCTTGAACTCGTGTCGTATCGCTTTTTGCTTCTTCATGCGAGCTATGACGAGATCAGTGATCGCTTTGCATGAACGAGGTACTTGGAACAAACCGGAAAGCCTTCTTCTCTTTCCGTCTTTCTCTTTCGACGGACTTGCCTCCAGTGCGCTATCGAATGAAACATGCTTATTCCCAGCGGTTTTATGGCTTTCGTCCATTCCGAATGCGCTCGAATCATCGTCTGTGCAGGTGTCACGAGCAGAGCATGTTGCCTTTTCCGTCAATCCTTCCGTCTTAGAATCCGAGTGCGGCACATCTTTCTCTATCTCAAAGTTTTCCTCGCCTGTCACGTTGATGTATCGAATACGCGTCTGACTCGCATCGTCAATATTCGAGGTGCTTTTATTCTTCAAAGACGCACGGTCGCCATTTCTAGTGTCCACTGAATAACTCTTGTGATTCTTACCAGATTCCTCTCTTGTTAAACGCAGTTCGTTTGAAGAATTCGTTGGTAAATCCTGCTCCACCCTTGCATTTCCCGTTTTGTTCTTTTTTGACGATCCATTCTCTGTGAATTGCTGTTTACTTGTCGAGCCACAATTCAAAGAATTCCCCACAAATGCTTCCTTTGAGCTCTTTGTCATTTCTGAATGGGTTCTTGTCGTGCATTCCACAGGTAAATGATCACTCTCCACAGAAGTGTCTAAATCACTTTTCCCAATCTCATTCTTGAAATCTTCTGTAATTTTACAATCCGATATTTTTTCTTTGTTATCATATTCCGCGATGCCTCTTTTCGAGTCCTCTATTATTTTGAGCGCTGCTAGTCTATATTCGGTTTCCGAAGATGGATCTGTGCTGGCGTCTTCGAAATTACCCAGACTATTGCTGTCAAACGACGGGGCATCCTTCGAGCTCAGTGTCGACGTGGAACTCTTACTAATAAGCACACGTTTGTTTCTGAGCGTTAGAAAGATCCGTGTGTAAGTGATAAGCATTCCTACTATTGGAACTATAAACGCCACTGTTGTCATCGCTGCTGCGTAACCACAGCTGTTCCTCCAAGATGGTGAGCAGTGATTTGTTCCAGCGTGATATTTGTACCTGGCCTGACCGAATATTGGTACGACCGCCAACAGAAATGACAGAAAGTACACGCCGGCCAGCATTTTATAAGCGGTTCGGCGTGTCATCAGGGAACGGTGTCTGAGAGGTTTTACCACGGCCAGATATCGATCTATTGTTAAACACAGCAACGTGAAGATTTGGTCCATACATAGAAACACATTAGAAAAGCCATTGAACTAAAGAAAAATAGAAAATTTATCCTAGATTAGTTCTTAGACTGGTGACATTGTCAGGCGTGTAATGTTCATACTGAAATGTAGTATAAGGCCAGTTTTCCACCAGCGATAGGTTTGGCGCGAAGTGACATTTTACTTTTGTTTCAGAGCTCACAACTGCAACAATCTGGAACAAATTGCTCAAATACAAAGAAATAAAGTCGCTTTGCGCAAAAATATCGCTAATGGAAAAACGGCCTGAGAATATTTCATATCTTTGGAGAAGGTTTAAAAACATTTGCTCAACATTAAGACGTTATCTGTGGCGAAACTGGCTGCAACCTCGAACCCAGGATCATTCATCCGCGCCATTGGCTACAGAGGAACATCTGTACGAGGACTGGAGTGGGTAAAATATTGATCGTCAATTGCTAGCGAGGAACACCTATGGATAGTTCTTTGGAACCATCAACCGCAGTGATTGCATCCTGTGGGTCATGCAGTAACCTAACAGGGGACACCCTGGGGATAGTTTTATACAACCATATCCCGCGGCTCGGTACCATTTAATAGGGATTAGACAATGGAATTGTTAAAGTATACAGCAAATTATCTTAAAACTGCTAATTACTTGACAAAATCCATCGCCAAATATCCATTTCTGTTTCATCGCTGCGTGGATATTGAATGGCATTTGACAAACCATGAGAGCGCTGACCAAAGTTAAATTGAGAAGAAACAGCGTGACCACGTTTCGACGATGTCGTTTTCGCTTCAAAAGCACCAGAAATGTTTTCATATTGAGCAAAATTGCAACGAGACAGATAAGCGCCAAAAAGAACGCTTTAACGACTCGATGTTCGAATGTTTCCCGCAACAGAGTTGTGCAATTCGCCGACATATTCCTTTGAAATGTAATTTCTATACTGAAGCTACGAAACTTCGCCAAAATTCAGTAATAAAAGGCAAGCGAATCCTCAACCAAATGTTTCAGATACTAAAACCATGTTTAATACAGTATACGTGAGCATTGCAGTCGGACCAACTATAAAGTACTTGTGTCGCAACCTCTTTAATCAATCATGTTTACCGCAGCTTGTTTGCGGACTGTTAAAATGTTTTAGATCCGTATTTGCAATTGCAAACTACCCACTGTTCATTTTCGCCTGATGTGTACTCAGCTTTTTGTAGTAATCAAATGCACATCTAATCATTGCATGCGAGCTCCCACGGTGAAGAATCTCATCACTGATTTGTAAACCAAATTTGTATGAAATGCATGTTCATTGGTAATCATCAAGTAAAGATAAAGACTGAAAGCATTTGCGGTTTTCTAGCTCTCGTGAGAAATGCAAATTATGTTGAAATATTGGTCGATATGAGGTCACATCTCAAGTTTAATTAGCAAAATTTGTTTTATTTGTCACGAGAAGTATCAGTCTGTAGTATAAACTTGTTTGAGTTTCACTCAGAATTTCTCCCAACTTACATATATCTGAAAGAATTCCAGCGATTCTATATTCTAAAACCTTACAAATAAAAAACACAATTCAGTCTTTTGGATGATGGTTTTCAATGTCAATTGCAACCCTATAATTAAAGTCGATGAAAAATTAATTTTCATGAAATGTTCTTATTCAATTAAATTCAACAAATCAATGTTTTTATTATTCAAAATGTTTAAAACAACAAATTTACACATATGTTCCACTGTAAGCAAGCATCAGCGTATCTTTTAGCGAGGTGAAGCAAGCAAGCGATTGGGTTAGTCTTGACCAATCGGAATCGTCCATTTCTAGTCAAAAATGTAGTTATGAGTTTTACACATAGTTTTATTCAGTTTATTCATATCAAGCGTCGTCATTTTTTGCTATATTATTTTTTTATTTTTCAATATCAATTCACTATGACTATATAGAGACATATGCAGCGCACCAAATCTTCTTTTTGATAATAATGCCGCACTTGTTCGAATTCTGCTGCACTTTGTACATAACATACGGATATTGTTCTTATATCTCATTTTCTTTTACATATTTATTTATTATATACAAAAATTGCTTGCCTATTGCGGAAGAAATCTAGAGTGGAGCGAACCCTTTGTTTTTGAAATTAACATTGCTATTGATTGAAGTACCGCACGCTAATCACTTTTAAATGAATATTTGCTCATCATATCAACACCAGAACAGTTGGGTTAATTTCCAGGCAGGACAATTTCAAAATGATAGAGCTGCTTAAAAATGATAGACCATCCAGTATAATTGAGTTAGGTTTAGGCTGCATTCTGTATTATTATAACATTGGACTAATAGATGGTCCTTATTATAGAAAAATTTAGACATAATGGAACTAGCTACCCGGAATAAATCAAGTTCAGTTTCTTCTTGCAGTAACACTGGATCACCCAGAGGTGATCAACACTCTGGATTCCTAGGAAGAACAGTTCACAAGTGACAAGTTAGTTCGCATTGGCGCTCTAGATATCTTTAGTACATTTACACTTGCACAGTTGGCCCTCTTTTGTTATGATTCACGATTTTGTACATCCTAGGGACTCCATTCACAGCCAAACTGGCATCGTTTGGTTTTGACTTCTCGTTCCTACTCAGCGACGCAGGCTTTCCGTTCAAGCTTGCTTTCCTACCATACTGTCTCGGATATCCTCTACCTCCCTTACCACTACACTCCTTAAGGCAGGCTGCGAAACCGACCCGCATTTCTTTGGAGAAAACATAAAGGATTATGGGATTAATACAATGCTGTAGAAACAGCAGATGCAACACGATGAACATGGATATTACATACTGCGATGGATTTAACACCAAAACCTTCAACTCCTGCAGCAATCCAAACACTGTCAACGGTAAAACCGAGAACCAAAACGCTAGCACAATCACGACCATGAGTTTAACCGTCTTTGCGTTTTTCTCCAGCTGTCGCTTAAGTGCTTTTTGTTGATTTCCCGCGCCTTGCTCTTGGGCCCGCTGTTTTATCCGTTTCCGCTGACGAAACATAACCACTCCGACTCCAAGGTACGAGAGACCTGTGATTAAAACCGAAAGAAACAGGAATCCGGAGAGAACAAGAATCGATATTTTTCGTCCCTCCGGCGACCACACGGCCATGCAAACGTCGAAGCCGTTCCACGGATGCTTGCGTATCTTCATCACGAAACCCATGGGCAGAGGCACAACAAGGTAATCCACAAGCCATATCAACGCGATGGTCAGTTTGACTTTGTAAGATGAAAGATGAGGTTTGAATGGATACGCCGTGTGCACGAAACGATCTATGGCGATCGCCGTTAAAGTTATACACGAAACGTGAAGAAATAAATCTTTCAACGGGTTCAGGAATCTGCAGACGATCGCACCGAATGGCCAGTCGGTCACTTGTCCAATGACAGCAATCGGCATTGCGATGAGCAACGAGCCGAGATCGGCGATCGCCAGGTTCGCTATGAAATAATTACTTGAAGTTTTTAATCGCTTCGCGGTGCATATCGACGTGATGACCATGACGTTCCCCCATATTCCCAACACAAACACGAAGGCGAATATACTAAAACGGGCCACTTGAAGCTGGTCTAGAAGGTGCCGGAATTCCGGGTTCATAAACAACGGCAAACCGAACGACGTGTTGTTACCGGAGGACATCTTTTGACGCTCTAGTCTTGTCCTAGGAAGAAAAATCCTCAATTAACTATAGTCATATTGCCAGTATACATGGTTTATAGATTTCTTTTAATGTCCAACGCTGAGTAATTTTGCCACTTGTTGAAAGGTTACTGTCAGCTTAAAATGTTTTTTAGCTAATACGAAACAATCTCTTGGGGCCTCTATTCAACCCATTAGCCTAAATATTAGTATCATCTTAAACAAAAATAGTTACAAAAGTCATTAGCCAGCCCATCAGTTTCGGTTTTGCCTTCTGTTATACACGAGAGACTGAATCAAAGGCACACTCTCCATGTGACTGCTGAGATAATGGTCCGCTATATCGATTTTCTAAAAACACGCAAATGCTTGCGAACTTCTTATAGTGATATTAAATTGTTATATCCTTTCCGCACTTCCCCTCCCCCAGAATTGCTGTCTCAAAAACTATTTGTGACTTTGCGATTCAGACACAATTATGGTAGGCATACCGGACTATTCAACGCGTCTCTTTCATATACATATAGACAAAATAAACAACATGTGTTTTTACGACGCCTTTGTATGCATGCATTTATATATCTAAATATATCTTTATCTCTGTTGCTCAGCCCCCGAGAGTATCCTAAAGTAAACTTGTATGAAATTCATGGATATAGCATTGAGTCAATGAACAGATGAGGGTAGCTAATCTCTTCAAAATATCTATATTTTGTTGACTCAACATGACTGCATGTTGTGGGAAAAAGCGTGCATTCCATCACTGTATATATTAGATCAAATCAACGCATTTTGTTATACAATCGATATACTGTATAAAATTATGGATATTTGATCTATATTTGAATGTTCGGGAGTAAGGGAAACGGTGAAACGACAAACATGCTTGAAATTAATGCTTTACCTGCCATTTTGTGAGCATGAGAAACTAGTTGGTAAAATCGAAGATCATGCGCAGAAAAAGTACAGAATTATTGATAATTTTTCCCCCTATATACCAAACATGGGTTTTTGGATTGCACGAAGGTTGTAAAGAAGGAGTTTAGTAATGTTTTAAGATGTGGTCAGCTGGGCGTCAAACGGCCGCCACAGTTATTGCTTGAAATCTATAAAGCTACACGAATCTTTTAAGAAACTTTCCGAAATATACGTTTTATAAAACAAACTTATCTATAGCTGATATTGCCGTTCCATTTACGGTATAAAACAACTCTCACGTCGCATTTTCCGTTTCAAACAGTCGAGAAGCCGTGAAATGCTTGGTCTGATAAGACTGATATGAAAGCGTTATAGGAATTAAGTAATGCGACTCTGTCGTAAACCATACATTTTGCCTGGCTATTCATATTTCTTCTGCCTCGCTTGGGGATAACCGTTTTGCGCGTCATCGAGTTGGCTACATCGTAAATAGTAAATCGATTAATAAATCCCCTAGGCTTATAGCTTGAAGACACAGGATGTTTCAGATTTGCATTCTGTTCGACTCGTCTCGACTTTAAGTAAACCAACCCAGACGACATTAAAGTAAAGTGCGCATCAAAAGGGATCATTTATTAATATCATCACTTCTGGAATAAAGGACCCTCAACATCGATTTCCAAGTGTATATGAAAATGCATATAAATCATTATAAATTGGTCAAAACAAATTTACTCACAGAACACTCTTCAGTGGAGATAAGTTTAATATGCCCCCTGGTCTTCGCTATATAGGATGCGCTTTTTCTTAGTAAAGTCGCAAACAGTTTAAAACGGTCGACACTCGTGTCGCAATATTCATCTTGACATATCTCGGTGTAGATCTGGATTCGCTGTCCAAGACGCAGGTGAACGCACACTAGTCTTTTGGCATTTAGTGCAGATTGTGCAGTGCCTTCCAACCTTATTAAGTATAAACCCAAATCAGTAATTAATTAATGCTAACAGATGCGAAAATAATCACTGGCAGCCACTTCATAGGGTATTGAGTGATCGCATGTGCATGCAGATACGGCCTTATCGCGATCGACCTCGTATCTTTGTTGAGTGAAAATTGCGCAAGATTCAACAAATAATAGGATGATCTGTGGGTGCATGCCCGACTGTGGCATGAACGCGCGTGCATTTTTTTTAATTTTCAAAAGAATTTGCGGAATGGGACTTTTTGACGATCAAAAAAGATCACCATCTGTACTGCAGCATGCGTGTAGATAGTTTATATAAACTATATACCATGGAGAATTTACTGGATCCCAATTCCCAATCTAATGCAGAGCATTCTAATCAAGATTTCTCCATAAAGAATGTTTGAAAATTGGCTTCCTCGGGGTAAAGAAAGAAACTACTAGAAAGAAAGAAAGTTTACTTGAATTGAACCACAATTTTTTGCCATGCATCAATGTAGAGATTGGAGTGCAATCGCAATGATAAAAATTTTGAATATATTTTAGTAATCATAATTGCTTTGGATTACTACCTGTACCTTAGCTTAAATTAGGTCCTAATAAGGTCCTAATATAGTGTAACTTTTATTTTTTAGCCTTTAATCGCATTGCTGATCTCAGCCTTAACGCCTGCAGCAGTCGCTGTTTTTTGCTTCTTTCCCCATGTGTTTCTCTGCATAAAAAAGTTGAAATTCGCGTCTCGGGTTTTACTTGGTGAATATAACCATGCAATAAAGTAGGATGATAGAATATAGTTAAAGTGGGCTAGCATTCGTTCAACGTATTTGGTAGTATATAGCCAATGGTGTGGGTACATGGACCGTGGTAAGGGTTTGTAGGCGATGTGAATTGTCAATACCTTGAAGTTGAAACACCAGCAAACGAGCTAGCATACGGCTTTTGTATTTACGTGTATAGCTATGTATGGGCACTCAGAATACGCTTCCGGCATACCAAGTGGTCCTAAGACGAACCCATGAAACTCGATCTAACATTTTTATGTTTCTTCGCAATCAATTTTACGTGTCTTCCCCTTGCATATGAAAACCAGCACAATATGTCGCTATAAAGCAGCGTGAACGAAAAAGGTTTATGCACGTAGGTGTCTGATAAGCTTTATACGTTTATCTTGTTAAAGTGAATATCCTATAGACCCCGTACCGCTAAAAAAAACATACACTGCGTCGTTTTTGCAGACATCAATTTCACATCTGTCCTTAGATTGAACATTAAAAGTAAACACCAGCCGTGCCTGCGTGACTGAGCCGGACTAATGTATTTGTAAACAAGTATCTCGCCATATCAACTATCATCAAAATCCTGCGAAATATCATTTGGAAAATCTCTTTCTGCATGGGTGGCAACTTCTTTTTTAGGCAATAACTCCGAAATTACTGTCATGTTAATTAGTTATCAAAATTGCTGGGTAATGTTTACTCTGCGATTCTTAATTTTTCGAACATTCGAAGCCCTAAGGTCAGGTGTTTGACGTTTTATTACCAATAAACAGTACAAGCAAAACACTCTCGGAACATTACCAAAAAAGCGCATGTGTACAGCCTTATCATCGACGCCCAATATTCCATAGTGGTAAAGCACAGCTCCATAGTGGTAAAGCACAGGTCCATCAAGCCAGAACGCGTGCAGTTGCACGTGTAAATAACAATTTTAGAACCGATTGAGCCATTTTTGTTGACTAATTTTGTAACACTGCATGGACAATAATGGTCGATTGGTCGCTATAAGTCTCTTTTGCGAAGACAGGCGAACTTATAAAGTGCATTTTTTGAACGATGTATTTATACTTTTTAGATGCCCCTTAGAGGTCAATTAGTCCATGAGAACCTTCATGTTGCAAGTTTATCGTATTTCTCAATTACTCATAAATATAACTCATTGATATAATTCAGTTAAAATTGTTATCTTTTTTCTTCCCGGCATAGGTCCCAAAAGGTCTGAGTTCACGTCATCGAAGGCAACGTTAACGAGGAGAATGGGTCGAACGCCCAACCATTACTACATCTGCATGTACATTTGGACCAAAGTCGTCAAAGTGGTTGAAGCTAAGCAACGAAGTGGCCGGCTCCAAATATTGAGGATGTGTTTGTCCCCAGGTGAGTGGGCATATGTGGTAATTATAGGATAATGTGTGAACTCAGTGGAACTGGTGCGAATGACGCTATACACCCTAAGTTTAAGGTTTATCCACGCATAACACACGGCAGGATTTTCATTATTCGCTTCTGGAAGAGGAAGCTCTGCTTTCCGGCAACTTCTTGCATGCACTTAGTGGTATTTTACATCAAGTGTACGCAAATTCTTCAGGCTTGAAGTGGATCTCTGAGTAGAAAAACTATAAATAGTCGGAACTCGATCGGCACTGCCATCAGTGCCATGCGACCACCAGCGCCGCAAATATTGAACGTTCGCTTCGAATCTTCCCAGATAAAAACTGCGTTTTCTCCAGGCGTATATTACTTTCGAAAAAAATGAATATTTTTACGCAGTATGACCGGCGAAGTTTCCAACCGTTTCCCAACCGTTCGATAAAAGGGATAATAACTGAGAAATGCAATGATGTTGGCACCTGTGAAGCGTACACGCGATAAACAAACTTCAGTCAGTTGAGATATATGATAAGGTTCTCGGGTCAAAACGTCGAGTATGGTTTAGTTCCCTATTTAAGGCAGTTGACTTGTTATAAACTGCGTTTGATGAGAATTTATCAAAGATACAGTGCCATGCACGCTGTTCCCTAGACCCGGTCAAAGATGGGTTGGCCTGAGCACGGTATATATATATAAACACATTTGTTTACTTACTCTTCAAACCTTGCCAAAAAAACACTCAAAGGCTGAAAAGAATAACCGTTATACACATCGTAACAATAAGCAATACCTCACACATGCATGCACATGCCTATCCTTCTGATATACGGATATTGAAAGACGCGGAAAGATCATGATATATGTTAGCGTGGGAACATCTTGTCTCATCTAGTCTCGAGAGGCGTGGAATATCAGCTCAGTTCTGTAATTCCATGGCAGGCGATCATTTCTTGGCATTTCTATCATCGTGACACTTTCGCAAATGGATCGTCTATCGTCGCGTTATGACATAAAACGGTTTTCGACTATTTCATTTCTGACGTGATCACTAACAGTTCCTCCATTTAATTGACAAAAAACTATTTATGTTACATTATATGGGCGTTGAAGACAAATCGATGATTTATTTTTGCTATATTCCTTGAAAGATGGAACGGCGTCATTCTTGATTGTTCCCTTTTACTAACAATAGACGTACTGAATTAATCTCATATATCCTCTTTGAAAGACATTCTTTTGAAAGACAAGAATATAGGCTATTTCACCCATGGTCTTCGGACGAAAAGCCCTGTATCCAAGCAGCTAGTTGATACTGTATAAGTTGTATATATACATAGTACGAATTTTTTTGTAACAGATACCCTGAAGTGTGGACGTTAGAAACGATCCAATTCAACGTCGATCTTTATTACCGAAGCCCTGCCAACGCGAGGCTTGCTATAAACATTTATAGCAGACTATTGTAAATAACCATTGTCTGATTCCCAGCCCCTTACTGATGTTGGTAATTGTTACAAAGCCAGGAATTTAGCACATTGTGAAGTACGTATATGATGTGTCGGCATCAGCATTGCTCACAATTTTTCTACTCTTCTTGTTGACATGAGATACCATCTTAGATTACGAAAAAGAAGCTGCTCTCTTCAGCATTCGCACAATGAACGATAAAAGGAACCATAATAGCACTAATGTTTATCCGCACTTACGCTGTATACGACAGGGACCTTGCTTTGGTATAAGCCCCGGCCATCTATGATTGTCGGCAAACACCAGGTGATAAAACCAACATATCAGTATTAAAATCAGACTGTATCTTCATCATCATGTCAAATTGGATTATTTGAATGCACTCAATTGATTAAGGAGAACAAATATACTCACCGTGTCTCGTGATAAACAGTGGTAAACTATATATAGACGTGTGTTGTTAAACTAACACTGTTGATAATCATACACAACAACTGATGCTTCGTCTTAATGCCTTTTCTAACAGAATTCATCATTCTAAGCTTTCCCAAGGACAAAACATGCACAAACAACCCCCCGTATGATATGCTATTTTCCTTTAATGTAAAGGTTATTCCCTACTTATTAAACAAACATTCCAAATGATTCATGTACAATATGAAAACATGCAACTGATACAAGTGCCGATTGCAACATCTGCGTGTAATAACTCGTACGAAAGATGAATTATGGAACGTGGCTTTTTGCTTGTGTTCCAAGAAAAGCAATTGATTACAAACATATGCATGCACATGGAAAGTTCTAGCGCTATATAGGTAATATAGCCTATTGACCGAAATATATCGCACACGAATAACGAGGGGGCTTTCAGTACCGCGACGCCGCAGAAAAATTTGATAGTTTACTAAGTTTTTCAGTCTGAAATCGCAATACCACGTACCAATAGACTTCCCCTATCGTTACACCCCAATATTTCAAGAGGAATATGCGAATACCGTATGAAAAATAAAAAGCTAATCCCCTCAAATCCAATGCTATACAAACCGACAAGTAAGTAATTTTACCAAGATCTTACCATGAAATTCGACGTCAATTCAACCTCCACCAATTTTGCCCGTTTCACAAAAGCTTGTCGAATGGTTCATTCACTTTCATAAACTGTTGTAGTCTTCAGTCTGCCTATCAGATGCATACGGTTCGTTATTTTACACCACTATAACGCACACAATATGTCCTCCCGTCAGTCTGATGTCTCGCCGCAAGATTCATGCTGAGGTTCTTTCAACACGAACACAAAGCTTTTTGGAGATGGCATCTCAATTTGCACGTCACGACTGCTTCAACGTGCGCCACCGTATCTCTGTAAAACCGCAGGTAGGATATATTTTCAGGAGGGAATTGTGCCAAAATGAGTCGCCGTAAATTCCAAATAGCACGGTCACGATTGGGTCAGGTTTCGCTCTTCAATGGCAGGTTATCGCGTGATCTCATCCCTTGTTTCATTACGAGTCTTGTTATCAAAGTTTTGGCATAGTTATTTGACATTGGGCGTTCCACCTTCCACCCACATATTCCTGTTTGGGGTTATCACAAAGCTGCCTGAGTATTAAATGCAGACGTTATTCATCTTTATTAAATATATCGGTATCTCTCTAAATATACATGTGATGTTGCCCAGAAGGCTGTAGAGAGAGCACAATTATACATCTAAAATCTACACCAGTTCCTGATCCTAATCTTGCAACAAGTTTACATATGTTGTTCATTGTAATGTTTAATTCACTCTCAGAAAAACGTGATGTTTCTGTGAGACATCCCTGTCACCATATTATCTTTAATAAACGATGTTACGATGGTTCACCTTCTGATGTAGTAAAGAATTGACTAAATGATTTTGCAACAAAGCCTTGAACAATAAAGGTTTCGGCTTTTTATAGAACTCCTTGGTGGTACCTTTGTCCTTTTTGATTTATGGTTAACTTCAGGGGTTCAGACGTTGAAAAGAATGAAGAATATGTCTGTTTTTGCTACAATTAAGTAGATGTGTTTTTTTTTAATCTGGACATGCATGCATAGCCTACAGGCATAGCAGCTGTATCTCCATGCAGAAAAACTAATGTTTTAAAGAACTCCGTCTTATATATCTCGCACAAGCATACCAATTGCCTTGAATGTGGGCTACCTTTAGAATCGAAGAAATAAAACGATGAATGCACTTGCCGCTTGGTCGCTTGAAATATAGGCTACTTTGTATATTACTACTACTGTCTGATCAAGATGGCCTAGTTTTTAAATAGAACGATATCACTGGACATTGTTTGTGGCGGTGTTTTGCGTTATAACTTTAGTTTATCTGATTCAGATGCTCTGAAAAAACAATTGCTACAGGTAATTAAACCCTAAATGTTCTCGAATAGGTCATATCGTATATAACTTTAACATCGTTTATCTTGGAATGACGTACGCAAAAATCAAAATACATATATTTCAAAATAACACAACACGAAAATTGAACAGCAAATGCATACTTGATTGAGAATAAGAGTATTACAAGCGTGGATTTGTGGACAACCACCACACACAGCGAATATGTTAACAAAAAATACGTAGAATAAATTGAAAATTATATCCATCTAGTTCTTAAAGTATATCATTTCGAGATTAGAAACTAATAATACGGATAGTTATTATAAAGATGAGTTATCATTGCATGCAGAAAGAACTGCTATGCGTTTGAAAAGAATGTAGAGAAATGCTGTATTTTGTAAGTGCATGATTTTGCTACGAATAATTATCTACAACCAGTCTATCGCTATAAAGTCGCCAAATTTATATGAACCAAACAAAATCGCAAAAAAATTCAAACCTAACAACAATATATTATATGCTAGTTACACCAACATTGTTTATTTTCAGACCAACACTTAGAATAAGCCAACGCTCTTCTTGGCATTACCTTGCTTCCAGGCTGAGAGTTTGCTGAATGCTTCAATCGTCATATTAAAAACACTTTCAAACTCTGCTTCGTTTAGGAAACGCTAAAATAGAAATGAAATGGGATGTTAAAGGTAAAAGCTGTAAAGTTGGAATTTACCATACAAGTGTCTGGGCGAGGGAGGTGCTTGATTCTTTATCCTTTTTACTCCACGCATATCCTGTAGTGTTCAGAGTTCAATATTCCTTATCTTAATCCCATTTTAATCTTGATTCTAATGACTCCTTCACCCCGTTAATCTGTATATCTACCGCTAATCCCTCTTACTGAAGCTAATCCCGGCTAACACAACTCATGTCTTCATTCTTCCAAATATGTTGTAGAGATGGTACTCGGACGTGTGTGTGTGTGTGTGTGTGGGCATGTGTGTGAGGTGTGGGGTGGTGGTGTTGTGGGTGGGATGGTGTTGTGGTGGTGGTGAGGTGGTGGGTTTGAGGGATGGTGGTTTGGTGGGGCGTTGGTGGGGTGGATGGTGGTTGGTGGTGGTGGTGTGGTGGTGGTGTGGTGGTGGTGTGGTGGGGTGTGTGCAATGGAAACAATATAGTATTTCGTTTTTACCTCTTTATGACATGGATCAACACCTTCAGGTGGTGGATTTTGCTGCAATTCTGCCAACGAGTATTTCTTGTTATAGACGTTGAGGGCCTACGAGTAAAGAAAATATACATGAATAGTTAGTTATTGGATTGTATCAACCAAAACCTTCCATGATCTACAGCTTATAAGCTGTACTCTTCCATCTTTTGTGAACTCAAAGTAAACACGATTAACCAAGAAACCTTCGTGACTACAGATTGACATACAGACATACCTCGTCAACTGTGGTAACTCCAGTTCCACCACTGAGCTCTTGTTTCAGTTGTTCAAAGCTCTTGCCCTGTGCTGCCCTATCAGCGCTCCAAGAGGGGAACCAGCTCGTGAAGCCGATGGGTTCGTGGCCCTGTTTCACGACCAGCATATTCACTTTTCCTGACGGACGACCATCGTTACAAGTGTCGACATATTTCTACAGATAAAAATTTTTACGGACTTTAAACAAGGAGGAATTTTGTTATATCCTCTGGTATACATTCTCGTGCAAGACGCGGTGAAATAACTCGTAGTGGAAGTCCACTAGGTAAGTGAACTTCGCTGAATATATTTATATAAATTTCAGTGATAACCATGTACCTGCAAAGTCAGCAAACCTTCCTTCTTTTCAACGGCATTGCAGTCTTTGCCAAGCCAAAGGAAAGCTTCCCTAAACGTATCTAAAATCATAACATCATCTTCTTCAAGATCGTTCTGAGTGAAGTCAAACACTTCTTCGGCGTAGAAATATCCTTTATCGTTCGAGCAATGGAAGAGCCTAGGCGGACGGGCATCCATCGTGTTATCCTCCTTGGGCGAGGACACGTACTCCTTTTTACCCCCCAATGCGTCCCAGAATCCTTGAGGTTCCTGGCCTTCCATAACGAGCTCGTATCGCTTCGCCGATTCCGAGATCATCTGTGTCGCCGCTTTCGCGTACTCTCGTTCATCGCCACTCGCGCGTTTCCCGCACCACACGAAAGATCCACGCGGGGTCACCAAGATGAATGCGTCGTTGCTATTCAAAGACGTCGCGGTCAAATCGACTTGTATACATCTTACGTTCCATTCGTTCGTCCCGCGCACTTTATACAAATGAACTGTGCCGCCTTGTTCTTCAGCTTCGCTTACCGTCGCTGCGCCCTTTGATCTACCGCCACGTTTCACGATCATCTTGCCTTTGAGCATGCGCAGGAAGTGCTCAGGCTCTTGACCTTGAACCACACGCTGTTGTACGGGCTCTCCACCAAACTTGTCGTCCAGTTTCGTGCTCAGCAACGCTGCAGCTCCTTGCTCGTCCTGTGTGCTCTCAAGACCCTGGCGAAAAGAAGTACTTTGTGTAGCACTTGTCTTCGTGTCTCATCAACTTGGGGTGTTTGATCAATCTCCCCCCGTGCAGTTCCTCACTCGGCTCCAACCCAGAACCAAACCCAACCCAGAACCAAACCCAACCCACACCCAAGTATCTTACTCCATAAAAGAGATTGACTTACCAGCCAATAGTAGATAATGAATTTATCGTTTTGCTTGCCGTATGTATACAAAACGACATAACTGTCTCCTTGAAAGAATATACCATATCTGCTTTTAGGCCAGTCAACCAATTCGTAATCTTCAACCCTCCATATTTGCACGCTTCCGCGGGCATCGTCCGGCATGTGTTGCTCCTCGCGGTGACTTGTGTGCATAGATTTCACATCAAACGTCTTCACTTCCTTGCTGGCAACACGGCCTGGGTAAAACACAGGTATTAATCGCATTTAGTACAGTTTGTGTTTGATAAGCATCGCAAGTGGATAGCGCAGGTCATACAGGGTCAATTTGATCTTCACAAGTATGCAAGTGCAAGCCATTTATGGTCCTATCATCCAGCAGTGATCGGTCTTTCACATTGCGAGAAATGATTCCATTGACACTTCAAGAATAATGACCTCTGTTTTCCATGAGATCTTAGCTAAGATTTTTCATGTGTAAAACTACAGGAGCACTTACCACTTGTCCCACTTGGACTGGGAAGGTTCTTTGCTACATTGTAGTTCCATTTTGCGAACGCTGATTTAAACAACGGAGTCTCGGCACCCTCAATAACACGTGTGACCGGAGTCCAATCAGCGTGTCCCTTCGCAGCAAGGAACCCCTCTGCCTTTACCATTGAGCTCGCTCTTTCATCACGAGTTGCCTGCTTTCCAACCCAAACAAACACACCACTTGCTCCAGTGTCAACGATGAAACAATCCTGAAGAATTAGTGCAGTCATGTTGTTACGTGGGGATTGAAGACAGTATCCAAAATATTTGTACCGTTTGATATATATTCACACGAAGTCGTGTTAACGGGATGTAAAGCTTTCTTTAGTCTTTACCTTTGTGTCCAACATTTTCTGTTCCAGTGGAGCATTGGAGACTTTAGACATAACTACTTTGCCATCGCCACTGAAATCTGTTACCCTTTAATTGGAAAGACGTTAAATATATACTACTTAATACCACTCAATTCATATAGTCTTTAACCGAACTCATCTCAGTCAACTATGCCACATGTATATCGAAAAAAGCGGGTCGAATTTGTACAATTTTATACCTAATAAAGCCCATCCTGCTTATCATGATAGCAGAGCTAATGATCTGGCCTAGTAAAACTATCCTAGCTATTCATTATGCGGTATACACGCTAAACTAAGTGTTGGACGTTTTTTGAATGGATTCCATCCATGTTCCTCTGAGTTCTCATCGTTCCCGCTAAAAACAAAATGTCGTTGTTTTTACCTGTACAGACCAACAGACGCAACCTCTGCAGCTTTATCCGATCCCCCTTCCTTCGCATCTTTCACGTCACCAGGGTTACCAACTATTTCAAAGAACTTGTGTGCAGTTGGCGAGTCTTCACCAGATTCTAGTGTGAAGAAGATTTCAGTTTAAGATACATCATTAGAAATCGCTTTATGGAAGTAGAGTATATGGACAGATTTATCGAATCAAATATCTTGTTTTACTAATACTGGTGAAGCTACTCGATGTAACCTTGGCTTTGATACAGAGCTCTTGGCTCTCCACTTTTACACTGTACTAAACGAACTGTACTAAAGGAACCCTTCCTATGCTTCAAAGGTAATGAACTGAGAGGCGGTATATTTTACCTCTCATGAACAGATTTATAGTGAGAAACTGAACGTTTCCACACACAAAAGAAAACGCTACACTGCTCGTCAAGGAACGGTATATGCTGACTGGAACATGTACGTAAACGAATAACTTTTTCTCGTGGAGTCAAATATAGTATTGCAATCTTACCAACAAAGAAAAGCGAGCCTCTTCCCGCTCGTTCGTCATCTCTGATTTGTCTCATAACTTCAGCAGCCTGCAAAGTAGCAAAGGTATAGCCAGAGTTTAGAAAACTTCGAAAAGGTCGGACAAGAGCATTTTCAAGAAGAAGTCATTGTTAAAAGTCACCTTAATTCTCTCGCGACGGCTCGCTTGCTTTCCAGCCCACATGATCATTTCAGCTCCAATATCCAGGATGAAACAATCTCCATCGTTCATGGACGAAGCTGCAAATGGTACCTGAAAAGAATATATCACATATTATCAGATGAGAAAAACTAGCTTGTCAAAATTAAAACGGGCGATGAATGAGGAGTGTTTAACAATGTTCTCAATACTAAACTGTAAAAACTCTTGGATTGAAACCGCCTTTCACTTGCAGTAATCTTTGAATGTTTTCTTTTTCCACTTTCTTGAAGCCTGTTGCTACTCCACCCTCCATGTACTGAATACCAGACTTGAAATAGGACAAGAATTTCTTGCTTTCGTGCTCCTGTACCTACGCACGTTTATGCAAACGAGTTATTAGTTGACATGTTACCTACTTGTAGTTAAATGATGGACACGAAAGTACACAAAAACGTTAATACCATACCTCTCTGTATTGGACGGGAGCCCCACCAAGACAATCATCAAGCTCTACAGATTTGATTGCTGCTGTGCCAGCTTCATCCTGTGAAATTGTAAATAACACCAATTGTTTCTTCTTTCTGTCATAGACAATGTTACTGGTGGGAAGTAAGATACTGTGCTTCATCATTCAAACTCGTACAGAAACGTGGAGTGAATATATTTTCTTCATACCCGTGATGTTTCTTTTCCTAGCCAAAAATGAACATTTTCTTCACCAGATCTTTTGTTTTTCTAAGCGGAAGAAATAAGAGAATGATCAGGTACTAAAGATATTTCATGAAACTAAACAGTATAAAAACAATAAGCACTGTACAGTACAGTACTTCTTCAAGATTCGTTCGGTGGAGTTAGTTTGGATAGAACTTACGTAAAGTAAAATATATGAATCTCCGGAATGGAAATGGCCATAGTTCTTCTTGTCAAGAGGAACGACTTGCATTTTCTGTTAAAAATAATACGTTCAGATAACGCATTCGCTAAAAATTGTTGCCACCAATTAGAAGAAGATTATTTTTGGATGCAGATTGAAGACACTTAATATAATATCATGTTGCCATCTGCTTCGTATTTACATACAGCTGGCTTGTCTTCTGAAAATAAACTGAGTGAAACTTCCTTTAGGGCAATGAAAGTTTAAACAGCTGCAGTTTTTTCTACAACTTTTACATTCCTTTCTGAGTTAACCACATTTTTATACGCAAGCCAGCCCTTGTTGGCTGTTTGAGGAATTTTTTTCTTCTTCGTGTGACTGACCGTCGTTCTCTACCCACCTCAATTCTCCAAATACAAATTCCATCTGGCTTATCCTTCACACTACGAAACGCTGGATCAACGACCAAAGGCATCTTGGAAGAAAAGCTACATCAAAAAAGAATGGACAATGTCTAAATCTTATTCAGAAGCTGAGCGTCTGGTCAAATGCCTCTCAAAAGCAGTAGGCTTTGTACGTGCATGAAGTACCCGTGGAGTTAAAGTATTTGGCATGATAGACCGTTCCCCCTTAGATATTTAATATCAGTGATATTGCATACTAGGGTGTGGTACCCAATATTTCCACAGCTGAACTATCAATTATGTGATTAATACTAGATTATCAATTACGAGACGTTATGTTCTACTAACGATGTACTTAATTGTACACTGATTCCTATAGCAGGATACTGAAATAATTTGGTTTGAATCTAACCATTTCCTAGTTGAAATTAGGCCGTTACTAGATATCTATCAGGGTTCCTAAGTGTTGCTAAAAAGGATTAACGGAGGCTTGCTCGAGGCCTTTCCGTTTTGGTAAAGAAAAAACTAGAAGTGACCATTCAAATGGAATGAATTTACGGAGAAAACCATGGCGGTTGATGAGAAAGTAATAAAAGTACACTACAAGGCCTACCACTGTGGTCTACACCTAGCAACACGAGTGAACACTCGAAATCTCAAAATTATTGCGGAAGGATATCTTAGTGTTGTAATATCAATGTCTGCGCTTGTTCTCACAAGGAGAACTGGGCATCTGAATAAGTTTATATCCAAGAGCAGGTGGGAATCGTACGATTGGCATAATATGGATGGTTCAATGAATGAACACAGAACACGTTCATAAAAAACGCTCGCATTCTTTATATCGACGATGGATATTAAACGCAAGAGAAAAATTTGAAGCCGTCATTAAAGCTTCATTATAAATGCGTACAAACTGTTCGAGCAAACAATAGCGTAGGCGGATGAAGACCCAACCAGGCAGAGACTATCGTATGTCAGCAAATAAACAGCGGCTGTGAAGGTTTTCAGTAATAGGCAAGGTATTTCGCTTGGAACATTAGAGCTTGTAGCTCTCCGTGACTTTCCTCGTAATGCAAGGACTGTCCCATGCGAAATATTGTCTCTTGATAATCCACAGCCACTAGGAGCCATTCAAATACCTCAAGCGAGCAGGTATTTGATTAATCTCATGAATATATTAAACCAGCGACGCTAACATCGACTATGAATCGTTTGAAAGAAATAAACAATGTACACGCTTTAATTTATATCGTTATTCCCTACACATATACATTTGTGCAACTTGTGACGTGAGTCTAGCTCGCTGATTAAGTGAAGTTAAGCTAGAAAACGTTAGAATTGTTCGACGTTTGCAGTCATTCATGATTCATCAACTAGGCAGGTACAAGTATACTCGGCCGAACTACGTTCAAAAGGCCTTCGTTTAAATTACTCGTACATTCTTATAAATCGTGCTCCAGTTACATTACTGAGATGTACGCAACGACGTGCGGTTGAAATGACCCTGAACAATGTCTCCCCTCGTATGTGACAAGTATCGTTTCTGTAATATCGCTTGATATAGCAATACAGAAAGCAAATTAAAGTAGCAATTTCATACATTTTTCGTCTCATTGTTACAGTTATATATGCCTCAGCGAATACAACCACTCAACTCTAAGGAGACTTACCTTGGTTCTAGTGAGATATTAACGTCTTTTAATTCAGTTAATAACAACTCCTAGTGTATTACACAGTAAAGACAGCGCCCCCAATCGGTCACACGAACTATCTAGCTCCGCCAACTCGTTAATTCCCAGGACAATGCCATGACCAAATTTGGTAACGCAACATATGGATTAACCAATAGGATCCCACGTTTCCTCTCGTAAACCCTCAAGGAAACATAAACAAAATTTCCCGCATTTAAAAGTGAAAATATCTTACAAAGTTTCCCAAAGTTTTTCCTCTTCTATCTGCTGAGAATAATGATAAAGCCCTTTCATTCAGTTGTAAAAAATTAAATAAAAAAAAATCAAAATATTCTTCAGACAAAAGCTCAAAGCCCGTAGGACTCCATCCGGTAAGATGTTTATTTTGAAACCATTATCAGCAGGTTTTAGCCGTGAAATTTCCCACAGACGCTTATGAGTGATGGTATGGTAAATAAAGAGGTTTAAATGGAAATGTCAAAATTATCATCACTTCTAGGGTACTTGAATTGAAGTTGTTCTCTTGTGTTTTGGACAAATTCCTAACAAACCAGCCAATTACAATTGTCGAGAATTTTCGAGGCATTCTTTGAATGAATTCATCCGAATGTAACTACAAATTAGGTGCGGGTTAATAAAGCAAGCCAGGTTAAGCTTTAATTGAATTGTTTCCTAATCAGTTTATATGACCAGCTAATGTTTGTTAACAAATTGTTAATGCTAGTTTTAAGAATTCATGCAAGAAATTATGCAAAATGCTTGGAAGAACCCCATTGCTTTTATGTTAAAAATACTTAAAGAGATTTTATTCAGTGTATATGTAATGGTGCCAAGTTATGCCAAAATTTCCTCGTTTGATTTGTATAAAGAATTTGTTTTTGTCACCAAAATGAAGCTTGCGATTTAAAAAAATTCTACCGTATAAATTTCTTGGTTAGCCCTAGATAGCATTTGGTTATCTTTCAATGTTTTGAGTTGTGGTCACTAACCGTAACGGATATTTTTCAATTGGATGAGTTTCGAATACGAAGTCTGCAACACAGTTTTAAAGCTGTGACAAGCTGTATGTCTATCACTCTTCAGATCAATGCTTCATTAGCCTCCGTATGCATATTTTGTAGACAGTGGACTGCCGTTTATCATCAAACGAGTAGAGTTCTTATCCAGTGTTTTTAGTTCTGGAGTATATGTTGTGGTTAATAATTGGGAGTGTATTTACCTAGCTTAATTATCATTCTTATTTGGAGAGGTGTTTGTTTCGTCGCCAGGGAAAATTGCCTTATTATGTCGTGACGAAGTAAATATGTGTTTTGCTTTTTAGCTATTTCAGTCGAGAGGCCAATATTATTACATAGAATGACGGTTGATACTGATATTAACATTTGGAAAGATAGACCAAAGTGATAAAAATTTCCATGGCAAAGAAAAACTGTGAAACTTTGAAACAGCCGCTATTGTTCATTTCTATAAGGTGGAAAACTTTTTAGGCTACTCAGTACTCAGAGTTCGTTACATACGTTGTGCTATGCTAAACTCTGATTGGTTATTTAACTAACGTTGCTATTGGCTGGGTTTCATTTTCGACGAGAATTACACCAAAAGTCCTTTTCAACGAGAGACGATACTCACGATAGCATATTCTATATTTGAATTTGGATAGCTTTTTGATACCAGACGAATAATGACGAGGTCAATTTAATTATCTCCTAAACAATAACAGTGTAAAGTATACTATATATAGTATACTATACACTTGTACGGCGTACAAGCTCGCAAGGAGTCATGGTATAGCACTTAAAGTCGCCGCCATATTGGTCTGGTGAATATTTCGTCTCGTGCAAATCGAACACACGAAAGCAGAGCAAAACATATTCGACAAAAAATGTATTTGTTTCGAGCAGCCAGACGTGCGACATCTGTGATGGCGTTTCGCCGCTTCGCAACTTCAGCCGAAGGAAAACAGTCGATGCCGGTAGGTTTTTAGAGTGTAGATTGACTGGAATATAAAATATGAAATATCTAATCTGTTTACATACTTTGTACCATTGTTGGACGAAATGGATGTTGCAAACCGCAAATAATATAATTACATAGTTCCAATGTATTTATTCCAAATATGAGATATTTGTAGAAACGCTATATAGGGCTATAAAGTGCATAAAACAATATAAATAATCTATTTAGTTTGTTGCTGGTTTTTACAATAATTGCACCTATATTTCTCTATTATAGTACCTTCTGTATTGGGGGTTTGCTTTCCCGAGTTAAGGCCTATATGTAAGGGATCATAAAATAATTCTGATGGTGTTTGCTCTAAATTGCTGAAATGTTCATATTCTTAGGGTATTGGTCAAACTGTTGCCTTGCTATCAGTAATAAGCCTTGGTATTTTGGGTCCTGGGATGTACATGTTGCTGACAAGACCAAGATTTACGAAAGAGTGAATTTGATTTGAACATCAATGAACTTTCATAGCTAAATGAATGAAACCTATATTTTGTTTAAACTTTTATCATGAATGTGTAATAATATCAGGCTATTTAATGTTGCTGGAAAATGCTGTCGTGCTTGAGAAAATTGTGCATTGAAAAATTTACAGAAAGAATGCGTGTGTCTACTAGTATTTTTTGCTCTTATATTGTGTCCATTATTTAAAAGTTTAATGCAATAACTGATGGCAACAATCAGTAGAATAATGTTTGCACTCAGGCTAGGTCCAGGTAGGACAAGGTGATGGAAAAATGTGTACGCAAGCGTAATTGTTCCATAAACAGTACCATTTACGCTGTTAAAATAAGGTTTATTCTATAGAACAGGACAGAGTAACAATTCCGCTCTGTAGAACGTTCTAAATTGTAACAAAGTCGTTCTAAAGTTTGCAGATGTAGCAAGCGTGGGAAAAATCAATTAGAATTTCTTGCATGCGAAAAAGAACGTTTTTCGTGGGAAAAGAACTTCTTTGTGGGAAAGGAACCTTTTTCGTGGGAAAACTTCACTTAGAACCTTTAGCGTGGAGGAAAAGCTTCAAATTAGTAAAAATGAAGGCTTTTATTGAACAATCGATGTCATAGGAATTCTGTCTGACTTGAATATTTTAAAGAAGCTCGATTATTGCTATTCCTCGTCCATTATCGCAGTAGCCTTGTTTGTACCTCTCAATCTACTTCTCGTATTTCTAATTCATTGTTATAACCTCTTAGGGGTATATAATGCGTCTTCTTTCTTCCGATTCGAATATCTAAAACCTAGTATTTCCTCAATTTCGCTATCTTTTTGGCTATGAAACATATAATGCGATTGCCTCCTTTGAAACATTAGCGAGCTTTAGCAGTGACTACGAGTACGACTACGAGTACGAGATTCGTCATTCTCGCGCGTTGTTTGCTTACGCCATCAGCCAAAACTCGTAGTCGTTGGGCTTTTGAGTACGAAGTTTATCAAAAAACTCGTCTTATCAAAAAGTTTATCAAAAAATTTTCGCCTTTGAGGCTACGACTTCCAATCTCATGGATTCAAAATATATACGACACACAGCTGACCGACTAGCGTGCAGAAGTTGCAAGCGTGAAACTTGGCCACCTCTTTCCTTGCCACGCAAACCTTACTGAATATCGCGAAAAATTTTCGCACCGCCATAAAACTAAACTAGCACGCACAGTCTCCAGGTACCGAGCAGAATTAGGCTAAAAACGCTTTTTATATTCTGCAAAATGTTCAAATGGGCCATTCAAAATCAATTGCAAACGGAAGTAGCGTGCTTTACGATTTCCGGGATGAATTTTCGACGAAAGTACAAACAAAAGTTGAATGTTTCGAGCTGCGATCTGATTGGCTCGAATAGGTGCGAGCCGCTAATTGCAGCACGCTGATTGGTCGATTACGAGGGGAATACAAATGTTACGCAGGTGCTCGCGTGTTTGTAAACAATACAAACGTAGCCAGGCTTTGTTTTTTGATATTTTGACCCCATTCATGAGCACAAAGAAAAATAAGATCCACGTTTTTCATTCATGGACTTTAAGGAATATGTCTTGGAGGGAAACGAACGTTATCAAAATGGCCACTAGGACTTCGCCCAGACGCTGTGTCTTGCAAAGAAGACTTACTACGGAGCAAAGTGAGCCCCAATTTATTTTATAAACTGTGATCATTTTGTGTGTAGTTGAATTTGCTTTTGAACACTGCAGATCTGTTCAAGGGGAAACAACAACAATGCTGGGTTTTTACTTTGTAGGAAGTGATAATTGTGGTAAAGCTCGAAGATCTTGCAAATACGACGAACAGCTTGATCGATCAGGAATCGTTGACGACAGCGTTGTACGTGCTAATGTGAGTCTCGAAAAAAAGTTTTATACATTTTTTATGAGTTTAATACAGAGTATGGTATTTTTTCTCCTAGTCTACAAGTTCCTGCCAACCCAGGGCAAAGCGATCTTGCAATGTCCATAGATTGCGACGAATGAGCGTACAAACAGGTAATTTATTGACGAATAATTTTAAAATTCCACTCAAACACATTGAGGTACTTTGGCAACGATAACAAGTGTTAACTCTAGATAAATATTTATAAGATAACTGATGAGATCACAGCAGACTTGCAAATGATTTGGAGGTGAGAGTAGGGTTAGGTTCATGTTATGTAAGGAGGGGAGCTTGTAGTTCACTGCTACACACTGAGCTGGTGGAAGTCAAGGTCTACTTGTGTACTTGGGTATCCAGGAGTTTCAGTCACCTGGATCTAAGTATTTTACCTACCTGAAATCTCCAATCATTTGATGACGAATGACCTTATATCAATGCGATACAGGGTTTGTAATTCCTCAGAGTGTCAATGATGTATTTCTGAAATGAACTAGCTGCTATTCTGTTGCATATGTGATTATAATTCACCAATGGTGAATTGTTCATCCACTGTAGATGAAAATTTCTCAAACTGTTTTTCTCAAAAGGTCATCCAACAACTCCATATTTCCAATGTCGGTTACCCGATGAAGTGTTGCTCAATCTGTTCAGCTTTTTGCTAGCAAAGGATATTTGCAGATTAGCATGTGTCTGCAAAAGATTTGTCAAGATTTGCCAGGACTCAACATTATGGTGAGGGAATTGAGGTCAATGTTTTTTAAATCAGAAATAACTTGAGAAAAAATTTAATCCTTCATGCATTATCGTCCCCTCATATGTGCCTTTTTCCAGGGAAAAACTTTACAAAAGAACTTTTGGACTGGATTATATTCTCAGAAATGATGAACAAACTCGGGGGTTGTATGAAAAAATGCCACCTGGAGATGTAATGAAAGATTCATGGCGTGAGGCTTTCACTTCTTTCTATCAATCACATCATGTTGTTTCCAGTGATTCACAGAAGGCATGTGAAGATCTTAAGGTACCTATTATAATGTAAATTTGAAGTACGTACCATAGACTCTTATCATTATGCCCAGAAATATACAGCCAGCTTAATCTGGATAAAAACTGCATGCATTGAAAGGTTCTTGGTCAATTCAAAATGAAGCTTTTTGATGGCATTTTTCCTATGCAACACAATGGAGGAATATCTAACACCAACTGTAAAGAATATTTATTGCTTGGGTGTGAAATGTTGTAAAGTGTAAAATATCTATATTTAGCCCTGCAAAGAACCTAGCTGAAATCGTCAACAGGGACTATTTTCTTTCAAGTTTTTGTTTTTAATATTTAGTATCACAGTAGTCTCAAAGAGGCAATTACGTCCGTCCCTGAGAATGGAACAATCATTATTCACCCTGGGATCTATAGAGAGGAGCTTGTAGTCAAGAAACAAGTTACTATCATTGGGACAGGTAAGTTAGACCACAAAGTGCATCTAGAAACAACTGGTTTCAATTCCGCCTGCTGAATGGAACTGAACTGAACGTTTTCTGGTAACGTTTCGTTTCCTAACTATTTTCATGCATGTTTAAGGTTTTGAGGAGAAGCCTCAAGTTACACTCGAAGGATCGAATGCCACTGTTCTTAAATTTCTCCCTGGATCGGGCGCGTCCTACGTACGAAATATCAACGTCAAAGTAAGAAATTCAAATTCAACCTTTGGCCCGTTCCGAGATGAATGAGATTGTCTTCAATCAATATCGGTCTCTTTTTCAGTATGTCAGCGGTGATAGTTTGTCGTGTCGTCCCAGCTGCATTGAAGTCGGCCCCGACTGCAGTACGATTATACACCGATGTGTCGTCGTTAGCAAAGCAATTGGTAAGTTATAGGAGACCGGGTGGTAACCTTGGCCGAATCGACACAGTTTTACCAATGTAATAAAATCTAACCAGACTAAACCAGTATCTAGCTAATGTAATTAAATTAATCAATAACCAATCAGAATTTGGAGTTGAAAACTTTTCGACCACTCAAAATATGCTCAAGAGTTTTAAGCCCTTTCGTGGTTATATACTGTCATTACGTTTTGTGATCACAGTCTCAAAACCTTTGTATCTTGGTAGTAGTTTCTTCAGAGGAAATATACAAAAATGTGAGAAACTGTGGCTTTATTACAAAATCACTTATTACAAAATCTGATTGTGAAAACCAGCCCGTAGGCTTGTCCGCTTGCAATTGTAGTAACTTGTGGTTTAATAACAATCAAATATCTTTAGCTGGTTCAACAGTATATGTTCATGGTCAGACGGCAAGACCACGAGTGATCAATTGTTCCATCACAGATTCCGAGAATGTTGGAATATTCATCAACAACAACGGCCAGGTATTGGATTAGGATCATTTCACTAGACTTGGATTGGATTTCACCAGATTAAGATTAGTTCACATGATGAGAATTGGTTTGGTAGATTAGATTAGATTAGTTTACTCGATTGGAATTTGTTTACAATGAGTGAAAGTTTGGATCACGATGTGGTATTCGATACTTTGAAGAAATCTGCATGCCTGTAGAACAGTGTGATATTATACATTTGTACTGAGTAAGTTCTAATCGCAATCATATACCTGACGTATTTTCTACTTACCTTCCTCTTAGGGCATTTATGAAAGCAACGACATCAGCAATAATAAGTTGGCTGGAGTGTGGGTGAAAAACGGCGCCAATCCTATCATGAGAAACAACAAAGTACATCATGGTCGAGATGTTGGCTTCTTTATCTTTGATAATGGTCAGGTAGGTAACACCCAGCGATGACACCACAGAGGGTAGTAAAAACGGGAAAATATGTGTCAAAATGATTACGCATGTTTGGTTAGATTTCAGTTTGGTTCATTCAGTTTAAGATTTCGTAGAGAACCAATCAGAAGAGAACCAATCAATCACACTCGAGTCTTACATCAATTTATTAAGCACACTAAGGTTATAACCCTGTTCTTCACGACCAAAAATTGATCAGGTTGTGGCATCAGGAGTGAACAATATTGTTTCAACAAGTTGCAATATGGTATACTTTTTTAGATGGTTCAACAAGCTTCAACAACCATTGTTAACAGTACTGTTCACAGGGTGCAGCAAAACATTGCTCAATTCTGTTTTTAACAACTTGCATCAAAATTATCATTTTTGGCTGTGCATAGCTTTGTGACATATTGATCAGCTGGCGAGCAATCGTAAACTCAGAGTACGTATTTTCATGATTTATTTCAGGGCTACTACGATGGCAATGATGTCTTCAGCAACAGGATAGCAGGATATGAAGTACGTACAGGTGGAAACCCAACCGTAGTGCGATGTAAGATACACCATGGTCTCACAGGAGGGATTTATGTTCATGACGAGGTAACTGTTTTCGTTTCTGTAAATTAGTAAGAAAGCCGAACTAACATTCAAAGTCCATTACCCCTACCAGCTCCCCTGTGTTCTCGTAAGTGGCCTGGTAAAAAGATGAACTGGAATGCGAACATGAAGCGTAGGGTTGTTGACAGAACACGGGGTTTCGACAATTTTTCTTAACGTACATTCTTTTGCTGTCTTCAGGGTCGTGGCCAATTTTTAGAGAATAAAATTTATGCCAACACTTTCGCGGGAGTTTGGGTGACATCAAGAAGTAATCCGACTATTAGGTATAGATATATCTTGTTGTGGCTGGTGCTTCAAGTGGGAATTTTTCCTGGAGTTGCTTAGCAGCACTGAAATGACCGAATTAAATCTTCGTAACGAGATATCTTCTTTCATTTTTAGAGAAAACGAGATTTTCAGTGGACAACAAGGAGGTACAGTATATAACTGCATGAATAAAAAACTGTTAAAAAAGATTTATTAACAGTACGCATGCTTTATGTCTTCACGTTGTGACTGCAACTGAAAATCTCTACGAAAGAAACTATGGCAAAAGTCTATTTTCAGGGAGGATTGTAAAATTATATGTTCTTGGAGCAAATTTTAGGATTATATGTTCTTGTGTCTTTTTTCAGGGGTTTATGTGTTTGGTGAAGGTCGAGGAGTTATAGAAAGAAACAACATTCACAGTAAGTTTTGGTCTTAAATCCAGAATTGCTAGCTTCTGTTAGTTTTCTGCTGTTTCTGGGTATAGATCTGCTAAATAAGGAGTGTGTTCAATATTCATCCAAACTTTGAGTGTTTTAATTAATTATTTGCAGGCAACGCTCTGGCTGGAATACAAATTCGTTCCCAAAGCAATCCTGTTGTTCGCCATAACAAAATACATCATGGACTTCATGGTGGAATATATGTGGTGAGTTTTTGATTGCTTTACTATTCTGCATCGTAGCGTAAGCTTTTCTTGCCAAAAATGGCTCATTTCTACTTTATAAATAATTTCTAATCAAGTATTGTACTTCAAGGTTTTTTTGTCCGAAGACACATCTTTGGAAAATCACTAAAGAGTATCATGTTTCGTTTCAGCATGAAAGAGGACTGGGTTTGATTGAAAATAACGAGATTTATTCAAATACTTTGGCGGGAATTTGGGTGACCACAGGTAAATTGGTTAAAGCATATTATGCTACTATAAATTTATACCTATGAGTCAACGCAAGCTAGGGCACTACCAGAGCTCACGAGAGTTTACTCCAAAAGATACGTCATTCTCATGCATTTTCGTGATAAATCTCATCTTCTACTTGCATTCCCACCTCCAGGCAGCTCTCCAGTGATGAGAAATAACAGAATCCACAGTGGAAAACAAGTACGAGACAAGATTTGTTTGCTAATAACCAGTGTTAGCAATGATTTTCGCACTTAAATTCGATACAACCGAAGTAAAAATAACCTTGATATTTATAGCCATAACAAAAGAAGATGTACAATTAAGGAACAATTCCTAGTTAAATTTTGACTTATTCTTCTGTTCAGGAATTCACCTTCCAGACAACCACACTTGGTTCGAGTGGATAAAATCTTAAATTTTTGGATAAATAACTTAAACGAAATTAAGGTTAAACGATGATTTAAACCAACTATATCATTTAATATGCTTTTGAATGAAATTTTTAACTGTACTTACCAATATTCTTATATTTGTTACATCTGCTTAACTATAACACATATATCCCAGAATTTATTGCTAAAATGAAGTTTCTAAATAGGTCATTTCTAAAAAAGATCCCACCTCAATTTGCAATTAAAACGTCCGATATGCCATTTTATGAAACGTTAGCATATATAAATATACGAAACATTGTACAAACCATATTTTAACATAATTGTAACATTCATTTCAATAATTTTACTAAAATAATAAGACTAAATAATTTTCCTATTAAAACAGGAAAAAAAATACACAGCAATGTGTAGTGGAGAGAAAACTTAGGAGTTAAAATTTAAACGGGTTAAAATATTTATATTTACTTTTTAAGTGTCCTCAGTTGTAAAAGACATTGTATATGCATGATTGTATTAACTCGAGTGTAATTTTAGTAACATGAAATTCTACGTTTTTCAAGGTTGGGGTATATTTCTACGACAACGGCAACGGTATTCTTGAAGACAATGAAATATTCAATCACAAATACTCAGGAATACAGATAAGGTTTGAATGACTTAGCCTGTGAAATTATAGAATTAGGTATATTGTTCAGTATAAATACTAAATACACGAATGTAATCCCCGAGAAAAGGTTAGGATTAAGGTTAGAATTAGGTCTTAGAGTAGGTTTACGATTGATTAGGGTCGACCCTTGATCCTAAATCTAATCCTAGCCTAATCGTAAGGATTTGACTCTTGTATTTAAGATTTACTGACATGGGATTATTGGGCAGTTTTAGAAAAACTGCATGTGCTTAGGTTGAGGTTGAGATTTCGAGATTCGAAATTTTTCGTACTAATTTTTATTCGAGTAATGCGTTTGTCCTTTTGTTTGAAGGACATCAAGCAATCCTGTTATCAGACGAAATAAGATATGGGGAGGTCAAAATGGTGGTATCTTGGTTTACAATCAAGGTGCGAGAGTTAGCGATCGTCTTGTTCGTACCGTGCGATTGAAAGAGCTGCTGTGCCTTTCGCATAGATTGAATGAATGCACACACATGACGTTTTCTTGTTTCTCAATTCCCAGGTCATGGCTTACTGGAAGAAAACGAGATATTTGACAATGCCATGGCTGGTGTTTGGATTAAAACTGAGAGCGATCCGATATTGAGACGAAATAAGATCCACGATGGACAGGAGGGTGGGATATGTATATTTAATGGGGGTAAAGGTAAGATTTATTCATCCATTGATGAGATCATCGATTGATTGATTTACAAATAGATGATTATTGATTAATAAGTTACTTGATGAGTTGCTCCAATTCAGTAATCTGGATTAATTTTTGATTATATTCACCGTATTAATTTTCTTTTTTGTAGGATTACTAGAAAACAACGACATTTTTAGAAACGCATTAACAGGTATAAAACAAAGCTCTATACATCTCCTTTTCTGGACCCATCCAGATTTGTTTCGAAATAACTGAATTATATAAATCTCGCGTGATATATTCAAACTTTTTTTCTTCTCTTCAAAAGCAAAATCAATGCAAATTTGAATATAATGATGTACTGCTTTCAATGAAAGAGTTCACCCATACTTTTGACGATTGAAAAAATATTAACTGGACATTTTCCAATTAATCCAGGCGTTCTCATAAGTACCTCAAGTTTTCCTGTTCTTCGTTCTAATCGAATCTTCGAAGGGGGGACAAGTGGAATCGAAATTACTAATAACGCAGGTTTGTGATTGTCGTAATGCAGGATATTGTTTTCTTGATGAAGTTTAATGCTTGTGCGTCTGCGACCATATTGATCTCAACGGCTATGGTATCATTCTACGCCGTTTATTTTTAGGTGGAATTTTAGAGTCGAACGAAATTTTCAACAACAAATTTAGCGGCATTTGTTTGGCATCCGGCGTGAAACCACAGCTCTCAAGTAAGTTTATATTATCAAAGAAAAATTGAACGTGACTGAAAGTATTTATCCTGTTGTACGTAGAATCGTCTGGCAATAGACACAGGCATATACTCCTATGGCTGAGGTCCTGTTCCTACGCTTGCCTCTAGAAAACATGCATGTAAACACTTTATTAACCAAGCTTCGTTTTGCATTGTATCTTCCCAGAAAATATCGTCTATGACAACAAAGAAATCATAAAATCTGCTGTGGAATCAGGCTGTTGTTTGTACACAATCTCTGGGAACTCATGTTATCCTATGAACGACTTCTACAGGTAAAACATGAAAAATGTGGCAGACTTTATTGGAGAATATACGAATGATACCTATAAGAATCTTCCCTCACCCTATAGACATTGATTGTGAAAGTCAGTCCAACTGTTTCCCTTTTTCCACGGCAAAATATATTTACGTCGTTTGTAACTTTAGGTGTAATACATGTGGCAGATTGGAAAATTATGCAATATGTGTCAATTGTATCAAGACCTGTCACCAAGGACATGATGTAGAGTTTGTACGTAGAGATAGGTAAGAGGTATACGACTGTCATTCTGAACACAATGTAGGTCCGTGTTCAGGCTGATCAAGACCCGTTTGCCTCATCACTATGTTGGGTAATGTTGGCTGTATTGGGATTGGATTTAATAAGCTCATTTTGGGTTTTGGTCTGTCTAGATTTTTCTGTGATTGCGGTGCCGGCAGTACGAGAGCTTCGTGTCAAGTGCTTGCCAAGGACGAGCACACTCAGACGACGAAACACCAGAACGAGTCACGTGTCAACTCGCGCTACGGCAATGACGTCATCCCGCGTGAATGGCCAAATTTTGAGCACGCTACTAAAGCGAATGCGAGCACGCAACGGCCCTGAACGTGATAAACAGAAGAGCTTGCGAAACGTCCTCACAATAGCCAATTGATGCGCGAATCGTTGTCTTGGTGGGTGGTTGGCCTTTGCTAACAATTCCAGTGTTAATCTGACTGAATGTGGTTGTTTCTGCTGTCATCACTTCTCACCCACCTCCACAGGCCGATTGCGCACACCTCTCACGATCTTTCAAATTCTGGTGGGGTCAGAATCAGAAAGCCCCCCCAAAGGGCACTCAGCCAGCCACACATGCATAGATATATAATGAAAGCGCCGTATTTAATACAACCAATACTATGTAATATACATTATTTATTTGGAGATAAATTAAGATTAATATAATTATGTCGGTAAATACCAAGTTTCTTCACTGTAAATATTTGAATTTTTTTGGATAATTTGTGCTACCAAATTAAGATGGCGCATTAGAGCGCATCTTTGTATGATGGTTTAATTGAAAGGGTGGTTTAATTAAAAGGATTTAAAAAAGCAAAAACAGCCATTGAACGAAGACACATATTATAGATTGCATTTCCAACTTACTGTGCAAGACTCCAAGTGCATCATTGAAGCAGTCGACAATCAGCAGACATTATTTACGCCAGAAAGCCGACATTAATTTGCGAATCGGGTCCATACAACATGGCGACCTTTCTATGAAAGTATTTGTACAATCCACACGTGTACGTCTGTACGTTTTCTACGACTTTTTTAAGGGATTTGAAAGATATATCGGCACTCGAGGGAAACGAAAAATGCCTCCAAAGAAGAAGGAAGAGGTTAAACCCACGCCGCTCATGGGCAGGATTGGAACTTCCCTAAAATGTGGCATAGTTGGGCTTCCAAATGTCGGGTAGGTCAATGTGTCGATTACAATGTTGTTTTGTCATGGAGTTTATATTGCACTTGGTATTGTTGAAGTCCACACTCGTTGGGAACCTTATATGGGGAGTGCTTACCTGAGAAATTGCTGCTCAGAGACAAATGCTTTTTAGTTTTTATAAATAGTTTCTATCTATCTTTATTTAAGACCTTCCGCTTAGCTGTGCTCACAGGAGGTTGGATTGTTGGATGTTTTTTATACATAATATCATGCTTGAGTGATATCTGAACATGCATACAAAATTTGCTATGACATACTAAAAAGCATACCACTGAATCAGTCCATCTCTCATGTGTGTGTTTTTTGCTCACCCCAATGAAGTGATTAACACTTTTGTTGCTCAATGGTTGGTGATGATTCGAAGAGAGTCAAACCTGACTAATTTTTCAACATCAGCTAAAATAGCATTAGAATTGGGGAAGTAATGTTCACCTCACTCAAAAAGCCATCAGATCCACAAAATCCCATCATTTTCTATCAATATATTACCAATTGAGGGTGGGTATGTGTGAAACAGATGCACATGCATGTTTTCCCAGGCATATTTGGTTAGCAATGTTTGTTGCAATTCAACGTTATAAGTAAAATTGTTTAATGAAAATAATGCATGGTTTTAGGAAGTCAACATTTTTTAATGTTTTAACGAAAAGTGCCGCAGCTGCTGAGAACTTCCCATTCTGTACAATAGGTAATTGATAATTTATCATGTCTTTACTTTGTTTTAACCAAATCATATATTGAACAACAATTATGTGATGAATTATATTAATTGAAACTATTTTTTTGTCTTCATAGATCCTAATGAAAGTAAGTACTTTCTTTCTGAAATGTTATATTCATGATTCACATAATCAGCTGAAAGGATTGTAAAGTAAACAGATCTTCAATGTTTTTGTATTTGGTGTTGTCTTGTTAGGTCGAGTTCCAGTGCCTGATGAGAGATTTGATTGGCTATGTGAGCACCACAAACCCGTTAGGTGAGTTAGACCTGACGAAGAGCTCTGACTGTGCTAATGATGTCAAAAGCTGTTTGGAATATTATATCAAATCCCTTTATTTCTTTGTGGTTCTTGTAGTAAGGTTCCGGCATTTCTTCTGGTGACAGACATTGCTGGATTAGTTGAAGGAGCTTCTGAAGGCAAGGTGGGGTTTTATTCCAGCGTTAGTTCTGTTTTGTCTCCTTAATCATGCATTCTAGCGTTTGTGACAGTAGAGAAATTTTTATTCTCTTTACAGGGCCTCGGAAATGCATTTTTATCCCACATCTCTGCTTGTGACGCCCTGTTTCATGTTGTCAGTAAGTCTTCAGGCTCTCTTATTGAAGAACTATTTGCTATTATTCTGGCTGTATTATAAAATGTCTTGAAAAACCTAATTTTCTATCAGGAGCATTTGAGGATGGTGATGTTATACATGTTGAAGATGACGTAAATCCTGTACGAGATTTAGAAATAATATCAGAAGAATTACGGAAAAAGGTTTGTATTAGCATATGAAGTCAGAAAAACACCCATCTCCCTGCTCAACCGTGAGGTGGAGATCTATCCAGAGAACTTATACCATATCCTAGAAGTATATCTAAATACCCACCACCCTCCTGGCTAATTAGTTTTTTCCTTCAACCCCCCTGTATAACAGGCTGCATTCTCCACACACCCCCTGTCCACCAAACAATTCTTTGGTGTTAATACTTAAATGCCCTTGTGATCCCCCCTTCCCCTGGATGATTGACCACCTCCCAACACTTCCCCCTGGATAATTCCCTGTCTAATTGTTTTCCTTTTTTATTTCCAAGGATGAACAATACTTGAATGCCAGAATGGTTTGTACCTTTTTCGAACATGCTGATGCCAAATATGTCTCCCCCTTTCGATAGTTTCACAGCATTGTGTACAAGAACATGAAGTGGCATCTCTGATTCTGAACATGATTTTTTTTGTTTGCTTTTGCCTTGGAAGCAATGTTTATCCATTCCTCTCTTCTGAACCGTTTAGGAAAGCATGGAACGAAATGCTTTAAGAGGTGGAGATAAAAAGGCCAAAGCAGAATACGTACGATGGAATTTGCTTTTAAGTTCATATTTTTCGATTTTTCAAAATTTTGCGAGTTTAAAATTTTTCATCATACTCTCATCGCGGGACTATTTCAATTTCTCTCTTTAGGATATCTTAGCAAAGATTAAGAAATTGGTTGTGGAGGAAAAGAAAGATGTTAGATTTGGTGAATGGCATGCCAACGACGTGAGTGTGCTTTGATGCAGATTTTCATGGCGAGGTTTCTGTGATAGTAAAGGCCCGTTTACACTTGCAATATTTGGTGCGATTTTCTTCTTTTGGTAGATGTGAACGAGTGTTTAGTTACGAATGCTCTGACGTATAAGAGCTCTTACTTGAACATCCGTAACTGATTCACTCGTTCACATCTATCAAAAGAAGAAAATTGCAAATAAAATCGCGCCAAAAATTGCAAATGTAAACAGGCTCTAAAAACATACAATATAGATTTGTCGAATTTTCCATTTTTCCCAGATGAAAAAAACTCCATTTCCGTAGTCAGTTTTTCAAAAGATACATTTCCTTTATATTTTTTTAATATGTTTTCATTGCGATCGTTTCCTCTAAGAAAACTACCTTTCATTTGTAGATCGAGGTTCTCAACAAGCATCTATTGCTGTCCTCAAAACCTGTCATATACTTAGTCAATTTATCGGAAAAAGACTACATTCGCAAGAAAAACAAATGGTAAAAACGATTGGTGTGTTCAGTTCCGTTTTCCTCAGTCAACAGTCTGATATACGCGAGATATTTCCTTTTTTTTCACAGGCTCTTAAAAATCAAAGAGTGGATTGACCAACGGGATCCGGGCGCTCTGTTAATTCCCTTTAGTGGTGCCTTTGAGTTGCAGGTAACTAGTCCAGTCTTAGTATTATAGACCAGTGTCTGCTTCCTTTGTAATATCTTGTGCATGTCATGTCTTCTTCAGCAAAACACTGACCTTTTTCATTGTGATTTTCCCAGCTACTCGATATGCCTGATGATAACAGAGAAATATATTTAAAAGAACACAAAACGACAAGGTATATATGTTGAACGCCTTCATTACTGTAAATTGATTTCCCCCCCCCTGAAGGTTTTATTAAATCCACTCATTTATGCGCACGGCCCCTACCCCACCGGGGGGTGTGAATATGTTCAGTGTGAGGTCGATTTCGTGAGGGGAATTCTGAGAATTTCAATGCGATCAACTAGCGATGATAATTTTTTGAGTGCCTGCATCTGAATTAGCAGAATCCGCATGGGTTGAGCCATTGAATTGGGAATCTTTTCCAGGCCCTCAAATTCATTAGTTTTACCTCATTGATTATACGGTGGGGATTATAGGAGTCCCTATGCCTTACTACAAGTTTGTGGGTCAACTAGAGAGAGCTGTACCCCACCACAAAGTCGACTACTATAAGCCTGGGTAAATCAGGGTGAAGCAGTGCATATTACAAGGCCGTCATCAATGCTCACACATTTCTCTCTCATTCTGCAGTGCATTACAGAAGATAATCGTGACAGGCTTTAAGACTTTGCAGTTGGAATATTTCTTCACGGCTGGCAAAGATGAAGTGAAAGCGTGGACGATACAAAAGGGAACCAAAGCTCCGCAGGCTGCCGGAAGGATTCACACAGATTTCGAGAAAGGTTTCATCATGGCCGAGGTAAGCCCAGGTCAACTCTGTTTATCTCTGTGGTTAAATATACATTCAAATGTATTTAATCGCAGTAGTCTATCAATATTAGATAGAGTTTTTCATAAATATGCATCGTTGCATTAGTTAAATCTGGTTTACTTCAGAGGGCTTCAGCGTAGGCAAAAGGACGGCTCAGAAGAGACCACTTGTAGGATATTTACCATCAGTCGCAGAGTTGTTGGAATGTTCTTTTTCTTTCATACCCACGCATAAACTGTGTTTCAAAACATAATGCAGCTAGATATGACATGGTTGTCATCTGTAGCGCCGAAGCAATACAGGGAATCTATCCCCAGGCTACCCTAGCGGGGGGAAAATGTCGTTTTTAAGCGTTGATTATACAAGAAAAGGAAATATTTCTTCCCCTTGTGATTGTGCCTATTTCGCAATATAAACCGGATATGGCTCTCTCTGTCAGCGCTGATACCCCTCGAATGGAGGGAGTGACAACGTCGAGCACCTCTTGGAATACATCCATGCACCCACACACCCTTAAATCAATCTACAGATTCCAAACTGATGTTGTCATAGAGGTTGTGCAAGGGTGCTTCATTGGTTGAGTGCTTTTTCGAAGTGAAAAAAAAGGGAATAAAGTTATGGATTAATCGTGACGCTAATTGTACATGTACCACCACTAAACTCTCGCTAGCGAGAAACAACGTTCATTTTCTTTCTTTATTTCAGGTAATGAAATTCAATGATTTGAAAGAACTGGGCAATGATCATGCTGTGAAGGTAACGTAAGATTCTTGTCTTTCCAAGAGACTTTGTCCCCCAGTTAACACCGCAATGCCCTTTGTTCCACTAACGCTGTAGTCTGACTTGTTTGGTACTGTACTTACTGCTTTGATATGTTGTATTCAGTGTTTCACTTGCAACGAATGATATAAGTTGATCATTGCAATGCAGCTAGTCTGACTGACTTTTCTGTTACTACTGATGCTAACCAGACTGGTCTAGTACTTACTACTTTCCATTGTTTTATGGAATGCTTTTAGTCTTTCTTAATGCCAATTAATGATTGCAGTACTGTTAGTCTGACTGAGTGATGACTGTTGCAACTAATACTAGCCTGACTAGTCTAGCACTTACTGCATTGCAATGTTTTATTCAGTTTTTCTCTTTCAACCTTCTTCAATGTCAGTTGATCATTGCAGTACTGCTAGTCTGACTGAGTGATGACTGTTGCTACTAATACTAGCCTGACTAGTCTAGTACTTACTGTTTGCAATATTTTATTCATTGTTTTACTTTCAACCCTCCTCAATGTCATTTTATCATGTAGTACTGCTAGTCTAACCGATTGAAAACCTTCCTTGATGCTACCCTTAATCGTAGTGTTGTATCAGAATGCGCGTTCGGACCCTTCTTCACAACACCATTAATTGTTTTCTTTTTTGTCCAGGCCGCTGGAAAATACCGCCAGGAAGGTAAAAACTACGTTGTTCATGACGGAGATGTGATCTTCTTTAAGTTCAACGCCGGTGCTGGATTGACCGACAAGAAAGGCGCCAAGAAATAAGGCAAAACCGGTTAGTGGCAGAACTGAAATATCATGAATAATTCACCAAAATAACTTGAATTAAATTCTCGCAAAGAAACGCACCTCAGGAACATTCGAGTTGTCACGAAATTTTTCTGAATTTTAATTTTTTGAGCCATTTCATAAATCAGTTTGAAGTAGTTTTTTTGCGCAGTGTAAAAATTTTCGGATCAAGGGATAATCGCATCAGAGTCTACGCAAATCCTCTTGCCGACTTAGAAGATTGGATTTAGGCATTCAATTCAGCGAATTCTGCGGAAGAAGGTGCAGTTAAGGGCGGGAAATTAATCCCGGGATTAACTGTGCTTAATATGCGTCGAAGAATGTATCACAGCGCGTTTTCCTAAAAAATAACACATTATCCCTCAAGTCCAGACGGTGCCATCTATAAACTCAATTCCTTAACGCCACGTTGCAAATTGACACAATGTAAACGTTCCAGACAAAGACAGATTCATACCCAATACGATTATCATACCAGGCCGAGTATTATTGATATAAATCAAATTTTGTGTCACTTTGCACGATTGAAAAGCAAAATTTAGGGCTTTTAGATGGAGCGTGTTAATAATTGAATTAAAATTTAAATATTACCGCTTTTGCAGCATTTACTATACACATCAACCTTCGCTTAATTAGCATCCAGAATTTGGCCTGCAGTCTTATTAGCTGATTATTGGTGTAACCGATCACTGGGAGAGATATAGGTAACCTTTATTTGGTTTCCCTTCAGTTGTAATGCGACACTTTTTGAAATTTTCAAATCGAGACCAATATGGCAGCGAGCTATATGGCTGTATATAAGAAGGGACTCGATTTGTAGCCAAAAATGGTTTTGAATTCTTTACATTCCCATTGCATATATAGTGTACTGTCTCTATAATTGCGTGGTCGCTATTAAATGCCTTCAATGCATGTCTGGATAGCAGTGGTCATCATCAACAACTCAAACTGTCAGGTTAAAACGAAGGATGAGTATTATGGGACACAAACACAACACTACCCCTTGTCTAGCTTATGAATATAAACCTTCGCTCTAGTTTCGGACCAGTACATCATGATCTCTCCTAAGGCTAACCATCATTTACGAACATTCATCATCCCTTACAGTTAATTACATGTTGAAAATCTACTTCAACCTTAGCTATCCTAAATGATAGACTATCCAGTAAGCAAGCCAAGCATCGTCTCAATAATAATAACTTTGACGTAAATATCTAGACTTTTAGACGATTTTGTAAAGTGTCCATTATGTTGCGTATATGGTGTGATTAAGTGCCAAAAATTTGACTAAGATGTTGTTCTCATGAAGAACTCTTTGTCTCAAAGGCTAAATGGTTATATAATTACCACTTATTTAGGCGCACAGAAAACCTAAATATAAAATTATATTTGCCGCTAAGTTGTGTTTCGTCGGCTCATATAAATAACCCGAATATAAATATTTGTCCTCCCCACACGATAACACACTATCTACCGCGTAAACATCACGGCCACAGGTAGAAATATCTCAACCAATGCGCGGGAAAAAATTGCTTTGCAATCGTCATGGATTTTGAACGGTTCGTTGCGGTTATATCGGCTGGTATTTTCGAAAAGGTTTTGTTAATATTTCGGAATAGTCCAGAAAATATTAAGGATTGTTGGTCGTAGACCATGCAAAGATTTGTCCTCTTGAAGTCTTGCAGGCTGAGAAAACAGTTTTTATTCCCCTTTATTAATCTTTTCACTACGTGCATGGCACCGTTTGCCTTGAAGTTAAAATATTTTGATGACATTGGCGAAGTTTTATTTTTTGTTGTTTAAGTATAATGAGACGTGACCGATAATGACGCTGTCGTGTTTTTTTTTGACCTTTTGAGAGTCTAAAAATACGTATACAGCCTTTACATTTCACTTCAAATAGAGTCCATCAACAAAGGATAAAAATATGGCTGTTATTCACGCTATTACGATAATAAATTATCATCGTAACATCCTTCCTCCATTTCGAAACCTACAACCCATCCGTTGACATTTATTTCACTCGAAACGTGAAAGGTATAATTTGGATTGGGAATCGTGTTCCGTTATTAGCATAATTAAGCTTTCAAATTCATATCAATCACATGCATTCTTTGCAACGGTAATATGAATTACTATAACCCATTTTTAAGTGCAAAAAGTTGATTAAATTATTCAAATCGAATCGTAGAGTTTATGTTATTTCAAACCCCACGCCAATTTTCCGATAACACACAACAGTCGTGAACCTTCGCGAGCATTTCGAAATCATATAGGCATAGCAAAAAACGTACCGTTGAAAATCCCGACATTAAAAATAATTTAGGCCACCAAGAGATCTTTGAACAAGGGTAAATTGTTCGGAACGGCAAACTACGTTTAGCATCGCTAAAGCCAACCTTAATCATAGCTTATTTTAATCTACTCCCGCCCACGTCTTCTGTGTTAAGTCCTATCTTTGTCTGTGTGGCCTAAAATAGTAGCTCCAGTTAAGGAAATAAGTTTGTTATTGCCTTACGTTAAAATATCTCGTCCGGAAATATCTTTGATGGTGATAAAATACGCCGCGCTAATAGCGATGCTTAAAAGTAATTTAGCTTTTAAGCTAAATTACTCGTTGACTGTCACCATGCAAACATACAAGAATATTATTAGAGATGTTAAAGTTCGCATAAAATCGTGGTAAAAATGTCCAGCCTTGAATTTGCATTGAAAGTACACTAATACTTCCATATATATATTTATATATATGCATGTCATCGACGCGATGCAGTATGCCTAACAACAATTTGATGTTATTAGAGTTTTTGGTTTGACTCCCTGCATAAATGACGCATGACTTTAAACCACATTAAATCATTTAGGTGGCTATTAACATTGCAAACCGCAGACTTTAACTAGCTTTGAGGGCTGCAAGTTTGAAAAAAAATCTGTTGAGCTGATTGGTTTTAATATCGCACAATGACATACAACTTACTGCTTAGAGCAAATAGAAAGAAATTTTGAATCAGCGCGTTTTTCCACAGGCGTATCATGGTCAAAATGTATCGTACACTTTGACCCCAAAATCTCCCAAACCTTCAAAATGGCTCATTGAAATAAAAATAGGCTGAAAATGCGAGAACCTCTCTCTGATGTCGGTAAAAAATCATCGGAATTTATCCACAAATAAACAGCGAAAAAGGAAAAAATGAAAATCTCAAAACTGATCTCGTAATCGTATTGGAGTGAAGCACACTTCGTTACAACAATGTAGACTGCTTTTCCTTCAAATAAGCTCTTGCTTTCGGAAACATTGCAAGTTTCATAGGGATATAAGTTCTTTTTGACGTCCTATAGTTTGCCATTTTGGTATTTCAGATTCGGTATTCTGATGTAGTCACTGAATAGTATGAAATATATGAAAGAGAACAAATAGCCGCTGTGTTGACACACTCCTTGTTTTTCTCGGCTCTATTGGTCCAGGTTTATTGATGTCAGTGGACGGTGTATGGGTGTGGTCGAACGTCAGTCCTCCTAATTCGTCGAGCACATTCAAAGCGATATACTTCATTTTATATCGAAATTTTTTTAATGCATTCGGCGTGATATTTGACCAGGGCGGTTTCAAGCAAAGCAGTTTTCACGAAGTGATCTTTCCCGGCTCGCAGCCATAATAAGCACACGACGCGAAGCATGGCTTAAGAATCGGATAAACAGTTGTGTTTCAATTGACAGAGGTTCGCTTGATTCAGGTGTGATCAACTGCAAGTGCACATGTTGCTCTACACTACCGTGTAATTATGATAACGTATTCATTGCAATTGTTTTCTTTCTTGCGTGCGGGAAGGTTTGGGAATGGAGATAAAGCAACGTGAATATATTTATTATGCCTCTTGAAACGCAAGTCTCTCTGTCTAGATCGAAACTTGAAATGTTCCTGAAAGAGCTCTGCTCACGGTGTTTAAATCAAGCCCTAAAAAAATTTCAAGTACATCTCTTCTTCAAACAGTGAACGAAAAAAGTGTGAATTTTGGACTTTATTTCGATAATTTACATTTTCAATCGTGCCTTGTATGAGTCGTATCAGGATGTCTTGCTTTTTGATGTGTTTTTTTCTCGTCCAGTATGTAGTTGATCTATACTGAAACGTATCTCCTGTCACCGGAGCCTCTAACCTTGACAATTAATGACCCCCTTTCCTCGTTATTTGTCCACGCTTTTCACCGTAAACTGTGAACGGTATCTACAAAAGCGAAAAGTGTCACACGGTAATGTTCGTTTCACACTTTTACTGACATCTCTCGGAAGGCGGTGCGTATGAGGCAATATTGCCTGTCTGTCATTTCGGTGTGAGGTATTTGCCCGTATTGCACGACCCTGTGTAAATATTGTTGTAGGTGGGAACCCTGTAAACATCTTTGTCGCAATATACAATCTTGTGTATTTCTTGTTTTGACTAGCACGCTCGAAAACTGAACTCGTGAAAAGGAATATGTAGTCTGTGTGATTGATATCATAAAACGAGGCAGAAAAGTACGCGCTTTTAGCAAAAGTCTTCGGGGTTTTAGATTTCTAAAGTTGTCAACTGTCTTTCCCACTCGTCAGTTTGACAGTAAAGCTTTTACGCAATCGCTTAGATGGCTTACTTTTATATATTTTTATATCTTTCCTGTCCAGTCCCCACTGTAATATATATATACACTTTAACACGTTAAGCCAATGCGTGTAAATTTATCTGTGATTTGTCCTAAAATTACCATAAGGAAATCATTGTATGACTATGCAAGACTGTTTCGAGTGCCCCCCCAATTGCGTGCGCGATCAGTTTTCAATTTAAAAAGAAAACGACTGGTTTCGGATTGGCTCTCTGCTAAGTGCTGCCTCTTACGCGGGCAGCGATTTGTTTGCGAAATGATATAGGCTCATATTATCACCATTAGGAATAAAAGGCCGAATCACCGGCACTTTTGTTCAATTTCCAAAGGTTTTTGTGTGTGTGGCGATTATTAAATTCGCACAATTCTGGCGACTTAGCTGGAAGCGCATTGCTGGCGCCATGGTTCTTATGCGGCTAACGAAGGCACTTGGCTATGAGGACTACAATCATAGGGGCGGCAAAGGACAAGGCTAATCGTTGTTCCAACGCCAAAACAAGAGCTGTTCACGGGCGAACATTGAGCAATCGTCTCCCAGAAACTCGCCTCAAATATTCAAAACGAGCTTTCCCAGACGCGCGCCTACCGCTCTCGCACACACACGATATATTAATCAATATTTTTCAAGTCGTTAATACATATTGAAGCGCGATAATTGTCCAAGTAGCGAAATTGATGTGCGCCTTTGATGTCGCCGGTCACTTGTTTGTGGTTTGCCTTGATGTTTTCATAATTACAAATTTCGCATAACATTGCGATTGTTCGAGACGAGACGGTCAAATCTCGCTTTGCATTATAGCAGTCCCTCGCTAACTCGCGTCGTCGCGAATTGAACTGTGCGACAATTTTCGCGTGCGATTCTTATTCCCCCGGTTGATTGACAGCGCTGTCTATGCGTCAAGTATTTGGGTTGGATGGAAGGCGGTGCTTTTTAATTAGTTTTTGTTGTCCTTGGCTTGCCCCTGACTGGCTTAACTTTGCTAGACACGAGTATTCCTTCTGGCCTCTTACGGTAATACGATTTGCCTCGCAAAACCCAAAGCTATACCATAATCACTAAACACTGCGACACTTCATGTCCCCTTCGTTTGTCGGTGCCTTAAAGGAAACCAAGTGTTGTCTATATTTTGCTTTCAAAAACCGCGATAAATACGCGATGTTTTTTACGCTAGGCTTTAAGGTTACGGGCGGCGAGATGAAAGCGTACGCTCACTGTAGTGTTTTTCGTATTGACGCTGAAAATGCCCAACATTAGCCTCATAATTGTTTGGTTTTTGTTAGTAACACAAAGCTGATTTGACAGAAGTCTTTCTTATTCTAATGGGCGGTGTCTTTTGGTCTTTGATGACAGCCCCCTCAAACGAGTGTTGAGCATGGGGCGGCGAATGCAAGACAGGCATAATGGACATGCGAATGGCCACAAAATCTTAGCGTGTGCCCTGTTTACACTCTCGCAGCCAATGAACGCGCGGCGGCACAGCGCGCGGCACTTTGATGTATAGAATCCAATTATAAAATGGCCTCTCATTTGCTGCGTGTCATTAGTTCACCGCCTTTCCGACCGCCTAAGTCATCATATCATAATGGGCCTTTATTTGCGATAACAACATATTTTACTAAGCACCACTCAACTGAAGGCACCACCTACACTTATTAATTGCATGGCGGTATCCTTTGAACAATTATGATTGTCTGCTTTTGAACAGCTGAAAGTGGCTGCGCCTAGGAATATTTATATCATTACACTTGTGTGATTCGCCGCGACAGGACGGACGCTAAAATACTCCGTGGGTAAAACATACTCAAAGTAAAAATTCTACTTCGTGAAAGAAACTAACGGACATGGCTGCAGTAATGCTCCCTCGCAGGGATCTCATGCCAATACCTCATGTAAGTACAATTGTTGTAGACTTGTTGTAAAGTGTGTGTTGTGTGCGTGTGTGTATATCGTCTATACCAACTGGAGCTCTTTAAACGGACTCATAAGAAGGCACTTATTTAGCGTTTAGCCTAAACCATGCTTTTATTTCTCCATTATTAGGACTACTCAAAACCATCACCTTTAGCGATGCTGGCAGCAACGTGTAGCAGAATAGGCCAGACGCCTGGTATACCGCAGCCAACGACGGATTGCCCGACTCGTAGTAAGCTGATATCGCCGTATTATGGGGAGCAATTTTTCCTACAGCCAACAGCGACCGTGACGCCGCATTATGGCTATCTGGAACGAAACCTTCCATTAACCCCGCCACCAGAGGGCCATTGTAATCCGTTTAGCGACTACCACAGTAAGACTTTAATGGCTCCAACATTTCCACTGGCATCGACACAGCGTAATTCCACCGGCCTACCTTATTTCGCGAATCATCCGTGCGCGCCTAACCCGATGGCGAGCATTACCCCCCATCCTTACGGCAAACCCGAATGCAAAGCCGTATCTTGGTGGAGCGTTGAAACGACCAAAACCCTCACAGTTCCTCACGTCCCTCACAACACAATCCCAAGCTGGTCTTGTGCTTCGACGCCAGTTTCATCCTGTGTCACATCAATCCCTGCGCTTGCCATAAGTTCAACGCAAGTTCCTGGGACCAGACGATGCAGACGTTGTCGTTGCCCGAACTGTCAAATGTCTACGAACACCGGTACCCCGAACAAGCGCAAGGAACATATCTGTCACATTCCCGGCTGCGGGAAAGTCTACGGCAAAACCTCGCACCTGAAGGCACATTTGCGCTGGCATACGGGAGAAAGACCCTTCGTATGCCACTGGCTGTTCTGTGGGAAAAGTTTCACCCGGTCCGACGAACTACAAAGGCATTTAAGGACTCACACGGGCGAGAAAAGATTTTCGTGTGCAGAATGTGGCAAGCGATTCATGCGAAGTGATCACTTGAGAAAGCATCAAAAAACACATCAGAATAAAGTGAAAACCACGAAATCAGAACTTCAAACCACAGAAAACTCTAGCACAAAAGACACTGCAACAAGGGAGTTGGTTAAGGAATAGTCGCACTCAGTATCACAGAGACGTGTGCATGTCTCTGTACCAACTTCGCGGGTAGCTTCGCGTTCTTGTCGAGTAAGGAAATCTGAAACAATAATATTGAAAGCTAATTTAAGATAGATTTACTTCAAAGTCAAAGGATGTTTGAAAATCTTTGTCTCTGAACAAAGTTTCTAGCCATGTATAAGAATTACTTTATGCATGAAATTTAGCCTTGTGGCAATGGGGGTCTATCAAAAAAGATACAAACGCCTTATCTCCTGATATTTTGTTTCTCGACTCTGCAGCGAGCATGCCTAGGTCTCACGGTTTTACAAAGGCGCTGTGAATATCGCGCACTTTGAGGCTGGTCTGAAAGAACGCGAACGTACCAAACGAAAGAAAATACATTTACAAAACTATATAATGCAATTCGATATATTCATGTTATGTAGCAGGCTATTTAACAGATTGTATATAATTCGTACGCTAATTGTTGTATATTCATTTGCTCTAAAGGGTTTACACTCGAAAAATTATACAAAGATTATATAATATTCGTTAAAATATATAGAAATTTCAATAAAACACTTCTATGTCAATATCTTCCAAAGTGATTTCTCTTTCAGCGGAAAACGAGTTCGTTCACGAAAATTTATTTTAAAATCTCGCTATATAGAAACTTTATGCTCGACAATTATTCTTCACAATGAAAGTATTCGTGCATTTAGATATATTTGACGTTTATGACGAGAATGAAAGGTAAAAAGAGATAAAATTTTCCGCATTGTCCGTGCGATGTTTGGCATAATATGCCAAGTAAGTTCTTCACTTCAATTCGATACAAGCTAGACTTCTGATTTTTTTGGTACCTGTTGTAATATATAGAATTTCAATACGCGCGACTTTGGCCCTTGACCTGCGATGGCAAACCTTTTAGCTATGTCTGACTCATTTCATTATGCTCATTGCTACAGCCGCGCATATTTAATATTACTCGTGGCAATTAGCATTTCAATTTTCAAACCCTGAATGATATATCGAGATGACAAGCTGCCCCACTTGTTTTCGTCTATATCAGTCTGAAGGCCTTAATCCGTAGAAGATTTCTTCCACTTTAGGTCTGTATAGCGTAAACGTATAACCATAATAGATGTACTTTGTGTCTGAATTATAAAGATTGTTCATATTCATAGGCTTTCGAACACGTTTATAATCGCAGACAAAACTATAAAGATATACTGGTAGCAGGTTGTGACGTCTGAGATATCATTCTAAGGTATAGTTTATTTAGACATAAACCACGGTGTTCAGCTTATCATTGAATCCCACCTACATTGGAACCCCCGCGTTTGAAGATGAAATATTTTTATAAGATGATCTTATCACGACATTAGTCACAGCAATTTTTATGTACCAGAGTTGTATATAATCGCTCCAAATGCTCTTGGCATGAAATGGACTTACTGGAAAGGATTGTTCGCTTAGCAAACAGACGGATTAAGGGCAGGGTATTGTTAGTTTTCGAAGATTACCCTTCAGTGTGTGTACATAAAGCATATATGCTTTCATCCATTGATTGATTTTCTTTTCTTTGAGGAACAGCTTCCTCCTCCTGTAGCCAGAGCTTGTCATTCAATCTATACGAGTGCTATATACCAGTTCTTCAGAATCAATATACGAGAAGACAAGGAAACACATGCAGTGAATGACATCCCATCATTTCTAATTCAACAACTGCTTGTCTATAATATCCGCAAAAAACATTCTCGTCGTTTCCACCCAAAGGGGTTTTCCTCAGGAGCTATATAGGTTGGAAAACTCGAGATTTTTTTGTGTTTTTCATAAAAACAATGCTGTGGCCGACCCACAATTTAACTCATTCAGTATTTGAAAAACTTAATCGGGGCTGCTTCCTTGTGATCAAACGCGGCATTAGCTCAGAGTGAATTCGTCAGGATAATTTCCTAATATCAGTTACCATTTGCTAATAATAATAATAGCGAGCTTAAACATTCGTCAAATAAGGGACGCGGTCGTAATGGAAAACCACCGTTATCCAGCCAAACAGTCTCACTACTAGGGAGATAACTGAAAATTATACCCTCTGATCGGTAAACAAAGTTAAAGTCGTTTCTAAAACAAAGTGAAAATTAGATTCTCAACTCTATAATAGCTGCATTTATCACTACTAGCGACTGTCATGTCTCCGTTAAAGATTTGATGCATCATAAGTTTGCTAATATCTACACGAGAAGACCTCCCTATCAGCAGCTATAGCGATTGTTTGGTATAGACAGGTACACAATATGAAAACCTGTTCGTTTCAGCAATTAAAGTAGAATTGGATATTGCATATTGTGAAATAAAATTGCTTATTTTGTTGTTTTTTCGCCTGCTGCATGCATATGTATGTATGCCAAAAGCTTCACAGTTTTAAAGAGCTGATTACAGCAAATTAAACCGCACTTCGCAGTTGAGAAGTTTTAAGTCGAAAATTGAGAGGAAAGCTAGCTTGCTGTAAGGGGAGATAGAGTCCTCAGCCTTTACAAAAGTCTATAATAAAAAATATTAATGGCATATCTTGTCCGGGTAAATGATGAATTACTCCGAATGTAAATAACAGTTATTGGAAGGAAAATCTGAAGAAAAATTCAAATTTTCAAATAACCTGCCTTATCTAAAAGCGTTCATCATTTGACTTCACCACGCTTTAAAGTTATTATATTTTAAAGGCTCCGTTGCAAATTACACGCAGCGGCGAGATTAGACTAAATAAAGGATTTAAAAACGCTTTTAAGTGATAATTTATCTTCATCCTTCCTAAAAATAGGAGAAAGCTCGATAAATTGCCCAGTTGGGCGGCGAAAATGCTTTTGAACCTACCCCTGTAATTTTTTTTATCTACAATCTAGCAAATTATAGTACATGGAAGATAGTGCTTCCCAATCGTACGCTAAAAATTGAAATGAGCTCTTAATTAAGCTTTCATCTGTACAGGTACTTAATCAAATTTGGACAATTTTCGCCAGCCTTGACTTAATTGCTTGCACGAAAACACAAGCATAATTTCAATGAGAGCTTCATCGCGATGAAATATGAGCATAACTTTTCCTCTTCAATTATCTTCCTTCGTTTGTGTCATTCTTGCAGTGGTCAGAATATAAGCAAGCCATTCACAATCCCTCAAATTGCAATGTCGAAATATTGTATTTGAAATTATAATATTTAGCTGCACTCGCTAGTGATAGACGAGCTATTCTGCAATCTGATTGGTTGAGCTGAGCAAAAACAAAATGGCCGACCGTTCATTCGTTCATTCCGATGAGGAAGAGCCTTTAACCTTTTCTATATAAAACACTTTTCCGGGGAAATTGTAGTTTCCGGATAAACAAAACAAATACAGAAAAAACTTAGGATAAAATTTTCATGTGAATATTGAGTTTTGGCAAGGTTTTGGCAAGAATGAAATAACAAACTCAGTTGGTCTTCACGGAAGCCGTTTCTCAATTAACTCATTTTCGCCTGAAAAAAGCTCGCACGCAATGATTCAAAATACTCTAAATTTTCAGTTTTGATTATAAAGCGGACATGAAGTTAAGTACAATTTATGCTTTTCCTTTCCAGCCAGATTTGAGTGAGGGCGTGTTTTGGAATTTGAACCTGATATTTTTTAAGAATCTTAGTTTCTATGGTGTAGTAGGAAACAACAAGTTTAGTTCAAGAGGTGACATCTCTCGTATAGAACCATATAACTGAATTACTATAAATGGGGCCGACTTTTGTGGTCGACCAACATTCTCCATGAAGGAGCCTTTCCTCGACTGAAGGCAAGATATATTGGCTTTCCGAATGAAATTGAATGTGACTCACGTAATGTTTTTTTTAAGAATGTCGTTGCCAATATTTGTTGCCAAGTTCCCAGTTTGCTGCAGGGAAAAACTGAGCGAGTTTTTTTGTTCATCAGTTCACTAAGAGACTTAAAAATTCAGTTGTAAAGCCAGTTGAACCAGTCAGAAACGGGAGAGTGATGAATATATTTTTTACGTTTTTAGAAAAACGACGTTTTGACCTTGAGCGTGGGAAGGTTATAAAGAGTGAAATTAAAAGCAATCTTAAGTCAGTTAAGTGTCATCTGATCAAATGAAATGGAAACATTTCCGTGTAGCACATAGCCACGAGGGTGGCCCAGTCATTTTTCTTCATTACTTTCAGTTTGCCTTAACTGTTGAATCAAATATTTCCACTTATATTCAAAAAATCTACAAGTAGTTGTCTCTCAATAGTCAATATAATTTTTTTTCTTCTAAGAATATATTCGATAGTGAGGCACGCCGATAATTTTCACATGCCGATTGGGGTTATTTTTCCACGGATCCAAGTGAGGCACTCGTCATTGTTGCCGATACTATATCAAACGATACTATTGGTTTTCGACCTCTCATTCTGATGGGATGTCTTTGCCTTTTGTGTTTGTTGCGAAGTTTCTTACCAGTGAACTCTATACAAACTGGAACGGTAATTGACGTTATTTGGTCGGCAAAAACAGTAGAAATGGACTGGTGCCCAGTTCGTTTAAAAATTACTTTCAAAGATGGCAACCTAGTTATCCTTCCAGTTCACATCGAGTTCACTGCATTCTAATAGGTGTTGGGTTACATACGCTAGGTTAGACATCGTATACGTCGACTTTCGCACGGCTCAGCCTCAATCTCGCGTATATACAAGCATAATTTATGCTAGTTTGCAGGACCACTAATGGTATATATATGTTAACGGTCAACTTTCGGTCAACTAACAACTTCGTACCCAAGGTTTTTTCTTGTACAATGTTGGTTGGAAAAACTTGTTCATGTGATGTATGTAAAAATCAAGAGATCGGATTGATTTCATTTTGCAAAAGATGCCGTGGATAAATTAAATTGCACTCCAACTACGTGTTGCCACGTGTAAACAGATCATTGGATGAAATGGCTGTAAGAAAATTACAAAATGACCAATCAGAATAAAACATCTTTGTCTCAGCAACTACTCTCTTTTCCTGAAAGTGTTGCATCTGGAGCCCAATTCGGTTTTAAAGATCACAACCAGATTCTCTTATGTGATAACCGTCAGTTGTCGACCTGAGCCAACAATGGCTAATTACGATATGTTTTGTCTACCAGTTGATGACGCTTTATGACTTATCTCCAAGATGCTACGACGGGAAAAAGCTGTTCCATTTAAGACTAATTGAAGCGCGTTCACGTGATAACACATTCAGTTCTGTTAAAGGCATAATAAATAATACTGAGGAGAATTTCAGTTCCTAAAAAGTGTTCTTTCAGTCATTGAGTGGATAATTGAGTCTAACAGTGCGCATTGCTGCCCAGGTTCAACCTGGGTCTGGGTTCACTTGGTAAACCCCGGGTCAAACCCTTTTAAAAGCAGACTTCAAATTAACACTAAAACTGAACCCATTCGAGTTTGAGAGATAACTTTTATACTAACTGTGTTTTTGTTGAACTGGTATTGTTTTGCGCGTTACTGAAACACGGCTAAAGTTTCCAAACATTCCGAGTTTACTGCGACTAAATATTCGCTGCAAAAACCACGGCTAATTATGATAAGGACAAATCACCCGGACGGTGCGAAGCCTGAGTATTAGGCCGTACTTTTAGGAAAGTCTAGAAGGGGGGGGGAGCTAAAAGAAATATGAGGAAAGTTTAGGGGGGGAGCTAAAAGAAATATATCTACGACGAGATTGCGCCGTGGAATACGCGATATTTTTAGCACGACCTGAGCAACGTCTGAATCGGGTGGGCGCCATGTTTAAATCCCACAACAAATGTCAACACGTGTTCACATTTTGCAACGTAAAATAATTTATATTTTGCAGTCAAGACATGAAAAGAACGACGTTATTCGATGCTAAAAATGTTTCCACGTAAGTAGTGTTGGTTAATTGTTAAAATTTTCACAGAATACTAGCGTTACGATGGTTTTATACAGGTTTATTTTATGTACAATCGTACAGTACGTGTGTCTTCTTCAGGATTGCATGTTTAAAGTTTGAAACTGAAATAAGAAATAAGTAGTGAGTGTTCTGCAGATGGCCTCTAAAGTTTAAAAACGTATTGCCTTACTTTGAAAAATACTTCAAAAAACTGTCAAAAAAGGACAATCGCCCGACGCCCCCCTGAGATTATAGCTTTATATTTTCATATCCATCAATAACCCCTGAGAACTGTACCGTATATTAGGGTAGATACCATCAATGTGGAAAATCCATTCTGGAGTCTATATAGTTCAGTGACTTATCAATCCAGTATTAAGGGATAGGTGATGTTTGACATTTAAGGTCAGTTAACATAATCCAATTTTGTTGTGTCAAATTCACTTCTGATGAATGTTTTATAGTCTATAGACTTGCAATGCTTATGGGAAGCAGTTAAAGCTAATGTAGTACTGCATTTTTACTACATTCCATGCGTCGGAAGTTGAATTGGATCCGATGTTAAATTGGATTGTGTCAACTTCTCATCCGACATATGCAACAACATCATCAACAATTTTGGTGAAACATTCATGCTTTATAAAAATCTAGTTAAACATAGGACAATATCTCAGAACTCAAGAGTTCCAGGATGATCGACAGATGTTTATTAAATAATGTTGCCAATGAAAATTTAATATATGAAATGAAACAAACCCAGCTGGATAATTTGAAACTTGAATCCTGTTGGTCATTGACCTTAATACTTAATAGCCAAAGAATATTTCCACTGTTTTGTCAGAATTATTATAAATATAAGTTGACTGGGCAAGCAGTAAATTATTGTTCTATACTTACACAAAAGATGGCAGTGTCATTGCTTTCAGTGAAAAACACAGCAAATTACCACAGCAACAACTCAATGTTTATATGCAGTGTAAATGTCATGTGCAGTTAATTCATTCAAACATTAAACCCTGAACTCTTAAGGCACAATGGATGCTGGATTATTACCTATTCAGACTTGTAAACTTGAGAATAATAATTTGCAGTAATATACCTACAGAACTACATAAAAAACCTCAAAATCCCACTTTCTCTAAACACAACTATAAGAAGTTAAGAACCTAACTATTTTATGTGTTCTTCATGACAATTCCATGTGAAGCAGTTTGTTAGATAACATCAAAACAACACATGTATTCAAGGTAAAAAAACAGCCACTAAATTTAGACCAATATATTATCGTACTATCCATTATAGCTTGTTCAAATTATTCTATTATAGCTATTTTTTAAACCATCCTAATGGTTTTGTTTTGCCATACCAACCCATCTCCCACGCATGTGTGAAGTATGCTAAGAATATCCACAATTTTTCTGTGGTCGATTTTAAACATAGAAGGTTTGTTAGACTGTGCATAATTATGCCTTTTGCGACTACAATTACCGATTGAATACATGTCCTTGTCTCAAATTCTTGTTCGCTCACAAAATGAAAATATCACATTCCATTATTATTATGGCATTGTAACCTATTCAGCACTTTATCTAATATCAGTAATTATTAAAGAATTAAAAAGTCACAGTCTGGTGGCTGTTCAATTATATCTATTTCAGTACGCGATCAATAGATACACCTCCTATTTTTAGCACCACCTTTTGAAAGCGAAGAATCAAACGAATTTTTAAATCGCAGCAAACTAATAGCGTGCGAAGTATTGAAGTTTGTCACCACCGCTGGAAAGCCATTCTGTTTATACTTAAATGGAAATTTCCTGTATCTCTTGACGTGCAGAGTTTGGCAGGCTTGTTTGTTCAATTTGTAAGCGATTAAGTAGCAGCCATATACATGCACTCGTATTGAGATTGTCTTCCGTTAGACGCCTTGAAAACTATTTCAAGCACATTTAGGAACTGATGCTCAAATGCTCGTTTACTGGCAAAATAACCAAGAGAAAGCATGGCAGTGTCTTCAAAGTTCAAACGACTTCCTCAGGAAAACTAGTAACTTCGTCTTACTAACTCCCACGAGCTCAGTTCCGATTTCCGAAGGCTACCGGAGTAAGGGCATTGTTGGACCCGACAGTTGTGATGAAACAACAAAACAAACTGGCCTTGGTTACCTTGGAAATCCGCAATCTCTTCAAATGACTAGTAAAATCGTTTGGTGGAATAAAAAAAGCGCGATTAATGCTTTCGTTCATGCATGCGAGATATCTTTCAATGCCTTTACTCTTTAGGCAATTATATCAAATCATAGAAGTCACAAGAAATTCCAGCAAGCAATTTTTATTCGACCAACAGAAAGCTCAAATTCTCAAAAATCAGAGAAGATAGTGAACCATAGCATAGGTCAGCCATTGGCAATTTTCCATTGCTAGTAAAATCTATTGCGATTATTGCTATTTAAAACGTAGGTGGTTGTGCGAATCAAGATTCAGGCATTTAGTCCTAATAGGTAAAACTTCCAATTATATTAATTACGTGTTTTGACAGAATTATTATGGGCATTAAGTAAATCTACTTTCCTTGTTTCGGATAAAAAGTCTTTTTGAGTCCTATGCTGAATTTGGAGAGCGCTGACGACAAAATGTCTAGTGATGGTAATTATGTACTTGGCTTCTATTAACTTTAGTGACAGCCAAGGCCGCCGTCTGCCCATAGTGTTTAAACCCGCCCCGTTAACTGACCTTCGTATAACCCACTGGAGTGACGCTGCACTACAACCAAGAAGCCTAAAGCGATCGCCTAGCAACAGTCAAATAACAAAGGACAATCTGCTCTTGAACTTGTCGAAAACAAGAAAGCTTCTCGGCGTTTCGAACTAAGGGCCTTTGTCATTTAGAGTGCCCTTGTATCTTTCTGGAATAAGCGATGCCAAAAATATTTCATTCATGTTTAATTTTATTCCTTAAGTTTTCAAAACAGTCTTTTCTCCGTTTCATTCTCAGCGAAACAGTTGAAAGATATATTCAAAGGTGAATAGGGCGCAAAAACAATACTTCAAAGGCCTGTTTTCCTCCTCACACGATTACACGACCCTTTGCGTGTATAGCGTATTACGTTTACTTAGGGGTATAATTGACCTTTCTGCTTTGCCGGAGGTGTGGCTTCACCCTTCTCGTTTAAAGCTCTCACTCAATTCAGGAGCAGATTTCCAGAAAATCCCATCCAAATTTGGAGACACCTAAAATAACTTTATTGGCCAATTTTAGGCGTTAAAACGGGACGTTTTCATTCTTAAAAAATCCTATTATGAAGATATCCAGAACCTTCTATCAAAGAGTATAATCTCTGTGATCATGTAATTTTATAAATTTTTTAAACATTTTTGGGAGTGGCCAATGATTCGCGCCATTTGAGCTTATAATCATCGATAATTTCATAAATACACGACCATTATCATTAAAAAAAATCGCTTAGCTTTGCTGCCACGTTATTATGTGTTGTGTTGTGTTGTATACATGCATGTTCGCCATCGTTTAATTGCTTTTGAATAGTTTTCGTCGAAACAATTCCACGTTACGAAGTATACATCCAAAGTGCCCGTGAGTGAATCCACTCTAGAATTAACGATGGATATATGTTATGTAGGTTTAACACTGCACCTGTTCTACTGCACCTAATTCCAATCGCCGGGAGGCTTTGTATAGTCAGCGATAATTACAAGTATCTTGCTTACTCATTAAATATCACCTGTTTTGCTAGTTAAAGAGATCATCGTACTTCTAGTTTTAGACCAGGGTGGTTCTGGGAAATGGCATTTTGCCGGCCGATTTCCTTTCCAATAAATGTCAAAACAAGGAACTCTCGTTAGAATGTTCCGGGTGTGAATCTTTCAGCAATAGTGTTTTTATGCGACTCTCATAGAATTAATTATAACCTTCTAAATTTCATGTTACTTTCAAATACCACAACAAACAAAAACTCGACTATACAGAAAAGTAAATTCTGTCGTGACATTCTGTTTCGTTTCCGATGAGTTTCGTTTCCGATGAGTATCATCTTTTTTTAGTGCTGCGTACAAGCACGTATATCAGAAATGCTTAAAGCGGAACCAAACACTTTGTTAAAAAACCATTCACGAAAGCCAGAGCATATATATACACAATAGATTCCATCACAATATTGTGTAGGAAAAATTAGGCGAAAGTTGGTAAACTTTTTTTGGTCGCCTAACCTAAGCTTCCATCGTGACCGCATTGAGAGTGGCAGAGCAATGTTTTCAGCAACCTTATGCCCATGATTATTAAGATTAATAATACAGTTGAATGGTTATTAAGTACTACATATAGTCTGCTGTTGTGTAAAATGGTCTTGGCAAAGATTCAGAAAACATTTTATTTAGTCATCTTCTGTTTAATGGATAGCTATAAATTGTAGATACCTTTAACCGTGAAACCACTAAATTTGATTTCTAACCAATCGATTGCATGAATATATAGTCGCCCGTTCAGTCTTACATAAAGAATCGAATCGAGTTTTTGTGCTTTTTTTCTCCAATGTGGACTTTTGTCAGTGTTGCGATTCAGTTGTCATTTAGCGCGCTCGCGCCGTCGACTATAAATGAGAAAAACCAGGTTACGAAATGTTTTGGATTGGTATATTTCATCCCTGAATATATAAGTACGTATCCTTAATGGACCGCTATGCGAAGAAGCCGAAAGTATATAAAAGTCTCGTTATAGGGAACACATGCAAGCAATATTGCTCTGCACGATGCACAGACCTTTTACAAATCAGAAGAATCCCTGTCTGCATGTGTGCCAATGAATTTTGAATTCGTACATGCCACTTCTGGCTCTCACGATGACAGGCCAATAATGAGAGTATTGTTTTTGTCGTCTTCAGTGTTGTATTATCAGACAATGGCCTCGCTAAATTGATATGAGCATTCATGAAAAATACTTTGAATTGATTGAACTCAGTACGCGTTAGGATAACTGTCTCGTCTGAAAGGCCGCCCTCTCTATTCTTACATTCCCTTCTTCATGCTTATTCGTTGTGCATACCAAGCTAATTGTAGTTTATAATCGCCAGTTATGCCCCTTCGTACACAAATATACGCCTAGTTAATGACCACTTTAAACAGAGGCAGTATTCTCTCTTAATGTTGAGTTATTCACTACCGAGATTTTCCGAGTTGTGCCTTAAACGACTGTCAAATGGTCTCCGTCTTATCCGAGAGTTTCATCCCGAAAAGAAACGCGGCAAAATAGATTTGACATAAAAATTTCATTTACAACAATTTACAAATAAATACATAAATTTGATTTTCCTGAGGTAGTATATATACCACCATCCTATAGTTCGAAATAAGGCAATGTATTAAAGGGTTCTGTAAAGTGAAACCCATCGTGGTAATGGAATCCAGGCCGGTAGTACTTCCCACGTATCTTTAAGCAATATAAACTATGATTTGAACGAACCTCTCTCACCGGGAGCGATTTTTAAAAAGGCCCATCGAAAAAGTCCATCTGAATTCCTGAAGCAATTGTATTTTCTATCTTCCATAACTCGTTGTCATCCCTGCTATTTCTGCCGGATATTCGCATCGTCGTTCATCATGATGTTCACAAAGTGGATTCCGTTAACAAAAGCTGACTCTAAATGTATTCCTAGTCATATAAGTGCATGTAAATAGATCTGATATCGACCAGAACACGTATAGCACTAAAGCCACGGCTACACGGGCGGATTTTGACGTCGGTTTTCTTCTCTTGGTGTATGCTATTGTGTAAATTTAACAGAGCAGGTTACTTTACTTCGCCCAGCTTATACAACTGCGTATATTATTCACACAATAACATACGCTAGAAAGACAAAATCTTAAGACGAGTACTTGTTTTGACCCTCACACATTCGTATTCCCAGTACCGTCGTATTTCGGTTCGTCGTTTTCTTGTGTGCTGTTCTCAGCGTTGTGTTCGCCATTGCTGTTCAAATCGTCAGCATCCTCGCGACTTTTTTCGCTCGTATTTTTTTTGCTTCCACTATGAGTCTTGACGTGTTTCGACAAGTGGTCGCTTCGCATGAAGCGCTTCGAACAGACAGGACAGGCGAATCTTTTCTCGCCCGTGTGAGTCCTTAAATGTCGTTGTAACTCGTCAGACCTTGTGAATCTCTTTCCGCAAAACAGCCAGTTGCATACGAAGGGTCTTTCTCCCGTATGCCAGCGTAAATGTGCCTTCAGGTGCGAGGTTTTACCGTAGACTTTTCCGCAACCAGGGATATGACAGCTATGTTGCGTTTTTTTCTTAAACGGGGCGCCTAACGCGCCTAGGCGTTCGTTCTCTTGACAGTTCGGGCAGTCGCAAGTAGCCCGACCCGTATATCGTCTTGTGGCTCTCTGGTTTGTCATTTGCGCCGGCTGAATGTACGCAGGACTTGTCGTGATGTACGTCGGAGGGTCAATGTATGTCGGCAGACCAGTCTTGTGAGAATCGTTCGAGAAAGGTGTTGTTGTTAAATTCGGTGAGGGGTACATTGTATTGGCCTGCCCTGGTATAGGATTCCTGGTTATTAGGTTACGTGATGGTTGGTACTCCGTCGGATAGCCAGGGAACTGCGTTAGCCTGTGGTGCGGTCCGGTCGGCGATAGAGGTTCGAACCAGTTCGATGCTGCCGTATGAACGTCCCAGAATGAACCCCCAGACTGAGGCACTTCAAAACGTGTCGGGGTTTTGGGAGCAGAGCTCTCTTCTCCGTGAGAGCATTGGTGAGTCGAGCGTAAATTGCATAACATATCAGGCGATGCATGAATCCTCGCCAATGGCGAAGCGTTGTAGTTCTCGGCTAGGCCCAAACGGATTCCATTCAGACTATAACCAGCGCGGCATAGCTCTGGTCTATGTTCCAATGTCCTTGGGCAAGGTGCGTATGAACTGGGTGAAAACATCATTGAAGATTCCTTGGGAAGACCACTAACGGATACCATCGTCGCTGGCGAGGTGCTCTCTCCCTTCCAGGAATGATATCGCTTACCCACCGTGATGTCTGCTAACGGAGGGGGACTCTGTTGACCAATCTTACTACAAGTTGCAGCCAGCATTGCAAGGGGTGTTGATTTAGTTGTGCTCGTATGCGTAGTGATATTCGCAGTACCGGTATCACCAAAAGCGCGATCCTGAAGGAGAAAAACAGGCGGAAGGAAACAGTTAATAGCCTGTCTGTGTTAACCGATCCGTTTTGTCAGGGAAACTAAATCATCAAATCATCTTCCCTACGTATGTGATATAAGGATTTTATTTTACGATCATTTTCTACCAAGTTTTACGACTGGCGAAGGTGAAAATCTTCCGCGAGTTTCGGGTTGTTTTCATTAAGTAAACTATTATGCTACACCGACGGTTAACTGTCATCTAAATTGTAGCGTATTGAGCATGCACCATAATCTATATAGGCCATGGTTCAATGGCGTCTCAATATCCTAAACACTCATCTTTATCGAAGACAGTCGCGTTAACCTTGACTGTATAAAACTAGTTGAACACACACACACATATATGGGAAGAATTGAATACGCTCTCTCTCTCTCATACACAAGAAACTTTCACTGCATGGATATACCGCAAAAGAAAGCTTTCGTGTGTATGATTTTGACTGATGTACATACACTCTGCTCTACATAGCCAAGTGAGTTCCTGCTTGACAAAACTACAAATCGTTTCATAATTCAGACTTCATCCGCTGACGACATTGACATTGTAAAATAGCATTTGATTGATTTATATGGATGTCCGACAAAATCTCTTGCGTACTTACGACAAAGGTTTCTTCTAACCTTCCTTAAACAGACAACGAAATGACGTAAACCCGTTTCGTAAAATATCAAACCATGTCTGTGCTAAAGAGTATCTTAAGAGGCCTCGACTTAGAGTCTATATTCGTGTTCTTAATCTGAACCAAATGAAATCGTCAGATATCTTCTTTAAAACAATCCAAAAGGGATGCTTTATTGCGCGCGCGCTAGCTACTTTACGATTTTCTGTTAAAATTTGCTCTTCAAAATACGTCTTAGTTTTCTCACACAAAGTTCACGTATATAAATAGGAATAAATCTTTCATGAAATGATATCCTGAATTTTTGAGAAACAGTAAGTTGAGAATAGTGTCATACCCACGAACTGTATATACAACGATTAATTTTGTGAAATTTTGCACTGCCCTATCTTTAGGAAAGTTTAATTCCTGATATTTCAAGCAATAAAGCGAGCATTTCAAGATCAATAAAAAAGGCGTGCGTGCTTAGAATGTATATGTGTGTATGTACATATACATAATCATCACTGTCTAGAGTGCATAACATATATATATATATATATATATATATATATATATATATAGCTGTATAAGTTTCCACTGTGTTTACACAGCCTTTTATTTCGCTTAAAGTGATTCTATAAATGTATTTTACCTGTATCACAAACTCCCGAAACGCTGTCGCGTATATACTGATGGTCAGGACGGGTCATATATTTGTCACTGTATAGCTCTCGTGTCATATTTGCATGGCAGCAAATTAATTTATCTTGCGCGCTCATGCAAAGCTAAAATTGTAACCTGTGTTGCAAACATAAACACGATATTTCCAGGTACGAAAAATACGCACGATAAGTCATTTAACATATAGTATTAGCTATTTGTTGCTCAGATTTTTACCGTTAGTTCTTTTCATGGAAATACCTTCACGGAATAACCACGTATAGGCTTATTGAGGAAGGACCCTTGCGACCTGCGCCATGGATTTTACAAAATACAATTGCCTTGGTCTTACAAAACATGCTTAAAACTACACAAATTGTTTTCCTCGACAAATCTTTTTGTACAGAGGTGTACATTGAATCACGGCAAAGGTGTTTTATAGACGAACTGGGTTATGGTCTATTTCAAAAGCAGTTTCTATACGATTATTGTAAGCATTCATGCAATTCCTAACCACGACACATCGTTCAGCGAAGCAACAAGACGCCAATCACAACCATTTCTTATACTGCGCTTTTAAACACCAGAATGTCTTTGAGCATAGTTTCTATTACAATTCTCAATACGTCTCAAGACCAGCTGAAACTCATTTGAAATTTGCTGTCACAAGTAATGCATACATATCATTATTATGCAACTAACAACTGATTAACCTTGCAAAATAAGGGCGATCGGTTTCGTAGATGTTTTTAGCGCTCACCGTAGTTCAGTTATGTCTCTAGTCTGTTAGAAATCCCTGTGGCATATTCATATTTCACGAGAACTATTTATACATGCGTCGAACCAGCCGTTCGATTATTAGACAAGCGAACATATTCATATATACCATAAAACTGTGAACGCAACAGACTGCGTTTACAAATATAACTTGGTTATACCGTAAACCAGTCACTCTGGTCTATACAGAAAGCTAACAGAAAGATATTGTTATATATATACCATCAGAGAGTGACTTTCGGCGTTTCAATGTCATCTCAGCGTCCTGAAAAGTTTCTTTATAGACCAGCAGCAGCAGTTATAAGTAGGCTGAGTATCCCGCTGTCCGGGCCCTCTGCTCTTGATGAGACTACGAGTGTGCGTGGCTGACTCGATTCGCGATGTCTAAAGATCATCCACCGAGATACGATTCACTTTGTCATGCCGCACATTTCAACAACGGCCAATCAAATTAGCGCCAAGCCTTGTTCGTCTGGCCTGGGTGATTGCGCACAATTGGGAATTTCTGCAGTGAACAACGCAAGCCCCTTGCATATTTGAACGCTAGTTGATTTGCTTTTCATAAGGCCAGAGCGACAACGGGGGAAGTCAAGTTCAAGCGATCTCGCGTAGGTCGCCATTTCTCTCTCGACTTTCTCCTATCATTGTTGGAACAGCCTATTGAACGCCATCGTGTCTATACACACAGCAATATGCGCTCATATTTTTGGCAAAGGAATACGTTGTCTTATGTACCGGACATTCGCAAGCTTTGTACAACAGCAGCGCTGTAAGATCGTATCGTGCATGGGTAATCCTGGGCGTATAGTCAATATCCTTGCAACTACAAAGTTAAGCAAAGGCGTTAACAATTAGCAATTGCTCTCACAGCTGCCAAAACAAAGGCGATATGTAATTCACATGTTTGCCCTATAGTTACAACTCAGACTAAACGAATGTTCAGCATAGCTTATAAACCACACCACCTTTTCCCTCGCACCTCTAATCCTCTGTAATGTAGTACAATCTTGGATTCATTTTATCCATGAACATTTCAACTATGCCATTTTGCAGGCAATCTGGAAAGGTTCACATGTACCGTCCTTTTGTGGGTGGGCCCGAATGGGCGTTTGTGGGTTGAACATAGGGGCGGAAAAAGTCTTTCTAGTTTGCTGCCCAAATCCTCAAGTCTGTGTCAATTGATAAGTAGAATATACTGTAGGGGAGTAGATTGCTAATGTATTAGGTGGTGTTGTCGAGAGGCTGTTTTGTTTAGGGACAGGCAATTATCTCGTTACGTCCAATCACATCAATTGCCTAGGATTTTTGAGTATTTGATAATGAGAGTAACAGATTTGAGGCGACTAAGCCATGCAGGAACGTGTAAGCCAAGGACAGGTTTTCTAATCGAATCGCGTTTAGTTGTGCGACAAAAGGCCTCGTTGGTGTAGAAAACACTATAAGCTCTCAAGTAGAAACTCTTTACTGAAGTGAGCAACGCCTTAATTCTTGAACGCAAATTATCTGTGATTCCCCACCCAAAACAGAGCCAATTTCATTTCCTGATACATTTATACATCACTCTCTGGAAGACTTTTCAGTCAACTCGTGTCTCCGTTTAAACATGAAACAGGTTTTGGACACTATTAAAACACCCTTGTATTAATTTTTCTGGGAGATTTTTAGCGTTCGTCGCCAAAAATTGACTTTGCAACGACATCGGATACATTCTACTTTATTAAGCTAACACTTTCACTTCAACCAGCAGCTGAATTGTCAGTTCGTATAAGATAAGACAAATGTCTTCAGTGTACCTATAGACTTTATAGCCTAACCTCAGCACGGGTCATGGCAGTTGCCGGCCCAAACTCGGCCCAGTTTTAGGACTGAAATTCCAGAAAAAGACTGTGCCATTTTTCTGAGAGATTTCATGTAATCTACCTTTGTATTAAACTATATCTTTACGAGGGCCATGCATGTGGTATACCATAATTTCTCAATATAACCTTTAGGTCTTCATTGAGCGTTCGGCCAAAATGTTTACAAGTCATTTATGCTCATTTTAATGAAGGAAATTTGAACCAGCTGCAAACGATTCCTGTTAAACTTATCACTCACGCACGCCAAAGATATTCAATCTTTTAATCAAACCATCTGCAGCAGGCATAGTTTTGTCTTCTAGCTCTCCCGACTGCACTGGATGGCAAATCCATGGCAAACGGCTGTTTCTACACATGGGATTTTGCTGTGTTGAAATAGCGCGACCATTCTCCCAGAATGTCTTGATGCATGAGATTGGCTGTGTATGGCTGTGTATATTCCTAGCGAATTTCCTTCAAATATTCGATAGTATATATTTATATACATATAGCCTTGCGGCAATCTATTATTTTTACCCAGATGATTTTTATCGAATGAAAAAAAATGCCTATGTTTTGCATTCGTTTAAATAAGTAACTTCTAGAGTATTTCTATATATATATATATATATATATATATATATATATATATATATATATATATATATATATATATATATATATATATATATATATATATATATATATATATATATATACCAATCTTCAATTTCTAGTAATCCAGGAATTATTGTATAATGATTATGAGTAAACTTCAATAGCCTTCATATATATTAGCGCTCTAGAGAATCAAAGGAAGTTCATCAATGCAACCCTTCCCCGAATAAGGGAAGCCTTTATTTCTCCGCTTATATATGAGTCTACCATATTATTTTCTATTTCTGCACGTTTCATTCCAGGCTGTGCACGGAGTTGGTCGTGTTGTATTCAATTCACAAACCTATGGCCTTGACAAGTCTCAAGCAAGCATGCAAATTATGTGAACGCTGCATGAATGTGTTTCAGTGAAATTGATGCAGTGATTTTCGGATTGCTATGGTAAGTTCCAAGAATTCAATCCTACCTCAAAATAGGTCATACAGACGAGCAATCGTTTGCTATAGTCTCTCTTGTGCAATGAACTTACACTGTTCCAGGCTGGGATACGGCAAATTCTCGTTTACATGCACTATATACTGTCTATAGTTTTAGTCAATTTTGAACTCGTTAGTCCCAGCAGGCTAAATTGGACGTCCCCTGCATGGACGTAAATACTTCATTTTATCACAACGCTAGCCAACTATATAATCTCTCTCTCTAAACATACACATGCAGTATCGTGCATACTTATATTAGTTGCGTTAAAAATGACACATCTCTCCTTTGCTTGTACGTTCACTCAATTTTTCACTTGTTCGGCAGATGTATATTAAATTGTCGTGTTGACATGCCGTATATATATATCGCTATAGAGTTTTACTTAATTGTGAAAAGCATTTTCTTTGAACCAGCTCTGCATGTAGAGACTGGTCGGTCATAATTGCAATGAAATGTTTCAATCGCTTGTTGATGTTAAGAGTAATGATATCATAGTATATTTCATAAATAATTTTGTTTCACCGAAAGAAATTAAGGTTCTGTCGATCATAAAATATATCGTATTTTGGAACAAAGCTGTATATATACTCTGCCTACAGCCTAGTTAGGTTTCATAACCTATGGAAAGTGAAAATGGTGATAAAATATCATCAAAATTTCAATAAAAACCTGTTCCTTTCAAATCGGAATTGTTTTTGTTGGTACTATAAGCAATTGAATAGCTTCTCATTCAGACACGAAGTGCACTGTGTACGGCTACAATTTAAAACGTATGCCCTATTCCTGATTGCTTTATGTACATAGGACCCTTTGTGTAATATACACTCGCGCTTTCAAAAACAGTTTCCAAGTCCTTCAAACAAAGACGATGTTTAAAGTTTTCACGCAAAGGACAACAAACACCCTAATTGCGTTCATTTCTCTACCAGTTAAACGCGTAATCGCGTTGCCAAATTATTTCTTATACCGACCTGCCGAATACAATCTGATTTCGGTCTTTGTTTTAACGCGACAGACAGATTTTTGCACATAATTTCTGCAAGATTAACGTCTACGGTATAATTAAATCGCAAACACTGCGAATAAATAGACAGTGTACGCTGCTAAAACACGTCCCATCCTTGATTTACACAATGCTGGATTTCGTATATTCACCGGTGAGTCAATTGGGGAATATATGTTTGCGCCTATAAAACTAAATTGCTAGCCAAGAAATAGATTGTCACAAGCGATACACGGTTTAGTGAAGACGTCTGCATGCCGAGGTTGGCTAAACAAACATTTTTGAAGTTTATAACAACTTGTATACCTGTACGAAGTAGATCATTTCATGAGTCGAAGCGATTTCGTATCGGAACGCATCATCGTCGCGTATGGAATTTAGGCCTGGATTTTCTCTCGAAGATCGACCAGTTTTACCGGCTGTTGTGTCGCTTGTCGTGTCGGTGTAAACGTCAAGTGCGTATGGCCTTGAGAAGCACGCCGACGAGCCAACAGTCAAAGGCAATAGTGAGGCGGGCTCCGCGAAAATTACCACGTCCCTCTTAAATTGATAGATTTAATAAGAGTGGCTTTGATGTCGCCGCGTGCACTTGATTGAATTGTTAAAGGCATAATGTTTATAAAAACACAGTCGAAATACCTGCAGGTGAACCGTCTAACGAAATTTAGCGCGTGTTTAAAGGACATCAGCATGAGTTTATAATTCTTCCCACTGCGAATTAAGTGCAAAGTGTGTGCGATCATAGCTTGGTACACTCGCCACACACCCGGCCATTGCGCAGACGCGCTGCACACATATTTGGCTATTCACACCGCTTTCTTAATTTCTATTACAAATATCATGATTAGAGCGTTTACTTTACATCTCAAGGGGAAAATTGCCACAACCGTTCGCCCTCAGAGCCGGTCCTAAGCGGGTTTCCACAGGGCCACGCACAGCGGATTGTGTTGATTCGCTTCTGGACCCTACTGCAGACATATATCTGAACATACTGTGCTTGCACGACAGGCATTAAACGATATCTATTACTTCAAATTGTTTGCATATTGTATGCGGGTCGGCAACTTCTAAGGGATGATTGTTTGCCTTCCCAAACAGATTAGTAATGATAAGCATCTATTAATCAAGCTTTACAAATGCTCGCCTTGTTTCAACTCATCTTATGGTTTCAAAGCTCGTACGCCTGGCGCGATCTTTTCTGTTTGTGCTGGCCCGGCCGTGGCAGAATTATGGCGCCTTACACCACTCGCTTAATTATTTGAATCGCTGGGCGGTGTGACTAGCCGTGATTTTAAAAACACAATACTTGTGTAGAGCGTGTGGCTAATATTGGTTTAACGGTGTTGGAAATTCGCACAGGTTGGAACCAGTGGCTTCTTACGAGCTAGCGCGCGCGCACCGCGTTCTGGGAACATTTCCCTTGCGAAATTGATTACGATTTTTCAAACATGTCCCATTACAGTCGTTCTTTTCACCGACTTTCAAGCCCGTTTCACGTTACGGTTCGGCAACTTTCGCTTAAAACGGATACGAGCGTATCAGCGTACTAAAAACAAAACGTCCCGTAAACACTTGGAAGCGCAGCCGGCTGAATACGATTTAAAAAACAAGCCCACTTCTGAATGCCGAAAGGAAACTAAGGTTATCACGATATAATGTCACCGCGACACTGTTTTTTCCAAGCCCTTAGCGAGGCCCGAAGTGTAATTATGTTTCAGTGTTTAACATTCAAGGAACCTAATTATTCATTAAGTTTTTTTATATGCAAGCAGAAACCGTACATTACACCTTACAGTGGTTTAAAATTAAAAGGCACTTGTGTTTATATGTGTGTATATATAGCATTGGTGGGGTAATTCACCTGCCGGCGTTTGGCCACATGACTCGATGAGCTGACTGACAGTTGAACTACGTATCGCAGGCCTAATTGCCTACGACCCGACACAGATAGATGAAATACCTCGCGCAATTCATGGTTCGATATGTCGCCCATCAATCATTCTCTGCGACCAAACATCTTTTGTGAGTTTACGTGATAACAGCCTTTCGAAAAGAAAGGCGGAGAGTATAGCTTAAGAACACATGCAGTATCACTCCTTTCTAATTTGCAGCAAAACAAGCATCAGATCTTGCAATAAGCGCATACGAGAGTTTCGTGTTGACCAACCGGCCGATCTTTCTCCGCAAATTGTCAGCACGCACGTTTTTCAACATTCGACAACCTTATCGCTCCAATATCACTAGAATACGCCGACACTGACCATATTTGATTATTTCAACCGCTTTGGGGGCCCTCGTTTGTATTGTCGACCTGAAGTCATTAGCTGTATCCAAATCGTATCACACCGCAAATTAACGTGCTTGGAGTAAAAAGTGCCCGTGATATCTACGTAGTGTCTGCGTGCCTTTGTGATAAAGATTATTCATATGTATACTGTATGATGCGTTCGCTAACAGTTAATATTGAAATTCCTTAAATTTGGGCGAGCAATTTCATGTATATTCTCTAAACATAATCTTGCAAGATTTTCAGCTTACGATTAGGCAGGCAATCTTTTGCTATAACTCTGTTAAGATACAGGACATTATCGCTTATTACAAAGGGTTCCTCCTATAGTGGGCTTATAATATCATTTATAGGTATACTAAAGTAACACAGCTCCCTCAAGTGCTCTCTATATTTACTAATCAGACTACCTCATATAAACGCCCGAAATACGCCTTGCTTATTTTGCCGACAGCGAAAAAACCATTACCAGCACATCTACTGCCTTCACCTACCTTGTGTGTCTTCAAGCTTATCTACAACTTTTTCAATGAGTTCACAGCTCTATTAAGACCCCTCTGCATGCGCTGCGGCATTCCTTCAATAATAATCTGCTTTATTAACATCCCATGTACTCGTGTTGAGGTCGGTCTCGTTAATATAATGACATATGTGTCTTTGTTTGGCATTGGAACAAGAAGAATGCATGTGTTGTATTCTTTTAAAATATATGCCGTATGTTTAAAATAATGATTTATGTATGAGAAAATACTTAAGCTGGTTACTTTTTGACACTGCTTACGGCAGAACAAAGACAGGTTATCTCTACTCCTCGAATCATTGCACTCTATTCTCTTAAGCAAAGGTTAGCATTCTTCGAAGATTGTATTAAAATGATTAAGGGATTCTCGTCGTAGCTATATAATCAATTAACTTCTTTGCTAAAGAAATGTTAACATGGATTTGTGAATGGTTCCCTTTATTTCTAGACTGCCAACTACTCATTTTTCTCTTTAGAGAAATGCTAACATTCATTGGCACACTCGTATATATAGCCTCTCATTCTCTTCTTTAAAGAAATGTTAACATGAATCGAGGACTTATTCTCTTTATTTGGCGTACTGTTATAATGGTTCATTGCCTTTTTTACACATAAACGTTAACATCAATCGCAGAATGATGTCATCTAGCAATATATTCTTCTTTAGAAACTGAGTGCTAACACTACATTTATAAGTTCAGTTCAATTTACCTAAAAATGGATCTTCAAGGTATAGTACAGCTCGTAAAAAACTGTATTTTAAGATAATAAGATTTGTTTTACATTTCAAATCGTGTCAAATTTTGACAATTCTCTGAAGAAGAAAAGGCGGCAGAGATTTTCTCCGTTGAGAATTTGCGTTACATACATCACATTTGCACGCGCGAGGAAAATCTATATTATAGTCAAGGTCATTTCCTTGGGCAATTTCATACTTTTTTAAAAGATTAGTTAAAAGTTGCATAGATTCCTAAAACATGTAATTTTCTATTTCGGTATAGAGATAAGAATTACTTACTTTAGACCATGCAAAAAACAACAAACCAACTTCTTTAGAAATACTTTTTGCTCTTCGCGCTGATTGAATTCAGTTTCGATCAAACCTTTTGCATGCACAGCCTCGTCTGTTTCAGATTGATGCTCTTTCGGATATGTCGTTTGCACCATGCACCGTGTTTATATATACGTGTTCGAACGTAATTACATTTTGTTTGACCACAAACGCGGTTTCTTTACACTCATAATTACAATGATAAATGCTCGATTATCGGACAAATGTGAAATCGATTTCTTGAAATCGTCATATTTTAATTTCGTCTGAGTATGCATTATTTTGCTGACAAAATGATTTTAGTGAGACTATGAAGAGCGTGTATACTTCGCTTGAATTGAACAATTTAATTTCAAGACAACACTTTTACCTTAAGACTAAAACATCTTTGTATGTATGTCACTCTCTTGTTTCCAATATATATAACAAAGAGACTGCTCTAATTTACAAAACAGAACACCGCGTAATAGCTACAGCGATCGTTCATAGCTTCCTCCATGGCTGTATGAGACTCTATAGAGACCATTTACTTAGAGCCTTACATTCTGTATATGTAGATAGATATATAGATGCATGCTTTAGGTTTTCCGAGCTAATTTTTAAAAACACACGCGATTTATTATGTTGGAGTTCAAAGTTTGCCCAATTGAGTATAACATTTCATTCACTCATCGAAATATTGTCCCTAATAGAATCCTTTGTGCCGAAGATGTTTTCGCTTCTCTGAAGGGGAGTTCTTGGCCATTCCTATAACCAAGATACGTTATCGCATGGAGTGTTAAGGCTTCTTCAATTGATTATCGAAGGAGGTTTTTTTTCCCTCCCACAAATGTAGGATAAAAAGAGACCTCCCCATCAAATAGACAACGGAAAATCTCTAGATTTTGTAAAAAAAAATGGAATTTTTCGGCGTAAATGCATGTTGTTGCCTATTGAAAATGGCTTAGAGTTCGGAGCGAGATGAAACGAAAAACCGAGACTTTGAAAAAAAACATCTCGCCCATAAAATATTTCCAATTCAAAGTTGTTCATTTATGAAAACACAAATCCTGCATGTTAATTGACTTTTTAATCTTCTCTTCTGCGCATAAGATTTTATTTTAAGCATTATTAAATTGATGCAGCAAAAACAATCTCATTAATTTGACTTTTGGCCGAAAATCAATCTAATTTCGACAGAAATGATGTAGTTTTTCGTGCGGAAGTTATTCTTATGAAAATGCGTATATACAGGGACGCGAAAGCAGTGTAGATACCCGCGAACCAACCGTGTGATTTCATCGACGCTTAAAATTGGCTCCTCAAATCGGGACGCGCGTTATGTGTGTTATCCTTTTCCAGCCGTTATTAAAATGTAATCGCGGGCTTGCATGGATGGATTCATCATTTCAAATGCAGACAATTCCCGCACCTGCATGCTGTAAAACCAATATGTAATTTTAACTCGAGTTCATAATTGCCCCAAATAGTTGTATATATACCTTCGCTATAATTCGAACTGAAAGATAACTTTAGTGTAATCGATGCATCTATATGTCGGTGAGATTTCTGTATTTTAAGCTAGCGAAACTGACCTCTGCCTGCAAGCTTTGGTATGTTGAAAGATGCTTAAAAAAAGCGAAGTGTTTTTAATGAAATATGAATCTATGGCGTTTCATATTTGAGAGCCTCTATATATATTATATAGTTGGTTGGAAGAGCAGGGAAAATCTGACATCTGCTGACTAGCATGCGAGGTCATTGAGAAAACAAATAGCCTGTCAAGAGATCACTGTTTCTTATCTACAAACAATATGAAATGAAAACAAAACCATACCTTAATGGTTCTTCAAAGACCCCTGAATTTGAAAGCATTCAGTACGCGCGGCTATTAACGATGCCTAGTGAAACTAATTGAAAGCTATTGTTAGACATAAAATTCAATCATATTGTACTCTCTTAACTCCTGTATTTAAACGATGAAACTGCTTCAACAATCGATTATAATTCGCAAATCTCTTGGGCTCTTATATGACTGTATCGCGGTATGTTAACTCTGCATGTGTGTATATACTTTCAAGTACCGGCAATCAGCGAGTTATTCCCTTAACTCCCATGTTAATTTTCCAGCTTATTAGTCGCCCGCATTTCCAACAGGACTCGCACCGCCTTTGCATTGGTTGAAGGAAAGATTAAATCTTGCTTATATATAATTTAAAATATTGCCTATGCAGTAGCGATATGGCAAACTTCGTGAATGGAGACAGAAAACCTGGTTACAGAAACCGCGTGGTTATAGCTAATAATATCATTCATAAAGACATTGCTCATGATTTCAGAACTTATCATTTCGGGGAGAAAAATCCTGAATATGTATCTGCTTTTGTGATATACGATTGAACAGGACGTTTACAGTTTGGAGCAAAAAAAAAACGACCCCAAATTTTTCGATTTATTTCAAATCATGATTTTGACTAACTAAGATTAAAAGCGCTCTTGCAATTAGGTATGATTCATGCATGAATGTCCATATTCTGAAAGAAACTTTAGTTATTTATCACTTCATGTATTATACTCTCTCTTCATACACATGACTATTGCATTTGTCTCCAGTAAATCAGGCGAATAGAAGAATAGATTTACCGATACTCGTTAAAAATATCTTTACCTATTTCAGGGTTTCAAACCAGCCCCATCAGGCTGGGAGGATGATATAATCTTTCATATAATTAACAGAATTCCGCTGCGCAATTCTCGCTAAAGAATTCAAGCAAATACGCGGGAACATCAAACAACCGCCCTAACAATGAGTTCAGATAACCGCGTTGTATCGTACGCAAACCACTATCCCCTGCATGGGTTTAGATTTGCGCGCGATAACGCGTTCATATTGCGTCTTGTTTTCGCAGCAATTAATAAATTTGTACAAATATTGTGAAAAGGAAAAAATGTTGTTTCTCCAAACATGTATAACGAAGGTTAAACATCATTCTTTGCTCGGGTGATGGAAAGAACATTATGTTTACTCCCTTCGTGATTTTTTGTTCACGATCTGGACTTGCTTCTGTTAAAACAGAAGACAGTAAATCGTGGGGGAATAAGTCTAGACAAGGTCCATGTTGTTTCATAAGAAGCTACATATATATATATAGTGTCAAACACCCACGTTATGGGAATATAGGTTTGCAGTTTACTGCAAAGGGATGCCATAGTGCCATAGAAAATTTATGTTTAGATGCCGTATATTTTCTGTTTTTCTGAATTAGCTGCCGCGATTTGTGTTCAACTGCAATGAATTGTCCAATGCATGTGCGGAATGCATATAGTTGGTAAGTTGGATGTTTTTTTCTTTCTCGTAAAAGCTGTCGCGGTTCTTATCTGAACTAATTGAAATATGCTTCTCAGATGTATTAGTCCAGTGTAGGTAGTATTCAACAATTAACCACATTCCGTGGTTCTAGCCCCGACTACCTGAAAAAGATATCTTAAAAGTGGTTGTTTGGTGCATATGTAGTATTCTACAATGAAATACATACTGGTTCTTGCTCGAACTATTCCTAAAAATGATATCTCAAATGTGGATGTCCAGAGTTTAGGTATTGTGCAATAAATAGACTGTCGTAGCTCTTGCCTATATTGACTAAGAAATATATAGTGCTTCACTCATGGTTTGTGTCTAAACTACCTGACAATTACCTTGAATGTGCAATGTGAGTTCAAACCATCAGTTCAGTAAGGTAATATCGCTTATTGCAAAGCCAAAGAAACGCTTTTTTCGTTTTTCACGTTATTCCTGTTATCGCCTGCTCTGATTGGAGATTGTTATTTGTTGCTGCTGAAGTAATCTCATAATACAAAAATCACCAAATGTACAAATCTGTACTTCTGGCACAGGTGTACAGCCGACAATATTGTAGCGGAAATGTAATTAGATTTTTGAAAGATACTCAAGAAAAACAAATCAATTAGAATTTATCGATTTTGAAAAATAGATACAACCTTATTATCTATTCATTCGTCTGTTCCCCTTTTTTGTACCATCTTCATCTAATTGCATAGATGACCTCTTCGTAAATTTTTTGCAATGCATATATATACTTTTAATGAATGAATTTACTACATAAACATGATTTATGAACATCTATTTTTTTTTATTAAATACAGTAGTAGCTATATGGCCAAGCGTGCTTATATGAAAATATATGATATACCTATATTACAAATTATAAATTATTGTGTATATATTATGTATACCTACGAAATCTTTAGTACATTAAATCTAATCTAATACATTATGAAGCAGAAAGATAAAAATAGCATTTCTGGATAAAGTAATCCGCTTTTAAATAAATATAGAATATGAGATTTTTACGTGCATTTATGTAATGTGATTTGTAGGATTGACGTGAATAAGATTGTCGAGTTGTTGAGCGACTGTTGATGTGAACTCAATATTATTTTCCCGTGTTTCTCAAACATAAAGTGACTCCATTGAAGATTATTCGAGGATAATGTACATTATCCTGTTATTGTACATCAATGATACGTTGTGAATGTTGTCTAGCAAGCTCTATCCTATGCAATCCCGAACCCTCCTCTATTTGTCCCGTCCTTCGCAATCGTGCTCGTAAATCCGAGACGTCTTCTACTTCATGTAATTCTCCATTTTGTGTCACTCTGCCCGACTCCGAAGGTTTCCGTCTGACGTAACCGGCTTGTGACGGTTCCCTAACGACGACATTACTTGATTGGTTTCTGGAGGTCTTCCTTGCCCGATCTTGTCCATTTCTGTTGTTAATAATTACCACGTCCTCTCTTCTGGGTTCCTTATCTCGTACTGTGTTATCGTAGTTCAGTCCCAACGGATTGCTATCAATGAGAAACGACCCTGCTCGCCGTTTCCGTATCTCCGTTTCCGTCTCCACTTCCGCCTCCAGTAATATCGGGTTTATTTTGTAGCCCGACTCGTCGATTTTTGCGGAGTATTTCTTGGGTGATAAGGGAGTTTTACGTTTTGGTTTTACCGATTTTGTTTGGTTTGTCGCAGCTATTGGATTTACCTGGAAAAAAGTAAATCTATATATCAGATACTGTTGCATAAGAGTCCTGGTTCCTTCCCTGAGTGGCATAGAAAATGAATGAGGGTGTGAATTTCAATGGATCTTTGGGTAAAACTGATTGGAATTCTTCTAATCCTCAGCTGGAGTTAAGATACGATTGTGGATCTTTCATTTCTTAATCAAGTTCAAACCTTCAATGGTTTCGTCTCATTCCCTCTTTCAAGAAGCTCGATGCCAGCAACACTGGAAATAAAAACATCAAATTAAAGAAACGGATATTTGTTTCATCTTCGTCTTTGTAGCAAGAAAATTCTCTCACCTCTCTCCGTTGAGTCTTTTGGGAAACGTTTCGCGTGGTTTTCCCACCCCTTTATCTGCGAAATTAAAGAGACGAAGTTTTTTTATAAAAGGACAAAACAATGACTAGTTGATATCTGAAATATTTAAACACAGGTCTTTGCCTTGTGTCGTAAATCTTACTTTGTTCAAAGAGTGACATTGGTATAGTCAGACCCATTTCCTCCGTGTAGCGATCTTTTTTGGGTACCTTGAAAATAAAGACATATGTTGTTCATCGTGAGATATCTTTGCTGGAAGTTTTAGAGGAGATTTTATCAAGTTTGACCTGTAGTATAAATGCCGAATATAAGAAGAATATAATCTTACTGGCTTATTCAGCTTTCTTTGCACTCCATAAAACTCGTTGCACAGATGTGAAACCTAAAGAGATGAAAGTATATTTAATGTTAGGATACATTCTCAAGTATTCTGTCATAAGTGCAACTGCTTCAGTACCTGTTGAAGGAAATAGATCATTTTTGTTTCCATTTGAGAAGATTTCTCCAAAAGACGCCCGTACTCCTTCCTTCCCTGAAAACCACGAGCAACTAAAATGGAAATAAAATACATCTGTGATTATCACCTTGCAGTGTCTTTGAAATTCAGCCAGATTTCTGGACTGCTCAGTCGAGCGGTGCGTCAATCCAGCTCTAGGTACCCTTGGCCTATTTTCATGTTATTATTGGATCCATCCTTCTGGACTAGTCGACAGCTTCATCTCATATCTTCATTACCTGCAGTTATTTTTTTGGCGGCTGCTTCGTGTTGCTCTAAAAGGCGAACAATTTATCCTTTAGCATATTCGCCGGAAAATGGCAAATACGACCATGGTCATGTTCGCCGGAAAATGGCAAATACGACCATGGTCATATTCGCCGGAAAATGGCAAATACGACCATGGTCATATTCGCCGGAAAATGGCAAATACGACCATGGTCATATTCGCCGGAAAATGGCAAATACGACCATGGTCATATTCGCCGGAAAATGGCAAATACGACTATGGTCATATTCGCCGGAAAATGGTAAATACGACCATGGTCATATTCGCCGGAAAATGGCAAATACGACTATGGTCATATTCGCTGGAAAATGGCGAATACGACCATGGTCATATTCGCCGGAAAATGGCAAATACGACCATGGTCATATTCGCCGGAAAATGGCAAATACGACCATGGTCATACTCGCCGGAAAATGGCAAATACGACCATGGTCATATTCGCCGGAAAATGGCAAATACGACCATGGTCATATTCGCCGGAAAATGGTAAATACGACCATGGTCATATTCGCCGGAAAATGGTATATTCAGGCGTATTATAAGTTGAGTGGATGAATCAGATAAAATGTGACGTTCACCTCTTATCATCCTCCGGCGCATTTCCAGTTCTTTTCGGAAAAACATCTTCACTCTATATCCTCGGAACACTAAAAAATAAAAGTGACAATGATGTAAGCTAGTAAAAGACAGATTTCAGCAGTGTTGTCATCTTTTTGTAAGGGACCACTACTGACTAATCTTTAATTTTCAGACTGGGAGTTATTTCATTGAAATAAGGACACTTCTAAAACATTCTTTTGCTTTCTATTTTGGCGGGCTTTGCTGCACAACTTTGCAAATTTCGAGACACATATCGAAGGACAAAGAAACTACTGTCTTCATTTGCCTTCAAATACAAGACTATAGTGTATATACTGAAAAGAATGTTTTCATTATTTTCTTGCATGAATGTAAATCAGCCTCAGACGACTATCATTTTAGTGAAACTCGTTCACCTGTGGATACAAACTTATGGAGTTAATATTTCTCCCAATTTTACCAAGCCAACACCTCCACATACCAGCTTGAAGTTTGATTGCGCTTTTTTCCCTCTTAACTTTTAACCTTTTATATCTTCTCACCGCCAGCCAACCACGCACAGCTGTGGGTTAAAAATCAGATGAGTTCAGCTCGGATAATGCACTTAGATACGACCTAATTAGGTAAACTCTGTATAGGTGAGTGTATCCTTTACCGGATTGAATAACGATGGCTTTTCTTGTTCTTTTGTTTAGCATGTTTCCATATTTCTTGCGTACCAGTCGTCCTCGGTAAACTGAAAATTTAGAAAAAGATTTATCCATTGAATTACAAGAATACGACAAGTGAAGGGTGAGTATTTCAGCTGGATTGTGTTAAAAGGTTTCTCACCTTTTTGCAAAACTATAGCGCTTTCATTTCTTTTGTCACGAACACGCTTGAAGCGTCTTTTCTGCAGCCATGCACGAACAGCTGCGGAATATATTTTTAAATCAATGATCATGAAATGAAACACATAATACAAGCAGGGTAGAAAGTACACTTAGTTCCTGCATATTGCAGCTGTTTCATTGCGACATGTGATTGCAAGAAGATTAATTACAGTTTGCCTTCGCCAAGAGTTCGTCTGGAATAGAAGGGCACTGATTGACTAAGAATCACTAAGAGAGAGAGAGCTATCCATGTAAAAACAAAGTCGATGTGTTATCTTTCACATCACTTCCTCTACCTCGTTGAACAAGTATCACGGAATGTCGATACTTTTCAAGAATTGTGCCCAGCTTTTCGACGTGGTAATATTTCAGGAAGATCTTCGTCTTTCCAACCAGCCAGTGATCTAGGCCAGCTGCTCGAAGTATCGCCTTGCAACTCAAGGCATCCGCCCGAACATTCTCGTTCAAATGAAACAAAACGAGCTGGTATCTGTTAGAATGAGGTGGAATATTTGAGAACCTCGCAAATGGTACGGGAGCTGATCAGAAGGAAAGTCTTAAGGCCCGTACATACCTGCGAACAAATTCACCGAAGGTGATGCGCTCTGAATAACCCTAAACAAAACAACATAATTAAAATGTATATTTAGATGCATTTCCCGACAATCATCGTTGTCAATCAACACATTAACTAATAATACTGAAGAATTACAGGAGAAGGTTGTCGATGATAACCTCAAAAACAAAAGGAAGTAGAAACTCCCCCAAACCTCCCTCCCCCATGGTACTATAACCTCAAAACAATGATAACATGTCGATAGATCATTATTTCAATAGGATTCTAAAATGACCACCATATGAAACCAGATGTATCCTTTTAATTTTTCAATTTTTTAAAGTTTTAATTGGTAAAGTATCCACTGTAAATTGAAGAGCTATCTCTCTCTATGTCTGGCATCAATTTTCCATAAAAGCAAAACATGACACAGCTGTTCACCCTCCTACTTTTAATTTCTCCTATGACCCCATTAACCGACCTCTTTTCTCAGACGAGTTGTTTCCAAAACGCCTGTGTATTTCAGCTGTGTCATTACTCTTTCTTGGTCAAAGAGATCCGCCATCTTTTTATCATTTGGTTTAATACACCTACAATAAAAAGAGTAGATAACCTAATATAATTGTCAAAGAACCCGGATTCATGTGATGCCTAGCTCTACGAGTTTAAGCCCAGTTGGAGTCAGACTAATAAACCAGCTCCTCAGTCAAGTTCTCACCACGTTGTAAAGCGTAATAAAGAACATACTGCACCTTACAAAATGTGGCTCGGCTTTGTTCAATCGGTATAGAAGATCCTCTAAAGAACCCTGGAAATAAAGATAAACGTCAGAAATCTTCTTAATAATTCGGTTGGTTTAACATTTTGAAAATGCCATTTTATGGGAAAACGTTAGAGCGACCTTATTACCCGGATAATCATAATTTTATGGGGGGGGGGGGTTTCTTACCCGAAAATTCATCGAAAGCGTCTGTTGTCTTCTTGATACGGAGTTGGTTGATTTTCCGGCCGGCATACTCACGATTATCATAGACTCCTGAAAGGGAAAGAGAAATATTTTCTCCTGTTGTACTTGGGAAATCAAGGCCCTTGCTCGAGATATCGCCAGCTTAAATTTCGAGAATTCTCAGTGACGTTGGGAACCTAAATTCTCCCAGGAAGAATCTGGGAGGTGTTTTGCTTCTCTTTGATTCTTGTTCTTACTTTTCGTTCTTGTCCATTCATTTTGCCCCCACGATACGGTGACGTCAGCGGCTTCCTTCCCTGGTAATCTGCGGGCAACAAAACGAAACGAAATGAAATGAAACGAAACGAAACGAAACGAAATGAAATGAAATGAAACGAAACGAAATGAAATCCTTTTTTTCACCAGGACGTCCTTACCATTTCTCAACATTGCACCCTGTGAGAATGATGTTCTCAGAAGCATGTTTTCTAAAAGAAAATATAACTGTCTTGTTAATTCTGGTTGAGAGCTGAACGGTGCTTGCAATCAAGAGTTTTCATGAGGAAACTTTATCAATTCTCATTCCCGGCTAAACGCGAGTCACTTCACTGGATATCATCTCACATGCTGGGCTAACAAGCAACGTTTATTATCAACTCCACTTAAATTCCACACAAAAAGTTTTTGTGATTGCGTAGAATTTGAAGCTCTCGTTACTTTGTCCTCGTCTGGGCCGTCTTTTGAATAAAAGTGCAATAGTAATAGGATTAAATATTAATTAAACTTTATACCACTAGTTCTCAGGACGTGGACGATATCAGGTGACATTGTATCTCTGTTCTTTTCAAGAAATCCTGTTGCATCATAAAATACCTGTGGGTGATATTAAATATAAAAGCACGCATCAAAGCAGTGGTACTCCATGTTAGGATATTGTATAACTAGAGCAAAGCCGTTGGCTACATTAGGGTATTTCATTAGTCTATTTAAGAGTTACCTCTCCTGCATAGTGTTTGATCGTGAATGAAGGTTTAACATCCCTGCTTCGGGTGAAGCAATCGGATTGAATGTTACTGTTGAACTTATCTATAAGATGGGAGATTATTTGTAATAAACTCAAGCATGCAATTGCAGCAGAGAGCAACACAACACTGGTTAGGGCAACACAGGATAGCAGAGGACAGCACGACGCAGCACGGGGCAACAGAGGACAGCATAGCCATAGGACAAAACAACAGGAGATAGAACAACGTAGGACAACAGAGGATGGGACAACACAGGACAGCAGAGGATAGAATACCACAAGACAACCCTGAAAAGGTCGGCAGAGGACAGGAGAGTACATGACAGGGCCTGGTAGGGGATCACTGAATATATAATACAATGCTGTACAGTAAAGAGCAATGAAGATTGTTTAAAGTTTTATATAATACCTATTAGCGTCTTATCATTTGCTTTAGGAAATCCACATTCTTCATCTAATAAGGCTAGTAGACCCATTGGCCGCTAGGAGAAATATATGAAAATTATAGGTGCTATATGTTTCAGTGAATCGTTACTTGAGCTCTTAGCATGTCTGAAGAAGAATCGAGGTAAATTACCTGAAGAAACAGATCCACCATATGTTTATTGTCCTTCATCGTGATTTTACTGGTTGGAATGCCTTCTTTTTGGTATTCGTTCTGAACGAAATCAAAAATCCTTCAGAAACTACGATGATAAAAGAATCAAATGCGATCTGTACGTACTATTTCCATTGTGAAAATATACTGGTTGAAATAATGCTGGATCTGTTCGTTGGCGATGTTGATGAATAACTGCTCGAATGAATTGTGATAAAAGTTCTCAAACCCAAATATGTCCAGAATACCAATTTTGAACTCTTTGCTTCTAAGAAAAGAGAAATAAAAGCTGTTATAAACATATCCGTGAATTGATATGTATACATATGAATACATAGAGACGTCTTTAGTGGGATCGTTTTTAGGTTATACTAACTTTATCTGATAAGCAACAATGCAGCTTTCGTTAGCAGATATTCACTCAACAACTTTACTTACTGCAAACCGTCCTCAGGAGCCAACAACTGATTGATTCTATCCACAATCCAACTGAATAAAACATTGTACATCGCCTAAATAGCCACAAATATGAGACGGTGCGGGCAAAAAATGAAAACTGTTTGTAGTAACCATGCATGTAATAATCGTTACCAGGCAAGGATGTGTACAGTCCACAAAGGATGAAATCTCACCTTTGCCATCGCATCTCGACAGTCCTGAGATTGCTGCACAGTATTCTTTCGACTAATTGTCTCACCTGAACCATAAAAAAAACACCAAAAATGATTGTTTCATTGGTTGTATCGATCGTTATGTTGTTCAGGTCGAAATCATGAACGTACCTCTCGTGACATTACTGCTGGTTATCAAAGCGTAGCACAGATCGTTTGCACTCACTTTCAATAATGATGCGACTAAATAAGAAAAAAGAAATTTATTTCAAACCTATTAAATCCGGTAAGCCCACTGTCCACGCGTGGGTTAATCCTACGCAATCTCTGTTTCGCTTCTTCTTCAAGTTTATCTCAAAGTATTCTGTTGCCAAAGCTTGAGCTTGCCCTCCCCGACGCAAGACTTTCACTTACTTATTTCCAGTTGTTGGTAATTGCTAACTTTGCTGTTTGCAGTCATGTGTCTGTCTGAATTGTCTTCGATAAAATCAATGTCACCGATATGAATAATTGCAGCAATGATAGAGAACAACGTTGACATTTCCTAAAATGATAGAATATAAAGAACGGTTCCTGGGTCTTTTGTGTATCTCTTGTTCCTTCTAGCTAGGCATGGCCATAATCTATAAAACTCTCATGCAAACATCTCGCTTGCCAACTCTTATCAATACCTCTGCAGTGAAGCCAATGATCTTCAGCGCTTTCTTGAACTCCACGTATCTTTTTTGGTTTTCTGTTGTAAACACCGCTTCTTCCAAACTTTTCTTTCCTGATTGCAAATACCTGCGAGATTCATTGCCGCATGTAAAAACTCCCAAGCAAAAAACTCAAATGTTTAGTAAATCATAGCTAACTCTGTGCTTCTAAAGCTTGTATTTGTTTCTTACTTATATTTGCCTTTGACCTTCAGAGAGTAATCACCAAGTGTTCCATCTCGCCAAAGTCCAGCAAGAAAATAATAAAAGACGTGGAAATTTCTTTCTTCCCTACGCAATAATAGATTTGTTTTGACAATTAGTTGTAGGATACAAGAGGATTGATAGGATTTAACTCGATATTCTTTCTAAGCCAGCATAAGTTAGGAAGAAAAGCTTAGATATCCTACTTACTCTGACTGAGAAACAACTCTAGATTTTTCCAGCAAATACTCGGCTAAGCGCGCTGAAACATACAGAAGACAAATATTGATCTAATTACTCGATTCTTTTCACAAGTATTGATATGGTTTTAACTTTTAACGGCTGAACGTGACTCTGGCCCAAAAGAAAACCCAGTAAAAGAAAGTTGTTTTTTAAATGCTATTTTCCGAGCATACCTCCAATGATGTTTCCATTTGACGTAAACTGTAGTTCAAGATATTTTCCAAATCTACTTGAGTTGTCATTGATTCCAGTCTGGGCATTCCCTAGTGCTTCCATCAAGGGATTCACCTGAATATCATCAAGAAGAAAGAAACATGAATCTTTTAGTTTATTATTTGTGGAATCTTCAGGGAAGATGTGCTGATCATTACCAACAAAGTGCGATGGGATTAGTTTATTCTTTGGTAGTTTTGCTGGTTCCTTGTCGTAATTTACCTGTAGGATTCTATTTTCCAACATTCTGTTTCCGCTCTGTAGAAAAAAGTTGGTAGAAATTCAGTTATCTCAGAAGCCTCTAAAATGCTATAGAGGCTTCAACTGTTTTCTACTTTTAATATCTATAGTTGAAAATTATTTCTTTTTATCACCTTTCCAAGTTCAGCCAACTGCTGCACCAAAAAGTTTGAAGACACGGTTTTCCCAGCTCCGCTTTCGCCGCTTATTAAACAACACTAAAAAGACGGAGTATAAATACTTGCAGTGAGTTTACTTCTGGCAGTTCTGTGTTTGGTGACTTCGTTGGCTGACCAGCCTCCTAACAGACGCCAGGTCAAAAAAGGTCTCGATTCTAAATCGAGAAAGTCTTGTGGGTGAATCATCTCAACTGACCTGCTGATGTTGATTTATAACCATGGATCTGTGGGCCGAAGCAGCAACGGCATAAATATGAGGTGGTGCTGCTTGTTTGTTAACGTTCAGGAATTTCAGTACGTTCTGAAAAAGAAGCAAATTCCGATTCAACGAGGCTTGGTTACGAACGAGGACTTGCAAGTCGCAACCAACAATCCTTCTGCATCTCATGCAAGTTTTCTTGTCGCTGTTAACCCGCACGCGCTCAATTACCTGTTGATCGTAAATGGGTAACGATTTGAATGGGTTTACAGCAATAAGGATATCTCCGATGTAAGTGTAGATCTGATCTCCCAAATATCGTTCCATGACATGCGTTAGAATAGTTTCCTGAAATTTGCGAAGAATATTGAGAAGCTTTCTGGTAAAAATTCTATTGCTAATGGTGCATGGTTATAGTGTTGTTGATGGTATGTGTGGTGTTGTCTCAGCGATAATAGTGGTGTTCAGGTGATCTTTATTGTTAATACAGTGCAGTATTTTCACTTCGTACCTCAGTGAGGTTTTCAAGAGAAGCCAAATCGTCCACTCCAAGCATCTTGCGATCTCGCCATCGGTTTCGATGAGCTCCTATTGGGCTGCAATTGTGAAGAAAAACCTTTAAAACCTGTGCAAATATTAGACTTGGCTTCATAAGTAGCCTTCTTACCTTCGATGCCAACTGTTTTCACAGTCAACACCCTCCTGGGCTCCGTAGTGAGTGGACATAAGATTCTTTAACGTTTGCTGCAACTATCAAAAAATAAACGCAAATTTACTACAAAGCGATGCCTATTATGAAATACCCTGCTAATCTTTCCTTTTAGAGCAAACACCACTGGTTAACTGCAAATGTCGGTTATAGATGAATGTTCATTATTGTTATAAACTTGTTATAAACTTGTGCTTATATGTCATTCACCTCTCGCTTTTTCTGTGGGACCCATTTAACAAACTTGTGAAGTAAGACCTCCGGAACTCTTGGACGTCGTTCAAAATCTTTGATAACACACCTTTGGTTGAATAAAAGAGTCGATCGGTTTCCTGGTGAAGTTTAAGAAATCATTTCGAATGCAGTGTTTCTTACTTTGAAACGAAATCGTTGAAAGTTGCCGAACACTTTGCAGGATTCTTCACTGTTGGTGGTGGGCTCCTAAAGAGAAAATGATTAATAAATATGGAAAGACCTTCCCAAAAGACCTGGCAAAACGTTTTCGAAGATTTCGTATATCATAGAACAAGAGATTCTTTAAGAAATGACAAATACAAACTTTTTTGTGTGTGGAGGACGTATAAGCAAAATTGGGAGGGTAAACTGTAGTTGAAATAAATTTGTTACCGTGGTATTTTAAACAGAGCCCTCATCGGGTGTTCCTCGGCAAAGGGCGGAACACCATCGGCCAGTTCGATAGCGGTAATGCCAAGCGACCATACATCACAACGAGCGTCATAAGTGTAATCAAACTGCTGGTCGCATGCTATCACCTGTGTAGGACAAAAATTGCACATATTTATATAATAAGCTGGTATGGTTAGCAGACTATCCTGTACTATGGAATTTAGCCTTTGTACAATCGTTATGGAAATAACGGGTGATAGTGACCCATACCTCTGGCGACATCCAGTATGGTGTTCCGACCGAAGAATGCCTTCTAGCTTCGGAATTTGATAACTGTGCTGATACTCCTAAAAATATTCGATTCAGACAACACCACTTTAAAACTGCGCCAGTTCACGTACAACCGGTTGAGGCCCAATTTAAGGCTATATATACTCTTATGTTGAATAGAACACGTTACCGTTACTTGAGTAAAAACTTATTTTTATATTTTTTTTTTCAGTTAGACGTACCGAAGTCGACCAGTTTGACGCTAGCGTTGCTCGTCAGCAAGATGTTCGCTCCTTTGATATCCCGGTGCATCACATTCTTCTGATGAAGAACTTCCAAACCCTTTTGATGGAAAAGGTAATGAAAACTTACCACTATATTTTATATTCATAATACTATGATTTTCATCTGAAATAACCAAGGAATAGGACAAATAGGACGAGTTTTTCTTCGCTATGAAAATTTCTTGTTAACTACCTTGAGTGTTTCGTGAATTATGAACGCGATGAGGTCCTCGGAGAGACGAGAGCCCGCTCGTAACAGACGTTTCACCAGCGTTGTAACCGATCCTCCACGGCATAACTAAAAAGATTTGCAAAAAAATGACTCTTTTTGTTTTTCGGAAAACGAATCACGTAAAGAAATAAAACGCACAAAGTCTTCTCCTGCAGAATATACCCATACGAATCGTAAAATAGTGATAGTCTTGATAAATAAGCCTGAATTCTACCTAATATATGTTATTAAAACGCCCATGCACTGATTAGAAATGGATCTCATTGATGGCTGGAGGATGCTTTGTGATGTGATATTTGATTTAGGGTTACTGTAGATAATTATGCACTAGCTTCCGCCCCAAGGTTGCAGCGCATGTTAAGAACTTCGGCGTTTCATTCAGACAAAGCCGAAGGCCGCTGCTGAAAAGCCTGAAGTCCTGGTTATGTTTTTGAGCTATACTCTCCGGGCCTGGTCACAACAAGCCATCAATGCTCCAATAATGGAGACAAAGATTGTTATTGAAAATATCATATAATGTTGCCAGCAGAAGCCAGAGTGTTGCCAACGCTGATACATGTTTATTTATAGATCTGCAGTCGCCCAACCGGCATACTTAAACCGTTTGTTTGTCGTTGCCAAGGTTCTGTAGATCGCCGGCTGGTGAATATCTTGGTTGCTGAGCACTTTAAATATTCCAAACACAAGTGAGCCTACCAAGAATAACCCTCATGCACGTAATCAAGATTTTTCACCATCATAATATGTCCAGGATTGCAGTATTTTTAACAAAGCAGCAATTGTCCAAAAGAAAGCTCATCTTTACAATTGAGCAAATCCTTTGATATGTGTGGCAGGTCGAATCACACGAACCCAAAATTTATTAAAGAATTACTGAGGCGATTGCTTCGACTGAAATTTCGGCGAAATCTGACCACAAGACATCCTTGTAGTCTAAATATGACTGATCCTAAAATGTCAATAGGTTCAAACAAAACAACGTTATTTGCTAGACTCGTTTACTCTTCCCTGTAATTTTATTCGATCCGCTTTCCTCACCGCCGTTTTTGATGGAAAATGTCAACACAACTAATGAGATTGTGTGGGTAGGCTTCCATTCGTCTTTAGAAAAATTTGCAAGCCGAAGTGACAAAAAGGTTGCACGTCTGCTATGTGTCAATGGTCGTGGCATTGGTTAAATGCAACTAAACTTCAAAACAATTATCGACAACACTGAAAAAGGTTGTTTTCTAACAGCAAAAAGATCGTGCAATGTATTTAACCCTTTCTTGTTTCGGACTACACAATATAATAACTATTGTTGTTTAACTCTGAGATTGCGTAGTTGGAATTCTCATTGTCATTGGATGTAACTGTGGCAGACTATTCCTCAAAGTTGTTTACGCAGGTAATCCTCCGTACGACTGAAGCAGTAGAGGAACTTCTAACATCTCTCAATTCATTAATTCTCCCTATTCTCTCGTGAAACTCTTTAACTGGCTTTTCATGGAAATTAATCAGACTTATAAACGACAATTCTTGGTTGACGAGAAACTGCCACAGTAAACCTCACCCGTATATCATTCTGCTGTTGTGTTGTCGGAAACAATTTATCATGCATTCACTTGATCAAATCCTCTTTTCTCTAAAGCCGGCCCGGTTATCGTTCCAGGTGTTAAGTACGCTTCCCTGAGCTGTCATGAACCGTGACTATACTGCCTGGCTGATATTGGAAACATGGAGGTCCATTGTAGTGGCCTCCACTATTTTCAGACTACCAGAGAAGATATTCAAATGTTGGATTTGATAATGGTAGAATTCCTCAATAAGCTATTCTGGTTCGCTACTGAACTACTTGAAAAGTTATCGCAAATCTTAGAGTCCATTGTAGATCGAAGTGTAATTAACAATGTGTGCACCTTTTATCTTATCTGAGGTTGAAGAATGGCAGGAACTGCTTTGTTTTGTTTTGTCTGATTCTACAACCTACTCACCTCCATAACCAACCACAGCTGATCTCCATACGACTTTGATTTGTATTTAAACGCACCGATAAACTGGACAATGTTGGGTTGATTCGACAATTTCTTGAGTATTTCCACTTCGGGTAGCACGTCTTCAATTGCTCGTTCGTGTAAGACTATCACCTTCACTGCTGCCAAGTGTCCCGACTTTACATTCTTTAGTTTGAATACTGCTCCGAAACTACCATCGCCAACCTTCTCCAACAGCTGCCAATCCACTGGTGCTTTGAAATGTTTCAACCTGCTATGATGGTGGTCCTTTCTTGCAGCCATTTCTTCAAGGGTATTCTACACGATTATCACTTGTCTTCTCCTCATCAATGTTTTCGCTACGTTCTTGACGAAGTGATTTACGATATATCTCTAGTTATGAAGTTATTTCCTCTGATATTGAGCCACGTTAGTCGTTTTGGATTAGTTTTTAATGCTACTTTGTTTGCATAAGAATATCATTATACAGTTGTAAAATGCTTTATGAAATTGTTCATGCCTATCCTACGTTGACTATGCGAACAGCAGGCCATTTCATTTAGAGGCAAATTGAATGAATACTTAATGATTAATTCTAGTCATTCACTCTTCAAGGATCGCCTTTGTACCGTTACATCTCGAGAAGTTCACACGCTCCGTAATAGTCCGGATAAATCCTTGGATAAATTACATCTTTTCATCAACAAATAATGCAAATTTATCCTTCGGTTATCAGCGTTCGAAGCATTAAAGGATTTGTTTTTATTAAGCTGAATATCGTTCTCGCCACAGCAGGTAGTTAAGTAGACATTGCGTCTAAATGCAAGTTCACACGCTTCCGAAACAATTGAAGCTAAATATGGAAAACGACTGGAGGAAATTGTTACAGAGTTGAAGGTCTAGAAAACTGTTCGGTCAGATTCGTCAGAATAACTCGTCTTGCGTAAAATAGCTACATTTAAGTACAACATGCCTGCCGCATTCATCATAAACGGATTTGATTTTTTTTATTTCATTAAATTGTCATTTGTACCGCTTTGTAAAACGTTTATAACATATATTTTGAAAATGTTGCAATTTTCCTGCAAGTTTATAAATAGGGGCATATTCCCTATCCATGGTCCCCATCCCACTGTTCCTGCACCTGTCCTTTGGCACCTTCAGAAGATGAAATATGATATAGCAATTTGCTGAACAATTGATCAATAAAATGGCTTTCACAGAGTTTTGTTTGCCTAATCCCTATTTAAAGGCAATCACCAACCACAGACAAGTAAAATAATTTGGCATTTGGCAGAGTTAACTACTACAAAGTAGATGCATTTGCACTGGTCTATTTAAGGCAGTACCTGTTAGTGTTTCTTTTTCGAAACATTGACTGCCAATAGACCTGCCATTGTGTAAAAACATTTTGTTCCAATAATATATATATATATATATATATACAACTTTCACTAAATAGTTCTTGGAAATTCATTGCTTTAACATGTTTATTTCAACTCAATTTTAAATACACAACACAATAGTTTTGAATCATTCATAGCATTTCTCATAGCATCTCATAAAATTAAATGTTTATTTTAAAATTCAAATTCACTGTTTCCTTGGCTGTTGTATTGAATGCTGATGGCTGTGTTGCTTAGGGGTTTTCTCAACAGTCGGTTGAGGTTTATCATGATAGTGCTTGACAGAATCCGGTTTTGATACTTCGTTAACTTTCACTTCTGCTCCTGAAACCAGCATTTTGCTGGCTGGCCTACAAATGTAAATTATGCAGTGATTAAATTTTTGAAGCTAGTTTTGTGCTTTAAATAACCCATAAAACTAATAATAATTGGCTCCTTGGATAATAGCTGATAGGTCAGAGCCTGGGGAGAGGACTTTCGAACTACATCAAGAACTCCCCCCTGAATATATGAGAAAACTCTCTATCAGTTATTTATAAAATATGTTTATCCAGGGGGAGAAAGCAATAAACTCGTTAAACAATTAACGAACACATGGCATGATAATTGCAAAACAACAGGTCTTACAAATCTTAAATTGGAATTATAACATCTCATTCCTTCAAATGAGGCAAAATATTTGTAAATAAACCTACTTCTCTTCAACACCCTCTGCGATTTGTTCTTCCTCCATAAATTTCTTGTCTTCTGCCTTCTGCTCGGGCGTTTGCTGGTGCTGTGGATGTGCCTTCGTTGTGATTCTCATCCCGCCTGCTTTGACTGAAAATCGTAACAATTATTATGAAAGAGGACCTTGTACTTAACCTTGTGAGCTGAGCCCTGGCACGATTTTGAACGCAAACTTATAACATCAAAAAGTCATAAATTTCGCATCAAATTGCACCTACCAGCCGGCGGATGACCGCCCTTCAATTCCTTCGCTTCGCTAGACATATTCTGTATGAAATTCTTTTAAAATCGCTTCGAAACTATCAACTATTTCTAATTTTTTCAATAATTCCAAGTGTACGTAGAACTAGAATATTTTTTTCTCGAAGCAGTTGTGCAAACACGAGACACACGCGTGGGTCCCACGCGCTGTGTACTCGAACTCAGACCATCGATGAAACATCACGGATACGGGATGATCTGGGACTTCAAGAATTGTGAAACTTATTTGGACAGCGTCTGCAAATTCCCTGTTTCATAAAATATCTGTCCGAAATTTTTTAAAATTTTGATTTCAAATTGCTTTGAAATGTTAATCGTATTCTATATGGCAACAATGGGATCCTACATTATTTCAATTTAAATTTGACACCACCAATTCTTGGCAACACCACTAGAGACTATAAGTAAGAGACTAAGTAGACTTGCAACACTCTGACATATCACCATTGACATATCACATTATTATTCGAGTATTGCCGCTAGCGTTGTGCCCATAAGCGTCTGTTTAGACTGTCCTACAAAATATCAAAGACAGCGGGGAAGGTTAAATGCTGCTCCTATTGACAATGATATGCTTCTAATCTTGACATAAACTCAATTACGTGAGATCAAATGGCCGTTTAGAAATCATTAATCTTCCTTAATTCGAAATTGAGGCGGGATTGTCTACGCACGCATGCCGCCTGTAAATTAGCATTAGTTGCGCTTTCAGATTGCGCATTTCCCTCGACGTCCCGAGACGGATATTATTTTCGTTTGAGCTGGTACAAAAGAGATTTTTTTCATTTCAAGAATCTGATTTGAAAACGGATAACCCTTTCGAAAGCATTTCAGTTTTCTTTTGGTAAAACTCCAAATGTCACTACTAGAATTCCGACGACTCTTGAAATCTGAGAAGTGCTAAGCTGTCTTCAGAGAGCATGAAAAATGATTTATGACTATCTCAATACGCCAGCCATGTTTTGTATCCACGAACCTTGTTTCATTGTTGTCGAATTCGATCGAGTTAAGGCGCGTTGTAATATTCATATCGCGTGGTCTAATGGCTCGAAATTTGTACCTTACATAAAAAGTGAACCTTCGGCTATCTATAATCCGCCGTAATAGTATTTGTATTAACACTTAAATTGTCTGTACTATCCGCTAAATCCTTTGTTTGAAAATGCTAATGGTGGGATCGTGTGAACGCTTTAAAGAAATGTTTTCCTGTCGAACGCTTTTAGCTTTCTTGACTTTACAAACGTTTTGTATCCGTGTGACATTATGCCAAAATAAAAAAGCTCTCTACAAGAACATTGAGGATGATATTAAGAGGCTGAAGGCAAATAAAGCGAAGTGTACCAAAGCGGATTTGAGCAACATCCTACGATTAAAATGCGAGGACAAATTGGACAAGGCGATGCTGTGCATTGGAGAGAAATTGTTATCAAATAAAGACCAGGGAGAATTATGGACGCATCTAGGGGAGATATACTATAGACAAGGAAAGAGAACAAGGGGTAATAAGTGCTTCAAAGAGGCAGGTAGAATCGATGGTGAATTCACAGGGCAAATAACCCTGTGGTATTTCATTGGACCGTTTCAAATTGGCAAGGCCGAAATCGACGGCGACCCGTTGGAAAGTTTCGGAGGAATTGGGAAAATATTGTGTCAAAGATATGGGAAAGATTTCCAGGCCTATTCAGAACTGGCCCCTCAGGGCATCGTGAAATGGAGCACAATCGAAGCGACGCAAGATAGGGTTACCGTGGATCCGAAACTTGATAACTGGGATACGCTTGTTTTTCATCTTGACTCGAGCGCGGTTCTGGAGTGGCAAGGCTGGCTTGTTGGAGATTTCAGAATCAATAGTGAGATGACTGCGCTAATACGTTGTGACGGAGTTAGTACAGTGTATCTTGACGAAACTATGCTGGCCGGAGATGTTTATGTGAATGTAAATTATTGGTAAGTATGAGTCAAGCAACTGAACGGTCTGAACCCAATATCCATCCACATGATCCAAACAATATCCCTAATTCACCCTAGCACTCCTTCTTTAATCCTCAAGACAGTTCGAAGGGAGTCCATTTAACATTTGCTCGTGTTTCAGGTATCCCGTTCATTTGAAACCTGGTTTCCACTCGGTTCTACTGCGTGCCAGAGAGACAGGAAACATGAGCTTTTATTGCAAATTGAAACCGGCGGATGAATCTCCACCATTCAATATTCACCCGGTGATCACCCCAGACCTGGTCGATGGTCGCATTTTCAGCAACCATGTGTCCATTCCAGTCACAAACCACCATCCGTCCAAATGGCTGACGCTCACCAAATTGACTGTGGTATCACAAAATGGCGGACCGAACGTTGCCTTACATCTTGACCAAACTCAAACCTTGACCGTTGCTCCCGGTCAGATTCGTTCAATCATTGCCACGCTTACGTTTAAAAGCGTGAAACTGAAGCCATCCTCGTGTTCTGCGAAAGATATCCAGGGATTACTGCAATTGAAGTCCAGTGACGGTTCAAAAGTGCAAAACCGCTTCACGATAAAATGTCGTTCAAGACACGAGCCATTCTTGTTTACCTTCATCGACCACGATGGCTCCGTGCAGCGGGCTGCGACTATCTTTCCAATCGTCGACGATGAAAGAGTTACATCACGGACGTATCCTGTACTCCTAACTCTTCATGGAACAGGTAAACTATTCTGCCTCTGCCTACCAATGTTTTTGTTCACAACCCAAGAGCCAGTTTTACCGGCGAGACTTCCAAGAATTGCCTGGTTCAAATCCCCCTCAGTCTCTTTTCTCATCCACTCAATAACATTTCAATCATTTTTCGTATAACCAAACCATCTCGTTAGACCCTCTGCGCATAAAACAACATTTTACTAATCATGCCAGGTTCCTCATCTACGGTAAAATTATTACGGAGGTTTGCCTAAATCAAACTAAATTAAATTTGTTAATATTGATCCATTAGATCAAAATATTTGTTTCTTCAGGGTCTACAGCCCAGACTCATGCCGAAGCATACAAGAGAAAGGAGGGAGGGGAGGATCGATGGATATTTGGGGTTGAAGGACTGTGGACACTAGCGCCCTCCAGGCACGGTGATCACAACTGGGAAGGCCCAGGCGAGCTCACAGCTATGACGTCATTGCAAAAACTTGCGGAACTCACGCGCGAACATGATTGGATCAACGCGAAGGCTAATAATAAGGCGGTCGTGTTTGCTGGTCATGCCATGGGTGGTCATGGAGCTTGGTAAGGATTGTTAGGGTCTTATAGATTGTTATCCCTTGTTGTACCATGAAAACACTACAGTGCTTGTTGCCTATTGTTTATGTTATGAATCTTGTTAGTTTTAACGAGTCTGAGGTAGTAATTTCATGTCTTGAATCAACGAATATTATCAATCCCAACTTTAATCCTAAATCTGAGCCTAACTCTTACTTCTTACCCAACTACTAACAATAAAGGAATAGATTAAGGTTAATCTTCGTATACTCCACATGGAATTAATACAGGGTTTAGAGTGGCACGTTTCGATCCATTAAATCCACCTGATCATAATCTTCAAAATCTAATATCCAGGCAACTTTCTTCACATCATCCCGACATCACCCTAGCTGTTGTTTCAATAGCTGGTTGGATCAGCAAAGAAAATTATAGACAGTGGAATACGTTCTTCAAGGTTGATATCAGCGTCAGCCACACGGACTCCAGTTTAAAACATGTATTAGAGACTTGTAATGCTGAAAATGATGTTGGAAAACTTGTGCCTAATTTAAAGGTACGTGATAGCTGTTCTTTATTTGACAGTTGCAAATTGCTCAGAGGTATAAGTTCCCTTTTGTGAACATCCGTTAATTATTCACAATTATCCAAAGAGAAAAAGTAGCTCGTTGGTGCAAATAGATTGGTGCAATCTATGGCATAATGTCATTTCTAGAAAGCCATCGGTTCACAAGGCACAAGTAATGACTAACTTACGTCATTAGATAAACTCGAAGTATACCCCCCCCCCCCGTGGTGTTGAATTCATGGTATAATGTCTACATTCCTTCCCCTAGGGTATTCCAGTCATGATCCGCGTCGGAGCAAGGGACGAGATAGTGCATCCGTATTTTTCAAGGCGGATGTTTCGGCTATTGAGAGAGCAAAGCAATATCGTCACATATCACGAATTGCCGGATAAGAGTCACTGGTGGTGGGATACCTACAGCAAGAATGACGGAGGCGCGGTGAACGATCGAGATATGAGAGAGTTCCTTGTAAATCACTCCAAGTTCGCCATCACTAAAACCTCCAGGCCAGGTTAGCCATTAATATCCATCATGATAAAAAACTAGTGCATGAAGTAACTTAGTCAAGGTCGAATATACTCGACCTTGGTGATTAAAAATTAGTCAAGGTCGAATATACCGGAATATGGTATACTCGACCTTGGTGATAAAAATGTTAGTCAAGGTTGAATATAATAGGTGTAATGGGTATACTCAAACTTGACTTTAACTTTCTCTTCAACAGCATGCCCAAGAACTGAACAAGGAATACCATGTGAAAACGAGGGGGCTTTGAAATATTCTTCACTCCATGCTCCAGACCGAAATCTCGCGGGTTCCGGAGAATTTATACTTACATTGTTCAATCCCGCAAGTTCCAAAGGTGAGCTAACAGATTAACGTTTATGCTTTCTATTATAGTTATCTTCGTGGAAATCTAGCAAGAACCATCTCTTATTGTTCCAGTTCTACTACAATCTGATACAGTTCTACTACTGGAGGAAACTTCAGCCATATCCCTCACATGATAGCAGATAATTCCTTATTGATAGATATCTCTAAACTCTTCATTTAGGGGTTCGTGGAGTCAGGGTTTTGCAACAGGCGACCCCGTTTCGAAAAACAACTGTTCGGATTCAATTCACGGGGTCTAACGTTACCATGGTTACATCAAACGTGATCAGATTAAGATTCACTGAGCCCACAATCTCCCCAGTTCGCTGGACAGAGAGAGGAGGAGTCTTTGTGGATGGGATTCAAATTTCAGTCGATAGAAAAAACGGTATGTCTCTGGCGGTCGTGTGAGGTTTCCACCGATATGCGGTTCGTCTTTTCTTCGATGCTTTTTATCCACGTTCGTTGCATATTTTTTCACTAGGTAATGTGTTTGACCTCTGCAAAGACGGGAAGAGACATTGGAGGGTATGTGAGGTTTCCGGTGAATGTTTTGAGTCTGAAACACAACGAGGTCCCCTCAATCATGGTCCCGCAGGACGTATTGCTGAACAACCACTGCTTATCATTGTTGGTAGGTTGGAGTGTTGCGAGGGGATATTTGGAGGGGGATGGGGAGGGGTCATGCAGGGACATTTCCAGCCCAACCATGTCTTTATTTCTGTTAATGCATAATCTCCAGGAACATCGAGAAAGAGTCACACAGCTCAGGCGTTACTTCAGATGGCCGTCTATATCGCTAGCACATATTACCTCACCTCGCATGCGACTGTTCCAATAATTCGAGCCAAAGATATTGTTGACAGCAATATTCGTGATCACAACCTGATTATCGTTGGCGAGCTTTCTTTTACTGCTACCTACTTGGAGAGGATCCCGTTGAGGGTTGACAAGGGCAGTTCGATTAATTTAGGTAAGACTGTTCTAGTTGTGCTTATTAATGTTTCACTCCTGCACGAAATGTCCAATATAACATGAACATTTTCAGACATGAATCTCAGAGGATATTAAATACCAGTATCCATGCACTGGCAACGTTTCTTGCAAGAGATTTACTTATGAAAATTCCGGCTGTAATTCTCTGGAAATTTTGACAATCTTGACTGGTGCTAATAAACGCCCTTCCAACTTGCTTCATGCAGGACCTCAATTAGGGAAATTATTTTCATTTTTAGGCAATTGTGTCTTTCAATCGTCAGATATGGGTGTACTCTCCCTAGTCCCTCATTCCAGATCACGGCTGGCCTTGGTTATCACAGGTACATCATTGTCTGCCATTCGTAACGTCGTAAGTTTAGCAACGCCCACTGTCCCACCCATGGTTAGATCGCCTTTTTCTAACCTCGTACCGGATTACGTCATAACCGGCCCCGATTTTAAGGCACGGGGACCAGGTGGCTACTTGTGTGCAGGTTTCTGGGGCAACAGCTGGGAATATCGAAGCGATATTTCCTCCTGCGCGTGTTGAAATAATACTAACTGATCTAAAATGAAAGCTGGATTAAATATGGCTTCCTTTCGCCCATAACAAATATCCTACGGGCTTTTTCACCGCAGTACACAAATTTTCAGAAATTTTTTTTAAGAATATTTATTAAACCTGTGTTTGTACTGTGGTGCAAAGCTTCGGTGACTATTTTAATACTTTCGTAATAATAATAAATATCTTTTATCATTTGTACAGTAATAAATAAACGTTTAGAATATTTATTATCATTTTGCTAAAATGCTATTCGTGCGTGCGTGATTCACGTGTGCAGAATTTGGATGACATGTCGGATTCACGTGTGCAGAATTTGGATGACATGTCGGATTCACGTGTGCAGAATTTGGATGACATGTCGAAGTGAGGTTGCTGCCCAGAGTGAAACTAACCCATCCATCCAAGCTATTATGCTTACTCAGATATGAGTCACGTTGTAGCGACTGAAGACACGTCTAATCCTATCCTAAACCTTTCTTATTTTATACATCAATCGTTCCTCTAGTTCGTCTTTTCTATCCAACTCGCAGATATCTTCAAAACTGCCAAGACATTGTTCGTGAATGAACAACAAAGGCAATCTTCTCGTGTCCGCCAAACGAAAGATCAAATCTCGTTCGTCTTTTTGCAGTTCTAAATCGATGCTCACCCAGGTGTCATCCGATGAGCTTCTTGTCAGGCCGTATCGCTGAAGCAGTTTCTCGAGCGCTTCTGTTTCTCGCATTACGACTGGATCTAACGACGAACTAGAATAGTAGACTTTTATGTGGCTAAATTGAGTTGATCTTCTTTTATTTGAGTTATCGACAGTCTGAGCCACCTTTGTGATGCCTGAATCGTGCTCACTGACTTGCACCCGAAACGGGTTACCATTTATCAATTTCAGACCCCATCTAACATAGATGTTGTAGATCCCAGCTAACGTAGGCATGTACGCCACCGTATGCGTGGAATAGTTCTTCGAACACGTGCTCTTCACATGCGGCACTGGCAGTGAGACCGCAGGACAGTTTATGCAGACGCTCAACGGTCCTTTATCGCGGTTATCGGTGATGACAGTAAATACTGCTAGCTTCCCAACAGTGGCCTGTTTCAAACCTTCACCATCGTATCCGTAGAAACCTTTCTCCTTAAGCATTTCCCCTGATTCTTTTCTAGCCTCAAGCCCGTTGCTGAAACAATTCTCATTTAATATCTTACTCCAATTCTTGTTATTGTTTGAATCCATTCTGCCGTTCTCCTGTTTCAACTTTGGCAAAACCTCGACGCAGTACGGACTGTCGGCAATGTGCTCATCTTTGTAGTACATACACAATCGATAGCTGCCCGCAAGATTGGGTGTATACCTAACGCGGAATCGTCCTTTTCCCATCGAGAACACCCTAAGATCGGGTTTGTAGTCTTGCGTCAATTTCTCTGCGGGTTTAAACTCGACTGAAACTGTTATCTCGTTAGCATTGACGTCATGGAGGTCCAGTCTGTATTCAATTTCCTTACCAACTTTACCAAATTCAGGTTTCCGCTTCGTGGTAATCGTTATATTTTCTGAATTGACGTTTTTTTCTTCGAAGTCATTCTTCTCTATGCTTTTGATTTCAGGATGACCGTTACTCAAAGGTGGACTCTGATTAGGTGATTTCCTCTCGAGGTCGTATTCAAATATCAAGGCTATATACGTCATCACGCTGAGCTCATCCACTTCACTACATATCATATCATCCGGGGATATTATCATAGGTATGCCCCAGTTTTTCTCTGCCGTTTCCATGGCGACATTAACATTCTTTTGCGGCCAACTACCTTGAAGGTATACTCGCGCCGGAATCAGGCCTGGATCGAGCGCATTGACGAGTTCGCAAAGGACCGTCCCATCATTCCAGTCAGTCGTGAAGTTCTTGATTTTCCTTCCAAGCTTGCTGTTGAGCCACTTTAATAGAATGTCCTTGGCGTTCATTGGTGCGTTTTCAATTTCCCATAAAATTTTGCCAGGCGATATGTGAAAGAACTCTATCAGATCCCAAATAAACTGGACGACTGTAAAGCGATTCACGTCTGGAAAGACAAGATGGAATTTTAGTGAATCTCTGTAGCTGCATGTTAAGACCAGCTCGACTAGCCTAGAACTTACTGCTTCGCAATGTTTTATTCATTGTTCCACTTTCAACCTTTCTTAATGCCAGTACTGCTAGTCTGACTGAGTGCTGACTGTTGCTACTAATACTAGCCTGACTAGTCTAGTACTTACTGCTTTTCAATGTTTTATTCAGTGTTCAGTTCATCCTCAGCTTTAATGTTAGTTGATCATTGCAGTACTGCTTGTCTGACTGAGTGCTGACGGATACCAGCCTGACTAGACTAGAACTTACTGTTTCGATTTTTTACAGTGTTTCAATTTTAGACTCCAATATCAGTAAGTGCTCTCAATCTGACCCGAGTGCTGACTGTAGCAAACACAACCTCGTATCACACAGTTAAATTTCGGAAAGACCCTCAAAGATGCAAGAAATGGTTCATCTTCCGTGTTTGTACAAATTCCGACCTATATTTCCGACAAGCTACCATGTGAACCCTATAATCATTTCGCGTGTAATAGCATATGTACTTCAGTGACTCGTGTTAAATTATTCAATATTGCTTTTGTTGCTTCTATGTATGGAAATTTGCATTTAAAAATAGGCTGTGTGATCAGACGCTATCTGCGTGATTCCGTTTTCAATAATAATTGAATTTTGTCTAGGCTTAGAAAAACCGTGGTTTTTTCCTATTGTCTAAGCGGCGATGTTTCTCGAGCCTTATCGGGGTGGACATCTGCTAGAGTTCCACGCTTCAGAATGTGCTACAGTTTTTAGCATTCTACTGCAGCATATTTGCACAATTGTCAGGCAATATTTATTCTTTGTTATGTCGCCACGTGAACTCATTGCTCTCGCGTGTCTTACAAAGGCTTAACATTTGTCTCGGAACAAATGCTTCCATCCTATCATCAAATAACGATTGGAAACAACTTGAATCCTTTGTATCACTTTAGGCATATTATCACGAAATGGCGATTCACTTTTATCGCTTAAATTAACCTATTCTATGAGAGATGAAGGACAGACATCTCTACAATCAACCTCATTCATTGTACAATCGTTCTAGCTTCGTTCAAAGCTGAACTTTCACGTTAAAGTTAAATCGTTTCCCGAGAACCAATAACTATATACTGTATTGCACACCGAACTTGTGCTTCGCTAAGTCAACTGATAGAAATAATAGTAATATTATCAGATCGACGTCTTTTGAATCAAGAATCGAATATTTTTGCTTGAAATACTTCAGCTAACCACTGCGCCACAATTGGGAAAGCAGAGCATTTTTTTCTTCCGTAGGCAACCGCAATAGGACTCGAATTCATCGTTCGACATTAAGAGTCAGTCGATTTTTATGTTTATATTTTGAAGTGTGTATGGACTTGTTTGAATATATCGTGCAGATAATGATCGTATTTCATGACGGGAATGGATTATTCCGCTCTAGTAAAGTATATGAAGAAAATATGTTGAATAAAAAATATCTATAATCTTATAATATTCACTTTTAAATATACAAACTTTGCATGTTCCAAATTTGTTTTTGTTTTTCATCAACCACGAATGCTTTCATATATTTAGCATAAAGATTGTGTGAAGAATATATATTCATTATATGCATTGCAACGAAATGGAACCGTTTCTATATTTTGAAACAGCAAGCAATAAAAAACTACAGATGGTTAACTGAAGATTAAAAGTCATGAAACAAGATTAAGCGTGTCTATTCATAATTACCTTGCCCTTGCTCCGACCGAAAGTAATTCTTCTTAAATTCTTCAGCCTTGCTCAAGACGGCCTTTCGCTCGCCTGTTCTTCGTTCCTGTGAAGATCCCTTAAATTTCTTCTCCGATTTATTGAGAACGATTTCCAGCAACGAATCGAACAGCTCGCGTTCGTTCGGATTAAATATGTCAACGATCTGTTTGTCCAGTGAGCGCAACAGGCAATTCGCCCAATTCGTGAATGCCCGACGTCGCATCATTGTTTTATAAACGCTGATCCGTTGTTGTCTCATTACCATGCGCCTTGATCTGCACCTATCACAGAACAATGCGGTCAAGAGTCGCTGATATTGATGTGATCTCGCAAACGTCAATGTTCTCTCGACAAAATGATAAATTATTTGAATTGAAATACTGGAGGACTTGCAGAGAAGTATGTATATACTATGGTATTAATCGCTTCAAACATTGAAAGGATTATCGCGACTTTATGATTTCGTAGAATTAATGTATACATTCACAATGTTCATTTGTCCTGCTACAATCAGTGGCTACAATACGTCAGCATTGTGATCGTGCATTTGAATTTTGGATCATGGGGTTAGAATCCTATATATAATGCGATATGCATGCTCGAAGCATTTTAAACAAAAATAACGCATTTCGAACATTGTAAACAAGTCGGGATTACGAAAACATTTATAATATTATCATTTAATGAATAGAAAGGTTACACGGAACATGCACACACCAGGCTATATTCAGTATTCTGCCTAACCACACACTGTGGCCTAACGCAGGACCCACTCTGTACAACGGCAGACGCTTATCACTTCGTACCACCAGACGATTTTATCCCTATGGGTGGGGGTCCTGTCAGGTAATGCATGGCTCATCTGCTAATCTTATGCTTCCTCTGGACCACAGCAGTGTGTAACACAGGCTCAATATTAGTTCAGGTAATTTCCAGGACAATTAGTATATCTTACTGGACAGCACTGGGTGACAACGAGACACAACAGACTACGTACAGCATGTTACTGTAATTTTGCGAGAAACATCGAAAATTTCCAAAAACCCTAGCTTATTAAAAGCTCACCAGATCGTGAAACTGTCTTATTTGTTAAAGAACATCTAGTTCATGCATTAACTTTCCTTTTTACGGTGGCCATAATAGCTCACATTCATGCACTCACGTATTACACGTAGAATTATTGACAGTTGCATTTAGAAACTTTTTTAGCAGACAGATAAATATAAAATTGATAAATATAAACTTTTTTGATAAATATAAAATGTTTTTAGTTTGTTCAAACCGTAAGATTAAAAGACAAAATGTTTCCCAATATCCACGTTTAAGGCTTCAAGCTTTCTGTTTTGAATTTCTCCGAGATTAGAGGATAGCAATCAAGTATGTAAAAGTACACTTACTATTTTTAGTTAAGTGGAAACAGGTTATAAAATTTTCCCTGAAAATACTGATCTGCCCGAGCAAGTGAGTCTTTGTTTTTTCTCGTTAACAGTTAACACCCATTATAAACTTGAACTAGGTTCTCGTTGTAATGATGTGCCTCGCTGGCAATGTTTTGAACGACCCAAACATAACATCTGCCGTTTCTATGTAACAGCTATCAAGTTATGCGCATTTTAATTTTACACTGCAGGTAACAGGTGAAACGTGTCTACGTGCAAGATAATGATTCTTCAAATATAAACTGCCGTAGTTTGTGTCTAAACATTTGAATAAACGTTGAAAGCTATAGGCAAATTCTCTTTGGCCAGACCGGAGGACTGTGATTGGTAAATAATCTTAACTCTCGTCGCCTGCTAATGGCTTTAGGGGAGCCTTTTAAATGGCTTTAGGGGAGCCCTGGCTTGAATTTGGATTGTGCGGTATGGGTTTCACAGGAAGTCAAGATTATTAACCTTTTAGATATTATTCCTTATCCATTGAGGCGGATTGAGGTGCCAGAAAATCTTAATTGATTTACCCCCAAATTTGTGCTTTCCCAGGGGGGGGTAAAATCGTCTGAACTTAAAAAGGAACATACTATAGTATAGGGTCCTTTAAATATAGATTGACTACCATTGCCGTTACCACTGAAGGACCATGAACCAATCAAATGCCGATAACTCTATTAGATTAACCAATCACGAGCACAATAGATCAGCGAGGGTTAACCGTGCGGTTTACCGGGTATAGAGCACTAACCCCTGCATACCTATTGACATAGCCAATCTTGCCCACACGAAGGAACGGTCGAAGGAGACAAACTTTTCCTTGCTTGACATTGCGGTTAGAACAGATGGCAAATTTGATCATAAAGTACCGCGTTTTTCCTTCCCACGTGCAGTAAATCGTGTCTAATTTAGAGCTCGGACGTGCAATCAGCCTAATTTTTTGCGCGTGCGCAGTGCACGATTTCAATATCAGAGTCTTTGAAGATGGAAACGCTGTATCAAACACAATAGGGCATCTAAAATTCGAAGTAAATTGCGCCTGGTTCATTATAATTTGGTTCATTATATCTGACTCGATAGAATTCAATAGGCTACCAACGTGGATATTTACTTGGATATTTGTGTAATCCTCTTTGTGCAGAGTTTTAACCGCTGGCGCTGTGTGTGTTTTTTACATTAATACATATTATTTTCTCATCTATACAGATTGTACCGATGTCCGTGCAGTTTAAAATCGTTGCAACACGATGCAATCGTTCTACATAATCGAACTGCCAATCGATTTCAACTTACCTTTGTCAAATTTCGGTGCATAGTACGAAGATCCCTGTGTAAATTCCGATGATGTATAGACCACAAAATATTCATCTCAATTTTGGACATTCTTCAATAGATGAAAGTTGATGATTAGATTAAATCTCTGCGCGGTATAGTAACGCGCCCAGAGCACAGAGGAGGTTGGACAGCAGGCCGCAAAGCATGATGGGTATTGAGCGCTCAATTATGCGAACGCTTCATTTGACGTTTTGACTGTCGTGATGTGAAGAGCTCTGCGAGTATAGGAAAAATGGATGCTTTCGAAAGACAGGATTTTCAAGCTGCGATAGTGCAAAATACTATGATGTATATGTATTGTTGCGATCCGCATTACGACTTATCTTTTACTGTACCGAGTTTACCGTTTTTTAAGCTGCATGGGCTTTGCTGCCATTTCGCCTTTCATAATACTCCGTCTGAAAGAAGACTTTGTATTATACCAAACACCGAAGCACTGCTTTCGAAGTTGAATGGCCTTAAATCTCCTTGTGTCATCAACGTTAAAGCAAGTACTATATTTGAGGTTAGTATAAAGTACTTGTCAACACCTCATTTTTTAATATTTTTTATTAACTTTTAAGGCTTGATTTGTGTATTAAAATTTAACTGAAACTTTTTTTTAGTTTGGTACTATCCCTGATGAATTTATTCATTGTAAAGCGGAGAGAATGCTTTTAATTTGGGATTTTGATGTGGATCGTGTATTGACAGAAAATACGAGCGCTGTGGATGCGGTTACTCCTGATTTTGATGACATCGAAATTAATAATGAGGACAGTGAAGAAGATGAAAGTGAAGAAGTTGAAAGTGATGAGGAAGAAATCACTCATGCTCTACCATTCAAGTGCATTGGAGCTGCTCATGAACAAAGTTACCAACATCATCTGGAACAGGCATATCTTGCCCTTGAATATAATGAATCAGTAAATGTTAGACTAAGACCAGAGCCGGAGAATCCTCGGGACCAAAATGCAATTGCTATTGATCTTCATTATGGAACTCAATGGGAAAATGTTGGATATATAGCTTCTGAACATTGCAAGTATTTACATCCACTGATTGCAGCAGGAGATATACTAGACGTCTATGTTGAACACATCAAGTTTCGGGTTAACTTTTTAAAAATAGGATTTTATCCAAAAATCTGGATAAAGAGGCGTGGTAAATGGGAAGGTCAGATTGTAAGGGCTAGTATGAGTGTACGTTGACATATAATTTCATAAGAACCAGGGTTTGCAAGTTGTGAATTTCTGCAATTATTTCCATTGGCTAACCTATGTAGATTTTTCCAGCATTTTTGCCATCAACTTGTTTTTAGTCTGGTTTCCATATGACAATCAAAGTTGTTGCATAATAACTAATAATGATAGATATTTTTCTTAATGGTTAACACAACACCCTGACAATGTTGTATGGAAACCAGGCTTTCTATTTTATATCCTCAAAACCTATTGTCTATAACCAAAGCACTTCACTGTCATGTGATATTTCATACAAACCCTTGCAGTATTAAGAAAATTAGAAAAATATTCATACAATACATGGTATAAATATGTAAATCTGTATTTATTGATGAACAAATAAATAAACTCATCAAATTTTATTATGGTTATAAAATATTGTAAGTAAAATTGCCTTGACAAAACAGCCAAGATTTTGCATTTATACATATATTTACATGATGTTCAAAAAAGTAAAAACCTGCATACACACACCATTGTTTTTTGTTTCTATGCTATTGTTTCTATGCTAATAGCATTTACAATTCATGCAAACTTGAAGATCAATTGTACTAGATAAGGTGTTCATGCCTTTAGCTTTTCAATCAACCTAATATACATAAATATTGCCAGTTCTAACACACAATGGCTTAGTAATGCAGATCTTAACTCACACTAACTGTAAACATCAACAAGCATCTAAAGAACAGAACCAATATAAATGTCAGTTTATTTTACTGAAGAAGTGAAAACATATAATCACACAATATGTTTCATATTTATCAATTTTGTGAAGGTGGTGGTGGTGGTAAGCCTTCTGGTTGTTTGAAATGTGCTGATCTAACACTCAATTGACCACGTTGTGGGATTACAGCTAGGCGTTAGCGAATGAGCATAGGAGTCGTCACTGCCAAAAATGGAAATCTATATAAAATACAAAAAAATACTATTTTCCCGTCTAAATGTTAATAACTAAGGAAGTTAAACCATGAATACAAATAAAATTTACATTAATATTACAAATTATGTAGTTAAACAATATTTGAAAGGGAAATATCCCATTGACCCGAAATGCGCTATTTTGAACATCTCAAAACAAGAGTGGTAAATTCAAAGCCCGATATCTCGGAAATGGTGTGGGGTCGCAAGGGGTCGATCCAGCCGATTTTTTTTTTACATACTTAACTTCATTCTTACAAAGAATCTCAAAAATCGAACCACAGGAATTCGAGATTTTCAACTTTGAAAATTGTAAACAGACAAGCACATGACTCATCACTTCGGAACGACCCGACCAACTTCAGTTATAAAAATCGACTTAAAAAGTAACGCTTACCTCGATAATCTCGACAGATATCGCCAGTCCAATGAATCTTTTTTCAAAAAATATGCGTTTTAATCAGTAAACTTTAAAAAATATACTCAATATTTTTATGTTTCTCCGTCTTATGTAAATTTTCTCGCTCAAAATCTTCGCAAGCACGCTTGGAAAATAGCGCAATCTCATTGGTCGAGAAATTCACGTGACAGCTGTCCAACCTCCTCTGTAACGCGCCCATGCTATTATAAAGGTTGGCTGGTTGAGGTACTGAATGTTTAAATATGATATTGTATACTACACTACATGTGGCGGTATAGTTTCGATATTTGGTTTCAGGTTACAGAAATGCAATAAGCAAGTAGGAAAATCATGTGTCCTGTCCAAAGGTCATATACTCGACCTTTATTTACATTTTCCCCCGGGAAAACTGGGATTTTTGCATTGGGTCAAAAATACAATTCATTTTTGCTCCTAGGATTTATTTCAGATTTCATCCATTTGACACGTATTACATTCTTCATTTCTTCTTCAGTTTTATTACATACCACGTTATATCCATTCATGTTTTATCACATTCCCACTTGACACATCACGTCCTTTCTTGTCACCTTCCGTCCATTCATATCACTTGCAGCATCCGGGGCATTTCATATCAACCAATCAGAGCATTTGTTGACGTCTCATATATGTTACAATTACTGAATGACAAATGAAGAAAATAATTTAAAAATAATATGAATTTTCCTGAATTATTGAATTAAGCATTATTTGAGCTTTTTAAAGCTGCAATATTTTACATGGAATACTAGAACAAGTTTGGATAGTGAGGAAACATTCCTATTGCATTGAAATAGTCAAAATGGAGAGAAAAGAAGCTCAATTTTACGGCAAACTCTTGTCGTCTTATAACCATGTCTTGATGTATGAAGACACAAAGCTGCAAGATTTGTATCTTTCCCATATTCCTGTTGTGGAATTACAGGGAAGAGCGGAGGAAATTAAAAAGGAGAAATTTGAAAATGAAGGCAAAACGATGTCGTTAGAAGATTGCCTTTTATTGGCCCTTTTAAAATGGTTTAAATGTAAGTTTGACGTGTATTTCATCTATAATTTATTAATACATGCCACCGTCATTTTTTCTAATAAAATGTCACATTTGAGATAAAAAGAATATTTCTCATAAAATCCACATAAAAAGACATCCATTCTTCAAAATTTTTGATAATATTGGTATACAGTACGGTATTTTTATTGCACTGCAGTAATGTTTTTCCTGACTCCAAACCTGACTCTGGGTATTGTATGGTAACAAAGTGCTTATTTTTTCATATTAAGCTGACTTTTTTCATGGCTTCACAAGGTCATTGAAATGTGATGATTGTCAGATGCAAGGCACTGCAATAGGAGGGGGTGTTGCTACAGCCGAAGAACAGAGATGGGGAGCGGGTCGTGTTGAACTCTATCAATGTCCAAAATGCAAAAAAATCATGAGATTTCCACGATATAACCATCCACAGAAATTGCTGGGTATTGTAATTTTCTTATGTGTCATAAATATTCCTGTTGTTCAATTTTGGCTCTGACACAAGCTGTGTTTTATATATAGAGACAAGAATTGGTCGATGTGGTGAATGGGCAAATGCCTTTACAATGTGTTGTATTGCATTGGGCTTTAAAACTCGGTATGTTTTGGATTGGACTGATCACGTATGGACTGAGGTGTTCTCTGATGCACAGCAAAAATGGTTGCACTGTGATCCATGTGAAGGCATTTGCGATCGCCCGCTGCTTTACGAAGCTGGCTGGAACAAGAAGCTGACTTATATCATTGCTTTTGCAAAAAACCAGGTAAAAAACAAACCACACAGTATCAAGCTTTGACTGCCAGACAGTTCTCTTTCAAAAAGGGAAGATTATCTGGTTAGTAACCACAGAAGTGCCTTATTCACTGCATTGTGTACTGATATTACAGATAATGGATGTGACGTGGCGATATTCAAATAAACACGAGGAAGTCAGAAAACGTCGAAATGAATGCCGAGAGACCTGGCTTGTATTAACAATCAGCACGTTTAACAAAAATGTATGAAATTAGAGCATCGTGGATGTATCAGGAAGTCATGAAAATAATGTGACCTAATTCTTAAAGTTGTTTCATTTAACTTCAGTTCTTAGACCCGTTACCCAAAGAACAGAAACAAAAGGCTGAGATACAAAACATGAAGGAACTAGTGAGTTTTCTAAGTGTTAAAAAAGAGATTTCAGATGAGGAGAGACAGGGGCGCACCTCCGGGAGTGTTGAATGGCGCAGGGCAAGGGGAGAACTAGGGGAATCCTCTAAGGAGGTTAGTGGTGAATAGTTTGATGGGAGCATTTGAAAATGGTGGTAACATTTGATAATGATTACAATTGATTACATTTTGCAGGCCATAACTGGTTTTGTTTTCAAACCAAATGAAAAAGACGTTCAGGCTGGAAGGTAAGCAGTATATGCACTTTTCCAAGATCTTGGTTATGTAACAAAGATTGTATTCCCCATGATGACGCTAGCAGGCATTAGGACTGGGCTAGGAAGACTGAACATTTGTTTAAAACTGAATGCAGATATAATATGACATTGCAAATTATATTTAGTTCAATTTAAGAACACCTTCCAGTATTATGCATGGAGAAGTGACTTAATACATTGTTTGGTTACTTCTATATATTAGGTGATAATACATGCTTACCTAAGTTATTTCACCTACACTTTCATATATTCTTCACATTAGCTTATTATATATTTTCATTTTGTATAATTTCCTTTTAATAATTTGTTCTCCATTTCATCAATAACGATTAATATATTTACTTTCCACCTCTTGGTGCTTCAACGCCAGTCAGATCAATTTCTCTCTTTCCACCTCTTGGTGCTTCAATGCCAGCCAGATAAATTATGGTCCTCCTCTTGCCACCTCTTGGTGCTTCAATACCAGTCAGATCAATGTTTCTTTTGCCACCTCTTGGTGCTTCAACACCAGCCAGAGTAACGTCTCTTTTTCCACCTCTTGGTGCTTCAATACCAGCCAGATTAACGTCTCTCTTTCCACCTCTTGGTGCTTCAGCACCCACCAGATTGATGTCTCTTTTTCCACCTCTTGGTGCTTCAACACCAGCCAGATCAATTCCTCTCTTTCCACCTCTTGGTGCTTCAATACCAGCCAGTTCAATTCCTCTCTTTCCACCTCTTGGTGCTTCAATACCAGCCAGATCAATTCCTCTCTTTCCACCTCTTGGTGCTTCAATACCAGCCAGGTCAATGTCTCTCTTTCCACCTCTTGGTGCTTCAATACCAGCCAGATCAATTCCTCTCTTTCCACCTCTTGGTGCTTCAACACCAGCCAGATCAATTCCTCTCTTTCCACCTCTTGGTGCTTCAACACCAGCCAGATCAATTTCTCTCTTTCCACCTCTTGGTGCTTCAATACCAGCCAGATCAATTCCTCTCTTTCCACCTCTTGGTGCTTCAAAACCAGTTAGATCAATTCCTCTCTTTCCACCTCTTGGTGCTTCAACACCAGCCAGATCAATTCCTCTCTTTCCACCTCTTGGTGCTTCAATACCAGCCAGATCAATTCCTCTCTTTCCACCTCTTGGTGCTTCAACACCAACCAGATCAATATATTTTTTCTGATTTACATTTCTAAATAAAGTAAATAAGTTATTCGTCATCATTTCAACGACCTCTTTATGCAATTCTCTGAAGTTGACTCAGAAATTCCGAGGTGTGTTGGAGTTTTATTTTGGAAGATTACTTCGATAATATGAACAGAGAAAATTGTACTCGTGACGTAAAACATCGTCTGGTTTAGGTTAGTGTGGTGAATATTATATATGGACATTATTAAACTATGACACAGTATAAAAAAGCAAACGCTCGATAATGTTTCCTGACATATTTCGCTTGTCAAAATGCTCATGTAAACAAGCTGTACGGACGGCCTTTTAAAATGACTTTTTCTCAATTTTGACTACTTGTTGTACTTCTCGAATGATACTCTTTTAAGTTCACTACAAAAAACTCTTGATAAAACTGAAAACACCGTGCCTTGAAAGAAAACGTCCCCAAATTCTTAGTTTACAGTCATCGCTTTTCGAAAATGTACGTCCACTCAAGGAAGTTGCTATGTTCTCGGCGGGTATTTTCGTCCATCTCACCGCGAAGATTTAGTCAAAAGTCAAAACTTTACACTGTTTCAAAATCTAATCCGTTAAATCTAACTCAAAGTACATTCCATAACTACCTGTCGTTTTCCCTCCACGTCAACACCGCCTCTCCTCTGGTCACAAACCAAAACTGACAGGAAAGTAAAAGAACAGTCTGAATTCCTTGAAGCATCTTCATGTCGAAACGTAAGCCTGGTGGTTCCCCTTGCGTTTCTCGAGTTTTAGCTCTTCGGATACCGCAGTCGTCTGTCTGATCTCCACGCTAATCCCTCCTTTTATACGGCTTATTTTTCAATTATTATTAAATAATTTATTGTTGCCGTTATCTTCTACAATGTTTGCAAATGTTATTAATTTCGCCTTACAATATCTTGTGAAGACCAGATGCGGGCAATCCGGTCAAACACGCCCTACGACAGTCCTAACTTCGCGGGACTGAAGTAAGGATATCGAGCTTCAAAATGCATATAACATCAGCTCGACACGAATGAGTTTTTGTTGTCCCGATTTTGAGGTATATCTTGTGCATATATTCATGCACTCTCGCCGAGCCTTAATATTTTATGGATTTTATTTAGTATATGTATAGTTTCGGTTTCGCGAAAAGAAAATTGCAATTTTCTTCGGTCAGGGTGTGGTCATTGCTGGGTTTTCTGGACAATGGAGTATAAGAAGATTGAAAAGTATAAATCTGTGATAATGCATGTTTTGAGGTCTAGCATTTGTTTCGTTTTAGTAAATATATGCTCGTGTACAAAAAGTCAGGCCAAGTGCCGAGGCATTGATAGACTAATGGCATCGACTTCTTCCCATTGAGGTGAGCTGCACGTTGTCTATTTTCAAGCTGTTCAATTGTGGACAACGTGTTTTTCAAACCCGTCATTCAAACCCATCGGAGTTTTAAAATATATTATTAACAATTGTTAACAAATGTTGTTAACGCGATGGTGCTATACGGCAAATTCTGGAGTGATCAACTTCACTCGTGTTTTTAGACAAAGTTCGGTCCCAACAACGGCTATGTCTACACTTCTGTCGCCCAGGAAATTAGGATTTCTTCCCTTTGCCCTGGCCCCTGATTTCTGTGCTAGCTAGTACACGTTGTAAACTCCTTGTCTCTCTTTGGAAAAGGCCAGCACGCGTGTGTTACACGCACTTTTGTGAAGCTATGAACTTAACGTTGACGTGAATATACTAAGAAACAAGCTATGCAGGGGAGCCTGCACTGTGAGTAATTAATACATTTCTCCACGTATATTTTGAACGCGCTCGGCCGCAATCTGGCCTCCCGAGGATCTCGATAATTTCTTTTTAGTTATATCTCGAAATTAAACCAACCAAATTTCGTTTTTTTTTAATTGGATTCTCTACTCGAATCGCTAATGTAATCAATGTTGCTTCGTCCTCCTACTCCTTGGGTAATCTTCCCAGCTTGACGGCAGATTCAATTATTCTAATCTTCGATTTTAACAACTGCCCTCTGTAGTGATATTGACCTCGTTTAGATCAGGCATTGCCCAAAAATCTTACTCTATAGGGAGGCTAGTACTTGTTATTCAACCACTGGCGTATCCAGCCTGACGATTTAGTCATGCTATGCAAATTTTATGTTATTATCATTATTCATTGCTTTCACAGTCAATAGAACACCAAAATAATAGCATAGCATGACTAAATTGTCGGGCTGGCTACGCCACTGGGTTCAACCAGTACTGTGGCGTGCACAAACTTTTGGAACCTCGAAAAAGATTTACAATTGTAAAAAAAAAAACACGAAAGTAGTTCTACATAGGGCCAAACAGCGACCTCTAAGATGATCATAGATACGCATAGGTTGTTACCAATTTGTTTTTGACAGTTTGTTTTTATCGTATAATGCATTCGTTTCACTGGTGACAACATGTCAAAATGATTTCGTTCACATCTTGCTAAAACTTTGTTGACCTCAACAAACGCGATATAAAAGTTCTTCCCACTCATTTTTAGTCTATTTTTAGGTCATTCGCTGTTCTAAACAAGATCGATATCTCGAGAGTTCACGTCTTCATTTCGTGCACTTATTTTTGACGTTTCAGCATGCGAGTGCGTTATTCCACTGCGACAGATATGTATTACCGTGGACTGGAGGATGACGTCATCCCAGGAAACGATGACGTCAAGGGCTGGCAAAATGGTGTCAACTCCATGACGTCCGTATTTCGAAAAGAAGAACATGATTGGAAGATGGTAATGGTCATGAAATTATGCTATCCAAATATCCAATTTTGTCAGATCCAATTCACTTCTGACGTATTGAATATAGTCTGTTATTGATAAGGCAGAACTGCACTAGTTTTAGTTGATTTGCTTCCCATATATATTGCAAATAAACGGACTATAAAACGTCCATCAGAAATGAATAAGATTATAAGAATAGTGTGAACAGACCTTTGAAGATAGGTCCTTATACTCAATACAACTGAGACCATTTAACGCAGCTGTTTCTTCAACCGCGTACCACTCAATCTCTTCTGACCATTTTCCGCCTGCTGAGTGAGTGTTGACGATTCTGATGGGTGGGGAGTCATAACAAACGCGTCAAATTTTAAACGCGAGTAGGCGAGAAACGCATTAATACAATAAATCTTGAGACTAATTTCAAACAACACACCCCTTCTACAAACGCGTCCTCCTCGTGGGGGCGTCCACCACACCCACTCACCCACAGACTCCATTCTATTGCAGAGCTATCTTGCTCGGAAGGAAGGCACCGAATCAGGCAAGATAACGTGGATTTTCGACGTGAGCGAGTGCGGGTGTGAAATAGATGAAGTGTCCGTGAGGGCGTTATTTACAACTTTTGAAGATGGCGAGGCCAAGATGGAGTTGAAAGAAGATAAAGATGGGGGAATTATCAAGATCTTAGATGGAAGTAAGTCATGTAAATTGTTCAATTAGTTCTTTCTCGACAAGAGATCCAGTTCTTACAATCCTATGTATGTTATTGCATTGCTTGTGCAATGTAATAACAACTAGAGGAACTGTAATAGTATCAACTCCGTTTATATCACTGGGAATCTTTATTACTTCTGGTCTCTTTTAACAGGATATTTAAGTCAAAACTACCTTATACACTAGTCCAAAATTTCTTCCTGGAGTCGCGTTTTTCGAAAGCAGTTTAACTTCATCTTGGGTCAACGCAAATCATCTTGATTCAAATCAAACTTCAAAATTTACTGTTGTGAAGATAGAATTCCTTGTAATCACCTTAATGTAGTTTTACTAAAAACTATCAATACTGGATTCATTATTCAATTCATTATTTTTCCAGGCTAATAGTCCAGTATAGAGAACACTCTTTTCTCTAGCCAATCTTCCTGTATGTTGAGGAAGATTCTGCCACAGATAGAATGGAATTAACTATTAAGACCTGGACGTTGTTTGCTGTAGTGAATTAATCTCATGCAAGCCTGTTTCTGTGGCAGTGGCAGAAAAATATCATGTTTCTTACGAAGCTTTATCCATTTGTGTAGTCTCTGACACCACATTCAAACCAAGTGGTCACCCAGTGATAATAAAGCTTACGGCATCTTTAGGATGCAAGAAAAATGACAAGGATAATTGCTGGCAACATTCACAGATCTTCCGGCAACCTCTAGACAACCAAAATTACTACCCACTGGATATCACAGTGAAATTGAAGCCAAAGAAATAAAGAAAATTGACTAACAGGTACGTTCAAGTGATCCAATACATATGCAGTATTCGGGACAGAATGGTTGGATTAACTAAAAAATCTTTAGGCCTGAATAAAAATTTAAACCTAAAAACATTATAGTTAGCACCAAATATGTAATATTTGGCATTTTTTAATAATTCAAGTGGCTATCAATAATATATAAGTAATTATGAATTTAATAAATCAATATAATGTTTTGTATAATATTAAACTGTAAATTTATGTTCTATGCATGGTTTTACGTAGAACCTCTCGTTTATTGCGCTCGTCTAATATTGTATCTCGAATCATCTTTAAGTCCTCCAATGATTTGCCTGCTTCAAGTACAACTTGATCATCATTCTAAATAACAATATATTACTTTTTAAACTTATCTAATGAACAAGGGGATTATCACCTTTCACTTTATCAACAACCATCTAATCGGTGTACTTTGTCTGGCAGCAATGCCCAGGACTGTGTTCAAATGGTCTCTTCTCTCAAGCACTTGAACCAAATAAGATCTTTCTATTAAAATGAGTGAATCATACTTACATCCACAAATCCCATTGCAAAAAGGCATTCCACAGCACCTTTGACGGGTAAAAGTTTATTTTGAAAGGTATTTGTGCTCAGTTTTAAAGTCCTGTACTTTGGTTCATTTGGTTCTTGTACAATATTATTTGCAATTCTCAGCAACAACTGAGAAGCACTGTCAAACATGTCTGGCGAGTTTTCCAGAAGTTCTCTGAAGCAGTCCAATTGACGACCAGCAGCCACCTTTACTGAATCTACAGGCTGATAAATAATAACATAATATGATAACCCACAGAGAACACAGGCCTTTTAATAAGGCTAAATTTAGGGCTAAACTTATTTCATTGCAGCAATATCTATTGTGCTTACGGATTGACTGCTTTGAATAGCCCATTGTTGTATTTTCTCCCGTAATGTTTCCGGATCTGCACCTTTCATTTCATCAACCTTTTGGCCATGAAGAAAAAAAAGGAATGTCGGCATTGCTCTGATACCAAAGCTCGCTGCTGCCTCCTGTAAATTGTAGATCAAATTAAATGAAAATATTTTATTGAAAACACTGCTTTGATATGGAAGGTCTGAGAATACAAGTTCTACTAACTCTGCATTGATCAACATCCACTTTAAGAAAAACTGCGTCTGTGAATTGATTGCTTAACTGTTCAAATACTGGTGCAATTCGTTGGCATGGCCCACACCTTTGAAAATATATATACTACCATTACAAATACACAGCAGAATTTATATTGATCCAATCTTAACCACAGAAAAATATATTTTGCATGAATTGTCAAGTGTCAATGAAAGTTATAACTTGCCACGAAGCAGTGAAATCAACAACGACCAATTTGTTGTTATTTTTTTCAAACTCCCTCCTAAAGTGTGTATCGTTATTAATGATGAGGACATTTCCGTGAGAAGCCATAGTTAGTTCTTACAAGAAGTTTACTAATGTATGTTAAGATCGAATTTTTTGTTTGTAAACAAAAATTTAAAGGTATACGTAGTCGGAGCTAGTCGTGCCGTGTCGTCGATTTTAGCCGTTTTCCGAACATAATCCGGCGTATCATGTATGTCCAGTGTATGTCCCTCATATATGTGGCTCAGTGGTTGTATATTTATTTTACAGCGTTGCCAGATCGTGAACAAAGTTCACAGATTTGTGAACTTTTTGCTCTCTTCATGAACTTTTTATGAACTTCGAAGATTTGCGAACTTTTTATGAACTTTTTAAAACAGGGACCGTGGAGCAGGGTGGCTCGCTGGGCTTTAGCCCCACCAATAATTTTTCCGTAATTAGTCTTTAATTTCGAATATTTTTTAGTTCGCTCAAATTTACAAGCAATACAAGCGCCAAAATGCTGGGAACTTTACATAGGGCAAGCATTTGACCATTAAAACAGCGTGGTTATCCATTTCAAAATATTTGACATCATAACCAAAGCATGGTTATATTGTTTAATGTTTGTATATGAGCGCCAAACATGCTGGAAACTTTACATTAGACAAGCATTTGACCATTAAAACAGCGTGGTTATCCATATCAAAAAATTTGACATCATAACCAAAGCATGGTTATATTGTTTAATGTTTGTATATGAGCGCCAAACATGCTGGAAACTTTACATACTATCTATTATTTTCCATTAATCCTTAAATTGAGAGGCATTTGCGGCGATTTCAGAGACCTATATTTAGCAGGGCGCGGTTCCGAGCCCCAGCAATACGAAAAACGCTCCGCGTTTTGAAATTTCATCTGGCAACACTGTTGTATAATTTAGAACCAGTGTTTAGAACAAGAATAAAGAGATGAAAATTATAAGTTTGGTGAGGCAACAAGAGGGAATACCACATGCGTGCTTGGAGAACATGTAAGCTACAATCATTGCTAAAAGGCTGAAACGAACGGGCTTGCTGGCTCATGTCACCCCCCCCCCCCCCCTTAGGCAATGTGCAATAACTGTTGTCCTTTTGTTGCCCTTTAGTTGTCCATTAATTGTCCTTGACCTTTTGTTACCCTGGTATCTAAGGCCTGGTTTAATGGCAATTGATAAAGAAAATTTATTTAAAAAAACAAAACAATAAAATAACAAAACGCAAGCAGCTGCAAATAGAGTCTTTAATTAGCAAAGAAGGCATTCCATTACATGCAAACTTGGAATGCATGATTTACAAATTACAATCAAAACTCACACCTATGAATGAATGCTTCTAAAATTTTGTTTTCAAAATCCTATGGAAGCTAAAACACATCTCTACAACTAATCTGCCTTAAATATTACTAGAAGCCTCAAAAATTTTGTGTACTCAAAATATTTGGAAGGTCTTAGAAATGTTATCACTCCGATGAAACTAAACGGAAACTCTCCTATGCGTTAAGGCTGTTCCCAGAAACTCCGCCGCATCGTTTTCTTTTTTCATCAAATTGCTGCGCGCACGAATTAGCGTTATCGCGCCCAGGACGATGCTCGTCACGTTCTTGATCATGTACGCGAGTTGAAGGGAATCGTAGCACGCAAACAAGAGCACGCGAATCACAAGAAACGGCACGTTTTGAACGAGCAACGAGTACGGATAGACCATCACAATCGCCTGTTCTTTGGTCCGTTTTAAACTTACATCTTGTCTAACTTTTCCGACGTTTTGCTTGTCAAGTGTTATCAGCGAGTAAGGCATTAACGCTTCTAGGGCAATGATGAGAAAAGCCACCTCACAAGCTACTAATATACTAATTTCCATTGCACTTCCCTTAGGTATTACGGGCAAGACCCCATCTTTAAGACTCAATGCTTCAACTAAGTTGAAGATATCAACATTTCCTAGTAATAGTGAGTTGATTATATCCATATGACTAATGATCTTTCCGCAATGGAAGCTTCTCCTGGATGCCATTCCTAAGAGGGCGAAGGCAACACTTGCCTTCAGGGTGGACATTATAAGTAAGATGCTTGGTCGATCATCGGACGTCGTCGTCGGCTGCTCGTAGTACGCGTCTCGGGTCAACATCGGAAAAACGATCACCAATGTAAAGTACATGAATACAATACCAAACGAGATACCAGTGAAATGCCAGATTTTTCGTTTCAAAGTGGAAATACTTGCCCCAAGCGTGTTAAAGCTGTTTACTCTTAGTATGATGTAGAAAAACCACAGTAGGAGAATAGACAAGTATTTCCACTCCCTCCTGACATAAGCGACCAATAGCGCCAAGACGGACGCATACACGAACATGATACTGCTGACAAAGATATCAAGTACTGCAGGCCCATGCGGTATATGCGCCCCGCAGTTCTGAAGCGCGTTCTGCACCCGCGATTTCTGCCTAGCGGCAATGTGAATGCGTATCGCATCGTCGTGATCGAACGTTATCGCAACTTCGTCCTTGTCACGTGATGAGATGACCCGTTTTCCGAACCGTCGACTGGCTACGATCTCTACCCGACCGTCGTTCGGCAACTCGATAACCTCGCTTGTGAGGCCTCGTAGAAGGTTCGTGTCTTGTCGCGGTAGCAGTCTCTCTGCTCTTGTCTGTACGCTTGTTTCACTGTACCATCTCTCGTTGTGATTCACTTCAGAGCTACTTGCTTTCTCGCTTGTGTCAACACACTGGACTGCTTTATAACTTGCCATATTGCAATTTATCGACTTATTTCTGTGTGGTGCCTCTGCTTTTGTTCATCTGTTGCATATACTACTCCTATACAAAACAGATGCAAATGTTTTTTAACCAAGTTTCAAATTCAAATTAAGTATTGTCGTCGTCTGATGGAAAATTGCCAGGTCCAGTGAATTAACATAATTTAATTTTACTTGATCAGGATAATGTCAACCTATTGCTATCAATGTCGTCTGACATATGACAAAAGTAAAAAATGTGGCACAAGTCTCAGAATAACTAAGTCGTTAAAGTGAATCTTAACGGCTTAGGATATTTTGTCGAATGCTCCTTTCAGATGTTATCTTGCGTTCTAATGCGTCCAAAACATGTTCATTTGAGTGATCGAGTTGTTAATGCAAATGCAATCATTGCGCTCTAATTAGTAACATTTGGTGTATGGTTTTGCTTCAAAGTAAAACAAGTATGGGTTCTTAAAATGAAAGAAACCGTTGATTTACATTACATCGTTAAAGGTTTTATGATCATTATGACATTAGTGAACTCGTGTAGCCGTCACGTATTAACAGACAGAAGCTTTTGAAGGTACTTCACGTTACCGCAAACGTCTACTTTGATTGAAGTCCTTTAGAAGAGATTCACACGTTTTAAGACAAGTCTTTGAGATGTGATCGTTTAGCATTTTTGAAGAATACATAAAAAATCCTGTATAATAAAAGGGGATGTGAAACAGTTGTGTGTAGACTTACCTCTTATTAACCATTAATGTGAAAAATATTCACCACAATCGATTATCTAGCGAGATTTAACTTCGCCGACCGAAATATGCGAGGAAAATCGTGACGTTTTGCTCGCTGGAAACAAATTGCTTGTTGACAGGACTCCTTTGTCCGTTAAAATGTTCCCTGATGGAGTAATTATAAGGTTAAAGCTGCATCGAGTTGGCATTAAATCGAGCTATTAGCCACGAGACATGCACGGTTGATCGGCGTGTGATATATACAATATGTCGCTGGGTTTCTATGCTGTATTGTTCTGTTGCGGTCAAGTGTCATTAATTTTTCATGAGATTATGCGATAACGATAGAGAACGATATACAGACCCTTTGAACCTTTTACCTGCATCGAGTGAATTGCCAAAAATCATAACTGATTTACCCTCACCTATGCCCGGCATTACCATCCTATTCACATTAACCACGCTTGCTCTTTTCAGCCACCTCTGTAGTCAGTGGAAAAAGCATTGCACCGGCATCGCAAAAGCGTAGGCTCGAATCCCGACGGAGGACCGATAGTTGACTCATTTTTCCATCAACTGTTCCTGGCTTGAATTTGAAGTGTGCATAGTTCCACTCGAAATTAAGACCTTTTGAACCTTCAGAATTTACCTGAATCGAGTGAAGTGCCAAAAATCATAACTGATCTAAAAGAATGTCTATTCCTGCCACCACGCCCCTCCACTGCTGTGTGACAATATGTGCTCTTTCATCGGCTATCCGGGACAAACCCCATTTTGAAACTGTCATTATAAATTATCATCATCTGCGACTTGCGTTTCCGATCATAAAATTTCCGCTCAATCAAGACTCCTGTCCGGCTTTTTATTGTGAGCAGTGGGGCGAGTCTGTACTCCGGCCCTTGCAGCCTTGGGTCAGTAGAGTGCCTGGATTCTTCCCCTTTCCTCTCCTGAAACCCATGAGGGACTTTTCAAACCCCGTCACAACTCTTGTATGTTACCTGTATGTTACCTTGCGATGTTGCGATGTCCCAATTGACCGTAACGAAAAAGATGGCGGCATGTACATTTTACCAGAATGCATTGCGGAAATTAAGAATGATTGACTGAAAAAAGATGGCAAGAAAAACACCTAGTGACGTGAAATTTTAACACAGCGAAGAAAATAACTTCCTGTTTTATGCCTGTCCTTTAAAAGACGTCAGTTCGCTTTTTTAAGCGATTTTCGACCGCAATGCATTCTGGTAAAATGTACATCCGCCATCTTTTTTGTTATGGTCAATTATGCTGCTGTCGAGTCACTTTCATTTCATTTTACTTGAAGTATATCAGGAAGGACTTTAACCTGAAAACATGGATGATGTTTTTTAGAAATCCTGACTTCGTGTTCTGCTCGAATTTCTTTTAACTTAAACTTGAAAAAGGAGTGATGTCTGAAGAGGCTTCAAGTTCCACCAAAGTGACGTTCAGCAAGCCATCTATATTCGAAATAGTTGCGCATCAAGCCGTCGCTTCTGTCTTCAAACCAGCTTGTCAATATGTAATCAGAATTCTTGCACAAAAATACCCAGAAAAATTAGCTCATATTTTGAAATATTCCGATGAAATCTATATGGTATGCGACTTGGTGCTTCAAAGACACTATCTAAGCTGTTACAACGCTTCGTTGTCGGAGAACTTCTACTATCTAAAAAGGATCAACGTGGCAAATGGCGTGGGTGAAAGATTGGGCAAAAAATTACAATATCTCTCTTTAATTGCGCTCGTCCTCTGGCCTTACATGAAATGTAAAGTTGACCAAGCATTTGAAAAGTTACGGGATAAGATTATACGAGAAGAGGATGATGGACAATCTAGTCGAAATAAACTGTTTCTGCTGTTTTTGACCCTGTACCCATTGGTCCACTTCACCATTCAAAGTATTTCTGCCATCTACCAAATGGGGTACACGTTGAAATTACTGAATTATCATACTCCAGTATTTCATGCACTTCAAATGCAGCTTGTTAGAGCTAGCAGTGAGGATTTATTAGGTTTTCATACTGATTTGTTCACTGGTTCCAAATCTTTATGGCAAAGGTTTCTGTCAATCCCTGGATTTTTACTTGATAAAATGATCAAGTTTGTTACAGTCATCATGCCTGCAGTCATATTCTTTTTACAATTTGTTGAATGGTGGTACTCTACAGATCACGAGATAACATCGTCTGTTGTGAACTTACCCATCCCCCCTCCTCCAGAGATGCCAAAGGTAACTTGCTCAGTGTTACACTGATCTACTCTTTGCAATCATGGGTAAAAACTAGGAGAAAGGTGGCCTTAGTGCTGTTGTATCCAGTATTGTAATGTACCCTAATTGACTTTTCATTTTGGATGTGTTTAGCACCAGATAATTGTTGAACTTTGAACACCTTTTTCAGATATCAAAGCATGGTTGCGGTTTACCACCTCACCCATTGCAATGTCCCTTATGCCACAAGGTTCACACAAACATGGCCACTTTGGTGTCATCTGGCTTTGTCTTTTGCTATCCGTGCATACATCAATTTATCACAGAACATGGTTGCTGTCCAGTCACAAACATTCCATCAAGCTTGGATCAGATTTTGCGCATCTATTCCTTACAAGATTCATAGCAGTCAGCTAAATTTAAAATACCAGAGTCTATAATCAAAACAGTGCAGGTCTCTTACCTCAAAGTTTAAAGAATTTAAACTTGATTATGTGTTAATAGAATAAAAAATAAAACTTGATTGGTCCTAAAAATATATAAATTCAAATCTAGAATATTATTTATTTACCTAGGCATAAGTATTCTGCTGTTATATGTAGTTAGATTACCTAAATTTCATTAAGTATTGAATGAGTAAATTATTTTTATTGGTAATGAGTTATAGCAATGAACTATTTTTATTGCTAATGAATAGATTATTTTTGCATATTCAAAATTTGCTCATCTTCTTTGTGTAGTGTAGTAATTTTATGTGGGAAAATTTAATGGGTCGCACTCTGCCACATAGTAAAATAAAGTCTACAGAATTCCCTTAGTCTTATACCAAATGAATTTACTTATTAGTGATAGGGGCATCACTAGTTAATTCGTTATTTTGTCTTCAAAATTTTGCCACTCCTATGCCCCGCGCCATCTTGAGGTCATTGTTCAACTATATTCATCCTTACATGAATTATCAATTTTCATCCTAAAGACCAAAAACAAAATTAATGGGACGTCATTTAAATTTTCAAACTTTATTTTTGTTCTTTAATTTTATATCCTGCATTTTGTAGAATATTATAATAAATATCAACAAAAATGTCCTCGTTTGGGCTGTGCACGTATAAGGATGAAGTCACTGAACTCAAGTAAGTCAAATCTCTTTCGTAATCATTATTAAACGGATTGAAATTTGAGGATTTGAAATTTTTAACAAAACAAAAAAGTGTGTCCGTATTTTTGTTTGCTAAACATTTTAGGATCGTTATTTTAATTGACTTTCGTCCTTGTATGATGCCCTTTACAGGAGGTGCCTACTCTACCTAAATACAAACCCCCCCCCCATCCTATGACCTTACTTTCTGTGATTGTCTGCAAAGGCCTTCTATAATTTTCCTTCCAACACTGTATGCTATTCTTAGAGATGAGTTAAACAAAGCAGAGAACCAGAGGAATCCAGCAAAATACAAACAGTTGATCCAGCAAGTTATCTTGTACATGACGAAAGGGATTGATATGACCCCTTTGTTTACAACTATAGTTAAGGTACGTTACATAGGTGATTTAGTATGAGATTTGTCTTCTATGTTCTTTATATCTTAACAAATTACCAAGGGGATGAAATAAGGTATGTTAAAGTCAGCCAACTCACTGAACTCTGATGTTTTCTAGTCTGCTGCAACAAAGGATCTTGTCCAGAAGAAATTATGTTATCTGTACCTGTGTCATTATGCTAGCTCACATGCAGACCTTGCTTTGCTCACTGTGAACACTCTGAAGCGAGATGCAGAGGATACTAATTACATGGTCAGAGGTCTTGCAATAAGAAGCATGGGCTCGTTAAGGTTCGTTATATTTTCCTAAAAGTTTGTTGTAAGATACATGTTACAAGTTGGCAAGACCATTGATACTCTGATGGTACCTGGTTCTACTGATGATCACTAAAATTACCTGCATTCGACAGAGTACAATACAACAACTATAATTTAGGTCCAACTAGGGTGCTTATATTCATCTGGAATTAAACAAAGAGAATAACTATAAAGTCAGACATATCATGTTGCAATTAATTTTCGATTCTTCTGTATACGATTCATTTGATGCTCTTTTACAGACTTGCAAGTCTTGTTGAGTACACAAAAGATGCTATTCTCAAAAGAGTCAGTGATCACAGTCCTTATGTCAGAAAAGCGGCTATAATAGGATGCCTCCAACTTTATAAGTTAGCGCCCAGCGAATTCAAAGGTATTGATTGATAACAGACCTCTATTGTTTTTTTCGTTTTTTTCCAATACTTTTATTGGCTCGGTATAAAATAATTGATTCTTAATATCTTAGCGGAGAAATTTTTGTTTTTCCTTTGTGTTGCTTTAGTTGATGATGTCGTAAAACTGTTAAATGAAAGATTGACAAAAGATAAAGATATCCAGGTATACTAATTTGCATTTAAGAAAAATACCAATTACTTTTTATATACCTTCTTGTTTTATATGCATTTGTGTTAAGCTATTATCAATATCATTTGTATTTTTCTTAAAATCTCCTTAAGGAAATTCCTGTGACTGTTAAAATGACACTTTGTGGGGGATGAGCAATGTCTTTTAGGGATATCAATGACCCAAGTATTTATTATTTTAGCATTTATATCCCCAGTTAAATAATGACTAAAATTGCTTCACTTATAACATTGTCAGGTTCGTCGTAACTGCCTTTATGTATTGGAGGAAATGCTTATACACGAGAAGAGTTCATCTTCTCTTCACCATTTCTTATTGAAGAGGTACAACCGTACAATTAAGCCAGGTTTTAATATCCTCTCTTGTATCTAGCAACAATCCAAGTATAAAAGGTCAACTTTTTTTCATTCAAGACTACAAAGGTTTGATGAATGGGCTCTGCAGTTTTTGTTGGACATCCTGATGCGTTGTCGTCCAAAAAAGGATGAAGATATCTACAGCACTTTGGTAGGCAGTGATTTCATCAAACGCAAATTCGATCTATAGTGCGTATAGCACGTTTTGCATGCACAGTCCGGTAGACGGTAGACGGCGACACCGCGGAAATTGGTAGACTTAGCCGTAATTCTCAATACTTAGACTTTAAATTCGGCAAGCTAAAAGATTTATAAATACTCAACAAAATATCTCTTGCACAAAAGATTTGAAGCTTGCACACGGCAAAAACAAATCATCTGAAAATGTCTGAAAATGTCTCAAAATGGCCATTTTACGGTGGCAGATGCATACGAAGAGCCTTCAAAAGTTTCCAAAACCGATATTGGAAGAAAAATTGAACTTGTTTTCAACTTATTTGATAGTATTTTCTTTGACAGCAGTTTCTGAATACTAGGATTCAAATGTGAGCAACTGATGAGATATTTGACTTCCAACACCAATTTCTGCGGTGTCGTAGACGGCAGGGTCAACCTTTCCAGGGAGATTTCTTGCTTAACCCTTCTCTAGTTCTCTTTCTTTCGTATCTCAAAGTAATATCGATACGATATTCAATGGTGTTCTTGCATGATAATTTCATGTTTTTAGAACAGTTTGGATGTTTGTTTGAAGCATGCCAACACAAGTGTCGTTCTTGGTGCTATACGAGTGTTCTTGCACTACTCATCAGTCCTCGCCGAATTGAGGGAAGACGTGTTTAATAGGATCAAAGGTATTCCAAGCTGTGCTTTTAGTTCTTGGGTTTTATCCAGTGTTTCATTTTTAATCTTTTTCAATATCATTTGACTGTTGCTATACTAATACTAGCCTGACTTGTCTAGCACTTACTGCTTTGCAACGGTTTATTCAGTGTTTCTCTTTCGACCTTTCCTAAATGCCAAGGAACTTCCCTTTAATGATGGCGTCTCAACCATGATACATAACTCGTCTTTATATTATTGTACTGTAGTAACATTGAATCTACTTGAATTGTTTAGTGCCATTACTGACCGCTCTGATGTCGAAATCACCAGAAATTGCGTACTCCGTTGCATGTCACATTGAGATGATCTTTCTTCAATCACCCGGCCTGTTTCAAGACAGCGTATCATCCTTTTACTGCAGGTGAGAAATTACGTCATCCTCGTTCACACGGAACAATATATATGATCTTGTGATAATAATGGAATTTATCTCAGGTATAATGATCCCGTCTATTTGAAAATCAAGAAACTTGATCTGCTGTCAAAATTGATCACTGATTCAAACGGCAAACAGATCTTGGATGAACTAAGGTAAAGAATGTGGTTTATATGTCGTTCTATATTGTGTTGTGACAAACGCCGTGGTTGTATTCGTCATTTTCCGGCCAATTCGACATTGGTCTTATTCGTCATTTTCCGGCCAATTCGACCATGGTCGTATTCGTCATTTTCCGGCCAATTCGACCATGGTCGTATTCGTCATTTTCCGGCCAACTCGACCATGGTCGTATTCGTCATTTTCCGGCCAACTCGACCATGGTCGTATTCGTCATTTTCCGGCCAATTCGACCATGGTCGTATTCGTCATTTTCCGGCCAACTCGACCATGGTCGACACGGTATGGTATACAAGTTTTGCTTATGGGTAGATTGTAATACTTCATTATTTATCATATAGTTACCATGCCCAGCACAGTGAAACAACCTCTCACTCGATCCATAACATCGGCAAGATCGCTCTTCTTCACCCAATCCATGCAGACATGTGCATCGAAATATTGATTTCGTTTCTTGAATTACGTGATGATTCGATTGTGTCGCATTCTCTTGCAGCCCTAAGAGGTACCGATTGATACATTATCGATATTTTAATCATGCTGTGCGACCTGAACGACTCATTTCCTAAATTTCAGACCTGGTCCTCAAATACGACAAACATTCTGATTTGGTGCCCAACATTAGCAAGTTCTTGAAGCTTGATCTCCTGCCAGATGGCAGGGCTAGTGTTTTCTGGATGCTGGGGGAATTTGGTGAGGTAAGGTGGTGGTACCTCAAGAATATCAATCGCAGAAATTTTCATCCAAATTGCAGCTAAATCTGCAAGTATATCACTGTATATGAACAGCTTTCAGAGAGACAGAAGTCATTTCTCGTTAAGACGATTACAAATTGATAGTGATACATAATTACATGGTCAGTAAATCTTATACGAATCTAATCCTTGAGATTAAGATTAGAACTTAGATTATGTTTATGGTTGATTAGAGTTAACACTAATTATAAATCCAACTCTAATCCTGACCGACTCTCAAGGATTAAATTGATTCGAGGTTTTAATCTTGCCCACAGAGTATTCCAGATGCCCCGTACGTCATAGAAGCTCTTATTGATGATATCGAGAAAGAGATATCTCCAGAAGTGAAGCTGGAATTGTTGACCGCAACCATGAAATTATTCTTTAAACGTCCTCCTGAATGTCAGGCAATGCTGGGACATTTGCTCGAACACTGCATAGGTACTGTACAGTATATTTAGCACCTATGTTCCCTAATTTACTTGTTTTCCTAATGGTACAGCTGTCTCTTAAGATCGACTGCATTCGTTTTGCAAACTCAGGATTTTCGTCCAGCTGACAATTACCTTGGAATGAAGACGAAAGACTACCAGAATTTCGCATCGTGCATGTTTTAATAGCTCAAGCTTAGGTTTACAAGATGATGCAGTTTGTTTTGTTCAATATTTCATCAAATTACCCGTTGTTGAAGGATTTCATTCTGTTATTATCGTGCTATTATTACTTGTTTGTTCTTCATTCATAGAACAAGAATATAACATGGATATTCGCGACCGAGCATTGCTGTATTACCGTTTACTGGAAGTCGACGTAAACAAGGCAAAAGATGTGATCTGTTGTCCAAGAAGCGCTCAGTTCATTGACAATACAAATATCGTTAGGATTGATTCCAAGGTATCATTCAGGCTGTTGCTGATCTAGTCCTCTTTTAGTTCAGTTTATGTCAGTTCGATCCAGTTGAGTTCACTCTAGTTTAACTCAGTTCAATTCAGTTGTGTTCACTTTATTTCAGTTGATTTCAATCCAGCTGAGTTCACTTTAATTTAGCTCAGCTCAATTCAATTCAGTTGTGTTCACTTTATTTCAGTTGATTTCAATCCAGTTGAGTCCACTTTAATTTAGCTCAGTTCAATTCAATTCAGTTGTGTTCACTTTATTTCATTTTATTTCAATCCAGTTGAGTTCAGTTTAGTTTAGCTCAGTTTATATATAATTCATTTAAGTTCACTTCAGTTTACTTGATTTCATCAGCCAGTTCAGTTTTGCAATTCAATAATAACCTTAGAATAGATAGGATTATAACAATTGTCATTTATGTTAGGAATTATTAATGAAAGAATTCAATACGTTGTCTGTTGTATATGGCCAACTATCGTCAGCGTTTACCGAACAAGAAAATCTCGGTGGAAGAAAGAACAAGCGAGATTGTAAGTTTTTTCAACCGGTGGGGGGCATAAATGATTTATCTATTTCGTTCACTTTTACTTGAAATTCTCCGCGTCAATTTACTGCTTTATTTTGTCTAAGCCGTGAAAAGCAAAGGGAGAGAAAATGTTAGTAATCCTCGGGAAAATGAGTCGAAGGTTGGCAGGTTTCCATTCTTGTCTTATCACAACATAACATATATATCATTCTATACCCTCCATATCATGTCATATCATATCATGAAATATCATATCATATCATATCATATCATATCATATCATATCATATCATATCATATCATATACCATATCATATCATATCATATCATATCATATCATATCATATCATATCATATCATATCATATCATATCATATCATATCATATCATATCATATCATATCATATCATATATATCATATCATATCATATCATATCATATACCATATCATATACCATATCATATACCATATCATATACCATATCATATATCATATCATATCATATCATATAATTCCTTATTCATAATATTCTTTAGAAGGATTCAAAGAGTGACAAAGTCCTGGCTGTGGCAGTAGACACCAGTTTAGTTGAAATAGACGAAGACATGACTCAGGAAGCAAACAACACCAACTCATCTCTAGAACTTCTAGATCCTTTGGATGAAAACGTTTCCACATTGGAAGATAACGTTTCTTCAATAAAAGATACTTCGAACCAATCCTTTGACTTTGTCTCCAAGGAAAAATCATTACTACCCGTAGACGACAACTTAACCGCAAGGAAGAGTGCTATTGATGAGCTGGAAACCAACGAGGATTCTCCGAGCGATGTCCATGCGGTGAAAGACTCGACCAGTGATGGTGGTAACTCTGTCAGGGAATGCGAAACTCCTATCAGCGAGAGTTCGGTGGAAATTCAGGAAGACAGACGGATTTCGTTGGATGGAAGTCTAGGAAAGAGGGATGATGAGGGGGAAGATGGGACATCAGAGAATCGTGATGTTTCGTCATTGTTGGAGCTAGTTGAAGAACCTGATCTATCACCCGAGATATTTGAGACCCTATGGGGAGAATTACCTGAAGCGTGAGTATTGTGGGGGTTATGGTATGATTATATGGTATGTGGTATGGATAATATGGTATGTGGTCTGGCATATGGTGTTGATGATGTATCAGATACATTGTATCTTTTATTGTGTGGTACTATTTTATATCACGCCTTGTTGCCTGGCGATGTTTAATGATATCTGAAATAAATTATACTGATAGTATTATTCTCTCTTTCAGGGAGTCCTATGAGATCCAGCTTGATCAACTCCCGGATCAAGAGAACCTACTAAAATCACTGACAAACCATAGAATATATACCATGGCTTCCTCGCCGCCTGATGCAGAGCAGATAAGATACTTTCTTTACGCTCAGGTACAGTTTCTTCCTATTCAGATCCACCAAAAAACTTCGTTGCAACGTTCAAATATGAAGGAAGTTTATGAAAATGTATCTTTGTGTTTTTTTCAGTGTGATTGCTACATAATATGCGAGGTGTGTTTGGACAGTACGACATTGGATATGAGATGTGTGATTAAGATGGAAGATCCGACGAACGTTCATTCCTTCATCGAAGTCTTACAGAACTGTCTTCATCTCGGCTCCGTTGAAACCACGTCGTCGTAGAATAGAGCACGGTAATTTATTAAATCTTTTCATAGCTAAGCCTTTGTTCGTAGAGAGTTGTGGTTGAGAGTCATTTCTTGCATTGCGCATTGTAAAAATACCCGCATTAAAGCCCGTTTACTTCCAAAAGAGTTGGTATATGCACATTTCCTCTGCTATATCAATCCCCAAGACAAAACACTTGGTTCACTTTGGTTCAAACAAAAAACACAAACGAATTTTTCTTTGAAGTTATTTAAGTTATTTAATTTTTCAATGCGTAAAGTTTCAAAGGTCTTGGTTATAATGATTCTCTCATATGGGTGTACTATCATTTAAAGTGAGTATTAATTCATACTGAGAAATTTCTGCAATATTTGCTTCTTCGATTATAGTTCAAATTGCATGTCTTCCGATGTATGACGTAGTTGTTCTATTTTGGGATGAGGTCGTCAATCGCTTCACTCTTCTCCAGTCTTTTCTCCATATCAACCAACAGCTTCACTCCGTCGATGACACCTTGAACCAGCTCGACTTCGGAAAATCCGATTCTGTCAGCATTTGAAATATCGTACACACCCCCGACACTCGCGGTGTCCACGCCTCCCGTACCACGTTTCTGAAGCCGCAGTTTCTCGAGTATTCCGTCCAGCCGTTTTTCGTCTTTGGCCAAGTTCGGAAGCTTCACGTGTACGCCAGCGCGCAGTCCCGTGCCCAGGTTCGAAGGGCACGTGAGCACGAAGCCCAAATGTTCGTTCCACATGAACTCAGACCCAGCCTTCTTCATGAGTTCCTCGGTCTTCTGTAGTCCAGTACAAAATCGTTCGAAGACGTCTTTCATGTTTCCACCCTTTTGCATGAAGATAACCCGAATGTGATCCTCTTCATTGACCCAGACAAGGAAATTCTTGTCCTTATTGTGCCAGATTCCTGCGAGAATTAAAAGTGGTTAAAATACGATTTGATTTTCAGCATTGCTGACCACCTTAGATTTCCTTAACACTTCATACCCAGGTGCTTTATTGGAAATCTTATCAAGTCTGTCCCACAAGTTGTCGTAGGGAGAGAGGCCTTTTTAGCTCACCTCTTGCGTCGGGCCAATCGCGCGCCATACCAGCACAAGTCAACAATGGCGAGACGGGTTTATCGAACAGAAAATGATCTTCAATCAACTGATTTTGCTCTTTCTCCGTCATCTTGTTCAACGGATAATATTTGCCTTTGAATTTTCCGTCCAATTGATCCAGCGCACTTACTGTAATCGACTCGACCTAAAATACGATACATTTGATGCCTCGATTCTCAACTTTGGTCAAATAGTTAAAACTGACTTGGTCACATAATGCCTTAGTAACTTACTTAATAACTACCCTTTCAAATAGAGAGTTTATGTGTTGTCTAGTAACTCCAGTTATAAGATCAGTTCCTTTTTACCTTTCTTCTCTCAGCTCTTGAGCAATGTGGCGGCAAGGAGTATCCCCGGATGCTGCGTCCAGTCCTCACGCGGCTCGAGAACACGTACTGTGGATCCAGGTCGTCTCCGCCCTTCAGTTTGGTCGCGTCTAAATCAGTCTTATGTTTGTCCGTCTTCTTGAAGCCACCGTGACGCACTTCAATGACAGGATCCAATAAGTCCGCAAAGACATCGTAGGATTCCTCATCGCCTGCCACACAACCCACCGTCATGATGAACGGATGACCTGATCAACAAAATCATCGATCGATTACCCGTGACTGCCATTTACTCGAGTTCAGAATTTTACTCTTCAGAGCAAGACAATCCTTGGCATTATGTTTCTTAATTTCGAATCATGCGCTTAAACATTGCTTCAGACATTTTTCCTTGCATTGAAACTATGTTCCAGACCATTGAGTTTTTGTCAAAACATTTACTTAAATCGAAATATATTTTCTCACAAACCTGGGTTATCAACTCCAGTTTGGATAATTCCGTCCAATGTGAAACCGTTCTTCGTGACTTTGTCGCGCAATTTTGCATAGATTTCCTTCGTGAGAACTTTTGCCATGTAATTGTTGTGTTTGGAAAGGTCCGGGAAATCCGCGTCAGCTGGGAAATTCTTGTAGGCACTTTTAACTTCTTGATTTCCAGACATTCTTGGATTTGAAGAAAGCGGTGCGGCAAATTGGAAACGATTTGATTTGCGATGAACGCGCAAGTGGGTCTGCTAATTAGTGTAGCAAATTAGCGCTTCTAATTGTGACCTCACAAGATCTAATTAGTGTATTAATTAGCCTGCGTCGCGTTTCATTCTCGGCATCCAAAATTGGATTCTTGTTAATCCTCGATTAAAGTTAACCTCAAATTTAATCTAAATCGACTTTACAAAAAAATGATTGACATCCATTCACTGTTGACATCTTATCATGCCCAAGCGCAGGTCAATGATCGACGGGCTTTTACCCGCGTAATTTAAATGCAAGATGGCCACTTTATTTGAGAAACCAATTTTCTCCATTTTAACCATCATATTTATATTTTCAACGGCCACTTCATGTCTGTACACACTGTCGCGATATAGACCGACATTGACAGCTCAGAATGCGACCGATAATGACAACAATAATATCTCACAAAGGTAAAAAATTGTACTGTACAAATTCTATTCTGTGATTTCTGTCCAACACACTGAACACAGAATATACCTTATTACATTTACAGAAAGGAGGAAGCAGTTTTTAAAGCCACGTGCCAGTCCCAAAAAACTGCAATCCTGTTGTTTCAGGGCAGTTAACTGAACAACATTTTCAACTCAAAGAATCGTGTGCAATATAAATGAATATAACTTCGTCTTTCAAATGTTTTTTTTTAAATGTAGTGAGCTCCAATTTCCTCAAAATCTCGATGAATTGAAGAACCTGGCAAAGTTATTACGGGACTATCAGCAGCAGAAGCCATTTTATGTTCTTCTGCTATTTTGCAGTGCTTATCTTTACAAGCAAACATTTGCTATACCTGGATCTGTTTTCATGGTGAGCATTAGAATTCATCACTACATGCTCAAAGTGTAAAGCAACAATTTAGATAGATGGTACCCGGTAATTCACCTGAATTTCAGCGAATTCACCAATTGCCAAGGCATATTATACCAATTCAAGAGACCCCACTTAGCCTAATGCCCTAATCTGTGTATTTCCTGCCCCCATAAGGAAAATCCAGGTATTAAAATCCTGCATAAGATCCTCTACAAATGTATTCAATCTCCTAAGAGGACACTATGCCCCAACTAGTGCACTAGCTACTTTACCTAGCATTTATTGGGGTTTTTTATTTCAAACATTTCATAGAACCTGCTGGCAGGTGCTTTATACGGTCTCAAGTATGGTCTACCCTGTGTCTGTATCATGACAGCAACTGGTGCTTCGTGTTGTTTTCTGCTATCAAAATACTTTGGGAGACCTGTGCTGCTCCACTACTTTCCGCAGAAACTTCAACGCTTACAGAACAAGGTTGGTGGCATCGGATCATCTCCAGAAATGATTTTGAAATGTGAACAAAATCCTGTCTTTCTTGTCTTATAGATTAAAGAAAATAGCGACAATCTTTTTGGATTTCTACTCTTCCTCCGTTTCTTTCCAATGAGTCCCAACTGGTTCCTCAACATGGCATCTCCTGTCCTGGATATTCCATTAAAATTATTCTTCCCTTCTGTTTTCATTGGTAAGTCTGCCATTTGTATTTAAATTGTAACATGTTGTGCGAGATGTTTCATCAGTTGTTATAATTCATACAGTCTAAACTATCAGTGAACACACAAAATCTGTTACATATTCAGGAATATATATATATATATATCCAATCTTTATGTAAAATTCCCTTCAAATGAGATTTTAAGTAAATAAGATTTGATGTAAGATCATCATTTAAAGTAATCTTAGAGTTGCCTACTGTTGTATAAGCCTTTTAAAAAAGAACACAAATTCAATGTGAGCCTGCACATACACAACACTGCACATAAATAATTTAAACGTTGGTACAATGCAACTTTTATATTGAAAGGCAATTACTTACCAATTTGTGAACTCAGGATATATCCTTACCATTTTGCAGAATTTTTCTATGGTAGTAGAGTCTGTTAATTCCTGTATTTCATATCATTATTCCAGGTTTGCTGCCATATAACTATATTTGTGTTCAGACTGGATGTCTGTTAAGCGAACTTAGTTCCTTAGATGAACTACTGACAATGAATGCTGTAGTTAAGCTCATTGGCATTGCCACTGTTTCTCTAGTACCAGGCATGATTATAAAAAGAATGAATAACAATAGAACTCATAATAAAAAAGAAAAATGAAAGAGAAAATTGCTGCAAAGGATTTTTACCTTTTACCTTTACCTTTTTGTGTTTGTTTTTCTGCTAATTCACTGTAAACAATTTCTAAATGAAGGTATTCTGGTAGAATGTACAATTCCCATTACCCACCAGTAATGGTTTGAAAATTAAAATTCTCCATTAAATTTAAAAGAAAGGACAGAAGATTGTTTGGTCATTTGCAATAATATACATATATGTTCTATATATTCTGTAGTTTGCAAAAAGTGCATTTAAACACATATGCATATAAATGATTTATAAATTATTTTCATCTCATTATCATATCAATCAACATCAATGTTTACATGAAAAATTAAACTCTAATTCAAAACTTAATTGAAGCCTTAATGCTTCATTATTTTACTTTTTGTTGTCTTTTCAAATCATGTAATCATGTCCCTGTTTACCAACTTGTCATAAACAGACTAAATAACTAGTAACCTTACATTGAAAGCATTGAAACAAGGTTTGACTGAAATGAATATGTTCTGATAATAATTTATATGTAATTTGAAATAACCTAAGACCAAGTGTTTTGCAATGTTCTTAGTCCATAGTGAAATATGGCTAGGAAGATGAATAACTATATATGATATTCAGTGAATCCGAAGTACCTGGAGACTTTAAGCTTAAGGTTACCCTTTGCTATCATATATTTGCATGCCTGTGTTTTGCATCACTATCATATTTAGTGAAGGTGTAGGAGAAAAATAATCACCTGGAGAGGCCCTTAATCATTTGGAAAATGGAAGTGTCCTTCAAATATCATAATAGTCTAAAACACTTTCCAAGCCATGCTTTGATTTCAGAAGATCACTTTGTGATGTATATTTAACTACCGTCTGCAGTATGTCCAACGTTTGAGCGCAAATGAGTGAGTATAAAACATATCATCAACGAATGTTTAATGTATATTCATGTAACGAGAAACAACGCTCCAAGGATAATATTTATATTGTCTTTGTGATACCAAATGATGCAGCTCCACCCAGTCCGAGCCCAAGAGCAAGAAAATATGCCATCATAGTACCAGCTGTTTCAGCATATTTACTTTCCACCAACCTAGGAGTAATGCAATGTGTATGTGATTCACATCAATTGTGCATCTAACTTTCACCTCGGTGACTAGGATTTGATCACTGCTTTATGTACTTGTCAAACAAAACATCTGAACAGTGTCAATAACAGAACCATCAATATGAAGTAACACCATCTCTACGATTAAACAGTGTCTCAATATCCATAAGAACACCATACAAAGTATGGTATGAAAGGGTGAAATCATCTTGTCTGAATTTTGGCCAGCAAAGTTTTACATAATTAAAAAAGTGATTGGTCATAATAATATGAAGTACTTACTTAGGCCCATACATCATACATAGACTACCAAGATATCCATTGCTGACAGCGAAGACAGCATTGAATATGATTGGCCAATAATCCTCCGTAAAGAACAGGGTGTGGGTAGTCCTTCGTGGTTTAAAGTTGCAAAATGCAAAAAGGGGAAGAAAGACGAATCTTGATACACAGCAGCCAAGAAGCCAGTAACCATCTTTACCAGGCTGGAGGATAACAGACAGAAAATTTAACCTTCTGGCTTCAGAAAATGGTGAAGTGTTTCTGCAATCACTTCAAACTTTGGTAATGTCTTCAAACAATGCATTGTCGTGGCTACATTGGTACACACATACCTTTTGTATAAAACCAGCAATTACCCGTCCACAAAAATCACCAACATTAAAGATAAGGAAACATACTACAGGAGTGAAAAATTTACCTAAAACAGAAAAAATATTGTGTACTGGCAGTACTTTGCTAGTTTTACCTTCAAAAGATAATTTACAAATTTTCACATCTTGTTATATGACCTCATTACATGAGGTTTGGACCCTGGGTTGATTTTCAGGTCACATTGAAGATACCTGTCCATTCTGAGCCATCTCCATGATTTTCTGATTTAATACCAGAAAGGACTGCAGGAAACACAGATAATGTTACCATAAACACCAAGAGGACTGATAGAGCTAGCCGCCATATCTAGAAGATAAAATGGAAAGATTATGGCTTCATGGATTCATTGAGGAGGCCATGGCTAGCTGATTGATGTTTTTACAATGATCAACCCTAAAAGATTTGGGCATCCTACTTGTTTGATCTACAAAAATATATTCCATGAACCCCAGAAGGATCAATACATCATACCTTTCTCATTATCAAAAGAAATGGTGGCATTGATTTCTCAACTTTCACATCATAATCTGGCAAATCTTTCTCCATTGCACCTGTTAAAACTGAAAGAATACATTTTTCATGGCTCAAAATTACAGCATTGATGAGATGAATATACAAGATCCTTCTGTCCTCCTTCAGTAAGAAATACAGTTAAGACTTACTTTTAAACAAAAACCAAGTAAAGTCTACTGTTGGTTGGAGCAGAAATAAAGCTGGCAGATATGCACACATGCATTGCTTAGGGCTTAAATTTGAAGTTAATTATTAAGTTAATAAGTTTGCAGACCGAAAACTGCCGAAGTAGTAGAGTTGACATACTTGGTTTGCCCGAATCAGTGAAGTCATCTGGTTGTACACTTGTTTTACCTATAATCATTGTCAAAATTAGTAGATTTTGTTTATTGATTGGTGGATGGAGATTGGTTCTTTAGGGCAGCACTATTGCACTGGCCTTGCTGCATATACTAGGCTAAGACCAACCCAATCTTACCTGTAATATTAACTTGTTCTCTGTGACTTTCCAGAAAATGTTGAGAAAATTTCTACACAACAGAATTCATTGGGATTTGAATTAACTTGAGAACTGACTTGAGAATTAAAATACAGCATTATGAAGTTGAAATAAAAACACAGCAGTTATTAGAATGTGGTTTGAACACTGGATGTGCTACTTACAATCTTATACAGACCAAGATATGATATAATACATATAATAAGCACAAGACATGCTGTTAGAAAGTACCAAAATGCACTGCTGATTGGATTAGAAGTTCCTGAAATAGACAGAACAAGTAAGGTCTTGTGATATTTGATGAAAATATGGCACATCACTGCTGCCAGAAAGATATTCCTCTAACAAGATTGATCATCGTAAAGATTTACCTATTTTTGAGCCAATATCTGCAAAACATGCAAAGATTCCACCAATCCCCTGTCCTGTCATCAAAGCCTGGGTGTATCTTGGTGGCATCATGCCAGATAGACCAAACAAACCTCCTTGATACACAGCGCAAAATACTAAAAGAATTACAAAAATATTGCGTTATAACTATATCCATACACAATATACACCATAGATGATCATCATCGGCGATATAGACTGTCTAGTCTTGTATTCCTATGATCATGCACCAACAGATCAACAGGGCTGGGCCAGAAGCAAACCTAGAAGATGAGAGTGAGATTGCCTGGTAGTTAAATAAGTGACAGTTATACTCACCATTGATGAGCGCAATTGTTACCAAAGTGATTGCGAAGAAACTACCTTTCCCTAAGAAGATTGCGGAAGTATATTTTAGTACGTACTAAAAGTGAAATAGATGAATTCATTTGGTACACATAGCTCTCCTTACATTCGTCAGTGTCCACCCGGACCAAAGATGCTGTTACAATAAATATGCCCGTCATCACAAATAATGGCACTAGAATTCTAATCTTCAGGGGAACCCTAGGAGAAGAATGTTGTCAAAGAGTAAGGCAAATTATCAGGATTATTATACAAACAAAATTTAAGAGCATCAGGATACTAACTTGTGTTTAAACATAGTGTTTAAAAAGAATGCAACAAGATTGGGTCCAAATGCAGCCAATGCAAAGAAATTCTCAAATTCATGTTGATAACGAGTGCCTTTTAGTTTGGCGAAGAAGTACTGGAAAGACAAAGTATATAGTTAATGGTGTGTAAATTTTTAAGCAGATTATAACATCTCTAAGTGGACATGACTGGGCTCATTGCCAGGTATTGACACTTGCAAATGACCTCTTAATATGGATGACAAATTAAAATGCAGTTATTTAAAAGTGAATAGAGAATGCAACTGAGATTGTAGAACTGTGTCTAAACAAACTTGGTGGAGTAGTAATTTTACATACTGCATGTGCTGTGATAAAAAAGTTCCATGGTAACAATGTCCCAATGCCTTGTAGTACGATGATGAAATAGACAAGGTTGAATCTAAATATATTTAATCCAATGTTAATAACACTAATGGTATAAATCCACATTTAGGGTAGTGTTTATGTGAATAACCACATTTTTTTAATGACAACCACATAGTTTTTAAGGCCAGTCTATAGGCATTTATATCTAAAAAAACTTAAAACAGCAAATCAAAGTTATAGTTGAATCATCTTCAAGTGCACACAGACAGAAGAACACTTCATATCCAAAGACGAGAAAGCTGCAAGCTTCCAGCTTACCTGTCATGTAATTTTGTTACCCCGGGAGTTTCCTCTTTGATCTTTGTTCCTTCACTTGTTACAACAATTGTTACAACCGGCCTGTTTTATAGTTTTGGCAAGTATGTTGTGAATTTTGTTCATTTTGAAGACCATAGCTTGAAATTTATCCTGAGGCTGAGATTTCATGCTGAGCTCAATGAAATGTTTGACCAGACAATTTACTCTTTCACACTGTTTTTATCATTCGATTGTCAAAAGCTTGTTTGCATACACTTGATTTATGAATATTTCATGAAAACACTTGAATCGTATTTGTCAACCAACTTTGATATCTAGGAAATGAGTCTTATGCTGGTATTTTTTGTATAATTAGTATCCCACAAAACAGCTGCCTTTATTCTAAGTAGTTGCAGCACTTGTAGCGATCTTGTGAGTAAGTAGCGTTGAGACATGTGGTCTGGAAGAGTCTTTAGGATGGTAGTATTGGACTGGGTATTGATGAAAGAAACTTGTTAGTTTCCTTCAAGTGATATTGAGATTTGTTCACCATTGAGTAGTAGAATGTTTCTGCACATGAAGTGGTTTATTCCCTGAATCAGTGGGATAAATTGAAACTAGGAAACAAACAGCAGGCATTGCCTAACTGGTTTATACCTAAACTATACCCAGACAAGGCCAACTAGTTTAGTTAGCAGCCACTTCTGCAGCAAGGTAAAAAATCTGCAATTATCATTATCATAATGCCTTGAAAATGAGTAATAATTAGGTCTGCCTGTATACTTGAATGATAGGTTATTATGCTTAAGATAAGGACATTGTTTGCTCAGAAATATTACACCATGATAGGGGGTACAATATCAAATGATATAATAGGAACCAATTGGGTATTTTGTAACTATGGTTGTAAACCTACATCAAACCGCTTTCCTAAGCCTTGGCAAAAAGTTGCCAAGCAATTATTTACAGTGAATGGCTGCTAACAATGCGCTCATTTGCACCTACACATAGTTACTAAATTAACGACCTTTCTGCAGGCTTTGCATTCATCCTGCACGTGATAACGCATATGACCTTTGATACAACTTTTCTTCAATTTTGAATTCTGGAAACTCGAATATTAATACTTTTAATTAACGTAAAAGGACTAATTCCTATCACAGACATAACACAAACACGAATCGAATTTCGTTAAAAACTAAAAAATACTATTTGATCGGCCTTGACCCCTCATAAAAAGTATCCCGTACACATACACTTCAATGTGTTGACGCATATAAAATACAATATAAAATTGCATTTTTACAATAGAGGACAAATTTAGTATAAATATATACTCAATATTTATCCTTTAAAACCTTTCAATGTAATAGGTGATAACCTCTGCGCTGTACAGGCAAATCCTAGCGTTTTTGGCAAAGTTACAAGGCGGTGTTTGGGAAAGGGAATTATTTTTCAAAGGACAAGGTCAATTTAAGGCCTTCCAGTCAATCAAGGTCTCACGGTTCTGAAGACTTTCCTACGAACTTTTCGTAACATATTACCGCTGTTAAAACAATCCAAAGATTGAGGAAAACATTTTAAATAAATGAACTACAATTACAGGTGTCCGAAGGGCCAAGGGGATGCCCTTCGGATACTGTTAATTTGCATGCGAGCCAGAGTTGACCACAATAGAACCTCTTTAAATTTGGCAAAATTACAGTCCCAAAGGGCTTATTCTACCAGATTCTTTTTTAAAAAAAATCGCGTGGGTTTTTCCCTGTTGAAAAAGAGATTTTTACCTGCTTTTTTTGATATTCAAAATGACCTGACAAGATCCCAGATAGATCCGCGCGGTAGACACAAATGGATACAGTATTATTAACACTGAGCTCAGCAGAATTACTCGTGGATAAATTTCAAGCATTGCGAAACCTCGGCAAAAAAAACTCGAATTCGAAGCCAAAACTCTGGTACATTACCTGTCTTTCGGGGGCTTTATATGGCCATCTATAAGCCCTTCTGCGCTTTCATCTCTGTCCATTTCGACAAGACTTGACAGCTCGGTTGCAACACAAACAATAAATGAGGCGGTTTTTCCTTTGATTTCTTGTGCCGAAATATTTTTGACCAATGGGGGTTTCCTCTGACAGGTACACGTGAGATGCACGCCTCCAGGAACGATGCTCGTAGATAGATTTTACCCGTACGATAACAATACCCGGTCGGTAAAAAATTCTCGTAGGTACAAAGGTCGCAGGGAAAAACAGCCGATGGTACTTTTAGCCGAGTAATATATTCCCGTACAATCGTTCTATACGATGTCGCAATTTAATAGTCGACGGAATTCCCTTGAAAACTCAACAAAAAATAGCTTTGAAACGATGAAAAATCATAGCGCAAGATGTAGATATTTAGCTGCCTTTATATCACTTGGTAAGGATAACAGTTTTCAAATAAAATACCACCAATGTTATAAATCCCACGTCTTGTTTCCACGTTGACAGAGATTACTTATTGCGACAATTTCATTTACGATTTGATTTGCTTTACCCAAGGAAATTCTCGCTGTATTTCCTTCGAGTGAACAACTCGTTCGCACATCTTCGAATGAAGCCCCTGCTTGTCCCTCGCAATATGATACTACATGAACAATAGCGAGTAATATTAAAGTCATTTATACCGTAGCAGGCAGGTCTGCCATATGTTTCTTCGTGAATTGTCCGTATAGTGTTAAGTTACAAACAATAATTCCCTCATGGCACTATGTTCCGGTATAGATATAAATAACACTAAACAATGTGACAGTTGGCATGTGTAGCATGATCAATAGGGTAACCAAAAATTCTGGTTGATATTGTTGGTCAAAAAATTGTACCAAATTTACTGATTTATATTGTCTTGAGATATAATAATTGTTTACAATAAAGTGGTTTTTAAAACCACAACCAGCTTAGCAAATTCAAAATGGACAAAGCATCTTATTTAGAATACAACATGCAGTTTTAATCAAGATGGAGGTTCAACCTAACATTTTGAATAGGCTTCTGATGGAAATCATATATTCTAAGTTTAACCTTTTTACCAAAGGTTGTCATAGCAGTTCACACTTTCAGAGTTTCAGGGATCTTGATTCAATATAATAAGAATTACCACATTAAAGTAACATATTTTGTAATATATTTTATTGCATAACCTACTTTGATATATGTTAAATTTTAACAATAAACTTTTTTTAAATCATCCAAATTACTGGACTTGTTCATGTAACAATTTATCACCCAGATTCACAATGTGTAGCGATTGTAGGTTATACCAGGAATGAAAATGCCAAAAGTGTTTAGCAAACTTGATGGATTATAGTCATTATACATCAAAACATGCATGAAACTACACGCATTTTTGTATTAAAGATCATGTTTATGCCCTTAATGATATGGACCCATGAAAAAGTTCTTCTTTGAAATACAAGAATGATGATTACATTGTCAAAGCTCAAAGCAAGCAGTCTATTTCTAGCAATTCATAATATATACAAAAATATTGTGTTCATATAACAGTGTAACATGTTTTAACTCCAAATGTCCATGTGATGTCAGCATGTTCAGTCAATCGGTTCAGCCATCAAAGGTGCAGTGTATTCTGACCAGCGAATACCAAATGAAAACTTTGGTGCAATCCTTTTATTGACATTGACCTAAAAGAAACAAGGAATTATAACACAGCTTGATTGGCATACGCTTCCTTATATGAATGAGCAAGATTCAAATGTGTAATTGCAGATACCAGTTGCAAAAAAATTCGTGCCTGGAATGGATCAGAAACTAACACAAGTATTACCTTTTCAGGTGAATGTGCTCCTGGACCTGGTTTTTGGGTGTTATCTCCAGGCATTGTGTTGCGGCCAGTCATGGAATATGCTGGAAGTTTCATTTTCACAGTGTTTGGATTAGAAACACGGTAAGTCCCAGGTCCTGGTGTCTGTGGAATTTGGTGAAAAAGATAGTTAAATGATGATAAATTAAGTGGTGACTGCGATGGTGTGGTAATGGTAGTTGCAGTTACAATGTTTTATCAGACAATGATAATAAAATTATTGATGGTGATGCAAGCGAAAAATCTAACGCATATGTAACCTTTTGCAGGTCCTCGTGAAATCCTCCTATTTTGCTTCTTCCAACCATGCTATAAGATGGTGCTGATTTCTTTCCAACAGCCTTCGGACCAAGTATTCCAGGTAGGTTGTATGTATTGGGGCCAGGTGTCATATCTTTCTTGCCAACTTTTGTTCTCGAACCAAACGAGTACTGCGGTGGATATTTGTGGTATGGGTAATTTTTCTTCTCCGGAGAATATGTTCCTGTGACATTTAAGATCCATTAGCAACCATTAGTAATGGCTCAGATTACACAAATGTTTACATTGAAAAACTTCTCATAAAGAGTTACGCATTCATTGCATTGTTTTCCATTATTTCGCGGCGCAGATTGCCTATAGAAACAGCTTTACTTAAAGAATTCTTTCAAGCTACGGGTGATTCCAAAGATGCTGAAAAACATTATCTGGTAGATATAGCGCAAAAAACAATATATTCTACTTGGGTGCAACCGCTCCAAGGGCAAAGCTCACGCGATGAAATCGTGCCTTGGGCCAGCCCTTGCGTCTTGCGATGACAATTTTTTTGTCCTCGTGACTCAGCGCATAGAAGACGTTCTGGACTTGGGATTTAGCGGATTTAAACTGTCATTTATAAACGGGAAGGATTAAGTTTAATCGGCTTTTGATTACACAACACGGGCTTACAGCTGTTTGCTAATAAATTTCATATTTCAATACGCATCTTCATAACTTTAATTGAGAAGATATCCCGCAGCAGGGAATTTTGATAAAAAGAACCTGGTTTAAGAACTTTTCGGACGATTCGTTTACATAAACCTCATTTGATCAAACGTCCATGACAACTAAAATTGGTTGACAATTACGCTTTAGGCAAAGTCAACAGAAATCTGGACACCTTGACAACCGAGTTAGCGCCAGAAGTAAACAAATCTTTGAGAAAATATCCCTTTTCGAAGTCAATAAACTAGCTATTACATGACAGCAGTAAACTTTTAAGCCCGATGACTTATTAAAAAAGTTCCCCCGAAGTTTGCAGAATATCTTTCCTGCCAAATTTCGCGCAAAATTCGCAGAATTTCGCGCGTTCAGCGAGAACGTGCCAACTGCCAAAGCAATTGTAACAAAGCTTATGATAATTGCAAAAAAGGTTATCTCGCAAAAATCCGACAAGAAGCCGTCTTATTTAACTACGAGTTTACAGGTATTGCATTCTATATGTTGACAGTTTTCTTTAAGTGTAAATATTTCATTACCTGGAGCAGGGGTTTGGAAGCTTCCTACGGTTCGTGTTCGACTGGCCAGCGAGTATCTTGGCGTTCCCTCTATGCCCGTTCTAGTGATATTCGAGGGCACCAAATACGCTGGACCAGGGCTGGCCGGTCCTTGGTCCAATTTGGACGACTTCAAACCAAAACTGTACCCAGGAGCCTTATTCTTTGTCGGATCATGGGACACGTAACCCGTACTACCAGGCAAGGCATATCTAGCCGGTCCTGGTCCGCGAAACATTGCCCCGATTTGGGGACGTTTTGCCGTTTCTGAAGTCATTTTCTCACACTTCTGAAGACCTCGTTTAGCGTCGCAGAACTGTCTTGAAAACTCGTAAATTTAATGAATGTAGACACAAGATTTCGCCTAGTTTGTTGCAAAAGACATGCTGTAGTGTCCTCACTGAAGAAAGTAATTATGAAAGATGATCTACCGCATTAGAGTGGGCTAATTAAACCGCGCATTAATTGGTTGAATATTAATGGCGTAAATAAGATAAAAAATCTGAACTTTTATATAAATATTTTGAAATGAGCAATGTTTAAAATAGTTTTTTCTAAAATCTTAATGTTGTTTTTAAAAGTTGGGCATTAAAGCTAAAGTAGACAAAAGATTGGATGCTATAGTTGTTAACTGTTTTAATAAAGAGAGACACATATTTTTTATTTACACAATGTCAAAATCCATTGCTAGTTCATACAATTTGCATTTTAAAAGTGGAAGCATACAGACAATTTAAATACATGACAGACATAATTGTTATATAAGATCATGTGCTAAATAATGCTTGGTCTACACATTCAGGTTTTCTAGGATCAAAAATAGAATCAGGGCTAAACTAGTGCAATAATTTGGGGGTGTATATCCACATATTCTTTTCTGTCTGACAAACTTCTTTTAAAAATGCATAACCCCAATTGTTGAAGGGATCTTGAGTAGGAAATTTTTACAATAAAAAAATGGGTGAGAAATTTCAGGGAAGTATAATATTGATTAACAATATCAGTTATCACTTAAATTATAGCATGCCTAATTTTGAAAGAATATAAACACGTTTGTTGAAATTTTTGTTCCACTGTATTTACACAATGCTTAATGCTTTCGTCCAGAATTATTTCTTTGGCTTTTCTGTAAAATATTCAGAAACTTTCCTCTCGTCATCTCCCTTGCTGTAAATGAAAATTATTGCTTATAGGTTCATTGTAATAACTGGTAAATAATTTAGCAAAAGTGCATGATATACCTTCCTCTAAACCAAGCTGGTATGCCAAATTCTGAAGACCTCTGACCTTTTCCATCAACTGAGCTGAGGTTAAACTACCAAACTCATTTTAGAAAGAAAACAAAATGTAGCCAATGGACACTTCCTGTATTTGTTCTCGGGCAATGAAAACCAGCCCACTATTTGCACTCAAGCAAATTCGGAAAGTGTCTATCATGTGACATATTTATCGGATAATGTGCATAATATTGAGTATGCGCTATACAAACCCTGTAATAAATCCATATCATCATCTCCCAAGCCAGTGGATAATTTTGTTTGTCCAGTAGAACCAGGTGAAGGCTAGCGTTTCAAGACAGCATAAGTTGAGATTGATACATTTTAGTTATAACTTGATGCAATTTGGTTGACTTTAAAATTGAACATTAATAAAATTGTGTAAAACTCACACTTGATCGTAATTCTGCAAAGTCTGACACACCAGGCACTGAAAGTTGATTTGGAAATACATTATTTGACAATGAAATATTTTGTACTGATAATTTATGAGCTAGTAATTATTGGTCAAGGAAGCATCTGAACATATGACTATGTGTAAGTGTTTCAAAACCATTGATGAAACTTACTTTGATCTGGCCATAAGATCTGGGGAGGAGCGGTCAAGCCTTTCAAAGCTCAGTAAACCTTGTAATGTCGGGTCTGAATCTATATTAAAAAAACACATTAAAATGATTATCAATATATTATGTATAACGAATTTAAAAGTAAACAACACAAACCCAAGCTTGGTGAAGTTAACTTTCTTTCCATGATTTCCCATGCAATACTCGAGTTATAATATAAGTGAAATAACGATGAAAACTGAAATTAAACTTGCGTTTTGAAAAACAATTCACTCCTTGTAAGCCGCCATTTTGGATTATGATTCAAAGCCACTGATCTCAAATGAATCTTGACGGAACTGAACTGCTATTTAAAATATATTCATCGCCAACTGAAGAAGAGGCGCTTATAAATTATAATTATAATCTAATCGATATCTCTTTATCCGCCCTCACTATCAGTTGTTCCTGGTCCAATACAAACGAAGCTTAGTTCAAACGTCTTCCCTTTTAGCTTTTATGTTTTATCCATAATATACCCTTCTACACTCTTTTCTAGAAAGATTTGGAACTCGCGTCCAGTCTTCCCAATATCAAGCCGAAGCTCCCCTGGCTCGGACGCAACGAATACCTGCACAGACGCTACTATGCTGCAGTGCCGGCCTAACTACAGCTATGCCACACAATTAACACGCGTTCCACTTCAGAATACGTATCGCAGATTGTTACAAATGCTGGACCATTAATTTCGATTTCCAGAGAATGACGCTTGCATCAAAATAGGACACACAGGAAACTCTAACTTCAAGAAAGGTAAATATCGCTTGGCTCTATATGTGCATTGCTCGTGTTTTTATTATATATTAAGCCAAATACACTCGGGAAATCAATATAAAAACTCTGTGCAAATATTGCATCAATAATGTTCTGTTTTAAAATATATTCGCCTCAGGAAATTTCTGCGTTTCGAGTGTAAAAAAATAGTTTGTTGTATCGATATGCAATAAGTTGTAAGACTTTGGCAGCACAACTAACTCGAATGCATTTGAGCAGGTTATAAATACTCCGCTATTCAGTTACCTGTCGGTTGGGCTTCATGAATACTGGTCGGCGATTTTGTTTGCCGGTAAAGTTTTGAAATCAAAAACACGGGGATAGAAACATTTGTCGCAAATCAAACTTGTAGAATATACACGACTAACCTGTTTTTTATACGGTCTTCTTTTTTACCAATCTTTTCTTGAAGATGTGGAAAAACTAGCCAACACTGATTCCGCGGATGAAAATATATATATTTTGGTACCAAATCTGTTTACTAAACATATTTTGTCTGCCTGTTTCCAGCTTTAACCGCTATTTCGGTCGGTTAGATAAACATCATTCCAATGTTTTTGCCTCGGTTATAAGTGGACGAAAGTGACACTGCAATCATTTCAATGCACGTGTATCCCCGACAGTTTCTTGAGTATTTGGAAATCACCAATGCATTTATTTGCTAGAACTCCGAAAAGACGGTCGGTGCGGAGTGATAGTTACCACAGCTTTTTTTTGCCCTTCCCTGTCGCTTATCGGGGCCTCCCCAATAGTAGAATACCCCCTCTCAATAATGCAGTAGTTGTTTTGAAATTGAAACTGTTTCAGAGCGAGGTGCCACTCCATGTTTGAGATATGCTGACGTAAACTACTGTAAATTCTGTACAACTCTGTATACGTTTTTATCCAATCAGGCGGAGGCAATCGTTGAAGCGACCATGGCTGATGGCGGGGAGGTTTCATTATCCGCAAATCAAAAAGAAACGAAAGAAAACGTGAACGTTAACGACGAAGAGGATATGAGAGCTTTCCGTGGCAAACATTATTTCCGGCTCGTCGCTTCCACGGCGGGATTTGTTGTCCTCGCTTGGATCTTTGGCCGGTTCGGTTGTGGCATGGTGTGGCTGATTCCGTTTCTAGTTTTCGTCTTCAGCTGGTGGAATCGTACGTCTTCTGAAATTCTGGAGACAACCTCGAGGTTGGCTGCCTTGCAAGCACATCGGGAGAGGGCGTTTAAGAATGCCGAGACCGCTGAATGGCTGAATTTTATCCTGAATAGATGGTAATGACTTTGAGGAGTTTTCAGCTAGGGAAGGTAGTTGGTGCAGTGGTTTAAGCAGGTTACCCTAGCTTGCATCGACTTGGTTATTTTATCTCCACCATGTGAGGAGAGAACTATACTTTTCTTCATCGTTGTAAATTCACAAGGGTCAAAACTAACCCAAAAGAAGTAGCCTTGCGGTAATTTTACCCCCAAGACTACTCTTTTCACTGGTAGTCTTGCCCCAGCGTAAAAAAGTGACGTTACTTGGTTGAACCTTGAATTGGCTCTTACGAAAACTGTCTTGAACTCGTAATGTTGTTTAAGGTTAACGAAATTTTACTCGTATGAAAACATCGTATGAAAACATCGTATGAAAACATCGTACTGCTGTCTTTTAGGTGTGTCTTCAGCGATAGTTCTATCCTGTCGTTGATCAAGACAAGTTTGGATCCAACGTTGGAGTATTACAAACCCACGTTTATAGGTGAGCTTTTTCTGGCTAGTTTTCTGACACTTCCGCGTTCATCTTTGGACATAATCGTCTGAGTTTACCGGATAGTATCGCAATGAGAATTCAGCTCATGCAACCAGTCCTGTTACAAAAGAGGGAAGATATATTATCAATTCCTTTATTCTCTTATTCCAGAATCTATCGAAGTTGAAGATTTTACCCTTGGAAATCGTACGCCATTTTTCAAATACATCGAATGCTTTGATTCCTTCGACGACAACAGAAAAATCAAAGCATCGGAACTAGCGATGAGGTTCCCGCCAAGTGATTTAGCTAGGACGCCCAAGTACAAAGCTGTTATGGACGTCGATATCGGCCTCTCCTCACCTGATTCCAAATTTGTCATACGAATTAAACTTGCCAAAGCCGGGTAAGCTTGTGTACGTTTTATAGTGTATTGTGTGAACCTTGTAGTTTTACTCAGTTCTCGATATCTAAAAGTATCGTTTTATAGGATGCTGGATCTAAGCACAGACATAGCTGTTGAAGATTTTCATATCCACGGAAAGATGCAATTCGTGTTCTCGTTCAACCGAAACATTCCTTTCCCACATCTTGCTGCGATTTCTCTCTGTTTTCTTGAAGAGTAAGCATTTATCAGAGTTGAGTTATATTCATTTTGGGTTGTATTTCGACTGTGTTTTCTTCCCACGCATTTTAGACCCGAAGTTGAGTTCAATATTCGAATGTTGAAAGCCGTTCAGCTCATGGAGTTCCCGTTGCTGAAAAACTGGGTTGCGAATCTTGTTAACGATTGTTTAAAGTTGTGTAAGTGATCTGACGCAATCGACCCGTAGCGGTTTATTTTTATTTTCGTTGCAGTTATCATTGTGTATTTTCTTCACAGCTCTGGTTGATCCGGGAAGGTTAACAATTCCTTTGTGTGATGATCCTGAGGTCCTAGGACATGGAGCACAATATGGTATGTATTGCAAAGCTGTAAGTACTAGACTATTCAGGTTAGTATTAGTGACAACAGTCAGCATTCAGTCAGACTAGCAACGCTGCAATGATCAACTGACATTGAGGAAGGTTGAAAGAGAAACACTGAATAAAACACTGCAAAGCAGTAAATTCTAGACGAGTCGGGCTGGTTTTAACAGCTACAGAGTTTCACCAAAATTCCATCTGTCAGATTAGTCAGGCTAGTATGAGTAGCAACAGTTGCCACTCCGTTGGACTAGAGAAAATTCATAACGTTTTGGATATATCATTGCAAAGCTATCAATCTTCCTTTTAGCTTGTGGCATTTTAACCCTGACCATTGAAGGCGGTTATGATGGAAGACTTACAGGTAAGTGTGGATGAATACACATGCATGACGCTTGCCTCGAATACATGTAAGCTAGTAATACGCAGAAAAATAAAGAAGAAGCAAAACAAGGTTTGTTTTCACGGAAACGTTTTTCTGGTTTTAGACGATGTTCATTGGTGCGCTCTGACACTTGGAGAGCAAAAACGACAGATGAAGGAAATCAACCACGGCGACGAATGGTCGGATAAAATCTCCATTCTTGTCTACAGTTTAGTTTATGATAAGGTGAGAGAAGATTCTTCTTGATACAATTAGATTGGTACAATTGTGCTTTGAACTTTTAATCTATGTCCATTCTTAGGTTGTCCACACTTGGACCTCTAAATCCTTGTTATCTAATGATAGGAAACTATGTTTGCAGTTTGAAAAAGATGCTGGAAAACAGAAAGATATTTTCACATTACAATGCATAAAATTTATTTCAGATCATTATAAAGATGAAAGCAAAAAGAAAGTTGGGAAATAAATACACTGTTTTGGAATATCAACTTCCTCTTGCAAGACTTGGCCTTGATTTGGTTGGCAACCAGTAAGTTTATCTTTCTGGAAACAACTAAGCGAGACAATTCAATTGCTTCACATGCACTAGATAGCCCTATCAGTTCTTCCAGAAGATCAGTAAGAATCAATGTTTATCTGCATATCTTTGAATTTTCTTTTTAGACCTCTAGCATGAATAAAACGAGGAAACTCAAACTATCTGTGTTGACCAGCATTAGGTCTAAACTTCTTTGCTTTTCTAGTGAACAAGTATTTGAGAAAAGTCGTCAGAGAGGGTCGAAACTAAAAGCCATATTTGAGTACAGTCCACTTCCTGTCTTAAATATCACCAACGATACCACGGAAGAGGAATTTCAAAAGAATTATCTGGACAAAATGAGCGGTGAAGAGACGAATGGACAAGGTATGAACGACGACACGTTCTTCATGCGTTTATTATTTTATCCTCTGCTAATTCACTGAGGCTCGTGAAAAATATTTTGCAGTTGCTGGCGTGATGTGTGTCTGTATTCACAGCGCGCAGAATTTGTTACCAATGGACAAGAATGGCTTGAGTGATCCGTACTGCATTGTATATGAGAATAAGACAGAGGTAAACACTCCAGTTCCCTTCAATGTATATACGCTCAGTCATTGTATATGAGAATAAGACAGAGGTAAACACTCCAGTTCCCTTCAATGTATATACGCTCAGTCATTGTATATGAGAATAAGACAGAGGTAAACACTCCAGTGCCATTCAATGTATATACGCTCAGTCCTGTTATGGTAGCAAAATGCTTAGTGCCTTTATTTTTAATCAAAATTTTCGAGGTTTGGAGGGAATGAACATGATGCTTCTCTAGTGATAGCTGTTTTAAGTCTGATAGAAAGAGCTTTAAGTACAGACAAAGTTAAACTTGCGTTCCTTCTGTACTTGGTCTTTGAATGATGACTCTCACTGGAAACGGTTTAAATTGTCGAGCTACATACTAGCTGAATAGAGAAATCAACCAATCCTTTTGTTAGAGGTGCAAAAATTCATGCAAAAATTCATTCAAGTTAAAACTTTTTTAGATCAAAGCCACGTCTTGTGTTGAGAACACGCTTGACCCAGTGTGGGATAACGTAGTCGAATTCTGCACAGCGGACTACACGAAAACTGTCGTCTCATTGGTCCTTCACGATAAAGACGTCACAGCACTGGAGACTTTGAGGATAAAGGATGATCCCGATGACTTTATGGGATCGTGTAACTTTTATCTAACCAAGGTAAAATCTGAGAATTGCGAATGAGAAATGGTTTAGAACTAGAAAAGCTCTCCGGTATACATAAATAAGGTTTTAATTGAGATCTTGATTTGTGTTCGGCCTATTTTATCGGCAGTTGGATTGAAAGATCTTTCCCGTATTTTCCACAGGAGGAACCGTATTTCTTCAAAAGAAGAATGGATGTTTTGTTTCGCGTTAACGCCGGAACGAGTGGTCTGAAAAAGGCTGGAACAATTTGTGTTTCCTCCATGTTCAGACCAGTTGCTGCCGTAGCTCAAACAGGTAAAGCAATAGACGAATATCTCCCCGAGCTTTTGTCTCATTCCTGCTGTGAGATTAGGAAAATCTGTCATTTATACAGTTGTACCAAACTCTTGCATCAAAGCTCTGTGCTTACGGAATTATTTTTCTTAATTTTTGTTTAGAGAAATTACGCCCAATGGGAGGGTTGCCGGATGGCGAGCCATTAGACAAAGTAAGTTGATTAGATCGCTGTATGAATAATTTATACTAATAGAGCTATAGTTCTATAGTCGTGCTTTGCGTCTGTTTAGCAAAGTTACTAAAGCTAAGTACACGAATTTAGGACCGTACTGGAGTTCGTCCGGTTCAAGTGTTCACCGGAAAAATTGATATTCGACCATCCCAGATTCGTCCGGTCTCGTGGGAGTGTAGTCTAATTATTGTATCTATTAAATTCTTAGAAATTCCTGAAGAAGAAGACGGACCCGCAAGCGTTGGAGGCCATTCAAATTGCAGGTAAATTGATATCTATTTTCTTTTCCTTGATCACTTCATAGACTTCATATGAAATATTTTTTATGGGCTTTTGCCGAGGTATGCATGCTTCTTTGGTGCCAAATTAGTTATACGCCTCTTTCCTTCTAGAAAAGGGTGGCATTGAAATTCAAATCATCCAAGGTCGCAATCTTGTCGTTATGGACGTAACAGGTTTGTTTCGATAAACTCTGACGTGAAAATCTATAGAAGTTGTTCCTTGTTGTCTCAATAGCTGTGCTAGGAAGTAGAAACTGAACTAAGCTTCATCTGTCCCTTAACTTTTTCTCTATTCCAGGTAAAAGCGATCCCTTTGTCACGATAAAATTCGGTTCTGGCAAAGGAAAGGAGAGATTCAAAAGCCAAATCAAATATAACACATTGACCCCTGTCTGGAATGAAACATGCAGACTTCCCTTGCCAAACCAAGACGATAAAATGACCATTGTAAGTTTATATCTGCTCAGTCTGGGGCAAACCTTGTATTTCTTTCCGGATCAATAGAGAGCATGGATTAAATCGAGTTAAATAGGTCTAGGCTTTCTATCCATTCAAGAGAAGGGATAATACTTCAGAATAAACTAGAGCAGATTGTATACCTTATCTGGTGTTGTTCACTACTCCTATATCCCCCTATAACTATTACAGTTGTCTTAACGCCCGCCTTTGCAAAAGTCAATTCACTATAATCTATTTACTTTACCACTTCCTTTTACTTCAGGATGTCTGGGACAAAGATCCGTTGAGTCAAGAAAAAATGGGTCATGTGACATTTACTCGAGCAGAGCTCAAAGCATTTGAGAAAGTGAGTTTTTACTTTCGATTTCGTTTTTACTTACAGGCAGGTACTTCTAAGCACTGTCACCTAAATCTACAGGCAGCTACTTCTAAACACTGCTCAATTTTACATCGAGTGTAGAACCAAGGCTTACAACTGTCTTTTACAACTGTTTTTCTAAGATTTATACCCTTTCTGTTAGAATCCGGGGGTAAAAGAATGGTACAAGTTGAAGAAAGTGAAAACAGGAGAGATCCAACTGGCCTTTACATACGTCCCACCGCAGGTAGTTTTTATTGCATTGTTATACTAAGATTAATTGAAAGTCTCTTTACTTTCTGGGAGTGAAATCTTTTTTACCACTAGCTGTCCAGTTTAACTTCGGTCCGAGTTTCGATGGCCGCAAATCGATACGTAATAGTACGATTAACATGAAGCAGTGGCGTCTTGCTGTCTCGTTCCCAGTTTCCAATTTCTCCATTTATGTACAACAGAGCATGAAGCAGATGTTTTTTAGATATCTGCAGTCAATACTTGTGAACTTTGCATGTTTGTTTCAACATCTTGACGCGCCATAATTGCATGGCAAAAGCGATGGCGTAGAAACAACGTCAAGTTTACTTTCAAATTCGTGCCCTTAGGCTTAGCGCTTATCATCTTGCTAATAGAGGACCGTCTTTTTCGCTCAATTTAAACCAGCACAGCCGGGACCTTATGCTTATATAGTTTTCTGCCAGTGGCTGGCGCGTTTCAATTAAACACATCGGAGTTTTTATATCAAGCATTTTGACAAATCTGTTTCTCATTTTACGAACAAAAATGCACACCGGCTATAAAAGAAGGTTCACGAAGACCACCTCTTCAGAAGGGATACTCAGTCAGAAACAATCGTAGCGAAAACCTCAGAATCAGTCAACAAACTGGAACCGATCTTAGCAAACTGAACTACTCAGTCTCTCCCAAAACACTCAACCAACAGTTCTAAATCTCAAAGTGATTCTAGTGAACCTATATGGTCAAATTGACCCTCGCTAAAACTCCATTCCGAAAGGTAGAAGCTGAACGCAACAAATTTCGTCCGACCGGCAGAGAGCTTGTGTTTGTTGCCACACGCATGCATGTTCTTTGCATACTAATATAAGCTTTACGTCAATAATTACGCAGCCTGATGCAAGTCAGTGAATATAAAATTGGCGGGGGTCGGCCATCTTTGAAGTTTGATGGCAATTTAGGGCAGTCACGGTGACAGTAATTGGTTATTCCTTGACATAGGCTCTGTATCTCCTCCCAATATCTCCACTGCTGCATCGATTTGATTGCAAATGAGTAAAATTCTTCCTTTCAGTCCCAACAAGGCGATGCTGTAAGTGTTGACACCAGTATCGAACGATCTTCGACAGGTAGGTTTATCTACATTAAATGAACAATTGTTCATAGTTCATGCCCTCGCCGCCTAGCGCGAGGGCTATTTTTAATGTGTGGCCCTAATTCTCCCATAGTTTATTGTTTCGCGATGTTCCTACCCTTTGTTCAAGGGAATAGGATAGCAAGGAATGTATTTTGTGCGAGGGATAAAAATTATCGCGGCGATGTAAATTATCCGACTTTATTTAGTTATAAAATATAACGGTTTGTTTGTCTTGAGAGTTGAAGATTCTTGACAAGACTTTCGCCGGACAACGGTCGATATCGCTTCGGATTGCCCGCAAATTCGTGCAATTTTTTATGTGATACACCCGGAGTTTGCACGTTCGGCTGTTTCCGAATACGTTCGTTTTCACATCTCGTGCATGCGAACACCACAAAAGGAGATCTTTTAAAGATTCGCTTTTCCGTTTGGCATTATAGTGATGGCGGCACCTAAATCTAGTGGATTTAACCCGTATTATGCGGCCGGTTAGTTTGTGTCAAATTTTATAGCTAAATCATACCAATGAGGTTTTGAATGTTTCTAGCGGAGCCGTCGCTTTTGAAACTGCGAAGTGTATCTTGTGTTTTTAATGTACTGTGCGGAACAGATGCTATAAAATGCAATATCTTTGTCAAGATTCTACTTATGAGTACATGAAAACGTTGCCGTACAACTTCGATACACTACAGGCAACTTTTCCGCATTGCCTCAATGTAGTTGACACAATTGTGGGGGCAATGGACGCGTTTCCTTAACGACCATGCTTGTACACAACGCGAGCAAGTGAACAAGATTTCGTGCATGCACATCAAAGGAAAACACACAAAATTCAAAATTCGCCCAGCCGCGTGCTATTTCGAGTCTCGTATTCTAGTTAACATATTGCGATGAAGAAAACTGAATAGCTGGCTTTAACGTTGGAAGTATTCATCCAATTATGGCATATGCAATATTGCAACAAGCTGCCCTGACGGACCTTTTGAAAGATTTGAGAGATTTGCGAGATAGCTGGCTTTTTTCTATATATTTTCGTTCTGAAGACAAATAAATTTGTAGGTAACAACTGACATGAATAACATGCATGCTCTCGCCATGGTGCTTAAAGAAAAATTTCAACGGTCTATCTATATCAAAATTGTCTCCTATATTATCTAACCTGCCGTTATATGAATAGGCTTAATTTTTTACGCTGTTAAACAGTTATGCAAATCAGCGGCAGGGAAGTGTTACCGTTGATCCGTTAGCTACGTGAATCTGTATAAAAAATGCTGAAAGTCGAAATCTTTCAGAGAATGAGCGTCATTTTCCTATGCACTCGGAAAAGCGAATTCCGTTGTTTTCTGCGCTGCCGGTCAGAATTATATGACTTTGCGTTCTATATTGGTCAAGTAATACTACTTTTTAACACATCGACGATTGATACACTCAATTGAACATCTTCGTTTATGGCCGTCGGTTCACTAAATTATCTTCTCCAAAATGCTCCAGGAAACAAGAATATTGTAAAGTAAGAATGATGATTGCATGCCATTGGTAAAACTACGGGCTAAACCTTTGGCTTTTTCATGACATTCAGGCAGCCAAACATTTTCGTTCATATACAATCATAACCTCTATGTATAATTATTATTTTTGTCAGTTTCACAGATGCATATATTTGTCGCAAGATGCCAAGATATACGTATAAAATGTCAGACTGAACAATTAATATCGCGATTCAATGAAATGAATCTCTTTCAGCCCGTATTTATAAAGTCTGCATGCCCGCATAAAACAAATTTTAGCAGCTGTCAAAGCCGAAAGTGAGTTTTATTAATTATGATTTATGTCTTTCGCTGTGATATTTTTTCACAATTTGTATTTTTTACAGTTTATGCGATTTCACATTGTTCTTACTTATTATCTAACGAAAATTAGAAGAATATATTTTTGCTATATAACGAAATTCTAATAGCTGTAGTTGTGGTTGTTTTGTTGAGAACAAACAAAATCAAAATGCTGGGTATACGAGTTACGTTTTCCTTATTTAAACCATCCTGTAGTGTCTCATGATGTTATAAATTGCCCATGGCCACGAAGCGCATTGAATTGCTCTAATGTACGACTATAAACTAAGTCATACATGCACACAGACATCTTAAAATTGAAATTTGCTCAACTAAATCAGTAAATGATCACGTTATAGATTTTTTTTTTTGAAGTTTGAATTTTGTCGATGGTCAATCGTTCCGTCATTATTCCACGGAAATCGCGAGTTGAGAAACACAGTTTGAATTTTGCTTTGCATGACTTCGAAATTTATGAATTCAATATTGCACTCAGTTATTTTAGCAAGCCGTTGTTAGCAAGCTGCAAACAGCTGTCATATTTTGTATGTAGATACGTATATATATTCATAATTTTGGCTACCTTTAGCTCAACAGCATAATTTCAGTAAAATTGTCTACGTAGTCAAAAAAGTAGTCAACTCATTACTGACATTAGTGCGTTCGGTTATTTTTATATTTTTTTAATCTGCAAACTGTTTTGAGATCACAGAGCTTGTATGCTATTATTTTGAACAAAATCCTTTTTATTTTGAAAGAGTATGACTGAACTCCTTAGTATAATCGCATTTCAATTTTTCTTAATCCATGCAAGTATACAAAACAACAAGAGCATGCAAAATTATGCATGATACATTCACTCCGTAACACCTGAAAATAACAGAAAGGGACTAGAACTTAGCTAGGCCATAGTTCTTGCTGTCTTTGTATTAGAGTTCAATTTTCAGAAATCACCGATTAATCGCCGACATGCAGTCCCTAATGTATTTATTGTTTGTGACCGGTAACAAAGGAAAATTTATTCAAAATAAGGAAGTGCCTCATTAATTCGTCTGTGATCATCGAGGCTCGGTGGCATGCGAGTTTTAAGCCTGATTCTTACCAGCCAATGACAGTCGGTGATTCGATGATCACTGAAAAAAAAAGCCAATTGTTATTTTTAGTAATTTTTTTCCGTCACCGATCAACATTGCCGACTGTCGGTGACGTATTAGAACCAGGCTTTAGCGATGACTGTCCAAGTTGAATCCTGTGAAAATTCACTTTACTGATCAGATGTTGATGCTTTAAAATTGGTACCTGCATGTCCTGCTATTGTAGCAAAAAATACGTGACCCGAATGAGTTGTATGAATGTGCAAGTGACGTTAGTTGTAAACATTCTTTTGCATCGCAAGTTGTTTGTCGTTTAGTTTGCACATGAGTTCGGAGATTGAATTACGTATCTTCGACATCATGAATCTTGAAACATATATCGATTCAATTTCTTTTGATTACTTCTGTCTAGTGGACAGCGCCGTGATCGAAAAGCCAGTAAATATGAACGACAATAACAATGGGGAACTGGGTAAGTGTTTGTTAAGTTCGAGCGCCTTGTTTTTAGAGAGTGTGCTAATACAAAGACACTGAAGTCCTTACCATAAGAATAGGGTGTTAGACTCGTTAGAATGAAGCACTTGGTTTAAAGAGAAGGGATTTCTTGGAAGAGTTATACGGGCCTCATACCAGGAAGAAGAATTATGCTTTTGAGTATTGACTTTCAGTGGGGGGGGGGGGGAGTGTAGGCTTTTTGAGAGGTTTATTGGAACAAAACTCATGAACTTATTATTGAGGGCCGCATACGATACAGCCCTACAGTGCATTGACAGAACGGGCGAAACAGTACAACAGTAACTTCGAATAATGTTAACATTTTCATTATTCAAAGTTTCATAAAGTGACGACATAAAGTCGTCATCACCAGAAATGATTGCGTCAAAAGTGCGCTTGCATTTCATTTACAATCAAAAGAAACCTGGTAGTTCTCTCCATGTACGCACTGTAGTGCCATGATTAAGTTCCGGTTTTTGTCCACAATTGCTAAGTGCTTTTTTGCAGTATAGTTATAACCCGTGCTTAACCTTATCTATTTGATGCAACATTTTCTCAGTTGCGAAAGAGCTAAGTTAGGTTTTTTTTGCCACAGCTTTCGGTGTTGGGATTTACGACGTTTTTCTGTAATAGAATCGCAAAAGCGTAGGTTCGATTCCTGCCGGAGGACCGATAGTTGACTCATTTTCCCATCAGCTGTTCCTGGCTTGAATTTGAAGTGTGTATAATTCTACTCGAAATTAAGACCCTTAGAACCTCTAGAATTTACCTGCATCGAGTGAAGTGCCAAAAATCATAATTGTTAAGATGTTCGCAAGTTTTAATGTGTGCAGAAATCTCTGATTCGTTGTCTGTAGTTAAGGAAAAGCCCATTATCTGCGGGCTTTCGGTACAACAACTATATATTTATATTTATATATATATATATATATATATATATATATATATATATATATATATCCGTCATATCGTTATTTTTCCCGCTTTGTGCGATGCGATCACAACGTGACTTTGTAGTCCTGGTAACTAGTTATTTACGTCATACTGTCATACGCTATTAGATGTAAGTGCCTAGTCCATCTCTTATCATCTTACTATAAGTGCCGGAACAAGGAATATGTCTATCTTTTATGAATATTGGCCTTATATCTATAACCTAGCTATAGCTTCAAAGACTCCTAACTTATAGAACATTGCTACTGTCGGGCCTGATATTTCATCTGGTTGATAGCAAGTTGTAGGTAATTGACACCTATTCGTGAAAACTACTCGCATTTCGAAGGTCACCCGGAAACAATTTCATATCATTCTGCATTTTAAATTTTTATATTCAAATATGGACATAAACAAGAGCCTTTCGCTTTGAACGCGTTCAACACAGACTTTCGTGAGAATATCATTCGATTTTAAACACAAAAACAACTTTCCATATTAGTTTTGGTTGCCATGTTAATATGAAAATTTCGTAGATCTGAATCTGATGGCATTGTTTAACAGTTTCACAAATTGCATGCATTATGCACGCACGTATAACTGTCATTCTCTCGAAGCAACTAGAAATGAACAGATAGTATACAAATTTTATTTTATTTATCCACCTCTGCAATCCTTATATACAAATGTTGATGCACCGTACCGAAAATGTTGTTTTTCATTTGTGAACCGTAAAGATGCAAGTGCCAAAATTGCGCGCAGCCAATTGTGTCAGCTGATTATGTTTAAAAGATAGCATATATTGATGCAGCTCATGGAAATGACTCGTACGCCCGACAACGAACGAACCGAATGTTTTTTTAAGATTATATCCATCAATAATTAACGCATGCAGACGGCTTTACGCCTTACGGTGTCGAAAGTGTCTTTATTAATATTTATTTCTTTTGGTTTTAATATCGCATGCACCGTTAGCCAAACCACAGCAATTTCAATATCAAAAAACGAGTGGAAATGAATTAGCAACCTTTGGTTGCAAATAAATTCGCTTAATCTGGAGGGTTTTTTACCACTTAGCGCGAGGTCTAGTCGCAAGCTCGTCGAGGCTGAGCTTGTGAACATGCAACAAGGTTTCATACAGGGTAACACGGACGGAGAAAAGATTTTTGGGTGAGAATTTGATGCTCCACTTCCCAAAATTATGCAGGCGGGTGAAAGCAATCTCATAAAGAATGGACATAAGTGGGCTGTGTGCAAACAACTCGAGTCGAGACAGCTCGAAAATAATACAGCACTTTTGAATCGAAGGAGTTATAACGAGCACAAGAGGTCTGATAAGTTTATAAACTTGCTGGACGGCGATAAGGAAGATCCCTCGTCCCCTAGCGACCGGACAAGTTCAAAACAGAATATTCAATTATTCGATGTGGTTTGGCGTAACGGCGAAACATTGTTGCATACTAATGAGCGAGGCTGTGGATGTCTTCCTTCCAAGGAGTTCTTTCAGAAGAGCGGGATCTGTCTTAATGCTTCTCTACCCCGAGACAACATGTCTGTCGATGTAGCCAGTCAAAGCGAGTTCGCTTCGCAGACATTGAAGCCTTTTTCGACCCAAAATCTGGCCTGGATTCCGTTCGATGATGCGAACAACTCCGCGAAGTACAAGCTCAAAGAAGAATCCCCTGGTTGCCTGCCAAGCAAGAAAGGCAAGTCGAAGAAACTTCAACGAAAGGGGAACAACAAAAGTCAACAGGAATTGAACGAGGAATCGTCAGTGGGAAGCCACAACAACAACAAAACGCTTTCAAATAACAACCGTGAGGGAAACGATGGGAAAGTATACGACGTTTCCAAAGTACAAAGGAAATCGTCTTTCATTAGTTCTGTTATAAAGTTTGCGACGTTTGGACGAAAGAAGAAGCGGACGTCTGAAGAGACGCAAGAGACTAGCGATGACTCGAACTGGGCAACGGAATCCTCTGAGGAGAAACGAGACGAAGATGAGGAGTTTATATTCGGTGGTGTTCGCGTGTTTTTCGACGAGAACGGTGAATTTTGCGAAGTTGATGATGCTTACGATAGCCGGAGCGTGTCAACGTATTCTTCCGACAACGAGTCGGAATGCGACGTACCGGCGCGACGCGACAGGACTAAGTTTGAAAGCTCGGATAGTTTGAACTTAGGTTACTCTGGTTCGTTCGTCTCTTAAGATACGGACTACACGATGACGATGATAGTTTAACGCGTGTTTTCTCACAACAAAAAAGGGAACAAGTCGACATAATTAGTGTACATGATGACTTTTAACTAACGGAAATCTGTTTCTATGGTTCGTTTCAACAGCGAGTAAAAGCTATACTTAAAGCGGTAAACCAAATGTGTTAAAACACTCAAACATGTTAAAACACAATGTGCGTATTGCCTTATCCGAAATTGCAGTCAAATCTTGTTTTACATACAGACACTCGTGCGCACAGAAAACTATCAATATTATGAATGGAACGTGTTGTGTATATAGAAGATCTTCAGAAGAAAATTACTTGTATATAATGTGGAGAGTTGCATGTTGCCTATAGCAGGAATGACTAATCGTGAAGTATTGTCAACTCATTTCAAAATGATATATTTTAAAATCTGTATGAAATATATATTGCATATAATAGATGCATGTGAAGTTAAGAGTTTTATTCAGGAGAGATTGTCTTGAATCGAGGGTCGTGGATGATTCGTGATCCACCGTTCATGTCTGAGCTTCCAAAGACAAGTATATAGCGTGATTTTGTTGTTTGGAGCTGTGACACCTATATTACCCATGTTGGCTATAAGACGTAAACACGAGTAGGCAGATAATGATTATATTGGACTGTGTACGTTGACTTAGGGTATTATAAGTGACGAACTATCAACGCACTTCAAAATGTTCAAGAGAAATGTGCTAATATATCTAATTTCACACAATGTCGTACAATAGTAGCAATTTCACTTCAAAAGATGATCTCAGAGCTTGGGTCGTCTGTTGATGTAGTTGGATGATAAATACTAAGTGACATACACCCCCTGCCCAGCTTCGCGTCAGAGCAGAATCAGCAGATAAGCCTCTTATCGTCTTAGCTGTGTGCTCATCACTGCATTGTGGGAACTCTCACGGAGCGACAAATCTTGTTACTAGGTAATTTTCCAACATTCCTTTATAAGGAGAAAAAATTGTGTATTCAGCTAGTTGATTAGGGACCATGCATTTCACATGCTTATCATCAAATTTTAAACCAGGCGTGGTTTTTTACCCCATCGATCATTATCGAACACCGGTTCTGCTTTGAGCTAAAGCATTTCCACGCCACGACGCAGGGTGAATGCTTCCCTAAAAAAACCACATCCCACGTAAAATATCAGTTCGTTGATCCCCTGCACAACTGCATGTGAGTTCAACTCTGCTAAAAGAGCACGCTGCTGCTATACTTTGGACCCTGCCGTTTTAGATCAGTTCCCTTCTGTAGTATAATTTCAACCAACACACAGGGCAGGTTTGAAACCGATTAAGCAATCTAGTCTTGATATGGTTTGTTTACAATTCGTCAATCTTCACATAATCTCCGTTCATCTACTGTGTGTTTTTCAACTGCACTCATTTGGCAGACAAATTGAGCATATAAGGTGACGTGATAACACTATGTTTATTTTACCGAAATTACAATTTTTGATTGGCCTCGCACAACCCTATTCAAATAAAATATCAATTCACATTATCTTTAAATAGTTATTGCGTGATCCTGCGGTAATAAACCACGAATTATCGCAATTTGCCTGAACTTAATAAGAGAAATATGATTGTATTTGTTGTGCCTGGCGAGTCAAACCGCGGTTCTTACGCTGTTAATTATTAACCAAAGCCAATATATTTTTTTACTTATTGCTAGTTATCCAAAAGCGAGTGTGATGTTTATATATTTATATATTGCACTTACTGGGTATATGTAGTACTTTAACTGTACTAGCTAGGAAACGGACCTTCTTTGTACTATTGATCTATCAATGCAGTGTATATATTGGTTTAGTTTCCTTTTGTGGTAACAGTGGATGAATATAATATATGATCCTAACTGATCTGTGGGAATAACAGTTTAGAACAAATAGAGCTAGGCTTAAAACACTAGTATAATACTGTAAATAATAAAGTTTAGTTTAGATTTTCCCAATTTGGTTATAAACTGGCTGAATCTCTAGACGGAACAGTATAAATGAAGTGAATGAGAGAATATCTTGAGTGTAAGTAAAGTTAGCGTAGTTTAGGTTTCCTCCTGTAATAACACTGGAACAGTAAGAAGTGATCTTTACTGTATCCCAGGATTCTTAGGGTCTAGAAAGAACAGTTTAGAACTGATGGGGATACAAAGCTATAAAGAGTAGTACCTAGATTATTCATACAGTACCACAATGCTCCTTTTGTATAGTTGTTTATATAATAATGCTTCTGGAAATGAAAAATAGATTTGTTAATGTTTATATCGAACACCCTTTGCCACGTTTCGTCATATTGTCAGATTTCAAACATGGCTCGTAACTTTCTGATTGATTTTACCTTTTCAGGAAATCATTCCAACAATCAAATATTTCACGATGTTTCTGGAGAAGTGGGAGACGTGAAAGATTTACCAGACAATAAGGGTATATTATTAGGACATCGGATTTGACCAAAATTTAAATTTCGAATTTTCCACTCAAATACATATCACTTTTTCCTGTTTTAGACCAGCCACAAGTCTACTTTAAAGCTCGGTTTGATAGGTAGGTGTAAGATTTTGAATAAGCTAAGTCTAAATTGACCTAAGAAGAGGTTTTATATACAAATGAAGGCAGTTGACTCTTTCCCAGGAATTCTCATGCAATTAATGTGAGAAATTGTTTTATGACTGACTATATTAAAAACCAAAACAGGTTTAAGCAGACGGTGTTATTGAAAGCCATCAGTCAGACTCAGTCCTAGGGTACAAGACTCGTACAACACGAACAATAGTTTAAAACTGTTCAATTCAGCCATCTGAATGTCAATGAAAGATTAGTTTGTAATAGGAGTACCGTTGTCAGAAATTCTCCACTGAGTTCAAGGCTCTTCATCAAAGATTGCTAATAGTATAATAGGCAATTTTGGGTGCTAAATGTTATCATTGTATGTTGGAGAATCAACCAATTACCTGCTCATTAATTCGTTCCATTTTGTTTTCAGCCACAGAGGCGGAAAAAAGAGTCGCGCAAGTTTTTCTCAAAATAATGTACTTTTCAAAACTTCGTTTTTCCCGTATGCGAATAGACATCATTTGGGCGTACCTTTTCAGGTGAGCTTTTGAATTTCACCCTCATTCGCAGCCGTTCTTCCCTCGTTCTTATTTGCATCTGTTGAACTGTTTCTAGCATAAAGGTACGATTAATTCCAACCAGTATTTAATACTGGAAGTGAAAGGAAAAGGAAAAACACACGAAACGGTAGATTATGTTGCTGTTTCCTTGGGCGAATTGTTTGCAGGTAAAAATACACAAATACATGCAGTCGTGTATTGCTAAACTTGATTCTAATAGCTTCATAGCTCTATCACTGACTTGCGTTAATGTAGCAAGATATACAGCTAACTAAAGTTCTAACTTGAATTATATTAAATTGAACGTCTTGTGCAAATCATTGTAGAAGTATATGCCAATATTTTGTTCACTTCTGCTTATAGGTAACAAGTACAGCAGTCGCTGGTTGCATATGGATAATGGTAAGGTTTTGAAACGGCTTTAGAACGGAAAAAACTGTTTTATTGGCATTTACTTGTCAACAAAAAAACTCTTGTCGGAATTTACATAAGATACTTTACAACCCACTTAAGGCTTCGGAAACGATTCAGAAAATAGATTAGTTGTGAAATCCAGCATTAACAATATTTTATACGTATACTTCAGGCGCGAGCATTCACGTGACAATGACGTGCAAAGAAATAACAACACTTCCTGGGAGCCCTGGGAGAACTGGTCGCTCAAGACTCAGCTTCAGAAGGAAAAATGCCGAGACATAACAATCAATGCTAAAAACTAACTTTTTATCAAACAATAAATCTGTCAAGATAAAAAATACTTTTGTTAAAACATAGATACGCTTGTATAAAAATAATTGTTAAAATACTAAATAATCCACTAGATATTAAACCAGTAAAATCTTGCGTAAATATGTATAAATTCCTAAACTGTAGAGTAATGAAGGGAGTAGGGATACCCCGCACCCAGGGAGGAGGGATGGGCATATTTGGTAATGCTAAAGTTGTCAAAGTTGACCACAATGCTTTTTGAGCCGTGCATATTGTCGAAATTGTCCACTTTGGGACAATCTCCATGTTTGGGACCGTTCAAACTTAATGTAACATGAAGTATTGAATCTGTCAAAACGTTGATGCGTCCTTTCCCTTTTTATGGACGACGGCACGACGCTGCAACTTTCATCTGTGCTTTCACTTTGGAAGAAAGTCTATTGCAAAGCTTAATGTGTTAAAAACTCTGTTCTAAAATGGAAGTAACAAGATTAAACTTCAAAGAAGTCTTGCCTATTATTTCTGGTGCTATAGAAAACTCATCTTTTATTGCAATCGATGCTGAGTTTTCAGGTCTGACTGTAAGGAGACGTGAGAATGCCTTGGATACGTGTAAAGAACGCTATCAAAAACTTATCAACGGCGTAAGAGACTTCACCATTATGCAGTTTGGCATTTGCACTTTCAGTTGGGATGATGAACAGCAGCAATATCTGGCAAAGCCTTTCAATTTTTATATTTTTCCCAAACCGTACAACAGGCAGATGCCAGATACGAGATTCCTCTGCCAGAGTTCAAGTCTAGATTTCCTGGCAGGACAAGGATTTGATTTTAACAAATGGATCTATCATGGGATTCCATTTCTCCTGCCTTCCGATGAGGAAAAGCTTAGGCGAACGGTCGGAAACTACCAGAAACCAACTCCAACCAATGGTACGCCATCAACACCAAATACAGAGGAACCCATCCCAGTTCCACCCGTCTTTGAAAAAACAATTGAACTGATCATGAAGAAAGTTGAGAAGTTTGTTGAAGATCCTGAGCAACAATCTTTAAGCCTGCCACCATCCAGTCCATTTGTTCGTAAGCTTGTTTATAGCTCAGTTAAAACTACGCACAAAACTGGACTTCATCTTGAATCAAAAACCAACGAAGATAACGATAAGTACATTGTCATTAAGAAATGTTCTGAAGAGGAGAAAAAAGAGTTGGAAAATGAGAAGCTTAACCAGGAACAGGTTGGAGTAGAACAAGCAGTCGGTTTTTCTAAAGTCATTCGCCTTCTTGCACAGTCTGGCAAAGTTCTCCTGGGTCATAACATGTTGCTGGATTTGCTTCATACAGTAAAGCTATTTGTTTCACCGTTGCCAAATGATATTGATGGATTCAAAGCTCTTGCTAAAGGCTTGTTTCCCCGACTCATTGATACCAAAGTCATGGCAAGCACATCACCGTTACAAGAACATTTCTCCTTGTCTCATCTTGAAGAGGTCTACAAGAAATGCGCAGAAGCTCCATTTGTGAAACCAAATGTACTGTTCCCTGAGGGCTTCGAGGATTACTTGGACACCTCCAAGTCCCATGAAGCTGGCTATGATGCATACATGACTGGGGTGGCCTTCATCGCAATGGCTTCATATTTAGAAAAGATACAAGATGGTAGCTCACCTTGTGGAGAGATGGATATTGAAATTATCAAACCTTTCCTAAACAAGATCTTTCTATTTCCTAGAATGGAAGACATTCCTTATCTTAACTTGGGAGGTGAGGACCCAGTGCCTAGTCGGGATCATGTTTTTCACCTAGAACACCCAGAGAGTTGGCAATTCTCAGACATTCAGAAACTTTTCAAGGATTTTGGGTACATCTACATAACAAAGATTGACGAGACGGCCTCGTTTGTAAGTGTTTCGAAGCGTGAACGAGCACCAAATGTTATGCCAAGATTGGACAAGGCTGGTGTACCATACAGAATCATGAAGTATAGCAGGTTCTATGGTATTGATGATACTACCACTACCAGTGTTGGCAATGATGCAAATAGTGGTAAGGATGGTATTGATGGGCACCATTTGACCCCACAGCAATTTCCCAAAAAGCGGAGTTTGGAAACTCCTACCAAAACTCCTGAAGAACTTGGTTCATCAAAGCAATCAAAGGACAATGTTTCATCGTCAGATGTGGAGGAAGGAGAACTTCCAGATTCACCTGAACCTGCAAAAAAGAAATTAAAAGGCGAACACACGTTCTTTGAAGAACCAGATGACTGGTAGTTTGACAATGTGACTTTTGTTGGCAAATGTATTTGTGGTTAAAATATAAGTGGAATCCTGTAATGAATTTGAATAATTTAATGAGAATTCATCTTCATTGGGTTATAAACTGTAATTAGAATTTTAAAAGTGCCTACTTTGGTAGTAAACATTGGTAGTAAAATCTGCCTTTTAGATACAACTAGTATTAGTTTATTAAAGTATGTTTATGTGCTTCTATCTTTTGGGTTATTTCAGGAACATATTCATGATGTTGGTTAAAATACAACTGCATTCAGCAAGATCTATATATTTAGCCTAACAATTAGAAGCATTTAACATGCATTAAATATGTTATACTTTGTGTAAAGTTTTTCAATATTGATGTTTTTTTGTGGTTGTGTGATGTGAAAAAAAAACTCAATTATTCCTGTTTAATGGATCAGATCCAGCAGACCACAGACTATCAAGATAAATTCTTTTTTTACAGAATTTTTTATACAGTAAAAATGTGCAATGATTAATATTGCCCACAAGATAGAATATTCAAAAGGTTTGAAGTTTTACTAAAAATCACTATATTTTTGGGTGGACGACAATAGGACTCGAGCACCAAGTTTAATTAACATTAAATTATTCTAATTTATAATTAATTTGCAACATTTTTTGTGACCTTGGCAGGACCCTCATTAGTGATCTTGGATCTGCCGCATAATATTTCGTACTTTCATCACGCGCCCGACGTCAAAATTCACGAATCGGGTATGCGCCAAAGATCATGGCGGAATTGCCATCGAATGTTTTCGATTTTGTGTGACTAAGAATGTTCATATTTCCGTTGTGAGTGATCGAAACTTTAAAATGGCAAGCGATTACGATAACGACGATGTCGCTTGTTATTTTACGACCAAACACTCGTGGAGGGGAAAGTGAGTTCTGTGTAACCATCGTGTACTTTCTTCGCAGTTTGTTTACCAGTCTGGGCTCGTGATGGGCATGGGTGGTTAACTGGACTTCGTTTCACATCATTTCTAGGTATAAGAGAGTGTTCTCCATCGGATCGAAAGCGGTAACAACTTACAATCCTTCTACTTTTGAAGTCACCAATCAAGTAAGTGTGATGATAGTTCTGGATACTTTTGTACTTTCACACTCGACTCAAGTACTGTACTGGACTACTGGTATATCAAATAATACCACTTAATTGTAATATTTTTCACATCTGATCTGACAGTACAATTACAAGTTTTCTTATGGAGTATGTGACTTTAATACCTGAGTGTCAATGTTTGTGAAAGTCATTTTGATGTAAACCTTGATTAAGATTTCTTGCGCAATCCAGGCTGATATCTGACATGATATGTATCATGACTTCCAGTATTCCACTGTATTGATACAATATAATTGCTATATGATCCTGGGGTTTCAAATTTGAACATATATAAATATAATAGCAGCTCTTTATTATGATCAATAACTATTAGAAAGTTTTGGCAAAATGTCAAGCATTCAGACCAACTCCGAAATAGATGTTCATGCATTTGCTTATTTTCCAAACAAATGATGTTGAAATCAATCCTATGTCACTTTGAAGATTTTATTATCATTTTCACCTTTTCATACAAATTATTGTATATAGGATTTCAACACCTGACAACTATCTTTATTCTGGCAACTAGAATGTAACTGCAGCCATAAAATTCCCAACCTAATTTTTTCATTGTATATGTGAATGGCTGGTAATCACATGGAGAAAGTTATAAACTGACAAATTTTGACAAATTTTCAAAAATATTTTAGTGGGCTTACAAAGATTTTCTCAACATCATGCCAAGCTTGAAGGCACCAACAGAAGTCATCATTGTTGTGAGAAAAGGTCAGTTGTCAATCTTGAGATGAAACAAAACTGACAACTGCTGGTGATTTGTGAAAAAAACTGGTCTTTGTTTTATAGCCAAAGAAGGCAAAAAGACTCAGAATATGACATTTTCGACTGAGCACAGAGAAGACCTTATCACAGAGGCTTTAGTAAGGAAGTGTAATTTTTATGAGTTGGTACCTTTGTTGTACTGTATTGTACAATCTATCAATTAACCACTGATTATTATATTTTAGAAATTCTACAAAGACTTTGCTGGTTATAAAAGTGGAAGTGAATTGGTATGTTTGGGTTAATTCTACCTCATTCCCTAAAATGAAACTATTCACAATGAATCCAAAATCGTAATTCATCATGGTATCAATGTCCTCCCCCCCCCCCCTTCAGAAAAATAGGCCCATATTCCTTTTCTAATTTATTAACTGGGTTCTTATTAAAGTGATAAGCTAAAGCTAAAGTTTCCAAACTACACATGTATTTCCACATCAACATACACATATGCTATATTTTTCTTTAGAAGTTTAGTGGTTATAAATTACATTGGAGTGAACGAAAGGTTCCTGTGACGTTAGAGGTACTATTATTGTTTCATGATAACTTACCTTTGTATTTATATACATATATATATTTCTTGTTATTAGCTATTTTTTGAAGCAATTTTGTTTAATTTAGGTGTCACCAGGCTCACTGGATCAGATTGATCCAAGAGATAATAAGAAATTGGCTTCTTACAACTATAAGGATATAGAACTGATTGCATTGGTATGATACTTGATATTGCCAGACATTTGAATATTTACGATTTGCAATAATTCAACTCAGGCTTTCATTCCATTTCTATCCTCAGGTCTCAGATTATCCTGGGGGATTTGTTGTTGTCTGTGGTGGTTTTAGCAGAATGGTATGTACCAGATGTTGCTAGTACCAGCCATATAATAACAAAAGGATAAGATACTGTTTGTTTCTGCAGATTGAAGTTTTTACATTTTGTGCACAATTTTGTTTTTGTTTTGCAGCATCTTTTCACATCAGACAGGAGAGAGGAACTGCTGAAGAAGATGATGGAATCTTCTTTCAATAATGTTGGTGTTACGATAAAGTATGTGAACGTTTTAAGTCAACAAATTGACTTACATACAGGTCACTTTTTGACCGTTTTTTGACAAAATTCTTTCCAAGTCTGTACTTTACTTTGAATTGTATTTGTTGTTTCTTTTGTCTCGGTTTTAGGCAGAAGAAAAGTTCCATCAAAGTGGAGTCGTTTTTAAAATTCAAATTTGGAAAATACAGGTGAATGATATATTATTAAGACAGTATTTAGTTTGTCCTGTGTAAAGAATGCGAGATATGACAGTAAATAACAAATTTTTCGTTTCAGCGATGACGAACATATCACATCAATGTCAGAGTTCAGTGTCTATAAACAAACTCCTCGGAGTAAAGTGAGTTATATGTTGTCAATTTGGCTCTAAAAGTCTTTCCTTTTTCTCATTTTAAAATCGTTTTTACGCTCTCAAATTTAGGATCCTGTTCAAAGAACGCTGTGTTTCTCAGAAATGTGTCTTTTGGAAAGAGATCCCGCGACGTACAACATCGTCACCCTTCATCCCCTTAGCTCAGTAAGTCATGCGACATTCCACGTCATTTCCAGTAATTGTTCATCTCTGACCTTGAAAGAAAACACTCCAAACACTCCATGTCTTCTGACCTGGGGCCGGTTGTATCGAGCCCGTTTAGCTTAAACGGTGGATAAGTGAAAATTAAATAACACGCTTACATCTCTCTTGAATGAGTCAACTTGAATATTATGCACTGAATATGTAGTTGTAGCCAGTATCTTTGTATTATGGTCATTTAGTTCACTTATTGAATAAAGCGATAAACTTGCTTTCTATTTTGAACTTATCCACCGTTTAAGCTAAACGGGCTTGATACAACCGGCCCCTGGATTCAAGTTCACTGGTTTAACTAACATCTTCTTTATTTCACGTTTCCATTTTGAACATGTCCAATTGCAAAAAAGTATCCAGCCGAGTGAAAATAGTTTTATTTTTGCAGTTACTTTCCAGAATATACCGTGTGCTTGAGACTTGTGTATTATAGTATATCACAGTTTTCAAACCTCTTTTTCTGTCAGATATTTTCAATAATTCGCTATCGAGACCATCCTCAGTTGTTCGGGCTGGAATACACAAGCGGTCAGCTGAGAAAGTACTCGTCTCCTGACAGGTAGTGTAAGAAAGCAGATTTTGTATGAAGCTATATAAAGGATTTCTTTTTCTGAATGTTGTATTTCACTCAATCTAGGGACACATTATTGGCTGGTTTGCTTGACGGTGTTAGAGCCAGTGGAAACAGAGATGTTTGTGTGAAAACGACCCCGACGAAGAGAGGTATTGTACGTTTATTCATAGAGGATTTGAGCGAAAATTATGGTCAAAATTTTCCTAATAGAAAATCTCATACTGCTGTGATTGGCCGAAATACAAACCCTCATTTCATTCTCCTCCTGACGTATGTGATCTCATACAACACACCAACAATTACACTTTTCGCCAGGTATCAGCCAGTAGCATTATTCCTATCAGCCAGTCCAATACATCACATACAGCAAAAGAAGAATTGTTTTTTAAGATTATATATTTTTCAAGGTTATCGTTGGGGTCCATTGTATAATGTTGTTGACGAAGAAGTGGAAAGCAGTCATTTAAAATTCCTTGCTGCGCCTCCAGGTGAAATATTTCTCTTTTCATTTCGCTTTCAATTTTTGAAATATCTCCAAAAGCTTATATTGTCTTATGACTGGTTCCTTGCAGGAAATTTAACCGAAGCTGTGTACAGGTTTAACTGCAATATTTCCTACAGCGGTCTACTTCATGCAGTCACGCAAGACGTAAGTGGACAATTTCTTATTTTGTACTTTTCTGCAGACAAAATCCTGTGTAGAGAATATTATTGTATTTTCACTGAGTTTTAATGTTCTGTCAAAATCTGCGTTAAGACTGTTTTCCACTTACGCGTTTTTCATACGCACGTACACGCACGTAAAAGTCTAAATCCTTATACACGTTACCTTTGAAAAAACTAAGTGAATAAATCGAGGGAACTTAGTTTTCTGCATATTTTAGTATGCATTAGTTGACCTAGATGTTAAATAATAAAAATTTGAAAGCATTTAAAATTTTCCGTACGTGTACATGCGTATAAAAAACGCGTAAGTGGAAAGCAGCCTTTAGTGTAAACTAAACGATTGCTAAGCTACATATGTTAAATGAAAACAATTGACCATTTCTGCTGCTAATTGAAAACATTTAGCAGGGTTCAAACGTCTCCCAACAACACGGTACATTTAAACTTTGTTTATCCAATATAACAAAGGCAAAGAGTATGGCCTTAATGCAAATATCCTATCCTGCTCCTGTTCTGTACACAGATGTACACAAAACAGTAATAGTACTCCCTAAAAACCGCGGTAACTCTGGTTGCTGAGTTGACTGGGTCCGAATCCTTGAAATGGTAGATTTGAAATTTTCCCGCCAAAAGTACGGCAGAAATATTAAGTCTTTTAAACTCCAATATATATTTCAAACGATTTTAAATATTTTGTAGGGACTTTTCTCGGAGAATAAAGAAAGACTTATCATTAAAGCCATCACAATGCTCATTGCTCACGAAGGTATTGTATATCTTTGCTAATAGATTTATTTAGTGTTCAACCCAAAAATATACATATTCTGACTGCTATTACCTTACAAGTGTTCAATATATTCATAAAATAGTTAAAAAGTTTTGCTATTTGCAGGAGACCAAAATAAAATCTCAGATAAAGATCTTGAAGCACAGTTTCACGCTTTGAGACGATTGGTTGCATCCAAAGCAGGTTTCCGCGCCTTCACAACGCTCACTGGGTGAGAAACGTTTATCTTTAACCACAACACACGCTGTTTACCCAACCGGTTCACTTTCTAGACCGTGTTTCTGTTTTGCTTTTTCAGCTTCCGTGAGAAGGTTGGTGTGAAAACTGTGAAAGCTTTGAAGAGGAATAATGAAGCCGTGACTCACGCCGCTGTCGACATGCTGTGTGCTTTGATGCAGGTAAATACAGTAATACTTTAGCGATGAACTTCCTGGTAATATGTTGTCAAATCTGTCACTGTCATTAGTGGTAGGCCTTCAACTTGCAATCTCGTAAGTCCTACAAACCCTACTTTGACATCTGTTAACACGATCCAATATTTTGTCGAAACCAATTCTGTTGTTTTGTAGCCAATGCACGATAACTATGACATTCGTCAAGAACAGATAAACAAAAGCTCTTTGTTATCCTCGGAAAAATTTCTAAGCAGTTTGTTGGGAATTCTCACGATAAATGTGGTAAGATGTGGGGTTTGCCTCGAGATCTAGGATGAACACTTGCACTGTATTTTTCCATCTCTCTTGTATGTATATGGCCTTGTTTCGGAAGAGAAATCCCCTTGCAAAACCCAGCTTGTGATTCGTAGCAACTGCCCGTCTATAATTTAAACTAGATTGAACTAAACTAAACACAAGAAATAAATTAACCATGAAGACTTTTCTTCCAGAATCGTTCTACTGGAGCTTTAGTTATCAGTGGATTACTTGATTTTCTGACGTTTGCTCTGTGTCCTCCTTACAGGTACAGTTCTAGTTGCTTTGCAATATATCAAAATAATACGGGTGTGAAGTTTGACAATCATGTTGAACTGATAGTCAGGTGTGAGTGCTTCCAATATATTGAATCAACTCATGTAGTCTGTTATAGTTAATCGATGCATTGCATATTCCCCTTAGTGAGACAACAGACGATGAACAGTTCGGGAAATTACTGGAGAAAGTTGCAGGTATACTACACAGAAATTTGAGGAGATTTTTCATTTAACTTGTTTTCCTGGTAGTTTATGGCTCTTTGACTGAGCTTGAAAGTTCATTAAATACCTTTTCTCTCTTTACCTTTTTGGTGAAGTTTACCTCGTCCACTAGCTTGACCCATGCATGGGAACAACTCATGTAGTCTATTATTTGTTTGTCTAGAAATGGGTCGTTGCATTTATCGATTGTTTCAGGTGGGTCTACCATAAAACTGCAATAAACAGTAACAATTTTACCATTTGCTTATGTATGTTTTACTATTGCCCCGCTAATGGTTCTTGCCAATCGTAGTTTTGAATTCGTTTCTCAACAATTTCAGCATCCGTCGACAACAATTGTGAAAGGTGCTGGAATGGTTCTGAAGGCGATAATCGAGGTACGTTTTATTGATTCATTCATCCGTTGGGAATTTTCTGCTTTCGACGAACGTAATGATCGTAATGATTACGTTCGAACGTAACGACCACCTTTCATAATGCTCTGCATTTTTTTGGCTGTAATGAATGTATTAGTTCAGTTGATATTCAGTTAGATCTTCCCTTTAGGAAGGTGATGAAGAAACTGCAGCAAAAATGCAAGATCTGGCGCTTGCCGAGGGCGCTCTACCAAAACATTTACACATGGCCATGTTCACGCAAAGCACTGATAGACGTTTGCTAATGAACAGGTGCGAATTGGTGTGATAAATTAAGAAATTGTTGTAGAGGTGTAGACTCGATTCCATTCGGAGGACCTGAGCGTTCTCGGCTTCATCTTAAACTTGGGATTTTATAATCCTCTATATACTAGCCATCTGTAAATAGTTCAATTGAGACTAACAAGCATACTCCATAAGTGATTTATAATCTTTATTGTTGGCATATAGGCAATTGAGTCGACATCTTGTAGCTCTCTGGACGACTGGTCATCCAACAGCAATGGCATTACTCGCGAGAATAATGGTTCGTATTTAAGTATTCATAGTTTTTCACTGGAGTGTAAGGATTTAATGTCTAGAATATACAATAAAGTTTAAATGCGAGATTTCCTGTTCGTAATTTCAGCCTGCTGGTTTGCTGTATTTCCTTGAAAGCCCTGACGAGGTAAGCAATCTTTCAGAATTTTTTGCGAGGGCCATTATTTACTTATAAACTCATTGAAGTGATTCTGACTGACCAATCGTATTAATGACTAAGTGGTATCAACTGCTCTGTTAACTAAACTCCATCATTCATCCTTAAAACTGTGCCAACTGCCCCACTGACGAAATAATTAAATGGTAATTCATTCAGAAGTATGAAACCTTTTTGTAAAGAAACAATTTTGTTGGAACGTTTTTATCTTTCCTTCAGCCACCAGAGACTGAAGAAGATCGTTTATCAATTCGTGACAACGTAAAGCTTGCAGAAGTACGTTTCAAATCAACAATCGTGTTCCAAAATGTCATAATGCGTGCTGGTATGTACGTATAAGCGTGTTATTTCACGTGCTATACTTGTCTCGTAGAGCTCTGGAAAAGCAAGAGGAACGTTGAGGAATCAACTGGAAGGATATCTCTCGCATTGGAGGACAAAAATAGGATTCAAATCTAGGAAAGATGTGAGAATTTAAATCCAGTATATAATAGTATATGTACCATACAAGCTTCTCGCTGTTGTGGTATTGATGTACTTATCTGTATGACACCTGATAATTAACAACAGTTTCTTGGTAAACAACTGAGGGAATTCGCTATAGGGATAACAAATTCGCCATTCATTACAGACGAGTCAGAAACCTGTCATTCTGCGAAATCGAAAACAGAACATTAAAAGTGAACAAAATTGGGATTTGTTTTATTACAAGTAAGTGTTCATATTAAGAAAATGGGAACATGTTCTAGTCGTTTGAAAGATGAAAAAGCAATGGTATTTAACCGGATCTTTTTTACAGATTCAGTCAAGATCTCACAGCGTACAACTTGATTTGGAATTACAAGGTGAGTCTCTAAGTTAGGGGTAGTTACCGTTGAAAATATAGGAAATGGAAATGTAATGGAGGATTTCAACTACGACCATTAAAACTGTCGCTATGAGTAATAACAAGACGAATTCAATATAGTCCTGACCTCTTTCTCTAAACTGTTCTCGTAAGAAACAATGTTTTCTATGTGACAGACGCGAGAGGAACTACGTGGGGCCCTGGAATCTGAGATGCGCGCATTTGCAATGGATAAAGATCTGAGTGGAAACTACGTTGTCTCTTGGAATCACCTGGAGTTTGAAGTTCTGTATGAATGTTTAGCTGATGAGCTGAAAATAGGTTAGTCATAAGTCTTGTACTGCTCAAGGTTTTTGACAGTTCTTCTTAAAGCGTCACCTCCCACCTTATCCGTGGATAGCAATCAAACTCAGTAACGTACAGTATCTTATCTCTCTCCTATCAGGCGACTATTATTTGAGGGTCTTGTTGGAACAAAACGACGAGGAGACGCCGATAACAAATGCGTGAGTCCAAAACGTTTACCTATCAGGGTTTGCAAACATTCAAACTACTTTCCTGTGCTTTTCTGTACCCCCGACAACGATTACAGATATGTAATATACCTTAGCATCCTATTCTCTATATTGCTCCACAGTTCGCAAGATGTTATTTGTCATGCAGTAGTAGAGTAGTATAGAATCATGGATGAAACAATTCACAATTCGATCGATTTTTCTATTTTGTTTTCAGACTCGAGTTCTTTAACGATCTGTACCACAGATTCCTGTTGACAACTAAACCAACTATGAAAGCCATGTGCCTTCAGGTGAGAATGTCGTTTACCGCAGAGTCTACTCATGTGTAGACTTCGAGGAATGAATGAATGAAACAAGTTGGAATCTTTTATTCACAGGCGATGACTAAAGTTTATGGAAAATGTCACGAAGAGATTGGCGCTTTTAATGACACCAAGTATATTGTGGGAATGCTAGACAGAGTATGTTTGTTTGTTTTTATTCTATCATTGTTGCTCTATTTCTCGTCTTGTGTGTTTTTTGTTTGTTTGCTCTTGCTTTTCTGGTAGTTTATTGCTCCAGATTTAAATCTTAATCTAAATCTAGTTTCTTTCTTTCAGACGTCAGATAAATTAGAAAGAGATCGTCTGCTGTTCTTCCTTAACGAACTTACAAAACATCAGGTAAGCCACCCACCACTATCTGTACAAGATCCTACTGTATCTACCCTTTCTAAATTCATGTTTTATTTCACTTCCAGCGCAATGTTAAAGCCTTACTGGATGTAAACGCCATCAAAGGTCTGGTAGAACTTATGACTTTGTGCCATCTTCACACATCAAGAGCAACCGTTCCCTTACAGGTAAAATTACTTCCTAAGCATGATAGAAAAATCTTGAACCTTTTTATCAGGTTCAATTTAACTCCTGCCAACAGTTCTGCAATCTGTCTTACTCGTGTAAGGTTAGTCTTCAAGGAACAAACATTTTGATTGTTTTTCAGACGAATCTCCTTGAAGCAGCTCCTGACAGCGGTCTGGGTGGTGAGAAAGAATGGTATTATGGCAACAAAGAGAAGGAACGTCTTGGACCATTTAGTTTTGATGAGGTGCAGTACTTGGCATTTTCACCGCTAGAGGACTACCAGTCCTTCCGCCGAGATCTAGCAACGTTTCATGAAACTCAGTATTGAAGTTCAACTTAGATTCATTTCAAACACTTCGTCTTTTTCAACTCCTCAAATAGATGAAAGAATTTTGGAATGAAGAAGCTGTGAATCCTTCAACACGTTGTTGGTGTCAAGGCATGGATGGCTGGCGTCCATTGCAGCATATTCCGCAGCTGAAATGGTTCCTACTCGCCTCGGGCACTCCTCTGATGAACGAAACAGACATGGCGGTTCTTATTCTCAATATGTTGATACGAATATGTTCGTACTATCCCAACAGGTAAAAAACCCGTATATCTATAAACAAGTTTGTAGCAACGTTTTTATGCCATAGCTGTGTCAGATCGACTTGTCAGAAAAATCTTCTAACAAGTCTGTTCATGCCATCAGACTTGCTACAAGTTATTGACAGCTTCTCCCCAAACATGTTACAACAATAACAAACTGTGCAATATCATTTCTTAGAGATTTCGATGGAGCCATTGTTCGTCCCTTGCCACGTGCTAAACGAATGTTATCTGAAGCAACCTGCCTCCCTCACATCGTCCAGGTAGAGATATAGAGACAACCATCGTTACTTTGCACACAACGAAAACCATTCCTTAATAAATTATTTTGTTCTCCTTGCAGTTGTTACTTACGTTCGATCCAATCATTGTGGAAAAAGTCTCGGTGCTATTAAACGACATCTTACTGGTATGCTTTTAGTAATTCATTTCCCTTTGCCTCCCAACTTTCCATCTTCGCCGGGCGAAATGAACAGCGCAGATATCAATTCATAGATTCTGCCAAAAATGTTGAGTATTTTTCCGAGCAAAGAAACCATTCTAAGGATTTCATGCAATAGATATCTATCTATACGTTAGCATGCAAAAAATATTGCTGCGTAGTGTCATGCATGTATATGACCCATACCAACCCCGTATCCCCACAAAACGTAAACAAAAAACTTTGTGATCTTAGGACAACCCAGTGATTCCTAGATTGTATCTAACTGGTGTGTTCTTCTTTATCATGATGTACACTGGATCAAATCTTTTGCCCATTGGAAAGTAAGTTTGTATTTTCTTGCTGGAAATATGTAATTATGCAATGAAAGATTTCTCTTACGATAGCTTTCAATTTCTTCAGATTTCTCGCCGAAACTCACATGAAACAGTCATTTCGATCGGAACAGGTATGTAGCGTTGAGCGTTTTTTACAAATTCAGTATTTTTTCCATATATATTACGTAAAGTCAGTTTAGTGTACTGTATCAGAGATTCAGAATTCTAATGTTTTTGAACATATTTTCTTTCAAAATATTCCCCACTGTAGAATCAAGGTGGAGAGATATCCCTGCGAAGTATTTTAGGCCCAATCCTCCCTGAAGCTATGATATGCTACCTGGAAAATCACGGTAAAAACTCTTCAGTTATATTTGACCAGTTTCGAGCGAGAATCAGTTTCATTTTGAGACTTTTCTGTTTTGTTAGGCTGCGACAAGTTTTCGTCCATCTTTCTGGGTGAATTCGACACGCCTGAGGCGATCTGGAGCAGCGAAATGAGGTTTGTGATCGTTTATAACCGGTTCTTTGCAACGAAATATCTTGAAGAATGATAATATACATTTCATATTCAATTTTAGGCGTTTTATGATCGGCAAGATTGCATCACATCTTGCAGACTTCTCCCCCCGTCTTCGCAGCAACACGAAGGCCTTATACCAGGTAGGCAATTAAAGTGTGCCCATTTCACAAGCTACGTATAAGTCAGGATCGATCTTGTCCTGTGACAGGCAAAAACCCACAAAATGTTTTCATTGTCTTTTCTATTTAGTACTGTCCCATCCCGGCGATCTCGTACACTCAACTGGAATACGAACTATTCTGCAATATCTACTATTTACGTCATCTCTGTGATACGCAACGCTTTCCCGATTGGCCAATCAAAGAACCGGTTAGTTCAAGCCTATTTCAAAATCCCATCAAACTCACTAAGGTTTCTGAAATCATTCGATCAGTGAATCGATTTCACCCTCCATATTTTCACCCTCTTTGCAAATCACAACCTATGGCAGGGGTTTTCACAAGATCCCCCCCTTCCTTTAAGGTGAAATTCCTCAAAGATCTTTTGGAAGCTTGGCGAAATGAGGTGGAGAAGAAACCGCCGGATCTTTCAGTTGAACAAGCTTTGAAGATTTTAAATTTGAAGAAAAAACCTGAAGAGTAAGACTATTGTTATAACGTGCTCTGCATGGTTGCACAAAGTTTAGCTCAAAGTTTTGATGGTGCTTCTTAGATATGACGAAGCGAAGATTCGTAAAGCTTACTTCAGAATGGCACAGAAATACCATCCTGATAAAAACCCTGAAGGACGGGTCGGTATAACAGCAACGATACTTTATTGTTAAACTTAGACTATGTGCACACGGTAACGTTTTCGAGCGTTTTCATTTTCGTTTTCATGCCAAAACGGTTTGAAACACCGTCAATTTACAATAAAAGTTGGAGCTAACTTATAACATAAAGCATATTTTTCCTTGGAGCGTGTGGACAGGGCGTCAAAACAATAAAATGGACAAAAACGATTTTGAAAACGCTTGAAAACGACGCTCGTGTGCACATAGCCTTAACTGAATTTAAAACTTCCTTCCATCTCTTAACACGAATTACCTTGTTTTCTTTTTTATGTGTGTAGTAATGGTCTTTCTATTATAATTATCATTGCAGGATATATTTGAACAAGTGAGCAAGGCATATGACTTCCTATGTTCCAAATCATCTCGTAAAGTGCTTGGCCCTGACCCGCGGAATATCATCCTAATACTACGAGCACAATCTATTCTCTTCAGTCGTTGCAAGGAAGGTGAGAAAGATATTCACAAATTCGATCAAGTTTGGAGCTACTTGAAGATCAGGGCATATCTGGTTCGTTACTTATGATCTGATAAATCTAATTTGCTCTAGTGTTGGAGCCATACAAGTACTCCGGTTATCCAATGTTGATCAAAACGATTCAAATGGAAATCGAAGATCCAAAGGCGTTTAGTAAAGAAGCAGCGTTGCTGCCCTCTGCTTGTGAACTCTGTTATCACACGGTGAACACGTCTGCCTTGAATGCTGAAGAATTGAGGAGGGAAAACGGCATTGAGGTTTGGCTTCTTTTGGATTTGCTGTAAATTGGTTTATTGTCTTTCTAGCTTTAAGGAATCGTTTTCATCTTATAGATATTACAATCTGCATTGTCTCGCGCGATTGATCTCATTGGAGGCTCAAGTAAATCTGGGGATGTGCCTGTCCAGGTTTGTTTATGAATTTCAGAAATCCTCCAACGATGATTGAAATCCAACACAGTGAATCCAATCTAATTGTGGTTGGATTTCATTCTTCGTGCGTCGATCTTTACCTAGATCAAAACTTAGTTTATAGCTAGAATCATGAATTCTGCAATTTACTATAACCAATCAACAATCGCAGGTTTGTTGCCATATTGTCCACTGTTATGCTGTTGCGTCCCAGTTTGAAAAATGTCGCGAAAAGATTGCTGAGATGCAAATCATCGTCCAGGAGCTATGTCGTTTGTTATATTACAAGGTCAGTGCGAAGTGCCCTTCTTTGGGACGATGTTCCCTTTTTGAAATAAAATGACTCTAGTTAAGTCTATATCCCACTGAGCCCATGTGAACATCGTGTATCGATCGTATTCATCTCTTGTGTTTTATTTTCTCTACACAGAATCTTCCAGGTTTGTGTATCCTCAGCTCTGAGTGTGTCAGTAGTTTCTCAGTTGATTTTTGGCTACAGACACATTTGCTACAGGTGAGTTGATCGCACCATATTCCTTAATGCGACACAAGACAACTTTAAACTTCCTTCACTTTTAGACCTTTATAAAAAGCCTGCTTTCTGACGTAGTATGTGGAGATTTGTGAATGCTTTCTCATGGAATCTTATCAATTATTTTCAGGCAGGAGTATTATGGCATCTCTTGTCTTTCATGTTCAACTACGATTACACCTTAGAAGAAGGAGGTGTGGAATCTTCTGCAGAAACAAATCAACAGGTTTCCTTGAAATTACAGAGCAATCATCTCTTCATACAGCATATTGAATTGACCCAGTGTATGCTAGCCAACCGCCTGACTTTCTTTTGTATATTCCAGGAAATCGCAAACGAGTTGGCGCGAAAGTCAGTACGAGCCGTTGCCCGTCTTGGAGGCTACCTGGGTGAGTAAATGTTCATCTTTAATGGAAATCAAGCTAACGTGGGCGAATCAGGGCGCGAATTTGCATTGAATATTCTTGTTCAGCGTGATCAAATGTTCCTTTTGTGAATGACTATGTTTAGAAGGTGACGAAAAGACTCCTGAAAATCCAGCCGTGAAGAAATCTTTGGACGCCATGTTGACTCCATATCTTTCACGAAAGCTCCACAACTCTACACCACAAGAGGTTTTTGATATGTGGGATAGTATTTGATACCTTGCTTGTTATTTACAATGAAACTTGTTTGACTTATGCCTTTTGTACAAATTTAGTTGCTGAAACTTCTCAACAGCAACACAGAGAACCCGAACTTGATCTGGGACAATGGAACTCGTGGTGAGATCATGAAGTTCTTGGGCGAGGAACAAGAAAGAAAAATAACAACGGTAAAAATACGATTTCTCGGATAGTGAAAAATGATAGAGCTTGAAATTGAGGGAAAGAAATTGTAATGAAGAATTATTATCACCGTTTAGGGAGAGTGTGATCCGTCATTTGGAGCTGACTTTGTGTTCAGTGTCTTTGAAAAAGAATTGATAATCGGCGAGATATTCGTTCGGGTTTACAACGATCAACCTGCCTATCCACTCGAGGTAATTTCTGTTTCCAAATGTTTCCTCAATTGTTGGACTTTTTGAGTTAACTTTTAATATTGAGTTCATTCTTACAGAACGCAAAGAAATTTGCTTCAGATTTACTCAACTATATTGGGAACCAGGCTCAGGTAAGAGTTCTGTTCGAGAGTATTTAAAATGCACCGAGCCAAGTGGTCATCTATTTTAATGTGGTCAGAGGTTGAACACGAATCCCACCAGGGTGTCGCTATGCCAAAAATAACACGAATATGCCTTTCACTGCATGCCCGGCCATGTTAACCGACTAAAAAAGTGTTTTACTCGCCCAGCTATTGGTAAAATGTGTCTAAAATTGCTTTGATAATCTTCAGTATCTCCACTCTCTGTTGCAACTGCAAGCAACGTCAAGTGAAACGACAGAGTCTGAAGCACAACAACAAAGATTTGAGCACGTTGCAATGGCCTTGGAAGCTTTGAGAAATGTTATCAAAGCCTCACCAGGTGATTACCTTCTGAAAACCTTTACGATTCCCATCCATTCCTTCAACTGGACCTACAATATCAATATTTATGACAGACATTGATCTTGTATGACAATGCCTTCAAATTAGTGAAGTGCTAGTCCTCTGTTAAAAGATCTGGCCATCTCTGCCTTATATTTATCAGCAAGTCAATGCCTACATTAGCAGATGGTCGTTATATTATACAGATGGTTGTTATATCTTGCATTAAGATACAGTCAATTTCATTTCGTTATAGGGGTCGAAGAGAAATGCATAGGACAATTCAAGTTGATATTTTCACTCCTGCGCATGTCTGACGCAACCAAACTTCAGCAACTCGCTTTGGAGGTATGGAAACTACTCTAACAAATGCTTTCTTCCTGAGGTCCAATGCTTACATTTTCAACACTTACTTTGTTAGACCTCTTTATACAAACGTCTCTCAGTATATTGTCTTCTTCCTCTCTCCTAGGTAATCAGTAATGTAACTGGAAACAAAAACTGTGTGTCAGACATCGCTGATTCCAATGTCGTATCCTATCTTCTTCTAACCTTGTACACACTTTCTACATGTAAGTAACATCCACCTTTTTTCTCCAGATAAATCATGCTCATGATAAATCCTTTCTCGTACTAAATTTTAGGTCGTCCATTGGTTACGGAGACGCTGCATGCGCTGTGTTCCAACACAAAAATCGTAAAAGAAGCTCACGGCAAAGGTAATGAATGATTCCGGCTATAGAGTAATAGACTAAGTTACTCTATAGAAGAAGAATAAAACCTAACGCCACAGCAATATACAAAATTTTCGGGCCATCATCGTTCACATTTTACAACACATCGCAAGCAAACTCTGCAGTTTTACTAGCTCTATGAAGTTCTCTCTAACTGTGCGGTTGGACTTCATTCTATACTCGCCTTGATCAAAATTTTGTCTATGGCTGGGCATCATTTATTGAAAGTTGCAAGGCTTCTTTTCTTTCATTCAGGAGCCTTGGTGTATCTCCTCGACTTGTTCTGTAATTCACCTAATCCAGCCGTAAGAACAAAAGCAGCGGAATTGTTCAATAAAATGATGGCGGATAAACTCGTAGGTCCCAAAGTGAAAATAACGATGTCGAAATTCTTGCCCACTATATTCATGGATGCGATGAGAGAAAATCCTGAAGTTAGTGTTCACATGTTTGAAGGTAGGGTGGTCGTGATTTTATGTCAACATGCCGGTTGCGTGAATCAAATGGTTCGGACCTCAATATTTATTTGAAAGAACAACACTTTTCACTGTGATTTTACTATTCCTAGGAATTCATGAAAATCCTGAGCTAGTTTGGAATGATGAATCCAGAGAGAAAGTCTGTAGCGTCATCAAAAAAGAGAGAAGCAAGTAAGTCTTGGATCTTGGATCTTGTTCAATCTAGTGTAGCCTTTCCAAACACGATATTCATTCTGAGGTCTCGATCTTGCTACAAAAACCAGCCTTACTGATCCTGCAATAAAGAAAACTATGGGATAGTGGCAACCTTCTGATTATAGGAATTTGCTTTTTTCAGATTCTATAAGAAACAGAAGGACGATCCTGAGGCATCGTGGAAGGTATAGAAATATTGAATCAACTTCGCGTATTACTTTTTTTGACGTTTGGTAAACATTGAGAGTTTCTCATTTAGCTTCCAGATGACTTTGAAGTGGTTTACTCGAACGTTGAAGGAGAGTTGGTCGTTGGAGGAGTTTATCTTAATCTATTCATTGCTCAACCACACTGGGTAAGTATTCTCCTGGACGAGGGCTTTCATTTAAAGATAGATTTATCAAGGTTAGGGAATAAAATATTCCATATATTTACCAAAACCGTCTAATCTTTTAGGTCTTAAGAAAACCAAAGGAGTTTCTCCTGGATCTCATGGACAAATACGCTGCATTATTGCGTTCCCCTTCACCTGATGTAAGTCAGTGTTTATTTCTCTTTCAAACAGAGAAAACTTATTGTGTTGTCTTTTCACCATCCTGTACGTTTCGAAAGATAGTTTTAGATATAAAAGTGTGTTTTTCAATGTACTTTATGAAAACATGATAGTGTTCCTTACTAGGGTCAAATTTTGGAAACATTTACACAAGCTGTTGTGTCAATTTTCACTGTTCAACCCGCTCTGGCAGATCAAGTAAGAAAGACTAATACTGAATAGATGGGAACGAGGGAATGATTGCGGATGTCCAAATATTATTTCGAACATCATTAACAGTTTCCGGAACATTCATTGTTTTAATATTTTGTTATCTTAGATGCCAAGCTTGGGCCATCTGCCAGCGATTTTCAAGAGCATGAAATCCAGTAATGATGCAATTCCGCGTTCAGCCATTCAAGTCATTCATATCTTGTCTAGCAACGAGGTAGGAGGAGGACTAGTAACTAGATAAACATATCCGTATTAAAAAAACGGCAAATGATAGATGATTACCTTTACATTTTTCAAATATAAGCTACAGTTTTACAACTTCTTTTCCAAATATAGAGTTCAAATTGTGGTAGTACCTTTTTTGAAAATCTGAATTCTTATCCATGTATTTTCTGGTGTGTTTTACAGTTTTGTGTCCGAAGTCTAGCCGAAGTCGATGTAATTCGTCCGATGATAGCAGCGATGGACGCCCGACCCGATATTATCGTCCTCGCTTGTGAAGCCTTACATCAAATATTTGACAAGAATCAGAGTGCTTTGGTCGAGCAGGCGGTGAAAGCAGAACTGGTTCAATATCTTCTCAAATTACTCGAGACCGATCTGAAAGTTGCGTACAACATCGAGAATGCGGCCGCCTCGAAAGCACAGATCGTGAAAGCCTTGAAAGCCATGTCAAGAGATTTCTTACATGGGGAAAAGGTGGGGTTTATTATGATATTCTCAACTCCAGTAGTAACACCGGATCAATACCAGCTGATGATCTTTATTGGCAGGAAAAACAAGTTAGAACTGATAGAGCTATTCAGATATTCAGTATAAACAAAACGAGTTTAGTTTAGGTTTCCTTCTAACAGTGGATCAATCAAATATGGCTTTTCCCCGGGGTGCCGTGGGAGGGTACAAATTCCGTATAAAATATTTAAGTACTATGCAATAAAGCATAGAATGATCACATGTATTCAATTTAACGTACTGTTTTAGGTTCTTGAAATCCTCGATAAATCAGAGGTGTGGGCGTCATACAAAGATCAGAAACACGACTTATTCATCTCAGATCGTAACATTTCTGGTTATTTAACTGGACCCATGGGAGTCGCCGGTTATTTGACTCAGGGAGCGGCAAATGCGAACGCCATGCCGAATAAACCCCCACCTATCGAGAACGTCCTTGAAGATGAGAATAATTAACAAATATCGAAATTTGGAATTAATGAATGCCATTGCTACAGATCAGAGTCTTTATCAAACCTGGACCCTCTGATCTTAAATGGAAACTGTAATGCGCAATACTCAAGCTTTCCTTCTGGTGATAAGATGGGATTATTTTTGAAATAAATAAAGAAACGCATACGCATCGTAGGATTTTTATTTTGAATGATGATAAACGCTATGAAATAGACATCTTATCGCGATAAGAAAGCCTTGACCTGTGAAACGTTTGATTTACAGTGACTTGCAAATACAATCAAATCATGGCTTTGCAAAACGAAGTTAAGCTGAACATGTTTATGCGTACATGTTTATGCCTGTCCTAACATTCAGTTCACTTGCTTATGTAATAAGTGATTAGCTGCGACTGGTTTAATTCAATGCCTACTTTATTGCTCGGACTTGATATGATATGCGCATTAGCAAAGAAAGTGTTTGCTGTACACTGCCATAAACAAATAATACTAAAATATTTCTAATTTTACAATTGTGAATTAGGCGATATTGGAATCGATTTTTTGAAATTGAATATATGAATTGTGGAAGATTTAACAAATATAGTATAATATAAGTTTTATATTTTGAATAACGTCTATTGATACGCTACACACCATGAAAATTAATTTGTTTAATAAAATTGTATCGTTTTAGTGTAATTTGAAAGTTGACGTGTTCAGGTGAGTCCTTTTATTTTCTTTGAATTGTGGCGTCTCGTTCCTTTCCAGGAAAAATTGGAAGAGATGTATCCTTGCTTGAGATGTGTTTTCTTTGGCGTGAGAAGGCCTTCAACATGGTGGCCCGAAGTAGTATATTTTACTGCAATCTTTCTCAGGCCTTTTGGCCCAAAATTTCGGAACTGATATACTCCAAGTATAAAGCATGAAAAATATGCCCTTAGGCTTATATCATATTTTAATATTTGTTGACGATGAACAACATTTGTTCTAGATTCTGCAATAAGCTTCTGTCGTTTAATTTTGAACTACAAAACGGGGAAACTTAAAAGGTATGCACGAAAATCTCGTCCCTAGTTTCGTGCCCAGGTCACGGTATAGCTCGTGGCGCTTCTCTCGTGCCGCCAATATTGTACATGTCAATCACAAATGAATTATCAGTCATATTGCGCTCATCGTGATTAGGCTTAATTCCCCCTTGACGTAAACGTTTTGTTGCGGATATTTAATGGTATAAGACAAGCATAGTTTATTCACAAGACGCTGCCCCATTCACCGCAGTTTATATCCGAACTTCACCCAGTCGTTCAAACACGAACCACGACAGCTTATTGAAGAATACTATTCCTATATATTTAAGCTGGCTTTTCCATATGGTTGTACACGACCACGTTTAGGATATCTTTTTGCTTATCAAACTTTCACGAATTTACATTGGAAACTATATCAATATATATCCAACCAAATTTGATATACGTATGCGGGGGAACTGTTCTTTGCACTTACCTTAGTGGCTGTTGCGTTATCGCAAAATCAAACGAAATCGATTGGTTTATCCAATCCGACACATGTTTCGTTTGAGCGTTGTTTTGAATTCATTTATTTAATCATTCATTAAAAGTTCTTCTCAGCTCAGCAAACGGACATTGTCAGCCTTATGACTGTTTAAGCGGTGCTAATTACGCCTAAATTACCAGCATAACACAATGCTTGAGCTTGAACTTTTAAAAAATTTAAATATTTTTCGATAAGAACTTAAACGTAGGAAGAGACATGCAAACGAAGAGTCTCCCCTCGTAAGAGGATATATTAGGTTTAAACCCCAAGACGATTTGCCCATGCTTGCACAAGAATAAACGTATTAGACTCAAGGAGGACAACCCTTTTCAAAATCCTGCGTTTGGATTCTTAATTACCCTTCGCTGACGATTAATATCAAGCAAAAATGCAAGGAACAGAACGGTTCAAGGTAGCTTCTGTAAGTATAAACTGTAATTGTGATATACTTTTGTTGCCATCGAGTTTTTATTGGGCTTTTATCAGTGAAATGGTTTTTAAATGATTAGAAAAAGAAATTGTGATGTTTCCAACTTTGTTATTACTGGATGTATATCTTGTTTGTTTGTGTGGAAGGTAGATTGTAGTACTGTATATATTGAATATTGAAGTTGAAGAGCTTTGCTTTGAAACCGGATGATTGTTGAAGGGTTAAAGACCTCTCAGTTAGCTGCTCAGTGTTGTGACTTGTAAGAGAATCATTGAATTCCCTGTTATTGTTTGTACTCGAGATTTGAACTACGCTGAACTTGACATTATCGTGCTATCAAATATTTTCATCACCTGCTCAAACAAATTATTGAAAAAAAACGTCTCCACGCTCGAGTTAAAACCCTCCGTCAAAAACAACTTAGTTTCAAAACAAATTACTTTCAAAAATTCGATAGTTTCAAAGATATTTTCTTCACTATCACGTTCTACGCAGTTCACGTTTGTGGTACACCTTTTAATGCCGAGTTAGGGCTAATTCGTTTAATATTTGTTCATTACTGTGCCGAATCGTGAAAATTGAACTATGTTTTGCGATTAAAAGGAAGGATCTAGATGTATTCCTTAATTGAAATAAAAAAACAAACTCATTTTTTCCTCTAGTTTCTTGGCTGTAGGGAAAACAAGAGGTTTTTCAAAGTTCAGTGCAAAGAAACTCTGGAATTCTTCACGATGGAAGTGGTATTGAAAGAGAGCGTTGAAAATCCGAATTCAACGACGACGCAATTTGGACCAATCGCTGAGCCACTTCCCACCTGGGGTCTACCCTTCTGCATGGAGCTTAAATACGTGTTTGAGACACAACAGAGGCGGTACTATATTCTGGACTGCGGAGGGGAAGCTTGTCTGGCTGACATGATGAACGATGGATTGCCGGAACCCACGGTAAATATTGTTGTTTTTATGTTGCGCTTCGCTATCTACTACAAGCCAGCAAATGTTGGATCAAGAAAATCCTCTCTGGCTTTGGTTAAATCGCTAAATTCTCTTCTTCGGTTGGAAGAGTTTTTACAGAATATTCTTCCTTTGCTATGTATAATTATTCCTATTAAGCCTACAATTCCTAATTAGAACTTACCAATTAGTCAATTTCTAAAATGCTACACCGAGGGTGTTTCTTTCACTTACGACAGGTTTTCATGTAATCGTAATTGTTGTAAACAAGTCATTCTCACTTGTAGAATCTTCTATTGTTCCCTATCGTGTAGGTACTGTTCATAGCAGCTGAGATAGCGTTGACTTTAGAGGGACTTCACGAACTTGGTGTAAGCTACAACGAGCTGGATCTAAGTCAGTTGTCAGTGGATAGCGATGGACATGTGGTGTTATGGCGTGAATTCGAGGGTAAAGAATATTGGCATATCAGTGAGTGTATATGTGGAATATTCGGCGCGAACTGCGGGAAGATTGGGCACGAGGTTAAAAGACAGAGTCCGAATCTATCGCCAGGACACTGGGTTCAAATCTCGCAGGGTATACAAAACGACTTGAATAGCTTGGGTATATTACTCTGTCATCTGTTGACTGGTAATGCGGATTTTCTTAACTTCCAAAGGTATACTTATGAACTTTATTTTAATTCTATAAATTTCCTCTCGGAGGAAACTACACTACAGGAAACTCGAATTAAACTCACTTTACTCACTCCTGTAAAACTTCATCCAGTTCTGAACTGGTCTCCATAGAGGTTAGTCAGTACGGACCATAATTTCATCAGTCCAGTGCTACTACATACTAAAGTGCGTAGGGAGAACCCAGCCGTGTTAGGTTAGTATAGGATCTCACTCCCTTAAGACAAGAGAAGATCATTTAAACAGCGATATATATCATGTTCGAGCAATCAAAACCTTTGCTGTCTAATATTATTCTTTCAAGAAATCTAATCAGTACGACAGTTACTTTATCTAATCCTTCCTTGCCTTATTGAAGTAATCTTTAGATCAATAATCGTCAATAAATTGCCAAATTCCTTTGTACAAGTGACAACTGCCTGTTCATCTTGCACCTCGAGACCTTACTAATCCGTTCATCTGGTTTACATAATCGCCTGCCTGTTTGCTCAGGGATTTCAGTCGGGATTTCAAAAGATAAATAAAAAGTTCTGCGCGGCGAATAATTACTCCGTTACTGAAGTAAATGTATACGAATTTGAGATAATGTGTTTAGTTAGGAAAACGGTAGTGAACTGTGTGTGTATATTCACTTGATATTCCTATTGGTATGCCGTTGTATTTTGCTTAGACCTTTTGATATTTCAATTATTTTAGGATGTTTTCCACTTAACTCTTTTATATTTCTTTTAGTCTCGAAGAAGCTATAATCTCGCTTTTTATCACGCCAAATACGAAAGATTTTCTTTATGGTCTGATTAGTGGAAGTGTGCAGTCGTTTGAAGATATAAAATGTCATCCCTGTTTCCGTGGTTTGGACTGGGATGAGGTAAGAGATGAACCACAAATCAAAACCTATCGGCTGTAATAGTATGGACCAAACAGTTTTGAAATGATTGAGATTCTCCAGTATATATAGTACTTCCTCCCGTATAGTAACAATGAATTGACCGTACTGGGCCTCTTGGAAGACTGTCTCCAACAAATGAAGTTACTTTAGTTTAGGTTCCCTCCTGTAGCAACTCAGGATCGATAAGAGATGATCCTTTCTGGATCTCTAGGAAGAATGATAGAGCTATACCCAGTATAAATATAGTTACTTTGGTTTAGGTTTCCTCCTGTAACACTGCGTGAATAACCGATGACCCTTACTGTTCAGATAATATTTACTTAGTTTCATGAGTGTTTTCTTTTAACGTGTTCAGGGCAAGTTCATGACATTATACTTTTAGGTAAGATCAAAGTCTCTCCCATCTCCGCTTATGGCTAGCTACCGTCCAGAAAGTAACTGGAATTACGTAAGACGTGGTCTCTCAAAATCGCCATCCTTACAAAATGTGTATACGGCAGGGATCTCCGCCCGCCATGAACGTGACATGTTCATCAAATCCCCGCTCTCTCGCACACATTCCTCAAGCGACATTCATTCGTTCTCGCCAGGCAACACTGGGCAAAGCTTCTCTACGACAGGACGATCTGGTAGACGGAATACATTAGGAGTACCTGGCCGCGGAGGGCAATATGGCAAGGAAGCTGTCAGGTTGAACCCAAACGATACAAAAATTATACAAGATTCAAAAAACCTCGGCTATTCCCAGCGCGCTGGAGTGAAATCAAGTTTGAATCTACACAGACAAGTTTTTGAGCAGAACTCGCGCCACTTTGAACGCCCTCCCTGTATGTCTGCCCCCTCCTCACCCCGGGGCAGTTTTGATACCTCGCAAGGCTCATTCGTTTTCCCTCCTCCCATGTCTGCCCCCTGCTCCCCACGCGGCAGCGTCGGTTCTACGCATTCCGGAGGGTCAGGCTCACTCTCCCCGTCTAGCACCGTCGTGTTCAACAACCCAGAGACCAACCCCTTCCACGAGGGTTACAGAAAACGGTGGGGAAGTGCGAACCTCGATGCGGCCTTTGGTTTTTATGCCTCAAATTGCCAAAGAAATGATAGTAATAATAACATCACAACTCCGCGAAGATTAAGCGATGAGACAGACACAAATCTAACAAAGGAAAGTTTTCCGGCGCGTGGAGTTTATGCAGGAAATTTAAAGGAAAAAGAAAATCCTATCTCCTCTTCCCAAAGTGATGGATTTGCTTCAAATCAACCAAGCACGTTTGAAAACGGTGTATACTCGTCTGTTTTTAAACAAAACGAGAGCTTTGCAATCTCCGATAGACACCCCATAGTCGTTTTACCAAACGCTTCAACGACAGAGTTAACGCGACAGGGATATCAACCAGGACATAATAGTGATGGCGGTGGTTCATACAATGCTGGTATGTACTTTAATTTAGGAAATCCACCAAGTGAAACGAATATAAACCAACCTTATTTTCAGCCAAAATATTTTGAAGAAAATCGCATGCGACAACAAAACCTTACATCCGGAAACTTGTATAATACGCACGGCATAGATCAGGCAAACCCGACCACAACGGATTCTTTAAGTGCGATAGGATTTCAGAGAAGAAGCGATAGTGGTAATCTTGAAACGTCCGGAACGAGTTCATCATTCTTCCAAACTTCAGGCGATAAAAGCGATGCAATGGAACGAAACACTGCGAAGGAAACTGCTAATTTCTTGTTTCAAAAACATTTTGAGAGCAGAAGAGGTAGTGTTGGATCCGGTTTGCCCGGCAAGACTTCACCAAAGTCAGGGAATACTGAAAATGGTCAGATTAGCGACATGCGACAGAATCCAACATCAAATATCTCCGAGGAACAGTTTGATATTAGAGAAAGCAGTTATAAGGCACCAGCTGCGAACTCAAGAAACCTTTCATCAAATCTGGATGACGTTCATGGAATACAGTCGGTTTATTTTCCAAATGAATATACAGCAACTAAAACACAAAACGTTCAGTCGCAAATCATCCAGGGAAACGTTCAAGGTAGTTTAAGAACTCAAGAAAAAACCAGGAGTGACTTTAACGAGCCGAATAAGAGGTCTTCGGATCATATTCCTCCAAGAAAATTCCAAGAAAGACTGGTTGTCCCCAACAAAAGCCAAATTCATTCAAGTTTGCAAACCACTGCTGACAATTTGTCTCCTCCGATCGTGGTATTTCAACAAAGGAACAGCTGCTCGCCTGAACCGCTAATAGCTATTCATCCCTCGACCATCCCGTCGAGCAACTCTTCCTCTGCTGACTCAACTGACGTGTCGGCCATGGCCTGTGATAATACAGGCGTGCGAAATCCTTTTCAACAGATATCCCCAAGGCGGCGAAGTAGCACGGAGATCACTCCTTCAACGTCTCTGCCAATTTCTACGAGCAAATTCGAAAACATGGGTCAAAAAACGTCTCTTACGCGAAGCACCAGTTGTTCGGACGTGAACGAAAGATTCAAAAGCGCTGGAAATGATCCTGTGAGGACCGGGCAGGCTAACTGCAGGCGAAGCCTGGCATTAAGACGTATTCCTTCGTTTGAAGAATTTCGTACGATGCGAGCGATGTATCTTGGGGAAGGGAATGATAATGGGGCGACAAAGAAAGATGCGAATATTGTTGGTAAGGAAGGCACGAGTGAAGGTAAAAACGACAGCGCCAGAAACAAATATAACAACAGCGACAAAGCAAACCAAAATCTCGCCAGAACAAGCAGCCTGGGGACTACAAACAATCCCGTCATTCAGGATTTGCTTGTCAAATATGGACTCGACCAAAGCCCGCGGTCATCCTCTCTTAAGCTCCATCAAAACTCTTGCAAAAGACCAGATTCCGAGAACAGCCATCCCTCAACCACAAACAACAACGATGACAAGAGAACAAAAACACAAGACGCGACTGATACGAAACAGCGTTTGTTGAATATCTTGGACGATTTCCTCGCAGTCAGAACTAAACAGAGGACTTTGAGCTCTAGTGTTAGCATGTATAACCTCAAGACTTCATTTGAAGTGCAGGGCTCTAAAGACGCAAGTGATATTTCTGTTGCTAACAGTAATGGCTTTGATATGAAAATGACAAAAGGCGCACCTGGTAAAGTTTTCGATTCAAAGATTTCTGAGAACGATTCAAAGATTTCTGAGAACGGTGCGAAGAAATTAGTTAGTCCGAGAAGTCAACATCGCACAGTGGAGAGATGTAAAAACCCAACGTTGGTTGTTTCAACTCCTAATTCAGTTGACTGTGTCAAAAAAGCGACGCATCAAAACACGAAAGATAACAGGTTAAACGGGCAAGACGGAAAGGGAATTGAAAAGAAAAACGCCTCGGAAAAGCCTAAACGAGTCAGCAAAATGAAAAGTCCAGTAAAAAAATACGAATGTGAAGATAAAGAAGTGCGTGTCAGTGGAACTTCGTCATCCAACGTACAAACGATAAAAAGTTCTCCGCTAGACTCGAGAAAATCAGCTGAGACGAGGGCGATCTCGTCGTCATCCGAGGTCGAGACGAAAGAAGGCGAGAGGTCGCGAAGAGTTTCCGAAAAAGCGCGAAACGTGAGTCTAAGGCATAGGGAGTCGCTGGGATTGGCGGTTGGAAAGAGCGGGGAAAAGGCCAGAAAAGAGCGTCGGAGCAAATCTTTTAAACAAGCGTTGCAAAATGAAAAGAATGAAAAAACTTCTGAACTAGAGGAGAATGAAGCTAGCAATGTACATACGAGGGCTGTCATGAATGGGCCAATCAAGGCTGATCATTCAGTTGAAATAAAGCCTACATGTGTTGAACGAAAAGATTTGAAGCATTTCCGACGAATGAACAGACGGACAAGTAGTTTACTGAGCCTTACTGATGATTTATGCGATGAATTGGATGAACTCGAGGCCGAAAATGGGATTCGCAGTGAAAGCTTGAGTGATCTTAATGAAAATTACAGTGGTTGCGATAGAGCAGTCGGTGGCGATGATGGCTTTCTTAATGTTGAGTCAGATTCCCCCGGAGACCGGCGTCCCACCAGAACCGAGAGTAGTTGCAGTCTCCTGTCACGTGGCAGCAGTTTCCATAGCAACTTCAGCGCCGACAGTGGTTCGGTTCAACTGGACTTCGAGGAAAGCGATGAAGAGGATGATGACCTATTTTATATGTCGGAGCCGCAGGAAACCGACGAGAAGTCTGAGTCCGATATTCACAGGAACGACAGCGGATTGGGTGACGAGATCGGAGTGGGGACTAGGATGAAGAAGCGTTGGCAAGATCTCGGTCACGTGAGCTCACGTCAGTCCATGGTTGTCGCGTCTTGGCGGGAACTTGCCTTAAAGAACGGCAAAAGATTTGAAGATGGACAAGAGCAAGAAAACGCGACAGACGAACGAGAAGTGCAGCAAAAATCAGAACGGAAGACTTCTCGAGGCCGAAGAATTTCCAGAGAGAAACAGCCAAATGCGGTAAGTTTCCGTTGATTTTATTTTGAAGATGTATTGGAAAGAACAGAAAGAGATGTGATGAAATTAAGAGTCTACAAACAACGAGCGGTTTTCAAAACATGATTTGAATATATTCTTGCATTTTTTTAGATTGATTGCCCAGACTGTGGACGAGCTTTTGTCGTTGAAAAAGATAAACCAAGGTATATTTATTTACCCCAGTTTATTGTAAGATATACTGCCTATACTGGACTACTGCATTTGTGATATAGATTTCTTCAGGTACTGTTGAGACACAAACCACGACAAATTATTGTAGGATGTACTTACACTGGTAGGATGTACTTACACTTACCGTTTCAGATATCTTTTACAGGTTGTTCAGACTCGGTCTATCTCAACCTCGTCCTAGAATAGCTCTAACTCATGTTTCCTTCGTTTGAAATGTGCACTTTAACCGACCTGAACAACACGCATGTTTTTGAGAATTCTGATGTCAAACTTTTTCTTCAGTGTTAAGAGCCAAGGACCAAAGCAAACTATCATCTGTTATAAATGTCAGAGTAACAGAATTGAGCGGAAAGAAGCCATTATTGAGCTTGTACAAACTGAAATAAATTATGGAAATGATTTTCAAATCGTGAAAGAGGTAACTGAAGAACTTGTTCATCGTACGTATTGGTGATTAATAGTGTATTTGCTGACTAATTCCTTTCTCTTTCAGGAGTTTCTTGCACCAATGCAGACTGGTGGCATTGTCTCTCCTGATAATTTGGCCAAGATATTTCTGAATATTCAGGTATCCTTCGTGTGTAATGCGATTAGGAGGATATATGATAATCAGTTGGTCTTTAATCCGGATTACGGATAAGGATCTGCGCCTAAATTGTATTCATGTTTGTAATAAAGCTGGGATTGTCAATTGTTAATAATCCTTTTCTTAAACCGTGTGTAGGAACTGTTTGATGTTAGCTCAAAATTTTGCATGAAAATTCAGAACAACGTGAAAGGATGCATCGACAAAGGCGACGAGGTAAATTGTGGTATAAAGTTAGGACTAGCATTATACTGTAATGAACAACTGACATTGAGGAAGGTTGAAAGAGAAACACTTTACAAAGCAGTAAGTATACTGGATGGGTCAGGGTAGTATCAGTGACAACAGTCAGCACTCAGTGAACTGACATTTAATATTCATTGCAAAAAGGTAGATACTAGACTAGTCAGGCTAACAGTATCAACAGTCAGATCTCAGTACTGCAAAAGTGTTCAACAGTCTGACAAACATTCAGTCCGGAGAACGTGACTATTGGTTATTTCTTTCAGGAGCTGTGCCATATGAATGTTGGGGGGATTTTTGTTGAGAACATGGAGCTTCTTCAAGCCTACGAGCTGTATTGTTCTCGACAACCTGAAGCCATGAGATTGCTGGAGTCTTTACAAAAAAAGAATGATGTTTTAAGAGTCTTTCTCAATGTAAGTGGTCCACTTGAACTACAAGCTAGGCACACAAAGACACTTTGTAAACAACAAACTCATGCTTGACATTTCAAGAAGGTATTAAAGCGATCCATTGGAGAGCAATTTCTATAATAAAGTTGAATCATCTTTCTCGCAGATCACATGTCGTGAAAATCCTAAATGCCGTAAAATGGACATAAACTCCTTTCTCCTGGCTCCTGTCCAACGTGTCACCAAGTAAGGCATGGTTTGTTTTGCTTTGGTAATGGCTCGTGATTGCCTCCTTTTCGACTCTCCCGAGCATCGCAGGGTTTGTTTCGTAAAAGCCATTGCCCAATAGATCTAGACCGTATACTCAACCTTTAAGAACAATAAGTGATCAATAATGTTGAAAATTTGTCGGAATAGTTAATGTTGGAGAGTTTCCGTAGAGAGGAAACTGTATGAATTCCAACCTCGTAATTTCGCTACCTGGGTACGTGGTTGTATGAATTCATCTAATAGACCTATTTCATAATGACGTCAAACGCGGAAAGTCTGATGTTACACGAAGTTTAATTGGCTCGATAGTTTTGTGGAGCCAATCAAATCCCGTGTAACATCAGACTTTCCGCGTTTGACGTCATTATAAGAAAGGTGTATTGTATAGTAGGGATAATCACTGAACATAATTTGAACCTGATTATATCGGATCCATGGCCCATGAAAATATCTCATTCCAGATATCTGATATTGACGTTTATTTCTTCACTTGTCAAGATATCCTCTCCTGCTCAGTCGTATTCGACGTGCGACGCCACGTTGGCATGGCGACCGTGAAGACTTGAAATTAGCGCAAAGAAAAGTGGAAGAACAAATCACAAAGATCAACTCGGTAAGAACTTAAATTTTGTTTTGAAGTGGATGGAGGCTCAGTAAAGCCCGTTCTCCACATGGCGAATTTATTCACCCGAAGCGAAGCGAAATATGAATTCCGGTAATGTTAATTAGTCTGCGAAATAATTCGCCGAGGAAAAGCAGAATAACTTTCTACTTTTTATAAGTTCGCCCGAATAGATTTTCCTCGTGGAAAACGGGCTTTAAGCATACAGTACCGTTCATTTCACTTTGTGTGGCGAAATTTAAGTTTTCACTGACTAGTGTCTTTTCATTATGATTTCCAATGTCTCAGTCTAAACGTTTGAATTTTCAGCTGACAAAATCCTCTGAAATGAAAGCTAAGAAATTCCAGAGTAATCTAGGATCACCAGATACTGTCGACTCGTCTCGCCTCAAAAAATTAGCCTCTGAAGTGCTGACCTGGACCTTAGACGAAATGCAACTGCTTATGCACGGTCCGCTCAAGGTAAAGATAATTCTAACATGCCTTAATCTGCTGTGGCCATTTCTAATGTTACTTACGCCTATTGAAGAGTAGGTCGAGCGAAGGTATTGACGAATGTTAGAGTTTTCTTTCATTTAGAAAAGGGTAATCACCACTAATCTATAACTTTTCATGTGTAAGGTTCTATGCTCAGAATTCGGCGGAGGACAAAGTTGGACAAAGCGAGCAATGAAGAGAAGCATTGAAACTCACATGCTCTTCTGCATACGAGGGCAAAATGAGGTAAGACTTGCAAAAGGTTTTGACAAGTTTACCTTCAGTTCATTTTACTTGAGCTCGTTCAGTACTTCAGTCCAGTATTTAGTACTTCATCTCCGTCAACTCATTTTCAATCAAGTCCAGTTTAGTAATTCAGTTCGTTTCTGGTTTATTCTCTTTTGTTCTGTTCTGTTCTGTTCTGTTCTGTTCTGTTCTGTTGTTCTCTAATTGATTTAATCCTATCATCCCTAATGTGTTTCAGCCAATCATAGTGGATTCTGAAGATGACGACAGTCTATACTTTCCAAACACCACTGAAATCACCGATGCATCTCTGCTTTTGCTGAAGCGAAAAAGCAACGGAAAATACATTTTATTTCGGGTAAAATTGCGTCGAACTTTCTTTTATACATTTCCTCCAAACCTCTTTCAAACATTCTGACAAAGGGACATTATTAACTCTGTTTATATAGGAAGAGATAAGGCTTCGAGACTGTGTAGTCTACGAAGAAATGGGTATGCAGCATTTCTCAATTTTTGGATGCCGAACGAACGCATATAGTTTCTTAAGCGGTATTATTTCATCGTTTATATAATTACCTGTAATGACTTTTCTTTACAGATTCTGACTCATTTGGCCTCGTTCACATGGGAAAGGAAAGTTTCCTCTTTACCGTGAGTCATAGCTGCTTCTATCTCTCTCCCTGAGACCGAACATTGTACAATCATTATTTTTTCGTATAATAAACATGCACATACTCCTAGTGGCGTGGCCAGTCTGACTATATCTTAATCCCGCTATTAAAATATTAAAACATTACGATCATTCAGTTTTTCAGAAATTTATTGTTTCCACAGCCAATAAACACGAAAATATTATCATAGGGAGACTAAATAGTCACACTGGCTGACCCCTCTGTGTCTGTGTACTTCCATGAACCTTTAATTCCATAATTGTTGTAGCTATTTCCTTATTGCGACTGAACGCGGCTTTGCATGGCATATTAATCGAAGTTTGCAGCAAGGACACCCCTTGTTGCTGTTCACTGTTACTTGATCAAGCTAAATTCCCATGCAATAATCTGTATGCAACCCTTTCTGATGTTTTGTTTTTGGTTTTTCATTCAGACCAAGTCATCCAAAGACGCACGCAAATGGATGAAATATTTAAAAATGCAATCAAAAAACCAGGGAAAATGGAGACGACGTAGGAATGCTTCTGCAAACATCATGCTAAAGTCTTCGTAAAATTGGTCAGAGTAAGAATCAGTTTCGTGATTGATTTATCAAGGATCAAACAACTCGTATATTTAATTTATTTTTTCACCAAGTTTAATATATTATTAAATTAATATTATTAAATTATTTTCAAAAATCGTGTTCCCACAAATATTGAAAGCTGCGACATGCAGTAATTGTACAAATATTCCTTTATTATTTAAATATTCTTTCTATACAAAGAAGGAATGAAAAGTTTAATTGTGAACTGAAAAAATACGGCTACCGATGAAAAGAGAGGAATTATTAACAAAGGTGATAATTTTGGCTAGCCTAGCTCCGTTAATCCTTGATTGTGGTAGCGAGGATTGTCGGTTAAGCGAATATTACTCTTTGTATATACAAAGAGAGAAATGAGAAGTTTTACTGTAATTGAAAAACTACAGCTAAACGAGGGAAATTTTCAACAAAGACGATGATTTTAAAGATGTTCACTTTCAAAACGGGCTTGTCAGGATGTCACATGATGAACTCTTTATGACGTTACGGAAAGCGATACTGTAAGTAAAATAATTTCAATAAATTAATTATACTCAGTTTTAGATCTAAAATATGAAATGTTTTAGTATAAATGTAAACATTACTGATTAAAATATACCATGCCTGCGAATATACCTTCAGTACAATAATTTTTTCGGTAGACTGATTCACATTTGAACAAGTTAAATTTTTAAACTGACCATGAATATTTATTATTTTTCACTTTCAGTTCGTTTTAATTTCCGATTGAAATCATTAGCTACAAATTATGAATATTCCATATGCTGCTACAAGAAGAGGCCATTAGTAAAACATTGATCCAGATAAACGTCGATAGTAAGGCTTCAAACATCACTAAATTTGCTGTCTAAATCACTTGGGTGCTTGTCATTTTTTTCAAGGTAAGTTGGTCACAATTTGTTTTATTTTCTCGATAATACGACGATATGAATTGCGCTCTTGTTCAATATCGTCTATAGCCCAGCCTCACAATATAAACAAACCATTTTTAAGTGTTTGAATAATATATTGTGTGAGAGCAGAATATTTTATTTCCTTTATATTTATTTGAAAATTCGCCTTTTGAAAACGTTCCAACGTCGATTAAATGTTGTGGACAATCATATAGACTTGTTTATTTACCAAAAATCGCGTGTAATGATTGGCATCATTTAAAAGTACCCATCCAGGTATGGCCACAATTTAAATACAGCTCAGTTGTTGTGAATTGTTTCTTCTAACTATATGTAACTTCTGTAACTATGCCTTGCAACTTATATTTGGATACAAATTTCATTGGAATTGCTCTTATTCTTATGTTAGATTGCCGAGAGAATTTATGTTGAATGCATATCAAAACATAAAGACATTGTTGCCCTGTAAAATTTCATAACAAGTCAGGCTTAAACAACCTAATTTAAGGCTGCATGATTTTGCAAAGCCACAACGAGTTATATCTATTTAAACTTAAAATATTAACCGCTTGAAAACCGAACTTTTTCCTTGACTATACAAAGCACCGCGGTCACCTGTCAAGTCCTTGACATTTGCATTTTTCAATTATTTTAAGCATTAAGATGGCCGCAACTGCTTTAATCCCACCACTGGAATATGAAATAAAACTTTAATCGCGTCAGCGAAGCCGACCTCGCGCTTTGTGACATGAGAAATTGTTTGTTTCAACAAGCAAACGATTTATTGCCATCGTGTCAGACGTGACGCATTTTGAGAAACGTTTTACAAGTTATTCATCTCATTGACTAAAGATGTTTATATTTTTTCCCTGATAAAGACAGGTGATGCCAGACCGCAAATTGCCACAACAAACGTTCAAGGAGAGTGCTTAAAACTTCGCTAACAAGTTTCGCAAGGCATCGCCGTAGGAATTCAAGTTAAATGAGGGAAGTCTACTATACCACTCTTTTGAAGGAAATATAACGTAGTTAAGTGTATCAAAACAAACAGAAGGAAGTCCACGACGCCTTGAGAGGTTACGCAATGACTGCAGTAAGAAGCACCGAGCAATTTGGTGAGGAAATTTCAATCGTGCTCAAAAAATACAAGGGAGAAAAGGAAGCTTTCGACGAAGGGATTTTCGTCTCGGAGTCAGCTGGCGATGATGATGATGATTATGATGAAGATGATTACGATGATGATTTTATTCGGGAACCAAGAACAGAGTTTGAGAAGAGTTTGTCAAAAATGGACGGCGTTTTACGACAAGCCGAGCACGACACTCAGTTTCTCAGCCACGATTTGGTAAGAGTTTAATTAGATATGCATATTGTTTCTTTCTCTGTGTGGTAATCTCATTATTTCCGCCTGCCCAAGTCACAATATATGAACTGATTTGGAAAGATTTAACGCCTAGTTGTGGTTGTGAAATAAAACAGTAAGGCAAGTATTTCATCATTTTATTAATACATCTGATAAGATCATTCTCAAGTCTTAACTGCTACCTCAACGAATTTGAGGACTTATCGACACTTAGGCTCAGGCCATATTTGTTTTCTCGCCACTGGTCTACTAAATATCTCCTCAAGATTACATCATTCGTGGAAACGCACAAGTTTTACTCCGCAAACATCTACCAATGCTAAACGTTTCCGGCACATTACTGATTGTTCGAGTCGATTTTGGCTTTTGCTGTATGTTTTTAAAGAATATTGCTAAATGATGATGTCGTCATGATGACGTTTTCTTCCGAATCTTTCGAATATCATTAACCTGCGTCTGAATCGGGCCGACGATTGTGAAAGCTTCATCAGAATATGTCTGCACTGTCTGCTGTAAACGTTTTTCCAACAGTCTTGTTAGATAATCTGTACAACGAGGTATAGCAGTGACTACCAATACGAAACTATCATTTTCGCGTATTTTCTTACTTCATCGTGCAAAACTCGTGATCGTTGAGGGCTTTCTAGTCAAAAGCCTAACGACTTCGAATTGTGCTATATTCGGCCTAGAATGGCGTAAAAATGACGGATTTCTATTAATTACTATTTCTTTTTGATTGCTATTAACTTATCGCTGTGGCACTTGACAATAGGTTGACAAATTGAGAGTGAAACCCTTGATCTTGTTTTGGATAAAATAACAACATCTGATCCAAATTCTGCATGCCAAGAATTCCTATTGTAGTGAATATGGTGAATACAATTGTTGCGTTATAACATCTTCAATAGTCTTTGTTTATTTTAGAAAGTTATCGAGTCTAAAAATGAAAGCACAGAAAGACGAATCTTGAAACTCACTCGGGACGCGGCGGAGCTCAGATCGAGATTGGACGCCTTCTTACATTCGTTCGGTCGACGCTCGTCGTGGCGTGATCACGTGGCCGTAACGTCATCATCCGAGCACATGACCATGACGTCACCGCCTGATCGCTTCACGTCATCAGCTCGACGCCACAAGGCAACATACGCGATCTTTTTGAAGCAGAACAGTGTGGAACAGCCTGTCCATGTGAACATTGCCCTTCGTGAGAGGGAGAGCGTCTTGATATATTAAGAGGGAATGACAAGAAAGAAAAATGCAAAGCTATGTTGTAATGTAATTTAATGTAATGTCATCGATTGTAATGCAACGCAATGTAATGAAATAGCATCAGGCTTCAAAAGCTAAATATTTTTTGTTGTATTTTAACTTTACCACAATTTTTGTGATCGGTAACATAGTAAATTAGTAATCTATGATTGTTGTATTAGACGGTTATTCAGAAAGATAAAAACCTATAACTAACGGTTTGAAATTACCTGAAATTTCATTTTGTTGGAAAGTTCATAAATACGTTGATACGAAAAGTTGTAGCGGTTTGTCAACGCGACAGAGACCGCCTGCTTGGGGGATATAGTTAACATGCATAATATTATGGGGAATTAGCATGGAGCCGACCACAATTTAATTGCAAATTGGGAATAATTCAAATGTAATTAAAAGGGTAACCAACTTTGAACTTTACCTAAGGACAACTGGCCAATCAAAATCGTAAATTCGCAGTAAACTAGCCGGATTTAACTGCCCAAAATGTTGTTAGTAAGAGTTGCAACATTACCATTTCATAGTCAGTTTGACTTCAAGGCAAATATTGATCTTTAAATGGTGCAACAATATTCCAAAACAAAGCACTTGACATTGAGTTTGATCACTTTAGAATGGCAAAACATTTTCGCCGACTATTTTTTTCTTCTTTGTGTACTAGTGTGGGTGTGGTCTCTTCCAAATTCCGTCCGTGTGATTCTTATAAAATATATTGCTCGCCATCTTTTATCAAAAGTAAATAAATTGATCAAGTCGTGATTGGCTGCATGCGGTATGCGCCATCGAGATGGCTGTGCGTGTGGAGTGAAACTAAGAGTCTTCAAAAAAACGTTCCCTAAACTACCCTTATGAAATTTTTACCCAAAATGCAGCTTAGAATTCTGTCGCCATCACGTTTGACGTAAATACTTAATTAAATGGTTATCATTATATAAAAACAGGAATTTGGCATATAAACGAGGCAATTACGCCAACAAAGAGTTACTTTAAACGACCTTATAGAACCTTCGAAATATATACAACTTATTCGAACATTCCTTCGTAGACTTCAATTCCAAACCACGGCCTCCAAGCATAACATGTAAATATCGTGAGCAGGTTTTGATCAGTTTGGAGCTTGTTTTTATGGGGCTGCATCTTTGAGCTCTAGTCAAGTGCTACATAGACTACATTTGTTTTTCTGGTTTGCATGTTTAACAATATTTTTCATTTAATGGCTGATTGGACAAAGCAGATCGGACTAATGTTGCTACTAAGGTTCGATCTTGCACGTTTTAAATCTGTATATAGTTTAGGGTTTGACCTTTTAGGGCTCGTGGAGGACAAACCTTTTAAATGGCTGTTTAATTACCTGATAATCGCTGCAACATTTTTGTTCTAACCCATGCGTGTTCCCCGATTTAAAGACCCTTTGTTGTTTGAATGTTCTTGGATATACAGCCAATATTATATGGTTCCTGCTTGGATTTTATGGTAAAAATAGATATAATTGTTTTCTTTTCTGCTTGTAAAGAAAAGCATTCAGAAGCACACACCAACAATTCAACAAACCTGGAAAAAACATGAATAACAAGAACATTTTCGTTGATACTGCACTTTCCAAACCGTGTACATACATGTATATTTAAAGTTCTGTGTTTCACTCTGTAGCATTTGTAGCATTTGTGTTTGAATTAAAAGTGTCCTGGTTTCTACTTAGATATGCCAAGTTTGGGAGAAGAATTTTAGGTTAGAAAATTGTATAGCGTTAAGATATAACAATTGCATGTCTTGCAGTTAACTGGTTCACAAACTTTGTTACCAGCAATTTAGGTTTCCCGCACTAGAGCACCAACAAACCAACCAACCAACAAACCAACCAACCAATCAACCATCATTCAATGCCAAGCTACCTATATCTTATTCGCCAGATAACGAAATATAAAACCCAATACCATTAACTGACTAAGGATTGATAATCTAGATCTAGATGTTCATTCATGAACTAATTGCCTGACTAACAAACAAATCTTAACAACAAAAAATCGAAAACAGGAACAAGGAACTAATCAACCATCAACTACCACTTTTTGCTGTCAAATGTTCCTGTGAGAACCGCTTGAGTTAAACATCATATTCTCAAATGAAAGTACGATTTTAGATCAATCTTTTTTCCAATCAAAGAATGTTCATTTAACTGTTTTGGCGGAGGAAGATCATACTCTACGTAATTGGATTCTTTTAAAAGAAAGAAACAATTTATGCAACGTTAAGTTTTCGAAAGCGTGGGATTATTCTCTCTTTCTCAATGAATCATTTCCGCAGTAAAAAACTCATGCAACAAGTGCCACTTTTCTGTCCTACGCAGGATAGTCAATGATCTTCTTTCATCTTTTTGGAGGCGATGCCGCGCAAACTGGATGCATAAAAGCGCGCAAAAAACAGCCGTACTAACCAGAGGAGATCGAGTCAGCAAGTATCAAAATGAAGACTTGGACAGTTTTAGCCCTGCTGTTTGCAATCTGTGCTGTGTTTCTCAGCGTTGGACGCACGGAAGAAAGCGAAGACGATTTTGAAGAGCAAGCTTTGGATGATTTCAACGGCGCGCTCGAATACAACGACGGCCAATCGTAAGTCTATATGCTTTGTGTTTTAATTTTCGTATTGTTTAATATGCATTCTGATTGTAATATACTAACTGCAAAAAATGCAAGACCGATAGAATATATTTTATTTTGAGGAGGCCAAATTTAAAAAAAAGTTCACCTTCATATTCATCTTTAAGTTCAACCATGCATGTATACCAGAAATACGAATGTACTCCATATAGTCCATACTCTCGATTTGGCACACAGAGAATAAATACGTTGCATGTGTAGTTCATACTCAATGTTCTATTCTAAAATTGTTACATATTTGTATGAAAATTCTTCATGTATTTTACTGAGCCCCGTCACGTTTATATTCACACGCCCCCTCCCCTCCCCCCAGCTTCCCTCCGCCTTTCCCCGCTGCCTCTGCAAGGGATACTGGTTAGTTGACCAGCCTACTTGGCCGGCAGTTCCCTGTGTGTGATTTATAACCATAATTTTAGACATCACCTTTTCATTCAGGGAGAACGTTTTGGACAGTGTGCGTGAGACTCCGTCAGATGAAGAGGATGAAACGAAGCTGGTCAAACGTATGCCATGGCGTCGTCGTCGTCGCCGTCGTTTCTGGAAACGAGTCCGCAAGATTTTGAAGAAGGTCTGCGGCTGGGTTAGGAATTCCCGACGTCATAGTAAGTTCCATCACTTTTCCTGCTAAGACCCCGACACAAAGTCTTCATTTAACGTTAGGACGTAATAACTACTTGAACGTAATAACTAGCTGAAAAAAGGAGAGATCCTTCCAGCAACAATTCATTTTTTAACTACGTCTACGGTTCAACCCCGACCAGCTTGTTCAAAACCTTTAGACATACTCTTACAATAAAGACGAGTATTTATATATTTGCCCTGTATGTTGTTGATGCCTCGCTTCAATATTTTCTCTAGTTATCAGATGGAGCTGCCGTTTAATCAATGGAGATGAAGGTATGTATATGCGAGAATAACACACGACCCTCGTATAAAGCCGCTAGGACCTCGCGAAGTTAGTTCAGCCAGTTTCTCTCGTGTGGGGATGGTTTTCGAGCTGAACTAACTGACTTGGAGAGTTTATAATGAAGTTTACTGCTATTGTTATTTTTGAGGTGAAGTTCTGTAACTTCTGTTCTGCTTTATAAATGTATTTATTTTCTTTTTATTCAACAGAACGTCTGCCAAAAGGGTTATCGAACGACGAATCTGGATTTATTTCACCTGAAGAAGTCGCAGAATTGTTGAGGAAAGGCTGGAAAAAAGAAGGGGGAGATGGCAATAATGGTCCATGAAGAAATTTTTGAAGAACTTTTGACGTTTTATTGCATGCATGTATTCGTTATTTCATCAGTAATACAGTGTTCCAAGTGCAGTGTAATTGCCTGAAGTCGCTACAAGGCATTCACTTTTGTTAGATAATATAATGCTATGTTTCAGGACAGGTGAAATTTTCAAAATTCAAAGTGTAATAATTAAAATTTCAGTTGAATAAAAAATATTTTAGTGTGATGTATAATACTGTGAACTAAAATATGAGCGTTTCTGCTTGCAAGGTTTGATAGAGTTGTATCGGCTTATTAGAATTCCGTGTCACAATTTGAAATTTGAAATCCTAAATTTCATTGTTTCAAAGATCACCAAAGGCAAGGGCTTCATCGCTTTTCGTCCGATTTTATATTGACCATAGTCTGAGATCATTTGCATATCATAATTTTGATCAAGTTGACAGGATAATTGATAGCCGAATATATTGTCAAACTAATTTTTTCTTTCCTTTGTCTTAGCCCTTTGTTAAGTTTGTTTTCATTGTTTTCTCGACGGCAATGCCTGACAATTTAGCCTGATTAATGATTATTCAGCTAATAAACCAACCTTGCCTTCAATGAAAACCCTCTTTTACAAGATGGTGGCAAATCGACAACACGTGTGTTGCCTTATCGTGGCGCCAACTTTAAACTAATGTCCGTGTTTTCACTCTTAATTATGAATACGTGGTGATATTTAGACTTCGAAAGCAGTTTACAAGCAAATACAAACATAATCACGACGAAATATTTATTCATTTGAACTGTACAGAGCAAATTATGACATGAACAATTGGGAATGGCTTATTTGATTTACGTTACGAAGCTGCAAGCTAGCTCAAAGATTTAGATCTAGTTCAAGAAAGGTACGTGCCGTTTAGGACTGCTTCAAGTTCAGACGCCGAACTTTTCGTATACCGAACCTAATGTTAACGAGCCGAGTTCAGTCTTTGTTTAAGTTCATTTGCAATCGATTCGACACATGAAAACTTCGACGTCTGAAACAGGCCTAAGGCTAAGTGTTGAAATTATTTTGCTGGTAGCCTGTGTGCAATCGTTTTATATAGTTTATTGGACTATTGTATAGTTCGTCTCGCGATGAGATACAATATGACAAGATTGGCAAAACGAGGCCCATTGCCATTGGGAACAGAGAAAGTGAATATTTCAGGGAATTCAGGTCGTTTGGTTTGAGGTAAGTTCTTTTCAATCTCCTCAGAAGTTGAACTGTTTACAAGTGCTTGTTTATGGAAATTAAATTGCATGGTCATAGAATTAATAGATGGATTGATAGAATAGAATTAGTGAAGTGTTTACATGTTCAAGATATACATATCGTTTCTCTCGCTAAAATTGCAAGAGTTTCGTAAAATTATTTAGAATCTGGGGTTTGGTAGAATTTACTGTATTTAATTGCACGTATGTTTACAAGATGCTAACATATGATTTCAGTTTTTTTATATTCGCGCGTGCATGATAACAAATAAAAAAATCACCGCAGTTCATAATTTTAAAAGCGTTCAAGGTATTTGAAGAGCTTGGTTCAAAAATGTTAAGATGCTTCCTACATGGAAGCAATTCAAATTCGAAATGTATCCCAATTAATTGCCTGTTACTGTCTATGCGTGCAAGGCATTGCTAAAGTCGTTGTATTCATAATATATCTGGGGTAGTTTTTTGACGCATAGCCATAGGTCTGGCCCAAACCATGGTAACCAATATTTGCATAGTTATTCATTTTTTTTTCTTCCAAACTGATACCTCTGATAGTACCTAAAGTTCAATGGCCTTACCTCAAAAATACTGCCTGTTTATGCTATGACTAACGGAGGTATTTTCATCTATGCTAAGTTCAGCACAATGTCGTTGAACGATTGTTATTACCGAACTTGGGTATTTTGTGCAATAGCTCAAGCAGTTCGTATATTGATAACGCGCTAGAAAAAGACATAGACGAGTATCCATTATCAGCTCATTTGTCATTTGAAGCAGCTGTCATGTTGTTCAACGATCGGGGCTCGAAACAGAGTACGGTTGAACTATCAAAATAATTTGGCAACTTATTTGAATCAAGTCGTAGCGATTACCAATACATTAAATCTACTGCTCGTGGGAGATATAACTCATATAAGAGAATTGGTATAACCAGTGCATCAGTTTTTATGAGCGTTTGTACTCGTTTCACTGGCATTTGTTAACTCGGTTTTGTCTAGTTTCTGTTGTCGCATATCTTGACTGGTGCATGTGACTGGCTGACTTTCATGTAACTTTACATCCCTCAGTATTCCTATGTCATCTCTCTCAGATACCTCAGTCTATATGTGCACACGAGCGTCGTTTTCAAGTGTTTTTATCTGATAGTTTATTGCTTTGACGCCCAGTCCACACGGTCCATGTGCACACCTTACTCCTCAGTTATCACTCTCAGATTCCTCATGCTGTATTCCTAAGTCATTTCTCTTAGACTGCTCAGTATTCTCCGTTATTTCTCTTAGATTCCTCTGTCTTTGAGAGTGATTCCTGTAAGATTCAAAAGGCCAATAAGTGCCTTTTCATCCTAAGATCACTGCGCAAAGAAGGCTATAATCAGAAAGAGATTGATCACTTATTTACCACCTTAGTTCTACCAAATATTACCTATGCTGTTTCAGTATATGGTGCTTCCAAACCCGAACTTGCAAAAATTGAATGCTTTTTGAGACGATGTCATAAACGTAAATATATTTCGAAAGAAATTAGTGTGCAAGAATTGCTGGAAAAGCAAGATAGAAAACTTTTTAGTAAGGTCAGGCAAATTGAACAGCACCCATTAAGAAACTTGTTGCCAAAGAAGAAAGTCAATAGATATGAACTAAGAAATAAATTTAGTAACTTTCCAAAGATTAACACAGATCGTTTTAAAAATTCTTATATCAATCGTCTCATTTTTAAATATAATCTAGTATTGTAAATTGTTTCATCTTGTAATCTCAAATGTAACATAAGATATGTATTTTTTATCTTGTGAAGAAATAAAGACATTTATTATTATTATTATTATTCCTCATCGTCGAGCAGATTTTCTATAAAAGCAAATTCCCCCCGAGTATAGACGAGAGTTCTCGATCGTTCGCATTCATTTCAATAGTGTCCTGGTCAAGTGTAAGGAATCGAATTGTTCCGCCACTTGAGCTTGTCACAACTAGATTCTATACCCATGTTCGTTTGTCAAACCTCAAAGCTTCTAGTAAGATGAAAAACCACGTCAAGTGCTACTCACCTAATTTGTAAAACAACAATTTGACATCCGACTCGTGAAACAAAGTTTTAGTTGCGACACAACATATTCTGAGCAATCCAACCCTATAAAAAAGCGATGAGAACTTAATCCATGGATCTCAGTTGTTTGTTTTCCTCCAGGCCCATGACTACAGCTTAGACTAAGACTGACACCAAAGACATGCACATAATATATTTGTTTTGAAAGCATTACTGGCATACATCTTCACAAGCATCGATGTTCACCTTCTCGTGTTTGTGTTTGTTTGTCATACTCTGTTGCCAGGACGTCCACTTATATTTTGTGCTGTGCCTAACAAAACCGAATTGGTTTACTCAAGTGCTTTTGCATTCCAACGTTTTTTTTTCTGCAAGCAGTTCTGTCTGAGGTTATCTCAAGAGATCTCTCTGTTTCGGTGGATTGTTCTTGAATTCATACAACAACCACACCCATACAGGCGTTTGCAACTTACGAATTGCAAATAATAAAAGTCTTTCGAAACCGAAGCAGTTATGCTCTCAAAAATTACGCTGGGAAGAAAAGGCTTGCTGAACATCACGATAAGTGTCTAATGCATGATTGAATCGATATAAATAAAACGTTTCTCAAGCTTTGATAACTGCAGCAATACCTATAATTCTCTATACGTTGATAATTCAATCTCCTTTCCTTTCCTTGTCTGTGCATATACCAGTATGCGAGATTCTCTTCAAAACAATCTGGGGATTAAGATGTTTGCGGCCAAAAATCGTCTGGTACAACAGCGAGGTTCAATCGTGTTCCCGAGCACCTTGGTTACCAATTCTCGCGACAAATACCTGAGGTGACCACATCTTAGCAACGATGTACTAGTAATATTACTAAACAGCTGTGTCTATGACAGTAAATTGATGCTAACGCGAAACACTTTTGTGTTAACGATTATCGCTCTTGTGTAGATCAAACGAACTTTGCTTTGTACAATCGGGGAGAAGTTCGTTTTATACATCTATCTTCTGGCTTGGCCCACGAAAATGGTTGGCCATTCTTCCTTCCAAAGGGAACGAAGATGGCAGCTTTTGGAACAGCTTTACATGATCAGAACTAGAAGCACTAAAAGCACTTTTGCCTGCCATATAATGCACCAAATTTGCTTTCACGTTTCACTTCGACGTCTTTCTGCAATTATGATTTCATTTTGGGCGTACCAGTATTGTGTATTTCAAAATGAACTAAGCTGTCTTTGTTGAAGATTACTCAAAGCAGTTAATCAAATTAACTGTGGCGAAAGCGCATTATCGAATAAGGAATTCTTAATTAAACTAATTGCAAATTCCTGTCAAGTTTGCTGTTAAATCGTAATTATTGTCAAACACGGTGCATTTCATGATTATTTTTCTTCGCAACGGAAAATCCGACAATATTGAGACACAGTTGAGGAAACCATAAGATTTCACGTGCAGGTATTGATTTACGAACAAATTAAATTTTGGAATGAAAAAAAAATCGATTGAAAACAATATTGTAAGATTAAGCAACAGACTGGCTAAGTGTTACTAAAACTAATATTCATCATTGCCTCGCAAACTTTTCATTTCGAAAGCTTTAAGCAAACTTATACAAGAATTTATATAGAAGTTAAAATGACAGAAGTTCTGTTATTATATATTCTATAGCAGTGAATTATACATTTGTTAAGGATAATGAACTGGGTTTTATGTGTTTAATTCGATCCAGCGGGGAGGAAATATCTTTAGACCATATCAATTGTACAAGGAATTAAGGAAATATCGCTTACATTTCACTATTCAACCTTTTTGTACGCACAAATAAGTGAGGATCTAATGTGGGCGTTTGACAACTACAAGTTCAATTGAAAACCATTTGATCATGCTTTGGGTATCCCATCTCGCTCCCCCCCCCCTGTTTCTTTGGGGAAAATACGAATGATTGGGTCAGACGGTATAACTAGCATTCACGCAATGATCCAAATCAAAACGGTTGCCATAACAAAGCAATATCGTTTGTTTGCTGCAACGTTGCGAAGTAGGAACAAGTCCAGCCAATCACATCTCAGATCCACACCTTCCAACAATCGCTTCTTTCGAAAAATGTCTAGTTTGTCAAGTCCCGAATTTCGTGATTTGCAATAGTTTCCTCAGTCCAAATCGTTTCTAAAGCACAGCCGTGAAGTGCTCTATCCTTATATTTTGTTGAACTTTAAACGCGGGTCAAATATCGTGAAATGCCTTCGATAGACATATTACGGCAATCTCGAATTGCATACCAGCGCCACTTAGTGCAACATCGCTCGGTCCTTTTTCGCAATATTTTGACAACGGTAATCGACTGTTGTTACATAACTACGCATAAAAAGGACAGCGCACAGCTCTGTTCTTCAGTATATGCGATTTAACTTGGCCGGTGACATGAAGTTTACAGCGACCTTGGCTTGTGTCCTCCTTACCTTTGGGCTTCTTACACTTTGCAATGGCCGAAGCATACGGTCTGCTGAAAATGCCCCGCCTGATGCGAACGTGACGACAGAAGTACAGAAGAGTGGAGACATGTAAGTTGAATTTTTATCTCTTTATTTAATATGATATAGCTTTGTAGTTCTCTAGTTATTTCTGTTGAAAGATAGTCAGACATGTTGAAATCAACAGCGAAAACTCTTATAAATGATGGCGATTTTGCCTGTTGTAGCAATTACTTTTCTTCGTTATCTTATTGGGGTTTTTCATCTCTAAATCATCAAGCGTAGCCGCTTAGAACAAGCCAATTCTTAGACATTGCATTTTGAAAACATGACAGTCAGTCTTGACTGCCTTGCCTAAAAGCAAACAAGTTAGGTTTTGAGACAATTTCTGAAAGTGTGAGTTCAAATCCTGTCAGGGCGTTCCTTAAATTTTAGAATAGAAACTTTTAAACGCAAACTGGCAGTTAATATAACAGTACATTTTACACTCACTGATTTTGTCTGTATACATCCAAATAATTTGTGGACTTGCAGCGCTTTAAGATTCGCATAGGCTATTCCAACGTTATTCCAACTTTTCTATTTCTTATAAGCGCATGGAACAGAACATGCTGTTTCTCTGAACGATTAAAGTGAAAACAAACCTTACATTAGCTTTTGCTTAGTGAGAAAACTAACTAGGCGGTAAATTTTTAAACCACTAGTGCATATAATGCCTGCTGCATGAAAACCAATATAAAATGATGCTTTCTTTGCAACGAACTTTGCGTAATTTCGCTCGACGGTATGGATTTCTTCGAGCGAGCATATTTTATGGCGAAGAATTTGTCGCAAGTCGGTCGGTCGGTCGAAGTGGATACTTTTTACTGATAAGGATTAGTGGTGCACTGAATTACAACAGAACTAGCAAGGTTAGTCCACTCCACTTTTTTTTAAGTTTTGTAGAATTAGTAAGAAGTTTAGAGAACGCTGAATTCTCTTTGCTTATAGTGGGTATCCATGTGAATCCCGAACGATGAGAATGCCTTTGCATGTTCAATTACACGAAAACTTTGATCATTATGAGACGAAGTTGATTGGATTTGAACTCGCAATTTCGAAATTTCTAGCGAAACCCACTTATTAATACAAAGTGATAATAGTTCGGAACCAGGAAACCCACAAAGTTTATCAGGGGCGTACCGAGCAGGGCGGTGACTCCCCTCACATCTTGTAGTGTGGTGGGCCGCAATTTTGCTTAAAGGCATTACGACAAAGAATCAGTTTCATCTGCGATTCATTGTACTTCTATACGATGTGATATATGCTCTCGGTACGTACCTGATCTTTAAGAATGCCTAATATTTCTATGCGGTTTTACAGCGCTTACTTGACAAGAATGTTTGACAGAACCTGAGTGTTTATGAAAGTGTTTTTCCTTGGTTATCAACACGTTTTTCTCGTTACCTTGACAATGGTATTTTGTTAGTGGTTGCTGTTATATTCCCACTACTTTTTGGTTTATTGGTCGCATTTTTTCATGCAAATTGCGATATGAATGCTCTATGATTTGGAATGCTGATATTTTACTTTCTGTGGGGCAATTACACTTTGGCTGTTGAATGCTTTTGGCACAAGTCAAATTTAACAACATTTCAGGCGGCTACTTTAATGCAGAGCCCAAAATAATTTGTCGGCTCGGTTTTGCTCTAAATTTTGCGGCAATTTTTACATACAAAAAAGGCGTGCACTATCGGAGTCCTTATCTTGAAAAGCTTCGAATCAGTTACAATATAAAATTTCTATGACACCGCTAATATACTGCTGCTAAATTAGTGTGAATTATTTGAAAATAGGGGAAGTTATTTTGATATTTCGTTTGCTTCATTCGGTGCGTGCAAGCATTCTTGTCATTTTGTCCTTGAAGCATATAAAAGAAAGGTTTTAGTTTAAGTTTCCAACTGAGCAGATCAAAAGTTGGTGAAACGAAGCTCTTTTATTTAAAGGATCGCCCCGCCTCCAATATATTTAATAAATGGCAAAGAAATAACACCTACTGAAGAGGCGGTTGATTGGACCAACAATACGGAAGCCAACGAGAGTGAAGAAGATGAAAATATGGATAGTGATTCTGATGAGGATGAAGATGGTGACCTTGATGACGGAGGTGATGATGATGACGATGATGACGACGATGATGATGATGATGACGATGACGACGATGACGACGATGATGATGATGATGACGATGATGACGACGACGACGATGATGACGACGACGATGATGATGATGATGATGATGATGACGACGACGATGATGATGAGGATAATGATAACGGGCGGGATGGCAATAATAGAAGGATGGGATCCCATAGGTTAGTGAATGATTACCTATTTAGTGATTACCTAAAACATCTATTTTTATGTCACATGCTTTTATTTACATTCTCTGTATCCCAGTAACCGATATGGTGTTTCATTTAGGGAAGAAGTTGAAATGGCCCCGGCAATGAGAAGTAGCGCACCTGCAAATCAAGGCATTCTTCATTTGATCAAGGGCTTGGTAGACCAAGGTAAGCTTTCACAATCACAAACAACATGGCAATTTCATGTACTTAAGTCTGACCACGATAAAAAACGTGACTGTGTGTTCTCGAAATGTTTAGCACTGTTTGGAAAGAATTCGCAGAAACCTAGTGGTGGTGAGCCAGGAGATCCTGCCGAACCTGGCGAGCCCGCTGAGCCAGGAGAGCCCGCTGAGCCAGGAGAGCCCGCTGAGCCAGGAGAGCCCGCTGAACCCGCTGAACCGGCTGAGCCAGCTGAACCCGCTGAGCCAGCTGAGCCTGGCGATAACGAAGGACCATGTAAGTACAATGAAGACGTTGAAAACTTATGACTTCGTGTTTAGCAAAAATTGCCCGTCGTTGGCCATTAAGAACTTCTTCGAATTGCGATTTCAAGTTAGTTGTTTGCTGTAAAAGACATGATACATGTCATATTCATCCCCGTGGCAATTTTGATAGATTTACGCTTCTTACAGGGAATTGAGAATACCTTTACATAATTGTTTTTTCTTTAGTGTTAGATCCTTGAAGGCTTGAACAACTACTGAAATATCAAACCGGTGTCTCATTAGCTTCAATGCAGGACATATCAAGCTGATGGATGAAATACTTATTTCAGTGTTTTATTACTATGATATTAACACAAATGTAACCACAGTAAACTCTTAGTTTTGTAGTTGGTAGTTTTCTCTTGCCTACCTTCCGATATATATTGTAACTGGATATTGTAATTTCTCTTTTTGTGATAATAATAATTTTTGAAAAGATAAGGTTGTAATTATTTTATGGCGTGGTGATCTGTGGGAAACATATATATACATTCGCAAACCCAATAATAATTTGGATTTGTTATTTGACTACAGAAGGAGACTGTGAAATACTCAGAAAAATCACATCTGCTCGCAAATGTTTAAGAATCGTGATTTGAATGTATCATTATCGGGACTTTTCAGCGATTTTCAGAGCAAATATTTCCTCAAATTATGTGTTGTAGAACAGACACTTTGAAATTACAATCACTTAGATGCCAGTGACTGTTTATAAACTCTGCATTATTTTGAAAGAGCCTTGCGGCATAATGGATAGTGCTAACATGTTTTTAATATTACTTTTTAAAGAGAAGGACAAGGAACTGGATCCGAGACAGGAGGCCAGGACAATGTAGATAATGCTGGGGGTGAAGCAAATGGTGGTGATAGTGCGTCAACAAGTGATGCAGATCAAGTCGCCGATGCTGGCGCCGATAACGCTGGTTCTGATGATGGCGCTAACAATGGCGAAAATGTAGCCGATGACGCTGCTTCCGATGATGATGATGATGCAGATGAAACAAGAGTCGATGATGGAGCAGATGATGATGATGGTGCTGATGATGATGATGATGATGATGATGATGGAGATGATGATGATGATGGAGATGATGATGATGATGGAGATGATGATGATGACGATGATGGAGATGATGATGATGGAGATGATGGTGATGATGATGATGACGATGATGGAGATGACGATGATGATGATAATGGAGATGATGACGATGATGATGATGACGATGATGGAGATGACGA